TTCATCAACGACGCTGCAGGACAGCACGCGCCTATATGTATAGCTTGCTCTGACACCGCATGGGAATATAATAAACACTGACTAATACTGCCGGATCAATTCCAAATTATAAAGCTTTTCCATACAACTGATCAACAATAATACCAATTGAGATATGTTGGTTTATAGTATACGCCCAAAGGGATTGTAACTACTACGGCCAACCACGTAAGATATCTGATAAGAGTTGTAAGATGTATAAGGTATAATGTGAATTTATTTAGACGATCAAAATTATATTAAACAAATATATAATATAAACCGAAATCCCCTATAATAATTTGCAACTGTTTGTTTTGTAAAGTGCACCATCACAAGGGTTGTGGATTAAACGATTACGAATGGCTAATAGATTTTTAATGAAATATTTTCTCACATATGATAAAATTTGCGTATAGGCCAATACACAAGAAGTGCTTCTCATCTCTCTCTCGCTTTTGCGTGTATTCAAACCATCATTGTTGCATGAAAACATTGCAGTGTATATTTTAGCTGTTTCAAAGGTATATATGTGCTGAACACCTTAATCCTGTCATACCATACTTTCTGGCATGGTGTTGTTTTTGCTATTCATGCATTGTAAATTTCAAGATTTCATCAAGGCATTGAAAATCAAAGACTCTTCTCGACACGCAGTATCAAAAATGAGATTCAAGTATTTCATGCTTCAAATACTAGCTAATGCATGACATAGCGCATACCGAAGATCGATATTGTCAATGAGGATATATACCAATGCATCTTTGGAATATGCTGGTGTGGCCTCCTCTCAGTCCTCTGAAAACTAACAAGGTTCTTTGTCCGGGAGAGAAACACATAACATACCAATTAAGCACGCTACCATTCAGTACTGACCAATGAGTCATACTTATATACATATATCATATCAATTTTGTATAGATAACAAACCGCGGCTTAAATATATAAAGCACTAAAGAGAGTCCAAATATATTCCGGAAACATAGTAGTTTACTTCTAAAATCAATATCACAACATTCGGATGTAACGCCTATTTTTACTAAGTGACATAATCTTGCCGACAAAGTAGCCCGAAAAATGCTTTGGTGTGCGAAGTTTTGTGCTTAGGAGGATAATTAGGGACTTTTTAGTGTCTATATTCCCACAGGAATCATCAGAAAGTCACGTCTATCTTTGCCTAAACTTAACTGAAAAACTGTATATTCCCAAGTCCATCATCGTAATAATATGATACGTATAATTTGAAACTTCACTTGATCATGAAAACGGAGTGGAGGAAAAAATTGGAGATTTGCTTATAGGTATTTGAGCGGCAAAGTTTTCAAGAACTGTAAATGGGTTTATGCAGGATAAAAGGAAATAGGATAGATTTTAAACCTTCTGAAAGAAAGCTGCTAAGTTTCTGCAAGCGATGAGCGAATAAAATTCGTGAAAAATAAGCCAGCTAATTAATGTAACTTGTTCTGTGTTTCCGATGTGTTTGGCGAGCAAGGAAATGTACAAGAACATGCACTTGTCATTAAACTGTCCAATAAACTGCCTAACCTGCAAAAAAAATAGCTACGTGTCTTCGAAATGCGTTTTTTTTGAGAAAAAACCCGATATCCCTATGTAACCTTTGAGTATAAATATCAGCTATGACAGAAACGGTCGGAAATAAAATATCGCATGGGACATATTCATCGATATATGCCCTGAAGAGTCGTTTGAAATACAGGAAACGTCCTCAGAGTAGCATTACTGTATTTTATTGACCTAATATAGTCTTAATTTGATCCTTACGGATATTTAAACAATATTCTTTTATGTAATTTGAATATCTGCTTATAGTAGAGAAGGTGAGAGAATTACGTATCACTGAAAAACGAAATATTTATCAGTGTTAGCTTATTATCTATTTGCAAGCTTTTCAAAAGCGGTCAGCTCAAGTATATGGATATATATGTTTGAAAAGTCACTTGCAGACAAAGATGTATAACTCTATAACTGCTGATCGTAATGGAAGAAAGGAATGAAGCATCTATCGCCCAGGGAAGTTGTGAAACGAGAAAACAGCTCTGGATAAAGAAATATGAAATTATCGCGCTATACCATTGATAAAGAAAACTCTTGCGAGAAGGTGAAACGATACCTAATTGTCGAGGAGAATATTTGAGTACTTCTTCTGGGAAATTCGCTCTGCGGCGGGCAATATTGAACTCGAAATCACTAGAAGGTGATAACTCACGAGTGGCTACTAATGGTTAGGGCCTAATAGTTAATTTCTTGTCACGACGGAAACTGGGGGATAAGAGGCGTGTAGCTCTCTTCCTTCGAAAACGAGGCAGAGTTTAACGTTTTTCACAACGGCTCGACGTTTCTGGATTGATTTTTTGGCGTGGTTTGACAGGGATTTATGGATTAAAACTACATCTAATGGAGCTTTCTGTGGTCTTGATATGGATTTTCACGGCAGCATTCGTTAATCTCTCTTTCCGGTAAGGGATTTCGTGGAGTTTCGTTGGAATTTGATTAAGCTTCAATTAAGGGCCTCCCAGGTGTTTAGATATACCAGCTGCCAATGGAATTAGTTCAGTTACTAGGGAACGAACCAACACGATCTATTGAGGAAGGGCGTACCTCCAACTGTCAACTTTTAAGTGATGATGCTCTTTTTTAAAGTGCACTTTCCCGCCAATTTCGGATTTGAAATGAATTTTGGGGGCAGAATGAATTCCCTGGAAACCAGGTTTAAGGTTCCCTTGTTTAAACAGTGCCTCAGGGAATCCCAGTTTCCTCAACTTTAACTGGCTTCCAAACCCTCAGCCGTATTTTTTGCCAAGCATACTGAGCCAGCGATTTCCATGAGTGCCCGGCAGTGGGTCAAAGATGAAAGATCAGGGCTGTAACACGCTTATATACCAGAGAGAACACATACTTGAAAAGTAAATCATATCCGCGGTATGATCCATATTATCGATTATTTAAGAGGGAGTTACTTCTATGAGATTATCCAGGAGATTATTTTTAGCCATATGTTGACAGGTGAGAAATGTCATGAAATTTCTGCTAACAGTCCAAGAAACATAACACAGAATCCATTGCGGGTATTCAAACCTTAAAAGGCAAAACTTTTTTGCTTCGTTGCTAGACCTGAAGAGCTATATATGTCCTAAACCAATTATTGCGTACAGATTTTGCAAATTTCATTTAGTATTTGGACTCTTTCATGGATTGCTTGACCATAATAAGTTTTTTCCTGTCCAGATAGTATATCAAAATGGTAAAGTAGTTTTTTTACACGTGTACCAAGCTGCTTAGAAGATACAGTAAATGTTTATTGAATTCCTCAATGATAACTGACGCAAGCCGAAAAAAACTGCCGTCCAGTTGTCGCCAAAGATGAAGGTTTCGAGGCTAAATACCAGCTTGTCGTCTGGCATTTAGAGAATTGCTTTCGACGAGTGGATTTGTGTTGGTTTCGAAGGGAAAGTTGGGAAAGGACTTCGATAGAACTCAAGTCAATGATCGATCATAAAATATAATGCTATTATTGCTATATACTCTGTGCTTTTTACTCAGGATAACACATTATTGTGCGAAGACGAATTACTCTTTAAGTTGGATTGCGTGCGTTTTGTAATCGCAACAAGCTTGTCATAAGCAGCTATTATTAAACGGATTTCGCTTTCTTTTATACAAAGATTAATGTCTCAGCACTACAAAACGTGTTAAATTCAATTATCTTTGTAGATCTCTGAGAGTGCGTATTTACAGTTTCTTGATTACAAAGATAATTGATTTCATAAAAATAGGCGCGCATTGCGTAAAACGAACGTTGTATTCTGAACGATACAGTCAGGATTAGAGAATCGCATGCAAGTATTCACAACCGTTCGATAGAGGTTCGAATCGTCCTTGTTAAGCTGGGAGGGTCGGTGCATTTCATAGACTAATATAGCTTTTGTTAAAAAGCCTTAATTCACAAGGTTAAAATATTAGCGAAAAAAAAAATTGGGCACTGGCTTATCGAACGATCTTTAACTGCTAGTCTGCGAGGCATAAAAAGCAATCTATATGATTTGGCTCACGGCCATAGCTTTCGTCCGCACCATATGTAGCTAACCTTAACAAAACGCTTTACTGCCGAACTTAAAATACTGGTGAATCATCTCACTGCATAAACACACAAAGAGCTATCAGTCGTAAGAGAATCTAGACTGTGGACAATCGTCTTTTTGCTGAGAGGAAGGAACGTTCTAGGAACACTTCTTCATCATTGGAGAGGAAACACTCGTGATCTCGAAAAGCTAGACTATATTTCAGTACGATTAAAGACTTAGATTTGAAGCACCGGAAAGTTCAACAAACTTTCTTTGTTGACAAAATATTCACTTCAGACAAAGATATCTGACTTTCAACTGAAGAATTTGTTTATTTCACCCGTTACGTAAATTAAAAATTTGATATTAAGGTAAACAGCATTTGATGGAAGAATTCCCGCACGATGATAACTATTGATAGGTGGTTCAAGTGCATAAAGGACCTGGGATGGTCGAGCAATCATCGCTCTCTCTATATACACACACATCACTTTTCCTTGCCAGTTTTTTTTTACGTAGACGTATATATAAAACTACGAGAGCAAGATCCCTTTAGGAACACACAATTTTTTTTCAGCAGGACTGGTCGATTTGGCAAGGAAACACACAAAATACTTGGCATCACCATCGCTGTAACCAACTATATAAAGCTTGCATGTCTCAATTGAAGAGTGCAAATCCGTTTCACGCGGATTTGGCATCAGGAACGCGCACGCTGCCTAAAATATTTGGCCTCAATTCAAAAGCCTATTTTGGGCAGATTTTCAAAATATTGAGATCAAATTTTGATCTCGCAGTTCTGTCCAAAAAATGGCACGCGCTCCGAGTTTCGAAAAAAATTCTCATAATAATTTCTAAACTGGATTTCGAGGATTATAAATCTACTGAACGAAAGCTTACCGTCAATTTCTTCGCATCTTCTGAAATATTCGCTACCATCCTTCACAAAGAAACATTTCCTGAAACTTGGCTCTACAAGAGATAAAAAGTACAGTTCATGGTTTATACTGTGGCTGTAGTCTGTAGAGAAGGGACGGCCACGGAATCTCAAGCTTTTGACACGTGAAGGGGAAAATAATATAGGAATAAACGTCCTTTATGCTAAACAAAAGCGCGCGCCAGTCCTACGGACGCCTGATCTTAGCACCGATATAAACAATTTTCCGCTCCCTGTGAATTGATGGGAATGCCCTAATTTCACTTTGCAGATGTTTGAAACTTGTCTATGTGAAACTTGTCTAAACGATTTCTTTGGCTTAAAACAGCAATCATAATCGTTCCTAATCCTAAATTGAAAAAACATTGCGAAATATTACATCGAGCATTAGATGTTTTTAAAGATAGATTATTAGTTGAGAGAGATAACGTTAGTTTATACGTTACATATGATTAACATAGCGCTTTGTATATTCTTTGCTTTGGTTAGCTTGGAGAAGGGGTTAGCAAAGAGTTGCCGCTAGTGTAAGAAATGCTTTCGGCATAGTTCTAGAAAGGAACGATACACACAAGTCCTGCTAAGCTAGGAGGATGCATCCATGCTGATTTCAATGTTCACGTTATCAAACACAAGGGGTTTGCTGGGAGGAAGGTTATGAGGCAGAAAAAAGCCAATTCTTATAATTAAAAAGTATACAAGCCGACAATAATCACCCAGAGAACAATGTACAGGCGACGCTTTGTTCTATAGAGATACACGATTTGATTAAATTCCCAACCAGCGAAATATCGGCCATGCATGCATAACTGAAGTTATCGGGAATTATAGATGACGCGGACGAACTGTAATTATGTCCAATTACAAAGACGTATATTTTCTGCAGAGGATATTGCAATTATGCTGTTCAAATCAGCTAGCCTCGAAGCGTTCGTCAGCGTGAAATACCACACAAAGCATGTATAATTTGTGTCAATGCAAGCGAAGATTCGATTCATCATTTTACAAATGATGTGTTGACCCTGTTTCCGTCATCTCGTGACCTTAAGAACGCGAAGTTTACTTTATGGTAAGAAATAGCCACTAATCTCATTAGAAATATTATTGTAAAACAAATTAAAGGGTATTAACTAAAGTTATCATATGTTATCGCTATATAAGGGTAAGTGCCAAATATCTTGTTTGTCATGTTTGACAAGCCTTGTAATAACTTGCGTGCGTTTTTTCACGGAAAATGTTGAAACTTGGCAGGACTTCGAGTCAATTTTCTGGCCAGAAAAATTATTCAAAAGACAAGACAGTTATAAAGGAATTTTAGAATCAGGGGATGTAACATGGTTGCTCGTTTATAGCGTTGCAAAATTAACTCACATTACTAGCATATAGCTATATAATATTAATTCACAGTGTCAAATGGTATACTATAGTGAAATATTTCATCGTAAGATTTATAGCTTTGAAATATTTGTGTATAACTATTTAAAGTGTGTGTTTTAATTGCCTTAAATTTTGCCTGAGATAATTATTTGTCAGCATAGCAAAGCTTTGGAAATATTTGCACCCTAATGGGGTAGAAAAAAAACACAGAAAATATATAGAATTTACGATGCATAAACTTTCTGCATGTAGGATACTTTAGGATTGGATTATAGTAATCAATTTCCAAGTCGGTTATTCCACATGTACATACATGCATACTTTTACACTTCCCATGCAGAGGGTAACAAATTGCTGTTCGCACATGCAGTTACACAAGATTAAGTCGGATTTGAAGGCGCGAAACGAGTTTGTTTACCTTACAGCTTCACTTGTGGGGTGCTTCAAAACACAAAAACAGCAGGGAATTATGTCAAAGTGACGGTATACGACAATCGTTGACTTTGAAACCAAGGGGATTTTGTGCTTTCAGATTTAATGGGGCCGAAATTGATTACCACCGAACAAAACGCGTTAAATAACATAAATTTGCGTCAGAATTTGGGTTTGACGTTTAAGGGGTTTAATTGCTCTCCAAGCGGGAGGCTTTGATCCGAACGAAAAAGGAACATTCTAGACTCACATTTATAGTGCATTTACTAGTTTAATTGCTTAAATTTATCTTATTTTGAAGTGGACATTATGCTTGGTCATCACCCATGTCGCGAGTATGGCTTTTAGCTGGACGCGATAAACTGTGTGACAAAACAGGCCATGGTTATCCAGAAGCTTATAGCGATGTACGTAATTAACAAAAATATTGACTTCAGCTTAGAAAATATGTACAAGAAGACAGTTAACGATTCGCGATCATAGAAAGATGACGTTTATATAAAGTTGAACGGATAAAAGACTAAAGAAACGACAGGAAAACCTCTATATAATGACGTGAAATTTTGATACGACAAAGAATAATCGCCTGAATTTTATGTCGGCCTTTCCAAGGAGACCTTTTCGCTTTCTAAAACATTTCCGACGCGATGCGATACTGAGGAAACAATTTGCATCCGTCAAATCGTAGTGGGTTGTAAAATAATTGTTGCTGCCTAAAGCTCTGTTCACACGATTCAATTTTGTCGGATCCAATTCACTTCTGATGGATGTTTTATAGTTTTTTCACTTGCAATGTATATTAACTATAAAGCCAATGCAGAGCTGCTTTATCAATAACAAACTACTTAACTACATTCCATCTATCAGAAGTGAATTGGATCGTGTGGATGGGCCTTAAAAGAAACACTTGCTCAAAATTACACTCAAGTCCAACTGATCCTAATATAAACCAGTGTTCAAAACACGAAATAAACTCAATCCCAAGCATGACTTTACTTAAGTTAGCGATTAGTATTAAAGCAAAGTAAGGTTTGCCGCTTTGGGGTCAGTATCGGGTTAGGATCGGGATTAAGATTTAAATTTGGTAATATTCGCTTTTTCTTCTATAAATTTTGTTGTCTTATGAAGAATATACTCAGTAAGAAAACATTAAAACAACCGATTAGCCTTTCTAACGACGTTTTGAGGGTACTTTCCGGCAATTTTCTCAAATGGGTTTAAAAAATTACAACAACATGAAAAGCATTCTTTTTTAGAATCAACAGACCATTTGAAGAATAAATTCAGCCTAAAATTAAATATTCGTCATCGTGAGAAAGGCTAATTTAAAATCGTTGTCTCGGGCTCTTTTTGATTAATTTTATTCGGTAAGAACAACCAAAAAATTGGTTGTTTTAACCAAGTTCTAGTTGTTTTAACCGCGTACAAATGGACCAATCTGAGAGACCAAAAATGAATGTTAGATGACTTTAAATTGTTTGCTGTTTTTTACAGCGTCATGTACGTGCGCTTGTGCAGAATGAAAAGTCGACTGTAATAAAAGAATACATTTGTCTTCAAGAGCCGGAAGTTGGCCCATTTATCATTGGCTCAAACCAACTCGCAGATTGACGAAGGTCATTGTGAGAAAACGTGGTGTGAATTAGCGAGCCCATTAGTTCTTCAAGGTGACAAAAGAGTGTTTGTAAAATATTTTCATAACCTTCCTTTGCGACTAATTTTCCGAAACACGATTCGAGATGATACATCGTCATCAAGATGACAAATGAAACATAGTTATTTGACAATTAGGTTTCACCAGGATGAAATCGGAGGTGCGTCGTTTTAAAAAATCCAACGCAAGTTCGTTCTACCTGGCTGCCTTTTTTATATAAACAAGAAAAGCCATTGCGATTGTCTACGGGCAAGTGTAATTAAAAACGGTTGGCAAACTAAATTACCTCAAAGTCATGGGAATTGTTTTTTTTTTACATTCAGCTTAGCTATAGAGATCCTGCGTGAAGATAAAAACAACTAGAAATATGCACCAAATAAAGCGCTGAATACAAAAGAGGGATGAAATAGTGATGATTCCTGGTTGAAATAACCAAACCGCGCTTAATTCTCAGCGTGGCAAATACATCATACATGAATTCATTTCAAGCCTATATAAGCTGTAGCTGGTGCACCTGAGTGCTTGAGAAATTTTCATGGAAACCAGCTGTAAATTAAGCCTGTACATGACGAAGGTTCAAAGGAAGATCTTCGAAGATAAAATGGGAGATTGCATTTCAAATGAAGAAATCGATAGTTCGCGAACACTTCAGGGTCGTCGCATATTTGTGGTGTTTTGCATAGAAAGCATAGTTTAGTACTTGGAGATCGGGCCTATATCGCCATCTGTAAATACGCTCCTTAATAAATGGGTGGTATTTTGCATATTAGTCAGAAATGCATGAAAACGAGTTTCCTTAGCGTTGATATTACACCACAGTGAATCAAATATTCGAGGTAATGCATTGCAATGTGCGTTACACTTCCCCGTTCCCTGATTACTATAGGCAACGTGTATCGGGCCAACATTCCAATGGGGTCATAGTTCAGATGACAGTCTGAAGACATGGAATCTTGCTGGGTAATAACTGCCCTTGTAGAAGTGGGTCAAAATACCTAACCTTAAGGTGAAGGTTGCATTGCTATTGTAAGATCTTTAATCCAACATCTCGACTGTTTTTTTCCGACGTTTTTCGCCATACGTGAATTTCAAATTCTAACCGCTAAATTAACGTGTTTCGTCTGCTCACAAGTTGCTTTCAAGAAGAATGATATTTGATTAGCTAATAACTGGATTGCTATTGAGCCGTGTACTACAATTTAATGATAGTCTGTACCATATAATCGGCGAGCTCTGATTGATTGCTATATGCTCTCTGCACATTGTATTAATACCCTTGCTAAGCCAAACAGACATAAGTACACGACTTCGCTAAGTGGTTGGCGTTCTCAAAATGGTTGATCGATCCATTTTCCAAATCTCCATATCAACACTGCGATCAAAAAAAACAAGCGCATTTTTCCACAATGGTACTAAGAATGTAGCAATTAGCCGTCCAATTTGCAACACTACGAAAGGAACACCAAATTTAGCTGCCTGATTCCGAAAGGGATAACGCAATATCATTCACATGACTACCTGAGGGTCACTTAAGCGAATTCAGGCCATATCGTCACGCCATGTGATCAAAAGTGTTTTAATTGATTTCATACACACGATCTTTTGTATCAGCCTGACATATTGTTTCCGATGTTACAAATAAACAAGTGTTAGAATTCTGGATTTCGCTCGAATCCTATGAGATGTCATAGGACAGTTGTTTCCCAGCGATGTACAGCAATCTGCGCGCATTTAAATACCAATAGCGTTGCACATTGTGTGAATGTGGTGAAATAAAAGCAAGCAATTTGTCTAAATTGATAAGCACAAATAATTGTTTGAAAGAGTGGCGTAGATATGTTTTTGTCAAGTCTGTGCGAGCGTAGTCTGTGTTCTAGAGATTACCACGAATTCTTGAGATAACATTGTGACAGGGAATTTTCAGGGCTGTTTTAGTGGTGACGGTAAACAATGCCAAGGCATTAGCACGCCTGTTTAAGCCTCGCCACATTAGCGCCTTCACGTGCTAAGAATGACTATGCGCCAAGCTTTGGGGCACGCGGAATCCGAAAACCACCACCACAAGGTGCGCCGTTAATGGTCGCCCGAACCTTTGGTAACCTTTGACCAACGAAGATGTAGACTTAAACTTAATCCGATATACATGAAAATGTAATTCATGTTGGAATATTATGATCACATTAAATTACATAAACATTTACCCAGGTCAATGCGAAGCAAAACCGTGGGAAGCTGTGGAAACAGTGGGCGATTCCTCAGGGGGGTTTAAAGTAATTTCACGATGTTTTGGCAATAAAAGCAAAACAAACTACGGCTAAATTCGCGTTATCCTCGACACTTTATCCTCGAGTGGTATTGTATAAGGCTGCGAAACTCCCCCAAAATACAGGACTGTCATTACGAGTCCATTAAGCCATCACACGTCCGTGGCTTTGAAACAATTAACAGTTCTAATAGCTCCAATGTTGAAGGGGATGTCGTCAAACACTGCTGCGAATGTATTAAATATTCCAGGCAAAATGTTGTTAGAATTATGCCGAAATACCACGCTTTCTCCGGGAGGTAAGAGAACGGAGATTTTCAGACAATAAACACAGAATGTTCCCGTCTTAGGTCTTATGGTGTCGGGCAGAACGGCTTCTTGTAATGACGAACTACGTTTATGATTTTCCCAAAGCTTTAAATAGATCTCATCAGCGCACACAATATATTTCTCAAAAATTATAAACAAACCAAGGACGACTGGGACACACATTGACGCGAGATTTGTGCCCCATCGGCGCGTTAGACAAGTGTACCGGGTTTATAAATATAATAATATATATGTCATAGTATATTCTGTAACCTCTCGAAATGTCGCAATTACCTTGGTCATAAGGGTCTCCATCTTCATTCGGAACACCGTTGGCAATCTTCGCTTGTTGAAAGACTGTCAACACCAGAAACGTAGCAAGCAACAGCGACACCATAATTCACCTAAACAAGCGAAGAGATTTGATCAGGGCTTGCAAACGGTACCGTCCATTCCGACCCACGCGAAATTAGTCGCACGGACGAGGAGAGAAATACGAAACTTACTTAATCGCAACAGATTTAAAGGAAAACAGCTACACCATTACGAGCGTGTAAACAGTAGTGTGGACGAACACAAAGCCTGACTTGACCGATTACTGACCTAAATAAACCTTCAAGACGGATATGAACTTTAAGCGGTCATTTGCATATTTCTTCGCTGTAATGAGGCAAGCCTACCACGCCCCCAAAGCGAGTATGAATGGACTTGTGGTAATTAAAGAAATTTACCAGCCCGCTCTCCCGTTGGTAAAAAATATACATTCATTTCATCTCGTATGACAAGTCGTATTGAGCTAAGGTGTGTGAAAAACCCCCTTAGCTGTGTTCTTACGAAGGCGGACGATGATGACATAGAAAGACGAATGACTTGACAATTAAAGCTTGGTTGAAAGACACGATAGAAACAGACCTTTCAGATTTTACGAATCTCGTTCGATGGTTCGTAGATGGAGCTCAGGGGCCGGTTGTTCGAAAGGCGTTTAGCTTAAACGGTGGTTTCGCTCCGAATGTGGAAACTGCTGGAAATGACTGCTATGGGCTCAGAGAAAACGTGAAGACACAACGCCCGTGACTGGGTCGTAGCTCGCCTGCGAGGTACAACGAAACCGGCCCCCGGGGAGTCCAAGGAGAGGTAAGGCGATAAGTGGGTGGGGGGGGAGGTAACGTTGTTCTAGCAAGCACGAGCATTTCGTTTGAGAACAATTGACGAAGTAGACTATGGGCCTAAATTGGATTAACTTTATTTTAGCTAATTTTGAAGTTAATATAAATTGATATGAAGTATTACCGACGGGGGGCAGCTTCTTCAACTCCCCCCTCCGGTACTCGCTTTCCATACATGGCAAAGTATGGCGAAGGTGAAGGACAATTTGGTTGCCGAGTCTTGACGGGACGCCTCTTAGCAAGTCTTCAAACAAAGGTTTGCTAGTGCAAGAAGCATGACAAAGTGGCCGGAGAAAGCGCTTGGAACGCAAGGAAAAGCTAAGCAATATCCTCTTATATACATCAATCAAACCCAGAGAGACCCTACCCAACCGTGACTAACCCTGTCTTCGACCTGTGGTGTGCAGAGGGTAGGTAGAAAAACCAGCAATCCGGATTCGTCACCCGCGACCTAATCAACACATAAGATCAGCTGTCTTCGGGCAACCATGGGATGCCAATTTACTTGAATAAAGCGAAAAATCTAAGTCATTCTTATAGCTCCCGACTTTTCCCACCTAAAAAACACGTTCGAAGCGCTGGTGAAATTTCTGTTTACTTAAATGCTTTCCTGAAAAAAATGGGAGTGTTCGTGTGAACACGAGATGGCTCTCATCATCTTCAGAGTTATCGTAATGTCCCGATTTGTGTACAGAGCAAACAGCTTAGAACCTTTATGGGTTAAACAAACAATGCGAAAGATAAACATTGTAAGTGAAGAAAAGGAGAATGCAGTTCCGGATACGGTGGACGTGTAAATGAACAGACAATATACAAGTGAACGCTGTGGGTAGAAATCGGATACAGGGGATCAGACAAATTGGCTGGGCTACGCGCCAAATACGAAGGCGGTAACCTGCATATTGTTCGCTTCTTTTCAGCTTTCGCAAACATTTTAATTACTTTGGATAATGTTCTAATTTACTGAGGACTGATGGCGTATCAAACGCGCGGCGATCCGAGGGATCAATGAATCTCAGGAAAAAACGCTGGGTCTATGATAGATCATTCCTATCCCATTTCAGAGATATTTACGCTCCTCAGGGACACCGCAATCTTTAGATTGTGAAAAGTTGGCAGCGCTCTTGTTGAGAGATGGGACCACTGGCCTTTTTTATGCGCAAACGTATATGTAACCTATATGTAGAAAACCTATATGTGATTGGCTTTTTTCGCATAACTGCTTTTAAATTTACTCTGTGCAAAAACACACGCGTCTTTAATGACATTCTTCTAAATTTCAGACAAAGGTTCTCGGCTCGAAGAGTCAAACTCTTTGCCATATTTTTTCGTGAGGCAGGCAATCTAATCGCACAGTTTATCTTTATATGAATAGCTTAACTCCTTGCTGCTCCCTGATGGCGCTACCTACGCTGAGAGCTATCAGTTTCCCAGAAGATTATGCTATAAAAAAGTTATGAACATCGGCTGAAGAACAAACTAGACTCGGCAGAAATACAAAGAAACGATGGCTTATAAACAAATTATTCTACAAATGGCAATGCTATTTTAAACAACCAATCGGTACACAACTGCTGCGAGAGTAAATATAGTCACAGAACAATTCATTAAAAGTCAAGCCTTTTTTAAAGAAAGAGTTGACAACTGATCTAGAACTGTATAGAACTATTTTTCTAGATCTGTGAAGTTTTATCTGTGATTGTCACGATCCGGTCAGGCGAGAAGTAGAGCAGTAATATGGATGGATATTCTTAACTATCTTAGATTCGATGACAGGTAGCTTACAATTATTCTAGAACAGGCTTATCAGAAACGAGACAGCGTGAACTATAGTCTATATAGTTTAAGGTAGATAAGAGTAAAGAAGAGGTTTATGAGAGTTGGTAATGTAAACAGTAGTAAAGATAGCACTATATTGGCATTTGTTTTGACTGTCCTGATGACTGAAAGATAGTAGAAAGGTTTAATCAAAATGCCAACAGACATTATGTTAACTGTTTTTCTGAGTGTTTGTGCATTTAGTTCCAAAATAACTCGGGAGCAAGCAACCGTTACCTTTGCGAAGAGAACCAGGAAATCATGAAATAATTTTGAGGTATTAAAACAAATAAACAACACCATCCTGGAAGGGCATGCAATAGTGATTCCGACGGTAGCCCATGTTTGTTTCATTCCATAAACACTTGATTTAATACCTCAAAAGTCAAAATCATTTCACGCTTTGCTTAATCTCGGGTGACCGAGTACATGCATGCAAGCAGCCTGTTGCTCCTATAGTATCTAAATCTGGACACTCAAGACGTGTGATCTTTTTATGGACAATGATTCAGTTCTCGATTATGGCTTCGTGTTTGTTTTTGTTAATTTATCGCAAACGAATAGCATTAAAAAACAGGAAAGGCACGTTCGATGGCACTCATTTCAAATGTAGGCGGACGGATGTTTTTTTAAGGTGCTATAATGTTTGCTAGTGAGTCACCCCTGCCGCTGAAGCAAAATCTTCAAAACTCTTTAAGGAAAACAATCGCTAAATATATCGGCTTAGAAGATTTACACGAACAGAAACGTGAGAAACAGACCAGGTGACTGAGAGTCGAGTGCAAACAAGCCAGTTATGAACGGTATAGACACGCACGTCTGTCAGACTGTCTGCGGTGATGACACACCGATGAGTAGCTAAGTTATGGATTATATGATTCAGTGCACAAACTTTTTTTTATCGAATAAAATTAAATGTAGGTAATAGGTTAAGAGTGCAAAGGAATGAATATTGAATCGTATTCTTCTGTTTGTTCGTTTCCCCAGTGATTCTAGAATTGATTTATTTGGGATGAGGTATGAATGAAGAATCCTTGCTGGCGTTCGGTGGTAGTTGGAACGGAAAGATAAAACCTTTTGCTTCGCCTCCTTCAAGAAATGAACTACGGATTTGTGGGATCCTGATCATGACCAGGAATCAGTCATAAAACGCATGCCTCCATGCATGGAACAAAACTGACCCCTTCTCCAAGGTTGATGTAACTTATCCCCGTTTCACTTAAGTGCCCAACACACACTAATGCAAGAACCCATAGTGTCCCCTTGCAACCGTTGCCCCTAAGCTAACGCACCCCATTTCCATCCAAATTTCATCCATTTCCATCCAAACACTCAGTCAAAACCAACACCCATATCATCCAACAAACATCTGTCCCAAAAACAACAGCTATCGGAAACCGTCAGCACTATTTCTGCACAGGCATGGACGCACTTAAATATATTGCTCACGCTCTCAAAATAAACGGATGTAGGCTGGCTGTGGATAAAGAAATCTCAAATAGGCCGCTACTTAAGAACAGAATCTTATAATATACAAACAATATACAAATAATGAACAATAGTTGCGTTTATGTTAACATAAAGCCTTGCAGGTCAGTAGATCTTTTCATATCGGAGGTCCAACTGCGGTAATTTCAAGTTAGCTATTATGACCGTATCTGTTGCATTGTAAATCTCGCTGGCATTGTACAAGTCGCGTATCAAGGCCAATTCCCACGGGTGATAGATTCCCGCTGCGATTTTCTGCTTTTGAGTGATGCGAAGGAGTGAATTCGTGTAATGCGCGGCATGTTTGTAAGTGCATCATCAGAGCATTTGTAAATTATCCGCTTCTTCACATTCATAAAAAACCCGAAGTGGTGGCGCCTAAATTGCGAGAGAATCGTCCGTGTGAACTCGCCTTAAGTCATCATCAAACGTGTACTTACATTGGAACACCCTGTTGCCTGTCAACACTTTAGAAATTACAAAATTCGTCTTTCTCAGCCAAAGGAACTGTTGCGCTTTGCGAACGCGAAGATTTCCCAATAAGAATCTCTAAAAATAGAGAAACTTTATTATATAGTCTGGATTTATATCCCTGCGACTCCAACACCGGATGCCTTTTGTGCGTTTTGTACACCAAATTTGAATAAGACAACACAAAGTTTATACACGCTTGACAAGGTTATGAAATTAATAAATTTTAGCAGAATAGATGGGAGGATCTAGGTTATAAATCATGTTTGTTTAGACACGAAGCACGGGTTTTTTGTGGGTATTGTTAATTTCCAGTTTATAAATGTGAACATTTAAAACATGTTCGCGCTCTGCAGGTCGTTTAGGTTCATCAAAGGAAGGCCAAATGCCGAAAGGCTATCATCACTACAGAATTGTAAAAGCATTGTGCGTTTACTAAACTTAGCTCAAACGATACCTGAACTAATTAAAGTTAGCAGGCGGGAGTTTAAACTAAGCCTTTATGGGAGTTTCATAACTTTCCCTGTGAAACGATAACAAAAGTTGACCAATTACGTGATGTCATGGCGATTCATCTTAAAATGAAATCAACCCGCATTCAAAATTTTTACCACCTCGAGAGTTGTGATGGGAATTAAAACTCTGAACTCCGTTGTCGAGGTTTTAAGTCAAGATATAAAGCTTGACTTTACTTTTAAAAGCTGAGCTTTCAGGAATAAGAAGCTATACGAAATGTCAATTGATAATACAACTGAACCTTCATCGCGGATGGCAACATCTTCATCGCAATGTCGGCCGGTGTTGTTGACAAAATATTTTTCCTGACCTTCACAAGTCTTAAGGAAGTGCATCGCTGACTATAGACCTCACACAACTTTACTTAAAAACGTCAAAACTTAAAAAGCTAAGCACTTTACGGGAATTAAATTTATTATTTTAAAGCTTACGCGTTAATTCTTGTCCTGTCTATACGATTTAATTTACAAGCTCGTCTGAAGTTTAAATGGATGAAGTTTACATCATGAATTCATGTTATGAGATTTGATTCCACAGTTTTTAACTAACTTAGCATTTCCTTTCGTCAAACCTGCTAGGATAGAGCTATGAAAGATTTTCTAGAAATGCTTGATATGGCTAAAACAGTGCTGATATCGAAAGGGCTGAGCTATTTCACTCTGCCTTTAAAACCCCGCTTCAGAACGTAGGATTTATCAAATGTAAACACAGAAAAGATACTCACAAGTCAGCTACAATGCCAGTGTTAAGTCCAGGATTTCAAAGCAATTCGCCAAAATTACTGGTATTTTTTAATGCAGTTGTTTAAAATGGCAGCAAACAATCGTGAAAATGTATTAACTACCAAATTCTCTTGATGATGTTCTCCGGACACATGCTGTATAACCACGCGTGCATATTTTTCATGCCATATTAATTCCCATTTGGGACTAATATCTGCCATTCAAAAGGCAATACACAATTCATAAAAAGAATACGCCATCTTTAAAATCCAGTTCTCTTGAACGATTTCTGTCTTTGAGTATTATTGAATTTACAGACACGCAGTAGCAATTATTACTCCGGCGTCAGCGACGGAGTTGAAAATTCGCCTCGGTTTTGTTTTGTTTTTTTATTTTTTTTTTATTTTTTTTTTTATTATTTTTCGTCGTCGCAAGTCTGTAATGGCGCGAAACATTCTAGTATTTAAAATGTGTATGTGATTGGATTTATCTATGTCCCAGTCTTGTCTCCTAAGAGTTGTGGTGCACAGCTTTGGCTAATTTTCCGATGCGCGATTCGATTTCGCTCGCACAATACGGCAATTCCTCCAAGAGGAACAAATAAACCGTTCTTTTCATGCTTTTCGATTAAGTTTAGACTGAATTGGGGTAAGAATATATTTAATACATGTAGATTCTGGTCCTATTTTAGTAATATCGCTGCTATTTCGCCGTTTAACAAGATGATGTGGTCGTGTATGGGCGCTTTGACTCGTCGTAGTTTGCACAGGATTGAAGATATAATATATATAAGCGCGAATGCCAAAAGCAAAGTGTAAGACAAAGCGAATGTATCATGCGGTTTATTTACATTTTTGAACAATTGAACTTCTATACTTTTTAAAGTACGATGTGCTTCTGAATTTCGCGATGGAACATTTAGGTTCGCAAGGCGTCTAAATGCGAATATGAACTGCATTGTTTATGTTCAGAAGCTCTATATTGAAGACTGGCACGTGCGCCGGAGTTAACGCCAGAACAGGCGTCTTGTTCCGTTGAAAAATACGATTAACAAAATAATTTGCCACTTCCTTCTTTATTATAAATTAAGAAACCAAATTTATTTTACCATAATAAACTATAGTTCAAAAGTACGTACCAGTAAATATTTGTAGCACAAATTGCAAATTTTATTGCCCAGAATTTGTCGAACTACAGTTAAACCAAAGAACACTCACCCTTATATATTACAGTATGTACTGTTCCTAAATAGTTCTAAAAGCCAGAATTAAATTGATTCTTCTACTTCTCCTCTGTTTTAGAGAATGGAGACAAACAAAAACGTCTTAAAAACGCACAATTTCTGTTGTGTTTCATTCCACTGCAGAACAAATCCTTTTCCATGTGCACTTGAATACAAGAATATAATCGCAAATCTAATCCCTTGAACCTTAATCTCCACAAATCCCAAATCTATTTGGGAAATTAACCTGACCCCAAGATTTGCATATCAGACAAAGTTTACACGAAAAATAAATTTGTTTAAACTAACCAGTAAAGCAGCCGTTCGTGTCAATATTTCTCTTCCGGTAGTATTATTGTTAGTTGTTAAACATCGAGGTAAAAACCAGGAAATCAAGTCTGACATATTCATTTGAGCACACGTTTCATTACCTGACTTTAATGCGGTTTGTTAATTTGCCTTAGTTATGCAAATTTGACAGGAAATTAAAATGATTTGAGAGTTGATTACATTCCCAATAATCTTCCCTAAGACTTTTTTCAACTTTGACAATAAAGGTAAAATTTAGGGTGAAATAAAAATGGAGAAAAGGTAGATTGTGTATTAATTTAGCTAGCAATGGGTAAAACGGTACGTGAAGGTATAGAGAGATACATGATCGTGTATAGGGATACATAATGGTACCGATAGGAGAAGAAAGGTGCATGAAGATACACAAAAGTGTAAATGGGTATGGGACGGTATTCCACGGGATATAGGGGTAAAATGGTATAAAACGTATCATAAAGATACAAGGCACTGAAGGCAGGTACAGCAAGGAGTATTAAAGGTACAAAACCTACAGATAGACGTATGATAGACATAGGATGATATAGAAAGGTATTAAAGTAGGATTATTGGTGGAAATAATGATAAATCAGTAATAAAAACAAGGCCATTCATGACCCATTAATTGCGTAACATAAATACATGACCAATTCATATTACTGTATAAGGACAGCTATGTCTTCATATTAATTAGGTCCTATGTGGTCCTATTCAGATATTATTCCAGTCAATGTTTGTTCCACATTAGAAAACAATACCTTCAGTAAAACGGCCTGTTCTGTCTCTCTTGCGTGCGCGGAATTAACACCGTTTACATGAAATAATATTTCCTATGTTTTCCTGTAATTTAAACGTAAACACGAAATAATATAAGAAAACAAACTAGGCTTACCTCTCGAATTACTCCAATCGCTTAATATAGAAATTCCCAAAGAGATGGAGCATTTATAGCCACGAAAGAGGTCGTTAATTATGGCAATGATACATCTAACTTAGAATAGCATGGGAAATTTTTGAAAAAAATTGTTTGGACGGAACTGTGAGGTCTAAGATTACGACAAATTACTACCAATCTTTTTTTACCTCAAGGAGGATGATGCGTGAAGAGATGTGCGTATTGACATAGTGCTGTAATAAAAATATTTAGTCGTTGCTAAAACCCTAATCTCATTAGCAACAACACGAAATCTTAGCGCTCAAGGAGAATCTATATCGGAGTTGAAAAGTATTTCCCATTCTCATTGGATGGTATGACCAAACTGGTAAATTCGATTGCATTTTTCACCGATGAAAAAAAAGGTGAATATCACACCCTTCCCCATAATAGACTAGACAACAATACCTCTTCTATTATAAGAGTTTCATTCTTATAATCTAATTTATATTTTATATTAAAATGTATACGTTTGTCTATTTACAGCGATTGTTTGCGTTAAAAGGCATATGTTTATATTCCGTGAATGGTGTCGATTTCAATTTTCTTCAGGCCTTTGCAAAACATCAGCAATTTAGATTCGAGATCTTTTCAGAATCGAAGACAGGATGGTTGAAAATCGACCTCTCTTTCTGTGAACATATTGGATATCAATAGATAACGAAGAATCTCCATTGAATATTCCAATTACGTTTAGCGTATGAGAATGGCGAAATTTGATTCCAACTCGATCTTTTCATACCAAACTATTTCATATCAAATGCACATTCAGGAAACTCAGTCAGACCGGCACCATTTAAACGTTCTCAATAGAAAATTTGAACTCGTCGTCTGGATATTATTCGAGGGAATATACCAACGGTTAAGGACAGGAACGGGGGGGGGTTGAGGTGGGTGTTGGTAGATGTAAAAGAGGTGGGGTGGGAGTAACATCGTTTAACGAAGAATGGTGATTTCGGGAGGACTTGGGAGAGATTGGCTTTTTTGGAACAAACGTCGATCGGGAAAGGCCATTAATGGCCATTAACGTTCATCCTGAGTAGCTTACGATGTGATGACAGGAATTCTAGATAATCCCACTAGTCTAAGGGCCTTTACTTGGAAATCCTATATCCACGGCATTATAAACATGGAATGGTTTATGGCAGGCTAAGCGTGCACTTAGCGTGTCCTAGTAACCAGAACGAGATTTTGAGGGTATTGACTTATGGCTCGATAGAGCACACACAGAATGTAATACCACAGCTAGACAAAACCATCATCTTCCAGATCACATTCATCAATCCTTGAATGTTGTGTATTTCTAAAATGACTTGTATCTAGAGCGTTTTGTGATCCAAGCGCGATCATGTACGACTCTGGCCGTTTTTGCGCCGGCAAAGTCGCGTTTTTCTGGGGGGGTCGCTCGTCCTCAACCTTCTCCGCAAGGTCTGAAGAATCGTCAGGGTCGTACCCATCTGATTTCACCCTCCGTCTCGAGGTCATGTCAGGCAAGGTTTTTGTAGAATTGTCAAGCTCTGTTTCATCAAGGGATATGTAGGACACAAATGATGACCTTTGACACAGTTTTAAGGTTTTATGTTTGGGACTGCTCTCGTTTTTTTTCTTCGCCATATTTAGCGCTGTGTCACTCGCGTACTTTGGCGAAGTCGCTTTGCGCTCGGGGTCAAGTCCAATGCGGGGTTCGCAAGACGTCGCGAACTCCCGTACCAAGTCGTAGCCGGTCGTGGACGCACCGCACTCCGGGGAGCGTTGCTCTTGCAAAAGTTCGCTTGGTGTTCGTTTAATTTGATTGACAGAATCTTTCACCTCCGCCGTGTCACGTGCGAAGGTTGCGCTGGAGATCACAATATATATATAGACCACCTCCATTCTCACCTCTATATCATGAGCTGATGGGTCTTTGACGTGATCTAGAAATGATATGAATATCATTTATACCTTCGATTATATATTACTAATATAATATATATATAATATATATATATAATATATATATATATATATATATATATATATATATATATATATATAATAATATATACTTTATATTAAATCTTTTATATTAATTCGGTCTATCCAGTGCGTACTGTAAGATAAAGGTCAGGGGTAAAATTTGATCTTATTATGCCCACTGGATAGCTCAAAATCCAAATTCGAAAAAGTGTGGGTCTAGTAATAATGTATGTCACACATATGCATAGGTTTAAAGGAAAGATCGAAGAACTCACTCATAATCATGTTCTCTTTCTTAGTGCAAGCGTCATACGCATTCTCAGCTTCGCCAAGACGAGCCTGTAAAAAGAAAAACGAGTTCGCGAGAGTGAACTTTATATAGCCTGGAACAATAACTGAGGGTTAGGCCTCCGAAAGTAGTAGTTATTTTTACCGCACAAATATATACAAAATTTACGAGTTTGGAAAGGCTGCCTTCCAATTATCCAATAATGCCTAACGAAACTTTGCAGTTTCACTTACGATTTGGAGTTTCATTTATTACTTGGATTTCATTTTTCTGCTAAAATCAATATTTACTCCATAGTCTGAATGATCCATCAAAACGAAGTGCTTACCTTCAATGCAAACAGCTTCGTTGACAACCTTATACGACGAATGGCGTCTTTGTACACCACGACGAGCCTGGAAAATGAGAAATTTCACATTAGATTTCGAAGCTATTTTTCAATACTGCTGGCATTCATATTCAATACTGCACACTTGGGCATCAATACTGCATAAAGCGTGCAATAATGCACAGTGAAATAGCCCCTGAATTATCAAAACGTCCCATTACGACCACAAACGCCCGCTCTGGGTCACTTAAATAAACAATATACACACTAACCTCACGGTCAGACCAGCGTTTTTCACCTTTTCCACAATCATTTGGTGAGATTCATCTTCCACGGTCACATTTTCCACTTCAATAATAACATCTCCTGCAAGCAGTTGCAAAAATTTCAATAATAACATCCCTTGGATGAAGTTGCAAAAATTTCAATAAATAACATCTCCTGGAAGCAGTTAGGAAGTTGGACCAGTTGTATAAAAGACTAGTTAACTTTTAACTGTGGTTGGGGACAGGCTCGGCCAATCAGAGTCGTGTATATCTGAGTTAACTAGAATTTAACTATGCAAAATGGAGTTAAAGAGTTTTATAGAATAGGCTCCTGGAAGCAGAAAATTACAACTCTGATGTGTAAGGATAAACTTGAATAAAAAATGATTGTTTTCTTCGAGGATATTTTGTTCTAGATAATTATTATATTCATCACGTCTAATATTCATCATGATTGTGGGATAGTAACTACAGATAGTTGTTGTCGCGTATTCTTTTACCTGGTCTCATTCCGGCGAGATACGCCGGGCCATCTTCAGAAACATTTGAAATAAACGTCATTGAGTCGCTGTAAGCACCTGTCTGTATAATTGTATTCGTCTAGATAAAACGGGATGAATGGAGCAGTGTGAATAAGTTAAAATGCGAATCAATTTGATCTTTTTACTGGGTTGATATCGTTGAATGGGGCACAAAAAACCGCTTCAACCATCTGACATAAACTAACTAGGCGTGAGCAGGGCCGAAACAAGAACCATAATTGGGAGGGTGTTTATTCATATATTCAGTTCTTCCAGACGGATTTCTTTTGGAAGAATACCCGTCAGGCAGAATTAAATATATGAATAACCCCTCCCCACCCCAAAATATCGTTCTAGTTTCGGTCCTGGGCGTGAGTTACAACTTGTTCTAGGAATAATCGCTGTACTGAGTACTGACAACCTAACCTCTACTCTATCACACGAGTTTGCATGAATTCCGGTGGAAAGTGTAATGGTACATACTTGTAGTACAAATCCAAATCCCTCATTTTCTTCTCTCGTCATTTGCAACGTTCGCCTCTGGTGTAGCGGCGGAGGGATTTCGTGGCTGCAGAAATAATTATCAAACATGATTCTATGTTCCAGTCTAATGCAATATGACATACGATACCATACGATACGATACGATACGATACGATACGATACCATACCATGTATATTACTTTTTATTTATTGTTTGTTGTGTTTACATTTACCCAAACTTCATTACCTTGCCAGAGGTTTGAACTGCGCTTGAGTTACACTGTTTCTGATTGGTTCACCATAACAACCGTTCTCGGAGAACTCCCGTAAAAGGTCGGTGGTCGTCGTTGGTATATCAATTTTGGCCCTGAAAAACATTAAAGCATTATTCAGACTCAGTCCAGTCTGGTTAAAGATTGACAAAATTAATTCTCTGTTATGACTAACTTCCAAAGATGAAGGACGTGTTCATAAAAGTAGTGAACTGACTGACCCGTTTACACTACACTCAATTCATTACGACAGTCTGGCCAAAATAAGAACCCGTACCAATTTCATCCGTGCTCGGCCGTGTATTGGTAGCCTGGATAATTTCAGCTATGCCGTTCCGATAAATTGAGTGTAGTGTAAACGGGTCTCACAGCAGACACATTTACAAGCACCGTGGTTTGCTAATTCAGGATTCTCCGCCGTAAAAACTAAACCAGTTGACGGACGGTTGGAGCAAGTCACACGCAGTACGCGAAAAAGCTGGGAACGAGGATAGACTCAAGTCAAGAAAGTCAAGATGGATTCAAGTAATGGTTCTCACCTGTCTCCATTTGGAAGCTTGCTTGTGTTTTCCGGCGATGATTTCACAGCTGTAACGATAAAAACACATTTTACAAAATAGTTCACACATTTAACGGCAGCTAAAACATTTTCAGTGAGGTCGGATTTCTAAATTTGTTTAATACGAAGCTTAATCATTTGGTTTTTCAAAAAGGTAGGTAGAAGTCAGTGGTCGAAATTCACATGTTCTGTCTCAAACCACTGTCGTCAGCTGGTCGCATTACGCCCTGCGTGGTAAGTTCTAGACACAAAACTGCTGAAATGCGTTTTCCTGTATAATATCCTCTATTTACAAGTTTCCCAGACTGGTGTTATGATTAATTTGCAAACAATGCGGAACGCGTGATGTGAAAACGGCACCGAAGAGTAATTCCCGTTATTTCCAGTTCCCACAGAGACGGCCGCAAGCACTCGAATCAATTTCCTTCACTTCCCGTTGGTAAACGGCTAATGACGTCAAACGTGACCCTTGCTCGACCGCTGGGCAAAAATGAGGTCGAATAGAGCTCAGTTGGAGACCACACACTGTGAAGCCTTCCAAAGTCGGTTCTTTTAAATAAAGTGTTTATTGTTTCAACACAGTTTTAATGAAAATTTTTGGCTTCGTTTCGAATTGAAATGTGCCCTCCCTCGTTCTACTCTTAGCCAACCAACACATGCAGGCATCTGTGTGACTGTGTCGACGTGCAATGTTGGGTAAACTGAATGGGCTAGATTTAGCTTGGCTGAATACCACACATGATCGATAAAATTTCTAGAAAGCTGATTAGGTCGACGTTTTAAGTCAACTTTCTTGAATGTGGGTCTTCAAATGAAACTTGCGACACAAAATTACTTTAAATATAAAATCATTTGCAATGAATTTGAAATGTCAAGCATTAGCCCTAAGTATTTGCAAATGTTAGAAATAAATATTCAACCGCATTTGGCAGTCGGTTGTCAACATCTTGGACTCACTAGTATTAGTTCCTAAATAAATTTACCGTCTAAAGTTTAGGCTTTTGCAACTAGAAATGGGAAGAAATTATAGTAAAGAGTCTCAGCAAAGAAAATTCAACATGATGTTCAAACGAGAACACAGATGTTGTGAAAATTTTGGGTGGTTGTTGATGGTGACTTATGATGGTTCGTTTACTTAATTTTTAATTGGGTTTAGTAGAGCACTTTAATTAAAAAAACGCGGGACTCTGTCAAACCACAGTTAATAACACGCGATGACATGCTAAAGATTGATGTAAGCGTTGTGTTGTGAAGTAATTCGAATCAGTATATGGGAATGCGGAACAAAACGTCCCCCTATTTATGGCTAACTTCATTATAAGCAAAGATGAGTATACTACTAAATGAAACGATTACGTGAAAAATATATTTATAAAGGTGAATTAATATTGTGATGATGCTGCTCTGAATATGAATCATGAAGGCAAGCAAAATTATCTTGCCCACGGTGATAATCGAACCCGCGACCTTTCGTTTGCTACACCAACGCCCAACTAACTTATCCATTTTTTAAAATCACTTTTTATTACGATTAAACAAAATCCACAAACACAACACTTGAAATTCATTCAAATTTCACTAACCTTGTGAAAGAGTTTAACTACTTAAGCACTAACCATGACAGTTGTATAAAAACAAACAAATTGGTATTTTAACGGGAAAAAAATGTACTTCCATTAAACTGAGTATATATGCTGTATATATAGAATGTGTATTTTAGTCTAATTTCTTTTTATATAAAAATACAGCGCTGTTCAACAGTTCAATAATACAATATCGTAAGATATTCTGTTAGCTTAATTCAAATGTACTGATAAAAACCTGGGTATAACGACTTAAAGTTTTGGAGAAAAAATACCTCTTAAACTAATCATTATGTTTTACACATTAACCCAAGCAGTGGTGACATTATTTAATATACTATGCTGTAATATGGGAACTACAAAACGCCTAAACATACATATACAGAGACTGATGTGGGAGGAAAAATCACAAGGATCAAATAGCCTAATTATGAAGATTTATATATACAGTTTACCGTATCTGAGAGATCCTGACCTTAGGTATTTAACACATATACTAATGACCCTTCAGGATTCTTAGAGATTATAAAAAAATTGATAATTAAAATATCGATTTTAATATCAGTTATTTCGCTGTGGGATGGGTCATGTTCATTGCAGGGTGTCTGACCGAACTTATGAGATTCCCACGCGTCTAACAGTTAGTCACGTCATGGGCAAAACAACATGACCGAGGTGTGGTAAAAAATCAAAAAATTCGATTTCAAAAGTGTCTACAGGTTTACTATAAGTTGCTGTGAAGTTGCTGAGATTCACTAAGGTTATTCATTTTCTTCAAAAGATTGAAAGAAATCCGCATTTTCAATGGATGTAATAATTCGCTTTTACAGTTTCGAGGCTTTGAAAAAATGAAAAAATGAGTTCTGATACACCAGTAAATTGTATGGATTCACTGCTTGTTTAACTTGTTTAACTCCATGTAACTTAGGAGGATCTTACTTGGAAATTTAAACAACATAAACAAGATATAAAACTTATCAAATTGTTAAACAAATGGCACATGCATCCGTTTCAAAAAAGGATACTTTTAAGAGTTTCAAAATGTCAAATATGTTGTATGCTTTTCGGTCTTTTTACGAACTTCATGCATATAAGCCATAGTCATAGACATATTTCACATCTCTGCTCCGATTTTTATCTCGTCAGCAGTTACAGTAAAAAAACACAGCGAACTATACAGATGTACACGGATGCAGAGATTTCAATTTAACATTTAAAATGTTGTACATTTTACTGAGAAAACACATCGCAGCTCTTCAGGATATAGGTTTCCGCATTTCCATTAAACGTTTCGGTAAATGTTTTGGCCGGCAACCAACTTTATAATAGACTGTGAAAATCATCATGCAAGAGACGTGTGATTTGCGCTAAGTTGAAATCTCAGATAAATAACTCCTCTCTGATAAAGATCATTTTACGAAGAGAAACCCCATTAAGGTATTAACATCAGAAGCCGAAGAACTGTCATCTTCATTCAAGACAAAATCAAGAGCAGTATTCCTAAGGTGCCTATTTTGTGGGTAGCGCACGGGCCTGCATCCAATTTTCCTAATATTTTTCGTGTGCTAACCATATCCTACAATACCTCACTGTTTTAAATAAACTAGTGACTTTTAGTTTCACTGCAAACCACATTCGAGATATAAACTTAAAACTTGCATGTTTACATTGGCAAAGTTATTTTGCTGAAACTTCGACGGTATTAAGTTTCATAGAAAAAGTTTAATTGCGCCTGACAACAACATTCACATCTGTTGCAAAGTGCATCGAAAATCACGCAACTTTGGCTAAACGAATGCCAAGTGCGATGAATAAACAGCGTGTTTATTTAACCGAAGATCGTTTAGATGTGAATAATCTACATCGTTTATCAATAGATTCCATATAATGCTTTGACACGAGCATTGAGCCATTTGATACCTATCGCATATGCAAACACGAAAGTCGAAACGTGACATCTTCCAAGACTCTGCCTGTTGGAAATTATTAAATTAATTTCGCATATGTCTTGTTGACACGCAAGGTACATTAAAGCCCCTTCAATCGTTTGAATTTTATAGAAATATCACGGGGTAAATATTGAATGCTTGACAGACAGAGCATTTTATAAACGCGAGCGAAAGACTCAGAGGAAACCCCTCAGGTATGACTTCGCGTTTTTGCAAACACATGTTATAAACTTGCGCTAAACTGCTTGGAACAAAACTCAGAATCTTCGAAGTGACATTTTAGTGACTCTGTCGACATATCATCGTTAGCAAATGTGCATAGGTTATCAATGGCTTTTAAACTTACAGCCAGTGCTCAGAAATGCGTTTAACGGGTAGATGAGTTGATTAAACTGCACAAAAACAAACATAGGCCATATGTATGTGTGTGTTAGTTAGAACGATCTACCGGTGTCACGAGGTTTTTCCCAAATAATTTAAAGCATTACAAACCTTTTGTGTCTTTCTCTGTGAGCTTTTCTTTCGAAGAATGTAGTCCGCCGATCTTTCTGTAACAGGAAAAGAGATTGCAGATTTTGAGCGTGTTTGAAATCCAAGTCATCGCGTCGAGTGTAGAGCCGTGTACGCTCGCGTGGCCCTTATGCGGTGCAGTATCAACTATGAACACAGTTTAGAGTGCGTAAGCCGCTTTTCCGGATTCATAACATGACCGCTTAAGAAAACTAGTGAGGTTTTGTATAGCACTCTGGTTCTGAAATGCAAGCAATGGGTAGAAACCGCAATTATGATTAAGGTGATTTAATCGATTTCCTGTTTTTGTCGCCGATGGGGGCGATGGTAAAACTGTAGTCATGCTTTGGAGTTTTGGAGTCTGGAAACTGTGTTGTTGGTTGCAGGACCGTTTTGGGCGTAATTTGGAGGAATTGTGCAACGTATTAGTATGGTAAGATTTTGGAAAAGTCTGTGTGGTTTTGGAAACACACTGGTAAGGTATTGGTTATGGAAGTTTTTTGGTAAGGGTATATTGGCATGGCAGCCAAGGCCGAAGTGGCGTGGCTAAGCATCGCAATTTTTTGGTTAGTTACAGGGTAAAGGTATGGTCACACAGTGACCAAATCTGGTGAGGATTGGTCGGGAAGTCATTGGTTAGCTATCAGTAAGATCAGGCGTATATTGGTAACGTATTGGAAGGATCAGGTGTTGGATGATAACTGCAAGGAAAGGTTTTTGATAGCGAAGATATGGCTTTGGTAAGACAAGGCATTAGTGAATTAAGATAATGTTAGGCTCACAACGTTAATTCGTAAGATATTGGCAGAGTGTTACTGCCTTAGGTATTGAATAAGTTTGGTAAAGTATGGTGTCAGTCAGGAAGGAAATAGATTGATAAGGTATTATTACTGTATCATATTAGAAAGATGTTGGTAAGAAAAAGTTAAAGTAAGGATACTAAGGTCTTCATAAGGTATTTTATCAAAACTGTAACTAAAGGAAAATCTATATAATTATGTCGGCTTTGGTAAGTTAGAATATAATTAGGTGGGCCGTAATAGCCCGTGAATATAATCGACTGATACTTTAAAGAAAGACCTTAGATCATTGAGATTAACACAATATTCAAGGAATCCATGTAATGCATTGTTTAAAAGATGTCACGGTGTGAGAATTGTGTGCATTGTTTCTTAAGGAAAAAGGACGCGACGGGTAAAAGTACAATGAACTAAGTGGGTTCTGTTAATCCTATAAGAAAACTTGTACAAAGCCAAGTATTTTCGGTCATAAGCACTTTGATCCGGGAGCAGAAAGAAATATGTACTGACAAGCCTTGTTAAATCCTCTAATGACAAACAATATTTCAAAAAAAAGCTCCAGAAATGGCTCGCGGGTTTGATTGGATTTTAGTCTCAGTTAAGGCTAGGAAGAGAGCCCAGGTGAATCAGAGTGCGGGTTATATCACATCCGCGAAGATGTCACCGGATTGTTAAGAGACCAAATAATTGTAGAAGACCCTCCCATATTCTGAGGTCGGCAAACAATCTTCTATCATCTGTTCGGTCGTCACTCCAGTTTGTATCACTTCACACAACGATCACAGCAACAAAATATTTAGGAATTGAGTTAACGACTTGCCACAAGACCGCAGTCAAAAAGTGATTTAAAAGACTGTGGTATAATGTTACCAAGTGTCAATGGCTGACTTGAACACATTAAATACTTGTTACTAACTTACTGTGATAAGGCAATTAAGTGGTGTGGAAAGTGCAGAGGAAACGGGGAGGGAAACTGCATCGTTACGAGCACAAATATAGGCTGTTGTTGGAAGATAAATGATTTCTCCCGGACGTGAATGACAAACACAAGTGCATTACTTGTCATTTGTGTGAGATATACGGAGATGAAGTTTAATGTAAAATTCCGCCGCCACTGGCCCACCATGCACGTTAGAGCTTTTTTTTAAGGTAATTCAGACACCAATCACGACAGCTTAATTGTAGAATACTAACTACACTGGACCACCGTAGTGGTTTGTGTCTGAACTACCTGAAAAAGATATCTCAAACATGTTGGTCCAGGTAGTCTTCTGCAATAAGCTGTCGTGGTTTGTGTCTGAACTATCTGAAAAGATATCTCAAACGTAGTGGTCCAGTGTAGGTAGTATTCTACAATAAGCTGTCGTGGTTTGTGTCTGAACTACCTGAGAAAGATATCTCAATCGTAGTGGTCCAGTGTAGGTAGTATTCTAATAAGCTGTCGTGGTTTGTTTCTCAGTGAACTACCCGAAAAAGATATCTCAACTGTGCTAGTCATTCATGGTTTGTGTCTAAACTACTTGAAGAAGATATCTTAAACGTTGAAAATTAATTAATCAACGTAATCGCCGTAGGCCAATACGTTCAATAATTACCAAGATCTTGCAACATCATTCTCACATACTTAAGACTGAATCCTGTTCCCCCCTCCCAAATAAACTTCTTTTCACAGATATTAAACTTGAATGGTGTTTTCGTCCTCAAACACGTCAACTCGCAAAAATAGACGTGATGTTAAAGGTTCTGGAAAATGCGGGGATTTTTATCCTGCGTCTGTAGTTTAGTCATGGGTCAAACTTAGTCCTGTTCCCACGTTAGAGTTCTCGTTTGTTTACCAATCCGGGAAAACAGCTTTAAACAGTTCCTCACAGTCTGACAGGCAGTATTAAACCTTATCTGTGGCTGGCTTATATCACTCTGATATAATATATATAAATATATAAATAGTTTGTGATCCTGTTTTTTTGTTTTTTTTTATCTAACCCAACGCTAATGCATGTAGCTAACCTATAGCCGGGGTCATGCAGGTGTACGAATCCTGTTTAACTTAAAAAGATTGATAAGAAATAAATAAATAAATAACATTTTCACCAGATTTTTTAAACATTCAACTTTTTGCTAGACCGATCAAGGCACGCAAGCCTATAGCTGTGACTCGTAATGGAATGGAATAAACTTTCACCAAATCCTTGCTAAAGTCATAATCAACTTTGCTTAATCAGCAAATTCCTAATTAATCACGACAATACGAGCAATTCATGATCGCCTTACTTGGATATTTCGAAATGGTGCGAAAAAAGGTTTGTCGGTTTAAGCAATGCATTTAAGTATGTTTTTGTCAACATTAGCAAGGTTATTGTGATCGAACTTCGCCAAGATGACAGCGTGAGGCTTACTTAATGCAAAAGAACATTGTAAACCTCGGCTTTTTGGCAGAGGAAATGATTTAAAGTAGTCAAAACAAATGTCGTTGCTTCCTCATGGCTATCATACCATACATTACTGAAATATCTTTTCGACCACGAGTCGTGTTCTGTGTGAATGGTAAATTCTAGGCTAGCGATTTGCCCAAGACAAACAGACTCAAGCAGTTTTTCAGTTTTAAGCATAAACGGTTTAGTGTTGGTGTGAATCTCGTATTAGAGTGATAATACGGAAAAAATTCTAACTTACAATGAAACGGAAGGTGAAAATTATAGTAGATTAGAGTTTTCAGACAAGTCCAAACGTTCAAGGGCGAACATTATGTCTACAGCTAGTAATGCCTGATGTAAATTATTAGCTCTCTTGTTTGTTGGCGGAGCTGGGCGATTTTATGGCGATTAGTAATTAGCGCAGGTGAGATGACCCCTGGAGTGCCCTGTTGTGGTCATGAAAAGGTTGAAATTTGAGCCCGCGGTTAGCCATGAAGCACGAATTACGACGAACCATCTGGTTCATACTAAATTCCTGATAGTCTTAGCTCAACGAACGGGGCGATTTTAGGTGAAATACTCTCACGTTCTCAAACGTGGAAAAATATCTTAAATTATAAATGTTATAAGCGCGTATATGTCTTTACCCCTTATGCTTTCAAACAAGTGCAGGTGATAGTCTAGCCTCAAGACTGAAGTTTTGAAAATGTCAGATCAATCAGTAACCTAAAACTTGTAAATTTTTATCGACAAAGGCCATTAAATGAGACGAGATATTAAATATAGATAATGTCCATAACCAAGACAGAAGCTTGGCATTATCTCATAATCTTTAGTAATCGAGATTCTTAAACAAATTGATTTTAAGGTAAGATCAGGAAAGAAGTTGGAATTCAAGTAAAAAAATAAAAATAAAAAGCTCCTCGACGTTTCGACTCGAAAGCTGCCAGGAGCGCTGATAGAAAATATTAGCTAGAAACTAATTCTCCTGGAGAAGGCCTTGGGTCGAAATGTCGCGATGTTTTTTTTCATCTTTTTAATGCAAAAGATGGAGTGATATCCAAATAGACAGAATGATAAACGATTTAATGATCAGGTCTGACTGCTGCACTAATTGTGTGAAAAACATCCTTCGTGGGCGAACAAAAAATATGAAATGAAATCGGTTTTGACATTCAAAAAGAACATTGGCCGCTTGTTTTGTAAACATATTTACTCCGATAACGAGCACATTCATTGTTTTAAAACGTACGCCACAGGACGCCCCAGCGGGATTAGAAGAACCTGCTATGAATCATGATTAATGTGGCCGGAACTTTAAGACTATTGTGTTGAAACGCTTTAGTTTTAAGGTTGGTTTACTGTTGGAGTGTTAGTATCCACGTGATATATCACGATTCTCGTAGTGAGTTGTTACTGATCTATACTGAATGACTGGATTAGTGTGTCACTCTGTTGATTGTTTGAAAGTATTTTGTATTGAATTCAGAATTCAGATGAACGAAAGGGTAAATAAAAGTGAAATATATCGTCAGTTTTCCAGTTTAGTAGATCATTAGAACTTGTAAGAGGTTTTAGTATTTTGACTACTTTATATATTGTATCGACAAAATGCGAAGTTCCGATTGGAACGAAGCCACAAACAACAACTTATTGTAAAAATTTACCCATTCTTACCTTGAGGTAATGGTGTCCGTTTTCTTGCATGGTTCATCGCTACTTTGTGGCGTTATTTTCACTTCCTCACAATCATCTTCATCTAGAAAAGAATATGTTTAAATTGACAATTTTCCTATCTTCTTTACTAAACTCAGTTTGAACTTTTGATGCATTTTTCTCCAGATGTAAATAAATAACACCGAATATTTTAGCGTGCATAAATAAATGTTCAATATTCAATGTTTTCCAATCTCACGATATCCCCTGATACTTTTTAAATGCATTTAATTCAGTTTACCTTCAGAGGAGCTCGAGGAACCGACGATAATACTGATTCCTTTTGCATGAAGTTTCCGGGAGATGTGAATGTCCCGTTTTTTCCTTCTACGAACAACCGCATCTGAATAAACAATAAATTTACACAGCGTTGCTATAAGAAGTAATCTTCACTGGACTAATTTTATTTATTCTGGATAGCTCTAGCAGTTCTAAACTGTTCTTCCTAGAGGTTCAGTAAGGATCATCTCTCTTTGATGCAGTGCTACCACAGGAAGTAACCTAAACTAAACTAACTTTATTTATACTGGATAGCTCTATCAGTTCTAAACTGTTCTTCCTAGAGGTCCAGTAAGGATCATCTCTTTTTGATCCAGTGTTACTACAGGAAAAAACCTAAACTAAACTAAACTTAATTTAAACTGGAGAGCTCTGTCAGTTCTAAACTGTTCTTCCTAGGAGGAAACCTAAACGAAACCAACAATAGCTATATACTGGATAGCTCTATTAGTTATTAACTCCTAGATTTCATGTAAGGATTTTCGTGCTATATTCTCTTGTTAGAAGTCTGTGAAAATGAATTACTTACCTGGCTTAACAACATTCGTTGATTCATCGTCAGAGACCAACTCTATCCTGGAACCACGGCTCATATCTGAGCTCTCATCCTCTTGACTGGAGTTTGAAGTTCTGCTGGATGTTGAAACATTGGAAGAGACTCTCGATCGTGGCCTGAGCGCAGCTAAACAATCCAGCGCTCGGTTGAGATCAGATATCGCATTTGAAACACTCTGTGGTTGGGGAGAGGTGGGTGACATTGAAGAATCCGAGGGCCGGGTCACGCGATGGGTGAATGCCTGATTGCCAGAGGGGGTCAACCTTGTTGGTCTGGTAGGAGTGGGGCTCCCTTGGGAGGTAGAGACGGGTGACCTCGATTGAGGGAGAGTGCAAGCACGTCTATGGTTAGAGTAAGGTTCCGGCTGTGAAGCCTGAGAACTAGTCCTGATGACGCCATCAGATGAACGTCGTGAAGACTGGGAACTAGGCGGCTTTAGGCCGTCAAAGGTGAAGGGCTCGGGCGAATTTGTAGATAGATCATCAGCAGGCGTACCGGGGGGTGAAGTCTCGTTTGACGAAACGGAAAGGCTATCAACGTAATCTTTGATGCTACACGGCTGATTTAGTTCAACAATGACACTTGACGGTACACTACCGATCAACGGATAGGTGTAGTTGTTATCCCCATTAGAATCCTTACAAGATCCCAGCCGTTCGTCTTTATCCATAAAACACCTCCAACGTCCATTGGGTAGCAGACCAAACACGGTGAACGTTTGTCCCTCAGGAATCAGGGTGTCATGTCGACCAACACACAGAAAATAATTCTTGGAAGCTGTTGCAGAAAACTCAATTCTTTTCACAGTAGCTACGAAGACAACAGAGAAACAACGGTCACAGGTAATTTTTGTTTGTTTTCTCCCATGAAAGATAATCAAGAGTCTCTGGGGTACTAACCCTCTCTTTGGGGGATCGGAAACGCCGGTCGGAAGAACGAATAGTACAAGAAAATCCCATCAGAAATTTTGAAGCTTTCTGATAGAAATTCTTTGTACCATTTGCTCCTCCGGCCGGAAATTCCGATTCCCCAAAGTAAATGGTAAGCACCCCTGATGTCTTCTATTTTGAGGAGAGATTGCACCCAAAATAATAGGCTTTATTTTTCATATAAATAAATCCATTTAAACTGTAGCCATTTCAGTGCAAGTTATTTGAAATGGGCTAATTCTGCACACAAGCTGAGCGGGACTATCCCTGAGGGAGGGAAACACGGACATGTCAAAAACTAGTGAAGATTTAAACAGAGAAAAGATAGAATTTAAACTGTGTCAACATACATTCGCTTTCATTGTCAGCGCCAAGAAAATCTCTCTCCTGGTTTTCCAGTTGAATCAGTAATTGTCTTTTTTCCTGAAGTTTTTCCTAGGAATATACAAAGTATAGTTATTATTGTTAGATAAAAACATAGTATGTTTCATTAAGCAGTATTGATCCCACCTTGAGTGCTGCAACACGGGGGTCGCAAGGCGGAGAAAAGGATGAGACGTTTTCTAGAGAAGGTAATTAAAACGGGCAGTTTTTAGTGAAAGATGCGCCGAAGATTAATGAATTTTGACTCGGAATCGAATTATTTGCGGAATCCAAAATAAATACCTCCGTCCTTTGAGTCCCGATCATTAGCGTGCGTTCTAATTGGAATTAGAATAAATTTGCGTCAACAAAAACTTTTACTGATTAACTTAAAGCTGATAAGATCATTAACAACAAACTAACTAGTTTGACCTGTAACAAACGAAAGAATCACAATCAACTAATAACCAATTTACTATTATCCAACTAAACAACTATAACAAATCACCCTCTTACAAGCTGATTGGCCAACAACCAAAGAAACACTAAATAACCCAAATGACTGACCAACCTACTGACCCAACCAACCATGATCAACTAATAACCAATTAACTATTAGCCAACTAAACCACTAACCAATCACCCTCCAACTAAACAACCAACCACTACCAAACTGATTGACCAACAACCAACCATGTACAACCAATGAAACCGACCAATCAGACAATGACCATCAAACACTAACTACAACCAACTAATGTTTTTTTTATTCAACACCAAAATGGTCAATACAAAAATGACTTACGGCTGGATACAAATTCTCTGTTGTTCGTAAATTGCCATCTTTGCATCCCGTAACTGCTTGTCTAAGATTAAAACATCCATGTTTTCGCTCATTGTACATCACGTCATATCTCACGTGCTTAAAAACTTTAACTTAAGTTAATACACAAATACTAAAATATTTCATAATTTCCTTTCAATCACAGAACTTACCATAGAAGTTCTGTTCCAAATTCAATGGTGCATAAAAAAGGAAGTGCAAAGTAAAGGTGGGTTTTTGATGAAAAGAAAAATTTCATCCTATGTTACAAGCACTAAATGGTACTCAATTGATTGAGTCAATTCTAGATGTTAATCACCGGAATTAATACAAGACTAATTTTATTATCTGTGGAAAAGAAGTTTCCACAAACTCAGTTCAGCATTGTACTTTTTCCAACACCAGATAATTCTCGCATTATGGTTAAAAATATAACACTCTACCTCATCAGCATCAGCATGGTCTATACTGGACTGCAATTTTGTCCTCCTGTAAGATATTTTTAAAAAGTTACATTATATAGCAGGTAATGCAATTTAATCATACAATACAACCAGAATACAACCATTTCCTATAATTCTCACCATCTGTAGAATGAAGACATAGTGGGTGCTTGCAAGAAATAGATGGAAAAATTTGACAATATAATCTGCAAGACATGCTTTCGTCCAATTTTTTGCTTTCTGCTCAGTTTAGGAGACTAAAAAGACAAACAATTCCTAATTCATATGCTCATTTGCCATCACTTAAAAAAAGCAATAAATTTGTTTGGCAGTTTGAGAACTGTATTCTCTTCAAACCATACAGTAAAACAGGCCGGGCATACCTTGTCTATTCCATCACAGTCTTTCAAATTTCCATTTTTCAAACTGAAGAAGGCATACTTGATTTGACTCTACAATGAAATAAAATAAAACATTTGTTCCATTATTAAACTAATTCTAATACACCACTTTACCTTTTACTTGTTGCTGCTTAATTAGTACATCTACACACAGTAAAAATGCAAGAAAGATTTTCCCCAACTCACCTCTGGTCTTGGACCAATCATTGTTGATGGTGGGAAAGCATTATTGCTTTCAGGCAAGGATGTGTCCTGAACATAGCAAATGATTTCCTGTGTCAATGTCAACAACTTAATTAGAAACAAATACAGAAGAAATGCTTTCGAACCTACCCTATAAAGACGCAGTGTTGAGCCACACAAGTCTGTCCAAAATGTCTGCCAACGTGGATGCTAATAATATTTTCACAAAGAATTTTCAACAAAATATTAAATGAATAAAATATTATATGTTATCATTGTTAAGTTTGATTACACCCCCATTTTATGGATAAAAATTGACAAATTAATGTCATTTTTGAAAAATTTTATTCAATTTACAAGTACCTTTATCTTTTTTCCTGTAACATCATTTAGTTGCAAGACATTCAGGTAACCCCACTAAAAACAGAAAAATTGTAAAGAACAAGGCAGTGAACAAAGCATTCAAGTTATGAAAAGCTTATGACAATATTTACACAATGATTCACATATACATGATTCAGAATCAGTGAGTGTTTGATTGGTGTTGGGAAAAATGCAGAAAGAAAGAGGTTTTTACGTGAATGCATGTTAAATCATCAATGTCCCCATCTTGTCCATTATCCTGCCCCATCGCATTAGCCAGTGCTGTAAAACAAAATTAACGCATTGATGTAACTGGTAAGAAATGATTATGATGCAAGAGACAAGTTACAATTGTAGTTACATACAAGGATGCTGTAAAACTGATGCATGCATATCATCAGATCTTCAATGTCCAAAATTCAGAACTAGTAAAAAATAAACATAGAATTCTACTTAATTCTAAAGTAAAGCATTAACAGATTAGGACAGACATGAACAGATATGTTAAAAGGTATCTGTACACTGAAAGTTCCTTGCTGAAAGGGCCAAAGTTCCTCTGAGGTCGCCAGCCTTCCCTTACTTAACTCAGAATGCTAATTAAGCTTTCAATATCACATATTTACTATGAAACACTGAAAACCATGACCAGCTGCCAATTTAAAAAGGAAAGTAAAAATAAAAGGGAAAGTAAAAAAAAACAAATGTCGAAAATAGATCATCTCAAGAATCAATATATGACCCAAACAAAAAGCAGGTGAAAATTGTAAATTTTCAAAAATGTTATATGTTAAAAAATTGTTTGAATCTCAAAATGACTTGTAATTTTGAAATTTGTTTTTTATGAAATATTAAGAAGTGCTATTGTGGATTTACATAATACATATTCAATATTTGCTGATATTATGTACAACATAGATAGTCAGTCTGAGCAAAAAAGGTAGTTTATCTAAAAGGTAATTTGTCCACATATAAACACTTGTAATTCAAGTATGCAAACAAGAGGGGATATCACTTGAAATATGTATATATATGTATATGCAGTTGGCACACTTCACCAGCATTTTAACTCTGTACTTCCAGATAATAAATGCTTTATTTAAAATCCTCTGGTGCCTTGGAGTATAGGCAATTCATGGGCATACACCTATTGTATCATATTGCTTATGTATCATATTGCTATTACTTCCTCCCAATGTGTCATCACCCCCTTACAGAAGTATGTACTTTTTATAAATCCATTTCACTTTCTCTTTAGTTTATTTTATTGCGTTGTGAAAATTTAGTTTGCAGAATATCGGTGTCAAAATTGATCTAAAACTTTCCTTCTATTGCATGGAAATTAAAAAAACAACGTAGACTTTTATGCAATTGCGAAATATTTAGGAGGATTGTTAAACCTTCCTTTTAAACAAATTATACAATAGTACTATATACCCGGAAGTAGCCAGCAGGCTTACATGGGTTTTATCAACTTATACAGCTAATTTATCGCCAGAAGCGACGTTGACGGATGAACAAATATACCAAGAGCTCGAATACAACTTTTATAGGCAAATATTTGCCTGTTTGATAAGCCACCTTAGCGTTGAAACGATTCCTCATTCCCAGACGAGAGTCTGACCACAGTCATAAACAAATGTTTGCCAACCTGTTGTAATTCTTCCCGATCTCCCTTTTCAAATTGCCGTCGTAAAATTATTTCATTTGATTACAAGTATTGTAATCCTGACGTTTAATTAACAAGCGCTGTTTCAACTTCGTGGCAGAACTTGCACCTACACGCTGCGTAAAAAGCGAGCAAGTTGCCATTGACCGGGCATTGTTAATTTTGCAATGTTTAAAAAAGGTTTAACAATGAAACTCCAAATATTATGACGCCAATAAAAATGGCAATTAAAACGCGCGACAAATGTCGCTTTGTTTCATTATTCAAAGCATGAAATTACCTAAATTATATAAGGGAATGTTCATGTTTCTCGCCGATATAAATGCGTGAAACACACAATATTTGGCGATGCTTATTAAAGCTGTCAAAATGCACATGTCATAGAAGGAAATATAAACATATTTAGGAAGCCTCTGCGTCGCGATATTAAACAAAATATACACGAAGTATGTGTACGAATGAGTGCGCAATAAATCTACTTACCAAAACAAGCGTTTCAGTTCAATATTCGCGTAAAAATGTCGCTGAAAAGCAGAAGTTTGAACGTCGCCATTTCAAAGCCTTGAGCAGACATGCAAAAGATTCCAGAACTGTTTTGACCAGTGGTTTTGACTCGTTTCAGGGGTAAAAAATTTCGCGACAATCGTGGACAAAAATAACCAGATATTTCAAAAAACACTGAACCAGATCCTCACTGGACCAGTAAAGTTAGTATGTTCGAAAATGTACCATTTATGTACCACAAATGTACCATAGTACATTTCAACAACCTTACCCTCATTTTGGAATCAAGCATCGCAAATTTAGCGTCAACCACAACAAATTACCGGATATTTATCGCTCAAATGCTATCACTTTTTGTGCATATTTAATTGCGATTTCCTCAATGTAAAGTAATGAACTATTCATTACAAATAAGAGACTTTCTACATATAAGAGACTTTCACAGTCGTTAATTTCTCCTGATGGTATTTTCCACCCACGACTTTAGGACGGTGAGATCAGCATACACGCCATAGGCGTTCTCTCTGGCACAACCCACACCCCAACTGACAGCTCCCATCAAATACCATATTCCCCCCTTCTGGCAGACCAGGGGGCCACCGCTATCTCCCTGGCATGCATCGATCTTGCCTTGGTCGAATCCAGCGCACCTCATCCGATCGGTTATCGTGTAACCATGATGCTGTGCGTACGTGTTTGCGCAAGTACGACGTTCGACCAGGGGGACCACGGCTTGGTATAATTTTTTGGGAAAGGATCCAGATTCGTCCAATTTACCCCAACCAGTGACATAGCAGTTGGTACCAGCGCTAAAATCCAAGCCAGAGTAAGGCAGGCAGATGGGTTTGACACGTTCAGTATAAGTGATAGGATTGCGCAGCTTGATCAAAGCGATGTCATAATCGTAGTTGCTCGAGTCATATTGCTCATGTGTGATTATTTTATCTATTTGCATTTTTTGTTCATGAGCCTCGTCAAGCCCGATTTCGTAATCACCTAAAATCAAAGAGCCGTTATCAGAACGATTATGTACCTACACAATAACTCCTTACCTAGCCTTCACGAATATAACGCAAACTTCTACCCAAAACATAACCCCTATTCCTTACACAATTAGGAGCCCTGAATGATAGTGATTAGTGAAGATAAATATAGTAAATAATTTTATACCGAAGGGTATTATTACCTTAATATAGGTTATAGATATTACACGTTACTAGGTCATTATTTCAATGATGAAACTTATAGCAAACCACGGGCGATTTTAAAGCGATTGAAAAAATCACTATCCGGTGGATAGCGCTATCCGGCTTTCACACAACCGGCCCCTAGGAAAGGCCTTTGTAGAAAACGTGTCGCATACTCACCAACAGTGAGAGTGTAATCGGCAGTGTTTTCACTCATCATGAAGCAATGAGCTGCAGTGAGGATCCAGTTTGGCGAGATGATAGATGCGCCACACCAGTGACCCTTGTTGCCCGTGTTTCCAACCCAGTCGTACGTCACTTGCCACGGCCAGTCCCCGGGGGGTGCAATGGCCCCACCGACGATACGCGAGTGTGATCTGGCTTTTACACCACACGTGGGTTGGGAGGGTTTTGTGGGTGCAGGGGTAGCTTGAGTGAAAATACATGATATAAATATAATATAATCAGGGGGGTTGTAATATGCTATTTCTCGATTAGGTAAGGGTTAGGCAGGTTAGGGTTTAGCCGGGCCCACAAGAGGGAAACTGGTGGGGAGAGGGTAGAGAGGTAGCCCCACTGGGTAGCCCCACCTAAAGACCCCACAAAAAATGACCCACAAATGTTACTCCCACAAAAAGGAAATTGGGGTAACCATGCCGGGCTGATGAACTAGTAGGTATACTAAAGACAAGAAAACTACTTACGACATAAATTACAAGTCTTCGGACAGTAATTCCTCATATAATCGGGCCAATAGGTACATCTGTTTCGATTAGACCGACACCATCTTCCATAAACGTCAGCACAGCTGTCTGATTAAGAAAAATATCACGCTGAAACTAGATGAAGTCGCTCATAAATTGAGGCGCGGGTTACTGATAATACTTGTTGTTCAAAATCATTCTCACATTAGATAGTTTGCGTTTTATTTTGGTAGTAAAGTCCCGCAAAGATTTGCGTCAACTTTGACGGTTACGAGTTAACGTAAGTGGCTTTTGAACGACCGGCCCCTAGTTGTAGTGTGGATTTATTGCATTTAAAGGACAATTTTAAGACTTCAACGTACCTCTTTGCCATCTTTTGGCGACAGCGCCTGTTAAGATGAAACAGAAGACAATCAGAAATTTCATTTTTAAAGCAGGTAACCCAATTTTACGTTAGCTGTAACAATATTTGAGTGAGAACTCGAGATGTAGAAACAGACTTGCAACGTACCTCTCCTTTTATAGCAGTTTACCATGCCCAACCATTTGCAGTAAAATTACGCAAGTGGTTGATTAGCTGGCCAGCCTGAATAAATACCGACACAGAAATGACAAATATTGAACGGAGCTACGAAAAGTAATATATTAAAAGGAAACTATGATACGAATTACTAACCTTTCCAGCAAAAACTCCGGCAAGATACTCAAGAAAAAAGAGATTGATTAAAAACGCTACGAGAAAACAAAACTGAACTGTTTTTATAATTTTTAACTGGACGTCGGAGAACCCGACTTTGCTTCTTCGATGACTAAAAACACGCGCAAAAGCTGAACAAATGCAGATGTTTTAAATAATAAGAAACCTATTAACATCGGTCCTTTGCTAATACGTTTTTGATAGTACAAAGCCGCCAGTTATAATTATATTTCATTAAACTACAATCTTTTACAGTTTTATAAATACGGGATGACATATATATTGGTACAACCGAAGCTTTCTCGTAGTTTTTGGAATTGTTCAATTTAAATGTATATCATGTTTCACTTCGAGTAACTATGGCAAGCCTTTACGACTGTTAACACGCTAACACTTGCAATATAGTTAACAAAGTCATTTAGGAAATTTCAGGGTTTAATTAAAAATTGATTGGGCCAATTATCGTGCAAACAACGTTTTTTGCCTGCTACAGACGTTTTTTTTCCACGCAAATCACTCGTGGAACGTGGATGATGTACGAAGGTAATTTTAGGGGGATTTTTTACAGTCCGGTGACCATTTCTAAATGACCCCCTTTTGCTAGGAATTTTGTGGATGAGTCAGCAGAAATCTGGTGTGGTGAGGAAGGAGGGGGACTTGGGGCCTGGGGAAGGCTTACCCCCCGATAGATTCGCCCAGCTTTTTGCTTTTTTCGGACGCGCGTCTTTGGGAAGTTTAAGTTTAGACGTGAACATCGTTTCGTCCAGTTCCGGGACACATGGCATGGGTTTGTCTACTAGGAGCATTTCGTAAGGGCATCTTCGTTTCCACGGTGTGCTTTTCGTGTCCAAACATGTAGGAAGTTGAACTGAGCTATCTAATGAACAGAAATAGTTCTGGTTACTTTTTTATATCCTATATATTGCTGTTTAGTTAGATGCAGTTACAGATAATTGATTCATTAACTGTTACTGAAACTAGGAAGAAACAGAATTAAACTTGTTTTACAGTAGATAGCATCGGTTACCTCTGAGCCGTACCCTTTAAAGGTTTAGAAACCTAAACTAAACTAACTTTATTTATACTGGATAGCTCTATCAGTTCTAAACTGTTCTTCCTAGACGTCCAGTAAGGATCATCTCTTCTTACCAATGCACTCATCAATTCTTACCAGATACTTTCAACATATCCAGGCCCAAAGGCGCAATGTCACTCTCTTGCGTTTCCAAAAGATGCTGAATGGATCGAGTTAACTAAATAATATTCAACAAGAATAATTTCTATTAAAGCGCGAAGCATTTCGTAAAATGAAGAAGGATCATACACTTACAAGATATGCCTGCGAGAATAAACCATACTCCGCACGGAAATGCAACGCATCAAATGAACAGCGAGCCGGTTTTGAAAAACCATTATACCTAAGAAAAAACATCGCAAAATTTTCACAAATTTCACAAATTTTCAACTCCAGTTTGAGCAATTAAACGTCTTTTTTTCAACTTACAACGAATAGTAAACGAAATAAACAAGTTGTACGAGTGTGGCATTGTCCAAAGGTATCCGAGAACATTCAGAAAGTTTTTCTAAGTCTTTGTCTGTGTCTTTTTTTACACAGAGATCTTTGAAACCACAGCTTGAAACCCTTTTGAAAAGATATGTAACATTAAACATGAAATACACTAAGCATGAAATTTCCAACTCAAAGTACTTTAGACAAATTTCCAAACTCGAAATTCCCAACTAAAAATCCTCAAAACAAAAGTGATCACTAGGAATTCCCAAAAGTCTTAACTCAAGTCTCATGGAATTGCAAACTCAAAACTTCCAACTAAAGATTGACAAAATGAAACTCCCACTAACACAAATTTCAGACATGCAAGTGATATACAACTGTCTTGTAATGCAAATAAAGTTTTTGTTCTCCACAAAACCAATAAAAATAAAACATACTCACATTAACGCCATTTTACAGGCTGCTTCAAGAGATGATTCACCCATAAAAGCAATGTAATGATTGTACTGCTCTAGGACAAAAGCTACCACAGCAAACCTACATGTGCACAGAGATTATATGAATACTATATACTATATGAATACAAGTGAGATGAATCAAAGATAAACCTATCAACATTCAGACTTATACTGATCTTTTTCATACGATAGATAACTACTCTCTCTGTTTTGAAATATTGTTGTTAAGAATCAAACCTGTGACAAGCTGGTATTCTCGTCAATTTCTCGTCCAGGACCATCAAGTTTATAAACAACCTCACTTTGTTCATGCCGACTTAACGCACTCTCTGTCAATGCAGATGTTCCAGATTTTGCAAGCGATGGCTAAAAGATAAATCAGCCCATTAGCTGTAGTGCACCCAGATGTGGCAGGTGCTTTACTATTTTACTCTGTCTAATGTCAGATGATTTTACTCATCAGTGGATGGTAAGTACTGTCAATTAATGACTAACAAAATTATCTGTCAGTGTCTCTGAAGTCTGATTTATAATGATAATGGAAAAATGGATAATGCATGTTAAACCATGAATGTGGACCTGCTCATTCAATATTTCTTACCTCGTGATAAAGTGAAGGTCTTGAAAGTGAAGGAAGACGAAATTTCTGATATTTTGTTTTTCCATTTTCATCAAGAACTTCCTTTCAATCAAAACAAATACCTAATATTAACCAACTTTTAAATCTACATATAAATATAACTACTAAATTACTTACTGCATTATAAATAGCTAGCAAAACAGCTTCCAGTTTTCCATAACCCTGCAAAAAGCATAATCCAAACTGTAAGCTTAAAACACTAAATCATCAACTAATAGAAAGAAAGATTTTCAGCCACCTTTTGACCATGATTGGATGAAATGAAGAGATATTCCCAAACCAATGCTGGTAGGAAATGCAGGACAAATGCTTTCTGAATATCTCCACCATTCTGATACAGTGTAAACAGACTGCTGTATACAAGTTCAACAACCTGTTAAAACATGGAGGTTTTCTGTATTGGCTATTCATGAATTGTGTTCTTGAAATGAGAAAGGGCTTCTACCTCATTACTGGTATGACTTGCCATCAAAAATTGAATGATTTGACCGATAGTTTGTTGGTCGTTTTCCAAGACTTCCATAACCTTTGTCTTAGGTCCATCCTAGAAATACCAAATGTAAGACGTACAGTGATGATGAATGAAGGTTGACAACCCCCTCATGTCAACGAGGTAGTATGTATTCCAATGACCACTGATTATACCACACACCATAAATACTGCTATACTACACTGTGTTAAAGGTTTGATTGGGCAACGGTGCATGAATTAACTCTTTCCTATGGGATGTGGGAGATATTCATATGTTGCATACGTTGATCAAGTTAACCATTAATTCAAACTGTGTACACTTATATAAACAAATAACATTTCTACATTTTTCAAAACAGTTTTACTTATTCAGTCATTCATATAAACATAAAAAATATTACAAACATCTAAGGGCACATACCTTAACGTTGTTCAAAAAATCCCTAACTTGCTGTAGATTCATGTTCTCTTTAATAAGCTAAATAAAATCAACGAATTCTACCAAAATATAAACGAAATAGCAAAGTTTATAAATATTTTATACAGAGAATCAAATTTGACTTCATCTTGTTTATCCATTTTGACGGAAAAAAGTCGAGAGAAAAATCTCCGCGTTTGTCGCGAAGTGCGCTTATTCAAGATGGCCGCAATTTTTGTACAGAAGTTTAGAACAATATTTTGTACATTTTCAGGTGCTATATTTGTTCCTTTGTTGTACATTCACTCTAGGATAAATAGTCTTTGGTTATAGTTATTATATTGTATATATTTTATTCAGGTATTAGAAAAATTGGAGCCCTAAATGTGCGTTTTGCATCAAGTATCAACCTGGCCCAAACTTGTAAGGCTGGAAAACAGAAATCTAGGGAAATTAAGGTTGGTCCTTAAAGATTTACCTTGAATCCTTCCTGTAAATCTGAGTCATAGTTCCCAATTGAAGCCATCTTTATCTGACTTATTTTTTCTCCAGCCAAGCCCTGAAAAACTACATTTGGCGAACGAAGTCCATGATCTATTCCATAACAATGAAATGGTTGCAGTTCTGAGCTACTTTGACATGAAAAATGCCGAATGGAATGAGCTAATTCATGAAGTTGGCAAGAGTGACATTCATTTTCGATTCCTGCCAAACAAGATTGTACATAGAGCTTTGGATAGCACAGCCTATGTTAACATATGTCCATTATTCATAAGCACAACTGTGGTTGCGTATTCCAAAGATGTGCAAATCAAAGGACTACTAGATGCTTTGAAAGGGCAACCAAAAGTCCACGTACTGGGTGGAAAGGTTAACGATAGATTATTTGGAATTGAGAAACTGATTTGGGTCTCAAAATTACCTCCGTTAGAACAACTTCATCAAGAGATAACAATGACATTATCTAAGCCAGCACAAAACCTGCAACAATTATTAATGAGAAATCAGCAAGTTCTTACACAAAATCTAGGACTGCTAGCAAGTGGTGATGAGACATAGAACTCACATGGGAAAATAAATAGTTTAATTGTGAAATGAAACACATGTATGCAAATACCTATGTTGTGATAATGCCTGGTGTGCTATAGAACCAGCTTTGAGAATTTGCCTGCTAATTAAACTGTAAACAGAAGTTCTTTTGTACAGACTAAAAAGAATATTTGCCTCTGCTGCAAATTACGCAGAAAAAACATATATTTTAAATGCTTTGCAACATAAATTCTGTCATATGAAGTAATCTAAAGTTCCATAAAAATAATAAGTCTTCTCATCAAAACTGCTCCAAACATAACAAAATGTCACAAACTAAGAGAGTGTTAAATAACTTTAGGAAAGAGTTCAAATGTTCTGTTCAATGCTTGCAGAAGAATTGACGAAGGTTGAATTTTTATATGTACATAATATCATTTTAGACTTCTAGTATTCTGTCCTTTAGAAATTCAATGTTTTGCATTTTCACTATGTCCGTGATGTTCATCTGGCTTAGCAAATATCTTCTCAATGACACAGGCGACAAGAAAAGCACCAACTCCCCACGTAAAACCAGGAAAAAAATATCGAAAATTTGCCCTAGAGGAGTAATATGGATGACTTCTCCACGCTTCAAATCTTGCCCAGGGATCCTTGGTAGGAACTTTGATTTTCTTTGTTGAATCCATCCAGAGGAAATATAATATCTATGCCTCCTTTTGACAGTATTACACTACCATAAAATATCTGCAACTGATAAAAAAATCAATAGAAAAATCTTTAAATCCTTGTATCCAAATATATTGCTGTTTTTTCACTAAACTTTGTAACCGCGCGATATTCTCTCAATAATGTTATCTAATTACACTGCGGCAATATGTGAGTCCACGGTAAAAATCGCTGACCGCTTTTATTGATAACATGGGTCTAAGTCATATGCCTAAACAGCACTGAATTTATACGTGTTTTTCGATCTAAGAAATAAATAATTTAAATCTTTTGGGTTTTTATGAGTACTATATATATCTTGAGGTAGACCTCTGCCTCTTTCAAATTTGTTTTTACCATCGTTCACGGAAAACATGAAACATTTTCCGAAATTATTTTTGGACCAAAATTATCCTTTTAAAAACTAATTCCCCCTCCCTGTTTCCGACTAATAATACAATAAATCCAGGGGGGTTATATACTGTACACATATAGGCTCTCATCGGCAGTACTTCGGAAGGAACTCGGCTAACTGTCCTTGTATAAATTAAAAGGATCTTCGAAAGATAAATTTTTAGACACAAAAGAAAAATATTCACTATAATACTCTAATTTTTTAGCCATAAACACAAGCAATGACTCTGGATTTTGACGAAGCCCTAACGCTCATTCACAGCCATCAAAAACTCGACAGAGATCGGGGTTTGGACCTTTTAAAACGGAATTTACACGAAAGCATTAAAGGCGCAGAAAGCGATGACATAATTGTTAACTTACGAAGCAAAATTCTTGCTTATATCGAGCCATCGTCAGCATCGACATGGGAGATGCGACAAGGAGGATTGCTGGCCGCGAAACTTATAGTTTGTAGCAAACTGACGGATGAAAACTTTGTTGAAACCATACGATTGCGCGCGATGGTTTTGACACATGATAACGAGGCCAGAGTGCGTCAGGCTGCTGGTAGGTATTGCATTTATCACGCTGCTTGATCCTGTCTGGAATGTTCATTGACCTAGTTTTGGTTGACAGGATTTAACTAACTGGGATTATTGACATATCCAATAATCCTGGTTTCGTATAATCGTCAGACCCTTTGAAGGTACCATTCATGCCCTTTGAAGGTACCATCCATGCACTTTAAAGGTACCATCCATGATGACATCACCATTGTGGGTGCGACCTTGTGCAAATATTTGGGAAATACTATATTATACTGCCTATTAGAGCCTTGTTTTATACCTCTGACATCAGCTATTGTCACAATCTATCATCACTATTGTCTCAATCATATGCCTCAGTCCCTAGGCTGTTGTCATATGTACTAGGAAGGTCTTGCAAGGGCACTGAGGATTGTCAGTACACGTCTTTTGTTTGCAAACACCTGAAGTTAAATAAAATTTTCAGACATTAGGGTGAATAGACTAGACTACATACTTGGAGATAGGAAGTATAGCTACTTAACTACAATGGATAACAAAGACAACTGTTTTTTTAGGTGAGGTTTTAGGTGTTTTGTGTCAAGAAGTTGGTGCAATTGTCTATGAGAAATGCTGTGCAGAGTTACTGAAAAGTGTGGAGGCAAATTTAGAAAGACATATCCCTGGGGATAGCATGTCAGAGGGGCAATCATTCACTGAAGAAGCTGTCCCTGTTGATGTAAGGATGTATTTCTGGTGACATTAAATATTTTCTACAACTTTGTGAACTGACTTTTTTACAAACCTTTAAAAAGAGGACTTAATCTTCTAATGCTTCTACATCATCCCAACACAAATCAGCATTGGGAAACCATACTGTACCTAAACATAAAACTTATTTCTTTAGGTTGGAAAGATGACTTCGATAAAAATTGTACATGAATCAGCTGGATGGAGGCACCTAGAAACCAGCATGAGGTAAAGAATGCATGCATGGTAGAATGTATAGTGTTAGAGCTTTACTAATGAGTAAAATTATCTGCTGTAATTTGGAGAAACTACAGGAATATTCTGTGTTTGTTAACAGAAAACAGTTAATCCATTCTGTATTTTACCAATGACAAGCAAATACATACACTTGTTTGTATTTATTAGATGTTTGCAACATGTTATTGAAGGATGTGGACCATCATTCAGTAAATATATCACACCAGAACTACTAAAGCTTTTGTTTCAAGCCCTGGACCATACCAATAGATTTGTAAGGGAAACTGGCTACCAAGTTTTTTCCTCCCTTGTGAGACTTGGAACAAGTAAAGGTAAGTGTTCAAACCTTATGCCAGGGTTTACCAACCAACCAGAAAAACTAAGAGAGTTTGAGCCATTGTATTAATATCCATCCAGATTTCAACTATTACTTATGGACAAGCTAGTATCCTTTTGGTGCATGGTATAATTTCAAAGCTTTAAATCTATTTAATAACTTTAGAATGGAACGAAATTTATAACTTTTTTGTGTAACTAGTTCTTTAAGTAATGGCAAATTTCTACTATCTATCAATAGCTTCGTTTTCTACATCAGTGAACAATAGGTTGTTTTATCCAAGTTTATTTGCAAATCCGTGGTGAAGATCAAGCTGATCTTTGATTTAAAATTTTCATTGCAAGGCCTACTTTACGCACGCGTATTTTAGCTGAATGAAATTTTAGCCAATAGAAGTTTGGTGAGGCTTTTCCTTAGCAAGCTCCCGAAATCGTACGGACCGAATGAATGACTGGACCGCGCGAGAAATTACGATGACGTCCTAATTAGACAAAATTACGCGACGTAACAAGCACTTAATTAAAGATTGTGATTAATTAGTGACGAAACAAAGACCGCGCGCGCAAATTAACCATAATTGCATTTGCTTGAATCGTGCGCGGACGTTATTTTTACTCAGAGAGAAAATTGCGTTTGAAATTGTTGAATTTTGATTGAATTCGAAGCGAAATGACCGAAACACAAGATATGCCTTTGTGCAATGAAGTTACCGAGGCTACAGACGATTTTGAATCGGATTTCGAAAGTCAGGAAATGTTTGACTTGGGAGATAAATGGCTTTTTCCTAAAGCAAGTGAGCATCTTGCAACTGTCCTAAAGCCAGGAGTTGTGCGTCCTCTGTCGCCGACGTTGGAAGTAAACGCTCCTGGAGAAGACGTGTTCCCAGGCATTGCGATGCTTTACGAAGGCTTTGACGATATGCTAGAGTGGAGAAACACGATACGATTTGTCGGCTTCTTCGTCAGAAAGGAAAATATGTTTGACAATCGCCATCACTGGAACATGCGTACGAAATTCTTGGAGGTTCGTGTCAGATGTATGGAGAAGATCCTCGAAGATCCGTTTGCGAAGCACCGTAAACCCGAGGGAGGATTTTTCATTCGTATTCCGGTCACCGTTAAGAAATCTTCGCGGAGCGAAGCTGGTGATGTGATCGCGCAAGAATGTGTTGGCGCGAATGACGGACATTCCGACAAACGAAATTCTGAGATGGTGGAAAGCGGAAACCTTCACGAGGGGAAGATTGATGAAAATGGCGGCAACTCAGCTTCGGCTGGAACCGGCGTCGATGGTAATGTTGCTCGTTGCGAGGAAGTACAAGATTACGCTTCGTTTGCGATTCACGGTTGTGATGTCGAAAGTATGACCGGAGAAGATATTATGTTGGTTGGTCAAGACAGCGAGGGAAAGATTGATGGAGATGGCAACTCAACTTTGGCTGGAATCGACGTCGATGGTAATAGAGCTTGTTGCGACAAAGAAACTGCAGCAAATGTTGTCTCAAAGAAGGAAAATATTCGTGGCGAAGTTGAAAACAAAGAAGAGAGAAAATCGCAACCAGAAATTGTCAGGAAAGACTTGGACACGGAGGAAAATGTAAGTACTTGCTTTCAAGATGGTAAGGATAGTTAATTCACTTTTAATCGATATATTTTTTGACATTTAACAACATTTCCCAAGCAAACCTTGCAGTTTTACTCATTCTAAGATGATATCTTTCTTTTTGACTAGTTTAAAACTAAATCTAAAAGATAAAACTAAATCTAAAGGATCATCCATTGAAAATTATTTTCAAATATTTTTCTCAGACCGAAAGCCAGTGTATTTTACCTTGTCAAACGTCTGGTCATTACGATGGCAGAAATGAATGCCTGCGGGATCTTGTAGTGGTTGGAAAAGCAATTGAAGTTACCTTGAGTTCTGCAGAACTGGTCGGCGAAGCAGAAGACCCAGCCTTGATCGAAGGAAGTAATTTGAAGAATCAATTGAAAGAATATGGTTCAAAGTCTGAGGCATGGTCTTGTTCGGTTCAAGACGAGTTGATCCTCGAGGATATCAACGATAAAGATTTGGTTCCAGATGCGATATTTTCATCATCTGCTAAATTGGGTCACACGGGCGTTGAAGACAACCCAGGCGCGCAGGCAGCTGTCACATCTACGACAAGCAAAACGTTTGGGAAATCGGCTATCCAACAGCAAAGACGTTTATCAAGATTCCAGCGACTACGAAGAAGTCTGGGGACTTTGTTTTCCTGTTTTGGAAAGAACAAAGTCACGCCTGTGAACATTGGTTTGTCATAGAGAGTAATAATAATGGTAGTATAATGATGACATGGTAGATACTGTTGATGGGACAGTTGAGAGGATGTTACACTTAAAGTTTGAGTTTTATTTATATTGTTAAAGTTCTGTTTTAAGATTATTATAGAATGATTAAGGTTAGGTTCAGTGTTTGGGGATTTGAAGGTTGATATATATATATATATATATATATATATATATATATATATATATATATATATATATATATATATATATATATATAGTAAATGTAAAGTAAATATATGTAAATATAATAAATAGTTGCATTCTTTTTATAATAGATTTTTTATAACAAATAAAATGACAGAAAGTTTCACCGGGAGCGTTCAGAATTCTAACTGCAATTAGAAAAGTGTTTTGGTAAAATTTCCGATTGAGAATTAGGTTGGAATTTTGCAATCATTTGAAAACCTTAGCTAAGCAAAATCATGGCTTTTTTATAATGACAGTTAATGCTATACTGGGGAAGATCGAGCTTGATCTTTTGATCTGAAGTCAGCCTTATTCTTAGCGCAAGAACCATTTAGGACTGCTTGAAAATGTTCTTAATTTTTTTCCCAGATTCGCCAACTTCGTCGACATTATCTTCCGAACAGGAGGCGGAAAACAGACAGTCCATACTAAACTATGGAGATCAGTTGGCTGATTATCTCAGGAAAGGACTAGCAGATAACTGGAGTCAGGTGAGGATGTGTTGAAATGCGACGACAAAAGTGTGACTATCTTCTCAAACTGATAAGCTCACTTCTGAATTCATGCTTCTCATATTTGACCAAGGAAAGGGGCATATTTAGTGTGTTAACAACATTTGCATGATATCTTATTTTATAATTCCCAAGGTTCGCCTAGCAGCTTCGTGGGCAACGAGGTCCTTCCTGGTCACTCTTGGAGACAATGAAACGAAAGAACAATTTTATCCCAAGTTGTTGCCACCAATGTGTCTAAACAGGTCAGAATTCAGAGTCATTTCTTTAGAAATGTACAGCTGAGGTGTCTCAAAAATACGAGAACTCTTAATGCATCATATAGTTAGTTACAAGATCGCCTTGAAGCCCGATTATGATTGGGTTAGATTAAGGGAGAAGATTAAGGGTACGATTAACAAACGGATTAGGATTAAGGGAGACCATATCTTCTTTAGGTACTACGTAGCCGCTGGTGTGAGGATTTACTCTCAGGAAAACTGGAAGATTATCACTGGGAATGATGGCAAAAAACTTGTGGAGAAATTTATCAAAGAGACGGTAATTGTCTGCGATGCTTCGTCTTGAATGTAACTGGTAACTCGTTGAGAGATTAAAATGAATTGATAATACTCGTGAACTTTGATAAAGAGAGGAGCTTTTTGCCCTAGGTTGAGTTTTACGTAAGTCAAACCAAAGCTGATAATCATGCCGTGAGAGAGGCTGCCTGTGAGTGTATTGCTGAACTGGGAATTAAGGTAAGAAGATTGACTGGTGGTTGGAAAGCATGAAGACCAACTATACCAACAATCAAAACATGAAGACCAACTGAAAAAAGCAGTAGTCCTGTGTTGAACCAACCCATGTGGAAGAAATTCTGGAAGAAGGAATCCTAGTTTAGCGTTGTCACCTTTCTATGTAGGTCAGTCCTGATGCCGTTCGCCCTCATGTGGGTGTCCTCTTGGAAGCCATGATCGAATGCTTTAAAGATGAAGGCTGGCCTGTTAGAGATGGTAAGATCACCGTAATCAACCAAAAGTGTACCTAAATATATACCATATTTCACAGTGTCTAACAACATTTATCCCATATATTTCAGCCGCTTGCTTAGCCTGTGGTAATTTCATTCAATGTTTTCCCGAAGAATGCAAGTAAGAGATTTCTCCATTCTCATCATCATCAACAGCCGATTGATTGATCATTTTAACCGATTGATAAACATCGATTGTGTTTGATATTTTTGTCTAGGCCATCCCTGGAGACTTTATATGAATTATTTTTCACCAATCTTTGTGATAACATTCCATCAGTCAGACAAGGAGCGGCCGCTTCATTGGCCAATGTTGTTAAGACGTATGGTAAGTCCTGTGATAAGATTTTGTGTCGTGTGTTTGGCTTCAAGCTATGCAGATAGTAAGATAAGGTGTGGGGTAAGGTAGGGTTAAGTGGATGGGGTAAGGTGAGGTGGGGTAAAGTGAGGTAAAGTGGGGTGGGTAAGGTGAGATGAGGTGGGGAAAGGTGAGGTGGGGAAAGGTGAGGTGGGTGATATGATGTAAAGTGGGGTGGGATAAGGTGAAGTACTACAGTTCAACTCTGTTAATAATGCCCTAAGCAAGTCTGAGATCGTGTCAGCGAGCGCGATTTGTAATTGCAGGATCAGAAGCGGTGGAATTTGTGACGGAGAAAGCGAAGGAAAAGTTGAAAGCCGTTGAGAAACAAGAGCACAATGACGACAGGTAAAACTATTACACAAAGAAATCCTCGATACTTGAACTGTCCTCAAAATCTTGGATTACTGAAATATTACAACTACATAAAGAACATGTTTTCTTTAATAGATTCAGTGGTCTCGAAAAAGGCGCAGGGCTATTCGGAGTTATGAAGAGACAAAGAGATAACGATGTTGAGCTACATTCCAATCAAACGGTAAATTCATTTCATGCATTGGTAACTACCAAGTACACGATGGGCAAGTCAGGTGACTATACTTTTTGGTTTTTCAGATGTATTCGTGTGGCTCTCTGGCTCCCAAGATGGGTCGTGGAGGATGCTCGAACAGTCATTTCAAACGACCATCACAGCCTTGGGAAATCACAGACGGGTCGGTATTTCAAAATAACCCAACGCGAAAACACAACACAACACCCAATTTATCAACCACTTAAAAGTTTGAACCGAGTTTTTAAGAGTTCCCAAAGGCAAAAACCAGAAGTGATCTCAATAAATGACTCTCCCAATTTAGCAAAAAGAGCACTTGTAAATTAGCAGCATAAACAAAATTTAAAGACGCTTTGAAATTTTGAATCGAAAGCATTTTTAAGACTTGAGAGTATTCGCACCATTTACTTTGGAATGCCAAACTGTAAAATGGTCGTGTTTGGATAGAAATTCGTGTACAAAATACCAGGAAACTAAATATAATTTTATAAACTTAACTGCATGTATATTATGAAATGTGTTTCGGTAACTGCCTAAAATCAATATAACAGGAAACTTCACAACGTTAAGGGCCTGCGGCTTTGTCGAGACAGTTAGATACGAACGACCTTCAGCTTAGGTAGAGATCCTGAAAATTAAGTTTCCTTATATGTTCTAGGCAGTTTCTAGATTCATTTTATGAGATTAATTCAACTGATTATTTCAACTTGTGCGTTTTTATAGATGTATCTACCTTGTTGCTGAACTGTCCAAACTTCAAACGACACAGGAACAAATTAAAGTTCTTATTCCATCCATGGCTGAAACGACAAAACACAGACATTACTCACAATACCTTCAGTTATACGAGTCTGTATGCAAACAGGTGGGCCGAAAACGAGTCCATTATATATTGTCCTATATTTGACTGAAATACGTCCTATTTCACCTTTTATATTAAGTTTTGCTGTACAAAACTTTTAAAACATGGGGATGGGATACTGTAGTGCAAAAACTCGAACTGTGATAACATAATCTAACAGTTTGAACAAGTCCTCGCAAAAATATTGGTCGTAATTTCCTACATACAAGACTCTACTAACATAGCTAAAAATCAAAAGTACCGGAACAAAATAAGTCATATGACGGTCATACAGTTTTAAAAATTTACCCACGCTCAAAAAAACACAGATAACAGATGAAACACGTACCACTTCCGTGACAAAGAATGTTGTAACCAACCTTTTTAGATATTTTCAAAATATTTGAAATAGTTGAAGGGTTAGATTTTCTCGAGAGGTTCTCGAAACATTGCGATATATAACTATATATATATATATAACCTCAGTATAACTAACTACTTGGTGTCATAGAAAGACTTTCTCATAAATTTAGTTTTGAGCGCTGTACAAAACTAAAAGAGAGAAAAATTTCCATGACAACATAAGTCATAACCTTGACAAACTATAGGAGTATAGCCGTTTGTGTGGTGCGACAAATACAATTTGCCGAAATAAACTTGTCGATGCAAAATTGAATTTCCACACGAGGAACAAAACTAGCCCAGTCAAATTGGCAAGGAAAACTTTCTGGTTAAAATAGGGAAGATTTTTGGCATGATTTTTGAGCAATTTGATGCTACAAAGTCATTGACATTTCTACAGGATTTTACACATTAATTTACAAATGCCCCATTCTTCTATTTCGCCTATACCCTCCAATTCTTACATTAGTTTTAATTTTATATTTCAAGTGAAACCACAGTTAATAGAACTGAGGCGAAACAGGCCCGTCATTTGAATGCGTCATATCAAAATTCATTCAGTAACACTTCGTTCTCTTCAATGTTCAGCTCCCCGTTATTGCCAAAGGTATTGGAAAAAGAAGTTTCAAGAACTACTTGGAGGTTTTCATAGATATGATTTTTCACAGTTTGACAAGCGAGAATGCGCTAACCTCAACAGCAGCGAACGAGTGCATTCAAGAGTTGGCTACAATCCTCGGTCCTTCCATATTGAGAGGAAGAGTTGAACTTTATAATCCCAGGTATTTCCATGGCTACATTACATACATGTACATACTAGTAATAACGATACTCGTCGATAGTAACTGTATATCTATTCATTTCAGCTATCTTACTATCTTGGACAACCATTTACACCATTATTAGAAAAATGTTGGACAAGGTCAAGGTGTTTTGGGGCAAAAAAAAACATCAAAACAAGCATTGAATATACAAAACCGCTGATCTCTATTAGCATTTTGATTTGTACCTTTGCGTTAAAGTACCCAGATGACTTGGAAAATTTAATACAGAGGCAGCACTCCAAACCCTGTATTTTTGGGATCACAGAAGAGCAATTTGTTACTAAACTTATTTTGTGTAATAACAGTATCTTAAATGACATTTATTATTACTAATTAATTGATAAATACCATATGTATAAATACCTAAAACTATTTCCCTAGCTTAAAGAACATTCAAGACAAAGACTGATTCTGTCTGATTTCACATAGATTTATTTAAATAACAAAATGAAATATTCATTTGTATGATTAAATGATAGTGTAGTACAAAGTACAAATATTTGTATTTTTACAAATTAATTAAATTACAAATTACAGGCATCTCTTATGTGGACAAAGAAATCTAGCACTCAGCACAACCTTTCAATAACCAGCATTGACAGGAGGAGAAACACAGCTATGTGGTTAAAACTTTGATGTAAACTTAAAGAACAACAAACCAGAACATTGTTGCTTCTATATTGAAGTAAATTGAGATATGTTGAATTGAGAAAATTTCTTGACTCAACCATGGGGCAAGAGTCACAAAAATCATCACACGATGGACAAATTATTGAACCGTTATGTAGAGAATTTTTATGTACAACTACTATATTCAATATCTGTCCTGTAAACCAGCAGGTATAGGACTGCCCAGAGATAGATAGGGTTAAACCCTCACCGGAACAGGTGTATGAATAACACCCACTGCCCCAATTAACAGCTGTGACCGTAGGTTTTGAGCACTGCTTTTGCATCCAAGCTTGACCATGCAAAAAGCATGCTGAGTTCTCCCCGTACATTTCAAGAGCATAGTTTTCTGATGAAATCGGGTTGTTTGTTTCATGTTTACAACTCGACCCCCGGATAGTGATGCCATCTTGTTTCCAATCCAGTTCTTGATAATATGGGCAGTAATCTGCAAGCTCAATTCCCCCACCATAATATGTTGGGGTGGACACCCCTGGTAGGAAATCAAAGTACCGATACTCCTTGCCCAGTGGGGTCTTATATTTTCTCAAATTGCAAACACCCACACCATGATAGTTGTGGGTACATCCTGAATGTGTATGGCTTTTGGAGGGTAATCTTGAACAATAAGGTGCAATGGAGTTATTCATCTTGCTCTGATGATCCATCCATGCCTTGCAACTGTTTCTGGCAAAAATACACCCAGCATTACGCCCCCAGTCTAGTGGCTCAGCCATTGCATAATCAACTCTGTACCATCCTGTGTCCTCCATTACGGCAAGAGTGATACGAGAAAACACAGGGTTGTTTGTAAACACCCCAGTCATGGCTTCATTTTCAAACACTCGTTTTTCCAAATGTGTGTGACGTTGACCAGGATCACCTTGGTTTTCTATTTCAGCTCCTTCTAACAACGAGCAGTTAAAATGGGATTGAACTTCCTTAACAACACGAGGTGTCACAATCATCAAAACTTTATGACTTATTGAGGAACCATTGCTAATTCTCCATTCATTTCTTGTAACTTCCTTGATGACCTAAACAACAGATTAGAATAGTTTTAGTTCTCAGAAATTTAAAAAAGTTAACCAGGCAATTTGTTATTACCTTTTCGCTCCACTCGGAAGCAGGTCTGCCATCTGCAATTCTTTGGGTAAGTGGGGTACCGTCTTCGGCTCGATAGTAACTATATAACCGCTTTGAAAATCCAATAGCATGGAAGATTTCATGTTTGACAATAGCCAATAAATGACTGTAATGCAAATTCCTTTTCATTTTGCTGACACAAAAGTTGACAAAGCCAGCAATAGGACGGTCAAGCATTCCCTCCTGTTGACAAGTCGATGCATAGGCTATGACATCACCATTCCTGTGGCAATTGGATGTTGCAAATGCCGAAACATACAAGACAAAATCTGTGTTCACGAGTCCGGAATTCTCAGCATTTTTGTTTGTGCAATGTTGTTTGCTTGAATCACAAGTCCTGCACACATCAAGGTGCGCTTCAGGGATCTGTATTGTACCAACTTCCCCACAATAAGTGATATCTTTACATTCTCCAAGACAGTAGCGGAAAAAATTACCATTAACTCTCTTTTTGGTCTCGTTTCCGCAATCCCTTTGCAGTCTTAAAGGCGATACAGGTCGTCGAACACTCAAAGTTTTACGAAAGTATGCGACAGCGTCCGGTAGGAGTCTACCGGTTATAAGTTTTCTCAAATCAGAACTCACTTTCAGCATGCTTGAGTCAGAAAATACGTTTATTTTCAATGAATTATCAATGCTTCGACGTTTTATTGGATGCTTACCGTTACTCCATACTCCTGTGATAATCCGGTCACTTTCTGCAAGGTAATGACAGCGGATACGTGGGAAAATTAAAAGAAAAATAACCAATGTTTTTCCACATATTTGACAGTCAGCAGCCATTTTTTTCGCAAGTAATGAGGGGGGGAACATGGTTGATGGTTAGAACGGGGGTGGGCTTTACATTACTTGTCAATTTGCACAATGAGGCCTTACAGTTACAGCGAGGCTACAAACTGGTACCAAAAATTCACAGGAAATTATGTGGTGTGAACCTCTCTTCTTCCTTTTCCAAGGGATCGCCTCCCTCCTTTTCTTTTCCCTCTTTCCCAGCAAGCCCCCTTCCTATATATTAATTAATAGGTAGTGGGTGTCAATATTAAGCTAGGCACCAACATTTCTGGAGTGAAGTTGACCATCATCCCTTTGTCTGCAACCAGGAATAAAACTAACCAGGAATAAAACCAGTCAGGAAACCAATTTGGTTTGTTTGTTTTTGGGAGGTTTTTAAAGGAAGTTCATGCTTCTTTAGTAAGCCCCATGGACTCTGCAAACGCTCTTTAAAAATGGTTACTGAGTGGTTGCACTGAATACAAGGAAATATGTTCTTAAATACGAAAGTTCAAAGACACTTAAAATGTTCCCCGTGAGAATATTTTGAATTATAAAGAAACTTTTCCACTATTTTGAAGTTGTTTACTTTGAGTTACTATTCCGGTACATTGATTGAAGTTATATAAAAGAGCGAAATCAAGCTCCATCCAACCAAATTCTCAACCTTTACTATCAAATGCAGCCAGATTCGTAGTTCAAGTTTACTGGTTTGAGGTGCGTTTTATGTGATGGTGTTTGGCAAACTATGTTATACCACTCAATAGTATGTAAATGATAATACAGTAGTTGTACATTCTTTTCTCAACAGAAAATGATTCTTTTGGGGGACCTCCTGAGATTACAAATCCAGAGTAAAGCAGAGAAATACCTCAAGCCATGGTGGGACGTGGTTGTCGATTATATAACGCTCATTTTGGTTATGGTATCCATAATTTGTGCAGTGGTGAGCTTGTATGCTGCTGGTCCTGTGTGCATACCAGTGCTGGAGTGTCCTCAAAACTCTTCGTTGATCAAAAACGCGACTTGCGCTTCGTTTCAAAAGGAATTATTGAACCTAAGAAACCCGCAAGGTATTAAAAAAGTTGCGGTTAAGTTCACCAATCGAAACATGTTCGATTATGTAAACACAGAATGTTTCGAAAATCATTTCTGGATGGTTAGAATATTCCCAAACGTATTGATAATCATGGCCGGTTGTTGCCTGGTCTGCAGTAACGCCTGGTTCATTCTTAAATCACCGATACTGGAGCAGTTTAGTGATTTGCTCGAAGAATGTTACAAATACACAACTTCCCAGTCTAGAGGGACTAAAACTTCGGGCAAAAATTGCGATCGTGCCACTACTTCGCAGTCTAGAGGGACTGAAACTTCGGGCAAAAATTGCGATCGTCCCACTACTTCCCAGTCTAGAGGGACTGAAACTTCGGGCAAAAATTGCGATCGTGCCACTACTTCCCAGTCTAGAGGGACTAAAACTTCGGGCAAAAATTGCGATCGTGCCACTACTTCCAAGTCTAGAGGGACTGAAACTTCGGGCAAAAATTGCGATCGTGCCACTACTTCCAAGTCTAGAGGGACTGAAACTTCGAGCAAAAATTGCGATCGTGCCACTACTTCCCAGTCTAGAGGGACTCAAACTTCGGGCAGAAATTGCGATTGCGCCATTGTAGATACAAAAAATTGGTTGAAGAAAAAATTGAAAGAATTCTTATATACGTTTGGAGAAAATGATAGTACTAACTTCAACCATTGTCGAGATTTCTGTTGTATACCTGAGAGAAACAGGGAGAAAACGCACGACAACACGGGAAACACTGAGTCACTTTCGCCTGCTAATCTGCAAAACTCTGACGCGAATGAGATATCTCAGTGTGATAATCTGCTGACGGAGGCATCTACGCCTGCTACGCGTGCCTCAGATAACTATAATCGGTGCCCATGTTCCTGCTGCATATTTGAACAGTTTTGTTGCACATGTTGTCCCAATGTTCGGAAGGGAATACGTAAAAACATTATGTATTTTCTCCTAACCCTACTTCAAATAGCAGTCCCTATCACGATATTGGTTTTATTACCATGCATAATGGACAAGGAGTTAGACAGACACTATCAATGTGACATTGATGAAGTTATTCCTGGTTTGGTCTACGATTATTTCTTCTGCTCCCATTCAATAGCCACGTTCTATGAATTTTGCGCTGGGATGTTTTCGGTCCTTATTTTCCAAAAGATCATTACTATGGCTTTCAAACTAGGGAAGTTGTTGTGTTTACTTAGAACAGTTACTCCTTCTGAGGAGGAAAATGATATGAAAATAACGTCAGAAAACCTGGTGTTTTTGTTAAGATTGGTAGAATTGACCAATCGAGCATATTTCAAATCGTTTTACAACATGTGCAAAGAAGTGCAAAACGATGATGATGCACAAGTTGAAGAACAAAAAGAAGATAATGAATCATCCAATATGAGCAGTAGTTAACGTAGATACGAGTATTCTTAGGTCGAAACTTTATCGTTAAATTTTTATGCTATCCTAAGGCATTACCTTTGATTTCTTTAATATAGGTCCCATCTTTCTTTCGACCTAGCCTCTCCTGGATACCACTATAGCTATCTTATAATCATTATCCTTATAGACTATACTATCAATATATCAGGAGCCAGTTGCTCAAAAGACGGTTAACTTAACCTAGGGTTATCGCAAATCATGGAAAAGTTGAAAATCTTTCCATGAGTTTTTTCTGGATCAATAGAAGTCATATTTTGTACTTTTAAAACGAGCAGCGGTACAGAAGCGCATAAACTAAGGACGCTTCCATTAAGCGGCCAAAATGGTCAGACCTGTCATATGTTAAATTGAAACAGAGTATTTCATTAAGAATATAGCGGTGAAACTGCATTTCCCGTTAGAGTTCCAGAATCACTCGAAAATACCAGTAATCTGTCTGTACCGAAATACAACCAAGACCGGTCTGGCCGTTTATTTCGTATAAAGGAAAGTTCCCAAAAATAGCGGTTTAAAATTGAACCCAGCGTTAGCAATAACCTAGCTTTAAACAACCGGTTCCGGAACATTCATAACCATTCGCTTGTTTGCATCATTCAAAAGAAGAAAATGGCACCGAAAATTGCAAGTGTGAAGGGGCCATAGACACAGGTCTTTTAAAATTGGAAAAAAATAGCTGGTTCATATTCCAAGCAGGAAGAACTCGTAAATTCCTCTACGGGTATGTATCCTTATAATGTATATAGCTACGTTTATCCTGATGTGGTGAAAATACATCATAACCTATAGTACTTATTCATATTTTACAAAAATTCCGAGAAGCTCGTTTATGTTTTTATGCTAGAAGCACCGGCTATTAAAAGCTGACTTTGTAAATTCCTTCTATGTATTCTAATTTTAAATACTCGCGTAGATGTGTAGTTCTAATTGTATTGTACAGTACGTAAAAATATTTCAATAGTTCAAGTTATCAAATTACTGGAAATTCGTAGCTCGTTTCACAGAAAACGAGCATTGTTTTGCGCAATGGCACACGTACTAAAGTTTAAATATATATAACGATGCAAAATAAAGAATATGAGTATTTGTTGAAAATAAAAAATTCCGATTCTCATGAAAATAGCGATTAAAAATTATTTTTGAAAATAACTTAAAATAGCGTAAGAAACCCAAAAATTGTTCCCAGGAATCCTGGAAACTAGGTTCGACAAAACATGCCCCAGCCCTCCCCACCCTATATCTCCGGCAAGACCCGGGCAATTTTAGAGGCCACTCAAGAAGAGCAATATTATAAATTTGACGCGTCTTTGCGTCAAATGTTTTTTTACAAATGAGGTGCGCCCGATGGCCTAGGAACAAATTATTGCGTCTCATTTGGTAAATTTTCCGTGTTGATGTAAGAAAACTTCTGGAATTGCACGTCTGCCTCTTCAGGAATTCCATCTAGGGCACCTGGAAAGATGGTAAAAAATAGGTTTTCATTAGGTAATTTCATACTAGTTTTGCAGGACTTTGCAATACAATTCAGGCACATAACGATGTTAAGCATAGAGGATATTTATCGATAAACTACGTTTTACTTTGGCGATATTTATAAAAAAACATTTCATAGACGGCGACTGAGTAAAGGTGATAACTTTCTTCGCTTTCCAAGGAACGTTTTTTCAATTTTAACGTTTAATCCAAAAAACAGTCCGTGGTCGTGGAGAAGTTGCATTGCAAGTTACAATAGAAAGTTTAAGTGAATATCAGTCGATTTGGTATTGTAGTTTATGGTTCGGTACATAGCAGTGTAAAAAAGTTTTATTTTAGGGCTGTTCAGCCTGTTCCCTTTTTTTTATGTACAGCGGGTTCACCTACTGATTTTAGGTCGACAAACCACATACCTCCGACTCCAGGGGGCGTAAGTTGGGCGGGTTGTTCTGTGAACTCTCTGTCGAAATATGACGTGTCTTGATCATCTTTTATTGATGGTACGTAAGGGGGTTTTACCTGTGTGGAGACAAATGAGCTTTAGTTAATATCTAGAGTGCTGTCTTCAGTTAGTGAGTCCATTGAACATCGAGGTGTTAGAGGTTTTGCATTAACTACCGATATTCACGGAAGAACCAGTGGACAGAATCTCGAATTTAGAAGTACTGATATTAAGTTTGATCTAGGTTAGACCAAACCACGGGTAATTTTTTAGAGCGGGTGAAAAAACCACTTTGTGTGCATATAGATTGCGTGCCCGTCGAGCTTTGCAAGAGCGCCTCCAGAAGTTGAAGAAAAGAAATTTATACACCTTTTTATTGAGAACATCATCCCATACGACATCGCTGAAAAACGGATGTCGTTTAATTTGATTCGCATCCGAAATATCACCACCCAACCTAAAACAGAATAATATGAAAGAAAAAGGTTAAGGACTTGGCTAACAACTCCCCCCCTGTTTTATCTCACAACAGCAAATCAGATTTACGTGGAAATATTCAACATGGCCACGAATGCCTCCAATTATTCATAGCTGATACGTAATCCAGTCAACTATGGATTTTACTGCTATGAATACAGCCCTAGCGTAGACCAACAATGACAACAATTGAAGGGCTTGCTTGAGACGGTCGAATATTCTTACAGTATTTACCGTTTTTTTGGATTTTTTTCCAGTAATCCTGAAAGCACTGCCTTGGCCAAGTCTGATAAACGTTGCGGGAACTTTACATCCTCCTGTGAAAATATCATTTTCGTCAATCATTCCGCCACAATGAAAAACATAACGCATTAACTCAGCAATGTACTATACGATAGCCTTAATTCTAATTTAGACGCTTCGGTCTAGCCAACAACACACTTTCTTTTTGGGAGGAGTGCGTGAGAATAGTTCAGAACATACCCTATCGTTTTATCATTCTATCGTTCTATCATTCTATAGTTCTATCATTCTATAGTTCTATCATTCTATTAACATTTAACAAATTCTTACCGTCAGTATAAGCTCAAACAACACTTCGTGGTCTCGACTGTAGAAAGGCAATCGACCGCACATCATTTCATACATAACGATTCCCACTCCCCACCAATCGACTGAGCGACCATAATCACTGTCTTCTAAGACCTAGAGCAGAGAATTAGTTTCTTGGATGATTAGCGAGTCAATTGGTTATTTTAGTTATTCAATTATTAAACGTATGTACTGTATACCTCTGGGGCAAGATATTCAGGTGTACCACAGAATGTCCTGGTCGTTGCACCATACGTTATTTCTTCTTTACACAAACCAAAATCTGTTATCTTGATGTGACCATCCGCGTCCAAAAGAAGATTCTCCAACTACGAATATGATCAAAATAAAAAACTTGTAAAATATTAAGTGAAAAACAACAAATGGGTGATTAACTTTATTCCGAAGGGAAATTTTCACCGATCAAATACACATATAAGAATAAAACAATATTAAAATTTCAATAATTGATTATGTACTGCTTGTTGTTTTTTGAATATGACATTTCATGTAAATGGTATCATATTTTTCATAAATTGCATGAATATGCAGCGTTACAAATGTTATCTGACGTGGTATCGCTAGAAACGTTTAAGAAAAGCTAGCGATCGAATGAACAGCTATTCATTCTGAATGCAATATTCATTTGAATTACCTTCAGGTCTCTGTACACAACCCCTTGTTCGTGAAGATATTGTACCGCCAAGATAATTTCTGTCGCGTAAAACTTGCTCCGCTCTTCGCCGAAGACACGTTCTTTTGACAGATGGAAAAATAACTGGAAAACAAAATATCGGGAAAGATGACAAGGTGCAGGTCCCAGATTTGCAAAGTCAAAGAGATTAGCGAAACACTGACTGAAAAGTTTACCATGACATGGTAAGACATGCTAAACTTGGTAATAATTGAGTCATTTACATAAGACCCTGATCCTGAATGACTGTATAGTCAGATACATAGAACAGACATTATTTCTATTATTTCTATGGTCAGATACAGTATCTCACATATGTGCGTACATAGGTTTTGTATCTCTTACCTCACCGCCGTTCACGTATTCCATGACAAACACCAATCTGTCTCGCGTTTGGAACGAATACCTCAGCTCCTGAAGGAAATTTCATATGTATTCAGAATGTTCATATGACAAGCAAAAAGTTGTTTAAAGCGAAAAACAACTGGAAGAATGCAGGTGGAGAATTTAAAGATCCAAGTTTTTGGGAGTTGTATACGGTTTTCCACATAATAAAAGCACATTTCCATTGACTAGTGTGTCAATGACACAGATTCATTACACGCAGTTTCCTTACCAATACTATGGAAAATAGGGAACTCATTTTCCACATTATGGATTCTCAAAATTTCAAATGAAGAACCTGTTGGTGAAGTGTAGCTAGCTGGTTGTATGCTACACTCTAAGTTACACCCTGATATACGTATATAACACCGATATGGTTCGTATACCGGTCATGAAGAATTGTATTCAAGAAGCCAGTACACACAAAACCTTTAAAATTCGGTCGTTTCAAGTTTAGCTTACCGTCAAAAATGGATGCTTGCATTGTTGCAACACTCTGTTTTCAGTCAATGTATGAACAACTTCGTCCTAAACAAATATTTCAATAAATGCATTTTGACTAATGCAACTGCATGCATGATCACTAGCAAAGAGTGGCTTTTATAACTATACTTGTTAAATAAATTCTGAAACAAACTTAACATTAATACAGGGTCAGTGTTCAAAATTCTTACGTGATACTTAGAAAATGCTTACCTTAGCAACAATTACTTCTTTTTTCAAAACTTTTAAGGCAAAGAGTTCACCAGTGGTTTTTTGTTTGGCAAGCATCACCTAAAATTAATCAATCGTTGCGTTTTTTATGCACGTTTTTTTTTGCAAAATTTGTAAGCTTACATGACTATATTTTCTATATTTAACAACATTTTGCAACCAAACTTTGCCGTTTTACTCACTTTAAGATGCTTTTTTTAGCTCTAGCGTTGGATTTGTATTGTTGTTGCTTAGATCAAATTTAGTAATGCAGTTGTGCTGTGCATTAGGGTGTGGTACAGTACTGTACTCTACCTTGCCAAATGTGCCTTTTCCGAGAACTTTCAAAATTGCAAAGTCATCTAATGACTAAAAACAGAACAATTCAAGAATAAACTTAAATGCATTTGACACAATGTATGTAACTATATGTATCATCATGATGCCTACGCCTGATTCACATTAAGAATCTGGAATCCAAATGTTGTATATTTTTCAATAGGCAAAGCATTTTGCGCACCAGTAACCTCAGACAAAGGGGATCTCAGATTCTAAGACAAATGCGGACCAGGCTTTAAGGGCTGGATTTCATTTAGTTATTATTGTCCTGAACAAATCATTTTCACCAATGCAAAATAGCCTGGATATAACTTTGTCTTTACTTTCAGTATTCATTTCAGTCATTATTGACTGCACAATAGACCTTATGAATAATGACATATCAACCTGTCATGCCTGCTGGGAATTCTGGTTTTAGCAGTCACAACTAAACATTTAAACTTCAAAATTTCCCGCCGTGACTACTAAGACCAGAATTCCCTGCAGGTGTCACAGCTTGTTATGTCATTATGCATAAGGTCTGAGCAATATACCCTAAAACACCATCCACCTTGACATGTTCACCACTAAATGAATACCAATGCTTATGTGTTGGTTTTCATATACATTTTCACCATCAAATGGAAACCTATTTACCATTTTCCGTCCTTCAGAGACATGCTTCTGCTCTGGTAACGCTTCTTCCTTGGCGTGGATGTTATTGGAGACTTCCTGAATGCAACGTAACCAATCCTCTCTGGTGTTACAACAAACACAAAGGTTAATTTTCAAGACAATCTTTACACAACCTAATAGTTCCTAGCTGCTAAGTAAATGTGCTTCATTGCTGCACTCAAGTGATATCTTTTGCATGGTAGGCCACAAACAAAGGAGATTCTTTCAGTTATACTTTCTATTTCAAGCAAAGTTATTTCATAACGTAACATATCACTTTGTTATGTTAATTTTGCTGAGGTTTTGAAGGTTACTTTCACATTTTTTTCTACAAAAATATTATTCAAATCAGAAGATAAAATTAATTTTGCTGTTGAAACCCCCCAAAATTAGACCAATTTCAGTTTCGTCTTTTCAAAACCGCCCTGAACCAAAATCTATGTGGAATGTTTCTAAACACTCGAAAAGGAAGTTGACTTTTAATTTACCTTTCACTGTTGGTTTCAACATGAAACAGTCTTTCAACAAGTGTTGTCCATTGGTAACATCTAAAATAAACACATCTTTTAATTAGGTTTATGTCGAGGAATTTACATAAAAGTTGCAAAGTACGCCGACCATGCAGAACCATTAAGAACAGACAACTTAATTAACAGAAAACCTAGAAACAACATTCGGTTCAAAACAAGACAACACGTTTTTGACCTTACCTGACGAAGAAGGAATGAGGTTTAGGTTTTTCAGCTCTAACTATTTGACATTCTGAAAGCAAACAATGTTGAAATTTTCATTTTCTCTTTTAACATTTATGCCCAATCTAATAATGTCAACAGTTGATGGCACCAATCTGATAACATGCTGGCTATAGCATTGCAACTATATATACCAATTGAAAACAAAGCTAGAATTATTGAAATTCTGCAAATTCTGCAGACTTATGATATAATCCTTAGTTTTATGACTTAGTTGTATGACTTATGAATATGACCCTTAGTTTTATGACTTAGTTAGTTGTATGACTTATGAATATGATCATTTGTTGTATGACTTAGTAAGTTGTATGACTTAGTTAGTTGTATGACTTATGAATATGGACATTAGTTGTATGACGTAGTTAGTTGTATGACTTAGTTAGTTGTATGACTTATGAATATGACCATTAGCTGTATGACTTAGTTAGTTGTATGACTTACAAATATGATCAATTGTTAGTTGTATGACTTAGAAAGTTGTATGACTTAGAAAGTTGTATGACTTAGTTAGTTGTATGACTTATGAATATGATCTAAGCCATGCCTTTCGTTGACTTCATGAAAGATTTCAATCAACAATGGTGCAATTTTATCTCACAGATCTTCAGCTTACTTTGTACTGTAAAATTGTTCAACGGCTCTTCGTCTGTCTTGGCAGGGTCTTTATACCCGAGGAAAGATCCATCACTCCAAAGCTGGAAGTAGCGTGGCCTCCAGTTCTTTATATATTCACCTACAACATACACAACATAGCAGACACAATATGTTATACAGCAAGCTCCTGAGTATTATTGGCTACATTATTCTTAGTTATACCATAGTTGGATACTTCTGACTACATTCTGAAGGCATTCATTATAAATGACTTTATAAATGACTGACTTTGTTCCCTGGTCCAGGTATTATCATGCAAAACCAGGCTTCAGGTACTCAATGGCATTGCCCAGACCGTGAAGCCCAATTAGCACCATTATAGGTTTGATTTTAATCTGTTGTTTTGACAATTAATTCCTAGGTGCTACTGTGTTCAGTTGAACGCTTTTAGAAAATTGGTTTTGAACGACCAACCCCTTCTCATTATCCAACAAACCTCGTTTCTGGAGCCATCCCTCTTTGACAATTTTAGCACCAGGCGAGTGTTTATCAACTCCTGGAGGCATTTTCGCCCTAATAAATGATACAGCCGCAATCATATCTCTGATTTTAACATTGAAATTTTCTATATTGACTATAATTAGGTGTTAATTACTTGCACCTTCCTTAAGCTGATTTTTTAAACCCACACAACTTTCAAATTTGGGCACGTTTTTATCAGTTACAAATTTAGCAGTGATTTGTGACATTTTTAGATCAATTATATTATTAGAACATTTACATTTTTCAATCTAATTGCAAAATTGACCGCTATTTACCTTAAAAATTGAAAATGTACTCGAATATACAAAGATTGAAAGTAATACTTTAAAAAAGCAGGAAATTTAAACCTTAATGTAGAATATTCATTTCTGGCTAATTTCCGCGCAATGTTGTAAAAGACAACAAAAGCTTCGCTTAGGAAATATAACGGTGAACCGTAAAGTTCAAAATTAGGTAGAATATAGCATTGTTCTAGAATAGAATGTAGTTTGTTCGCATGTAAAAACAATATACAGACAATGAGTATTTAGCTCGGGCAGAGAACCATGAATTCTTTCGAGTTATACGTTTTTTAGACAGCTATATATCAAAATGAGATGAATATTTTAACTCGAAAACTCACTGCTTGTTGTGTAAGCATGAGTGCGCCATTTACAACAACAAACAAATCAACTTCAATGCTGTATCGATATGATAGTCATCCAGGAAGCGGTTCAGGGCGACGAATATTTATACATGATATCGACTAACAAAACCACAATTTATGCTAAGTCGATAGCTTAGTTGATCAGGCAAGCAAGCAGATATCGACAGTCTTTAGGTGTTGTTAAAAATAGTACAAAAATAGTGTTCACGTACCTATTTTTTGGCTAAAGAAAATCCACTTAATTTGGTAGGAGGAAACGTCAAAAGGCCAAGGAAGCGAGCAGTTAAAGTTAAACCACAGCGGTCCAATTACATTTTACACGCGAGATCGGGTAAACCACGCGTGTAGGTCGCGCATGACGTGGAAGACTCAGTACCTGAAATTACAGTATCTTGTACATCAGTATGAAAACACAGTATCTTGTACATCAAGAATATACCATACTCATTTGTATTATATATGTACAGTTTTTCAAGGCCAACAGACTAAACCGGGAAAATTTGTTGTAAGCGTGTAGCTTAAACGGCGGATGAGCTCAAAATGCAAAACAAATTGTCTATTTATTGAACAACTGAGTTGAAATATTTCAATGAAAATAGTTTGTAGAAATAAAATTTCAATGGAAGCAAATGTTTAATGCATACGACATTACCATATGATCTGAATAGCACAAGCCGTAATTTAAGCATTTGAAATAAAAAGTAGAAATATGATACAGGCGAGGTGATACTCATGAATAACATAATTACTTACAACAATGATTGACAACATAACAGGATATACAAGATATGCATAATAAGTAAAACAACACGACAGACAAAAATTATAACTGGAAAATAGTATTAAAATGCTGAACCTGTTTATTAAGGCCTGGTTTGTGTTTGTGAGAGAAAGAAGAACATGTTAGCAGTGTCTGGGATCGTGAAGCAAGAGCGGGTGTATTCAGATTTACTGTTAGGGTTTTGTAGGTGTTTGTAGACGTGTGAGTGTTTGTCAATGGAGGTGTGTTCTTCATCCTTGTGGCGAGATGACAGGTGGTTTCACGTGGTTTACTCATTCACAAGATGAGACTATTTTTAAACTTTGGCTTATCCACCGTTAGCGCCAATGCGAAATATTTCGCCTGTTTCTTTTGAATTTGAAAAATTAATTCTGCTTCAATGCTCACAATTCAAAAGAAGCAGGTGAAATATTTTGATAAAGCGAAATCGCTTGATAATTTAGCCCGTGGAATTAGGACTTTGAATGTCCGTTTTGCTAAACGACGCTTTTCAACAAGCGGTGCCTGTTTTATAGTAAGGGTCCCTAGCCACTTCTTGCGGAAGTTTTACACCGTCCGCTTTATTTACAACGACAAACTAAAGACTTTTGTATATAATACTGTACCTTTTCAATAGGCCCGGAAAGTGATAAATTGACATAGTATACGTGCACAGAAGAACGTTTTCAAGTGTTTTCATCTATATCATTCCAAAAAACGGATCCAAAAGCTAAGCAATGCTATCTCTTCGATCGTATGAAAAGCAAAATAAGATAAACCAAACGAAAACGCTTTTCAAAACGCGTAATGGGGACTGTTTTCATGAACTTGTTTATCAGATGTTAAACTATAGAAATATGGATTTGAGCAGATCGTAGAATAACTTTCAAAGTTTTAAAAGTAAGTAAATAAAAAGCAGGGTCTAAATATTCCTAAAAACAGCGTGAAGTTCGACCAGCCCAATTTGGGTTCCGATCGCTTTCCAAATCCAACGATTTTGTGACTTTAATATTCCGTGTTGGTCACGTGCACTGCAGAAGCCAAATGCTCTTCCGTATCTTTTTAATCGGCGAGAATTTTTCCATTAAGACCTGCTATCGATATAAAAAAGCTATCTTAATTCAGACTAAGCCAGGTGTTTTCAAAACCATTTGTGTGAATAATTCATTTTGATTATTTTTTATCATTTTGCGTTACGACGTTACCCGACGCACGTGCCAACGAGAAGACACCTTCCTTATTAAAGGCGGATTTCCACTTACAGCGATATCGTTCGCTAGCGAAATATTTGCATATTTTCTTTTGAATTGAGAACAGTCAAGTCGCCCTAATTTATTTATGCTGTTAAAATTCAAAAGAAAATATGTAAATATTTCGCTTACGAACGATTTCGATGTAAGTGGAAATCCGCTTTTAGTTTAGTCTACAGGGTGAGTCAAAAAAAACTGACACCTTTGAAATTCAAATTAGCTGCGAACTTATATGACAATTCCCATGTACAATCAACAAAAACGATTTGATAAAACTGTTCTTTTGTATTTACAGAGCTTAGAATGCATTTTAACTCCCAATGGGAACAAGCTTTATGTTTTAGGTCAATTAATATGATATGCTTCGTATAGCTATGAAATATTTTAAGCAACTTCTGTCACATTACAGCCGCTATGCGACTAATTTGAATTTCAAAGGTGTCCGTTTTTTTTGACTCACCCTGTATAGTAGAGTACACGTGAGCTAAATACTCACGTGGCATTTGCACTACAACCGCAAAACCCCCTCATTTTGTTTATACAGGTCTTCAAACAAGAATGAGACGGCGTTTTAAGTTGCAATAAACTTGGTTAACCTTGAGACTTGTGTTCCAATGCTGTTTCAACAAGCTTGGTACACAGTACATAATCTAACAATATTGGCTTTATTGCTATATATTAATTCTTGTGAGTTGTGTTTGTTGCCAAGTTTGTTGCATCATTGTTACATACTGTATAAGACTTGTCGAAAATCAAAACAACTTGTAGCGAGTCTGAATTGCCATCAGGTTTGCTACATTTCTGTCCCAAACTTGTACAACAACTTTGAGTAAGCAGTGCAAACACATCTTGTTCAGCTTGTGAGCATTCGGCATGCAGGTTGATATATTATTATATTATCGAGACCTGTAAAAAATAATGACTTGTCTCTAATCTCAGAGTTTTCACATGCTATTATTTGAAATATCATTAAAAGCCTGAAACCAAGCAACAGTTACTATTGTCAGGTTATTGACTCTGACACTCGGCCCGTCAACTGGAAGTTAGGAACTGACGAGACATAACGTTTTAATTTTTTTAACTGATTCATAAAAACTTTTTAACTGAGATAAATCTGCCGCAATCATTTTATGAAGGCGTTCTCTTCCTATCTTAGCATTTAAAGAAAACTAAACTGTGTCTGTGCCATAATACTATTTGCGCTCGAAAAGTACATGTTCTCAAAGTAGGGCGCTGATTCCGCGGGCGATATTTTCAGCGAAAGATGCGGTCATCGGTCTAGTCACAACGGCAAAATTTGCCTGCAGTCGTTTGTACGTTTATACGTTTCATACATTCGTTCTGTCCGACGGATTTCTTTTGTGTGTGTATGTTGTTTTGAAGAGAAATCCGTCGGGCAGAAAATACAAAGTTGAATCATATCTTAAGAAGGAAACAAGTTTATTAACAAAATGATACAAAGGAAGTCAATTTAAGTGTTTTTTCAGCACAACAATAAAAATCAGGGGCCGTTTGTATAAAACTCTTCAACTATATTTGCATAGTTAAATCCTATCCAGTGGTCCTAGTGACTCTGATTGGCCAATTCTGTCCTTAACTACAATTCAAAGTTAACTATAGTGTTTTATTTGTTTTGATCGTTTATTAGAGTAAATAATATATTATGTTTTTGAAAATTAAATTAGTCGAGTTTCACTGTCAAATCAGCCATGCCAAACTGAGTGTGCCAATCGCATTTGCAAATAAATAGAAACGAACAGCAACGACGATTAAAAGTAACGAGTCCAATTCCATACAGTGATCTCAAAGAACAGCTGGTACGGCTTCGGCTAAAAATTATTTCAATACGATGATAAGATTGAACGACCACATGTTTAAGCAAATTTAATCCTTAATAAGTTTACTTTTCATGATTTCTGTCTTGAATTAAACCCCCACCCTGGTTTTGTTTAAGGTTTGAAAGCATAATATCGACTGATAGATTTTGAGGTGCAAATTAGATTTGGCTCTGTTGGCAATAAATACGTGTTTTAAACAGACAATATCCAATGCATGAATATATAAGTTGAACTCACCGACAGCCTTGTGAGGATATAAATATATTATTGTGATTTCCCACAATGGTAGCGATGCGTTAAAGAAATTTAAGACTGCTACGAAGGGTTGAAAACAGGTGGAGGAGATTGCTATGGAAAATCATTACTGCAAAGAACAACATCTAGTCGAACCTAAGAGTCGAGCATCAAAAACCAGACAACAACTTTACCGAGACATTTTAATTATTGATAAGGGATTTCAAAGATTTTCCGCTCGCTGATAACAAATTTGTTAGTTACACGAAACCCTGACTCATAACACACACACAACATCGCGAAATTTCGTGGCTCGTGGCCACTATATGCACCTGCCATTAGATGACTAACCAAATCAGATTCTGTTTCAAGTGCGACAATCACCGACCACTGAGTCACTCACCGCTGACTGGCTACGCTACGTTACGCAACAGTAAAAGCCGTCACGTGATTGGTTCCCTGGTTGAGGCCATTAAAATGTAGCATAAAGCGAAACGTTTGCCGAAATACGGTGAACAAAATTTCGATTCATGGCAAGGTGGAAAGGCATTGTACGTCCATACTATGACGAATTCGGAATCCACGAACGCGGATACGGAGTCTGAGGCGCACAGAACGGGAAAAATTGAAAAAATACATAATGCACACCCGTCTTCAACACAACAACACGGCAAAAACATACGAGACAACGAATGGACGACTTCAAAACAACCTTCGCTTTCTACCACCGAAGGAAATTTTGCCCAAATTATACGCGCTAAAGGGAATCCAAAGTCGGAAGAGTTTACCAAGCAAGTGAATTACCTAACAATGGAGAATAGCAATTATTTGAAAGCAGGCTATCCATCAAATCCAAACTCATACTATGGCTGGCTTCCTGGGTTAAATTCAGTGCGTTTTCCTGCCTTTATTTATCCCCAATCGTTTGTGGGATTTGCTCCAACATTGGCATGGATGAAGACGAACACTTCTAGCGAAGGACAGCCGACAAATATTGAAAAAATCGACAGATGGCTGAGCGGCAAGAAAGACACAATTCCAAGCATGGCAAGTCCGTCTGTGAAATATATTATCGACACAGACAACAGCGACAAGTTGAGCTGTACCTCGGAGGCGACCAAAGACCCCAGCGGTAGCGCGAAATCGAGTAACAGTGATGAAGACGAAGGTTTAGTTCTTGACGAGCGAGAGACGGTGAAGCGAAAGCGACAGAAGGAAAGCGCCAAACTTCAAACGGACTGTGTAAAGCCACGGTGCGAACAACGCAGCAGTGTTATTCAGCCTAATATATCCATTCAACCGAAACCATCTGTAATCATAAGACACAGTCAGAATGCGTCTTCTAGCACCGAGCAAGAGGAGAACAGGCCAGCGAAACGTGGCAGGGCTTCCACGCGACAGATTGAAAAGACTGAACAGTACTGGGATCGCAGGAAGAAAAATAACGTAAGCGCGAAGAAATCTCGTGATGCCCGCAGACAACGCGAGGCCGTTATGAATCAACGATCCTCCATGCTCGAGACAGAAAATCTCAGACTTCGTGCAGAGCTGGCGACTTTACGAGATGAGAACGCCAGGTTGAAGATGGAACTAGGTAAATTGAAGAGTCCAACATAGACGTTAGGCAATCCCAAGTATTTATTTCGCGTGAATTAATGAACGCCTGAAAGTGTGTAATATACAATATTGTATTGTAGTCTTTTTGTACATTAACATTTTCCTGCGCGGCTAAAACTCAGACTATGCTGCTGGGTATAACTTTGCCCATTGAGTTAGCGAGGTAGGTTTCGCGCGCGGAAACAAGCGAATCGGCTTTGCTTTTTTCTTTGTAAATGTCGGAGAGTCGCCGTTAGAGGCGAGTGTATATATGGACGACACACTGTGTGACATTTCATGCATGTTGACATCTGTGATATTGTTATGTAACGGGTGTGAATGACCGAGCTATATGTGCACATTGTAAATACGCTTTAAGTATACATGCCAGCCGAAAATTTGAGCAAGTTTGCATAATCTCAAAAGCAATACACGCATGCTCTTACATAAGAAGTTACATAAGGCTTTTTAGACCTAGTATAACACTGTTGCGCATGTAAGCTGTAACCGCAACCCCAGCAATATTTTGCGGTTTTGGCACAAACTTTGAGAGTTCAGCCCGAAGTATATACTTCAATATATTTTGTCTATTTTGGGAAGAATGTTAACCCCGTATAATTCAGGCGTGTTTTTCTTCTTGGAATTTTGCGATGTTTTCAGGAGGTAACAGATCTCCGTAGACACAACTGTGTATATAAATGCTATTAACTATATATAGATAGCGTGTTGCATGTTTGTTTGTTGACGATTTTTTCACCTGCATGTTGAGCAAAAATATTTTGCATAAAATCTCAGTTGAAAAAACAACTTCATCCGTCTAAAAGCGGACAAATATTGGTGCATATAGAATAAAGGGTGTATTTATGTAGTTCCGTGGTTTAATTTTAGAAGCTGGTCGAATCCAGCATTGATAAATATGTATCTATATATATTTTCATGCTGATGGGTATATTAGATTTACTGCAATAAGCTGTGTTCTTTGTGTTCATTAATGATTAAGACACTCCATTATTTGCGAATTGTTTTTCCAAAACACATATGCAATGCCAAAGGCAATTTCTTATTGATATCGTGAGCTCTGCGGAAGAAAAATGACACCTGCGTATTTTTGTCTCGTCTCGTGCGCGGCAAACATGCCCACGTTTTTCGCCTTATCTGCAACTGACATGCATGTGACGTTCGTGCTCAGTTACTGCAACTAAATTCCCCAAACTTTGAACAGAAATTGAACATTGATAATCAAGACGAAAGCTTTATTTCATGGTTTAGACTTGTTTTTATATATATTAACTAATTTTAGGTAAAATATTTGAGGTAGTATAGCATGGATGTTAACGATGAGGACTGCAGCAGTCAAATCCAGCCGTTCGTTGTTCAATCAATCGACTCCACACATTTTAAAAGTTAACAATTAAGAATTGTTTTCATTTTTGCATAAAGCATGACAATCACTAATCAACGCGCAAAAGTGGTCTGAAAAGATTAAAATCTATTTATAATTAAAGGGGATTGTTTTCGATAGGCAATTCTACGTACGTGTGATTTGGGATCTGGTAGCCGACACGTGACTGCTCGCACGCACGCAGCCTGAGATAATCTCATGGAAGAAATTGATTACAAAAATTAACAATAAGTTTGCATCCACTGCGCCGGCACTTGTCCAGCATTCTGTGACACATACAGATCAGTGGCAATGATTCCCCCCGAAATAAGAATTGTTAGCAGTAGTTGCAGTATGGAACAATTTAGGCATTTTAGGACGGGCAACACAACAAGTTTAAAACTTTAAAACAACACCGAACACACTAAATGATACTGTACTTATAAATTAAAACTATATTGCATTTAATATTCTTGACATCAATAAGTAAATTATACTTGTACCAACAAACTAATTTACTTATATTGCATTTATTAATAATTACGGTATGAATTGATGATAATGCAATATATTTAACTATATTTTGATTGAAAAGTTTTTATTCATATTTTCCAGGACAATTCCTTTAACGACAAGAATGCTACACTTATAATATTACACTTGCAAATTTTGCTCCGATATTTTTCTTTTGATCGATGTGAACAAGTGAATTAATAGTTATATAACAAAGAGTAGGTTATATAACATTTATTTGCGACAAGGCAGTAATAAATGAAAACTTTTTTACGAAAACTGTCGTCTTTCACTTATTTTTTCGATTAACTATGAAAGATTATGCTTTACAGAGACACTGAAACGGATTGCGTGTACAACGGTTGTTACCATGGTTGCAAAGACACGACAGCGTTTAATGGTATAAAAATAGTGTTTGAAAAGAAAGGTAAAATAAATTACTGTTATTAGCGATAAGTTTAATGATTATTTACATTATCAATGCATGGGGTTCTCCGGCATGGCTCAAGCGACTTATCAGAAGGACTTAAAGTCAAGCGACGCCAAGATAAACCCGATCTTAGGTTCAAAACATATCTCACTCTATATTGACGGATAAGTTGTAAAATCTTTGAACGTATTGGGCATGCGTTGACTTCATTTAAACTCCTCGTTGTTCTGCTTATCTGCACGAAAAGAATGCCTTTCGGGATGAACACAAAATATTTCCTTCATTAAGGAATATACAAAACATCAATCAAGAACTATGAAGTATCTCTTTTTACACACAGCTTATTCAATTAAGAAATAAGGTTGTATCTTGAAAACTGTAAAACTTGACATTTGAGCGAAAGGAGAGCGTTTCAGCTTGCATGCAAATTTCAGATGTTGTGACCATGGAATAGCCAATAAAACTTGACCATTTCAGACCATGCGATTTGAAATGGGGTTTATTTGCATACAAGCTGAAAAGGTCTATTGTAACCTATTTTGCTTGTTTATAAGTACTTTTACTAATTAAGCCGATGAACTTAGAAAATTGCCTTTTTCTAAGGTCGGCATTTTGCTGACCCTTAATAAGACACAAGACAAAAAACCTCAGCTTTTCACTGAAAGGTTTAAGTCAGGCGGTCTTTCATTTATAAACTCTCCTCGAAAACCTCTCATATTGTTGTTATATTGTGCAGCATTGCAGAAACACTGAGATAATTGCCACTTACAACTTCTTACATAATGCTATGTACGCCCAGACAAACGGTGTGAATATAAGTTCCTGAAATATTGAATGCCAATCTGCGAAATATAGCCTATTGACGTCATTGGCGGCAATTATGGTCAAATTCTCATACCGATGCGAACATAAACTTTCGAAAATATTGAATGACAGTCTGCGAACCCTAGCCGATTGACGTCATCACCAGCATTTATGGTAAACGTGAAGAAATTTTATGTATAAAAAAATGCGATGCACTTCACAGTTTCTAGGAAACGTGTATAACAATTAGCCGCGTGAAGTTGCCTTTATTTTCCCATTAATTACATGTGTAACATTTATAGTGCAGAAATACTGTCTACAATCGCAATATATCAAAAGCGACTTCCGACAAATTGGTAGAATATTATCTATATACAAACACACAGATGTACTTGAGACTAGGTAACGTGTACCAGAATGCATGGACCGCGCGAAAATGCCTTTCATTTTGCGCTATCTTAATAAAGTCGTTGAAAGCGCATGGGATTTTACGGCTTCTGGTCAGTCATGCCTGTGCTAATGTTCTCTAAGACGGTTTGTCTGCCATCGTAATGTGACGTAAGGTGCACATTTCCTAGATTAGGGTGTCATTGTCTATACTACACACAGTGTCCACGCACAAAAGAGAGAATTCGCACAGCATACACATGCAGTCAGCCCCATGCATCTGCTCTGTGTTCGAACATATCAAAGGATACGAATATCTATCTCTTTATCGCAATGCAACGTCAACATCTCGCTCAATACTCACAAACTTGAGAGCATCCATTGCGCTGTATCTGAAAAAACACATAAAAAACAAATCAAAGAGATTGCATCATTCTACATAACCTGCACTAGGCTTCGAGCTGAACGCATCGGAGTTTCTTTAGGGTGAAAATCAAAACACTTTCGACGTTCATATCGGGAGAAACTGAATAAAATGCCCGATAACGCATTCAAATTTTTCACTCGCGTGAATTGGGAATTCCTTGCCATTTGCCATCATCACTGATATTAAGGAGAAAAAAAGTTAAGGACTTTAAATCACTTATGTATAACTTTAGGGAGTTCAAGGTCTGCATGATTCGGTAACTTCAAATAGTTTTGTTCCAATGCTGTTAACTGGATCCTTTTGAACCAATTTGAAACTGTGTTTATGAAATGCATGCATGGATGTAGATTTAATTATAAATTTTTGAACTTCGTCAGGAATTTTTGAATTTCCGAGAATATTATATTTGCGAATATTTGTGTGTGTGAAAGGTTGTTGACACCAACTGCAATGAGAAAAGTAGGCAAATATTTGCAAGGGACCGATTAATCTCCTGCAAGTGAAAATCGCCACAAACTGTTTTGACGAAGTGCCACTGGATGGCACGAAGTTGCCCCTTTCTAGTTTCTGAAACAAAAAATATCTTGGAAGGTTGCTATGGGCTACCTGTAGTCAAAGAATAGTTCATCTCCAGTTTCGATGTATCTTTTTGCAAATATCCCAATACGATGATCACCGTTCACCATCATTACTACACGTAAATATAAATATCACGTTATGTGAAAAATAAACGCATTACAAATTTAAGAATTCAAAGAGCATGATCACAAGGTTAATACCTTTTGCATAGCAGTTAGGATTGATAGAGTGGTTTGCAAAGCGCATCTTGTTCCCTTTTCTAGTTGCGTCAACCACGTGGTCTGTGATATGGAGGATATACTTTAATATTATATACACAAGCGCTGGATATGAGCTGATGTGCAATCTGATTGGCTCTCCACTAGACAGCTAATATCTGTCTGGTGGAGAAACGTAAACAAAATGGCGGCAGGATTTGGGGCGTATAAAACTGTTAAGTATACAGTTCTGAATTTAAAGTTTAAACCGCAACCAATTCTAATGGACGGCAATGAAAGGCGGCTTGAAGGAGTGGTCGTGCTTTACTCAAACAGGTAAAAATACTATATTTCTTAAATTGTCATCCCACTTCACTTTAGGTTTTTTTTTGTCTGAAAACACGTTGGAAATGCATGAAAATTGCTGAATTAAAAACTTAAAAGTATTAATCAAAAACTGTGGCCACACCCAAACACAAACGGCCACGCCAACAGAAATATGCGACCCCACCCAAAAACAGTGACCACGCCCGAAAATATGTGACCACGCCCGAAAATTATTTTAGACCATCACTCTTGAAATTCTGGCTAACACCTTGACTACAACACAATTTCTATAGAACGTTAGCTGGCGTAATGAAACGATTGTTAAATCGCCAAAGGTCGTCTGAAATTCATCCAACTAGTTAGGTTCCTTACGTACCGTTATTTAGATTGAAAAGAAAGCTGCACATGTATTTATCGTAGACCTTTCCACGTCTGTCTGCTTCGTCCTGGGATATCATCTTGCCATAATTGAGAGAAGAATACTGTACTTAATTTTTAGCGTTTTTACAGAATTTGCAGTCGTGAAAAAAGTAAGACCGAACAAAGTCGTTATCATTATTAATAGAATATTAATATTGGGGTAGAATCACTTGAGTTCATTCGAGAATTGTTCACTTACAATATATGAAAACATAAATAGATATATATCACACCAAAGGTGCTGTACATTATGCAATTTTCTTACAACTTGCAGTGCAATGACAATTTTGAATGATGTTAATTTTCAAAGAGTGCTCGATATGCAAAGAAAACGTTAGCAGATCGTAAGAAATGTTCGTATTGGACAACTTCAGATACCTCAGGAGTAGAATTGCATTGCAAATTGCAAGGAAAGTGGCATAGTCACAGTTGTAACACTGCCTTAAATATAGTTAAAAATTTGTAAAATAGTATATCAATCATGAAAAATGATCAAATTCATCATTCAAAAGTTCATCGAATTAACATTCACATTGTAGAATCTTCAGAGGTAATATTTTTTTTGCTATTTTCCTTACGTTGCATCAGCAAATGTTAGCTCACTTACCTCTCCACAATATTCTCCAATCAACTCGTTTTTCTGACAGGAATCCTTGATGAACACTCCCCAGCCTGCAACATCTGACGGCGCAAAATACATGTGCTGAAATGACAAGACAAAAAACTTCTTACTTCACTAGATCAGAAAACTCTTTGTCATTATCACATTTACAGTTCACAGCGGCTAAGCAACGGGACTGAAAGTTATTGGCTATGGAACAGGACAAAAACTTGCATAGAAAAAACTTTTGAGGTGATTTCACAAGTAAACTTTATTCCTTTCAACTTCTGCATCCGTAGCAGATAATCCCAAACTAAGCTAGCGAATTGCTATGGCCCTATTTGTAGTTCTGTAATAGTTTATTTTAATGAGGGAAACTTCGAAGGGCATATAATAGAGGCGACTCACACGAGTTAAAGCCTACTGCATGATCTCACACGAGTATGTATTGCAGTCACCCTTACCGCAGGCCAGGCCTGCTGATACGGGTAGTGTTAATTTGCGGGCTTGAAAACTGGAAAGCATTGTCACGTAGGAACAAACTATGAGTTCATAGTCTAGGGATGCAATTTTCCCGCTAATTTGAAAAACCTAACGAGAATTGCACTCTTAAAAAAGTGCACTTCGTGACTTCAAGGGTAACAGGTGTCACGTGTAATATAGCGCATACTGTCGTAAACATCATGGCTCTAGGGCATATAGTTGAATGATAGCAGTTAGTTCAGTAATAGCATACTGGCAATGACTTGCCGTTTGATGAAATGATTAAATGAAAACAATTTACAGCATACGCACGCACATCCGATCCGTAAATAGCAAAACTTAATTAAAACTGGTCGGGAATTGAACAATATTCTTCACAAAATACATACACGAAACTACGTCACACGAATACGAAACGCCTACACTCATAAAAATCACAAAAACAACGGCACGCGAGAAAAGCTAATCCGGCTATTTTTGTCTTAATCTTTTCTAATTTAAATCACCTTTAATCATTTGAATAATCTTTGTATAACGTCAAAAACATATATAGCGATATATGCACGAGATTGGCTGTAATTTATAGCACATGGCACAAAAAAAGTCCTAAAACTGGAGAACACCCATTAAACGTCGTTATTTTGTTCAAGCAAAAGTTGAAATAAAACAAAATTGCTTTTAAGTGCCTTCCAGAACCCCCTCCCAAAACCCCCTCCCAAAACCCCCTCCCAAAACCCCCTCCCAAAAACCCCCGCCAAGAAGCCCCTTCAAGAACCCCCTCCCAAACACCCCTCCAAGAAGTCCTCCCAAAATCCGCTCTAAAATTCCGCTCCCAACCCCCCTCCTGCATATACCTTTCTATCCCCACGCTGCAAGCCGACATTCTTACAACACATCGCGTCGCTGGAGAAGTTGTCCGCTCCACACGTGTGACAGAGATCTGGGTCACACTCACGCACGGCCAGGAAGCATGGGCACTGCTTGGTCACGCACTGTGCTTTGCATCGGCACCCGGGAAACCTGTTTTGACCTAAAAAAAAACAAAAACGAATTAAACTTTCGATTGCAAAATACCTAGCCAAAAAGGCTTTCGCAAAACCATACCATATAAACAATATCGACGCCATTTCAGCTGATCTGAGTATAAAAATCAATCAGTCAGAAGCCAGATGATCGACAAAACGGAATTATCATTTCTTTCATTTCATAATTCATACGACTTCGGCACTGGAAAATCTCAAGTAATGCTATTATTTTTATGCTGAAATATGTTTTTAAGGGATAACGGAAGAACAGGGCCAAATAACTTCAGGCGCATGGTAACTCGACGCGAGATTGTCTCAGATTAACACGGGTTATTAAGCGAAATATCTTCAAATGTCGTTTCCCTTTCCACGAACCACGAGAAATTTTCTCATTTAAATATCATTTTTAGACTTCACAAAAAACAACCTTATTCGTTGAAGCTAGGGTTTAAAGCCTGTTTTCTACTAGGCGAATTTATTCTTGATATCTGTAATCCAGCGATCTGATTGCTTTGCTAAAAAATTCGCCGCGAAAAAGTAGAATCGCTTCCTACTTTTCATCTGTTCACCCGAATAAATTCGGCAAGTGGAGCTAGTGGAATTATGACTGAAAAATTGTGTTTGTTGCATGGCGATAGAACTAGATTAATAAACAATACGCCAGGTTGTTGTAAATATGACTCACAATCAGGACTGCATTGACAGAACTTTTCGCAGAAGTTCTGAGTGGCGATACAGATGCAAGACTGATCACATGCTTGTCCAGGATGGTCACATGGTACATAGTTGTACACGTGATTGTTTGTGCTGTCTAAAAATCGAAAAAAGACAGATCGGTCAGCGCGTCATGTTTGAAAGGTCGATGCGACATTCTTCCAAAGTTTCCCAAAGATTTACCCTTCCATGCATGAAGAAATGAGTGTCGCTTTGAAATGAGTATGTTTTCTTATTTTCATAAAAAACATGATAAAATAATTAAAACTCAATGAAAAAGGATCTGGAACTGTTACCTTTTTTCAACTGGATCTTCCTGCAGTGCAAGGACCATAGCCTGGAATTATAGAGGAACATATTTCGCTGTTATTAATAGGTTTGTCAGTGCCAGGTTACCAAACAAAGGTTGATAACTAGTCAAAGAAAGTCAACCTCCCCTCTCCCTCCTCCCAGCATAGAGAAGTTGCTGAAATACCTGTGTTTTCTTTTTTTCTTTGCTTTTTGATTCGCATCTTCGAACTCGGGGACTGGATCCTCGTCCTGCCCATCATGCAACGAGTGCTGGTAAACCTGAAAGCAAGTCTATCGTTTTATTCAAGAAGCAAACTAAATGTTTTTAACCTTAATACAAAGATACTGTTTACAACTACATATCCAGTGCATAATAATCATAATATTCAGTTGACTCATTCAAGAGAGATGTAAGCATGTTATTTAATTTTGACTTATACACTGTTTAAGTAACGGGCTTTTAACTAGTTTTTTATACAACCAGCCCCAGTTGTATAAAAGACTAGTTAACTTTTAACTGTAGTTAAGGACAGAATTGGCCAAACAGAGTTAACTAGCCGGATTTAACTATGCAAAATGTAGAGGTTCAAAGGGTCTTAATTTCGAGTGGAATTATACACACTTCAAATTCAAGCCAGGAACAGTTGATGGACAAATGAGTCAACTATCGGTCCTCCGGCAGGAATCGAACCTACGCTCTTGCGATGCCGGTGCAATGCTCTTGTCACTGAGTGGACAGTGAACACAACCCAGAGTAACAAAAGCACTTTTTTACCTCTTCACATGACTTAGTCTTGATCAATTTCGCAAGTGTGCAGAAATTACTTTGATAGATGGGTTTAAGAACACGATACAGCGAGCTCTCGGCCCCATTCCACGAGACGACGTCGCTGCTCGAACGACGCTTCTTACTGTCCTGAAAACGGCGGGAAAACAACAAAACTGTGACAAGGAAGCAACACAGTTGAATTTCGTTTTAGACCAATCAGCAAGTTTCAAATGAAACCAACATTAAGAGATGATTTTCCACGTATTTTATCGACGTAATATTTGTATTTTGTAAACATCTCGATACATGCAAAGAAAAAAAGTTTTTTCTTTCAGAAAGAGACGGTAGATTGCTTTGGTGAACTAGCATTTCTAAACTTATCTGATATGTTCATCTGATATGTTTATACCTTGGTATGCATGAAGCAATTTTCACCGCAAGGGTTTGACTCTTGAAGATCATCAGGGCTCTATACAAGAAAAACGAAAACAAAAACACATATACATCTGTTGCTAAATATTGACTAAATTTCTTGCTTTTAGAACTTTCGAAAATAACCCTGAACCTCACGAGTCAAGTGCAAAGATGCGGAACGTTCTTCTCAACATATTCTCAAAGAAGAACGGTTTATTTTGACCAATAAATGTGAAAATAAGCTGTAACACTAAAACCAGGCTCCAGGGCAACTCTGCGCGCAGCTCGTGGGAGCGAAACCTGAAATTTCATTTAAGTTGGTTCTGGATTGAGAACCATAAAACTGTGACGTAATTTATCGAAAGGATCTATTTAAAATTTAAATCGCTACGATCATTTGCATTTTGAATCACTATCACTCTAAAGAAATAAAATTGCTCGCATGATAATTAGACCAATTTCATTTCAAGAACTAAAAACGAACAGGACGAGTTCAAAGTTTATAAATATCTAAACGTATATCGCACGATTTTATATGATTGTATTTTGCTTTCATTCTGAGATATTTCTAAGCAGCCGCGTTCAATTCCACGTAAGTCGTCTTCCAAGAACACCACCCGCTGTTCACACAAAGATATTTATCATAATAATACCACAATCACCATTTCGTTTCATTTCCATCGAGAAGAGCTGAAGCATATTCTTTACAGAAAGTCATCAATGTACAGAAGTCATAAGAACTGACATATGATGAAAGAATAACTTCAAGAGATGCAAAGAAGGACGCACTATATTAGGATGAAGTCAAACGGTTCAAGCGATGAAGATAGATATGGATTTTACAACAGGAGGAAATTGAAAGTGTACATATACGAAAGTGAGTTGAAGAAAATCAAGAATTGGGTGTTAATGCATAAGAACATTGAGACGGGAGGTGATTTGTTTGGCCTGTGGATCGATTCGCATACAGCTGTCGTTCAGTTTGTACTGGGTCCAGGAAAGGACTGCAGACGCCACACGACCTCGTTCTTTCAAGATCTGCAGTATTTAGCGACGGCTGGAGATTACCTTACCAAAAAACACGGCCTTTGCAACATCGGACAGTGGCATTCGCATCATCAACTGAGTCTGAACGAGCCGAGCGGTGGCGACGAAAGCACAGTTTGGGGGAATATGCCAAATCTTGGTCTCAGCAGATACATCGTTTGCATCGCGAATATTTCTGCGAAACGAAACTACTACGATGCCAGCGTGAACTGCTTCCTGTTTGAGGTAGACAAGCATAAAGAAAGGCTGCCTGTTTTGAAAGGGGAATTTCAAATGCTCGAGCAATCGAGCCCGGTGGCGAAGCATTGCGAAGTTGCAGCTGAGATTTCTGATGGAGCCGAATGGGTTCCTCGCCAACCAGCCCCAAATCTCGAAGATCGTATTGAGCGTATATTGTTATATCTTTGGTTAATGTTGACTAAATTTTGTACCGTTAAAAAACTTGCTATCATAACGGTCATAACAATCTTGTTTCTCATTATAATCGCTGCTGCATTTGGCGATCATGAGTCTAAAGAATAAGGACTTTGTTTCCGAGAATAAATATATTTAACCCTGTCATAATATACTCTTGAGGATTATCTAACGATAGTAGTCATAGCACATTTGGACTTGTCTGCTGTTCATAGCTCTAAAGATTTGCTTTCGGAGCTAAATTTATGCCTTTAAAAACTGAAAATGTGCTGGCCAAGGATATAATAAACGATGAAGGCGAGAGAACTCAGAGAAGGACTAATGAATAAAAGGCACAGGAAAATTCCCGCGGAAAATTCTGTCAAGTGGAAAAAAGCGTGATATATAAAAACACTACCGTAAATCCGTAATATAATATTTTTGACCTCTGGGTCGATTGCTTAACTCTGTGCATTTTACAATACTCCTGTCGACTTGAAATTTCTCTTAAAAACTATAGCACTGTATGTAAAATTTAGATCAAATAAAGCAATGGTATGCATTCTGTGCACGAGTTATGAAAACCGACCAAAATGACAACGATTAGTATTTACGAACCAGTAATTAAACAAACAGTATCGTTCATTCGCTCTCATATCACACTTGCTAAAACGGTTGTGATTCAAAGCGTTTCACACGCATGACCGCGCGACTATCACATGCATGCATTTTAAATTGGCTGAATTATTTCCACTTGTGGATTCAAACTTCATTTCAAACAAACCAGTTTCCAAATACATCAAGGATATCCGCACAAACAACGCTCAAAACACGTACTGTGTTATAGAAAGTTCTCACAAACTCCCCTTTAATAAATGAATGTTGCATTACGCCATCCTTCTGTGAAATCTTCAAGCGACCTAATTCCATGTAAATCAACTTCCTGGAAGCGGTGACCACCAACATGATTGTGTCTCGGGTTACTTTTATATTCAAGAATGACTTTCGCTTTGGAGCAGTCAATGGAGGAATAGAAGTCGTATTCAAGTTTCTTTTTTTTCCTGAAACGCTTTCAAAGAACGAGCCTTTTCAGGACAAGAGTTCACGGAAAGATCACATTAGAGTATACAAGGGCACGCTGCAATACGGAGGATGGAATCCCTCAGGTATTGAACAAGAAAGGTTTCGATTTGCTAATCTGAATTCAGGAACAATAAACAAGAGTTCGAACACGAGGGTTGTAGCACACTGTATTTTCGAGCGGCAAGAGCAGAACGTGTAGTTTCGGTGAATTAAACTCGATTAGATTATACATGTCCAAGGGAAATAATAAGCCTAACAAAAAACGGGGGAAACAAGGAATAGGTAAATTTAAGGATCAAGAAATGGCCAGCACAGCCGAGTATACGCTTCTCAATACGGAAGAATCGAGCAGCGAAGATGAATATAGAAGCAGGATGAAAGATGGTAGAAAATTGAAAGTCTACATATACGAAAGCGAGTTGAATAAAATCAAGAATTGGGTGTTGTTGTATAAGAACATTGAGACGGGGGGTGATTTGTTTGGCCTGTGGATCGATCCACACACAGCTGTCGTTCAGTTTGTACTGGGTCCAGGAAAGGACTGCAGACGCCACACGACCTCGTTCTTTCAAGATCTGCAGTATTTAGCGACGGCTGGAGGTTACCTAACTAAGAAACACGGCCTTTGCAACATCGGACAGTGGCATTCGCATCATCAACTGCGTCTGAACGAGCCGAGCGGTGGAGATGAAAGCACAGTTTGGGGGAATATGCCCAATCTTGGTCTCAGCAGATACATCGTTTGCATCGCGAATATCACCAAATCCAAGGGAAACGTTTACGATGCTGGCGTGAACTGCTTTCTGTTTCAGCTGGATGAGCAACGGGGAAAGTTGCCCGTGTTGAAGGGGGAATTTGAGAAGATGGGAAACGCAAGCCCGGTCACAGAGCATTTGGAGGATGCGATGGAAATAGCTGAAGGTGCTGAACCACCTCCAGAAGAGGAAGATGAAGATGAAACGACAGAGTCTAGTTGTTCGCGTTTCTTCTCCAATGTTTGGTTGAGCTTTTGGAAAATAATTACTAGTCCTACCTTTAGAAACCTCGCAATTATTGCAGGCATCGCCGTGCCGATCATTGTGGTCGGTATTGTGTTTACTGTCATAGACAGAGAAAAGTGAGACGAAGACTGAAGAGAACTGTTTAGAAAAACATTGTACTTCAGAACTCGGACGTTCGATGCTGTAAATGAGTGAAGGGTGTTAAAATGAAGAGTTCTTATAATCAAACTAAATAAATATATGTAACTCGCGATAGCCGGCGTGCATGGTTTGTGTAGGAGTGTAGAAATCCTGGGCGGGACGGTGGGGCAATTTCTTCAACAATAAAAGCGATGTAAAAAGCCTTTTTGTTCACGTTTTTCCTAAAAACCCTTTGAAAGATCCCTCTGGGATCCTTTAGCGTCAATATTACAGCAAATTATTTGCCTGTTTTAGATGTTTAAAGACATTTGCCCGGTGTAAAAAGTGCCTCCTCCCAAAGCCGCCAGACCGCACAGCTTCCTGGTGAGCTGAGCCTATGAAATACAGTATCTTCAAAAGAGACCTCACCTTGCGTCTGACTTGTGTTGGTAGTGGCTTCCAGGCGTGGAGAACGCAATCATATTTGAAACATCTTCGGCAGAACAGCATATGAAATGAATGCATCGTCTGTTCTCTTGAAGCAGACTGCGCCTCTTCACTAGAAGAGAAGAAGTATTATTTCATCTTTTAAAACATAAATTTCAATTTTGAACGTACCACCATTCAAAAAAGGGAGGGAAAAGCTACTTAAAGATACTTTTGTCATAGCCACATAGGTGATATCACATTTACGGTAAGGACGGCCTTCCCTAAATCTTAAAATAATATACGTATTTCAAAAAGGCTTCGCAGCCCAGGCCTTTCCCACATTCTTTTTAAAAACATCGGCCTAGTTAGGTTTTAACCTTGTTCGATATGGAAACAAACTGACCTTCAAATTTCTGGAACATTAACATTTTAAGACCTAACGAATCGCACGCACTTTGGAAACTTATTACGTCTATTTAACAATTAGTCGCGAGGTGATTACAAGATTACAAGCCTATATTCACTGAGCTGAAGGCGAAGTGGATATTAAGGCTTGTAATCACCGAGCCTAATTGTTTTAGTATAAATTTCGATGTGTTCACAAATAATATAGTCAACATCATTTCATAAAAATTTATAATTCAAATTTCTTAGTTGAAATCCAACAACAAAAAGCTATAGTCACCGACCAGAGACTATCACTTCAGAGACAGTGAATCTTGACCAATCAGAATACAGGAAGACCAATAGTCACCTCAAAATTTATACTAAATATGGTTATTTACCTGTCTATATTTGGTGTGCATTGTTGAGGGGCTCCACCACCAGTCAACCGTTGTTTTATTTCCTTGTACCTGGTGAGATATTGAGGACTTTTACTGATCTACTTTAGAATACATCTATGCACAGTCAATAGTTCAAAGGCAGATGATTCTTCTGGGAGGAAAACCATACTCCGAAAAACAACATCTTGTGAATATAAGATTTGAGTTTTAAAACAAACAAACAAGTTCATGGTGATGATGTGTACATTCACACCAACATTCTCTTGTTTGCTTTCATACCTTGTTTGGATGTCTTCCAATGTCCAACCTTTTCCAGGGCAGAGATTTAAAATAACTTGAAATATTTCATCTGCAGGCATACCATTGCTATTTAACTCCACCATACAAGAGCCTATTAAGACAAACATAAGTTTTTAAGACACTCCAAAACAAAAATGAGGCAGCATTACATATCAACTGTCTATAAGAGTGTGTTCTCTGTTAACATAAACCCCATAATGTCCAAAGTTGGATAGGGGAAATAATCACAGACCAAAAATGCAAAAGAAGATAAAATTATGGATAATTAACAATGAACACTGAAACTAACTTTTTTGTTCCAAATTTTCACCACTCAAAGTTTTATCCTCAGATTTGGTGAGATTATTGATTATTTCATACAGCATATCATCCGTTAAGCTACCATCATCAATTACTAGAGCAGTACAAAAGAAATTATGAAGAAATAAATTTTACATCCACTATAGTTACATTAGGTTGTTTCAAGGTATCTTGATCCGTCATTAATCGGTACATTCAATTACCATGATCGGGAGTTCTGTGCACTTTGCCATCATAATTTTTAATCAATTCTTCAATAAACGTGCCATCCTGATCGAGAACTTCCTCCCCCATGTATGGTATGTTGTGTAACACTGTTTCGTCTTCAACCTATGCAAGTAAAAGCACTCAATCGATTCAATTTAATAATAAAAAGCAGCCTAAAGATGCAATCATCTCCAATACTTTGGTTTGCAGACACATCATCTCTGAATACTTTGGTTTGAAACAAAGGTTTGCAATTAGATAGCATACGAGATAGATAGTTTAGATAGTTTGCAATTACTCTTAAACAGCAGAAAAGCATTACATATAATTACCATGTAGTTATGTTGCAAAGAAACCCATGTAAAAAATGGTGGAATTGGAGAGACAGAATACAGCACTCTTAGACAAGTGTATTGAGGAGGGAAGGTCCCGCCAGACTTGACACATGCCTGCAAAAAAGAAGTGTTTCATGTGTTTATCGTTCATAAACCTACAGGAATAATGATTATTGTTGTGGTACTGTATGGTGATTACACATTGACTACCATGAATACCACGTAGAGAATATAATGAAGCTTAGTTTCAATTTTGTCCATGCTTGATGCAAATACAACAAATGGCAGATCTAAAAGAGTTTTATCATATCTTTGCAATCAGTTACAACAGATTTTAATACACCACACAAAAGGCTAGATAAACTTAGACTATTTCACATCATCCACTTGTCACTGCAGGCTGAAGTAAGGTAACCAACATAAGGGGAATTGCTCGAAGTTGGTATAACCATCCAGTATCAATGCAACCTGAACTGAACCTGAAGTCTCTATAAACCTCAAATTTCTCACAAACCTTTCTTGTAGTTTGCATGTGCCCAGTGATAGGAGCAAAGCTAACAGATTTATATTCCTTTGCTTTCTTCTGGAGTTCTGCAAGTTTTTCAAGTTGATCTTTGATTTTGAATCGGTTTGCAGAAAAACTGGCCTAAAAACAATTCTCATAAGTTTAGTTTATTGCACAAAGCAAGAACATAATAAATGAAAGATGATTAAATTGCAGGTGCCCAATCTCTGGTAGGGTAACTATAGGTATAGATTTACAATACATAGATTGGTTTATCGCATACATTTTGACTTATAAACAAGTGCACAGTAATATGTGTATGCATAAAAATATCACATCTTTTAACAAGTCTGTAAACAAGTTGCATTTGCACTGCTTGTCCCTTAAGCTGTTGATGAGTATGGGAGAACTCGTAAACAAGTTGTAACAATATTCTTGTAAGTTTGCATGGTGACATCAAAAAAGTAAATTAGACCTAGGTCAAACCTTGCTCTTCTCATGTCCAGAACTTAATGCAAATGAGCTCAAGCAAAGACTTTAATTCATTTGCATTAGCTTTGGTCCATGAAAAGAGCAATGTTCAACCTAGGCTTTAGCTTGTAGGAAGTTGTAACAAACTTGTTGAATCAAGACATTTTGTGACGCTGGTAAAAACCTGATCTAACAATATCGCTACAATCTTGTGTTGCAACATTATTATATCATAGCTTTATCAGACTTGTCAAAACAATCTTGTAACAAGTCTGATAATGCGTTTTTGCGTGTGTAGTGTAAAAACACCACACGCGTTTTGGCGTTTTGGCCGCCTGTGATGCAATTGACTGTAAACAATTATCCTAACACACAAGAAAATAATCTTACATCTCTTAATTTTCACTTCTTTCATTTTTGCCGCGCTAAAACCGTAAACCCTTCATTTTTGGTGAAAAAAACATGAACTATAGTCCAACACTCGCACAACATGAAATTTAATTCTCCCGCGGCAAACGGACACGTGCAAGTTACCTTACACAACATTCTGCAAGTTAGAAATATGACATGTTTCCTACCTTAACTTCTTCGTCTGCTTCCCGCTTTTTTACTTCTTTAAGACGACAGTATTCATCCTCCACTGCCTTAGTTAAAAGCTCAATATCCATCGTTATTTTCAATGATTTGAAATAGAAAATGTACAATTTTAAAATGTAATTCTCCGCTTGAAATATTTGCTCTCGGACATTCAGAGAGCTCAGAGCTTCCGATTACCTGCGAACAGGCTGTGCCGGATATGGTCGTGGTTTGCTCGGACTCGGACGGCAAACAAAAAGCATCCTAAAAAAGTGGTTTATTTCCTAGCTTGACAACTTTTTCAAATTTTTACTTTGAGAAATTTGTTAGCTTACTAAAAGTTATTAAATTGAGGCATATAATTCTGTGTTTTTAAAATATTATACTTGTTTCCCTAAATTTGTCTTGATTTTGGTTTCCCGAAGTTGGTCCGAAGCCGTGGCGACGTCAGATAGCTGTTGTTATGGTAACGAAGCTCCTAGCTACATGGTCATTTTCTATGAGTGTGTACAATTTCTTATAAATGTCAAATTTCTGCTGTTTATTTCATCATTTGCAGAAAGGAAACTAATGCGTCTTGTTTATCTTGATCAAAGTGGAGTATGAGGTGTATTTCTGGAGATTTTACGGAGTTGTCGAAGCCTTGACAAGTGAAATTTGGTTCCAAAATCGTCAGTATTGGTAAAGAATTTGTAGTTGTACTGTAGCTGTATGTAATACAGTTCATGCAATAACACCACTCACAGTTCCATGCAATGCATAGTCATATGTGCTCTAAAGCTTATATAGAAAGTACTTTAAATGATTAATTACAGTGTGTATAGAACTGCCTCGTTGTTTAAATTAAAATATTATTAATATATATATATATATATAAAAGTAAAACCAGGCAGTTCTGTACAACGTTTACTTACAACTTTCCTTTCTGTTCACGCTACAGCACTCACAAAATATTGCTTGGTAGTTTTACTGCATGGTTTAATGGGTGAAACTGTTTTTCCATCATCAGACAATGACATCGGTGTCCCAGAAGATTGTTCAAACCTATGGCATAGAAGTGAGTGAAGGAATCCAGTGGAAAGGATGGGAACCTGGTGGAGAATATACAAAACAAATAACATTGAAAAATATTCAAGTGAAGACACAAAAGATTATTTATAAGTAAGATATAGCTACTGTTGTGTTTATTTAGCTAAATTGCTACATAGATAAATTAGTCAGATAAACCAATATTGTCGATTTCATATGAAATGCTACAACATGAACTTCCAAAGTTGGAAACGCAATTGAAAGGTTCCCAACAAATTTCTAGATTGTGCATGGAAAAGTAATATGAGATCAACAATTACAATTACTTTGTATTACCATATCCAAACCCTAATTTTTCCCTAGTACCCATATCAACAAAGTATAATTGTAACTATACTTTCAAGTATATCCTCCAAAAGTCCTGACAAAAAAACAATGATTTGCATGTAGAGTTCCAGACACACGATTCTTCACCACCCTGTATCCGAAACCAGTCATCCTGACATGTGGGACAAGTTTCACACTACCAGTGACTTTCAGACCATTGGAAAAGGTTTGTAATTACCTTTCTATATATAGTTGTCAGCATACAATATAAATCAAGGTAAATGCTAATATACTGTTTCTAATATTTTCAATGTTCCACAAATTTTTCAGGACCAATATGAGGACAAAATTGAGTTCCAAACTAAAGTAAGATATGATTGATTGATTATGCACATTTTGGACACCAAAACACACTCTTGGACAAGTTGATCAGGGCTTATAATCATGCATACACATGTGCATCCCTAAATATCTTATTTTTTTACAGTTTGCAGCTCTTTTGTTATGCCCTCCAGTAGGACATTATTTTGAACCATGGTATTTTAGTTTTTGTTAGGCAGGAAGACATCACCTCATTAATTGTCTTTTTGATTTTGCAACAGGATGGGAGTTTTGCTGTTCCCATAAGGGCTGTGCTACCGAAGGCTGACCTGCTCGTGCCCAAAATGCTAACATTTGGAATGTGTGCAATAAAAGACACTTGTGAACTGAGTTTTAAGCTCACCAATCCCAGGTTAGTATGATACAGGGTATACAGTAAACAAAACAATATAACCATGCAGTCTAAAATGATTTCATACTTGCTTTCATAGTGAGGTGCATACTCCGTTCAAGTGGATGGTCAGAGAACCATTTTCATTATCACCATCAACTGGATCCCTTGCCCCTAAAACTTCCTGTGTGATCAAAGCTACATTTTCACCCAAGGTATGTACAACAGTATTACGCACATTAAAATCATGTTGATGCAAGTTGGGATCGTTGCAGTAGTACGATCACAATATTAGCTTGAAAAGATTGTAGTTTTTGAGCCATTTAACATTCCCATTCCTGGTTGTTTAGAGTGGCTTGGTATACAATGGAACTGCAGTTTGTCATTTTGGGGATCTTGCAGAACAGATGGAAAAATCTGTTGATCTTGACGGAATAGGTAGGTTTGCCAATAGAGGGCCATGTTACAAGGTTGCGACTCTTCTATATATTCAGACGTGTGTACATCGCTTTTTTATAGGTAAATATCCACACATAATGGTGAGGAATTCTTCTTCTAGCGTCGGTCAAAAGAGTACCACAAGCAACACTGGTGAAACCTTGGTTGAGTTTGCCACGGTTGCGGCTGGTTTCACCGCAGAGAAAACGATACATCTTCATAACTTGTCACCTGTGAATGCTTCTTTCCAAGTACTTCAACCATCGTCCATATCAAACCTCGAGAAAGTTTTCACTTGTTCACAGTATCATGGAATCATCGCTCCATACAACACAGCAAAAGTAAAGGTATGCTTGCTTGCACAAGCCAGATGGTAACCTAGCTACATATGTAACCTATATAAGCCAATTTAACCTTATCAGTAGTGTGCTTCCTGTCAAGTCATATCTAACTTAAAATCATCTGTGTTTCCAGGTTCAATACGCACCCACCTATCCTGGGACGTCTCATGTTGAATACTTCGAAGTGAATGTTCTTGGTGCAACCAACTGTTCTGTTATCAAGTGTATAGGGAAAAGCAAAGGTAATGAAACACAGACACTCTTTCTAAATTAAAACACCAAATTAGTTAACACTATATTATTAGTACAACATAGCCACCGTTCAAGCTAAGACGGGCTTGATACAACCTGCGCCCTGGGCCTTAGAGTCAAGATTTAAAGGACTGCTATAGCCATGTCACCATCTGTGAACAGTCGTTACTTATATTTGTGCTGCGTTCAATGTAGTCTGAATTACATTGTCACTTGTCAGACCTTTCTATTTCTGTATATCTTATTGGTGCAGCGATCTTCGACTTCATCATTGAAAGGGTTATTGGTATATTTCATAGGTCCATCAGTGATGTTTGACACTTCATCTCTCGGGTTTGGGCAAGTAAACTCTGGTGGTACCGTGACAAGAATATTAACTATAAAGAACAATTCTGATGTTAATACCGCTTTTCAAGTAAGTATTTCAAACCTTAACCCCCACTTACCACGATGCGTTATGTAAACTTATCTAGTTCTTAACGTTTTTAATATTTCCCGAACAGTTTCTTATCGACAAAGCGAACAGCGTGTTCACATTTGAGGCGACCACCGGATATCTCGCAGCTGGAAGTACTCAGAGTATCGCTGTTCGATTTCACCCAAACCTCGCTATCAACTACTATAGGAAAATCACTTGTTTACTACAGAATCACGTAAGTAATACCAAATAGCAGATTTAGGTAAATATGTTAAATGATAGGGCATTTCATTATGTCAGTTTAGTCTAGATAAACGTCTTCTTAGTCATGTTTGAATAGTTTAGAACTGATAGATTTACCCAGTATAAATAAAGTTCGTTTAGTATAGGTCTCCTCTTGTTGTAAAATTGGTCGATAAGAGATGATCTTTACTGGACCTCTAGGAAAAACAGCTTAGATTTGGTGGAGCAATAAATTTAGTTTAGGTTTCTTCCTGTGGTATGACTATGACCAACACTGTATGAATATCTTCATAGGCTCCGCTTATTTTGGAAGTTTTCGGGACATGCCATACAGAGCTAGTCAAACCAGGTGCGTCTATATGAAACTCTTTATCTTCCATTTTTTATGTCCAGCCTGCTTGCTTCAGCTCTATATGCATGTTAAACCAAACTTTATTCCCAATTCCAGCCGTGCTGCAGCAGAAACACATCGCTCAATATAAGATATTTGCCAAGCGAGGACTGTCAAGAACATCTCCAGACGTGAGTGCATGACGGAACCACGGTATCTGAGTAAAATATACTGGAGTGAATTTAATATATCTTTTATGTCTTTTTTCAGCAACTGGATGTAATGTTTCAGGAAGGGGAACTAAACATGGATGATGATGGTACTCTGAACAACCCAGTATGTCTTGGATCCTGTACTTGCTTGCATCCCAAGTCTTGCTTTCATTCACCACAGCTAATTTAATAATGGTTGTCCTTGGTAAATTTTGAACTATGGACAATTTATGATTTGGTCAATTTAAAAATTTTATTAATCGAGCCTTTTCTCAGAAGCATTTTAAATATCTTTTCTAATAATCATCAGCAATGCTGGCGATATTCAAGTTTAAGGTCTCGAGTTTAAGATTTGTGGAGGGCAAACACTTTTCGTAAATTAGCTGTGCAAAAATGCACTGATAATATATGAAGTTGGTTGGAACCCGATTTGCGAATCAACATCGATTGAAACCCAATTCTAGTAGCTACATTGATCAATGCTGTGTATAACGACGTTACAGGTAAATGCTGACCTGAAGAGATGTGAGGATGACTTGACATGCGAAGAACAGTTCTTTGATGAGTCAAGCGTAGGAGAAACAGTAAGTAATTGGAGGGAGTTTGTCTTTTTGAGGCCAGTTACTTTTGTGGCCAGGTACTACTATGGCCCGAATATTTATTATAGGCGGTATCTTTTATTTCATGTTTTTTGTACCCATATCCAGGCGACAATTCAACCTCATATCAGCGTCGATCATTCCCAGATCAATTTTGGTAAATGCCCGAATATTCCGTGTTTGGAACAAAAGGTAGGAAGTCTCCAAATTTCGTGTAAAATTCGCGTTCACCGTTGAGAAAGAAGACGCTAAAGTTCTGTGATTTTTTAGACCATAAATATCACGAATCATACCAAGGGTAAAGTAACGTGCAACTGGTTGAAAGGTAGGATAGAAAATGCAGCGAGCACACCTTGTCTATACATATCCTATTTGTTCCTATTCTATCCTCTTCTATCCTGCTCCGTTCTGGGTTATTCTTTTCCATTCTGTTCAGTGATGTCTAAAGGTTCTATCCTTTTCCATTTTGTCCAATGATGTCCTGCACTTTTTGGTTTTCTCATGTTCTGTCCTGCCCTGTTTTATCCTATATCGTATCCTGGTTTGTTCTTTTCTATCCTGTTCTGTCCTATAATGTCGTCACGTCATTTTTAGTTTCACCATCAAAAACTATCAAAATTTATTTTTATTATTTTTCTTTCTAGATACTGCAGGAATATTTGAAATCTCACCAGAGAGTGTCGACATTCTTCCTCTAAAAACCGCTTCATTCATCGTCACGTTTAAGCCCGTAAGTTCTAGCGCCATTGCCGTGACGGATTCACATGGCTCACCATTGACCAAGTCGCATTTTAAGTTCACAATTTCAACTATTTATCTATTTTTTTTTAAATTTTCGTTCAAGGATCAAGCCAACCAGTTCTATGGATGTGAAATTGAATGCTTTATTTCTTACAAGGTATGCATGCATAAACAAATTTTTCGACATATCACCCAAGTCCTGAATAGTTGGATAATGAACCTGGTTCAAATTTGGTTCGAATTTCTGTAAATTTTCTCCTAAGTACTTTGAAAACTCGCATTCTTGTAGATTCTCTCGGACCTAAATAAAACTCGAATTAAAAAAACTCTCTGAATTGGGTTTGTATGTCAGGCTGTACAGGCCGTAAATGTACACAACAAGTATTGGTTTAGGATAAAAAAACATGCTCTAGTCTCACCATGCAACTGATTATATAAGCATTGATCTTTTGGTGGTGTTCAATATGATCCGTATCATACATCACAGACTTTCAGAGCCTAACCCAAGGGTTATCATGCAATTTTTTGTACAATTATCGCTTTGTGTTTAGTCCACGCGTGATTACAGACTTGTTGAAGATAAAACATTATCACCACCTTGGTGTGTTACAGTGTATTGCTCAGGTAAGATCGTAAGTTCATACGATCCAATTTTGTCTAATGCAATTCACTTCTGAAGGATGTTTTATAGTCTGTTGTCTTGTAATTTATATGGGCAGCAAATCAACTAAAGCCAACGCTGTACTGCTTTATCAATAACAAACTATATTCCATACGTCAGAAGTGAATTGGATCCGACAAAGTTGAATCGTCTTTTCTTGTTTTCTTCAACTGTGGACGGAAATGTTTTTTGCTCTAGAGAGTCGATGTTATTTTGCAATACCAGCGTTTTTCTCTTACAGGTGAAACATTTTCTCGTGAGAGTGAGTCATTTTTACCTCGGCTTGAATTTAGTGCGACCCAACTGGTGCGTTTTTCGTTCATTTTTTTTGCATGTTTATAGAAAAATTTGCTATATACACAATGTACTCAGCTTTAGAGTCCAGCTACATACATAACTATATCACTTAAAAACTCATTGTTTATAGGTTTTTCCTGCTGTCACGTTGCAAAACACATCGTATCGCACCTTTGCCATCGCAAACACATCATCCAATCCTGTCAGATTCATTTTCGATCGCGATCCTTCGGGGTAAGATGTATACCTATTTCTTGTTAAAGGAAAGAGACTCGTGCCCAGATTGCACTTATAAACATTTTCTGCCATGACAGCTAGGATTTTACCTTTGTAAGTCTTAGCGGATTTGTATTAATATCAATCAGGGTAGAAAAGCTAACTGCTAACCGTTGCTTTGATTACCTCCAATCGTTTCAACGTATATAAATTTAAACGATAAGATATATGCAGTACCTATATCCAAATTAAAAACTGTAATTTCATTTTGTTACCGGGTCTTTGGCGACACAAAACGCCTGCTGTTATATGAAGTACGAGTGTCTTTATCTTTGTCTAATAAATGTTTACAGGACGTTTCGTTGCAAGCCATCACAAGGCATCATCAGAGATAACCTGCAGCTTGTAATGCTACGATACGAAGCTTTGGAAATGGAAGCGAAAAAGCTGTCGTTGTGTTGCCACTTTAACAACGAAGAAAAATTCGACCAGGTACTTCCTTTGACTTCCGACATCACATGCACCTACCTATATATTCTAATATAACCTGGGAACAGCGTGGCAGCGTCTTCAAACAACTTAGCATCAAATGTGGTATAACAACTGCCTATAAAATAGACAAAACACTTCTCGACGTTTCGACCTGAGGGCCTTCGTCAGGAGAGTTAATATCAGAAGAGTCATACTAACTCTCCTGACGAAGGCCCTCAGGTCGAAACGTCGTAAAGTGTTTTGATACCTTTCCTTTTGGTTTAACTCGTACTATTGTTTCTTTAGGAGTTTACGTTGATTGGCTCCACAGAATCAACAAGAGTACATCTTGAACACGAGGTCTGTATTTCTCATGCGCGTGCATCAGCGAATGACAAGCATGATCGAGGGATTTATGCATAATGTTCGGACGCTCGATTAACGGTAGACTCAACCATTTCTTTGTAGTTGTTGTACTTCAGACCGACGTGTGTCGGAAACTCATCCAAACGTACATTTGGTGTGCAGAATAAGTCTAGAATACCAATCAGGTAGGAGGGCACGATGGAAAGATAATCCAATTTCTGCTTTCGTAAAACTTTTTCTAAACGTTGTATAATGTGGTTGGTAACTGAGAGTACCACCATCACAATAACTTGGAACAGTCCACACCATGACACACTTTGAAATTATATTCGTTTACATTGCTGTTACAAAATCTCTTGCGAGTAGACTACAATCATAACACCCCCCCCCCCCCCTTCCCATCTATTCCCTCCGTTCCAGCTAGCTTCGATCTTTCTGTTTTATTTTGTTTAGCTTCGAATGGAGAATACGTCGACAAGATTCGCAGATTTTAGGAATCGAGCCTCGTCAGGGCACTATGTTGCCTGGAGAACGCCAGGTATCAAGATTTTTCTCAACAACAAGATTCTTCTCTTTCGTTGGAAGAGATTTCCCGCCTGACATTTTCGGAGATTTTTTGCAATCTTGTCGCAACTCTTTTTCCTTGTTTTTTGCGTGTAAATCAGTATAAAATATTCACTAATGGCGGTATTTGTACATCTTCTTGTTTAGTCGTTCATGTGGTCGTTTTCTCCTCTCGAGGACAAGAAGTATCTCATCAAGTGCAAACTGTTTGTCAAAGTTGGTGGAGGTGTCGCTGAAGCGAAAAAGTACGTCTTAGCTGAAATCTGGTTTTTGCTGCCTGCTTTGGCCGAGTGATAGAGAGAAGAGATGAGGGGGACGGAGATATCTTTAGAGTGTGAAGGGTGGGGAACTCTCGGGGTGAATAGACAGGTGGAGTGATTTTTAGTGTGTGGAGGTAATTGGTTTAGGTGGAAAGATATTTGGTGGTTGAAGGGCATAAAGAGATCTCGGGTTACTGAAAGGGTAGATCTAGAGAGGTCTTTGGTGATGGAGTGGAGTTGGGAAATTAGGGGTTAGTGGATCTTTAGTAAACTATGTCCTGCCTCTTTAGTGTCACGCCCAGTCAACCGTATCTACTTCGTGCCGTCGGAGCCGGAATTCACGGCAGCATCATGGTAGGTTCTGTAGACTTGTAGAGACGATTTTACTTTAAACAAAACTTCGACAATGACAGTCAGCGTAATAGATGATTTGCGTGGAGCTATTCTCTTTACTTGCAATGAAATCATAGCCTAGGACTGAGTTATTTCATATGCAACTGTACCTGTACTGAAACTATACCTTACTTATTCCATTCCCCAGTGCACCGACGAGACAATAGATTTCGATAACGTTGTCGTTGGTACATGCGCCACACGCAAGATCACCCTGTGCAATCCTACGGACTGTGACGTCCCGTATCGACTGCTGCTCCAACGAGAGAATAACGATGACAGCTACGACGATGATGATGAGAATAAACACGTTATCAGTAAGTATTAAAACTAGCGAGATGAGGTACTGCTATGTTGCTTTTACCGTGGTCGTGGGCTTTTGGGCACGAAATTTATCAACAAACTCGTACTCAAAAGCTCGGCGACTGCGAGTTTGGCTGATGGCGTAAGCAAACAACACTCGAGAATGACAAATCTTGTACTCGCGTAGTCGTTCTCGTAATCACTGCTAAAGCTCCCAACTTATGCTCCTTAACCAAGGTTGAATCCCAAATCGTTTCTTATTTATCTTAACTTAGTTCATATAATGATTTTGTTCCTGGTTTTTTCCTTACCATAGGTGTGGATAAGATCAACCACGATGTCTTACCAGCGAGAACCACCAAGTCAATACAGGTCAAAGCACGGCCGAGAAAACGAGCAACTTACAAAACGAACATCAAGTATCAAGTGATTACGTTGCAAGGTAATGTATTTGATATCTTAAACAGGCAGTACTCTACAATGGTTTGTGTCTGACTGAAAGACCTGTCTCAAACTTGGTGGTAGAGTGTTTGTACATAGTGTTCTACAATAATCTGTTGTTTTCTTCTTACTAACTACTTTGTATTGGGAGTATATTTTATTTTGCTTACACTGAAAACTAAACATAAGTTTAAAAATAAATAATACCGTGAAAATAAATTGTTGCTTGTTATTCATTCTTCAGACAGTGTCTCCGAGAGTTTGGTGTTATGTTCTGTGACAGTACAAGGAATATACCCAACATTGGCTGCTCAGGATATTCGATCAACTGGAAGTGGGGAGACTTACAGTAAAGTTCAACTATGGAAATTGTTTTCTCTTGATAGGTAAATCTGTAGGGGTAGGGGTAGTGCGCTTCATCACCGGGAGCGCCACCCAAGGGCCACTTAACAAAGATGTTTCTTCATTTCAGTTTTAACTCTGTCCTGGAATCAGATCCGCAGCCTGTCGAAGCGTTGAGCTCAGCTGCAACACGATATAGGTACGTATTGACATTAGAGAGATAAATACAAGTCTTTACTGAACTGAGTCATAAGTATGAATAAAGTTTAGTCTTCCTCCTTGTAGTAACACTGGTGTAGAGATAATCCTTGCTGGACCTCTACACGCCTAAAAACGATCAGGTTGATGCAACATTGATATGAACAGCAACGAACAATGTTGTGCTGCCCACATTGTTCAGAGTTGTTATCAACTTGGAACAATATTGTTGGAACTGAATCGGGTGTAACAATATTGTTCCAAGTTGATAACAACTCTGAACAATATGGGCAGCACAACATTGTTCGATGTTGATGCAACAACCTGATGAGTTTTTAGCCGTGTAGGAAGAACAATTTAATACGAACGGAGTTTCCTAGTATAAATAAAGTATTTTCCTTCTTTTGCAGTGATCGTCGTCGTAAGCCAGTATCAACGAGGGCGGTTATTGGATTTTCATTTGGCAGTGCTGGGTGTGGTTCTCAACCAACCGTTTTTTATCTCAGCTTACTCAACAGCGGCTCTGTCCCAGCCGAATGGTGCGTACTTCATGTAACATTCATCACAATATTAACATTTCCCTTCACCCCTGATTCACCAACTTCAGCTATACCCCGGCACATTGTGCAACATTGTACAACCAGACTTGGCAGTTTAGCCGTAGCAAACTGAGGTTGGAATTTAGGCTGGTTTTACAAAATACAAAATATCAAAACAGAGAATATTTTGCCGATGACTGTTGCTTTCTCCATTCAGGGCGTTCTTGTTTCCCAATGATCTGCAACTTGAACTGGAGTACTGGGCCGAGACGGGCGAATACAGTTCAGAAGAATTACATCAGGTATTCAGGGGGCAGATTGCGGGCGGCATGTCTGACATGAACGCAACCTGAAACAGAACATCACAAACAAATGTTCTCGTTTAGATGCAGACCATTGGCCATCATTTGTTTAGTGTGGAACCAAGCAGCGGTACGCTCGCAGCTGGTCATGCGCAAACACTCACCCTGAAATATAAGTAAGCACTGAATGTTGTGCTCAAATAAGAGCTCTTTTATACATCAGAGCATTCGTAACTAATTCACTCGTTCACATCCATCAAAAGAAGAAAATCGCACATAACATACATCGCAGCAAAAATCGCGAGTGTAGACGGGCCTTTATCCCATACATAACGTGCCGTAAAATCGTGATAGATTTACCTACATATAATATACTATAAAAATATTTCAAGTGTGTACTCCTTCACTGTCTCTTTTTATTTAGACACGATATTGTCGGTATAAACAGACTACCTGTACTCTTCAAAATCACCAAAGGGCGCGAAGTCTTGGTAAGAAAGGAGAAATAATTTAACCTGCTGTAATGAATTATGCACTGTTAGTATTTTGGACGTATGGACGTTTCTTACAATAAGATAAGCGAACAAATGCAGTTCTTGTGTCAATTTACTTGTGCAAAAATACTAAAACAATTATTCACCTTTTGCTCGATATTCCCGCGGGCACTCTTATTAGCTCGCGCACGGTACGTTAAACATGCACCTAGATTTATTAAATGTTTTATTTTGTAGCTGAATTTTACCGGTGTGACGGTGAAAGCAAGCCAACCATTCGTTCACTTCAGTTCAACGAATTTTATGTTCGCCCCAGTCCCAGTAGGTCTTGATACTCCGCCAATCCAAGACTATGCTTTCTACAACGGAGGCTCTGTGAATGCCACCTATGAGATCGATCTAACACCTCTCAAAGAATTGCACCAGGTAAATAAATCTTTCTTTTGCGTTACCAGTATTGTACTGTAAGATTTTATTGTCAACGTGGCCTCTCTATTATCTTGGAACACTTTACAACTGATCAACTTGGTAGAACCAGGTTTTCTCCTGTAGTGCACTGGATCAATAAGAGATGATCCTTACTGGACCTCTAGGAAGAGCAGTTTAGAACTGATAAAGCTATCCAGTATAAATAAATACAGTTAGTTTAGTTTAGGTTATCTTTAGGCTATCTAGTGTAAATTAATTTTAATTTTAGTTTCAGATTGCGTAGTATATAGGCTCAGGCTTTTAACGAAATCATGTTACCATCCATATATTTAGGAAAATTATGGCTGTGAAATCTTCACATGTTTAAATCCAACTGGTACAATCGCACCCGGCAAGACAGCGATAATTCACTGGGTGTTTGAACCTCTTGAAGCAAAAACATATATCGTGAGTAAGATTATGTGATCTAGCTGAACGCATCCACTGACTTCTTACAAGACGCAGTTTGATTAGAAAGCTGAATTTAGGTTTCTCGTTAACGCCAATCGCCAATCAGAAAGACAGTCACGATCACGCGATGGTATCTACTTCATCTAAGGATTATTTTGCATTTGCCGTACATGATTTAGATCGATACCCCCGTCCGCGTTCTGGGCTGTGAAACAACGTTGGTAACATTCACTGGTATTGGTTACGATGACCGAGTCATGGGAAAAACGTTATCTCTGGAGGAGCACGCGATTGACATACCTCCACGACAGATCGCCTCAGTCGGCTTCCAGGTGAGTTTTCTTTGAAGAGCAGATAGATGTTATACAGATGTACTATGAAAGAACAGTTCATAACAGATAGATGTTATACAGATGCACTATATCATTGTGTTTCCAGTTGTCCTCTTTGTCAGAGGAGAGAATACATCTTGGTCAGGTTCCCTTGCGAAGAAAGAAAACTCGAGTAATATTCCTGTCGAACAAGCACAGAGAACATACGATATCGTACAGATGGATGTTAGATGATTCACCCGAACATAATGTAAGCATAAGAAACTTTTTGCAGTAGAATTGTTAAGCCCGGTGTACACTTGTGATTTTTGCTGTGATCCTCTTCTTCCTTTGATGGATGTTAACGTGTAATTAATTACAAATGTCCTGATGTACAAGGCTAATCCACTAGTTCACATCTACCAAAAGAAGAAAATCGCAAGAAAAATTGCAGGTGCATGTAAACGAGCCTTTAGATTTACACTGTGAAATAGCTTAGTTTTTGTTTTCACAAGCTCAACAGCCTTCTCCATCCTTGCATGGTTTAATTTTGCTTGTTCGTTTCGCGAAAAATATGAATTTTAAACTTCACGAAAGAAATTACTGAGTTGTTATTTTCCGAACGAACAGGTTGTACAAATCCATCCCGAATTCGGAATCGTCAAGCCTCGAGGCAGTGTTGTTCTAAAGGTGAGCAGTCTGAACGTTTCATTTTCCTCCGGTACCATGCACCTGTAGTAAGATTTTGCTAAAAATAATTTAATTTTTTTTTTCACAGATAACATTTTTCTCATCCGGTTCACCATCTCTGCATGACATCGATCTCATGTGTGAGGTAAGAGTTGCAGCTAAAATCCTTGACTTGATTAAGAATGAACTCTTTCACAATTGGCGAAACGTATTAAGTTAGAACTGAATTAGAGCTGGGGTGTTTGTTATCCATGACCAGAACTGACTTATGAAGTCTTCTTTTGTGTCAAAGCGGATGAGATGTAACCAAAAATGAGATCAATATCTTAAAATGTGGTTAAGAGTTTTACACTACCGACCCCTGGTGTATAACTGGCTTTCAGGGATAACAAATTACATAAAAAAGGTATCACTTTCAAAGATAAAAAGGCATCACTTTCATTTTGAACACTATCAGATTACGGACGACACGATAATGGATGAATATAACAAGAAACTCCAAGAATGGTTGGCCTATCAAGAGGAACAGAAACACTTGTTTACGATCACAGAAAAGGACATCGCGGAAGAGGCGATGAAAAAGACAAAATCGAAAGATGAAGCTATGGGGAGACTTTCAAAATCCGAAGGAGATCTGAAGAAGTTCGTAGCTTTGCCTCCGATCGGGTCTGGGAAGGCGAGGAACCGTGCTAGGTCTGGGAACGAGAACGTGAAATCGCCCCAGGTCCCTGTGGCTCCCAAAACGTCCCTGCTTCATCTCAGCGTCACGGCTAGGACACTGGAAGCCGGGGACGTTCAGATTGACAGAAATATGCTTGCGATCACTTCAGCTTTAATGCGGTGAGTTGCGTATTTTTCATCATTTTCTCACCTTGAGCGCTAGGATCAACGTAGCTGCATATGTCTAATCTATTTCCCAGAAAACATACTGTGCGAAATATTTCCGAGAATAAAGCAAGTATGACGTCATCATCACGGGAGGAACGCCGTGTTGTGACCGAAGTTTTATCAGTGGTGCTAAGGTAAAATGAAAATAGACAGTAATACCAGTAGACTTCTCATGATGACGTCAAACGCGGAGAGCCTGGTATTACACGAAATTTGATTGGCGCGCGTAAGATTTTTAGAACCAATCAAACTTTGTGTAACATCAGGAATTCCGCGTTTGACGTCATTATGAGAAAGGTCCATTACGAAGTAGATCAATTTCCATTCTTTTGCCTACCAAATTGTCCATGTCTTTAATTAACCACACGATCGGTTCATAGTGTGATGATAGCTAAGATGATTTGTTCCTTTCCTTTTCCAGAGGTCTTTTAGATGATGAGAATTTCCACGGTGATATTCGAAGCGTGGCTGAAGAGCCAATTCCATACTTCAGGCAATTTCAGACTGTTGATGCGGCCGACGGCGACGACTTTTGTGATGTCATGGATTTTGATATGATATGTTCCAGTTCAAAGGTTTGAAACAGTTTTTTAACGAGGCGATTCATTGAACGTTGCAAGAAAGCAAAGGGTTTTCCAATTTATAGAAATGTTGATCTAAGATCAAAGTCTATCGATTAAGTCTTGATCTATGCAATAAGAGGAAAAGGAAAGAACTGGGACGAGCTGTCAAATAGAAATCCATTTTTCGGTTGAAACAACCTTATATCTCTTGACTTGATTCTTGAAATATACTTTAAACTTCAAATCCTCAAATTATAGTTCTTATAACTAAACATCAAACAGAAGATATAATGAATTGGATACTGCAGAATGGATTTCTATTTTGACAACAGTGGCTAAATTATGAGCATGAGATCACCTGGTAGATATGCTGTGTTGGATTTTTCTAATCTTGCTTGGCATGCCATTCCAGTGCTCTGTCGCGTCAAGGTAAAGTTGGATAAATGTGATAATTTCAACTTGCCAATCATGTTATATTTAGAATATTCCAATCGTGACAATATCTCCAAATACGCCAACCATAGAAAGTCTCTCCAGTCGAAATGAAGCTCTCGAAGAGACCCCTGTTGAACGGTCCATCAACCATATCAACAACGAAATTAAAAGGTAAGTTTTAGTAAGTTTTATCTTAAATGAAACAGTTTGGCACCAATGATAAAAGCATCCAATTTCGAGGTAAATTTTATCTCTGAATTTGAAAGACAGTTTTTAGTGCCGAATTGTGGAAAAAATCAGCTTCTAAGGATTTCTAACAAAAACAAGATTGTAACTGTTGGAAGATCTATCCAATACAATTGAGGTTGCTGTATTTTAGGTTTTCTTTCTGAATTTCTCTCTACTGGACCGCCCAAGAAGGAACATATTCTTGTTCATATTTAGGGTTCGAATTTCTAAAACATAAATCTACTTTTCAGTTCTTCAGAGTTTGCAACGTTGGCAGAAGAAGTGCTGGAAAACACGATATTAAATTTGATGTGGGAAGCAAATCTTGGCGAAGTGAATCTCACTACAAGACCAAGAGTCATAGCTTTGCCACCGAGTAGAGGGAAGGCGTCCGTGTAAAAATACAATGCAGAATATGAACATGTAAATAGATGGAAAATAGTTCTAATCTCATTTTACGTCGTTAGTAAAGATTCGTTTTTAGCCTTGCCTTTCTTAGTTATTTTCAGGCGTTTGGTGGGTGGATTTTTTAGTTACAAATTCTTACAATGTACAATATTATTCCTCGTAAAAACGTTGATAGCCACATTTTTTGTGGCAGAAGCAAATGGGTAGAACTGGAGTACTACGTTTAATTAATCCTTTTTAAAATATTCTGCCATTTGTAATCATTGGATGTGTCTGATTTTCGTCACTATGATAACTGCACATTCATATAAAACACATTTTTTACTCTGAATAAGTTATTCTGTCGCAGCCACTGCGTTCCTTTGGTCCCCATGTCCTTCCTGAAACAGGGTGCTGTGGATTTTGTCTTCTTGTACGTCTTAAGCCGATCGTTTGGATCCTTGGAAGAATGTCTTTCATAAATCATGACTTTGAGAAAGGATTTAGGTAAAATAAACCATATGCAATCTTTAACATCAACTGCTGATGGTCTAGTGGTGAAGATAATGGAAAACTTTATTTTATTGTACAAATTCTACAAAATTTTAAATGTTCTTTATTCACTTCATTTTTAACCAAACCAACCTGTTTTTGTTTACAGTAAATGCAGTGAGTGAAAAAGGACACTTTACGTTTATTAAACATATTGAAACGCTATTGCAAAACGATAAAAAGCCAAATTAAGTGTTGAAAACCCTGCGCAGTCGCAGTGAACGTGTGATGATCCCACAATCATCAAAGATTCTTCCAAAAAAGGATTAAGTAAGCCGGTAAATCCATCTGTCGATCTTTCACTTGATGGTCCATGATTTTACCACAAGGCTAACTGGTGATTGTTGGAAGCTAACATCAACTTATTTAACCTAATATTACCCTATATAATAATTAATAACGAAAAGTTTTCATCTAAAACGCCTTAAACAAGATTCGATCCTACGACTGCCAACATACGAGACTGTCACCTGGACCACTAAACTAAGAGGTCTTGTGCTAAACGGCTGTGGTTATTTAATTTTCTTGACTATCCTTTTCACAAAAATGATAATGAAGAATGGTTATGCGTGGATTCGAACCTTCGACTTCCTACTTGGGAGAACATTGTCTTAACCACTAGACCACGAGATATTGTACTGAAAGGCCGTAGTTAACTTATTTTATCCTTTTTTTGAAGATTATAATTAAAAAACAGCAATGCTTCGATTCGAACCATCAACTTTTTTCTTGGGAGACCATTGTTTGCGCCACTAGACTACAAGATCTTTTGGTGCTGAACGGGTATGGTTATTTTACCTATTTAATTTACTTTATCCTTTCTCCAAAGCAATAATGAAAAAACAGCAATGCTTGGATACGAACCATCAACTTTCTACGTGGGAGATTATCGTTTTCGCCACTTGACTACAAGATCTGTTGGTGCTGAACGCGTATGGTTATTTTACCTATTTAATTTACTTTATCCTTTTCTCCAAAGCAATAATGAAAAAACAGCAATGCTTGGATTCGAACCATCAACTTTCTACTTGGGAGACCATTGTTTGCGCCACTAGACTACAAGATCTTTTCCTCTAAGTCCATCGTTATTTAAGTTGAGTCCGCCGGGAAACGGCGTATTCGACTGACCATGGTCGAGTCCGGCGGAAAATCGCGATATCGACCATAGTCGTATTCGCCGGGAAATGGCCAATTCGACCATGGCCGTACTCGACGGAAAATGGCCAGTTCGACCATGCTTGTATTCGCCGGAAAATAGCGATATCGACCATAGTCGTATTCGCCGCGAACTCAACCATGGTCGAATTGGCCGGAAAACGACTAATTCGATCATGGTCGAGTTCGCCGGAAAACGACTAATTCGACCATGGTCAAGTTCGCCGGAAAACGACTAACTCGACCATGGTCGAGTTCGCCGGAAAACGACTAACTCGACCATGGTCGAGTTCGCCGGAAAACGACTAACTCGACCATGGTCGAGTTCGCCGGAAAACGACTAACTCGACCATGGTCGAGTTCGCCGGAAAACGACTAACTCGACCATGGTCGAGTTCGCCGGAAAACGACTAACTCGACCATGGTCGAGTTCGCCGGAAAACGACTAACTCGACCATGGTCGAGTTCGCCGGAAAACGACTAACTCGACCATGGTCGTATTGGCCGTAAAATGACGAATACGACCATGGTCGTATTGGCCGTAAAATGACGAATACGACCATGATCGTATCATGGTCGTATTGGCCGTAAAATGACGAATACGACCATGGTCGTATCTTGGTCGTATTGGCCGTAAAATGACGAATACGCGACCATGGTCGTATTGGCCGTAAAATGACGAATACGACCATGATCGTATCATGGTCGTATTGGCCGTAAAATGACGAATACGACCATGGTCGTATCATGGTCGTATTGGCCGGAAAATGGCGAATACGACATGGTCATATTCGCCGGAAAATGGCAAATACGACCATGGTCATATTCGCCGGATAATGGCAAATACGACCATGGTCATACATTCGCCGGAAAATGGCAAATATACGACCATGGTCATACATTCGCCGGAAAGTGGCAAATATTTGACCATGGTCATATATTCGCCGAAAAATGGCAAATATACGACCATGGTCATACATTCGCCGGAAAGTGGCAAATATTTGACCATGGTCATATATTCGCCGAAAAATGGCAAATATACGACCATGGTCATATTCGCCGGAAAGTGGCAAATACGACCATGGTTATATTCGCCGGAAAATGGCAAATACGACCATGGTCATATTTGCTGGAAAATGGCAAATACGACCATGGTCATATTCGCCGGAAAATGGCAAATTCGAGCATGATCGAGTTCGCCGGAAAATTGCGTTTTCGACCAGGACAAGTTCTAGTGGTCTACTGGTCAAGGCAATGCTATCCGAGTTTTAAGGCGGTGTCTAGGGTCATTCAAGGGAATATTTTTCTCATTTAAATTATGGTTATTTAATTTACTTGATTATCCTTTTCACGAAAATGATAATGAAAATGGTTATGCGTGGATTCGAACCTTCCACTTCCTACTTGGGAGAACATTGTCTTCAGTAACCACTAGACCACGAGATATGGTACTGAAAGGCCATAGTTATTTAACTTATTTTATCCTTTTCTTGAAGTTTATAATGAAAAAACAGCAATGCTTGGATTCGAACCATCAACTTTCTACGTGGGAGATTATTGTTTGCGCCACTAGACTACAAGATCTTTTGGTGCTGAACGGGTATGGTTATTTTACCTGTTTAATTTACTTTATCCTTTTCTCCAAAGCAATAATGAAAAAACAGCAATGCTTGGATTCGAACCATCAACTTTCTACTTGGGAGACCATTGTTTGCGCCACTAGACTACAAGATCTTTTGGTACTGAACGGGTATGGTTATTTTACATATTTAATTTACTTTATCCTTTTCTCGAAGGCTATAATGAAAAAACGGCAATGCTTGGATTCGAACCATCAACTTACTACTTGGAAGACCATTGTTTGCACCACTAGACTACGAGATCTTATGCTGTAAGGCTATGGTTTCAGTCTCGAATATAATAAAGTTATTCTTGGATTCAAACCGTCGACTTGCCACTTGGGAGGCCATTGTCTTCGCAAGTTATTTCGATTAAAGCATTACAGGGTCTTCATTTATATAGCATTTTACACAATTAAGATAAATTGCTGAATTGTTTATTATTTTTTAACTCAGGCACTTGCGCGCATTCGCGCTACAAACGTAGGTACACTAATTCCAGCTCTGTATCTGTTATTTATCAGTAGCTCAGTGGTGGTGTCCCAGCCACCCATGCCAGTGGCCCCATTCCAACCACCAACCAGTGAATTCTAATAAAACTTAGAACGGCCGTTGGCGGTCATCAAATTCGAAGGTAGTTTTTCTGCGTTTTTGAAGCCGACGTGAGAGTAATTATCCAGGAATGTCACAAACAAGGTAAAATACAATCATTTGCTAATTTTTTATAAAAACTAACCCTAACCCTGACCCCCCAACCCTAACACTGACCCCCAAACCCTAACCCTGACCCCCAACCCTAACCCTGACCTCCCAACCCTAAGCCTTACCTCCTAACCCTAAGTTTTACCTCCCAACCCTCCCTACCCTGAGCTTCAATTTTTGGCCACCAAAGAGATTTCGATTTTGGCCACCAAAGAGATATTTTAAGATAGGCGCAGCCTGTTCGCAGGCAACGGGAAGACTGAGCGCGGATATTAAAAGTTGACGAAAATCAAAACAAAAAAGAATTCGCAAAAAATGACATTTCACAGTTCGAAATCGTTTCACGATTTGAAAATAAAGGATGATGGATTTCCTACGCACACAACGGAAGAACAGGTTTGAATCCAAAAGCTCCAATGGCTTTGCTTTCGCTTTACATACTAAATGCAGTTTCTGCTGTTTGACTATTTCTATAGAGAAGAGTGGAAAGTGCAATAATTACTAACTATGAATTAATGGAAGAAATATCTGAAGGCATTTCAGAGTTAGTATAAAGTAGTTTTAATATAAAATACATATCAAACCATTTCCCCCATTTAGTTTTCAAGGCTATATGTATTTAAACCTTGCCAGACAAGATTTAGATTTTAGAAGTCTTGTGACTTGTGGCTTACCATATATTTCTGGGGATTTTTTGTATAGACTTGTACTAAACAGAAAGAAACATATTCAATATTGTGTCAAAGGATTGAATCAACTGTCCTCGTCTTATTCTGTATGTTTATGTTTGATATATTTGTTATCGATGCAATCAAGGATCTAGACTCAAGGATTGTCTGATTTCAAAGCCTTGCTGCAATTGAAATTTTCACTTGTTTAATTGCTAGTTGCAAACAATTTAAAACAAATTATGCATGATTAGATATGTACACCTCAGTGCCTCATAGTATCAAAAAAAATTGTCCCAAAAGTCTGAACAAGGGCTTATATGATATATAAAAAATTATAATAAGTTGTGGTTCCCAGGAATTTTGAGTGTACTGCAGACAAATTATTTTTCTCATCTTAAGATAAATTACAGACTGTATATGATTGTTGTATTTCTCAAAGTGAGCTTGTACTTTTTCAGAATTTTCATCCTTGGTTTTTCTAGTGTCTTGATGCAAGTCGACCATGGCTTTGTTTTTGGATTCTCCACTCATTGGAACTTCTTGATCAACCGATTACAAAAGAGATAGCAGAAAGGTAATCTACACAAATATATACCATTTTAAAGAATGGCATGCATGTATTTCTGACCTACTGATTCATGAATGTTTTTTCCATTATAAGGGTTACAGAATTTTTAAAAAAATGTCAAAGTCCACATGGGGGCTTTGGAGGTAAGCACTTTAACAGTAGTTCAAATAAACACAACCTCAGTTCATGTAGCTCAATTCAAATAGAATTGAACAAGTTATGCAATTTGACTCTACTATGTGGATTATAGATTACAACTTTCTCCTATTGTTATAGGTGGCCCAGGCCAGTTGCCGCACTTGGCACCAACATATGCTGCTGTTTGTGCCATAGCCATTGCCGGTATTTACTATCCCCAGGCCTATGATGCTATAGACAGGTATAGAAGTTGTGAAGCATACATTTACCAGTGTTGACAAATGAACTCTAAACAAATGGAATGATAAATCAGCAGGAATTGAATTAAGCTGGTGCCTGTTAGATTTTCTGAGTTTTGATCCGAAATACTTGTATTGAAAAAACTTGTAGAAATTTCACGACTTTAGGAAATAATTCAAAAAACATTTGAGGTCAAAGAAAACCTATTTTGCCTTCGGCAGGAAATTTGAGTTTGCTAGTGTAGATGTTGGTGTAGCAATGATTTGTTAAAATATGTGATATTCTTTTAGAAAAGGTCTGCAAAGGTTTCTGCTAGGGTGTCATACAGTCGAAGGGGCATTTAAAATGCATCATGATGGGGAAGTTGATATAAGGTAGGTTTTCATTACAATGCTAACAATGCTTTTAACTAAAAACTAAAAACTAATAATAAAACTAATAGTGATATCTGTTTTCCAGAGGTGCTTATTGTGCTGCTGTTGTCGCCAGAATAACAAATGTGCACATGCCAGAATTATTCCACAATACAGGAGATTGGATTAAAAGGTTTGGACTTGTGTGCAACTTAATCAATGATGGTTTCTGTGTATAAACCGTAAATCAATGTTCAAAGTTTATTTCTAATATAACTTTGCTTGATTCTTTAGTTGTCAAACATATGAGGGAGGATTTTCTGGTGAACCTGGTAATTTACAACATTTTTACTGATGCCCATATTGCCAAAGAATTCCAATCAGTTTCTTGTACAATTTTTCCTACACTTCTTTATTTTATATTTATATCACCATAACCTGGCATCCTACATCTTCTCTGCAATACCTACCACCTCACATCTTATGATCTCTTCATTTTATGATATCTCTGACCAACTCTCCTTCATCTCTTCTTATTGCATGTCCATATAACATCAACCTTGCTTCCCTCATCTTCTCTGCAAATCTACCACCTCACATCTTCTGATCTCTTCATTCCATAATATCTCCGACCATCTCCCCTTCATCTCTTCTTATTACGTGTCCATATCATCTCAACCTTGCTTCCCTCATCTTCTCTGCAATATCTACCACCTCACATCTTCTGATCTTTTCATTCCATAATATCCGACCTTGACCAGAACTCTATAATTATAAAACTTCAATCTGAAATTCTGCATCATATCCTCCCCCAGGAGTTGAAGCACATGGAGGGTACTCATTCTGTGGTTTTGCTGCCCTGGTCCTCTTAGGTGAAGAAGATAAAATTGATATAAAAAAGTTACTTGTAAGTTTTACAAATACAACATGCAGTGGTGCAATGCGTATGTAAAAGCAATGTCAGCTTACCTAAGATGGTTTAATTTATTCAACAGAAATGGACAAGCCAAAGGCAAATGAGACTAGAGGGTGGTTTTCAGGTAAAGATGATTTTTAGCTCCGATTAATGAATGTCATTGAATAGCAAATGGTTCGCTTTTTCGTATTTTAGTTTGCCTCAATGGCAGGAAGAATGCACTTAAACACTTTAACGAGTTTCTGTAGCAAAATCTTCTCCAAGGTTAAGATAAACTCGCTATGAACCGGCACTGCGCTTCTTCTGAAAACTGTATTCATGTATGTTTTAAAGGGGAGGACTAACAAATTGGTAGACGGTTGCTATTCTCTGTGGCAAGGAGGTGTTTTTCCTCTACTGCATCACGTTTTAAAGAAACAAAATGATACAGCATTGAGCAGTGAAAATTGGATGTTTGATCAGGGTAAGGTATAGAGTAGCATAGACGACATGCAGAACCGAAAAATCCGACCAAACAATCCAGGTGATCTCGCACTGATTAGCCAACCATGCAGTGCTCAGAAAGCGTTGTCGAAATAGAAATCCATTCTACAGTATTTAATCGATTATATATAGTAAGAACTGTTGCTCTGACATAAATTTGAAATAGAATTAAAGTATATTTCAAGAGGATTCCGTATGGACTCCGTAGGATGGGCCATCAAATTTTGTAGTTTATATTTCAGTAGACAACATTACTTTTTTTCACAGCTGCCCTACAGACATATGTATTGGCAAACTGTCAATACGCTTCTGGTGGACTGATTGATAAACCAGGAAAGTAAGTCTTAGCATTCCTCCTGGATCCGTTGAGTTTGGAGGTTCTGTGGTATAAAAGTGAAAAAAAGTCTTCTCGACGAAAGTAAAATTGTTGTCTTGTTCTTGATAGGATGCGGGATTTCTACCACACTTGCTACTGTTTAAGTGGTCTGTCGGTTGCACAGCGTTTTAATGAAATGGACAAGGTTCATCTCAACGTTGTAGGGCGGGAAGACAATCTATTGGTAAGAAAATGCTTTAAATGTTTCCTATCTTTGCGCTGACACCTTTCGTGGGTTTAGCCTCCCGTTCAAAGCTGGGTTAGCGCTAACCCTGGGTTAAATTTCAATCCACTGTTTTGGTTTGAATGCTTCTGGACCGTTGTTTATTTTAAACCTTAAAAAAAATATGGCTTTTGTCTCTCCAGAAAAGTTTTATGGAAAAAGGTATTCAACTTTGTAAACAAACGATTAAAAAATTGATGTAAAGATTTGTTTTAACCCAGGGTTAAGCCAACCAGCTTTTGAATAACCGCCCCCCGTTTATCTTATACCGGGTTCTATATCAATCTTTTCTTTATTTTTTTTAAAAGAATACGACACATCCACTTTTTAACACAGGAATGGACAGCGCACTTGAAGCGGTGAAATATTACAATACACTAGATATTCCGACTCTGGAGTAACGAAAGGAGTTCATCTTTAGGTAGAATGTTCTTCAGAAAATGCACACGCGGTTATCCCGTCAGGTTGAAAATCTGTAGGCCAGAGAATCTGATCGCGAGAGAAAATGTAGGCCATGAAAATGATGAAATAAAGGTGGAAGGTAGACTGTTAGTTGAATGAATGTTGCTTACGAATCGTTTATAACTTACAAAGATAAATTTAATTAAAATCATCACTGACATCATTTGAAAATAGCTAAATATATGTAATATGTATAAATTCCAACAATAAATAAATCTTCGTGCTTAAATACCTATAGCTATTAGCGTATTATCGTAATTGTTATTATCAATTGAATATTAGTTCATAACTTTGAAAGCATTTTATACTCGTTTAGTAGCAAGTCCTTTGAAGAGGCAACGCCCGTTTGACGGCGCTGGGCAACTCTAAGTACACATTTACACAAATACTCTAAATCTTTAAGTGGTACTCGCTTGTGAACGGGCAAGTAAACAACGTGGTCTATAAGGAATTTCGCTTTGTGTGGATAGAGATCTGCATGGTCGTGATTAATGCAACCGAAGCTTGAGAAATTGGTGTTGTTGATCGGCGGGCAAGATTGATTTGTGTTCTTTTTATGTTTTGTTTCGACATCATGGGGGCATTCTGAATGTGCTTCTTCATGTTCAACGTCAGGTGGGTGATTTTGATTGTAACATTTGGGTTTTACCAGGTCGAGTTGGGTGACTCCACTGTACGCCTCGATTCGTTCTTGCTCCAGTTCTTTTACCCATTCGGTTGGGTTGTCCTGTATTAGGGGAGATAAATTCTGGTTATTTTAGTGTTGGAAAGACAAGGATGAAGGATAGATTAGATGGGGATAACTAACTGCATTACAATATAAATTCACATTACATTTGGTGTTCAGATTTAGAAAAAAGCACTTACCACAAGTATAGGAAAAAGCCAATAATTCATCTTATCTGCATTATATCCAGGAATCAGAATGTCTTCACACAAACTATTGAGGACAAAATCTCCATTGATCTTAGCTTTTGTATGTTCTTGGCCATCAAACTCCTGTAGTTTGTGTAGCATCATGCAAAGCATACTGGTTGATGGCTGATGACGAACCTTTTTGATAATGTTTCCAGGAAAACCTCGTAGAAGTGAGACAATTTTTTCCTTGTAATTGATACTGAAATAGTGTAAAAACTTCACACCAAGTTTTGTCACCAAAGGATTATTGACAAGGAACATGACGACAGAATATCGGAATAACCGTTCAACATAATCGCTTTCAGAAAAAACAGGGTAGCTCAGTAACTTTGCTCGCATTTTTTCAAGTATTTCAGGATTTCTAACTTTAACTATGGCACCACCCATTGCTGTTGCATACTTTATGGCACCGAAACTGAAAAACACAAGATCACTCTGAGGATGACCAAGGTCTGATAGCCCTGAAAATGATTCAGCACAGTCCTCAAGGACCAAGAGATTATGCTCCTGGGCAACTTTTATTATACCATCCATACTTGTCCATCGACCATAGATGTGAGCAGGGAGTATAGAGACAGTGCGAGGCGTTATGAGCCTTTTTAGGTCCTCATATCGAGGACAAAGTGTACCAACATCAATATCTACTGGTACTACAGTCAACCCATGATGTTCAATTATATAAACCATATCAGGAATATTAATAGCACTCATAAGGATCTCGGATCCTTTTGGAAACTGCATGACTGATAGAAAGAGATCTAAGGCAGATCTCACAGAAAAACATGGCAGACATTTCTCCAATCCTCCCAGCACAGCTTTAAGTTCTTGTTTGGTCTTATCACGGTCACCTTTTTGAGTTGTGTACCAAAATGCTTTGAGCATGTCTTTCCAGGTTGCATCTAAACAAGTGGAAAAATTGTTTATAGATATTATCAATTTAAGATTAATTTTCAACTTCTCTCATTTGGGCCTAAATGTTCTTCACAATTTGTCATAAATTGGCTGTCTTATGTGGACCTATCTGAGCTGATCTGAAAACATTATGTTGACCAAGTGATTAAAAGAGACAATATTTAAATGCTTCAGATATTGTCTCATAGATCGTGGCAAAACCGACACTATAAATTTCACAGCCATTTAAATAGGTAAGATTTCGATACTATTTTAATATATCAATGTGCTGTATGAAATTTTGAAATTTTAATTACACCGGGAAATTGTATTTTGAACCTTCAAGTACCCAAATAGTAAAGAGGAAATGTAGGAGTAATATTTTTACATTATTTACCCGCAAATATTTACCAATTTTGTAAGAGTTCGTACAGAGTTTAATAACGGTTTTGACTATGTTTTGACTCACCGATAAATATGCATCCATGTTGTTCCATTCCAAAGGAATATATGAGGAGGACTTTTACATGATTTTAAATATTTCGATTTTAATGTAGAACCACTCGAGCACGAAGGATAATTGATACAAAGCATCCAATATTGAAATGAAAGTGGCAAATTATCATACTGCAAATGGGAAGGTCGCCATTTTGGAAAAAGTTGTTTTCCCAGTCCCCTGGTTTACGAATGTGAGGTACGGATTATCTCATAGGATTATCTCAGAGATTTACTTAGGATTATGGTTAATCAGACGACCACATACCATTGATACCAAGAGTTATATGCATGTGAATTACCATTGTGTAATTTCTACTATAAGAAAGTTTAGAGCAAAAAGTGAGGGGAAACAGAAAAAATGTTGGAAAAAATGGAAAAGAATTTATTAAAAAAGAATTTGCCGATATTCCACCGAGCGAAAGGCGGTGTTGTCCGATTGGTGTTCCGAGGCTCCACTTCAAGCATGCAAGATGGCGGGCGAAATGCGTGGAGAAAACTTGTATCGTGAAGTTTTACTGCAAATTGAGCGAAACTCTTGCCAAGAAGTCGAAATAGACACAGGGTCTTTACCTAATGTCACTATAAAGACAGATGGACATATTAAATCCGGTGCAGGAGGAGGCTTTTCTTACAAAGATACAGCAAGAGTCGAGTCTTTTGGAAAGAATCGTTTTATACATTGGTAAGTTCTTTAAAGTAGTTGAAGTTAAAGGAAATGGCGCTTTTTTCAAACCTGAGCTACAAAGAGAGGACATTGTTTTAACTAGTAATATGGTTTTACTCCTACAATAATAATTACTACTTTACACAAATGAGTTGTCTTGTCAATTAATATGTAAATATCAAGCATTATTTAATTGTACATTTGTTCGAATTTTAGTACTGACCTATGTATTTCTACTTATAGGAAAACTTCAAAGAATGTATTGGAGTTATCAGAGGAGTCTCTTGATGTTAACCTGTTGGGAAATTTTTTGAAAATCCATTTTCAAAATGCATCTCTGCTACCACATGCAGAAATATTTGAGACATCTTCATCTGTTGTTGTGTTGGCAGCTACAACAAATTCAGTTCATCGGTTCATATTCCCTCATCCAAGCAGACTTCAGAGACATGTAAGTGTGGTCTCTTCCTAGTGAAAAGGTTCCCTTGTCGACCAACCCAATGTGATGTACAGTTATCAGATTTGAAATAGTTCCTTACAACTGATTATTGACTGAGCGTGAAGTTTGTACAGTGAAATATCAGACCGAGGCTTGTTCGCAATTAAGCAATTTAGGCTTTTGCATTGGGTATAAAAAATTTAATGCCATCCTGTATTTAGGACTTCTCATTGTCTCCACGGGTGACAATCAGCATTCAATCCATCTTCAGCGACTGCAACATACCTGATGTTTATTCTCCCTGGAACTTTGCGATGTTCCCACACAGCTGTAGTTCATTCAGTGCCTGGCTCTGTCATGATGGACATTGTCTCTTCAACCTGATAACAAATGAGGGGACAACATTATTGGTCAAACTTCCTCCAGTGAATGGTGAAGGTAAACTTTAATGTTACACGGTTATGAAAGTTGATGAATTTAACCATGCATGATTATAATGCAATGTGAGATGCACCATGTCTTTTGGAATCTCCTAGGCAATTAGGTGTTGCAATTAGGTAGCTAGCAAATTTGGAAACCAGTTAAGATTTTGGGGCCTTTGTGAAGCATCATTTTAATGTTACTTGTTCTGTTGTTGTTCCCTTTCAGAAACTGTTGAACATTATGAGTTAAAAAATGCTGGTGTTATGCAAAGACTGTGGAGTGGTCTAGTGCCTTCGAGAATACGGTAGGGGCCACTTTCGACACCTTTTCTGGATAGCTTTGATATTCCTTCTTCTTCTACACAATTTAAAGAAAGTCCTGTACTTTTGTTAAAATGCAGTGATATTTCTGTTCACACAGCGGTGATGGTGTAGCTAGTGATGGTGTTATCAGCGCTCAGATTAATCCCATCTCAAAAGAGACTTACATATTCACACTTTGCCAAGACTATAAAATTCGTGTTTGGAGCTGTCAGGTAAAGAGCATGTATAATTGTAAGTATTGCAACTAGATAGTAACCCATTCTCTTTACTGATCCTGGTGGGCATTCAGGATTTCCATTTATTGGACTGTGTAATTGAAGTAGAAGGTTCCACATAAATTCTTCTATACTTGTTAGAATATTTTTTTCCTAATTCTTTTCCTAAAATTTAAGACTCAGGAATGTGTTTCTGTCAAGAATCTTTTGGATGACATTCCTGATGATGTTGACCTACAGAATGTTACAGGTTTGTCTCAAGTCTCCAATATCTAACATATTATTATATATGTATATAGAGACGCATAACCAACGGTAGTTTGTCTAGACGGATAATGCATCTGTTGTCCGTCTATATACTCAAGACAAATAACCAGTCAAAAAATATTGAAGACGCATTATGCGTCTCTAGTGTGAAAACGGCCATTCAAGGAGAAAAGGATGTAATAAAAAACTTATTTACCTAGACCTTAGAAAACATGTTTCTTGTGTCATTACTGTAACTCGACTGACCTAATTCTCCTGATACATTTCAGGCCAAAGCCACATGTTACGTAAGGCTATCAATTCGACGGCACAGCGCATATACCTTGGTGTGTTTCTGTCTCTTTCACAGAATGTTCAGGTAAATTATCTCAATCATTTCTGTAATCATCTCTTTTTCTCATGAAAAACCTCTAATTGAGGTTTCTCTCTTCAACACAAGTTGTGTGTTTCTATTTTCAGTTTGCAATTTATGAAGTGGTGTATCTGGATGGGAAAATTACTCTGATTCTCGTTACAAATTTCTTCTCACCCAAGGTAAAGTACGATACAATTTTCCATGAAAATTATCCTCACGGGTAGAATGGTTTTTGTCAAAGCAAATAGTTTTACCTAAGAGGTTATGTATGTACAAAGAAACTTTCCCATATGATTCAAACTTGAGGATACTTTTCCTGAATGCATGACAAAATTTTCACACCTTTATATTATGTAGATCAAGTGTAGTTCATGATTCATAGTTAAGTTGGGTTTTTTTCAGGGTAACCTTATTGATTTTGTTGTGTCAACGAAACAAATTTGGACATTATGGATGTCTGATGATGGCGTACCTTTTGTACAGTACACATTGATTGAAAGGTAATCACATCTTGTGATTATTGCCATGATGTCTCAGTTGACCTCAATATCTCATGGGATGCACTTAAAACAATTAAATGTTTTGGTCCAAAGTTTAAGATTTTTTATGAACATATCACATTGTCTTTGCAGTTCCCAACTGTCTCCGACTGGTTGGCAAAATGTGTTCCTTGATAATACTCTTCCCAATGAAATATTTATCTTAGAAAATCAAGAACCAAGAGTTAGTTGTTGTGATTTGTTGTTGGAACTTATACAACCTAGCAGTTAGTTTTTAAAGTGGGTCAACAACATAGACCTTGTTTGAACCTAATTTTCTATTTGATGTGTAGGAGGCGTATTTGGACTACATATTTCATCCTGGAAGATTCTCAAAGTGTACGATTGATAAAGCTATCAAGGTACGATTCCTAATATCTGACCCTTTTACGGCAGTCTTCCAGGCAATGAATGGAGGAATGATTAATTCACACTCGTTGTTATTATCGTTTTAAGATATTTGATACTTCACCGCGAAGACCTTTAACAACTGTGAGAAAGACGCATTTGAAGGAACAAGTCACGGCTCTCGTCGATGCTCAGGTATAATGAAATTTTTATTATTTTTCACCGAAATACTGTATGTACTAGTTTGAGTACTTTAGAATACTACCTTCTACCACAGTTTATTGTAGAATACTACCTACACTAGACCACCACGTTTGAGATATCTTTTTCAGGTAGTTTAGACACAAACCACGATAGCTTATTGTAGAATACTACCTACACTGGACCACCACGTTTGAGATATCTTTTTCAGATAGTTCACACATAGCTATTTTTAAAGTACTACCTACACTAGACGCCTCTAACATATTTCAGTTTCCCAAACATGGCCAAGCGTTTATTTAATAATGATTGCTTTTTAGGTCCAAAACTCTGCGAACACAAATGAGTTAGGATTTCAGGAGTTCTCAGATCTGCAACTTCAAATGTGGTCGAGATTTTATGCCTGCGTCGTTCAGTATCACGAGGTAAAAACGATGCTCAATCTTGTTCTCAATTTTTTATTCAGAATTAAGACTTATGCACAGAAAATGTCTTGTTTTTCAGGCTGCAAATAAGCCGCTTGGATTGTTTGTCAATATGGTCGGCGATCTAGTCGCTGTTATTCGCAAGGTATGCACTGGATAATGTTTTTTGAAAGCTGTTTCTTTTTGTTTGGTTATAAAAAACCTGCTGTTTTTTTGACAGGAAGCGATATCAATTTTACGGCCTTGTGATGACGTCACCACGCTGTATTGGAACCCAGTTTCCGAAGAAGCGCTGACCTCACTTGCAGATTCCCTCTCAGTTGAAGGTACGAAACATGTGTCATATTTATAAGTTATACTTCCCATGCAATATGAGATCTTCAAATAGCAGATGAATAGATATGTACCTATTTTACCTCATCATCTGTTATCTCTGATCAAACGTAACGCATTTTGGTTTTCAATTTTCGTAGACCATGCCGACAGAAACGACGTGCAGTACTTATTGAAATGCGTGAATCTCGTAAACCAACGGGTATGGTATCAGCTCTGCTCGGTACGAGCTCCGCACCAGACTCCATAGTCTAATCTTTCTTCTCAACTGACTTTCAGCTCTCGCAAGACCACGTGACGCTCGTGGACGGCGAACTAAAGTGTGGTCATGACGCCATCTCCATCACGCAAGATATCGCCGGAGTGCTTGTCATCGAACAAGATCAAAGATCTGATGGCAAAGACAGACAGTTCTTGATGGATGTTGAAATGAAGTATGAACATTGCCTGCTTGTTACACGTTTTTCTTGAAACTTGCAACGCAATTCTACTTTTAAGGGATATAAATTAGTAAACGCCATGGAGTGTAATAAAGGCAAAAGTTTGGTAGTTGCCAAATTTGCATCTCTCAAAAGAAGAATTGCATTGCAGGTCTCAGACGTATTTTTGGTCCAAGGTGTTTTCTCAAATGTTTTTAAATTTTCACGCCCGTGGAAACATTGTCACTCTGAAGAAGTGGCATTCTGAACTCAATCTGCCAATTTTGTGTGAATATTTTTAATAATTTTGAATGACATGAACTCGGTTCATGTTGTTGTATATACGCATTCGCCCCCAATGTTATGTGCGTTTTTCATGTAGCTTGCAAAAGGTTCAGAGTCTTGTGAAAACAGTTGAGAATGTTTTGAATATGCTGGATATTTCACAGGATCTTGAAGATGATGACATAGAGGAACTAGGTACTGTAGATATTTTTTTATAATGAAAAACCTTATTACATTTGAACTGTTGTGAATTAGCAAAATTCGACCTTTTTTTGTTTGTTTTTTTACTGCAAAGGAGAGCCTAACTCCATCAATTCTCAGCTGTTTTTCCTATTAAGGATCCGTCCTTGATCCCAGAGCCTTTTCATGTGTTAATGCATGCATTGTCTTCTTGTTTCTTATCAGGTGGGGATATTCGAACACAACATCTCAATTTAAGACGCTTGTTCGCCAGTGATCTGTCGGTCCGGATCCTAGCGAGTGCTTTGGGACAGCAATGTCAAACCAGAATGTCCTTGTGCAGAGATCTGCTCATATTGATGCAAATCATCGCCAGAATTAGTGCTAGAGTAAGTGCAGTCATCTCTTATACTTTGCCGTCCAACTTTACTCCTTAGGGTAATCCCATGAAGGAACTGAAACAGTAATTCGGCTCGAAGATGATCTCATTTAAGTCAAAAGGATGTGTGGTCTAGTAGCTCTTAGATCCGTGGTTCACGTATCTTTTATTATCTTTCTGTAGGCAGGTCTTGTTTCCCTGGGGAGTTACACGATATCCTCGGAGCATGTTCCTCGAGCATCCTATCTCTTGCGTATATACTACAGTCTACATTGGCTCTCAACACAGTCAGTTCTACCGACGCCGCCTAATGCATTGTAAGTAATACCGTTGGTTTGTTCTGAACTGTCTGAAAAAATTCTCAAACTTGGCCTTCCAGTGTAGGTAGTATTCTACAATAAACTGTCGTTGTTTGTGTCTGAACTACCTGAAAAAGATATCTCAAACGTGGTGGTTCAGTGTAGGTGGTATTCTACAATAAACTCTCGTGGTTTGTGTCTGAACTACATGAAAAAGATATCTCAAACGTGGTGGTCCAGTGTAGGTAGTATTCTACAATAAGCTGTCGTGGTTTGTGTCTGAACTACCTGAAAAAGTTTGAACTACCAATCTTAAACGTGATGGGTCCAGTGTATGTAATATTCTACGATAAGCTGTCGTAGGGTGGGCTATCTGTCACTTCCTGAATATCTTCAGACATGTTTCATTTCAGAGACAGCAATCTAAAGCAGTTGGCTGCGCTGGAAATCACCGATACATCCAACGTTGAAACACTGGTCGTTCCAGGTTAGAACTACACGTCGTTATGTTTTCCTCAACAGCAAACGATGACCAACTTATGAAACAATGCATTCTTGAGCACACGAGTTTCTTGTGATTATAGACAACCTTTTCTGTAGTTTAATTGTTTTTCAAATATATTTATAGCTGTTGCAAATCACTACCTGGCTGGTAGCGTTATCTACTGTAGACTTCGTACAACAGCCCCCTTCATTTTCACGTTGTTTTTATAGAAAGCACAAGTTGCACGGTGCTGGAGCTATTCCTGTCAGGCAAGGGAGGACATCAAATGAGGCTGTTACTACCAAAAAATATGAAAGATACGGAAGGAATGAACAGGGGATCGTTTAAAACAGCCATGGTTAATGCTCTTGATGCACTGAGACTTCTCTTGTATCCTTGACTAACTTGTTTAGTTTGTGTCTGAATTACCTGAAAAAAGATTCTACAATGTATTCAACAATGTGGAAATGTGGTGAACCTTAACCATTGCTCAGGTGGCCAAACAGGACGAGTGTATTCGTTTCAGAATACTTGGTGACAAAAGGTCAATTTCAGACATTGCTGGAGTATTGTTTTGTCCTTGGAGCATGGTGTATTGGTGGCCAGGCCAGCCGAGCATTCCTTCAAGGACAGGCTCATTTAGTGTTTGGAGATTACTCTAAGGCGTTGGATTGCTTTGTTTACGCCGTTCAAAATCTAGGTGAATGCTTTTATTTAATAATAATATGTTTATGGTCATCCAAGTCAAATCTACTAGACAAAATCTTCACTAAAGTATCCTTGTAAATGCTGAATGGCTCTGTCAGTTCTAAACTGCTGTTCGTAGAAATCTGGTATAGATTTCCCTTATTGGATCAGTGTTACTACAGGAAGAAACCTGAACTGACTTTATAAGTACTGGATAGCTCAATAATTTCTAAACGGTTCTTCTTAGAGTAAGGATCATCTTTTATTGAATCAGTGTTACTACTACAGGAGGAAACCTGAACTAAACTAATTTTATTATTACTGGATAGCTATATTAGTTCTGAACTGTTCTTCCTAGAGGTCCAGTAAGGATCATCTCTTATTGATCCAGTGTTACTACAGGAGGAAACCTGAACTAAACTAATTTTATTATTACTGGATAGCTATATTAGTTCTGAACTGTTCTTCCTAGAGGTCCAGCAAGGATAATCTCTTATCAATGCAGTGCTACTACAGGAGGAAACCTGAACTAACTTAATACTAAATAGTTCTTAGTACAGTTAGCATGGTTTATTGTCGCTGCAGGAGGGACCTAAACTTGCTTTCTGTTTGTGTAGATGAGAAAGAGCCGCTGTTCAATAAATTACTATTTTATGAATGCGAAGATGAGAGACAAAGTGTACAGTGCTACGTCAAGGTAATTGTAAACAGGCCGTAAATGACCTATTGAAATTTTCCTTCCTTCTCTATCATGAATTTCATGGTCCGATATTTGCTAAAATATCACTGACGTTCGGCGTGAACATCGACGTGCGTTTAAGCACATGTCTTTGGAAAGGATCTTTGTTGAAAAGTCAATGTTCTAATTAAATTTTTTAAGTCTATATAATGATAAACACCTGCTGTTGGAATGGCCATGGTGATGTGCTTCATTGTGTCAACGCCATCTCGCTATCTATGACCATCCTTTAAAAAAAGGTTTCTCGTTTAGGTAATGCGATTGTTTGAGCAGTTTGGTGCGTCTGAATTTGTTTTGAAAGCAGCTGATGCCGCTCTGAGCGTGGCTGAGGAACATGATGAAAGTTTGGTAAGAATCATCGCAGTACACATACCTTTTTCTTTATATTCTATTGACCTAGTTTAATGATACAATTACTGTAGCGTTTATTGTCTATGCCACTCTCCTAGCTCCAGGGGTAAGTTGTATAATAAGGACTGGTTAAATTTTAAGTTAGTGAAAGAATAAACCTTTTTCATAATGACGTCAAACGCGGAAAGTCGTGTGATGTTACACGAAGTTTGATTGGCTCGATAGTTTTGTGGAAATCGTTGCAAGAAATTAACAAATATGTTATTTCGTATGTAGCCTATTATTTGGTCGAATATATTTAAACATCACTTGGAGCTGGGGCACAACGATGAAGCATACGCTGCGATTACATCCAACCCTGATATTGAAAGGTAATATTTACGTATTATTCGGTAGTATTAAGTTGATATCGCACAGTTAGAGATGAGGCTTTCTCTTGTAACCCTCCACACTAAGTGTTGTTCAAAAGTGTTTTGTTTTGATTATTTTAGAAAACGCGACTGCCTTCATCGTTTCGTGGTCGTGTTGTGTGAACGCGGTGAGCGCCTGGAATTAGTGGAGTACCCTTATGTTAACTTACTTGAAGAGGTACTGTAGTCTGTATGTTTGGTAATACACAAGAATTGATCGATTCTCCATTAACTATGAGCCCTCTACAGTTGATATTTGATGAATTTTCGTTCACCATTCAAAGGTGTGTAGTGTTATTCTTTCCTATTACACATGTTTCTCTGTTTCTTCTCCAGGTGGTTAGTATCATTGAATACCATGCTAGAACTGTAGACATCTCCACCCACAGCTACTACCAGCTGTTATACGCCTTCCACACATACAGAGGAAATCACAGGAAAGGTATTCACCGCCTGGAATTCTTCTTTCTCAAACACTTTCCACCAATCTATACATTCCACCATTAAACCATCAATACATTCTCTGCATTGAAAAGATAAAGTGTTCTTCCAAATGGTAAGATATCCTACCTACCTTTCCTTTCTTTTATTCCAGCCGCCAGTGCAATGTACGAATATGGAATTAGACTTTCGCAAGAGCTGCCGGGGTTACAAAGTTTACAAAAACAAGTGAGACTTCCGCTTGTATTCAAAAAGCTCACTCATACTCTATATTTTGTTATTGATCAGTAGATGAATGAGAAAGTTTTTTTAGCCAATGAAGAGATTTAAGGTAATACATTGTAAATCAAGCTATTGTTTGGCTGAAAGTAGCATCATGGAAAAGTTATGAGAAGATTGAGATCCCCCACTCAATGAGTTTGAGTGAGCTTTTAGCTTTTTACAGGCGTTCAATTCTATACTATAGTGAGACAATTGTAGTGACTTGTGTTCTAGACTGATTCTTTAGTCCACTCAAGTTGACCAAATTTTTTTCGTTCAAGGCAAAATGTTATTTGACAACTATGAACTCTTTGCGGCTCTTGGAACCTAAGAATTCTTGGATCGTGAAGCCTTTAGATCGCAAGGAACAAAAGGTACACTCATGTTGTTATTACAACTGTGCGGACAATAATATAACTATAGTTGTTGCATGAGTTAAGCGTGTGAAGTGTGTATGTCATCAGGATTTGACAACATTTCTATCGATAGAGAAACTATAGTTTTTCTGTGTCAGCAACCAAGACCGTAGCTAGACCACTTAATTGGAGGGGGGGGTGCCAAAAAATCATATAAATATGCAACCATTCGCTCCCCCCGCCCGCAATGATCAGCATTTGTGGATTTGGTAAAAGAGCGGGTATTAAGTCAGGGGGGTATTGTGTCTCGTGTAGGAAATAGAAGCGCCAAACATGTCTCCCAAACGGAAACAAGGTGATGAAGATGGCGAGGAAGCTTACACCACAATGATTCCCAGACGAAGACGTCGTGTGACAGTGCTAGAGATTAAGGATCTTGAAAAAGAATATATGTTGGTGTTGGCGAGATTGCAGTTATTACAGCAAGATACTGATCCAGCCCATGTCACAGGTAATAACTAGGTAATGATAATATTGTAGATCAGCACCGCGGTCAGTTTTCGTAAAATTCCGCGTGTTGTCACAGCAAATGAGATTCAAGAAAGGCTAGGATTTAGTATGCCCGCTGCTGATTTGTAAAAGACCTCACATTGTATGTTTCTTTATGTGTCATGCAGGCCCGTCGCTTTCACCAGACGAGACTTTGGTTCTGTTGGTTCAAGCAGGACAGTACGATACAGCATTTAGTATTGCTAAAGCATTTGATCTTCCGCTGACCTCCATATTCGACGGCTTGGCTGCCAGGTATAAGAATGCAAAAATTCGTATTTTATCGTCGCACTGATCAGTCCCTAAAATAACCTCTGAAATATTACACTCTGCCAATGTAAAGATCTAAAAAAGGTCTAAAAATTTCTTCATCGTCAATTCAGATGCGTCAAGTTGTCTTTATACACAGCTCCCAATACGTAAGTCACATTCACTTTATTCCAGCCAGTTTGCCGTTTCGCTTCTTCATAGTTTGCACGCTATTTAATGCTTTGTCTCATGTTAACTGGTCTTCACAGTGATTTGGACGAACGCATGTCTTGGTTGAAATCAAATGACACGAACGTCAGTGGCTTAACCAGGGACTCAAGGTAAACCATGTTAACTGCTGGTTTGTTTGTAGAAAATGTCAGTGAATTGTCCTCAAGCTATTTGCCTGATTTTTTCTCCATTTTCAGTCCTGCTGATCAAGCGTGGAATCTCTTGAATGTCTACCTGGACAGATTTGGTTCGAAACAAAACTGTGTTTACTACAAATGTGTCTGCACCCGGCTGTTGTCCATGGGATGCGTCTTACCAACTTGGCTTGTGAATGCTTATAAGGTGTGTCACTTTGTCTATTCAAGTTACTGATTCAAATCATTCAATCCAACTGTTGGAATTAAGAAACCAAATCTATTTCCATTGAGTAGCTCTATCACTTCTGGACTGTTTTTCTGGGAGGTCCAGTAAAGATCATCTCTAATTTTATTTATACTGGATAGCTCTATCAGTTCTAAACTATTCTTCCTAGAGGTCCAGTAAGGATCATCTCTTATTGAGCCAACGTTACTACGGGAAAAAGCCTAAACTGGACTAACTTTATTTATTACCATGACAGCTTTACTAGTTCATAACTGTTCATTCTTCGTTTAAATAAAGGTGGCGAATCCTGCAGAACTGTTACAACTGTTGATCAATTTTGACTTGCTTCAAGAGGCCGGTTCACTTGCACTGGAGTATCTCAATGCAGTCATGGGACATGGCAAGGAATATTTTGGAATTGAGGTCAGGATCTACACCGACTTATCGTTTTCATACAGTTGATTTTATTTGTAAACTACGCGTGGAGAACATGATATATTGATGGGTTCTCACCTATACGTTACAACTTTGCTATATTGGTGTTCACTTAAAATGAGAACCATAAATTTCGTGGTCTGCATGATGAACAGCGGATCTTTGAGGTGGTACACGAACATGACCGCTTTAACCGTGTCATGTGAAAACCATTTTTGGTCCAAGTTCTAACATGTCGTATTCTTTTCTACAGGAGACTCTGGCAGGCTGCAGCTCTCCAGTTTGGTTCCCTTATGTCGCACTTGACCAACTTTTGGCCGCCTTGGACAAGGTTGATGGAGATGAATCACTGTGCCAGGTACAGTAATTGTTATGAATAGCTTATATACCAGTATTAACCAGTAAACTAACTTTGAACAGAAATGGATTTACTAGAAGGGGGGAGTTGTGGGAACTTGTGCAGCCCCTGGCCTAGGTCTTGTAATGTGCACCATCACGAACATGTTTTTACTTTCACAGTTAAAAGATGTTCTTAAAACAAAGTTGGACGACTATTTGAACACGGTATCGCACGTCTCACAGGACATGATCGATTTGCGATGGAGGCAGGACAGGACACGTGTCATGCAGGGCGTACATTAAGGAAGGAATCCTCGCCTGATCGTAGGCAAACAGTAGGTGGAATTATCATTTTCACTTACGGAGCATATGTGCTGCAAATTAGCTCAAAGAAGGCGAAGTGTACAGTGCGCAAAAGGTCCATTCCCAGATAGATTTGGTGCAAAATACGGGGCATTTTGTATTATACGTCAACGATTCGTTAGATTTAAACGGATGAACAAAAAGACAACATACCAGCTGCTTTATCATTTCACATTTTTGTTAGAAAAATTCAAACACAATATTTCATATTTGCCTAACTAACTATAATTACTATATTTTGATTGAGTTCTATCTTTCAAATCACTTTTGATAGCACGCTAGAAAAAGTTCCACAAGGCGACCAACATCCTTTAATCCGAATTCCTATAACCGTCTTCATCCAAACAAACCCTCTTCCTCTTGCGAAATTTTCCTATTCCCCATGCATCACCAACATATTTCTTATCTGGAAACAATTTGTTGCACCGCAATGCGTACTATGCGCATACAAGGCAGTCCTACTTGCAAAGACAATATTTCCTTAAATGTGGCAACAGTCTAGCTATGCATTTCGGCTGGTCTCCGTATTCGTTTATCCTACTAACACCCCCCTCGACACGAAATTCCCCTTTATCATACTTTACGCTTGCTTCGAAAATACCGTTACTTGGTAAAGTTTGAAATGTAATTTGATAGTTGCATTGGTCCTTTGTTCCGGTTTTATAGCCATTTACAGGCTCGTAGCCGTCTTTACCCGACTCAAAGAACCTCAGCACCTCATTCGACGGTGTTTCCACCTCGGAGTGTTTTACTTCCCCAAGCGTTAGTGGAGCGCAATGCCACGCTCCTAATGGGTCACGGGAATTTATAGAGTTGATGTATTTAACGGTATGTAACACAGCACGTTGTACGTGATTGTGGTGCGGGTTGACCGCGGTCCATTGCAAACACGGGCACCAATGCGATGGGATGTGCGCATCTTTACACGAACGAACCGCTGGAACTTCGTTCAGCAGGCTCGTACCGTGTATCGAGCTATCTGGCTCTTTTGGATACACTAGAACGTGTGATAAAGTCTTGTACACATCAAACCAACTGGTGAGTCTTTTTGTGTTGGTTTTCAAATTTTGGTCTAAATTTGGGTATTTTTCTCTGAATGTCGTTGGTAAGATGATTGTGAAGAGGGGTAGTCTTTCTTCAAGTTTGCCCTGAACCGTTTGGCGAAAGTCTCCATAGCGCCAGCCATGATCTCCCATCACAATCAATAGAGTGTCCCTAAGGTGGCCTTTGTGATGGAATTCTGTCAAAAAGTCGAGCAAGTCTTCATCGAGGTATTCTGCGGCATTGAAATCACTGTGGGTAATGTCTAGAAATCGAAAAAAACAATAGTAAATATTAACAGGAGCTATTATTGTATCGAGAATCTTGCTTTTCCTCGAGTCATCCAGTCATGATGCAGAAATCAGAATATTTCATTGTCTTTTCATTGTTTTGACAATCGCACTGTTCTTCAAGTCATTCAGTCATGACCCAGTGATCAGAATGTTGTTTGCTTTGTCGTCTTTTTTTTGAAAATAGCTCATCTTTCTTCATGCCAACCATCAATAGCAAAAACTGGAAACTATATAAACTCTGAAAGAACAGTCAAAACACTTCGAAACACGTTAGGAATTTCATTACCTGTAAAATGAAACAGGAACTTCTTTCTGAAGCGATACAGGTCATACATTTGCCTCGCTATATCAAAATGATACCGATGGACCTTTTGACTACCATAGCAGAAGCGTCTTCTCTTGTCCTGTCTTTCCTCTTCATTGCTTGCTAATATAGCATCCAGTTGCTTCTTAGCGGCCAGCAAGAAAGCTCTGGGATAAAAATCTGTTGGTGGATCTTTGAATCCAAGTAGCCTGTAGTTAAACGCACCGACGGATGGGGCGTCTTCGACATACGATGTGTAATACCCGTGCGCTGAAGAAAATCGAATATGAATTAATCCACTGCCCAGGGCGTGGTATGTTAAAGTGACGATTTCGTTTTTTGGACAAATGTATGAAACCCACTTTCGCCTAAAGTGAAATGTTAGTGGTTTTTCAAGCAGATTTTGAAATACTTCCTTTTACCTTTGGCTTTCTTAAATATCCAATCCCAGCCATCGACAACTTTTGCTCCGGGCATCCCCCGTCTTGCCTCCGGCTGTTCCCGCTCCCCCTTGCCTGTGAGGAGTGCTGCAAGCTGTTCCGTGGTCCCATCGCCCACGGCGCTGTGTCCCGTAAATACATATCCCTGAAGTTGATCTCGTATATAAGCGTACGATTTCGGAAGTTTTCGTTGAGCATGGCCATGTGAGGTCGAGTCCATGGCAAATATCAGAATATTTAAATTCAGTTCACTGTTAATCGGCTGTCTTTCAGCAGCTTTAGAGCTGATTTGAAGTAGGTGTTCTTTGAGTAAATCACCGTTCGCAAGTTTTAAAGTTAATTCGATGAAATCATCTGAAATGGCTGCTGTTTTTCCCTTCACGGTTACTGGCTTGCCCAAATCCCACCTAAAATCGTCGTTATGAGGGCGATGCACGGTTTGATACGATGCGCTGACAACGTCTGAACCTAAATTCGATTGTATGAAGGATTGATTGCAGTTCATGAGGTCTGCACTGTGGTTATCTTGCGATCAATATAAGCATGCTAAAACACACATGTGATTGCATAGTGTCCGTATTAGAGGGCCGTCGGTGTTAGAATTGTCAATTTTAGAGAGGTGTCTGTATTGGAGAGATGTCTGTTTTCGATACATCTATTAAAGATGCCCCTGTTTGAAAGGTGCCTGTATCAGAGAGGTGCCTGTATCAGAGAGGTGCCTGTATCAGAGAGGTGTCAATATTAGAAAGGTGGTCGTGTTAGAGGGGTGTTAACAGTAATAGATGTGTATGTGTAAGGGGGGTGTCCATATTGGAGAGGGATTAATGCTAACGGAGAGGTGTCCATGTTAGAGAGAAGTCCGTACTACACTCGTGTTCCTATTTATGGAGGTCGTGGTATAGGAGAGGTCTTCGAACTAGGAAGTGTTTTCTTTTAATATGTTTAATTAACGACCTGCTTACCAAAAATCTCTAGTTTACCCCTAGATAAGGTTGCTCTCATCTTGGTCTTGCATTGTAAAGGCTTGCCATAGCTTTTAATTAATGGCATGACGTCGACGTGGAACGGGTCGATCTTCGGAATACGGCACTGTCCGAAGTTCCTCGCATCATTCGCCGTGCTCGTAAGTGGCTCTGCGCAGTAATTCTAGGCAAACAATGCACCATCATTTCTTTCACGATCTCAGAATATTTACCGTAATTTTCAGAGAGGAATTTTCGAAGGAATCACAATTATCTAAAGTCACGCATCTAAAATTATATCTTCATGTACGGAATTATCGAAAGGGTCTATTCACTTGCAGGTTAAAAAAATAGGCATAGCAGGTACCCTTAGGGCGGTTTTGTATTACTCTAGACGGAATTCGTTGAAACAAGTGAAATTTTTCTCTTAATTTTCTTCTTTTCATTTGTGAGAATTCGACCGTTGCTGTTCCGGTCATAATTGGGAAGAAAATTAAGCGAAAAATTTTCAATCTTTCCATCGAAAAATCCCGCCTCATGGAAAACCGTGTTTACGTGATCAAACAATCGCAACGAACGCTAACCGTAATTTTAATAATAACAATGTATAAATAGGTTATTATTACGGATAGTTCAATTATTATCGCTTTCAGGACTTGAATTATTGCTTGTTGAAATATAGAAAATCACAGGGGAGAATAAAGACTCCACCGACAAGAGATTAGAGACACGATAAAAAATGGCAGATGCACATTTAACTACTAGCGGCTAAATCGAGGAATGCACATTTGTCCGACGCCATCTTGAATCCCGCGCAAAAGACTGGGGCGACATTACTAGAGGATAGATGGTTATTATCGTGGATAATTTTTCACTATGTGTCTGTTAATATCACGGTCATGTGACTCAATCAATTGCTGAATTATAATATAGTGTTCATATATGTCTACGGTACAGGATGTTCGACACTGAGCAAGTCAAAAAAATATAAAAAACAAAAGAAACAAAAGGCAAGTGCATAAAATGAAAGTATATATTTTGGATGCTTTTTGGAAGCATGCGAAAATGATGTATGCATCTTGATATACTATATATATATATATATATATATATATATATATATATATATATATATATATATATATATATACTTTATATAAATATATGATATAGTATATAAAGATGCATGCATCATTTTGGCTTGCTTCCTGTGCTGCTTTATATGATAATTCTCCCTATTTATACATATTTATATAAAATATACAACTTTACAAATATAATAAAAGTTGTCAATAACATAAACATAAATTGCCAAGTGAAAGTTATTGACAATTGTCTCCCTAATTACTAATTCGATATTGTTACATAATTATATAAAGTATACAACTTTACAAATATAATAAAAGTTGTCAATAACATAAACATGAATGCCAAGTGAAAATGATTGACAATTGTCTCCCTAATTACCAATTCGATATTGTTACATAATTATATAAAATATACAACTTTACAAATATAATAAAAGTTGTCAATAACATAAACATGAATGCCAAGTGAAAATGATTGACAATTGTCTCCCTAATTACCAATTCGATATTGTTACATAATTATATAAAATATACAACTTTACAAATATAATAAAAGTTGTCAATAACATAAACATGAATGCCAAAAAATATACAACTTTACAAATATAATAAAAGTTGTCAATAACATAAACATGAATGCCAAGTGAAAATGATTGACAATTGTCTCCCTAATTGTCAATTCGATATTGTTAGTTGGATGACATATCCTGAAATTTGAACATAAAATATTTATATATTTAATACTGTAATTAATGTATTTACATTAATTAAAAGATGATTTAATGATTAATAATATATCAACAATTCAGTCCCCATATTCCCTAGCTCCGCTTGGCAACACTGTTGATTTACCAATTGTTCAGGTATAACCTAATGCTAATTGTCTACCTTATGATTTCTTTTGTGTGGATGAAGAATCATTAATTACCATTGAAATATAATATATGCATGTGCACTACCTACCTGATTTAGATTTTCACATATTTGACAATACCATTCATCATGTTCACTTTTGATTTTTACACATTCCCTAGATGTTTGAAAGGTAAAAAATTAATGCATCTATGTCAATGGCAGGCTGGTGGTCCAAGGTGGCATAACTGAGGGTGTCCTTGTGCTCCTAAACTAGGCAGTTAAGCAAAGACAAAAAAAAATAATGCTGTACTGAGATAGGTTACAAATTCTTTAGTAGAATGCCATCACCTTTGCATTGGTAAAAAATGTGGGGATGAGTTAACATTAGGCCACATTAATAAAAATAGTGTGCAAAGCTAATTGTATGACTAAAAATATGAAATTAATTTAATTTAATTAATTAGCTTTGATTGCCAATATAATGGTAAAGTCCCAACTGCAAGTTGCCAATCACTGCAGATGCATGTAACTCAATCTCACCAGTGGTGCCAGGTTGAACATGAATCACACATTATCATATCTTCACAGCTAGCTTTGTTGCATGTAGAGCACCTCCACTCTTCTTGTAATTTCTGAACTGTAAAAAATAATAATTATCTAATAAAATTTGTTAACAATATATTAGTTGAATTGACGTAGCTTAATGGTTATTCATTATTCATGCAATAATTGGTTATTCAGCAATATGATAACTAACACTATACTGACAATGGCCGGCCATTACTAAATAGTGTTATTTAGATTTGTATGTAGAGTAACATACATGAGTTGACAACTTTTTCCCATGCTTTTTGATCTAAGTACTGTTTGATGGATATTATGTTGAAATTCAATGCTTCTTCTGATGGATGTTTTTTGTCAAGGTGGATGTCTTTCTCTGAAAGAGGCTTGTTTGTCTCCATGACCATCTTGATTAATTTGTTTGAAACACCAAAGCAACTAAGCAACTCTTGAACTACAAAATAAAGTTATATATTCATATTGTTAACTGTCAGTAATATTGTATTAAGCCATACAATGCTTGTGAAACAACCCATCAAAAGGTAATTATTATTACATACCATCATCAGGATCATTAGTGTTTGGAAAGAGTGAAAGGATATCTTCTTTGCTTGGTTTTGTCAATCTAGATTTGTTGGTTGTTTTGGCTTTTTTCTTGGTTGATCGAAATCCTTTCTGCTTTTCAATATTTTTATTAGCTGGTGTGTTAGATATTGGTTGCATCTTGTGATGGAGGCATGGATGCTTTTGCAGCGATGAAAAGACGTTCTGTGCAGCATTGATTTGTTTGTCTAACTGTTGCAATGCTTCTTTGTTGGTACATGACTCAATTTGTTCTGACAATGTAAGAAGTTTCCTTTTGATGCCTTGTTTAAGGGATGCAATATCATTTGACACCTTATTTTGCATGTGGAGATGTGATGTTAAAAGTCCCAATTCCTCAGGTACAAAATCTTGCGATTGCGAACTGTTCAAAACTTCATTTGCAATATCATTTGTCTGTTTGGTGTCAACAGATAAAAAGTGTTGCAACAGGTGTATGTGCTTGCATATGGTGTGCTGAATGAGATAATCATGACAGGTGCATGTATACTGGTGTATGCACACTGAAGTGCTACATTCTGTGCATCGTAACTGACATGTGTCTGTGCATGTATGCTGGTGTTGCTTGGTGACTGTATATGTGTCGGAACCTTTTTCACTTTTTATCAGCCATTTTGATTCGTCGACGCATTGAACACTGTCAATCTTCAATCCTTTGCTGTTGTTGTGGCGATCTTGTATGGTCTTCAATTTGTTAGTGCTCTTTCCTTTTGTCAGTTTTATTAACCTCTCAAACAGTTTATCTCGGGTGTACTTCAGGAGGTTGAACAAGCAGTTGTCAACTCTTCTGTTGTGTTTCCCTTTCAGGTAATTATACTTGAAAACACGATGAAATGCCTCCACCAGCATGTTGGTATTAATTCCCATCCCTTTCCTGTAGCAATATGCCCACGATTCTTCCCTGCCTAGCCATTCATTTTGAAAATATTGACAGAATTCCAAGCTTAATGATGGCAGGCGTTCCAAAAATTGGGAAAGGTAATCTTGGAAGGAGGTGACATCGGTTTGCTGTAAAACAGTACGTAGCATCTTGTATATATCTGCTGCTACAACTGGAGGAAAAAGTATACAACCATTTAGCACGAAATACACCCATTGCCCTACTTTAGTACTGCATTTTACTCTTTCTCAAGCGCACTTTATTCGCATTTAGTTGGTTGGGCAACTCAAGCTATAGCTCTGAATGGAACTGACTAAAACAGTAATTAGTCCGCAAGATATATCGTTTAAAGTAGCGTAAAATATCGCAACTGCATGCCAAAACGCGTTCTAGCTTCATCTGCATCATTCCCTTTTGCAAATGAGTTAAAATTATAACCATGATGATTATGTACGTAATGCATTGAAAGTAATTATCACAATGATCATCTAGCCGCCTGAGGCTTACAGCACACACGACCGTCCATGGTAGTTCCATGATATTAAAAGCCTGTATGACATTAAGCAATGAAGAAGATCAAGATGTACCTGTATCCTTCACTTTAGCTCGCAGCTCTGTCTGCCATGCTTTATCCACGTGCCAGGTGCAGAAAAGACGTAGTGGCTTGCCACCCATTACACCTAACCAAGCATTGTAGAACTGGCTTGCTAAATCGGACATAATCCACCTTGGCGTCAGGACTCCGCAATTTCGCTTTATCATTTCATAGAAGATACACATATGGGTGAAGTCTTCGTGGTTTGAAAGACACCAGGCAATAGGAAATCCCTCTCCATACTCATCAATCACCACAAGCGATGTTAGGAGGAAGTCGTATCCAGTAGTTCCGTGCGTCGCGTCAACACAGATGCCTTTACTGGAAAACTTTTGGGCCATCTCTTTCTGGAACGGACTCTGTATGATAACCATGAAGTCGTCTTTTGTCAAGTCAAACCCGTCTGGAGCAGACTCACCCTGAAACTTATGGAAAAGTACTGGGTTACTTTCGCTCATTTTCCACTGTTCGATCCACGCTCTAACGCTCTCCTGATCATCGGGATGCCTTTGTACTTCGCTGACACCAAAAGATGACATGATATTCGCAAGATCCTTTTTTGCAGTTAGGTGGTACCGCGTAAATTCTGATTCCTGCTGCATGGCTTCCTCTCGAATGTCATTTAGTATTCTGTCACGTGAGACTCCTTGTTTCAACAAAGACGCAATTTTTTGCCGTTTACTTTTGGTTATCCAAGTATGTTGTAGATCCCTCTCGTGCCCGTAGTGCGTATAGCAGATGTCAGCTTTCACTTTTCCTTCGGTGGTAATTTCAGCCCTAATCGTCGATGTACAGTTTTTTTGTATCTTGCAGCTTCCTAAAGTACATTAAAGATATTTAATTATTTAATACTTATCTAATCTTTCAGTATGTCAAATAAAGGCGTATTAAAACTACAGCTAATTCGCCTGCTGTGTGATAACGAAATTCTTTTTGAAATTATTTATTGTAATAATTTCTGAAATTATAATTTATCCAACCTTGTGATTTAGTTCGCCTTTTTCCAGTACCACTGGGGGTGTAAAATCCTCCTCGGTTGCACTGATAATATTGCACATTTCCTTTGGTCCCGGTCTTCTTTGTGAACGAGCAAATCTCTTTTTCTTCCACTTTGTCTTTCCAGTCCAGAAATTCTAATTAGAATTGAAAATAGATATTTTATTGATAACATATTGAAAGGTTTGAATTGGTACAGGCACTTTGAATTTTGATCCTCTTTCTACATCAAGTTTATCATAAAATACATAAAAACTAACCGTTCATGTTTTCCAACAAAATTTGTTCAGATCTGAAAAGAATATTGTGTGTCCTTGCCAAGTGTTTTCGCAATTCTGCTATCTTGTGACATTTAAATCCACAGTCATGACAATGGCAGTTACCATCAGATTGTTCGTTTGTATGCTCTTTTTGAGTGTGGCGTTTAAGCGTGAATTTTCTCGTGAACATGGAATCACAGTAAGGACATTTGAAGTGCTTTTTTTTTGTAAGCACCTTTTTTTTAGGTGGTACAAAGTCGTCTCCACTTTCCGGATCACTTTTAAGCAGAAAAGCTGGGTGATCATCCTCATCATCAGTCATTTGAACAACTGGAACACCACAATTTTCTTTTAAACTGGTTGGGCCAATCTTCTTGATGTTTTCATGTTGATCATAACTGCTGGCTGTTGTGGGATCGTTGCGTTTTATGTTTTCTGTACAGCCACTTAAAATAGAAGGCACAGGTGTTTGCTGCTTCCAAATTAGAGGGACAACGTATTCTACGTTTACAGAATTACATGCAAACCAAGATGCAACGACAAGACGCAAGTACTTCCCAAATCTGGTTGGAGTCTGAAGAAATATTGGTGGAAAGTTAGTTGCATTGCCACAAGTATGTGTCGTAGAGAGATGCTCGAAAAATTCGAAGTTGTAACAAGCTATTGCTCCTATAACCATCACAACAATTCCACAGATATTGCTACATGTTTGCAAGGGGTAAAAGTTGGCACAGGTTACTCCGCAGCGGTGCATTCCAGACATCGGGCAATGATTCTGTGGATCATGTAGCATAACAACCGAGTAATGAGAAACGTTGTCATCTTTGCAAACGACTTTCAGGTACTTGTCCACCCTGCACAGAAGACCACTCGGGATAGGCCAGGCAAGAGAATCCCCGTAGACAATTCTCTTCTTCATGATGTCAACGTGACAAAGTGTCCAGTGACAGCCTCTTTGATCATCAGTTCCAAGAAAAGTACCACGTTCATTCCGGCCGACGTTAAGTGCGAAGAGAAATTTTGAGGGCATGTTCGCGTTTGCATTTCTAAATCTCCGATAGGTTTTAGGGTCGGTGTTTAGTGCACCGTTAAGGAATATACAGTAGGTGTCACTCTGGGACTCTGTCAATATCTTCGTCATCCATGCGATGTGATCTGACGAAACCCAACGGTTGACACATATCATTGATAACTCCATTGCTGTCATACCGTGTTGTTCGCATATTTCATCGTACCTGTTGGAATAAAGCATTTTCTGAAAGTTGGATATCAGAGAAGCTGGAGGATGTCGAGTTACCCCCTGCGGTTTGTGGTACGACTTGGAGAACCAGTTGACCTCTTGCTGTACGGCTGCTTGAATACTTTTGGCGGTGTGTAGCCTTAAGAGAACATCGATGCAATCGACATCCAATCTTCCTCCAAATGTCTCGATATATTGTCTGGTCTTTCCACGATTGTTGTTTATGTCTGCTTTCCATGAATATAATTGATCTTCTGAGGGAAGTGATCTTACAGTAAGGGGATCTAAAATTTGTTGAGACTCCGAATAACATACAACCTTTGCTGAGTTCCAGTGCTTCGCAGCTGTTTGTTGGATGGTACATTCAAATGCGTGACCTCTACTGTAGTTTGTTATTGTCTGAGGCGTAAATTCTCTTGAATTTTGACGGAGAAATGAAACCTAAAGTTTTTCGGAAAGAAGTTCACTTTATTTAATAACTAGTAACCCAGTCCATTCTCGCCCAATGTTAAGAGGATGAAAAAGAAAAAAAAGAAGCCCCGTAGGTGCACGGGACTCTCTAAATTGGGCAGGGGCGCCGTGGGTGTGCTAAGACAGGGACCGCGGGGGGGGGGGGCTGGGGGGCTTTAGCCCCCCCAATAATTTTCAAAATACATGTGATTCCTTTATAGCGATTTTTATATGGCCATAATTATACGAATAAAAACTCCTTATAGTAAGTTGTGTAATCATAATTATGTGTTCACTATCCGTGTTGGTGAACAATGTTTTCATTGAAGTATTTACAAGAAAAATATAAACAGATAAGTATGGTCCCCCCCCCCGAGGGTTCACTCTTTCGGCTTCGCTAGCCCCCCCAATCCAAAAACTGCTCCGCGGTCCCTGTAAGACTGCATTTCACTGCTTTCAGTGAAGAAAATACTTTCAATAAACTGAAGTGCGTCACAGACTACAAGGCACGATCGAGTTATGCCCTTGCCCCTGCACATATGTAAAGGTAAATTTAGCTTACCGCTATATCACTCATATTTGACGCAAAAATCGCCTACATTTCTTTATATTTGGCAATGCATTTGCACAGGCGAATAACTCAAAACAACAGACAAGATTTAACTTCAAAATTTTATTACATTCAACATTTTACTACAAAGCACAGCTTCGATCTTGAAATCAAAATATTTCCCGCGAATATTTTAATTTCCCGCAACCGGGGTCACGGGGTATTTGTTTTGGTTACGTCATACATGCTAAATATAATGACATCACACCAGTGAACATCACACTAAGTTCCAGTCCTTTGCGCCGGATTCAAGATGGCGTCGGGCAAATGTGCATTCCTCGATTTAGCCGCTAGTCATTTAACTGGATGCATACAGATATATTCAGTGTTGTTTAGGCATAGTTTCATGATATGCGACCGATAGTCTGCGATGACAATTGTCATGCAGAGATATCACTGAAGATTGAACGCCTTTACTATTATTTTCGATAACTTTTCTTCTTAGCGACAAACGACACATCAGACTGTCGGTGATATTTGAGAACCAGACTCTCAGGGGCAGACAATGATTATAAAAACGTGTTTAATGGTTTATAATCTCACGTTGTATTAATTTTCGTAAGCAAATACATACATTCTGACAATGCACATCTGTCCATCTAGACTGTGCAGAATTAAAAATCGTGGACAAAACATCCTCTCAGATCGGCAGCTGCTTATGAATTGAGTCTTAAAAAGTTATCGAAGGTTAATCTTTGTAAATTTTTCTGAACCGCCATGCATTCGCGTTGTTTTGATAGTTCATATCCTATAGAGGAGCGATGCGCGATATTTCTGATGATGATTTATGTGCGCACTTTGAAGGATAATGATATCTTTACCTTGTATACGAAGTCTTCGATATGATGGCGGAGCTGATAGCCACACATTAGCACGAACATAACAACAAAGACACGTATAAAATGTGCTCTTGTTATTAAGCGCTTGAGTCTTGCCATACTTAGTTATACAAAAGAAATTTACATTTGACACAAGGCTTTGAATCTTCGTAAGAATATAAAAAATCGCCCATTCAGAACAAGTAATAATGCAACATATGTCATTGAATAGCTGCTCTCTGCTCTATACAAAACCATATACCTTATGTATTCTTATTACTTGCTATTATGTCCATATAGACCTAAACGAGGAGGACTGACGCGAGTTACGTGAACGAGGCAAGTCAGGGGGGTAAATCAAGTTATGTTGGATAGGGCTCCCTACCTAATACCATAACTGAATTTTACATATTTTTTAGGTATATATTTGCAAACGTATCACAAAAGTGGTCTTTATTCAATCCCCAAAAGTCATTTCATGCTTCGCTCGATATCCGCTTAATCATGTCATTATCAACAAACTATGCTTTTCAATCCCGGGGTTAGGGTAGAATTAAATAGTGTTGTTTCGAGCTAAAAGCTCAGTATTTCGTAAATTGTGGGATAATCGGAAGTACGAAATATTGGATAAAAGCGAAGTTGCCAAATTTTGTATACTTTGTATTTTCAGTATTGCGTGCGGAAATGTGTAGCTAATTTAGTTGCATATTTCCGTTCACAATACAAAAGTATACAAAATTCTGGCAATTTGCATGGCTATATTATTATATTATCCGTACTTTATAAAATTCTGCCATTAAATTCGACAGTTTTACTATAATCTAATATTTATGTTCTTTCATGTTATTCACTTCTTGTCGCTAAATAAAAAAATAGGCTGGATTTCCACTTACAGAGAAATAGCTCGCTAGTGAATATTTGCATATTTTCTTTATATAGATTTGTTTTTTTTTCAACATGACTGTCCCACTGGACTGTCTTCGATTAAAAAAAAATATGCAAATAATCCCTAGCGAACTATTTCTCCGTAAGTGGAAGTCCACCTAAAGCGCAAGCTGTGGAGTATGGAATGGATGTCTAACTTAGAACGTAGCTATAAGTATAACAGGAAAACAGACGGATAATATGTATCAGAAGGATCTAATAAACAAAATAGATATCAGATCCTTCGCCCCATTTCACGTTACCTCTCACTGTCGAGTTAGATAACTTCGAATGTCGACCAGGACTTTTTCGTAAGCATTCAACATTCATGATTCAAGTTATTCAACTTTTTAAACATCAACTGCATGCAGTAACTGTATGCATCATTGCATATTGTATTTTTCGCAGATTTTGAACACTTAATAAAACCTAATAAATAAATCGAGGAATCTAGTTCTTCCCTTGACCCGTCGCGGGCTAGAACCACCAACTATCAACGGACCAGTCGTTTGACTTAACCACTACACCATCGTGACTGCTCTTGAAATACTCACGTTTTTTTATGGACTTGAACCTATCTTCCCACACTTTCACGCAATAAGTACATCGAAAATTTTTTCCCGGCAATTTCTTCCCGTGGCACTCCACAGGTCAGAACCACGGCCTGTGGACTAACAACTTCCATGTCTTAACGGTTAACCACTACACCATCACGACTGCTCTTGAAAGCCAAATATCTTTCTAAAAACTTAAAACTTTTCTTTCAATATTTTCACCAACGAATCAATCGAAAAATCTACAAAAAAATTGGGTGACGTGTGTAAAACTTCGCACTCTTGTATTTCAGTAACACAGACATATATTTATTATTTTAGGCCTACGACACTAAATTAAATTAAAATCAATTGCTTGTAAAATATGCCATTTTGTGTTCATTTGCACACAACGACTTTGAAGAAATGTTTTCAGTTGCGTAATGAATACTCTGGCAAAGAATATTAAATGTGAGATTTCCATGTTATGGATTTTCACTGTCAACCATTCTCATCTTCTGTCTCTTCGAGCAATATTTAGTTATCTTCGTTGAGTTCATTGACTTGTATGCTTCATTCAGAGACATAGGTGTGAAAGTGAATCAAATTACTTGCATCTATGTGTACTGCATGTTTTTAATTAACTACGCATATGATGTATGCACGTGGTCACTCGTGCACTGTGTGGACAATTGCATGATGTCAAGAAAATTTTAAATGCCGTTAATTCACTTCATTCCTTGAAGAAATCGACCAGTTTTAGGTTGCAGTAAATGCAGTGAGTGAAAAAGGACACTTTACGTTTATAAAACATACTTAAACGCTATTGGAAAACGAAAAAAAGCCAAATTCAGTGTTAGGAAACCTTACGCAGTCGCAGTAAACGAGTAATAATTCCACAATAACCGCATTGAGCAATGTCATATATACTAAGCCGTCGACTCTTGGACTGATACCGATTCTCGGTACTCACGTTTTTGTTGGGTTTCGAGGGAGAATTTGGTGTTCTCGGGTTTATTTAGGGAATGGTTCATTCGAATGCTGGACGGGATGTTTTGCGTTAGCATCTTGAAAAAAAAGATTTAAGTAAAATAAAAAACACAATTCATTATCGAAAGAGAGGTATAGTCGGTGAGTAACGACAGTGGCTTAGCAACTTGTAAGTTGGGAGTTCGAATCTTGCATGGGAAAAATCTTTTTGTGACGACTCCAAAGAAAAGATTTAGGTGAGATAAAGAAAGAACCTGTTAATCACAAGATCTCTCTTGGTCTAGTGTTGAAAACAATGGTCTCTTTTCATTATGATCGTAAAAATGGATTGAGATAAAATAAATAAAGGTAGCTCTAAACATCAAGCGCTAGTGGTCTAGTGGTGAAGACAACAGTATGGTAAACCGTCAGACTATGGTCCGAAACGGAAATCGGGATGTTTTTTATTATTTTGTTGATTTGACTCAGAGACATGGGAATTGCATGTAAGTGTATTGTCTTTAATTATCTACGCATATGATGTATGCAGGTGGTGATTCGTGCACTGTGTGGACTATTGCATGATGTCAAGAAAATTTTAAATGTCCTTAATTCACTTCATTCCTTCAAGAAATCGACCGGTTTTAGGTTGCAGTAAATCCAGTGAGTGAAAAAGAACACTTTACGTTTATAAAACATGCTTAAACGCTATTGCAAAACGAAAAAAAGCCAAATTCAGTGTTAGGAAACCTTACGCAGTCGCAGTGAACGAGTAATAATTCCACAATAACCGCATTGAGCAATGTCATATATAGTAAGCCGTCAACTCTTGGACTGATACCGATTCTCGGTATTCACGTTTTTGTTGGGTTTCGAGGGAGAATTTGGTGTTCTCGTGTTTATTTAGGGAATGGTTCAAATGCTGGACGGAATGTTTTTCATTAGCATGTTGAAAAAAAAGATTTAAGTAAAATAAAAAACACCATTCATTATCGCAAGAGGGGGATAGTCGCGGGGTAACGATAATGGCTTAGCAACTGGTAAGTTGGGGGTTCGAATCTTGCATGGGGGAAATGTTTTTGTCACGACTGGAAAGAAAAGATTTAGGTGAGATAAAGAAAGAACCTATGAATCACAAGATCTCTCTTGCTCCAGTGTTGAAAACAATGGTCTCTTTTCATTATGATCGCAAAAATGGATTGAGATAAAATAAATAAAGGTAGCTCTAAACATCAAGCGCTAGTGGTCTAGTGGTGAAGACAACAGTATGGTAAACCGTCAGACTATGGTCCGAAACGGAAATCGGGATGTTTTTTTATTATTGTGTTGATTTGACTCAGAGACATGGGAATTGCATGTAAGTGTATTGTCTTTAATTATCTACGCATATGATGTATGCAGGTGGTGATTCGTGCACTGTGTGGACTATTGCATGATGTCAAGAAAATTTTAAATGTCCCTAATTCACTTCATTCCTTCAAGAAATCGACCGGTTTTAGGTTGCAGTAAATGCAGTGAGTGAAAAAGGACACTTTACGTTTATAAAACATACTTAAACGCTATTGGAAAACGAAAAAAAGCCAAATTCAGTGTTAGGAAACCTTACGCAGTCGCAGTAAACGAGTAATAATCCCACAATAACCGCATTGAGCAATGTCATATATACTAAGCCGTCGACTCTTGGACTGATACCGATTCTCGGTACTCACGTTTTTGTTGGGTTTCGAGGGAGAATTTGGTGTTCTCGGGTTTATTTAGGGAATGGTTCATTCGAATGCTGGACGGGATGTTTTGCGTTAGCATCTTGAAAAAAAAGATTTAAGTAAAATAAAAAACACAATTCATTATCGAAAGAGAGGTATAGTCGGTGAGTAACGACAGTGGCTTAGCAACTTGTAAGTTGGGAGTTCGAATCTTGCATGGGAAAAATCTTTTTGTGACGACTCCAAAGAAAAGATTTAGGTGAGATAAAGAAAGAACCTGTTAATCACAAGATCTCTCTTGGTCTAGTGTTGAAAACAATGGTCTCTTTTCATTATGATCGTAAAAATGGATTGAGATAAAATAAATAAAGGTAGCTCTAAACATCAAGCGCTAGTGGTCTAGTGGTGAAGACAACAGTATGGTAAACCGTCAGACTATGGTCCGAAACGGAAATCGGGATGTTTTTTATTATTTTGTTGATTTGACTCAGAGACATGGGAATTGCATGTAAGTGTATTGTCTTTAATTATCTACGCATATGATGTATGCAGGTGGTGATTCGTGCACTGTGTGGACTATTGCATGATGTCAAGAAAATTTTAAATGTCCTTAATTCACTTCATTCCTTCAAGAAATCGACCGGTTTTAGGTTGCAGTAAATCCAGTGAGTGAAAAAGAACACTTTACGTTTATAAAACATGCTTAAACGCTATTGCAAAACGAAAAAAAGCCAAATTCAGTGTTAGGAAACCTTACGCAGTCGCAGTGAACGAGTAATAATTCCACAATAACCGCATTGAGCAATGTCATATATAGTAAGCCGTCAACTCTTGGACTGATACCGATTCTCGGTATTCACGTTTTTGTTGGGTTTCGAGGGAGAATTTGGTGTTCTCGTGTTTATTAGGGAATGGTTCAAATGCTGGACGGAATGTTTTTCATTAGCATGTTGAAAAAAAAGATTTAAGTAAAATAAAAAACACCATTCATTATCGCAAGAGGGGGATAGTCGCGGGGTAACGATAATGGCTTAGCAACTGGTAAGTTGGGGGTTCGAATCTTGCATGGGGGAAATGTTTTTGTCACGACTGGAAAGAAAAGATTTAGGTGAGATAAAGAAAGAACCTATGAATCACAAGATCTCTCTTGCTCCAGTGTTGAAAACAATGGTCTCTTTTCATTATGATCGCAAAAATGGATTGAGATAAAATAAATAAAGGTAGCTCTAAACATCAAGCGCTAGTGGTCTAGTGGTGAAGACAACAGTATGGTAAACCGTCAGACTATGGTCCGAAACGGAAATCGGGATGTTTTTTTATTATTGTGTTGATTTGACTCAGAGACATGGGAATTGCATGTAAGTGTATTGTCTTTAATTATCTACGCATATGATGTATGCAGGTGGTGATTCGTGCACTGTGTGGACTATTGCATGATGTCAAGAAAATTTTAAATGTCCCTAATTCACTTCATTCCTTCAAGAAATCGACCGGTTTTAGGTTGCAGTAAATCCAGTGAGTGAAAAAGAACACTTTACGTTTATAAAACATGCTTAAACGCTATTGCAAAACGAAAAAAAGCCAAATTCAGTGTTAGGAAACCTTACGCAGTCGCAGTAAACGAGTAATAATACCACAATAACCGCATTGAGCAATGTCATATATACTAAGCCGTCGACTCTTGGACTGATACCGATTCTCGGTATTCACGTTTTTGTTGGGTTTCGAGGGAGAAATTGGTGTTCTCGTGTTTATTTAGGGAATGGTTCGAATGCTGGACGGAATGTTTCTCATTAGCATCTTGAAAAAAAAGATTTAAGTAAAATAAAAAATACTATTCATTATTGAAACAGGGAATAGTCGCGAGGTAACGAGAGTTGCCTCGCTCTTGGCAAGTTGGTGGTTCGAATCTTCCATGGGAAAAAATGTTTTCGTCACGACCCGAAAGCAAAAAAAAATTTATTGGGTTTCCAGGGAGATTTTCGTGTTACTGTTGGAAAGTTTTGGTAATTAGCTGCTTGGAAAAAGGGTTAATTATGTCCAAGGCTTGATTAAATTGATTCAAAGTCCACAAGTATACATACGATGTAAGGACGTGCATGTTTTATAGGTACGCGTAATTTACTACATTTGCGACTTGTATGTACGCAGGCATATGATGTATGGACGTGCACGTTTTGGACGTTCGCCTACGTTCGCTATATATACACTATCCGCCGAAACGAAATTTTCAATTTTTATACTTTGCTTTTTTTTAACAAATCTAAATGCTATTGCAAATGATAAAACGCAAATAGAATAGCAAAAAACGCCACGCAGTCGCAGTGAACTAATATGGTCATGCCTACGATTTCAGTGCGCATGTGGAACACTCCCACAATCAGAACACTGAGCTATGTCACATATATATGCTAGACATTTTTAATAGGAAATTGGGTGTTGTGTGCTCTTCTCTTCTGAGGGTTTTCGGTTGTCATCTTTGTTTTCTTGACCCTTCTTTTTTGTGGTCACTTCTCACGGTGCTGCCTTCGGGCGGTATCGTTGAAGATCCTTCGGGATCTTTCTAAAAACTTCCTCTCTGCTACCTCAATTGGGGGCGCGGCGGGGGTTTGTTTTTCTCCCCCAATGCGCCCCCGGGTTGTGGTAGCAACCTCTTTTGCCTTCCTTTTAAATTTACGATCAGTCTACTCAATATATGCAAATGAAGTTTACGTAATCATATCTATGACGTAATAATTTATGCTGAACCTAACACATGCGCAGTTCACGATGAGCTTCTCTCTCGATCTATTCAATATGGTGGTCAGTCAAGAAATGTTTTTGCTTGCAAAAAGATCGTAAAATGTTGGCGCTACAAGCTCGGAAAAGGTATTGAAAATACTCCCATCTCCTTGCTTTGTTATTTAGTGTAATCTTAAGCGAAAGAAAGCGATATAAAGGTTATAATAGTTGTTTAATTTCGAATTCTAATAAGTGGAATTTAACATATGGAAGGATCACAGCTGATTGCTTTTACTCATAATTTGGTTTACTGTGATGACTACCAGCTAGTAATGGACAAATATTGCGTGGAAATAGCCACTTAGAACACAGAAATATGTGAACTATTAAAAACTATTAGTTTAATTCAAAATTCGCGTGTAGGGAGTCCAACAAACCCAGCTTCTGCAGTTCGCCCGTTATCATCTGATTACTTGCAATAACTTTTACAAATGAGTAAAACTTTTCAACTTTTGATATTTTGTAGATTGTAAATGAGATCAGGCTTTTTTAGCTTTACCATCATCACAGGATAACAAGGTATGTTTATTAATTTTAAAAATTGTGCATTAAAAATCGTCTGGCTAGAACTGAACAAGCATTGCTAAAGATGTTTGGTGTTTATTAACTGCAGTCGGTATTTTTGCATTTTAGAAGGAAGCATCGAAACAAATTCAAAGATGACTAATTTTAACATGGTGGATACGAAAGTCCTTCCTTGAAAACCTACTTCAGTCATTGGTAGGTGAGTTTCTTACGGTTAACTGTGATTTTCGCTTGGGCTTTCTATTTTTTTGTATTATTGCAAATGAGCTTGATAGGTTTTTGAATAATGAGTAACTCATGTCGTAGTATTCCAGCATTTTACTGACTTGATTTGACTGCGCTCATACAGTAACATACAGTGACTGCGCTCATACAGTTTACATACTGTAACTGTAAATGATGCAATAAAGAGTCTCTATCATATAAACGTCTCAAACCATTCCCTTCAACATACATTTGTATTAGGCCTCTCTCTCTAATAAATGCCTGTCTCGAATCAAAACACCAGTAATGGTTAATGTCCCTAGCATGGTTGTCTGTTTCATCATGGTTATGATGTTCAATTTTAATTTGTATATTTAATTTTTATCTGATCAGGAACTGTTTTTGTTTTGTTTTGAGAATGTTCAGAAACAGTTTTAAGTTTACACACACCAACTGCATTAAGTGACACTTGATGCTGTATGTATTAAAATGGCATCACCAATATAATATTTAGACTTAGTATTTAGACTTTTGACTTGTTCAAAATATGCTCCCTCTAGAATTGACAGATTTCATTAAGGTGGTCTTGGTCATTATAAATGCAGATTTACCCTGTTTTAAAAATTTCCAGGGATGCAAACTTAAATGTTTCCGTAATCGATCCTCAATATTTTTTCTCAAAAAAATATGTAAAAAATGTAAGAATTAAACGAAAAGTTTAATTAATCAGGGTTTTATCCCAAGCAAACAAAATGAGTCGATTATCTTGTTTCATTGTTCTGTATGATTTAACAAAAATTTTTTGGTCGCTTTTACTAGAAAACTAAAACTCTCATCCCCCTAATTTTCGTGAAAGATAATTCAAAAATTAATAAAGCTAACTTGATAAAATGGTTGACTCTAAAGACAATTGGCTCGGATGTGAACCTAAAAGTTTTTGTATTCCATTCAGTCTATGTAAAATAGGGACTGTTTATTTTTGATAGATGATAGAAGTTTTATATTTATAGCCTGTAAAACATTTTGGAAAAGTTTTATTTATTTGAGGTTCAGCTTCGAGCCAAAAATATTTAGAACTAAATAAAACTAATACCGTCGTTCTAGCGTTAAAACATAGTTTGTTACTTGTTCCCAAAATCATCTATTTTCCACCATGGGGTGTGTTTGTTCTGGGTAACTATAGTAATTGAAGATTCCTACAAGTCTTTTTTCACTCAGAGCAACTTGGCTTGCAATATGTCATGAAAAGATTTTTATGTTTTTCAAAATAAAAATAAAAAAAATCAATGACCTAGACTTAAAAGCCCCAGATGTTTATGGATCATGTACAATATGTTACTGCTTCAGTTGATCTCTGATCTCTGTACTGTCTCTTTATTGGTATTATTATACATTATAGTAGTAAAAGCTATTTGTTTGGCTAATAGTTGACGAATAAATCACGCAATCTGCAAGTGAGCCTGGGGTGGTTAACCAGCGGTATTCATTTGAATGTATTTATTTGTATTTATGTATTAATAATTGATGTATTTTTGGATGTTGCTATTAAATAAGGTTTTTCATTCTTTAATACTATGTTTACTATTCTTCAAATGTATAATAAAACAATTATTGAATTCGGTTTTTGTGATATAACTCTGCATATCACAAAAACCTTATCCAATAATTGTTTATTATATGATGAAAATGGGAGCTTTGGATGGTTTTGCAAATTGTGGGAAATTCCAAATTGATTTGGTGGGCCATCCTCCTAGGTTTGTCAAAAACCCTGGGTAATCGATTGCACTGGGGGTCTTCGCAATAAAAAAGTGCTGACTGAGGAATTTTGTGGAAAGAGCAAGAATTTATGAATTTACAAACATGAATTTTGAAACTTGTTCTGATGATTATTTACATGGAGAAAGAAGCAAATAAATCACTATCACAATCAATTTTAAATACAATAACTAATTACCTGAAAAATATTGAATGTATTGAAAATATTGATGGTTTTAGAATTTAGACGTGCAGTATGAATAATATAAAATTGTGAGGTAAATTTATGCACAAATCAGGGGGCGGGCATTCGGCACGCCCAGTACGCGGAAAACCTGGGAACGAGGATAGATTTCGGAGAAGAAGGGCGAAGGAAAGCCCGGAAAATTTTAAATTTATATGTTTTAAAGAGAAACTATAAAGTTATTTTAATGAAGTGAAGCTTGTTGAGAAAAGGATATTCCGATTATAAGTATATCTAGATATATATCTCATAAGCGTATGTTTTGTGTTTGCTGGATTTTTTCGCGCATCGAATGTCGGAATTTTCTGAACATTTTTTTGGTCGATTTCTTTCGCATTAGTTCAACGTTTTAGAGTAAGAATGTTTGTGATGCCCAAGCATTTATTTCACGTAAATGACGTTCATTTGTTCTGCTTTGTTAGATTAAAAGTCCAGCGAGAAATAAAGTGAAAGGCGCGTAGATTTGAAAACCACGAGGTGAGTAAGGCAGTAAGCCGCAATTTTATTAAATTTTCGTACTTTTTTTAATAGTGTGTTGTTTTCGTTTTATTTTAACGTTCCATGCCCCAACCGAACACTTCAATAAGGGTGCAGTAGTTTTAAGAAAGATTTGGGGTTTAATTTTATTAAAAAATCCACCTTCACTCGAGAGGAATGGCGAATCATTTCAGAGCATGTATTCGGTGTTTGACATAATTGTGGGAAATGTGTTGCCAAATTAGTTTGTATTTTGAAACATTCGATTAAGTGCTGAGAAAAGAAATGGAAAACTACTTCTTTAAAGCCCTTTTTTGTTTTTGCCAAGGCAGGTTGATGCATGTAGTTTGATATATGGGAGGGGTCAGCACCATTTAGTAGCCTTAGAAGTTAGAATGAGGGGAAGTAGAATTGTTTAAACGTTGATTCAATGTTGTTTTATCAGAGTCTGATGTTAATATTTTGTGTTTCAGATTGTTTTTGCCAATGTTTTGATCTGAGGGTTTAAAGAATCACTTTTACAATTGAAACTGGAATGCAATGATAAGAAAGGGAAATGTGGAATAAATGCCTGGAAAGACAATATAAACTATAATTTGAAACTGGAATGCAATGATAAGAAAGGGAAATAAACTATTGCTAAAGCTAAAGAACCACTGAAGCTAAAGAATTGAGATACAACAATCTTTGACTGACTTTAGGTGTAAGACGTTCGCCCAGCTATTGTAGATCGCATGGAATCGATTCAAGTCCTTTAAAAATTTGTCAATCAAGATGAGAATGAACTTAGTGAATCTGTAATTGCTGCTATATGTTTTGGCTAAAATATAAAAAAAACTGTTGTATGTCTCCAAAACAAAGGAGCTTATATTTATGATACCAAAAAGTACAGGATTGTTTGACATCAGAAATACAAAGAATTCGGCACAGCGACAATTCAACTTTTAAAACGAAACCAAAAAACTAGAAGCAAAAAACAAATTGTGCTTCAAAACAAAACTAGAATGCACTGCTTTTAAAAGGTTGAAATATAGGAAAGGACAACTTTTTTCTAGGCGTTTAGTGATTCGTTTATAGTAACATCGCTCACGATGATGTTCGGAGTTGATCGGCATGTTGTCGTACATTATCATCCACGTGATCTGCTATGATCACATGGTAATTATTGCCTATAAAATTAATCTCAACGTTAAAAAAAAATTTCTTTAGATAGGTGGCGATCGAAGGTGGACAGCAAGATCGAAGCTCAGCAAGATTGAAGATTGTTCGAGGAAGAAGGAGTTCGCCGTTGACTAAAAGGTGGGTTCCGGCGATTATATGCGTAATCTGCGGTTGCTTTGTCCGACCCCAGTAGGGGGACCGTTTGCCTAGAGCGTTTTGGTCCCCCGCACGCTGCTAGTTCCCACTGTAGGCCTTTACACTAATCTACGGGAAGGCCGTAGGCCTTCCTTAAGGAGTACAGTGTAGCTGAGCCGACCCTTTTTTTTTGTTGTATATAGGTTTATCTGAACAGCTATTTGTCAAGATGAACGTGAAGAGAAAAAAGATGAGAATAGAAGACTCGCCCGGCCAAATTCAAAATGGCGATGCCAAAGAAAACCATCCACGTGGACCGTTCGCGGACCTTTCTGAGCAAGATTGTTGTGCTGTCTGGTCAAAGTTAAGTATTTTACTTTGTCTTTGATGTTTGTGTGCCTTCTGCTAATTGTTGGCCAGAAATGACAAAAAGCCATATACAATATGAAATATTCTGCGTACAAGGTTATCTAAAGTTTCGAGCTTAATTCTGCCTGCAATGATGATAATTTTTTACTGAAAATTTATGTCATGAGCAATTTCCGCACCTATAGACTGAAGCAGAACTGAACATTTTGTCATTAACGTTTATCTCAACAGCCAGTTATCAAGACGAACGTCAAGAGAACAGTTGAAATAGAAATCAGTTGAAATAGAAATCAGTTCAAGACTCGCCCGGCCGAATTCAAAATGGCGATGCCGAAGAAAACTATACACGTGGACCGTTCGCGGACCTTTCTGAGCAAGATTGTTGTGCTGTCTGGTCAAAGTTAAGTATTTTACTTTACTGTTTGTGTGCCTTCTGCTAAAACTAGACAATAATTAAGGTAGTTAAAAATGCAATTATATTAAAGATTTTCCTTGGTCAACATTGGAAGTGAACAAGATTTCTGCACAGAGGTAATTCGATTGTCTCTTCTAAATTTATATTAGCCTTGCAGCTGAAATTCTTGTCACTACCTTGTAATACATATTAACTGCCTGGGTATATATTTTATTTCAATAGTATAAGAGGGAATTTGCTGCAACTAGGATCTTTTTTTGGAAAATCGTCAGGCAGTCACAAATTTTGTTAAGATTACTAAGTTAACATTGCTTCTATGCTCACTATGTGTCACCAGTAATAAATTCCTGTGGTGGTCTTTAAATAAATATAGCAACCATAGTTATATATAGAGGGATGAAGTAACCATAGATTACCTGACCAAAAACTAGACAGTAATTAAGATAGTTGAAAATGGAATTTTATATTAATAATGTCTTTTTATATTCAAGATTTTTCTTGGTCAAGAGTGCAACATGAACTGTGGATATGAACTTTACTGTCAGATGAACATTGGAAGTGAACAAGATTTCTGCACAGAGGTAATTCGATTGTTCCTTCAAAATTTATATTAGCCTTGCAGCTGAAATTCTTGTAGTGACTTTGTAATACATATCAACTGCCCGGATATATATTTTGTTATTTATTATAAGGGGGAATTTGCTGCAACTAGGATCTTTTTCATGAAAATCGTCAGGCAGACTCGCTATGTGTCACCAGTAATAAATTCCTGTGCTGGTCTTTGAATAAATATAGCAACCATAGTTATATATAGAGGGATGAAGTAACCATGGAATACCTGATGAAAAACTAGACAATAATTAAGATAGTTGAAAATGGAATTTTGTATTAATAATGATTTCTTTATATATTCAAGATTTTCCTTGGTCAAGAGTGCAACCAGCCACATGAGCTGCTGTGGATATGGACTTTACTGTCAGAGGAAAATTGGAAGTGAACAAGATTTTTGCAGAGGTAATTTGATTGTTCCTTCAAAATTTATATTAGCCTTGCAGCTGAAATTCTTGTAGTGACCTTGTAATACATATCAACCGCCCAGATATATATTTTGTTATTTAGTATAAGGGGGAATTTGCTGCAACTAGGATCTTCATGAAAATCGTCAGGCAGTCACAATTTTGTTAAGATTGCTAAGTGAACTTTGCTTCTATGCTCCCTATGTGGTCACCAATGATAAATTCCTGTGGTGGGCTTTGAATAAATATAGCATATTTATATAGAGGGATGAAGTAACCATAGAATGCCTGACCAAAAACTAGACAATAATTAAGATAGTTGAAAATGGAATTTTAGATTAATCATGTGTTCTTGTAATATTCAAGATTTTCCCTGGTCAAGAGTGCAACATGAGCCGTGGATATGAACTTTACTGTCAGATGTACATTGATTGGAAAGTGAACAAGATATCTGCACTGAGGTAATTTGATTTTGTCATGGATGGTCAGCATTTTATTTTAAAAAGCCACTACATTGTTGAGATGACAACAATGAAATTGTAATTTGCTTCTATGGTCACCATGCGTGAAACCAATGATGAAACTTAATGCTATAACAGCTGAACCAGTCTGGCTGATTACTAAAATTCCTGTGGTTGTCTTACAATAAATATCCATGAAAAAGACCAGCAACTACTATTTTAAACTTGGGAGAAATTTTTCTGATTTCCATGTGATTTATATTCTGTAGTACTCAGAAGGGTGGTACCCAGTTTTTCTGTGTTCAAATTAAATAGTGACATATTTCTGGGTTGAATATATGCATGTGACACATTCTTTTTATTGAAAATAGCAAAAATATAATTGGCATAAAACAAAATGCATTCACGAATGTATTGTCTATCCATGAAAGATGGCTAAACTAAGATAATGAGTAATATCTTTTAATAATGATGTCAGGTTGAAAATACAACTTTTTGCCTAAAAGGATTGATGAAATGCTTTTTCTCTTTAGAATGAATGAAGTTGAAGAAAGTTGAAAGGCACCCCAGAAGAACCTGAATTATTTTAGCCCTATCCTAGATTCATTGAATATTTTAGTGTGTGATAACATGTGTGAAATGTGATCAATTATGTGACAATTTTCAAAACTTGGATTTATAAAGAGAATTTTTTCTTTGTAAGGTTTAAGAAGTAAACCTTTTTTGTCTGGTGGTGTTGGTGTTTTGATTTTGCATGTTTTTCCCTGTGCTTTCACAATTGAAAATATTTTGGCCGTTGCTTTTGGCTTTTTCTCATACTTCTTTTCTCTTTAATTTCTTCTTAGTATTAGTATTTTTTCTAAATATATTTTCTCTTATTATTTTTTTGATGAAATTCTTTTTTTCTTTGGTGTTTAAGAAAGTTGAAAGGCACCCAGTTTCATTGATTAATATTTTTTAGTGTGAAATGTGATGAATTATGTGACAATTTTCAAAACTTGGATTTATAAATCTTTTTTCTTTGTAAAGTTTAAGAAATAAACCTTTTCGTCTGATGGTGTTAGTGTTTTTATTTTGCAAGTTCTTCTGTGTGACTTGACAATTCTAAATTAAACCTCTTAATATTTTTTAGTATTTTTCTAAGTTAAACCTGTTAGTATTTTCTTCTATTGCTCTAGTTTTTTTTCTCTAGTTTGTTCTACTATTTCTCTATTTTTTCTTTTATTTCTCTAGTTTTTTTCTATTTTCTCTTGTCTTTTATTCTCTAGTTTTTCTAGTTAGTTTTCTTTTCTCTGGTTTTTTCTTCTATTTCTCTAGTTATTTTTCTACTTAGTTTTTTCTCCAGTTTTTTTTCTTAATGTTTTCTCTTGTTTTTTTCTCTAGTTTTTCTAGTTAGTTTTTTCTCTGGTTTTTTCTTCTATTTCTCTAGTTTTTTTTCTACTTAGTTTTTTCTCTAGTTTTTTTTCTCTAGTTTTTTCTTAATGTTTTTCTCTTGTTTTTTTCTCTAGTTTTTCTAGTTAATTTTTTCTGTGGTTTTTTCTTCTATTTCTCTAGTTTTTTTTCTACTTAGTTTTTTTCTCCAGTTCTTTTCTTAATGCTTTTCTCTTGTTTTTTTCTCTAGTTTTTCTAGTTAGTTTTTTCTCTGGTTTTTTCTTCTATTTCTTTAGTTTTTTCTTCTCTAGTTTTTTCTTCTATTTCTCTATTTTTTCTTCTATTTCTCTAGTTTTTTTTTCTATTTTCTCTTGTCTTTTATTCTCTAGTTTTTCTCTAGTTTTTCTGGTTAGTTTTCTTTTCTCTGTTTTTTTTCTTCTATTTCTCTAGTTTTTTTTCTACTTAGTTTTTTTCTCTAGTGTTTTCTGGCACACTTAAACCTTCCTTTTAACATTTCTACTTAATAATTCATTTAATTCCTTTTCTTTTTTTTACCCTCAACAGGTTCGAACCACCAACTGTTAACTTGTCAGTCAATTGCATTAACCATTACACCACACTGGCTGCTGTTGAAATCTGCTCCATCTTCTGGCAAACTTAAACCTTTCTTCCAACAGTTCTACTCAATAATTCACTCTTTTCTTTTTTTACCCTTCACAGATTCGAACCACCACCTCTTAACTTGTCAGTCAACTGTCTTATTAACCACTACACAACTGTGCCTGCTGTTCAAATACTCACATTTTTTGGCGCAATAAGAACATTAAACAAAAAAGGTTGGGCAGGAAAAAAATTGCCTGATAGATGTAAAACTTCGCACTTTTGTATTTAAACACAAACATATTTATTATTTTAGTCACACGACAATAAATTAAATTAAAATCAATTGCTTGTAAAATATTCCATTTTGTGTTCATTTGTACACAACGACCTTCAAGCAATAATTCCCGTTGCCTTATGAATACACTGAGAAAGAGTATTAAGTAGTACCAGATATCAACCATTGTCATCTTCAGTCTCTTCAAGCAGAATTTGGTTATCTTCATTGAGTTCATTGACTTGCATGCTTCCTTCACAGACATACGTATAAAACTGAGCCATCACTGCAAATATGATCACAACCACAACCAACAGACCGGCAAAAAAGAAGAACTCGTAGGCCTAAGTAAAAAAAAGCTGTCATCAATTCCTCCTATGTATTTGCCAAGTAAATAATCCCAAAAGATTACCATATTATAAAAGAAACGAGCTTCAGCGAAGATAACCACAATCAAATTTCCAACAGAAACAGTCAATAACCATGCGGCCATAATACAAGACTTCATACTTGGTGGAGACTGAAAAAAAGGAGAAGAATTAAGGGAAAATATTGTTTTTACGTCACTTGAAATGATTTCATTGCCCTTAAGATGATTGCTTTCCTTTCTTTTTTTGTGTAAATAATTTACCTGAGAATAAGCAAATTCAAGTCCAGTGATGGAGAACATGACTTCAGCTGAAGTGATTGCCAGATACTGAGGGATTTGCCAAAACATTGGAACTGTTTTTGCACTAACTTCAACATATTTTTCCAAGATAAGCTGTGATTAAAACATTTAACTCAGATCAAAAACACATTTTATTTATTTATCAAATAACAATGCAAAGCTTTAATACCTCAGGATTGTCTGGGGTAACAGGATTTCCCTGGACAATGACTGTGTACATTCCACTGTTTTCAAATTCTATTTTTTCCTAAGAAATGAATAAAAAAATGTGCAAATTGTACATATGACTTGTCCATATGACTATGGTGAATACCAATTAGCCTGGCAAGAAAAAAAACATACCAGCCCAGCAAACCCTTTGGGTCACAGTTCTAATAAGTAATTATTACTAACCTTCAACCTAACTTTATTAGTATTACCATCTATAACTTCAATGTCATACCTGAAGAAAATATTGTATGGAAACTTGCGACAAGTATATAAAACATATATTTCATGCCATTGATAAAATTATTGATTTAATTTAATAGCTAAACGATGCATTCAATATATACAAACCTTTCAGACTTTAGTCTGAGATATTGGGTTGCATTTAATCTTGTTAAATTCTTGATAGAAAATGTGCTATTTAATTTGATAGAAATTTTTGGAACAACTGCAGCACCAGCATGAATGAACCTGGATAAAAAAATATAACATGCCATTGAAATATAAACCAGTAATTTTCATTCAACTTTTAAAAAAACGTTTCTGCTAAAATCGACTGGCAATTACCTCACACGTGATGTACCACTTTTTATTTTATTGAGAAATTTTATTCTGAACTGTTTGAATGAAAATTTCCCTTGATAATTGGAGATGACCAACTCAAAAGATTTCTTGGACACTAAAGACAGTGGGAAAACCTCTTCTTTTTTGAAATAGGCCAATGTGGGTGACTGCGGACATTTGTCTGCTCTGACAAAGACTTCGTTCACATACGATGGGAGGACCAAATAGTCACTTGCCTATATGATAAAATAATGCAATTACTACCCTTTCTATAACCTCATATTCGGAGATCTTGAGAATGCTACCACGCATACATGCTGTACAAAAACTTACAGATCTTTGAGGAATATTCAAGATCAATGAAGGGTATTTTGCAAATGTGACATTCAGTGAACAACGAGCTGCATTGATGACTCTTAAATTTGATTGTCTAAATGGCGCAGGGTGATGCCTGATTGTTGTTGCCTAGAAGAAATGTAAAAAGACTGCTTAATAAGGTAAATTAAATGACAAACCTTGGTTGACTAAGATATGCAGTCATTTGTGTTTCATTAGTTATTGCAATTCATTGAACCTATATGATATTATTTGCACAATGTTTCAAAAAACAAACTCTGTGATTGCAGCTGACACATACCTGAATATTTAGCTGCAAAAAAGCTGCCATTAAGAATGAAATACTTGCCAAGAACATCCCAAAACACATTCTTTGCAAGGGTCTACAACAAACGGTAATTTGCTATTCTTTTAAACAAGGTATTACAATGTATCAAAAATCCTTAATGTATAGGACTATATGGTAATCTATAACATTGTATAGTGAATTTTTGTAGTAATGTTGAGTAATGTTTAGTAATTTATAGTAACATGTAAATAACTATATAACAATTAACAATGTATACTATATAGTCTAGCTTACAGCTTATATGTTAATAGAGTATATTTATCAGCAGTGTCACCTTAAAGCAAATCCACATTTTCTCATAATTGGATAAAGAATTCTTTCAAATATTGGAATAAGAACCAGAATAAAGATAGGATTAAGAGCCTATAAAGTTTTTAAAATTTACATTAATATATTTCATCAATCATCATGCTTATGCTAATATTGCAATAAAAATTTAATAACATTACCTGCATTTGATCTGGTTTGATAGTTAATAGGTCACCCTGAAGAGAAATGAACAACAGCATTATCAAAAGTTCAAAACATAAATAGCATGCAAGAATGACAATTCATTCAAAAGTCATAAAGGGTTTTTTTATGAAGATGAATAATTGTTAAATATATAAATTAAATGCCCTTACAATGTGGCCATCCAACAGCTCTGCCTGTAGTGTCCACCTAGACCCCTAAAAAGAAAGAATATTCTATTTCTTTCTATTTACATCTAAAACAAGGCAGGTATCTTGGTCTAGAACAGACACAAAACCTATCCCCTTACACTCTTTCTTCAAAGGCTAACCATCTAACAGGAAAACCTCTCAGAGTAGCGCAGTAAATCAATTTGGTCCTTACTCTGCTGTTCTAGAAAGAGTTCACTGCAATATTGCTAAACTATTTTAAAAAAACTACCAATGTGCTTTAATTAATCAGTACAATATAGGTATAAACCTGTTGATCAAACAACGTCCAGAACAGAGGTAAAGGTAGAAACATGAATAGCACTCGAAGTAAAGCCTTAACATCAGATACCATAGCTTTCTGAAAAGGTAGATATATATTATGTAGCTATAAGAACAGCACAATGGAAAACAGCAAATACACATGCATGCTTACGCTATATTTATCCTCAGCCCAATCCAGCCAATGCTGTTTTGCTACACGACGACCAACCGAACTGCATCTTCTTCGTGCTGCATGCTGAGTAGAGATTTTATGAATTTTTTTATTCATAGTCATTTGGTCAAAGTTACGTTACCCAAAGGCATAAACATACAATATATATACTTACAAAAATACATGATATCACTTGGACAACAACATTTCCAGATGGAGGATTCCTTTTATACCTTGGTGTCCCAGCCACAAATACGACTAAAATTTAATGGTATAACATTAATAATATACACAACTGAAATATATTTTAATTACAGTGCACTATATATGTCTTACTTATAGAAATAATCATCAATCCGGCAGGAACACCAAATGCCAGACTATAACAATCATTACCAAAGCATGAAACATCCCCTAAAATTTACAATTTTATTAATTTTGTAGCCATTTAAACTTTGGGGTTGAAATGAGAATAACATAAATGAAATAGAAATAGCCATAACCTCTCAACACTGGCGTTACTATCATCGACAACAAGCTTCCAAAATTGATAGAAAAATAGAAGATGGAGAAAAAACTCTCTAAAAGATGTTGCTAAAAATAAATTGAAAATATTATTGTCACAACTATCTTCGATAAATATCAAAATTGTCTTAGTTCTTGAAAGATAGTAAATACTTCTAATCTCAAATACCAGTACCTGATTTGGACCAAACTGGTCACCTCCAAATGCAGAAACGCAAGGTTTAATTCCACCTGTTCCCAAAGCTATTAATAATAGACCCACCATAGGTCCAGCTCTGTAATAATGAGATAAATATTAAAGCAAATCTCAAGATACCCACTTCTGTTATCATGAAAGCACTAAAGAGCCAAATTCAAAAAAATCTAGAAACTTACAATTTTACAGAGTTCAATATAGATGGTACTGCAGTAACTGCAACAATAATATTTCCTATTCCATAGATAATTGATACATATAATATAGTTCTAAAATCAGAAGAGAACACTTATCAGAGCTATGTTAATCAAAGTGACATGACTTGAAACATATCTATCAATACATTTATATTTGGTATAATAAAACATACTTGTATTTTCCCAAAAAGCTGTCAGCAATGATTGCACCAAAGAGGGGACTAAAGTAACAGAACATGTTGAAGGCATGGTATATGGCTGTTGCTCGTTCATTGTCCATTTTAAGCATGCTCGTAAGATACAGCACAAGGATTGCTAAAAATATACAAAAAATTGAATCAAATATATGATCTTGAGCTTGCTATGTAATAAGATTACAGCTTCAAACCATTTCCACAAAGTTAATGTCTAGGTTTGGAACAATATTATGTGGCTATTAAGCCCATCATGCACTTAGAGTTACAACTGTGTCTCTTATTGTTAAGTCAAGTTCTTTCTTATTACCGCAAGGTGACAAGGTAATACCTGCTTCAGGTGTGTTTTTTTTCAAGCTAAAATAAATTTTAACTTCTGTCTTTCAAATTTTTTTCGGCAGGTATTTGCCTTTTCTTTATTAATTAACCATGGCTCAATGGCAATAAACTAGCTAGCACTCTAGTGGATTCTTTGCCGAAAACAAGCCTAATTGACCACTTACTATGTATACCATAATACGAGAATCTTTCACAAACTTCATTTCCCAAAATGAACCACACGCTACAAGGATATTTCTCATCAAGTATACAACCAGAACTCTAGGACAAAAATCAATTTTATATTTGAAACATACAGACGTCCCTTTGTTAGCACTGTTAGGATCTCACTAACCTGAATTTCTGCTCTATTTGAAGCACTATGCTGGGTATCACCACCACCTAAACAGAAATTGAATAAAAATCAATAACTGGGTTATAGAAGCAACTAAAATAGAAAAGCAATGAACAATAGGCCAACAGTGGCTGGCATTGGCTCAGAAAAACTGCATCAACACTGGTCATCATTCACACAAGCAATATTTTTTCCTCAATGCATAAAACAATAAACTATTGGGGATAAAATTTTAGGCACATTAAAATTATGTTTCTGTTTCATGCCCTCTCAGTGGAGCAAGGCACTGCAATGATACTGCACAACCAATATTGAGAACTTATATTTGGTCTAAGACAACACTCAAAAAGCTTTCAGACAATATCAATTCCTCAATTAATCAAACAACTATAGTATATAGCCATGGATACAACATCAGAGGCTTAGGAATTTTCTATATCATTGCATACAGTTTATAAAAGTAAGTGTTATTAATCTGTAAGTATTATTTTCAAATGTAAGCGTTGAATAGTATATTTCTATCTGGTAAAACTAATAAATCGTGAAAATATACTGTTACACCTCAACAAAAGATGAAAGTGATGAGAGAAATTAAAATATTTATGCAATTATACAATCATTTGGCAAATGTATGAAAGCTTTCGTGAATAAAACGTACACTATATTTTTGTTTTATACAAAATCCATCACAACATCACAGTACAGTAACTCAACAGAATATCACGGTGTCAAAAATATTAACTTATTAACATAATATTAAAAAAGGGAGGAAAAAATACACGTTTACAAAGCTTTCAAGTTCCGCTTTAGCAATTATGAACCAAAATAACACAGGTTCTATAATTGCTACAACAAAACACGAAAACACAGTCGCAAATGATGTTACATGTTATATCAGAATTATAACAGGGGAAATTCTATAGTAAATACTTACGTCTTCTACGAGATGGTTTTATATCACTTTCATCTCCGCTGCTGCTGCTCATAGACCCTGATCGATCACCAACTAATTTATACTCCTCAGTGGCCATTTTAAATCAGCGTTGCAGGTCATAAACCAAGTTACAAATTAACAAGTTCATCTGTTATTCTCTTCATTGCCATAATTTTTTATATCCACATGTGCCAGTAGTTTGAGCAAAATCACTCGAACTCTATCGAGTGATTCATGATCACATCTAAAATATGACAGAATAAAGTGTCTCCTGTGTTCTGAAAGCGAATACATATGACGGTAAATAGTTTGAACATCAATTATTCATGAAAATTGCAAATTTAAAGTGTTTATAATTACAATTTTGCAACAATGATAATGAATATTCTCGCGATCACGCGAATGTCTCATCTCCACGCGTGGACAATCTCACCTCTGCCGTCGTTTTTATCTGTAGTGAACAGTGCTTTATAATAGTTAGCAACAATGTCTCATGAAGGAATGTCAAGGAAACCTCAGAGATAGTTCAAAGTTTAATATAACACGCAGTACTACAGCCTCCTACGATTGTCGTATGAATATGTCAAAAAAATTTTATGAAGATTTGTGTGTGACTTCATTTTTATATTTATACATTTTTTATATACAGAAAGTAAAATATTTAAAAAGATATGTTTGACAATTCCACATTATTTCTTCAAAAATTTCTCCATAGCTGCAGGAGTTCTTTGGAGAGAATTAATATTCCTTTTTATTCTGTTTTCCACAGACGCATCCGAGGAGGTGTATGTTTGAACTTTCATTGGCCTGTGTGGAAAAAAAACATGAAATGATTCAATGGACAGACACTGTAATACTGTAAAAATTTATATATACCATGAAGAATACTTACTGGACAAAACTTGCTCCTTTCTGGGTGTTCTGTGCAATTTGTTTTGCCTCAGCCTCATCTTCTTCCTATAAACCAAAAACGTCAATTAAATTGAATGAATGAACTATGATAACTTTCTCAAAGATTTAACCATTAACCAGGAAGTCACCTTGTATTTTTTTACATTTTTCCCTCGTTGCTCGTCCCTCCACCTGCAAGAAAACAAAATCTATTCTTGATATCTAGCTCACTGAGTTGAACTAAACTAACATTGAACTAAACTAACTTTACTCAAACTAAATAGCTCTATCATCAATAAACTAGTCCTCAGCAAATATCTTAATAATTAAGTTTACAACAGACAGCATTACCATATTCTACTTACTTCGCATTATCCATCATCTCAGCAAGTCTTCTTTCTCGTTCCTCGTCTGTCAATTTCCTATTGAAATCAAATCAAAATGAACTCCATCCTTTACTCTTTTTATGTAGAATATTTAGAAACACAATTTCAAATGATCATGACCTCAGCTATATCAGATGGCTGTGGAAAAGCAATAATCATTTATGTAAGATGCAGGAACAAACCTTGATATAGTTGATTCACTTTGTTTCGTTTTACTTCGAGCAGAATACAGTGAGTACGAACCAGGTTGTCTTGACGACGGGGACTGAGATCTATGTCGTTGATCCTGATGTCTTTTGCCCTCTTTGGTATCTGCGTTACGATAGTGCCTTTCTCTCGAATGGCCATTTGATGTGGCTCCACCTCTTCGTTCTCTTCTTGGACTAGATGACCTGGAATATTTTCTTGAAGAATCTCTCTTAGGTGACTCAGATCTGGATCTTGACCTTGTGTGTTTATTATGAACTTTCTTTTCTGTTTTGTCCTTTTTTCTACCTGATCTGACAGAGTTTCTTTCAGGAGAACTAGAATATACCCTTTGCTTTCTAGATTCTCTGTGTCTATCATATTTGGTAGTTCTCATATCATCATTTTGTTCAGAATCTCTGTACTTTTCTGTCTTCTTGTTTCTTTTACTTGTAGAACCGTGGTCATCGCTATCATCACTTGAAGATGAGTGGTATTTTCTCAATGAAGCCTTTGAACTAGATTAAATGCGAAAATATCAGAAATACTGTATAATTATCACATCAGTATGGTTACATCACAAGCCTATGGTTACATCAGAAGCGAAAATACCAACCGATGATTATTTGTTCTTTCTTCATCAGAAGAAACCCTTTTTCTCTTTTCCTTTTTTCGCTTTTTATCTTTCTTTTTCTTCTTCTTTAAATCCTCTTTCAACATTTGTTGCAACTGTTTCATCCGAACAGGATTCTTAAGAAGCTCCTTCTTTTTCTCATTCTCTTTCTTCTTGATCATGAACAGGGGATCGTCTCTGATCTTTGCTGCAAGGTCATTGCTTTCACTCGGACTGTCAGTGTCCATAAAACATGCCCCTGGTGCATCGGCATTCTAAAAGTTATAAACCAGAATTATTCAACGTGAAGATTAGGATTGCATGAGTACCATAATGGGAACTTGTGGATATTAATTTGGTCTTCACTTGGATAGTTATTCCAATGGATACCTTCTCATCATTTGTGGCCAAAGGATCAACAGCTTTATCAATCGCTTTTCCCAACAAGTAGTCCTCCCGGTTTATACCAGCATGTCCTGGCGCCGAGTACATCCATTCTAAACGATCAGATTTCTTCCTACAAGGAGAAATTTTTGGACTTTAAAAATACACAATACACTTTAAGCATAACTCCAAGAATCAATTGATGTTGTACTTTGCAATTCCTTGATCAATGGCATATCTCTGCATTTCCTCTCTCTGCCGTTCCTCGTGTAACTCCCGCTGAAGTTGCTCGATTTTCTTGGCTTCCGCCTCGGCCTTTTGTTCTGCCTTCCATACTTTTTCAATGTTTTGTAAAGTTTGAGGATGCCAACTCTTTTTTAAATTCTAAAAAATTAAACAAATATGTTATAAACATTCTTTCTGCATCTTCCTTGACAAGTGACAGATATTGAGATCAGGATAACTATAAGTTAAATGATGGGACACACTTTCAGAAAGACCAGGATAAGTTACAATGCCCATGCGGCTGCTGGCATTATATTAAAAATGGGGTCCTTGGCAATACGTCTGACGCGAGCTAGAAGCATTACAATATAAAATCTCTGGGGGGAGAGAAGCAAATTTTCCATCTCGACAATTTCCTGACTTATACTCATTTCTACGCCAAATAACTCACCAGATCGCCTCCACCCATATTCAATATATTCCAGTATTCAGGTTTCTACGATAAGAAGAATAGAGGCTAAGAATTATCTCAAAAAAACAACGAACAAAACACAACTTTCAGCATCTATTTAGCGGCCATATTGAATTCCACCAACCACTGAGCTCTATAATGTACTCAGTAAACTGAATATATATAATATTCATAGAAAGCATATATATTCTAATGATAGAATTTTAAAAATATTTTTATGATAGATTATTTACTTTGGTTTATTCTGAGGATGCTCTATTGGCTCAATTACCCTTGCCTACATGACTCACCAGTGAACAGCTCCAAATAAATAGACACAGCAAACACTACAACCTAGAACAGCTCTTGCACCAATCCGACCACACCTTCCCTCTTCAGTTCTTGCTGAAGTATCTGCTGACAGCTCATGAGACAATTCAGAAAAAGTAAATATTTCATAATAAATTACTTTTATTAAAATTACATTCTATTTTATCATTCACACACGTCATGCTTTACCCCATAATTTATCTCTAGTGTCTGAAGCATATCTTGCCTAAAAACTCCACCAGTGTCTTTCAAACTAGCTATTGTCTCGTTCATCTTTCTAAAAAGTTCTATCAACAAAGTCTTCTCTTTCTTGCTTAGAAATTGTAAAGACAATGAGAAACGTTTAACTGTAGATAGACTATGCAAAATGCTACAAATCTTTGTCAAATCTTCCTCCTGCCAAAGTTCATGCATAGTACTAATAACTTCTCCAAGTAAACCCATCGAAATTTCAGCTCTGAAGATCTCTGCCAACAATGGACCGCCTATAGCGATAAGGTATCGGTATCTCTTCCAATTGTCTCTTTGGCATTTCCTCCAATATTTGTGAAATTCATGACTATTTTGAGGGAGGGATAAGTCATCTGGTTTTGAGGTGTTGGTCAGAGACACTGTTTGTTGATTGGTTTTATCTGCGTAAGGATTCCACGGCTGTTTTCTGTTGTGCAAACCTAAAAATCGATAAGGCACTATACTGCATGAAGGAATAAAACATCACAACAGCAAAATTGGATGGCAAAGTCAATCACGAGTGCATATCATAAGTGCATATTAAAGGTTTTCGTTTCGAAAGGTATTCAAAAGGTATCGAAAGGTATTATGGAGGGGGGGGGAGCGCTGTTAATGCCTTTGCATAAATGGGGGGGGGTTGATAAATTCAACACATCAAAACTGTTTCAACTAATTAAACATTTATCTTCAATCATACCTTCCGTGTCTTTTTTATCCAGTGGTTTTAAATGCGAAGCAGCCACGATATCCTTGAACTCTTCGTAAGAACCAACTCTTTGAGCCACGGCCCGAAATTTCGCATCATTTTCCCTTTGATATTTTGCATCCTCCTCAACGGCCACAAGCAGTTGCTTTTCTAGTTTAGTAAAGTCTATAGTACCGTCCTTATTCATGCTTTGAATCATTTCTTTGTCGACATTTTGTGAAATAAACTTTGTAAACAAAACTGATTTTTGAAAAAATGAAAAATGTTTATGTAACTTGGTAACCAGGCAACAATCAGACCGTGAGAAAAACGCGGAGACTGATGTCGAGAGGACTGTGCATGCGCAGACCACTGGCGCAGAAGTAATTTGGCAATTTGCTGAATTTAGCGCATGAAAATGCAAATGTAATTTTTGACGTCCTCGAGCTAAATTCGCTTAACCTCAACACAGATTGAGTGGAAACAGTGCGTTGGAATTTCACAATTTAAAGTAGCACAATTTAGCGTTTCACAATTTAAAGTAGCACAATTTAGCGTTTCACAATTTAAAGCACCACAATTTAGCGTTTCACAATTTAAAGTAGCACAATTTAGCGTTCCACAATTTAAAGTAGCACAATTTAGCGTTCCACAATTTAAAGTAGCACAATTTAGCGTTTCACAATTTAAAGCACCACAATTTAGCGTTTCACAATTTAAAGTAGCACAATTTAGCGTTTCACAATTTAAAGTAGCACAATTTAGCGTTTCACAATTTAAAGCACCACAATTTAGCGTTCCACAATTTAAAGTAGCACAATTTAGCGTTTCACAATTTAAAGTAGCACAATTTAGCGTTTCACAATTTAAAGCACCACAATTTAGCGTTTCACAATTTAAAGTAGCACAATTTAGCGTTTCACAATTTAAAGTAGCACAATTTAGCGTTTCACAATTTAAAGTAGCACAATTTAGCGTTTCACAATTTAAGGCACCACAATTTAGCGTTTCACAATTTAAAGTAGCACAATTTAGCGTTCCACAATTTAAAGTAGCACAATTTAGCGTTTCACAATTTAAAGCACCACAATTTAGCGTTCCACAATTTAAAGTAGCACAATTTAGCGTTTCACAATTTAAAGTAGCACAATTTAGCGTTTCACAATTTAATGTAGCACAATTTAGCGTTTCACAATTTAAAGTAGCACAATTTAGCGTTTCACAATTTAAAGCAGCACAATTTAGCGTTTCACAATTTAATGTTGCACAATTTAGCGTTCCACAATTTAAAGTAGCACAATTTAGCGTTTCACAATTTAATGTTGCACAATTTAGCGTTCCACAATTTAAAGTAGCACAATTTAGCGTTTCACAATTTAATGTTGCACAATTTCTCTATTTACAATTTTAATGCATCACAATTTGATGTTGTATAATTTAGCTCTTCACAGTTTATTGTTTTCAAATTTACGACTTTCACCATTTAGGGTATCACAATTGCAGAATATAGTACAACGTGACGACAATGTATCACAATTCAATATTTCACAATCGAATTTTGCATAACAAAATCGATTCTTCAATAATGGCGGAGACCACACGCCATAGGAATGCCTAGGCTTTGTGTGTTTGCGACTTTGCGTCACGAGTTTTTCCTCGTGTATAAGTTAGTACGTAGTTAAACCGAAAAAAAGGTCTATTTCAGTATCCATATGCTTGTATTATGGTATATCGGATCAAATACATGCCACGCTTCGAGCTGTTTGAGGAACTAATAAAAATATTTTTTATTCTTTTTCTTTACCAAAGAATGGATGTAAATAACAGTTAATCCTACTTTTGCGACTGAGCAAACAGTCCTAAACCAATTCGTTATTGTGCGAAATACAACATCGCGCAAACGACTTTTACGTGCACAAACTCACTCTACGTTTTTACAGTAAAAAAGTAGGTATTAAACTGAAAAAATTTTCAAAAAAAATTGCATAGTTCGGAAGCGATGAAGTCGAAAACAAGCAGACAATCTTTTTGACTTGGGAAAGCTTCATGGAATGTGACTCTGAAGTTGTGGCAGCACATTAATCAATAGTGTCAACTCGTGTAGAAAGGCATTCAAGATAGAAAATACCAATACTGTCCGGCATGATAATAATGAATTCAGTTTTGACCGTGATGGTTTGAAGACCACCAATACCTGCGTATTAAAGACAGGGAAGGTTTGAAAACACCAGAGATGACATCAAAACAACTTGAAAGATCAAGATTTACAAGGACACGATCTCATTCGTCGCCCGTTGTGATTGAGATTAATGGAAGTTCAAATAAAAGAAATGCATTTTCCAACGAGAACAAAATTAAGAGCAGCAACAGAAAAAATGATTTGGTGAAACTTCATTCCCGGCACGTTTCATTTGACGAGTGTGTCCACGTTCTTACTAAATGTTCCGTGATTGAGATGCCTCTTAAGAGCTCAATGCTAGAAGATATCCAACCGCAAGAATCTTGCTGTGACCTCAGGAAAAGTATCTTGAAACACGGTGAAAAAGTCGGGGTAAAAAGGGTAACATTTGGGCAAGAAGAAGTGATAAAATCAGCCATCTTTAATCACGATTTGTCTGAATTCGCAGATATGTGTCAACAATGGGAAGGGAAATACAATAAAAAAATGTCAAACGGATTAACACCACTTCATCTGGCTAGTATAGCAGGCAATTACAGGATTGTACAGTATATTTTGAGCAACGGCGGAATTGTGAATGAGCTTGACGATCATGGATGGACATCCCTGCATTACGCAGTCCTGCACAATCATATACCATGCACCCTGTTGTTACTGCAAGCTGGTGCAGATATGAGCGCTCCAACAAACGATCACTGGACAGCGATAGAGCTGGCGAGCGAGGATGAAATGTTGCTGTTGTTAGGAAGAGCTATGAATGGCGTTCTAGGTAGAACAAGCTACGATCATAATAAAGAAACATATGTATAAGGAAGATGGTCTAATAATTGATAGAATGTCAAATACCAAACATTTAGGAATAATCGTGAGGGGTCGTATATAGATTAAATACAACGACTGAAGTTCGACTTTGTCACATCTCGACGGATTTCTGAACGTGCAAAAACAGAAAGGAAAGGACTTTGAAAATCATAGTCTGAATTTAGTCTCAGATTAAACATTTTTTAAATTCGTGCAAATTCGGAACAATGTACAGATTTAAAATTGCTTGAAATATGTTAAATAACTCCATGTCTACAGTGTTCCTTGCACAGGTTCATATCACAAGGATTGTTTAAACAGTAAAATCTTGCGCGTCATCTTAAAAACCTTGTTGTTGTTAAGGAGCAAGTGTTATTGCGTAGTATATAGAAACCTAGTGAGAAGAGGATAGTAACTGATGAGAAAGAAACACATTGTTTTCAGCTGGTTTCAGGTGTATAAGTCAAGCCGCAAATGTCCCGGTATTAATAATATATCTTATCTGACCTGCTCAATATCCTCAGGTGACGGTGATCAGTAGGGTTGATATCTTTTTTTATTGTAGTCTTGGGGTGGTCGCCCGTCACTTCGTCTTCTCTCGTTGTTTGGTGCATTAAAACTCTAGAATATTTGAAGGGGAAAATTATTACAACCTAATGGTTAGTGGACGAATTTCATAGTAAAGCAGACATGTACTAGTTCTTTGAGAGGGGTAGTTAATTTCCTTTTGGTAACCCGCCCAAGGTAACTCAGTATACTGCATGATTTTCCTTGGACACCATAAAATTTCTGGCCTTCCTGTTGCCTTTTTGTAAACACAGGTGAAATATTAAGTGCCTCTAAGGAAGAGTCGTTTACCACTGAAAAACCCATCTGGTGTGATTGGATGAATATTGGTATATCAATTAGAATTAATAATTAGAACTAAGATATACCTCTGTTGATCGTCTTCTCGGGTCATTTTGATCTCTGTTGTCATAGTGACGACCATCTCTACCATATCCAGCACTTCTGTCATCTCTACCATACGAGTTACCATGAGAATATCCACCTTGCTGTGAATGACTACCATACTGTGACTGGCGATCATGCTGTGAATGACTACCATACTGTGACTGGCCACTATGTTGTGAATGACCACCATGCTGTGACTGGCCACTATGTTGTGAATGACTACCACCATACTGTATGTGAATGACCACCATGCTGTGAGACCTGACTCCACTATGTGTGAATGCCACCATGCTGAGGACCACATGGTATCCACCATGCTGACGATTACCAGAATGTCTCTGTGCATCTCTCTGGTAAGGGCTGTACCCCCCTGGTGCATTACTGTAATGCGACGGGGGGTGCCTTGGCCAGGGGCCAGCAGCCGAAAAACGCGAACGACCATATGAGGTTACGTGCGCAGGAGGCGGGTAGGAATTACGGCGGTCGTTTCTGGAGTCCCAACTCGAGGCATTCCCCCCACCAGTCTTCATGTGGAAGCTTAAAAAAATACCAAGAAATAACATAACACTCAAAATGAGATAATTTAACAGTTGTCGCATGAGGCAAGCGTGTTTCACCTTACCCAAGCATTCTTTGCCCTGCCATATCCAACGAGGCTCTTGGTGTGTTACGACTGAAGCCAAGTTGTGGTCGATAAGGTCTTTTATCGTTCCAATCTTCTGGTTTGAGAACACGACCAGGCATGCTAGAAGAGAAAAAAATTATCCTCTCGCTCAGCCCATTGGAAAACAACTCATAGAACTGAATCTGTGTCTATACTTACGTCACATTTGGCAGCAATTGTGCTTTGAATACGTAGTCGTCTCCGTAGTTCACGTCTTCAAATTTTATACTTGAACAAAGAATATTGAATGGCTGTTATAAAGTACAAAAGATTCACTAGAAAATCAGGAAAACCGCGGCGGACAATACGTTTAACAAAGTCGACATCTGATTATTTACTTACCCAATGGCAAGATTTTCAGTCAGATCTCTTAGTTGTGGGATTGGTGACGGAACACATCTGAATGATAGAAGTTAAAATCATACAAGTTCAACTGATTTACTGTATGATGTTGAGACACGATGGAGATAAGGTCTCTGATGGCAGCATGTTGCCACTGGGTTGCTCTCGCCCAGAGATTTATATGAAAAAAATTTACTTACTTCGAAGGCAATATGGCTTGATCATCGAGCATCACCTTACCGGACATGCCTTGCGTGAGATCTGTAACCAAATCCACCTCCTAAATACAAACGTTGTAAACGATAAAATGGCTGTCTGCATAAGTAACTGAGCTTACAGTAGATCATGTAATCAATAAATCATTATCAACGTATCATGATTAATCAATGATTAATCAATCTTTTGTAGTGACTATCTTACAGAATCATCCGCCGCGCCATTCTCATAGAGTTCTTTAAAGAAATCGCATGCCGGATGCTTTGGCCCAACAAAAAGACGATCTTTTCCTCGGCTATTTCTTCTCTCTGTAAATTATAAAAAAATATTTTTAGGCTCGCTTTTTCTAAATCGACATCTTCAGAATCGATGACGGCTCAGAAATCAAAGAAACAAGCCTCAGCACATCACTATGCCACCGACCAAGCACTCTTGTCAGAAGATAACTTGAGTATATATCAAATATTCGCAGGTTAAATGAGTTCTTACTTTCATCCTCGTTCAGATCTGGATAAACCTTTGCCAATGATGTTAAAAGACGTTTCTCATCAACAAACGGTAGCAATGCCACTCCTACGAGTCAAATAATCAATTATCCTCAATGTGTTTATAACCTGCTTAAGACATGCGGAACCTTGCCATACCTTGCCAAGCATACTTCTTCCCATTCAAATCAATTTCAAAATCAGTTGGATAGAAATCAATAATCGCGGACTCCTATACAAAAGATATTAGACAATCACTATAGTTAAAACACTATAAATACAGCATTGTTTAGTAAAATGCAATTCATTGTCGAATTTGATATTTTTATTCGCAACATTACAGCGCACCGGATTAGCCATCAGTTCCCGCCAAGTTGAAGGAAGAAAGTTTCCACTGGCTGTAGGAAACACGCTCATCAGTTGTTCCAAAGGTTTAAACTAAAATACAAGGAAATTCTAGTAAGATTATACAGTATATTCAATAACACAACACCGAAATACATTCATTAGCACTATAGCAGAGAAAGCCTTCATTACGACGAGTAAATGAAAACAAAATCTGTACTGTTTCAGTTAACATCACGGCTGTACTATGTTGGCTCAACTTCAAGAAAGAGGAGGAGAGAGGATTGTCTCATCAGAGATAACTCACCGGTTGAGTTCCTTCCTCAAAGTCAAATCGTTTTGACTCGATATTCTTGAAGTCAGAGGCAAACGGCGCGTAGTGGAAAGGAAAATACCATTTCCATGAACAGCAACCCTGAGAAAAATGATAAAACAATAAACGCCAACAAGTTTTATGACTCCAAAATGCTCTGAATAATTGAAATATCATTACAATCTCGTGTACATATATGTAGAAAGAATTCTTCCAGTTTTATTTTACATTGGGTAAAGCTGAGCTAAGGAATCGTTAGTTTTCTTGTTCAATAATGAACAATACAAAGAGAACAAGCACAAGATGGTACCTGGTAATAATATCGAAGAACCCAGCACAATCCCTCGGCGTAGGCACTGGCCTGGGAAAAGATAATAACATTAATGAATGCATCTAGAAAAATGCATCCTCGTTCTTTCTGGGCACTGCGTGTGCGGAAAGTAAGCGAAACAACCTGGGTATGAGAATCATATTGAACCACAGATTACCACAGGTAAAATCTATTCTGTCTGGGAATGTAAGGCAACGAGAAGTTTACACAGATGCTTACCACTTGATCTCGGACGCTCTCGTAGGATTCCTCGTCGGAAGACACACCAAATTTCTGCAGATAATATCTTTCTCTCCAGCCATCTTCCCACAACCTTTGATGGTGAAAACAACATAAAACAAAACGCCAAAAAGAGTTAGGAAGCTATTGTAAGACAGTCATTTGAAACGTGAAAAGAGGTTGAACACTAGGAGGTGGTGCTTCTGTTCTACTTCACCTGATATTGTCAGGAGGAGGTTCGTCGTCTTTCTTTGCCGAATTTGAACTCGTTGAAGGCGTTGAGCTTGTATCAGATGTCTTGAACATTACAAAGAGTGAACAGTTAAAAACAGGGGTCATCATTTGTCAATAGGGTAAAAATGAAGCGTTTGTTTAAAGGACTCTTCTTCCAAACGAGTGCCTATGACAATGGTACTTACCCCTGATGTACTGGAGTTTTCTTGGGGGCTGTTATCGACCAGCATTGATCTAAGATTAGCAGCAGCATTCTAGAAGAAGACACAATAAAAATATACAAACAGTCAAGGAAGACTAAAAATTTGTAACCCGCGTAAATTATCGTGCATTTCAACTTACGAAATTTGCTCGATTTCCCGCTTCCATTCTCATTTTGTAAGCCTCTTGTCGCGGAGACTCGATGGCTCTCGGGTTGTTTGAGACAGGTTGGGGTGAATATTGACCTGCAGGAGTCCAGCGAGGACGGTTGGTTTCCTGGATGAAGGAAATGAAGAAGAGAGATGGTAAGAATAACAAGACCAGGAGAAGTCAGTCGTGAAACCAAGCATCTTTGTCTTTATTTACCATGCTCATTCTGGCTTTCTTTTCTTTCTCTCGTCTTTGGAAATGAAGCTAAAAATATGGAGATACAATTCATTGTGAGAATAAGCTGACTAGACCAGAAACCATGGAAATGGCCGCAGACAGATACCTCTCTCTGTTGACGTTCCTTGAATATCCTATCTTCCATCTCACCCAAATCTTAACACGAAATACAGTGTAAGTCACACTTAAGAAGCTACATCTTCTAGGAACATCAAGTTTTTAATACAAATTCACTGTGAAGGGCTTTTGATAGATGTGAACAAGTGGATAAGTTACAGATTTAAAAAAAAGGGCGCTTGTAATATCAGAGTATTCATAACTGTCCCCTCGTTCACATCTATCAAAAGAACTATGATAATCGCTGATGGAAAAAAACAGCAGACAGGAATCGTGTAAACGACCTTTAACTCCTGTGGTTACACAGTTACAGATTCTACACAACCCAGAGGAAACTTGAGTCAAAGAACACAGTGAACAAATGTATGACCAAAATGGAAAATTGAGTTCCAAACAACTATATCAATATACTGTAGTTTAGTTTATAGTCTCAGCTGACATTCACTTACCCACAAGTATTTTATGCACTCCTTTAAGATTCACATATCCATTTTCTGTGAGATAACCCTAGATGCAAATATAAGAATTTTTCAGATACTGTACAATACAGAAATACGCAATATACATAACTTCATATAAACATACTCCTGTAACAGGTAAGCATTTCTTGTAAAGAGTTATCAATTTGTCAATTGCACCTTCCCTTGAAAATAAGATGTAAAAAATGCTGTTTCAAACAAGTGTAGCTTGTGTGTGTGATTTCACAGTTGTGAAGCAATCATTGGGTTGTAATTTGTAAAAGCAGATTGACGGTTTAATAGTTGACTAACCGTATTTCAAGAGATGGTAGATGAGGCAGGAAATCATTTCCCACAAAGAAACACATGAACACCCAGTCATCTAAACATCTCTACAATAAATAGGATAATCACAATTGGCACTTCATTTTAATCAACTATACAATCCTCGCATAAATATATTTCAATTGACCAACCTCAAAATCATATGGAAATGGAAGACCTTCCATTCTCAATTCTCTCTCTAAATACTAAGAAATAAGAAATATTGTACTTACAATAACTAAATGTCAACATGAGTACCTTTTAACTATGGGTTGAATTATCTTAAAGATGAAGCATTTAATTACCTCTCGTAACACATTTAGTCGGATAAAAATGAAGTTCACATCTTCTCCAACTGGTGCTGGTAATTCATCAAACTAAAAAGTAAATGATACATTGACTAAGAAAAGATGTAAAGTTTTTCAAAATTGATTGGTTCACCCACCTCTCCCTGCTTTTCTTTGGGCAGACCTGTACAGTCTTTAAAGTCGTGGCCTAAATAAATACACTTTTAGTTTAAATCCAATATCATACAAGTTTTAATTCATGAACATTCATAAGAGTTTCTTACCAACTTGGCCACATAGTTCACAAGGTCTCTTCTGGTTTGGTTTGAATTCCTCTCTTAGGATTGTGAAGTGTGGTTCATGTGTAGCCAAACCTGAAGATGAAGAGAATGTAATGACCTTCATGAAGCAACACAGCATTTGAGGGTACATGTCTACTGTACAATAATGAATGCTGGTATTATACAAATATTACAATCACAATTTGGTTACTAAAAAAACCACTAACATAACTTACCAAGCATAATCAGATCCGCTAAGAAAAACAAAAAGAATCATCACATTTTAGAGGAACTACCTGGTTATTGATTTACTTTGATAAATCATTTGTTAACATGCACAATTAATTTGTAATTACCATCTGCTCCATTCAGACAATGGTGAGTGTTTGGATCATGACTTGGGCTAGCTAAAAACATGACACAATATTTCAATGATTATTCTGTTAGTCAGTACCATACTTTATCTTACTTTCCTTGTAACACAAAATGTAGCGCAAACCTCTTTGCTTTCTAATAAAATCCATGATTTTATGTTCACCCTCACCAGGCACGTTAGCATCAGACAACACCACCTAAAGTTTAAGAACGAAATAAAGTTATTGTCACAGTTTGCCGGTGCCTACCTAGAGCTCTTATTTGCAGGCTTATCTGGATCATATGGATGCCACTACTACGGACGCCCTGCTTTGGTACATTGCTCAAAATTTATGATCTTTTTAAACAAACACTATTTCTTGCCTTAATATTTTCCCATCCAGGATCATCATTTAACCTCTGTGCAATGTAATATCGCAAAGCAACCGACAGGTTATCCATAAATTCAGTGCCCTTTGCAAAAGAATGAAAACAAGTATTTATCACGGGAATGCAGGAGACAACTGAAAGATTGTAATTGAATTTACCGGTGTTATACAATTGCTGTCAAAATGTTCGGTTTTCTCTTTTACTGGTGGCAATTCACCCCCTAGCACAAATTATAAGACAATGGTACGGTATAGATCTCTAAATAACTCACAGAATTATCTGACACGACTGGCAGTTTCTAGGCTAAATGGATTCAGATTTTCAAACGCTTGAGTTGAAAGAAAAATGCCCACCTTGTCCTAAAATTTCTTCACGATATTTAGCCAGATCTTTACGCTTGTCTCTAAAAAGAAGTGGAAGAAATAGAAATGAAAAAGGTGGATTGCCCTTTGACACCATTATAGTTTAAGGTAGTTCTACTTTTCTTCAAACATTTCTTACTTTGATTCTTTTGATGCTCTGAATCGTCTTGATCTTTGCTGATTCATTTTCGCTCTTGGTGCCTTCAAAACAGAACATATCAACTGGTGATACCTTCAACCATCAGCGAAGCATGCAAACACAACAAAACAATACTCACAACACCATCAATTGCCATGTACAACAGCTTCCTCGGTCGAACAATTGAAAAGATTCTAAAACACAGAAAGAAGAGCTGAATCATACCTTGCATGATGCTCATAAGAGTTACAGCTGTATCATAATTATTTTACACTAGACGCAGGTTGTTCGAAAGAATAATAATGTTGTTTTATAGCTAAATGCTCTTTAACAACCAACCCCAGACTCTCTCTCTTTATCTTTCTCTATGGAAAGAGCTTACCTATCAATATATTCAAAAATAGCAATCATCATTTCATCCTCATTCTTAGGGGCTGGCCTATGAAGAAAAAATATTAGTTCACACACACCCTTGGATGATAGGGTAAAGTCATTGTGACAGAATGCAATTTTGTGCAACTTGAGTCTTTTGTGCAACATAAAGTAGAAGTCTGAGTTCTACCTTATGTAACAATTGATTAATTAAACTTGTCTTTCCACCACTGGGCCATGTTACAGAGATATGTTAGACAGTACGTGGAATGACTCATGGCATTGTCAGACAAGTTGACATATGAAAAGTTACATTCTGCTATAAAAGCACCTTGGAACATTATATTATTTAAAATTACTTGTTCTCAGGATGACAGCAAGGATGTATGATGCCATTCATGTCCAAATATAAATTATCAAATTCAACATCATTTGGATTTGGTCTGCTTGTATCAACTGGAATTTTCACATCATTTACTTCCCGAGGCTAAGAACAAAAGTATTACAAGATATACAGTATGGTGTGGTTGCAAGTTGCATTGTCTTTCTTGGAGGAAATACAAATTACATGCCTGTATTAGATAGGTGATAGGTCTCTGTAAAATATAGTACCCAATTTTATCTTATCCTGGATATCTCATAGAAATATAATAGATTCAGCTGTTTAGTGCACAAATACCTCAACAAAGAACTTAGTTGATAAAGTAACTCTGTTCTTAATGTATTTACACTGTGCTGTAGCATTGTTAGAAAATCTACACTACCATATCATCATTATCATGTACATGTAGTGCTGCTGTGTGCAATTTATTGAAGTGAACATGTGAAGGAGCACACAAATTAACGTATTACTAAGTTTTCATTAGACTAAAGTGTTATTAATTGTTTCCTATCATAAAAAACAGCAGCACTACAGTACAGTACGTCGCCCAGTTTCTGGACAGAAAGTAATATTTAAGCCGTAACTTACTTTCAAGGATCGCTCCAAACACAAAATTTTACCACTTGGCAGCTCAAAGGGTCAATTTACTATTATGATTCTTTTAATCGCTGTGCATTGTGTATAGTTTTGCCAAAAGATATAAACGCGGAGTAGGTCACTTGCCCGGTTTCTGGACATCATGCCCAGTATTTGGACAGTTTAAAAATTATCGATCTAACTCGAATACAAGGTAAAGTTGACCTAATTATCTCTTATTTAACGCAATAATACAACACGTACAAGTTGATTCAAATCATTTTTATTGTTAAAACAGATTTTTCCTGCATTTTTTCAACAGCATTGTTGACCTTAGCAAATGTCAAATCCACCATGGCTGCATCTGTGCAATTCTTTACTGAGATGCAATACTGGCATGGTATAACTGCCCCTCCTCCATGGGATTGCACTGGTGGCCAAGGATGAAAACTTTGACATGGTTCTCACATGCAAATTTTGTGCAAATGTGTTGTCTTAGCGTTAACAGAATTTAAAATATACACAAGGAATTAGGAGTCCAGTTATCGGGCAAGTGCGTAAAAAACTATCAGCTACGAAATAAAAGTAAACACATTTCAGTATTTTCGAAAATGGCACCAAAACTTTTTCAGGTATATAGTCGGACTTTGTAGCTTTTTTCTACACAAAAAATAACTACATGTGTTATATTTTCAAAGTAAATAACTCAACTTAAGTGTGCTATCTAATTCGCGGCACGGTAAATGGCGGCCTTTTTAGAAAAAAACATTTTACCTACCTTGACAAAAACTTCGATAACTTCACGAAAAAGACATCGAAAAAGAAAATAAAACCTGCATGAAAATTGTTAACTGTCGGTCTATCATCAAGATGTATCGGTTTTGTTTCGTTTTTATTTTCCGAAGGAATATTTTAAAACAAACCATTAGTGTCCAGATACTGGTACTGTCCAGAAACTGGGCGACATACTGTATGCAAAAACTATTTTCAAATTCAAACTATACTAACCTTCTCTTCAACTGAATGTACGACAATGGATGGATATTTCTTGGACAGCCAACGAAAAAATGCCGGAACTCCCATAATGTTTAAGATACAAGACGTTGAGATGAGCACACATAAAATAGTAAACAAGCAAAGTCTATAAAAGTATATAAACAAGAATAACCATGTAGTAAAATCACCATAGGCAGCACCACACTTGTGCGTGTGACACGAAGTACTTCCATGTATTCTTCCGCGCGTGTGACACTCGCGCGTGTTGCTTCTTCGTTGAATTCTTCCGCGCGTGTGATTCTTCCACGACCACGCAACACTGAGCTATAAATATAAAAGCAAGATGGAGTCAAAAAGAAGCTATTTTTCATTTCTTACAAAAAATCAGGGAATGCCAATGGTTGCAATTGGATGGTAAGCTACTTATAGTATTAGTTGTTGGTAGATTCATGTATAGACCCTCCTTAGACCCTTCAAATTCGTTTATTTATTATTCTGCTGTGAAATTTTATTCCAGGGTTGTTGTGATAACTTCAGGGATAACTACATTTGTTTTGGCAAAACGTCGCATTGACAGGCTGAGAATGGAGAAGATCAGGAGAGAAGCAGCATTGAAAACAGAAAATGAAACAAGAAATTGGAAAAAAATCTAAATGAACATAATTAGGAACAAACAGTGCATGGTCGGATCCAAGCCCCACCTTGGTTATGCAGGTGGTTACCACAAGAAAAATTCTTGAACACATTGCTGCACTATGAACTAAGAGGAAAAACCAGAGATGCAACAGAATATATTTAGCAAGGAAGATTATCTGAATTGTGACAAATTTTGAAGAATTGAAATTGTGATAGCCTGATATTTAATCCTCAAAATTAACTTAGGATTCGGTTTAGGATTAGGGTTAACTCTAATCAAGCATCCTCCTTATCTAAGATGTAATCCTAACTCTATTCTTAACCAAATCCAAAGGATTGAATTCATCTTTATAAGTTTGTATGCAAATTATATCTGATGATTAAAAATAAAATTAGTGAAGACATACGTGTTTTTATAAGCTATTACTAAAAATTTCAATTGTAAATTTATAAATGACGTTGTTTTGTTTTAACATGCATGGTTTTACTAATAAGTAAAATAAAATTCTCTCAAACTCGTATATTACAGCTTGCTGCATTACAAGAAAGTTATGTATGGTTCACAATTCAAGGACGCAGAATAAAAACTTGGCAACGAACGATGCATTCGTACTTTATCATATAATACAAATAAAGTTACATTTTTTTTTAGTTTTAAAAATTTTAATTTAAAAATTATAATTAGGAGCAGGTTCTGCAATTATGCTTATTTTAAATAATATACGAATATATAAATGTTGAAAATGCTAGACGTTTAACTGAGTGATTAGATCCAAACTGTTTATATAACACGAGTTTTTAAAGAATCGTTGATAAAAGGCAAAGAAAGAAATAGATATTTTTATCGCGGTTTTGGTGCCGGAAACGAGAATTTTGTATTTGCTTTTTGTGATATGAAATGTTATTGAATTCAGCGCGACATATGAGTACCGTTAGCAAAATATGCAAAAGGTGGAACATATTATTAATAATAGAGGATAAATTACAGTTGTTTCATTTCTTTATTGCTACGTGAGGTAAGTTACAGCTAGAAAAATGTTGAATTTTCTCTCTGGGTTTGTCCCACGACATAATTCATAAAAAATGAAAATCTTTTCCAAATGTCAGTGCCTTATTTGGCTTTAGCTTTCGACGTGCGGGGATAGAAATGAATTTTATTAAAATTTCCACCTGCCAATTGCTCATTTATCAGTGTCAAACTGAGTGTCAAAAAACTCGTTTAAACGTCAAAATTATCCCGACGTCATAGGCGGTATCTAGAATGCTGAATGCATGATGTTTCACCGTTGACAAATTACTACATTCTTTCTTTTTATATGGTTTTGCACTTATTTTCACGGTAATGTATAGCTATGGTTGTTCTGCTCAGTCTTCGCTGTCCTGGTAATGTATAATGTGAATATTCTTCCTATAAATTGCCTCTACGTAATTGTTACTTAACCGCTACGCGCATGCGCAATAATACAGACATACATGTCAAAACTCATATCGTTTGTAACGTAAGCTTACCTTGACACTTAAAATTCATGATTATTATGTTTCGTGCATATTTTAAACCTGCGCTGTCGGCAAGTAGTACGATGGTAATATTACAATATTTATTAAATCAACAAGGCTTTGGCAAACATTCATTGTTAAAAACACTCGCTAATGTCGCGTCAAAGCCATCACAGAGGCTTAAGTTTCTCTGTGTAATTATGATTTGTCTCTCTTGTGTAAATGTTGCGACCATTTCGTCTTAATGTATGCGTTTTTTACGCATACAAACACACAGTAATTTTGACAAACGAATTGAGGTTGTTGGCCATTTAACACTGAATTGAATTCCTTTCAAAACTTGGCCATTATGAAAACACAAGAAGTTTAATTAATCAAGTTAGATTACTTAAATTTGTTGGTTATACGTCTACATTTTACTTGTCAAACTTTTCATTAATCATAAAAGGTTACTAACAATATATTCCGGTAGATGTCAAACTCTTAAATTAGCTCTTCAGGGAAGGACATTAATTAATTACGTGCTCCTGTCTAAGACCACACGGTATAAACTCCATTCCACAGCTATTAACTGCAGCAGAATAATTCGACTGAGTCTGAGAGACGAGTGCGGTAGGCAACTGAGTAAACTAGTGAACTGAATCTTCACAATTTTCGTTTTATTTTTCTACTCCATAATCGTTAGGCAACAAAATGTACAGAACGATTGAGGCTTTTCATTGCTCATAAAACTGGAGATATTATGTGGTTTGACAAGAAATACCATCACTGAGACGCTTGTGGATCATTCCTTGTAGGGAGTCATTGCAAGTGTGTTTCAAGTATTGATTATTCCCCACAAGACTCTCAGCAAGTGGAGTGACACAAGTAGCAACGCAATGGATAGCATTTGGCAGCGGGTGAGAAACATGTATCGTACAAATGAAAGTGCCAGATCTTCGCCAAGAATGGCAGATGTCGCAATGGAAGTGTTACAAAATCTTGGGGAAGAGGCAAAGGACGTTGTGTATTATGAAGCCCTCAATCGTGTTCATGGGGTAAGCTTGCATGGAACTACACGACTATATTTGTTTATAGAAGAGCTTTACTAACCTTCAAGGGCACAGTGAGCGCCGGCTGTAAAATTTGAAGTCAGGTGGATTATTGCAGAGTTGAAGTGTTCAATTCATGCCGTTAGATTCATCATCGGTTGCTCTGAATCATTTCAAATACCATGAAGCATAATATTATCTTCTTTGCCTTCTTCTTTTGATGCAACTATAAAAAGCAAAGTTAAAACAACGTCAGGAGATGGACATAACTGATATTGATAATCTGGAAAAAAAAACTAAAGATGTTTAATTTGTCATAGACTCATCCTTCAATTTAATCCACCAGAGAGGCAATTCATTTCAAACGTCTTTATTAGTCAGTCAGCACTCAGTATAAACTATAAACCTCTCTGGCTCCAAAATCTTCAAAACTATTTCGACCATTTAATTTTTGGCCTTTTGAGGAAGATGCTAATTTTTTTAGTTTTTGAGAGAGATCATGCAACTCTAATAACTGTACTGATATTGTACAAATGAATGAAAATCTCAAAATATTTTGACTGAAGCCGAAAAAGCACAGTATGGCACAGTAGGTCACCTTGAAAAAGCTTAAGAATTAGAATTGTAAACAACAGGCTTGCTGCTATCGGCATCAGTTTTCTGTGGAGTCGTGTTTCGTGTCTAGTTTCCAAGGTTCATCCCCATATATAGCGAGGCAAATATAAAGCATCACTTCTTATTAAGAGTGTTATAAATATTACAGCTACGAACAAGTGTTTTCGCAGGATAAAATGAGTATTTTGATAGAACTGATAAAACTACCTAGAAATATCGCGTTGATATTTGCGCTCTATCGCAGAAAACTTTATAGAATCTCTGTATACTAGTTTTGAAAATAAATTTAACACCTCGCTAAAAGAACTCGAAAGTTTTCAATCGCAATCTGGGAGCAAGAGCTCTTGAGTTTTCATCTTGCAGTATTCGAAATTGTCACATTTGATAAATTTGTGAGTGCGAGTAAGTGCTTAGTAACATGTGGTCTGGTCATTAAAAATGAAAGTAAATCAAAATTTAACTGTTGACAATCGCCAAATTATTTGACAAAATATTGCTAGATTCGTGTTATTTGTTTGCGTACACCCCTGATGGATTAATTCTTGCCGTATTTACAATATGACGATTACTGACCGTTCTATGGTGGTGTCAAATGACAGACTCGCTAATTGATATTAATGCGTCCAATTATGCGTCTGATTAGAACAAATATAGGAACTAATTGAATGTTGTACATCCATATTACTTTGTCTTTCGAAAACAATGCAACTAAGGCTGGATACACGGGTTTCAATGTATGATTTGTTAAACATACTGTAACTTATCTTTAAATCTTTCAGGAGAAGAACACAGGTCAAGGTGAAAGGTGAGTTATGATTACCTGAAGCCTGAAGGAACTTTTGAACGTCTTTTCAAACCAACACCATCATACCACTCTATACTGTAACACCCTAAAAATGAAAATAGGTAGTCGTTTAGGGCATACTGTATGTGCCTCGCGGTAGTATGGACTTCATTCACCACAGAAACTGATTCAAGTTTAAATCTACTTTATGTTTTTCACGTGATTTAGGGAACCCAACAAATGGTCAGCCGTTAGACGTCGCGTAACGACATCAATAAGGTCAAACTCTGTGTTTGGTATAAATGGAACGCAAGAGCAAGACACGCGAGATACGACTTACTTTCCAAACAGTAATTCCTTCGTTGGAAATATTCTGTCTGAGATTACGGTTTGTGTGTCATTTCAGTTGTTCATCAGCCTTCATTTTGCCTCCAAGATTTTCCTTGATCCGATGATGAATTATACTAATCTTTTCTTTCACTCCAGAGATTATATTCAAGATTACGCCTGGTGGTTGTGGATCCTGAAAGTGATCTTTACTATTTCTGGATGGTAAGTAAACGTTTTTTCAATGAAAAACTGAAATTATAGCAATAAAAATATAAACCAAAATTCATACCTTATAGGGCACAGCTGCGCTGGCTGTTTTGTACAACTTCTGGGTGATAATTCTTCGGGTGACATTTCCTGAAATGCGTGACCAGGTATTAGAAAAATAACCACTGCAATCATTATCCACAATATTCCACATCATAACGAATTTTTCAAACTTGATTCCAGACGGCCATTATTGCTTGGATGTTTGTGTTTTTTGATCTTCTTGCTGACGCGGTGTATATTCTTGACATTGCTGTACAATTCCACACTGCTTACCTTGAAGATGGAATTATTGTAAGTATAAATTACTCCATCGTATCTCTCATGACACTGGAGCCGTCTTCACTTGAAGAAAATAACTCCTCTTAACTCCAGGCGTTTTAATTCATTTCTCCAGGTAAGGGAACAAGCTAAACTCTGGACTAATTACAGACAGAAGCCGTATTTTTTGTCCGATGTTATCGCCATTCTTCCGCTCAGTTTTATCTTTGGCTTTCTACAAAGTAAGATCATCTCATTCTTGATTTCACCCGAGCCTTACTGGACCTCAGGAAAGAACAGTTACTGAAGAATAGATGGAGCTTTTTGTTATAAAGTTAGTTTCAGTTTAGAACTGATAGAACTATCCAATATGAATAACTTCAACTCTTTTTCCAGATTCTCTAATAATTCAAGTTTTGCGAATTCCTCGACTGTGCAAATGGCACACAATCTCAGATATGTTTGAAATGAGCGACTCTCGCACCAGCAGACCGTACGGAGTGCGGGCTCTGAAGCTGACAATATACCTGGCAATCATAATTCATTGGTTTGCTTGCTTCTATTTCATGATTTGTGAGTACGAGGGTTTTGGGAGTACTGCTTGGACCTACCCAGAACTCAAAGGAAACGATGATCGCTTTGCAAGGTATTGAGACCAGCCTTTGGGTACGGTTTGTTTACTGGTTGGCAATGGTCGTAATGGTGATTGTATTTATAATGGTAGAAGTGAGGCACTAAGGTTAATAATGGCGATGGTTTAATTTATGATGGTGAAGGTTTCGACAGAGGGTTGTACTTGTAATGATTGGGTTCGTGAAACATGATCAACTTACCACCAGAGCTTTGTACTTTAACGGTCGACTTTTTCTCTTCAGGAAATATATCAAGTCTTTATTCTGGGCGGCGCTCACGTTAACTACGATTGGAGAAAATGAGAGCCCTGAAACGACACTGGTATTATAAACGTGTTTTCTCTAATCACGTAATAAACGCGTTATCATTTTCTTCATAAACAGGGATTACAACCATTGTGTTGGTACAAATGCGATCCTGGGTTGGCTGTGAAAACCATGCAGTTTCAGAGTTTTCACGCTTTTATCTTCTATTTCAGGAATACGTGTTCACAGGCTGTACTTTCCTTATTGGTGTTTTACTATTCGCGACAATTGTTGGTAATATGGGTGATGTCATCAGCAGCATGAACGCCACACGTGCTGAATTTCAAGAAAGGTGAATATTGAGAAAAGCGAATATATTTTCATTTTTCTTTCTCTGTCTGAAAAATGGTGCCTCTGTTCCGTACAGTACCTAGGCCGCATTCTCCGCCGAGTAAAGACGTTTCCACTTGCTTTTGTTCAGAATGGACGGTATTAAAAGTTACATGGAACATCATGAAATCCCAGTGCAGTTACAAGACAGAGTAAAACGTTGGTCGCAGTACTCATGGTCGAGGTAACAAAGTAAAATTTTCATGGCTACCATAAGGTGTTATTGTATAGAATTTTTTTATTTTAATGCTCATCAAAAGTAGTTCAAAAACAAGATTTCTTATTTCCGATATTTTCTCCCTTTTCCTAAAGGACGAAAGCTCTCGAAGAGGAAACAACACTGGGGTTTCTACCTCACAGACTGCGAACAGAAATCGCCATCCATGTCCATTTGGAAACATTAAAAAAAGTGATGTTTTCATTTGAATGCACCCCAATCTTTACTTTTACTCGTCTAAAACAACGCTTCCTACTTCATGCAGGTAAAGATATTCAAAGATTGCGAACAAGGATTCCTTTGTGAACTTGTGTTGAAACTCCGTTCTCAAATATTTTCACCTGAGGACTACATTTGTCGTATTGGGGAGATAGGTTGGTTTTTCTCACTTTTTTTACTGCCAAAAATCCACGACTTTAGACGAGTCTTGATTACTTTTCTATAACATCTTTTATTTCCTTCACAAGGGAGAGAAATGTACATCATTAACAATGGAAAAGTTGAGGTAAACAAGAACATGAAATGGTGCAGGTGAATCATCATGAACCAGATAGTTTGGCCTTTGCTTTTTGCATTTTCTTCTGTGTGTTTATAGATTGTGGTTCGTGACTCTTCCAGTGGCGATCCAATAGTTGTAGCCTCTCTTTCAGATGGCAACTACTTTGGTGAAATAAGTTTATTGAGACTGGATGGTGGAACGAACAGGTAGGTCTTCTGGTCCATTGCTTTAGTGTCTGTCGATAATGATTACAGGCCTGATGTTTAAGAACAGACTGAACAGACATGCAATTATAAACGCTTGCATCATGATATGAAAGACTGAATCATTAATTTCTTTTCCAGGAGGACAGCTGATGTTCGTTCTGTTGGTTACTCAGAGTTGCTTTGTTTGTCAAAGAAAGATTTAATGGAAGTACGTCCTTCCTCGTCAAAAAGTAACCTGTGTTTTCTCAGTCCAAATTTAGTTCAACTATTTATTAGACAGCCATTTTGAGTCAATTTTTACTTCAAAGGCACTGAAAGAATACCCAGAAGCTCAGGAAATACTGGAGGCTCAAGGAAGAGACAGGTTTTTATAACTTCATATGTCATGAAAATAAATCACTTTCAGCTTGAGTGTGATGCAGAGTATGCCTTGATATGTGCATGCTATTTTGAGTTTTAATGTTCATAATTTGAACACTTTGTTCGCAGATTACAGAGAACAAAGACAGAAAAAAATGCAATCATGAGAATGCGGGAGAGCAACAAGAAAACTGAAGGCGAGGACATCCACAGCATTGGTATAGACGTTTGTAAAAAGTCTGTACTATGACGTACTTTGCGGGCTAAGTGTGCTCCTGACCATTTAGGAACATTGTTTGTCCGCAAACTATGTTACCAATGGCAGCATATAGCTACAGTCTACATAGCTTTTCTCATTGTTTGACAGGAGACGGTGTACGAGAGTTAAAACGTTTGGTAGAGCAGTTGAAATGCTTTGACAAACTGGTAAATACTCTTTATAGAATAGACCCTTCTCATAATGACGTCAAACGCAAGAAGCCTGACGTCACACGAAGTTTGATTGACTCGTTGGTTTTGCGAGGCCAATCAAATATCGTGTAATTTCGTATTTCCGCGTTTAACGCCTTTAAAAGAAAGGTCCATTAATACTGATGGTTGAGACTGAATAATTTTGTGGTTCTGTAGATACGTCAATTGACAGAGTTTCTTGCTTTTTCAGGAGGTGAAACTTGAGTCAAAACAACTTCAAAATCAGGTAACGCAACATGCTTTAGCTATTGTGTCAAAGCTTTGTATATAATTTCATGCAATTTGTACGTACCTAGTGTGATGCCCTCAGTTTACAAGTCAAGGAACAAGAGATGGAATTAAAGAGATCACGGAAACGATCCTACAACTTGGAAAGAATGTTGTTGTGCAGAAAGAATGGATTTTACAACTCAACAGGACGTTTTGAAGAACAAGCCACGAGCAGCGGAGAAAAGCTTCTTGATCTCAGTGACCATCCAACAACCAATCACAAGGGAGATGAACCATGTGGTTCTATCGAAGGAACCAATCACGTTAGAGATGAGTTTCATGGCGATATGGGGAGACCCAATCACGTATCAGAGAGCCCACATGATCAGAGAAGATTGACAAAAAACGTTTCTTTCCTCACAAGAACCAGTCAAACAACAGACGTATCAGAACGTACGAGAACAAATCACATGATCGCCGATGACTCGTATCAAACAGAGAAGCCTTATGAAAGAACCAGCGAGGTCTCAAACAATACACGCAAGCGCGAAATAACTTACAAGGAACGAAACATGACAAACTCAAGGGACACAGCTTGTAATCACACTACAGCTCAAACTAACGAGGACATAAACACATCATCTTCTAGAACAAACGAGACAGACTTGGGTTTAAAGGTGTTTTGTAACCAAGCAGGCTCACATAAGGATACTCAAACTCAGAGAGTATTTGAATGGAAGAAAGAGGCAAAACATAACTCAGTTTGTCATGTTAATCCTTCTCAGCGAAGAAGCTCAGTTTGAAAAGAATCACAGCCATTGTGTTTTTGCTATATATAACGTGAACCATTAAGCCTCGTTTTTTTATATTAAAGATGGTATATATTTTGTACAAGATATCTTAAATGTAACTCTATAGGTTTACGAGGTGTAACACTATCAACCTTGTGTTTCACCCATTTTCCTGAAAGTTTGAAAACAAAGCTTTGTTGCTAAGAAACATTCACTATTTAAGATTCGATGCAAAGTTTTTAGTGAAATGTTGTAACTGTATAAAGCCTAGAAAGCCATAAACACTCGTCTAACAAAGGCGACTGTTTACTGTAATTTTTTATTTCAAAATTCTAATCATATTACTAGAAACATAAGTGCGAAATTTCACACATACATTGAGCAGTAAGATCATCAATCATATGGTGACTTCCACAAGAGGTAAAAAATTTCGATTAAAAAATTAGCATTGAATTCAGTGAGATAATGTTGCTTAGTTTTTCCTTCCCACCGACGATAATTTGATGACGTTTTCCAACTTTTAATGCGATTTTGTTTGTTCAGCTTAAGTCATTAATTGGTCCTTGTTTCTGGTGGCTCCAAGCTTATCGAGAAATCTACAAAACCTCATGACATTTTGCAAGAGATAAGTTTCAAGAACTTGTAACTAGATTTGAAAACCGACAGGACTCCTATTTTGGTGGTTAAATAAATGTATGTGGATGAAAATCTTAGATAAGCTTCAATACCGCAAAAGATTGTCCAAATAAAGTAAAAACATAATGTGGTTGTGGGGTCATGGAATCCTTGAAAATGTGCACGATGACACTCATAAATAGATATTTCATTCTTTCATGCGATATAATGACATTCTATTATTCAATCATCCATTTGTCATTCTTATTATTAACAAAATGGGTCAAGTTTGACAATGCATTGGATTGAATCTAAATGAATTTGAAGTATGCGAGCATCGACTCTCACAAAACACAAAATAACTTTGATAAAACGCTGAATCTAACAAAAGAGAGATGTCTTTGAGTATTCCTAACCATCTCTATACAATAATGTACTCTAAACGTACGCCAGGACAAAAAATCAACGATTGCAGCATCGACATCTCCTTGAGTTTTAAGCGTTGAGCCATATGCTAGCACTTCGCAAACGATTCAACCTTTCATAAAGCACTTGAAGCAGACTTAACTCATTTAAATAAAATTGTCAAGCAAGTTAAGAGCTTTTAAGAAACATAAGTACGCCAAAAATTTTCAACATGTTATTGTCAATGAGAAAAACACGTTTAGTTCACGAACGAAAGAGCTTTTCTTCAAAATGGTTTCAGACTTTCTCTGCTAAATTCCTCCTTCGACTTTTGGTCAAGAAATTGAGAGATCATTGAAAGGTGATATAGTTGTTTCAAGGTATGTTTTAATGACAAACGTCTTTGTACATTCAGGTTATTTCATTCAACGTATAATCATTTTATTGAATTATATATTGCTTGAGTGTGTTGTCGTTGTGCAGCCAATCAGAAACCGGAAAGAACACTCGAGTGAATGTCAGTTAAAAACAATTTAGGTTGTACGTATATAGACACAAACAAAACACAGGCCACTGTTTTGTGGGCAAGACATTGTTTGGAAGCTGAAGCACAGTTCACAACGAGAAGAACGCCTGTTGGAAAACACACCGTGGCCATTGCTGGAAAAGTATAACAATATTTTACATCTAATGATATACAGTATATTAATTAGTTTGTAAATTCTCTAGCTCGCATGTTGCATTTAAAAAGCTCAAATTTCAAAAAATTAAGTGCTTAGAATATATAGGAAATAGTCGGACAACCTTTAAGGTTTGGATTATGTCGACTTGAATTTTGAGAAAAATACATGGCTTGAATTTCGTGAAGTAATTTTTGAATCGTGAATTAATTCTTTTAAAATTCCAGAAATGGCGGCATTTAGTAAAACACGTTCACCGTACTCTGTTTGTGAACTACTTAACCTGAAAGATGAATCACGAGAAGAGAAGCCAGAAAAGTGGAATTGTTCAGAAGGAAAGAGCGGCCATGAAGATCAAAGACAGAATGGAGAGAAGTTGGAATTACGGAAAGAGGAATCGGAAATTGCGGATGTAATGGGGAATGATGACAAGGATTCAAGTACGTTGAGATAAAAGCAATATATCTTGACTGTGTGTCCAGTTTATGTATACGAATTACGATGAAAGAGCTCTTTTGTGGAAGATATCGCAATATAGTTGACCCTTTTACGGTTTGTCGCCTCCGGATCTGTAAGATGTCTGTGGTGATAAGGTTACAATGAAAGGTCTTTGGTGTCTGCTTATTAGAACGATTAAACGGATCATATATTATATTGATCTTATTAAACTAGTTACATTTTAATCAAAAATGGTGTTAATGCTTTAAACGGCTTTTCTCCTACATCAGTGAATATAGTAAATTTAGATGAAAGATTTGTAATGACCCTACTAAAAATTTCAACATTTGGCAATCCATAGAAAATCCGTTCAGTACGTGTCCGCATAGAGGAACTATTCAGTTTCCACTCGGCTGATAAATGACTAGGAGACAATGATCATGAAAAGCATGATAAGCCTGCGTGTTTCTCGTATGTTTACATATTCCTTCTCGCTGATTTTAGACCAGGAGATCATTGATTTGACCCAGACTGCAGTACACAAGAACCAACTGGACGACCCGGATAATAAACAAGGGAAGCGCAGACGTCGTGTGCTGTTCACGAAAACGCAAACGCAAGAGCTGGAGAAACGTTTTCGAGAACAACGATATCTCTCCGCGCCAGAGCGAGATGAACTTTCAAAGCTGATCAACCTGACTCCAACACAAATTAAGATTTGGTATCAAAATCATAGATATAAATTCAAAAGACAACAGGCGGAGAGCGCTGCAATGAACAGAGTTCAATTCTTCTCTGCACCTCTGCGAGCATTTCCACTAATGCTTCCTATAAACAGACATTATCCTTGTTGCACGACAACACCTCAGAGAGAGAACATGGCTCTATTGAACAGAACTTACCAGTGGCCTAGGGAGCATACGTACTGTCGTGCGTCTAATGCGTTCTTTATGAATCCTAGACTGGCTTATTATTACCGCTCCTAGTTTAATTGATACTATCATGTTCACATAATCGTAAGGTGTAGACGTAAGATGAGAACTGTAGAGGCACGAGTAATAAAGCGACTCACGTATCTAATATGTGATAATATAATATAATACAAGTGTAATAAATCAATTCAACGATATACCGATACTTTGCAAGGTAGGTTAATTTACGTTCTGTCCTGTACACTGGATCAAGAAGAGACTAGACCTATCTATGCAATGGAAGAACAGGTGATAGAGCTATCAGGGATAAATTAAGTTGGTTTGGTTCAGGTTTCCTCCTGTAGTAACACTGGATCAATAAGAGATGATCCTTACTGGACCTCTAGGAAAAACAGTTTAGAACTGATAGAGCTATCCAGTAAAAATAAAGTTAATTCAGTCTCGAAGAAATGAGTACATATGATAAAGCAATCCAATCTAAATTGTTCAACTTCATTTGGTTTAGCAAAACTGAATCAATGAAAGTTGATCCCAATGCATCCCTTTGGAAGAAGAGTCTACTTTCCGAACAAATGTTCATAGTTTATCTTATACAATGCCGCATTTATGCTGTTCTTATAGTTATCAGTCAAGAATGCAGGTGTAGTTACTTTACCTCGGTAATGCAATTAGAAAACAAATGATTGTATTCAAGAAGAACAAAGATTGCAAGCAACAAGCCATTGTAGTGTGTGTATGACAATTCATAAATTGAATTTGCTCAGATCATCCAAACACACAATGTCTGTGTAAATACAGCAATATATTAAAAGGTGTATACGTGTTTAAATAATTGATCTAACATAAATTATCATCAATTCTGAGGTAAACTGTTCCGCCCCTACTAAACGAGTACAAACAAATTAAGCCATAACGCGTTTAGTTATTCGGAATAATCTCGGGTGTTGTACCGCAGTACAAAGGCATCAACGATAACACGAAAAAATGGAATGGCTATACGCGTAGCGTAAAAAGATAAGAGTTTTCATTCACTTGGTGAAAACGTTTACAAACAGATAAGTGTTAAAGGTAATTTTGTGGTTGGCATTTTCACATAAACATAATGAGATATTTGACCAGATTATACTTTGTTTGCTGAAGTGAATGACAACTGTTAGTTCAGCCGTTCGTCTTGTTTTCATCAAGGAATTCATGGGAGGGAGGGAAACTGTTCTCTTCAAGTAAATGATACTTTCTAATTATACTACACTTATTCCAAATATAGCTATATCAATTAATACTCGTTATGTGAAAGATCATGTCAGGATAATTGCATCATCCGCCCTTTACCATATATACTGCTTGGAGAAAACCTCAAGCATTGATTTATATACTGAGTATGTTCATCAGTTATAAACTATCCTTAGTGATTTAGTTTAGTAGCATAAATCTCTTATTCTTCCAAGTGACAACTTTATTTCGGAAAGAAAGGAACTGCATGTAGCCTTAGGAAAAACTAAATATCTCTATCAGATCTAAACTGTTCTTTCTAGAAGTCCATTAAGGATTATCGCCTATAGGCATCCATTACTGCAACAGAAGGAACAAAGCATTTAGTTCACACCAGATAGCTCTAAAACTGCATGTTCCTCTTTGAGTTCAGTTATAAAAAAGGGTAATCGACCGAAGCGACATTATGCTTTATAGCTGAAGAAAGTACGACATTCACATTAGTACGTTTTTGTCAATTTCGTTTTAAGATAAGTTTTAAATAAATAATGATGTATTAGTTGATGTTCATATGACCGGCAGAATCAGCCGGCGTTTAACAGTTTTAATGTAATGTTATTTAAAAACATCAAACGTTACACGCGGTTGTGGACTTGTGGTATCTCTTTGAAGAGAGATTTTGTGTTGTACGTTTGCATAAAGTCCATAGAAATAACAAGAATGGATCCTTTTTATCGGAAAATATGAATATCTAAGTAGATGAACTTTGGTAAGTAATATCTCTGAGCCTTAAAATACGTGATTCTCGTCAATTTCCTCTCATGTTAATCATTTTGGGGTTTCTTGCATGAAGTGTTTTATTTTCGTGTTGTGCAATTGTTTATACAGTTTGTGTGTGTTTACTGATTTTACAATAAATTATTAAATTAATTTAAAATTGTGTTACACAACCCACTCAATCGCTTATCTTCAGTCTTGTAAAGAATATATTTGTGGTCTTAAAGAAATTTATACGTGCAGCCTTACAGCATCAATATAGAGAGATTTGCTTCGAGTTACAGCTATTTGTAACAACAATTGTATAAGAATAAGATGAAGTAAGATATATTCATGGTACGAACTGTCGTGAAACTGACTCTATCGTTTCTGATTTGATTCAAATTAGATAAAAGATTTCCTTGTACATCGCAAGAAACGGTCATATTTGATGCAGGATAAGAATTCCACTATCGAAATTCACTAATCACATCAGTGAATATCACTTGCAGATACTTTTTAGGACAGACAAGAAAGCTGAATCAACATGGCGTAGTCTTTATGTCAACACATGCATGCATATAGCTATAATGCTGTATTGAAGTCTTAAAATAAAATGCGATTTGAGAACTTCAAAGGGAACACTTAAAATATGTTGCATAAGTCGACCATTTATCACCTTCCTAGTTTTCTCCATAATTAGATAAACACTGATAGTTACATACAAATGATTTTGACATGGAAAGAGCTGACTATATTATAGTTAAAAAGAAATCTGTAGTTGTACCAAATTTGACTTTTTATATTGATTCTAAATAATTTTAAACTCTTAATCGTCCTACAGTTAGAAACAACTTTCTATAATTATGGATATTGATACAAATATAATCAATTATCTATAAATAAATTATTTATTGTATATTGTTGTTAGATTCAACCACCAAATGTACGCGTTACAGTATATACATGCATAATGTTTTAATTTTTTAACAGTATAGAGTGGCTGTCTTCTCATTTACCGAATGAATAGAAGCAATCTATTGTTTGCACATCTTTGATAATAATCTATAATAATGATCTATATTTATCTAGATATACTCTTTAATTCAGCGTTAGCGTTTTCCTAATATGTTTTGCTGCAGCAACATTGTGTTTACCATGTACTAAAAAAAGAATGAGCGGACTTGGTCATATGCAATGATCAATTTCGTAGGAATCACGTGACACATGCAGTGAGATTCAAGTGAAACACAATGAAAATGAAAAAAAGGAAAATCAGATTTCCTGATGAGAATTGCAGTCTTGGATAAAACACAATAAGTACTATATCGATCTACATATTCTCTGTAACCAAAAACACGTACCAATCAATCTTATATCCACACTTTCCATAATATTTGTGAAAAAGTTTAAAGCATAGCAAGTGTAAATGCCACGATCACTTTTTCTCAAGTTCATGATTTTTAATTTCCCTTGAACAACGAGAGGGAACGAGGTGATGGTTTTTGCAGAAACCCATTTAATTCGTTTTGACTCTCCAAGTCTTTTCCCATCTTTAAACCAAAAGAAGTCCTTGGATCCGCTAGCTTTGCATTTGAATGAAATATTGCCACCAACCCTGGGGGGAAGTGATGAACTTACAATGTTCAACGATGGTAAAGATGGTAAAGAGGATATAGTATCTGAAATATTGAAGAATTAACGTCAGACGTCTGAGTAGAGTTGAAGACATTAATATAGTTGCTTGATTTTAAGTTGAAATTAAGGTGACGTGGCATGCGGAAACGAAACAAGGTTTAGGAAAATATTTGATTGTATTATTATTGTGAGGAATTCTATCAAACGCAGGGACAGCGTGTGTATTAAATGTAGAAAACACAGAGAGAAGGCGTATTTTACTGAGCTAGAATAAACCAACGACAGCTTTATGAAAACATTGCGAAATCCTATAGATTTTAGCCGCAATATACCTGCTGACAATGCTGTATCGTGGAGCACAATCTTCCTCTAAATTAGACTGCGACTCTTTTAAAGTGATTGCAATGAAATCAATGTATTTATGTTCTAAACGGTTAAAGTGTAATTTAAGGTATAATAGATTCCTATATTACAACACGCACTTCATGTCATGACTAGAAGCTATTGCGTGAAACCTCAATGAAAATAAATAAATCAATAAAAAAAAACATAAACGCCTACCTATGAACGACGTGGAACAGATTAGGAGAGCGACGAAAATATTTAGACGACAATTCATATTTTATCACAAGGTATCTTGTTTAGAAGTTCACAAAAACTGTTGGTTGAAATGAACTGAAAAAAAGACGAATACCTGCCCTTATTTATAGGAGGTAATGACGTAATCTAGAGATAGGTAATTGACTAAAATAGCATTTTTAAAAGAATAGGATTTACTTAAGTATAGGATGATTTAGCATGCTTGAGGATGCAAAATTTTCAGGATGATCTAAGAAAATCTCAATACGTTTGCGAAGCAAGGGACAACAGCGGAGGATAGTCACATTGTCTAGCTGACCTTCGAATCAAGTTTACCCACATTTCCTTAGAATCAAGTTTACCCAATAGGATGGTTGGAATTGGTGCGTATTAAGACGTTGCATTGGTATACTAAGATAAACCCACCTTTTAACGGTCGACCAGTTTTCAAAGTACTCGATCAATATTTCTAAGTGTTTCTGAAACAAGCACTTGAAATCTGTATGAATTTTTATTATATCAGATGCGTGACCTTCATAGTTAGCTATGTCGCATATGGATACATTGTTTCTTAAACAGCTAGGAGTAATTCGTTAAGATTAAAAGAAAAGTGAAAGAAGTAATTTGTTAAACAGATAACATTGGCATTGTTTAATTCATTGCATTCAATTACTCTTCCAGGAAAACGATGCAAATTTCGCGATAACAAATAAACCACTAATGGGTAGGTGTTAACAGTCTGTTTGGAGCGCAGTTGGTGGTCTTGCTATCAGCAACGTTATAGCGCAATGATTTAGCATCCTTGAGGATGCAAATTTTCAGGATCCAAGAAAATCTCAATACGTTTGCTTGAAGCAAGGGACAACAGCGGAGGATAGTCACATTGTCCTGACCTTCGAATCTCACATTGTCCTGACCTTCGAATCAAGTTTACCACATTTCCTTCCTCTTATACTCGTTGAAATTTCCACTAAAGCACTTTACGTGAATCTTTGTCGACTTTTCTTCGACTTTGAGTGATTTTATTACCTTTCGCAGAAAGCGTTAGAAAGGAACACTTGAATTGACCATGACCATCGCGTATATATACATACGAGTTAATAACTTGTCCAACCTTAGTGAAAATCATTCCAAGAATGCGCACGGAAAACAATCAAACAATAGTCATATCATATTTACGGTGAATTCTTTGAATGCGCAGGATTCGTGAAGGCGCAGTTCCTTTTGTTTGACCTCTTAGTATCAAATTTTAACGACCATTACAAACATGTTTTATGAAGTTTTGAATGTTGAATGGATTAATACCAAGTAAACAAACAGAGCGGTCTGCGCTTTTGCGAAACTTTATGTGTAACTCCTATAACTAACAGATCTATATGCACAATTCCTGCATGGGCATCGAGGAACGTGCCTCACGGAAATTGAAGTTCCCGTTTAGCGTTCGTGTTTCATATAAAAAGAACGTGCTCTAATCTCGCAGAGATCTCGCACAAATTAGCCCCGTAAGATACAGTATATGCTGTGAAATTCTAATCAAACACTGCAAACTAGAGCATTCAAGAAGGCAGCTCATGAGATGCGCACGAAATAAAAACGAAATATTTGGAATTGAAATCAAAAGCTGTGATGCCAGAAAGTTTGCCATGCATTTATGCACGGGATTGCAATCTTGGATATTCTCATACAAAATGAACCATAACAGTCTTTTACTCGACGCTGCGCTTAAAAAGTGGAAAATCACAGTGGACGGCGAGACCTCGGTGAAACCCGTGGTGAAACACTAGCGCGTCCAAGAGGCTGAAATCGAGAAAAGGCTGAAAGCGTTTATCGTCCAACAATTTCGAGGGTAAATCCCTCCTAATGAATGCCACGAATACGAAAAAGAAATCAAAAGACGAGTTGCAACGCGTGACAGCAAATAAGTTCGTTTTTTGTTTCCCCGATTTGAAATTGAAAATTGCCTCCAGGTGCAGCACAATCTAAGTTGTTGCTTGGTAGCCAGCTGACGTAAGCAAACCTCGTCCCCAGGCATTTTATTTGCTTTAGCTTTCGCGCCAATAGCGCATCTCCGGGGCTATCTTTAAAATAGGGAATGGGGAATGCGGGAATGGGGGAATGCGGAAATGGGGGAATGCGGGAATGGGAGCCCATCTCCGGCGTCTAACACCCGAAGATGTGACGTGGAGCCACTACGTGGAGCTACGATCGTATTCACATCCTGATGAATGTGATTTAATAACTATGTCTCAAACAGAAAGGCAACCTCGTACTTGGGTTTGAGGTTGAGAGAAAGGCTATTAGCACACAGATGGAAAAGTTGACTTGGTAGAACCATTATCTGTACTTCATGTGATACGAAGCCTTGCTCCGTAAATAACCTGGCTCGAAGATACAACATTCTTCAACTCAGTAAAGCTTGATCAAATCATTGTAGTTCACAACATGCAATACAAATAAAACTAAATTATAAGGCGTGAAATTGTGTTGCTGTTAAACTTTAACAGTTAAGGCATATTAAACTAATCTTACAGATACACTGTAAGTCTTGTATTTAAATAAATAATATGTTCTTTGGCAGCTTTTCGGCAGATTCGATTGCACGTATTTCATCTCCCAAATACCGCTGAGAGTTTCTTCATAATGAGCTAGTAAAATATTGAACACATGTGTTTTCAGGAGGCAAAATTTATTTTCTTCATGACTTCATTAGCAAGAGCGTTTAGCATCGTTTTCCTATGGATTTTAGCCGCAATATACGTGCTGACAATTCTGTATCGTGGAGCGCAGTCTTCTTCTAAATTAGAAGAATGCCACTCTTTTAAGATGATTGAAATGAAATCAATGTATTTATGTTATAAAGTTAAAGTGTAGTTTAAGGTATAATAGATTCTTATTACAACACGCACTTCATGTCATGAGTAGAAGCTATGGCGTGAAACCTCAATGAAAATAATAAATCAAAAAAATAATAAAAAACACATAAACGCCTACCTTTGAACGACGTGTAACAGATTAGGAGAGCGACGAAAATAATTAGACGACAATTCATATTTTATCACAAGATATCTTGTTTAGAAGTTCACCTCTTGTTTGAAATGAACTCATACAGACCAAGGCTCTTATTTATAGGAGATAATGACGTAATTTAGAAATATGTATTTGACTAAAAGAAATAATTTGTTAATTAAACAGATAACATGGGCATTGTTTAATTCGTGCATTCAATTACGCTTCCAGGAAGACGCTGCGAAATCATTAATTCGTACATCAATTACGCTTCCAGGAAAACGCTGCAAATTTCGCGGTAACAAATAAACCACTAATGGGTAGGTGTTACAGATACACTGTAAGTCTTGTATTGAAATAAATAATATGTTCTTTGGCAGCTTTTCGGCAGATTCGATTGCACGTATTTGTTCCCCAAATACCGCTGAGACTTCCTTCATAATAAGCTAGTAGAATATTGAATACAAGTCTTTTCAGGAGACAAAAGATATTTTCTTCACTAGCAAGAGCATTTAGCATAGTTTTCTTGATTCTCCTGTCCAATCGCATCTGGATTGGAAAGCGGGTCCAAATCAGAGAAAAGTTTCAACCAGGTCGATAAATTTCCATCTGATGGCTTCGCTGTATTCTGTCTCATCATCCCAGAGGATGGTTGACCAACAGCCGGTGCAAGGGGGGGGAGTGGGGGTGACATATTTAAGCATACCTTTCGCCGTTAACAGAGGGCCTTAAGTTAGAGAAATGGACGCTGCCAAAAAAAAAAACGCTGTCGCAATTTAGCAAAATGAAAAGTCATATCAACAAGCAGAAAAGCACTTTGGCATATTTCAGCATACCTTCCGGCGTTAACAGAGGACCTTAAGTTAGAGAAAGGGCATGCTACCGAAAAAATGGACGCTGTCGCAATTTAGCAAAACGAAAAACGGCTAAAATATTTCAAACTATTTAGACATCAAATTTCTTCAAATTCATTATACATCATTCAAATTTGTGTCACATACAATACATTAGCTATCGCGCCAATAGCGCATTTCCGGCGTCTACACCCGAAGATGTGACGTGGAGCTACGATCGTATTCACATCCTGATGATGAATGTGATTTAATGGCTATGTTTCAAAGAGAAAGGCAACCTCGTGCTTGGGTTTGAGAGAAAGACTATTAGCACACAGATGGAAAAGTTCTCTTGTTGCGTGAAATCACATACATCAGGTGGCGAATATGACTTGGTAGAACCAGTAACTGTACTTTATGTGATACGAAGCCTTGCTCTAAATAACCTGGCTCGAAGATACAACATTCTTCAACTCAGTAAAGCTTGATCAAAACATTGTAGTTCACAACATGCAATACGAATGAAACTAAATTATCAGGCGTGAAATTGTGTTAGCTGTTAAAGCATATTAAACTAATCTTACAGATAGTGTGTAACTCTTGCATTGAAATAAATAATATGTTCTTTGGCAGCTTCTCGTCAGATTCGATTGCACGTATTTTTTCCCCAAATACCGCTGAGAGTTTCTCCATAATGAGCTAGTAAAATATTGAATACATGTTTTTTCAGGAGGTAAAAGTTATTTTCTTCACTAGCAAGAGCGTTTAGCATCGTTTTCTTGATTCTCCTGTCCAATTGCATCTGGATTGGACAGCGGGTCCAAATCAGAGAAAAGATTCAACCAGGTCGATAAATTTCCATCTGATGGCTTCGCAGTATTCTGTCTCATCATCCCAGAGGATGGTTGACCAGCAGCCGGTGCAAGGGGGGGAGTGGGTCCTTGCATGTTAGTAGGTTCAAGTCCGCCCGTAGCCTGCGGTGGTAACGTGAAACCAGATGAGGGTGCATAGGGGTCGAGGCTTGCAAAACTATCGATTAAATCTGAAGGCATGAACTTCGTGGGCGAGCCGAGATTTTCCTGGCTCGAGGGTGCTTCCACCTGTTGTTGTTCGTTACCAAACATTTTATTCCAGGTTTCTGTGAAACTGTTGTCAGTCGTTGGATTCTCTGGCTGAGAGAGATTTCCAAACAGAAGATCATCTGTGCTCTGTAAACTATTATCCGCACCAAGCAAATCTTGGTCTGAATTTTGCTGGCCTCCTGGTTTACATAAGAAATGAATGAATGAGGAGTGTTAGACTGTAGAAATCAGGCTGTTTTTAAGCATGCTTGCTTGGAGTTTTGTTGAATTTCACATCAAGACTTGACAATGAAAGGAAATTATGACGAAGGCGATAGAAGATGGTGATGGGAACTAAATTGACGATAGTATTGGTAGCAATAAAGGGTAGCAATAAAGAAATGAAGAGTTTGGTAGGATAATATTAATGTGATGGTGAATGAATGATGTTTTAAATAACGACGGTGAATAATTGAACGCGGCCAAATAGAAAAATTGAAGGTTTTGAAGTTTATCATGCGCACCTGGCAGACCGTTGTTTATTGAATCACCAGCACTTGTCGCTGCACCGAGGTTGGTCATTTCAGGACTGGTGTTATTCAACATGAAATCTGCGATATTTAACTCATCATCTTCTGTATTACCACCAGACAATCCCAGAAGATCATCAATTCCTGTGAGATAAGAAATCGCCGATGATTCTCGCAGGGAATTATTACACCATGTTTTTATACGATATATTTGAAGTACATTTAAATCCACACAACGAAATTGAGGATTGAGAATATATTATTCAATTCACACGACAGATATCAATAACTGACGTTTCTTACCTTGTATGACAGCAGAGGAGCTGGGCTCAAGCATGGCAGACGTTGTTTCCTCTGTCTTTGCAGGTGAACCGCCAAGAAGATCAGTGTTTTGATCTTTCTCGCTGGAAACCGCAGGTGGCATTCTATCAGGAAGATTATCCAACGAGATCAAAGCATCGTCATCCTCGTTCGACCTTTCTCGGACATCCAAGCCCTCCTCGTCGACTTTCTGAGAATTCTCGTCCTTCTCGTCCACGTGGACCGCTTCCGCAATACGTTCCTCTTTGATCCGCTCTACCCCCTCGTCACCCTCATCATCGTCGACGTCATTTTCGCGCGTGTACGAATCGTCTGGTATGATATGCTTCAACATTTGAAATTGATACGAAGGATGACCACGGAACTGCTCGTAAACCTTCGTCAAAGAACCGGACGAGTTCTCCCAAAACTTAAGGAGGCTCTGCTGGTATGCGACCAGCGTCGCTGACAGCAGATTACAACGGCTCGCGGAGAGTAAATCCACTTTTTGAATCACGTCGACTTTACATTTGTCAAATTTTTTCTTTGTAACCTTCACCTCGGACTGAACCTGCCGCGAATATATCGTTTGGTTAAAGCGGACGTTTTTATCCACTGAGACAAACCTTATCTCGACGATTCAAAAAAATAGTTTCTTTCAAATATGCTTGTGGATGATATTATAATGATGACACAGTATTTCTGATCTCATATACTAAACTGGAGCTTCAGAGATAAAGACGAGCTTTAAAGATACGAGATTGTCTACACAAGGAAAATGGGAATTCTTAAAAAAAATGAGAATTCTTCAAAAAAAATTAGATGATCCTGTTGTATTTGTTTAAGAAAATCGAGCCGAAGGAAGACTAGTTATACCTGAGAGTTTACTTATTTTATATGCGATGTAAAAAAGGTCGATAGAGGATAGCTTTGGTTTTAAATGAGTCGCAATAATTTCATCCTGAATACGGATGATGAAAGGAGGAAAAATGAAGTAGATTCTGAATGGAGAAAAGTAAAATGGATGAAAAGAAAACAAACATCCTCGTTTGAATACATCAGAATAACACCAGCGTCCGTTGTGGATACAGAAATAAGTGGAAAGAGCGAAGAGCCAAGCAAGAAATTAATGAAAAATTTAAAAATAATAATCTTATTTGTAGAGCGCGTAAAACACTAACTGGACTGGTTCGTTTTATGAGTTATTATGTATCTGACTGAACGTCTAGAGATTTACCGTGAAAACACCGACATTTGAACATGATTTAAGAAAAGATTTAAGGAGGGCTTACCTCTCTGTATTTATCCAACTTTCTATAAGCCTCAGGATCCAGTTCTTTGGAGATATCTGCCATCCAAAGCAACGCTGCTCTATATTCACTTCGCAGTCTTTCCATACGATTCACCGTCTCCCAGGTGTCGCCTATGGCCCGATGTCTGAATGTCTCCACCTCTTGGTACAGGCGTACAAGAGGGACACGTAGGGTTAACCTAGGTTTTAAGTGGATATATGTGATTGACTGGGTGATGGAGAGAACGACGAACTGGTGGTTCAAAGAAATGAATGACCACTAACCACCCTAATAAACGCCAGTCCAACCCATGAAGCAACTAACTGAATGACACACAAACCAATGAAATAACTGACCCAATAACTAAATCAAGTCTTACCTTTGCTGTGCAGTATAACTAAGTGCCTTGCCAACACTTATCATCATTTTCCCAGCTTTTGTTTTATCAACAGAACCCTTTTCACGTAAAAATCGACCAGATTCATTCTCCTCTTGAGACAAAGCTATAAACATTTTAAGTAGATAATTTAATAAATTATTGTGGATAGTTTAATTAATTATCAAATACAAAATGATTCAATATTGCTACCAGATATAATGGTGACCTACCAAATATTTTCTTTTGATAAACTTCAACAGCCCTCAAAAGATCAATACATGTTTTCTGTATCTGTCTAAATGCTTCAAGCCTAGCATCAACTTCAGCATCGCCAGCAACTACAAACTCATCTTGTTGTTTGCCCAGTTTTTCAAGCATAGTTTGCTTCCCTTTCCAGTATTTCTGTTGAACCTTGCCCTTGAACGAGTCTGCAGGCCTGCGGTATTCACGATAGTTGAAACCATTGGCACTTGCATCTGCTAGGCTATCATCATCGGGGTAGTCTGACGGACGGTCATAGCTATTAAGAAAGAGAGGACACATTGAATGGTTGGGAGCAGAGCTACGAATGATCTATAAAAATCAACAGGGGTCGGTTGTATGAAAGCCGGATATCGCTACCCATCGGATAGTGATTTTTACAATCATGTTAAACTTGCCTGTTGTTGGGTATAACTTTCATTAAATCTTAGTATTCCTAAATCGAGGATCCTCTTTAGCAATAGTTGGTTACAAAGCTGAAATTTTATTGCTATTCAAGCATTTTTAGAAGGGTTGAAAAAATCACTATCTGGTGGGTAGCAATATCTGGCTTTCATACCCGGGCCAGTAATATAAAGGATGACGGTTCGAACCTTTCATCAGGATCTTGTGGTACATGTTGATATGAGTCACCCATGATTAATTTCCACCACAATTATCTGAAATAAAAGATGAACATATTGACTGCCAGTATACTAGCACTTACGAGTAAGACTATCTAACTTTGACAAGTGTTAAACACTGAAGTAGCCCACCTGGCATAAATGTAAATTTAAAGCCTGGTACAATGATTACCTAGCTATCAGCTAAGACCACTGATGTTGCATAGAACAGCTTTTAATGACAATTCACAATGCTAATAAAGGTATGTGAAATCTGATTCGCTTCCATGTAACATTGTCTTATGTCAAACAACACTATGACCCCAAAATTGAAGTTTGATGCTATCTATATGATAGCACATGAATAGTTAATAATTGAGAGATTTAATTGCAACACATTTTAGAAAAAAAAATTAGAAAAAATATATCCATTTTAATTCTTCTCTGCTAAACAAAACATTGAAAAGCTTCATCCAAAATACAATAATGAAGTGGAAATTTCTTATTAAATATTCATTATTTTAAATCTTTGTCAGGTCCTAGCTCAAGAGGTTCATCATGGAAGCACAGTATCTTCACACAAAGGATGCTAGCGCCATAACAGTTTTATAACTATATTAAATATAAAGATTTTTGCTTGTCTATCGAAATATCCCAAGATAAAATTCAAAATTTTAAAACCTAAATCAATATTTCAATCTCAAAACATCGTATAAATATCAAAATATTTTACAAAACAAAAATTCCTACGACTGGTATTAACTCATGAACACAATTCACTCTCGTAAAATCGGCCAAAGTTTTACCTTTTATAAACGCCTTCCTGCCCAGCAAAACGATAATTGCGCGCCTGGATATTTCTGCTTATTCCTCAGCCGTCATTCAAGCATTTTCAGTGCATTTTAGTAACAAAATCAAAGCATTTTCAAAGGTGAAAAGTCGACAATCAAAACATATTTACACGTATTCAAAACACTGAACAAGTCGCGAGCAAACTCATTTCCAGTCTTTCCGCGCAAATTGCGCAATATATGCGAATTCCACTGAACTGCAGTAGTACCTGGATAGAGAATCCTCAAAGGTACTGACATCATGGAAACAATGGAACTAATTGCCTTTTTTCGTTTTTATTAAGCAAAGACAATTTGACGATATATGATTGACATTTCCACGGAGTGTTTGTTCTTACTGAAAACAAACAGTAACCAAATATTTAAGACGTGTCTTTGACCACTAAATTTGTTTTAGTGTATAATTGTGTCCGGATGTTCCTTGCGGTAGCTCAGGTTAAACAGGGAAGCGGAACACGATGCAGCGAGTTTCAGACGGAAGACATACCAGCCATATTCTAGCCTGCAGGGGGGTTGCAAACACGTGGCATGTTTAATGAAGCATAATATTCAAAATACAACATAAATTTTCCAAAACAATGCTCTCTGATTAGGAGATATTAAAAGAAAAACTGTTCAACTGTCACAAGGCTGTTCGCCTAATGCATTGGATTTCTCAATGTTAGATGTCGTTATCGTTACAAACCTCTCATTGTAAAGAAAAACCTAAGACTACTGCATTTCTAAAGATTAGAATACTGAGTAGTAGGCTGCTATTGTGAAACCCAACCCTTATTGACATATGATACGTTTCCAGAGCGCTACGAACGTCACCTTAGTTTTTTTAGTGGAATTAACGGATATGCGTTGAAATAATAACTCAAAACAGCACCTTAGCCCTTGTTTGTTACTGAAATTGATATTGATCGACACAGGGACAAGCTCACAAGCACGGTTGAGTACCCGCAACCACAAAACCAAATTTGCATTGAATTGACTAACATTCCGAAAGGAATTGTAAACATACAATTACAAATTTATAAATACTACGAATTTGATATATATTCCACTGAAAATATATCTAAACCAATATAGCATCCGGTACTGAAATAAATTTGTCTTTTAATGCTCTAGTAATCATTACCTTCAGAATGATTCAAACAGGAAGATACCATATCAATATTTAAGTAAAGTACTCAAAAATAATCATTACTTCCAAGAACTATCAATAATGTACATTTCAACGGAACTTATTCTGAACGAATTCCTGGGATTATATAATATTCGATGACTAAATTTAGGCACACAAAGTGTTTGTCGGTTATAAAAGGAGTCTAGTTTGTCGAGAGGCTGAACTTCGGAAAACAGCATCAAACTCGCTATCCAACCGTGTTGTAATTACACAGATACCGGTGAAGTATCCACAAGACTGACAACCATGTGTACTTTTGTCAAATTAAACTTGTTGGTAATATTATCAGGATGCTTTAACATAGCATACGGTATGGGTAATAAAACTAAGAAAATCATAAGCATATCGTTTAGACAGTGGTTACCATATGTTACATAGTGCTACTGTTAAAATGTTACAATGTCTTGTGTCTTAGGTTTGATGGGCTACGAATGCATAAATGGGACTTATCGAACTCTTAACACCACCAAAGGTAAAATGAAAAATGAAAGTTTTAAAGTTGCTTTTGTTGATACGATAATGCAAACAGTATTGCACTCAGACATTGGGGCTAAGGTCATGATAAAACCACGAACAAGGTCAAAAGCGTCATTGAGTAAACAGTTCATTCCAAAGAGGTTTGTTGGCAAATTGCCGCTCAAACTAATCTAGCAATGCATGAACTCGTTCGACAAAACTGTTCTCTAGCCATTTGTATCCAAGGATACTTTTAAAAGACGGCTGGACTGGTCAGGCAACAATACTCTTTCTGCATTGAGAAAATATTTGATGAAGATTTTTTTACATTCTCGCTATGAAGGGACACAAATTGTCACAAATTTACCTAAGTGTACTCTGTGTGCAGTGGATTGAATAAATTATACCTACAAAGAGGCACTGAACATAGGTAAATATGCCCTGTGTTCAGTGAGACTGGGCTGGACGTATTATCCTTTTTTCGACTTCGCTACAACTTTCTAAACGTGAATTCCGCTAAGAAGTGACTATCTCGAACACATGCCATAAGCACTGTTGCACCAATAGCGTTTGTATTATCAATTATCGTATTTCTGACTAGGAAAACCGGAGGTGGAGTTGCAAGTTATCAACAAGAACATCTATGTAGATGAGAATGCGTTCTTCACGTGCAAAGTTCGTGCTAATCCAGCTGCAGAAATTTTCTGGTTGTACGAAGGACGGTTTATAACAAGGGAGGAACAACGAAAGATATATTCTTACTCAGACTGTAACACAACACTTACTATAACGTTCGCAGAGCCGAAAGATACTGGGCGCTACAGCTGTATGGCTAGAAATTCGTATGGTGAAATGACATCAAATCTAACCATACTTGCTGTCCAGCAAAAAGGTTGAAGGAATAATTGTGTTTTTTATTAGCGGTTAATAATGACTGGTTGACACTTAACGATGATAATCACTGAAGGAGAAAATGATTTCAGAAACTGCTTATAAGGATTTTACTCATCAGTAACTAAACTCCCAGACTACAGGCGCTTTTTGGAGACCTGTGTCCACAAGGCAAATTACCCCGGCAGTGTTTTGTCGAGACTGATTGATTAACTCAGTTAAATGAAGTTAGCTTAGAATTAGCTGTTGCAGTTTTGAGACATACCTTTACACTGACACAACTTTCAACTGAACTCTTCTTAAATTTTAGGCTTTTCATGATTCCTAAATAAAAGCAGTTAAAAGAAAATTGAGAAACTAGTTTAAAAAAAGAAAGTTTCAGCCTAAATGAAGTTAGTTTAGTTGAGCTTTTTCTGTCTTGGATCTTTCAAAATGAAGCAGTTTAGGATACCTAGGGCTTTCCAGACATTTCCTTTTGTAATAACACAAGTTTTTTCATTTAGAAAAATTCAAAAAGGTTTACAAGGCTGCTGAGATTGAGATGATCTCTACACAATCGTGTGCGCCTGAACATGAAAATATGACTTTGAAGTGTAGGCATAAAAAAAGTCAGGGGATATGTCTATGGGAAAGAAATAACTCAAGCATAAATGAAGAGAAAATTAGTTATTGTGATGATAGAATGTGCTGCTTGAATATCAATCGATTCTCCAAGGAAGACGCTGGCTTATACACCTGCTTTATGTATTATGACGTCCTCAAAGCTGATGTTCTCATTCCTCAGCCAGACGCAGAAAGATGCAATAACATATACACAAGTGAGTTGTCGATCTTAGGATGAAGTATCATATAAGAAAACAGCATAGAATGGATTGAGGTAGAACAGAATGGGGTAGAAAAGAATGAAATAGAACACGGAATGGATAGAGAGGGATAGAACAATAAGGAATAAGGCAGAATGGAGTGGTATACAGAATGGGGTAGTCATTGGACAGAATAGAGAAGAATTAGGCAGAAGAATTTAATCCTTAATCTAATTAATTTTGTTATTATATTTGATTATTTTATAATAAATTATTTCAGAGGAAATTCTTGTGGACACTGTTAGAGAGAGAGGAAACAGCACTGGTGAAGGGTCAAAGAATAAAAGTCTCGTTGGTGTCTGGCTTTACGGAATGATTGCGTTGTCAATGACAGTTCCCTGGCATGAGCTTTAGATATTTTCTTTGCTTTTAGTTTCTGTGTTTTAACCGCAAAAATACTGTGAATAATGCTTCTAGAGATGCATGAGTAGTCCACGTGTTGTAAAATGTAAGAATATGTAACGTCGTACATACTAGAGTAAAACTGTAAATATATAGCGTGAATATCCCCAATTATGGAGCAGTTGTTTGACCAGGGAGAAGACTGCCTGTAAAATGATTTAACGCAACTGAGCAACTGAGCTGATGAAATCAAAATACGTCATTGCAAAATTCTAACGACAATTAACTTGCCATAATCTTCAATATCTGGCTTTGCGCTTTCCTTTAATCACCTAAACACCTTAAAAAGGATCATTAATTATCACGAATCGTCACTGTTTTAAGATGATTTATGTACAATACAACTATTTATTTAATTAACATATAATCCTCTCCAAACACTCAATGATTGAACTAAATTTAACTGGATAGCTCCAGTCCTAAGCTACAGTACACTCTTCTCGATAAAGATCTATTAACTAAATATTCGATTCCAACGTACATTACCGACCCTAGATAAACTTTTTAGGTTTGGGAATTCCATCTAGAAACATCATCATTGACAACAAGAAACACCTCACTCAAAAGTTAATCAGGATCCGTGATTTATTAAACACAATAAATTCTGTTTATCAAAATTCTTGGTGATTAAAATGTGTTGAAGGCATTCAGCAAGACAGGGAATGATTTATTTTTCCTCAAAGACTGAACCAGTTTTTGAAGTCATAAGCAAACATTTGGTTTAAATAACTGTATTTGAGAACCATATATTGACTTATATCACCATATTTTATCGACGTCAATTCGTTATAATGGATGCAACTAAACTACGACAATCATTCCGGATATTTTGGAAGCTACACAATGTGTGTTGATAATATTTTGCTTGGAAAAATGTAAACTATCAATAGATTTCTTAATCTATTCGATCAATCGCTTAATATATCTGATCCGGATTTCCCAAAGACTTTGTAGATCTCTTTAACGAAAAACCACTTAATTATTGCGGAGCCAATGTATTTCAAGAATTATTGATTTGGACTTTGAATATAAAGGAATTTTTAAGATTGTGCCTATGAAAACATTATGTATATGGAAGAACATTAACTTGTGATGACGAGGAACGTAATTATGAGAGATTTTAAAGATCAGTGCATGATTATATTAAGTCTTGTGGCGTCTGAAACAGTCTTTTATCCTCACGACTTCGCGACTATATATCATTACCGTTTTGAATATTTCATCATCATGACGTGAGACCCTGCTTCCTCTGAATTTGTAATATGATTAACACTTGGTCAGTCCTAAGGCTGCGTGTCTCTGTGTTACATAGTATTACACTCTCTCAATGATTATCTCCTCGCTTTACTTCGGTATTTCACGACATCAGAGCAATTCCACCCAGTTTTCTCCAAGCTTATCAGATTTTACACGCAATTCATTGTGAAAGATGATTTCTTAAAGAGACTATATCACTTACAATTTAAGTGTTGGTGATGTATCCTAATTAGTGGGAATAAATTCAATTCCTTGTTTCTATCAGCTTATAAACTATTCGCAGCCTTTCATTCAAGTGCGTGCTGTAGAATCAACAATAGTGCTTTATTGAACTTCCCCAAAGTAATATTTCATTACCACAGATTTGTTGATTAGTTTAATTAAGGTAAACTCTGCTGCCCTCATCTTCAGAACCGTGTGTCATGAAATTCCAATCTAATGCTGTATTAAATCTTTCTGGAACACTCGTACACTCAGTTGAAGAGAGATTGCCATTATCAATTAGTTCAATTAATCACTGTAAGCAAACAGAAACAAGGGAACTGCAGGGGACTGATTTCATCTGATAAAGTTCCCTTCAGTCATGATCAACTGTTCGGGTCTTTGTAATAAAGAGACACGAATCCCAACAATCTTTTTATTGTCTAAGCCAGAAATGAATGATTTTCAGGCAAGTCTTAGTCGAGTGACTCTGTACCTACTTGACTACTTCTCGGGAAATAATTGTGAATACTCGTGGTGCCTACAGATTCGGCTGTTCCCGATAATAAAGAAACTGTGTTGAATTTCCCAGGACTTATGGAGTATATATCTTTAGTTTTTGCAAAGTAAATTCTGTAAATCGAAAGATATCGCTGTAAAGGTTGGCCTGTAATCCCTTAATCCACTTCCTGGGCAGACCTCATGTTGTCAATGCTTGTTCTCAATTTGTTTAGCCTTTTTTTCGTTGATATGCAATTGAGTAGTTTAAGACCGCGCCTTCAGACAAGCTGGAGCGCCTTCTCTCGAACCTAGACTGTAAAGACGATACCGCGTGCCCTGTGGCGTCTTCCAGCCTCGCCAGAAATGTGTTGGGTGAAGCAAGAGGTCTAGGAAGGTGTAAACCGCAGCTCTGACTTGGAGACGTCGATATCAGCCAGTTTACAGGACATTTATCACTAAATAGAGGCTAAAATATATAGATTATAATAATCCAGAATATTGAGCTAGGCTTCTGTCAAATGCGAGAGGAAGGTAGATATATACAAAATTTAGTTTAAAGCGAAGCTCGAGATCTGTGTGAGAAGCGTATTGAGATTATAAAGGTCTGTTCACACGTTCCTATTTTGTTGGATCCAATTCACTTCTGATGGATGTTTTATAGTCTGTTGTTTTGTAATGTATATGAGCAACAAATTCACTGAAGCCAATACAGTACTGCTTTATCAATAACACAGAAGTGAATTGGATCCAACAAAATTAGATCGTGTGAACTGACCTTAAGACAGTGAAGTGCAGTGTGTGCATGTGCTTGAATGACGAGTGGTAATCATTCAATTCAGGAAGATCTGAGTGGACAATGGTACAAGGATTGACATATCCAACTCAAAAACTAAGTGTCCATCACTTACAACTGTCAAGAACCTCTGTGTGCATGCCAATATACATAATAAACTAGTCTCATGTAATTATAGCTAAAGTCTTAATTATCTTGTGCACATGTCAATGAATCTCATAAAATATTAATGTTCTGAGTCTGATAAGGAAACTTTTTAATTGATAAACTTTCGAACGAGCCAAACCCAACAAATATGTCCCCATATTACATCGCGATTAAATATTTCATGTAAGAGATAATTCTGTGAATTATAGTTCTAGCAAACCCTTTTCCGGGAATTCCTGTGGTACCATAAAACGTACTAACAAAACACGAACAACACGCCTTATTATTTCGTAAAATGAAGGCAATCATTCTGTTGGCAGATTATCTTAAAATTAGAGAATCATTGATGACGTTCGACGAAGTTTTTTTTCAATATTATATGTCTGCACTTACGCTCATATTGCACAAAGCTTGAAAATCAAAATCTCGATTGCAAAATTAAGCAGGAATTTTAAGCCAGTAATCAGATCTAATCAGTGGTTGAACATGTAGTTTGTTGGTTGGGAAACTGGAATAAAGGTAAAAAAAACAGCTTATTGAAGAATACATAAACTGGACCACCAAGCGAATGCAATCCACTTTAGTCCGCCTGACTTAGAGTGAACTCTTTGAAAAATAAAAAATAATATATCGATTTAAGAGGATAAGATGAACTACACATTATGACAAAAGCATCATCATTAGCAATAAATATCTGGGTTATGACATCCCTTGCAGTTTATTATGAAAACCCCCCGTAATAATCATACTTGAGAATCAATGCAAACGTTTTGGTCTAAACTAAAGTTTAAGCCTGTACTGATAAGCCAAAGTCTGTAAACTATAATTATGAATTAATCACATGCGATATCAAAATTAAAGATATTTCACCTCATACCAGAGTCGATTGGAAAACACGGAATATTACCCAGGGATGATTTGTGGACCTATTTAAGTTATTATTGAATATAACTCCAGCCCTTATAGCTCCATCCTTTGTCCAACTGAAAACCCCTATCATGATTATCCCTTTCGAATCCCATTCCAGTGCAGATTTCTCTTCGTAGATGTAAGAATAAAATAACTGCACAAAAACTCAACATAATTAAGAAGCTAGTTGGGGAAACACAAATTTGTTGATGTGCATATATATTTCAGCAAAAAAACAGTGAGGAGCTCGTACTGAGGAATTACTAAATATGACCTTGGTAAATAAATTTATTTTGCTGCATTGCTCTGAAGACATGATCTTAAAACATATTGCATGACAATTGTTAGCATTTTTGTCTCTAAGACTAGAAGGAATGACGTAGCGGAATTCTATATCTTTTTCATCTTGTGAAAACCCCTCTTTACAATAATTATCCTAATACTACCGTTGACAAATAATTTTAGTAATACCCTGATTAATATATCTACACGTAAACTATTCAGACTGGAGGAATCTGAAAATCTTTATTGATAAAGATATTTATTGCTGAAGAGTTTTCACATCAATAAGGGTGGCCAGTTTAGACAAAAGTATGTAAACAAATTCTCCAGTGATTAGAGAAGATATATTTTATATTTCGGTGAGATATAGCTTCTTGTATATGAGTCATTTCCTTCGTTCAGTGGAGAAGACGTGAGGAAGAATCGTACAGGAAGGAAACCTAATCCCTGGGAACAAATATTGTGGTTTATAATACTGCACCTTACAATGTTCCCTGCTGAAGGGCAAACCTGCACTTGCTTGCAATCACGTCACGTCAAGTGATAAACAGTTCTACTCCAATGATAGCAACAGATGAAGACAGATTAAGAAGTATAAGGCAGATTAATCGACGAAGGAAATAATCTTTTTTTTTCTATGAAAAATTTAACACTTCAATTTCTGTAGCTTAAATTTATAGCTCTAATTCACAAACTGATGGCCTACACACATACCAGAAGATTAAACACACGTTATAAATAATTCAATTAAATGATGGCAGCTTATTTTAAACAAACGCAACTAAAGTTTTTTTATACTTTAGAAAGATGTGTCAATTTTCATGGTAAAGGTAGCAGATGCAATATTGTTAGTTCATATGAGACTAAGGTAGTAATTTCTCCAATTGAACTGCTATATGTTAGGCAGATTTATACCAAAATACTCCATATTTTTAGGCCAGAAAATATACATAGGATTAATACTATGAACTGTAGAACTACACTGAAGGTATTTTAAGATTTTGATTGCTTTCTGATTATTGTTTGAGTCAAAAACGTTTAGAGCAGATATATCGTTTGGTATCCGAGCGAGTATTAATACGGAAATCTAAAGACAACAAACTGAAGACTGGTATGGCCATTCACTGCGATATTCGTTTTTACCGTCAGCTCAGATTTCATTCAGAGAAAGCTTAGGAATTCGTCAGAAGTGTTAAATGTATTTTACTGCATGACTACAATCCCACTAAGCTAGCGGAGAAACCTTTGAGAGGTTCACACCGCCGTTTACGATGTATTGATATGACACATCTATGACACATCGTGTGGAAATCATTCCCTCACTAGAGTCGCCTCAGGTCTTTTGAAAACCATCAGAGCTTTAATTCAAATATATTAAAAACATTGAAATAAACCGAGGTTTTACCACAGCGAGATTAGCTCGGAATTTCTTCCAAATCTTCCGCTTGTTGGATAATGACAGGGATTTGATTCACTTCAATGTCGTCTAAAAAGACGCCGGTAATCATGGCTTGTTCTTAAGAGGGTTAAGCCTGGCTCGCGCATGCAGCCCACCCCGAGTGATCCGTGTTGTCTCGAGTGAACTTGCTTAGTGAGATATTTATTAAATGAAAGCAAACAAGCCACGCCCAAGTGGGACGTGAGCCGCTCACTCGCGAACGATTTGGGACCCAACAGAGGACCGGACTCTATGTCAGATGGACTCTAGGTACGAGTCGGAGAACCACCATCTTCATTTATATATTCAGCGAACGAACAAATGAGAAACTTTGCACGAAGATCGTGGTCGACTATCTTGTAGAATAACATCTTGAATAATAACTTGTAGAATAACATGAAATCACCTTCGTATAGCGAATACCAGTGAGCTCAGAGATACTGAGATAGAACATGAAATCTTAAGCCGACTGAGAACACGAGTTCTTTTATGATGATGATTGTAATCATTATGTTCGCAAATGTTCCACAGTAACCTTGGCCTCCAATAAGCTGACGACAGCAGTTGCATGAGAAGTACGGTCAAATACCTACGAAATACTCCACGTGCGCAAGTCCAGTATTTACCTAGCACCAGTGCAAACAATCTTATCTTAACTAACCACATTCTCGCCATTGTCTGTCTCCGGGGCGGGCAATCACGCACGCTTGCGACATTCTGGGCAAGGTGGCCTGTCCTGCGCAAACGCGCAACAGTATCGAAACGCCAGCCAGTCTCTAGCAGCGCGTCCTACAGGCTTCAAACCTTGCGCATCACTCGTTTGCCGCTCCAACCTAAACTAAACACGCTTGTCACCTGTTGGTGTCGTCAATAAGTTTAGCATATATTCGGTATTCACACTTGTACGAGAGTTAGACAAACAAGAACGTAATTACCAGATTTTAATAAGCGTACACACAACTAGGCGCCTCGTAGACTGAATATAAGACAATTATGCTTGACTTAATGAAATTTGCTTTCGGATAACGTAGTACAAACACAATAGGATTGGAGTGGAAAATAATGGCATTAGTATGAGCAGAACTAGAGTATTTTAGCATTTTTTTGCAGCACAATTTTGTAAACTCCGTGTAAGCAGACGATGGCAGAGAGTGTTGAAAGATGAGCGCTAGAGTAGTTTTATAAGGTCCTTGTTGACGTTGATGGATTACGTGAGCATGAAAGGAAATCTCAAAGTACACGTTTTCCGACGTGCAACAAAGCGCAGATTTAAAGAGAGATATGTTCGTCACATAGTTGAGATAAGCTCCTACAGTATATAATCACCAGTGTCACTTGACGCGGATCACTTCTCACGAACACGTCAAGGTAACAACATCGTTTCGTGCGTCGAGTCTGCGCGAATTAAACGGGAGAGGGATTGCATCAGCGAATCAGACAAGCATTTCGTGGAGATATACGCTTCCAACCGAGGCAAAGAAACCGTACACAAAAATCAAGGCGTACATAGAATTTTACCATATCGTATTTAACTAAATCTTGGCTTTCCGTAAACAAGATTTCAAAATTCCCACAGAAAGTCAAAGAAGTTTCTTATAAATCACGATTCCTCTTCATTGAAAGTCTCTTTGAGGGATATTTTACTCACCATGGCGTGCAAGATATTGCTAACGTTTTTAGTTTTCACGTTATCTCAACAAACGTTTGGTATAATATTTCCAATGCCAAGACAGCGAGGTGGTTTGTCAAGACAAGGAAAGATTCTCGAAGGTAAGTGGTTTCTTCTTGTAAACAGGAATGGGCTTGGTCAGACGTGAGCAACCTCGTTCCCACAAAAACCGAACAAGTTTTAACCGCCTCTTGGACCCCTATGAATATCTGCAGTCAAGGTTGGATCTTTATCTCAAATATTCTAGTATCCTTGCCCTCTGAAAGTGTTTATCCTTCTTCAACTGTCTCTGCAATTAATACCATAAAATATTGAAACGAAACAACGTAGTTTATGGACGCAGTTTTGCCAACTCTTCGTGGGTTAACTAGAAACTTTACATAAGTGCCCATAAATTGTTTTTTAGAGACTAATGGAGGTTTTATATTATTCATGATGTTATTTTTTATTCACGAGCCTGAACTACGTTTTAAGATGTAATTATTATTATTCTATGTCGACTATGAAAAATTAACCAAGGGGAAAAGGATATTTAGGAAATACATTCTGTTGTTTGTAACTCGATTTTTATTCAAACATACCCTCATTTCAATTGTCTTATTCCTAGGTTATACGCCAAAATGCAAAGAGGAGGGTAAAGAAATCCGACTGCCTTTCAAAGTACCGTGTACGAGATGCGTTTGTGAGGTAGGTGCATTGAAGACAACTCGTGATCTTATAATTTGCGGTTAAAAATAGCCCAGTTCCTCAACGTCGAATGCTTTCACTCAAGTAACCACTTCAAACAAATTGTTTTGAAGTATTTGGCGAGGTATACACTCAATATTTCGCTGTTTTTTCGCACTTTGTCGTGAAGTTTATAACGCCTGCAGGGGGTAAAATGCTTAATTCTTCCCGAGTACTCGAGTCACATAAAGACCGCTTTTTGGCTGCAACTTTCTTGTGAAACAGCATTCTATTTTAACGATTTTGGCTTTGGGAAACGCTCTTACGACGTAAGGTTCTGCCTGGAAACCAATTGGCCACAGATTTGGCACAAACAATGTGGTTATATAGCGAGCAATATCCGCTTTGGAAAGTATTCTTCAAATAATTTATCGCTTTTTAATGTCAAAACATGTTACATGTTCGATAATGGCTTAATGGTTCTGTCTGACTTCCTCCGTTCCTTCTTAAAATGGTTATGAATATCTTCAGAACATTTTACACCAACTGCATGCTTTCCTAAGCAAATACACGCACAACCATTGACGGTATACTGATGCGTAAACTCACAGGTAAATAAAAGAAATGAAAATAATTATAGTAAAGTAAAAATAATATCCTCTTTCGTACAATGAACATCTGGTAACCCTCAATGAACTCAGCCTTAAATAGATTTAGGAATGTCATAAAGAAAACAAAGAGATTAAAATAAGGCATTTGTTTATGTTTAAGTAAATCTACATTAACTTTAAGTTAAATTCCAATGAAACTACAAGCAGACAGCTATATAGATTCGCATGTTTCTTTCACGAAATAACGTTAGAAAGAGCTTTAGTTGTGTGCATGCATGTTCAGCCTTTTTTTCATACTTTCCTAAATTAATGCCTTCGCGATAATGAAGAAAACGTTTTTTCAACTACTTATTGAGATCATGGACTGAAGAAATGATTGAAAGCATCTTAATTTGAAAAGGCTGTATAATAATAAGCCTCAGAGAAGCTAGAGCAGGCCGCGCAAAACACCGAGAAACTTTGGATTTTCAACCAGAACAAACAAACGAAATCCGTTCAAACTCCACAGAGTCACCACCTACTTATTTGACGATAAATATTAATTGTTTGGTAGTAGTTTGGATATAATGTATATGCAGATTATTGAGATGATAAGCAATCCTCTTTAATATTAGACAAATCTTTTTCAACTTCCGAGTCATCTCTCGCTGTTTGTTTAAAGTTGCTTTCATCCAATTTACACAAAACTAAATTCTAATTTCTTCATCCAATTTACACCATTACTGCATAAAACAGATAATGTTCAGCGGTTTATATAAGCTCTGGTTTTACCGGCCAGCGAGTATCACCAATAGCATTTGATCATCTTAAATTTGATCATCTTGAATGCGCCAAAATGAACGACGGCCTGGATATTTAAGCGAGCGTATAGGCTTCCAAGAAGCGAGTACATATTTTTTTACTGTACACATCAGATGACTGTTAAACTATGATAAAGTTCATAACACGAATGAGAATCAAGACATATGGTGGACACAGATTATATAGTTGTTTCATTTACCTATTCTAGCTATTATCTTGTGAACATGCAGCGATGATTTTTCTCGATCTTAATCAAGTTACAAGGGCTTGGTTGTATGTTTATTTTCTGCCCACTCAATATTGATATTATATTTCGGTAAACACAGCACTTTGACTGATTTCATCAACTACTAATAAAGACTAATCATTTGAGAAGGGATACAATTTCCTTTCCATAATTTCCCCTTGTTTATCCCAAATTTTATCTAAACAATCCTTATATTTACTCTTGCGTTTTAAAACTTCAGCAACTCTCGTCCAACACCTGAACTTTACATTAATACATACGATTGCTTACAAAATACACTTCTTCAATTTTTTTCACGGAAGCACTGTGGATTTTAATAAGTATTATTTTCATATTCTACAACACAAATTCATCAATGTTTCAACGCTCTTCACAACGCATTAGAAAACTCTCAGGTATATATTACCTTAACACATTATAGCTTTTTTGAATGTCATAATTAAGAAATGATAGAAAACAAATGTTTGTAGAAATATCCTGAAGACATTATTTTGTACGATTTCGACCACTCAAAGCTGAACGAGAATCATACCTCATAGCACATTTAAACGCTTGAGAGTATAATAAAGAGTCTGAGTGTTTAAATACTATGTGACGCCCAATAACCTTTTACTCTGTCCATGCATACTTAAGTAATGTGCCTTTGTTAAATTGGCTAAGTCTGCGAGAAAATACTATCAAGATTATTGCTTAATAAGACGATGTAATTGAATTATTCACCGCATTTAATATGTTTCTATTTCGAAAAGGTATTTCCTAAATTTGGGCTTGGAGTAAGCTGTGGTTTTCGTATGTCAAGCACTATGCATTAAACAGGAAGACGGCATTAATACTCTAGGCACTAGCAATGATAAGTTTGCGTCTAAAATTCATATTTCCCGTGAAAATGGGTTTTTTCCTTATAAAGATAATTCCTGCCCTTATCCAGAAAATTCATCCCACAACACTGGATGAATTTGCGTCAGGTGGACGGAAATGATAAATGATAAAGATTTATAACGAAACATAAACGAAATAATACAGAAATTCACGATTCAAAAGTTCACGACGGACCGACAGCTAATACAAATAATTCACCATGAAATATACAACGATTACACTTGTGAATAACAGAGATTTGTGAATACCTAAATGGATAATCGAGGACAGAGTATCGGCAAACAGAATGCGTCTATTTACAATGAAATTAGCATAATACACGATTTTGTTTGCATATCTCTTAGTACTAGCACTAATGTAGGAAATATCAACGATAAGTCGATAAACATTTTCCTTAATTTGGATAAAATATTCCCATGCGGAAGTTTACGATATCACTGATTCTGAAAGATTAGCAGGAGTGTCTTAGCAACGATAAGTTTATTGTTGTCGTTCATCGCGACGTATCTCGCTAAACTGGGTCAACGCCAAATTATGGCCGACCCAAATGACTCGTTTTAATCATGTCAATGTTGCTTTTTTTCTTTAAAAAAAACTGACAAATGTTCTTGCCACATGCTATTTGCTACGGTAAGATTCCATCCACATTGACTCGAAATAAGATATTTCTCTAAACCGTGGTGCAGATAAGACCATAATTACGTTCTTTCATCTTTCATGAAGACACGTTACTCGGCTATGACCGAAATTTGAAAATGTTAATGTCAAAAGAATATCATTATCTTGTTCAACAACCTGTTGACAAGCACGGAAAAAATGAAAAATAGCTGTGTCGAATATCTTCTAGTATAAGCTTTCATAAGTAAGACGAGGTTGCTAATATACACTAGCCTGCGTGGTTTCTATGTGAGCTATACATAAATGAGATTATGACACATTGTAGTTCCGAGGGTTGCTTGAACGCACGTCAAAATTCGTCGATGCCTAATTTGGGATCTCAGACAAGAAGCGTGGCATCTTTTAATTCACCGAAAAATCTTAAACTTCAGAAAAATGTATTGATGATAAGTTAAGTGACGAGAACACGAATTAGTCGCAATGATTAGACTGCATATGCACACCCACGCTTGTCTAGTGCCCAGGAATTTGTAAATAGTGGAACGCGCATGCGCAACTTTAAATGCCGATGTTTCCCGCGCGAAATTCAGCAAGCGACGGCCATGACTTTTAAGGAGTCTCCGTGCATGCAAAACACTATATATGGTAATGAAAATATTATAGTGATCTGTACTCACCCAGATGCAGTAGTTTCCAAGACCTTGTAAACTGGAAGGATAGGATATTGAGTCGTAACTTCTTCAGTGACCAAGATAGCTGAAAAAACCCATAAAAATAGTAACTATCAGAAGAATAAGATTCTTTTTAGGTTAGATAATCCCGCTTTCAAACAACCAGATTATGCCCTATAGCATCTCTCTTGAAGGCAACTGAAGCTGTCGTGGACTGCTTTGGAAATAGTAATTCTTTATAAAAAAGTTAGTTTAGTTTAGGTTAGGTTTCCTCCTGTAGTAACACTGGATCAATAAGAGAACAGTTTAGAACTGATAGAGCTATCTATGAAAATCTTCTGTAGTAACAATGCATCGAGGGAGATAAGGTGAATTAGATTGATAAAGTTTGGAATTTGATCATGCCACTTGGGACTAAACAATTAGGTTTAGAGTTAATGTGTAAGTCATATAGGCCACCTGTGCCTAAGTGTGCAGTGTGTAGTTAAAGATTAAATCAAATTTGAGATATCGTATTATGGAAATGCCGAGAACTCGAAATTCCGGTGATTTGCAAATTCCTTAGATAATGTTTTCACAGAGATTCAAACTCGAGCCTCCAAGATCATCTTTGAAGCAAACGATTAGGCTTCTCGTTACGAATCTGTTTTGCTCGAGATAATCTATCATAGAGTGAACACAAATATATAATATTATTATGAATAGTCGATGTCATCCAACACTGTTTTAACCGCCTACGTAACCAAGTTATAGGATAGTGTCAAATGATGGATGGCTTAGAATTCTTTCAAGCCTTTCCTTCCGAAATGCAAAAATTTGCAGCATATTTTCCTAACAAAAAACGCTTGTTCTCAGCTGCGTTCGAGATTTCAATGATTTTGCGCTCAAATTTATTGTTTCCATCTGCAAATGATATAGTATTTGTAGGTTTGTCCTCAGCTGAGATTTTCTATGAATTCACGACTCCTAATGTAAACATCAAATGAAAAATTGGAAATTTGGATGAAGTTTTAATTTCGCTCGGTCGTTTATTGTGAAATACAGCAAGCTTATTGCCCTAAATTAGTCATCCAAAGTCTGCTTAATGCAAATCTTGAATTTAACGCCTGCCTGTTTTGGTTAAACTGATATGTTTCAAGTGTCAAATGAACAATAGCCCGTAAACAGTCTGAACACTATAAAAGCATTGTACAATTAGTCTTTTATCTGACCGGCGCCAGCACGCAGTTGCAAGAAAATTAGCGCACTAAAGACACCATCATGTCTTCGAAACGCGTGTTTCTCCTGATTTTCGCGCTAAATTTATCTTTTTCCGCAATACAGGGAGGCAGCGTCATTTGCAAAAAGGAATCATGTCCGTCAATGGATGATTGTCGGGGAATTGCGGTGTTAAAGCCAGGCACTTGCTGCCCAGAATGCCAAGGTAAGCGCATCGCAATCATTCTCTAAAATAATCATAACGGTATCAGGAAAAAAAATAGCGCGTAATTACTTTAATCAGCAAACGAGTAAAACACATATAATCACATCGAATTTGATCAACTGATAAGCGAAGCCTTCAATTAACGAGATGGGTTTGGTTTATGAGATTGTAAAACATGTGTGTTAAATATTCATCGCTATCTTAAAAATGGGAGTATTTCCTGCCTTCGTTCTAATGTGGTATTGACGAGAAATATTCACAACGAGGTTTCGGAATGCAAGTATTGATACGAAGCAAAGGTCTCTTACCGTCTGCTCGAGATCTCTTCTCTAATATCGGCGGCATCTACCCTCCCAAAGTTTATATTAGGAATAGTTGCGATTATCAGCAATTCCTAGCATGCGTGTTTATCCCTGCTGTAAATAACAACGCGAAACACAGTAAGAATAGCAGTTCTAACAGCAGTCCAATGTAATCTCTTGTCTTCGCACACAACTGATACATCTTTGACCTTTATATATGGTCATGATATAAACATGCGATACAGAAACGCTAGTTTCAGACAAGCAGGAAATGTCGAACTGTTTCATGCAATAATAACCAAATAGAACCCAGACGACAAATTTGATTCAAGATATGGCGCTAAAATGCTAGAATTTTGTAGTGATAAAATCGTTTGAGATATTCTAAGGCAGGCTTTACTCGGAATATACAGAGAATAAACAAAGCACTATGGGGTGACATAATACAACGCTCCTTAAATGCAAGTGTAACCTTGATACAATTAGCATGGAATTTAAACGCACAATGTCCCAAAAATGACTGAGCAATTCTGCAATATTCCTTGCCCTTATATGAATCTATTTTGTCTTTTACAGAAAGCGACAATTGTCTTTATCAGGGTATTAACTATAAGGTGAGTTATCAGCGAAAATATTATGGACTTATTAGGTTCTATTTGACACGAAATCTTACCACAATGACGTGCGGAAAGAGAGTCTTTAGAAAATTAAATTACACTTTTATAACGCTATCAAAAGTGACACTTAAAATATATGCAAATTTTAGAGTAGTTCTATAGTGTATGCCTTGTTTATTCGTTGTCGCTTTGGCTAAGATGTACACACGAACTATCTGATAATTGCATGTTTTTAATGTATACTTCCCACGGAGTTGCACGCTGTGAACGTTGTAACGAAAGTTTGAAATGACTGAGCAACGGGTGGGCAGGAAGGCAAAGACCTCGATCCTCGCTGTGTTACAAATCTTGTATTTGGAAAGGGTGTTTCTAGTTTGATTCCTAATAAAACCACAGGCTTTTTCAGCTTTCCAGCTTTGAATCAATGAAGTTTAATCAAGTCAAATTGGTTGATAAAGTTTCAGGAAATATGTTTGCGAGTTGAAGCATGAGAAATATTTTCCTTTTCTGCGAGAACGCGCGTCATTTGGTTAAATAGAACAGTGTGTGTGTTTTCGTTATTTATCAAGTAAACATTATGCGTTTATAAGCTTGACAAGGTGATAGTGTATTACAAACAATTTAGCGCCGCATCGTCTGAGTTGAGTAATCGACTGCTGTTTTTAATCTTTATCGATTACACGCCATATGTTATTCATTTACGCTCTCTTGGGATTTGATTTCTAAAATTTGCATGCATAAGGCGAAACTTGGTAAACTAGTTTTAAACTAATATCGAAATATCTCTTTCCAGAATGGTGATACGTGGCTTGGTCAGAAGTGCACCAGTTGTTCTTGTAACCAGGGTGAAGTGAGGTGTGAACAGCAAGTTTGTGAGACGAACATTCCGTGTCCCAAGGTAAATGCCTCCCACCCATCTCAAATGGGTACGAGTTATGTAATTTAGCCGACAATACAGTGCCTCAAATCCTGTTTACTATATCAATCGAATTTGAATCATGTGACTGTTCGTGTGACCAAATTAATAACATTATGCTATTTATACACAAGCCTATATGTTGCGATTGAATAGAGACAACAAAACCGCTGTGCTATGTATGGTCATTCAAGGTTATGAAGTGCGGCTGTTTTTATAATAAGGATAATGAAGCCTGTGTTCGTCTTCCTGTAGGCAATAGTATTTCACTAATCACATTATTTTCACTTGTTGTGAATGCAAGGCACGCCTATTCGTTACACCAGCCTAAACCGCTCTATCTATGTGTAGCCTGTGTGACAGTCTACCTGCAGACTTAAATCATCCCGAAAAGCAGGCAAATGGGAACTTTCCGATGTAGAGCCCCTTTAATTTAGCTTATTTCAACATTTTTCTTGCTTAGGGAATGAAAAGAGGGCTGAAGCCTGGGGCTTGTTGCGAGAGCTGTATTGAAGGTGTGTTTATAATTTATTGTGATTGACATTTTCTTCGATAGCATACAGTGTCGCAATATTGAATATGCAGGGTGAACTGTGAGAAGCACCTTATAGTCATAAATCTTACCTCGAAACAGCACACTTTCTTGCATGAATAATTACCCAACAGCACACTTTCTTGCATGAATAATTGTACCAAGATTACGATCATCCGAGCTCTTGCTAAAAATAAAAGATAAATGAATGATTTTCTTACTCAGTTTATTTTATTTTTGTGCTATAACTAAAAACCTTTTATCGAATTTTCAGAAACGGGTATCTGCACATCATTTGGGGACCCGCATTATCAGACATTTGATAATCGCATGTACAACTACCAAGGAAAGTGTAAATATGTTTTCGCCAAAGACTGCGAGACGAACAATTTTACGATAGAAGTTCGTAACGAGGGACGACACTCGCGGACATTTTCTTGGACAAAATCCGTATTTTTGCATTGCAATGGACTGGAGGTCGCTCTTTTGCAAAATCTGCGAGTCAAGATAAACGGAGTGTTGGTGAGCCTGCCGTATTTTAGACAACCAGATTTATACATCGCAGAGAACGGTTACCTCACGACGGTTAACACGGGAATTGGCGTTCAGGTTGTTTGGGATGGAGACAGTTATACCGAAGTTCACGTGCCTAAACGATATCAGAATAAAACTTGCGGGTTCTGTGGCAACTTTAATGATGATCCTAGCGACGATTTCATGACTCCAGAAGGAGAGGTAAATATATATATTATATCACAAATGTTTCCGTCTAATGCCAGATCATTCTACACATTTTCAGGAATATATGTCTATTTACGAATATTTATAAATATTATAGAGAAGATGGACGATGCTTGAGTTTTCTTGAGGTACAAGTTTTGTTTTCTGATTGTTTACAGGTGAAAACGGACACACGAGAGTTCGCGATCAGTTGGCAAGTCCGAAACAAGAGAATGACAGCGTGCGATAAAGAGGAATCTGAAGGCGCTGCTAACTACCCACCCATGTGTACTGGGGAGAATCTCATGCATGCACGAAAGAAATGCTTTGTGCTCAAGAACTCGAAGTTTGCAAAATGCCACGGCGTTGTGGACCCCAGACCTCATTTCAAAACCTGTGTCAATGATATGTGTCACTGTCCGAGATCACAACTACACTCATGTCTCTGCCAGAGTCTCACAGCATATGCAAGATTGTGTCAACGACAGGGGGTGACAATTAACTGGAGAACGAAGAGCACTTGTGGTAAGAGGACGTTACAATATACTTTTCAGTTTCCTGCGTGTCCTTCTGACATGCATCAGCATTCTCATGACATGCGTATTCCTTCGTTCAGGAATGAAATGCCAGGGTGGCGCAGTTTATGATGATTGTGGACCAGCTTGTCGTCTCACATGTAATAACAAGGATGACGTCAACAAAGTCTGTACCAAGCCCTGCGTCGCTGGATGTCAGTGCCCGGCCGGAAAAGTGTGGAATAATAAGAAGAAAAAATGCATCCCTCCATCCAAATGTTCAAAGTAGGTAAGCTTTGTTGTTTTTGCATGAAGTACTAGGCTTAAACACTTAATCTGGGTCTGCTTTGAGAGTAAACAAGCTGTATGATCCAAATAAAATTAACTTTATACTTTAACAAGAATAGGAAGGTAAATCCTTTAGAAGTTATTAGCGATCTAAGGCCACCTGAAATCATCGCTAAATCGTCAAGCACTCCCCCTACGAGTCGTCAGATAATGACCTAGATTTAAATGCCAATAATTGTGTCCGTGAGACGGAAATACTTGTCTTTCCTAGGCCACCTACGACTAAAGCACTGCCGCCTCAAAAACAAACCAATTAAAACAATTTTATCCTTTATAAATACAAAGATTCATGTTGATTCCCTTTGCTGAATTGGGTTTATCCTGTCTGAACATTCAAAAATTATAATCACAGGTTTTAAAGTCTTGGTGAAATCCATTTGGGTGGTGATAGTTATAATCCTTAAACAAATAGGAATAGCGTTGACGGGCGCTTGCATCTGGATTATCTGAATAAGAAAACACTCAAAGCCCCCGTATTCCACTTCACTATTCCGCTTCCCACCCGACGAAAAATTTACCGACGAATTTCAAACATGGAAGCATCTCGTAAGACACTACCAGTGGAGACTACACCAAACACTGTTCTCGTACACATTCTAACAAAATATCCTTACTTACCAATTCAGAATCTTTAAATGCAGTCGTTGTATTTGCTTTGACGCGGCCACATCTCAGCTGCTACATAAACGATAAAATGATGCCCGCGTTAGTCGTGTCAAAATTAAAAAAGTTAGAAATCTAGGATATCTTAATCTTTTATTCTTTCATTAGCCACAAAATGTAGACGTATTGAAAACATTTCATCGTTGCAAATAAACAAATATAACTTGTACTAAAATATATCTTTTTCCCACAGATCAAAGAAGAGAAAGACTTTTGTGCATTAAAAGAGCTGTCTGCTGAATCAGAGTCGTTCTTATATAAATAAATGAAGCAGACAGAATACGAAGCACATCACAGTGTACAGAAAAGCAGACAGAAATAGGCACCAGGCCCTCGTATTTTATAACCAAACAGCGAAGAACGTGATAGAGAATGAAATGACCCAGCCTTGGCAATTTTTTATTCAGCACTCCACTAACATAAACTATACGATAATGTATCCTGTCATACGATATTGTATCCCGCTATACGATATTTCATCTTGCATTAGATGGATCGAGGTCGACTATTCTTTTGCGACACACAACAACAAGTAATCCATAGATTTCGAATCATATTACAATAGTTCCCAGCAATTCTTTGGTGTTAATGGAATAAACTTTTCAACGACAAGAAATAGAATAAAAAATTGCCAAGAGAACTAAAACGATCAATTTGCGGGTCAAATATAGACGGGATTCTGTGTAATCACTACACCTTCAAAAGGATACGTAGTTTAGACGACATGTTAACAGTATATAATATATAGACTATATAGTATATACACATATATATTTTCAAAATTTTTAACGTACTTTTGAAGTATAAAATGTAATTTTGATACAAACAGTTATATATTTTCAAGACTTATATAATTTTATACGCGGAGAATATTGCTTTTTCCAAATGTAGAAATCAGTGCATATGAACTTGTTAACTACAGAATGACTAACCTTTGACAAGAAATTTCAAAGATATATCAATGTAAAATTTTGTAATAATAGTAGACCAGAGAAGAATGGTGGCTATTATATTGTATATATGATTTTTAAATAAATATTTTTACAAGTTATTTTATTTTTCAATTTTCTTACCTATGTGATGACTCCAAGATTGTTCATCTCTTTAAAACAAGATTCACAAAAACAAATCCACGCATTCTTCTAACAAGATGGTTACAATAGCCACGAGGATACACTGTCACAATAACAATTATTATTTTGCATCCTCTTAAACTCCATTCCAAGTAGTATTTGATATTTCGTATCATCGCAGTTTATAAGTTCAACATGGAAGATTTTCGTACTTTAATCCATTTCAAAATGGAGGACAGTTGTCAATACAGTCTTGCATTCTCAAAGTTTCCATCAAAATCATTATCAAGATGAAGACGACTCGACTGTTGTAAGAAAGAGTTCAAGTCACTGAAGTTTTTTCTAGACAGTTTCATTCCATTTCTTATTGCTTTCTTTCAAAAATCACATGTTGTATAACGTGACATGTAGAAGGATTCTTCGTAGTCAGTTTGACTTCAACTAGAAAACGAACACACTTTCTTGATATTTCCAGAAATGCATAAAACAACATCCATTTTTGCATTCACCAGCCAAGAAGTGGACTCAATCCAAGACAAAGTCTGTTCTTGAAAAGGCAAGTCAATGGACCAATGCATTGGCATTGGTCAGATACAAATATCCCAATAATATTCTGCCCAAGATATCTTCGAAACGCTCTTCTTCGAAGCATCCAACACAAACATCAAAATCCACTGGATTTATTGTTTTTTTACGCGCCCTGTATAGCTAGGAAAACCAAAGCTGTGAATAAAATTTAGATTTTAATCATAAGTTATTTAAAATAATAATTTAGACATGTTTTAGAGTTTTAAATCTAGCGCTGGTTTAAATGCGATGTATTTACACAGAAGTTCTAATTGGGTAATTTTAGCAATGTAGCACTATAAGGTTATGCAATAGTTTCTATGATTATACAGTACAAGGTACTGTCCAGCTCCCGTATGTATCTGCCCGACATCAAACTCACTATCAAGGTATTGCCAAAGGATACCCGCTGACTTATATAAATGACGTAATGTACAGCTATGACGTCATGTTTCTGAAAAAGGTTTCATGTTTTCAAAGTCTCTGGATAACATGTCGCTTGAGTTAAGGTCGTGTTTTGGCTTCGTATTCAGTGAAGGTAGTTTGCCAACCAGCGTCGAGCCCCTTGCGCCGTCCATTTCAGGCGATATCTTGTCGTTTGATGGCGTAGGAGTCTTTATGCTCTCTAAAAGAAGATAAACACGGAGAGTGCATCTTTACAATGATTGCCTTGTCTGGATTACCTCTGCTAAAAAGAGTTCAACGAACAGTACTGAGTGTTTGAAGCATTCGTAGCTATACCTGATCTCTCTTCTTGTACAGATTCCAGTGTTGGGTTATGCATCGCTTCGTTTCTAGGAGTAGGGTTTGATGAAGATATCGTAGTTGATGATGTTTGTTCAAGATCTAATCGACTTCCCTTTCCAAGTCTGTCACAAAGCAACGCTATATGTTTCTTTAGTTTCGTCGTGTCTTTTGGAAATTGTATCGACTGTGTATTGACTACAAAAGATAGAGAAAATACTTTTGTTGTAGCAGGGCATTGGGATTACACATATTTTTAAATGTTTCGTATTCCCGGCAAAAGAAAGATAATTCAACAGATCTTGTGAGGTCTAATGGCGGCTCAACGGGATATGATAACAGATGGTTGTATCGTCTCGACAATGGTGACCATACAGTACCTGTCTGGTCTTTCACGCCTTTTGACAGACATGTTCTCAACAGATGTGTTACAGCAGTGTCTGTGACCTCTTCCCAGCCCTAAAAAGAGTTTTCCTTGTGAGACATGACAGTTGGATAGTTTTCGAGCTTTGCTATCGAGGTACCTGGCTTTCAGTTTCTGCAATTTCTGCGCACAAAGTTGATTCAAGAATCCGAAATTCCTTGTCTGTCATGTTCGTCCACAATCTGAAAAAGAAATTAGAGAACAGATGTTGTTTGGAAGAACTCTCTCCAGTTGGATTAACTTTCTTCTGCAGTAACTTTGAAGCAAAATCGATTGAGCTGTTTAGAACAGAACGAGCTATCTAATTTGAGTGTAATAGAATCTTACTTTATTAGGAGATTAATCATTCTTGTCCCACAAGATAACGCTATGACAGTTCTTTGTATAGCTCTTTGACAATCCTCTTCAGCCTCGCCAAGAGCCAGAAGCTAAATTTTCACAAGATATGATAGGTTTTACAAACGTTGAGCGTCCCCCGAGATCCTTAACAAATCCTTACAGTCTAGTAGAAAAACAGTCGAGTCAACATTGATATGTATGCATCAATTTACCTGACGATAGGTTCCATCCAATAACGTATCCAAATTGCCCAAAGGAGACGGTGTTTTATCTTTGTATTTTGTTAAAAGTCGTCTTTGTATCGCTCGAAACTGGGCTGATCGCTGACCAAGAATTTCACGGTACTTTTGTTGGTTAAGTCGTTGCTGAAATGGAGTAGGATATGTTAGGATGGGATAAGATAGTATAGGGCATGGTAGGATAGAGTAGGATATGTTAGGGTTAATAAGAATGAGAAAGGGCAGTGTGCTAACAAGATAGGATAGACTAGAACAGGATGAGGTAGAGTAGGACAGGGCTAGGACAGGACGGAGTAGAGTTTGGTAAGGTAGATACAAAGCAGGACTTACCTCAAAATGACTATCTATCAGTTCAAAGTAATACTGAAGTGGCAATGGTCCCATGAAAGACAATCGGAGAGGAACGCCGTCCTTCAACTCAGCAAAATGATTCTTAAGTCGTGTGACCAGCTCATGGACGATAAGCCATAAACCTTCAAACTTATCACACTGGATTCTGTATCTCTCTAGCATTAGAAATAAAACATAAAATATTACAACTATTTTGAAAGATTACAGGTAATTATGCCACGCAATAGGATTTGAGAGATGATGGTATTTCTTACGTGATGTTTTCGAAGCAAGAATGGTGACCACAGGTCCACTGTAGTACTCAATACCAAGAGCAACTAGAGGAACCAGCATGTCTTCCACCATTTCTTAAAGTAAAAGAGAAATCAATGATGCAGTCTTCTGACTAAGAATCTCTTCACATGACATGACACACTAGATTAATACGTTAGAGAAGATTGGCAGAGGTTTCTAGGATTAATGAAGTAGGTAAAGCATGCAACACTTACCTGGAAAGAGTTCGCCAAGATTAACAGGAGGTTTGTTGGTGTCTAAGGTTAACTAGGGTTAAAAGAGGACATATTGCACATAAGTATCTCATAATTTTCTCAAGGTAACTGACAGTAAAATGAGCTCAGATACGGGTAATAGAGCTTATGTCTACCTTGCAAACAGCATTCTTCACTGGAGGACATCCTTTGCTAACCAAAACAACGGGGAGTTCAAACTCACATTGACAAACCCGAGGAGCCTCTGCAACGATAAGAGATTGTAAGCATGACATGCACACACAAAGAGATCACACGATGTAACGTGGATATACGACGAACTAGGTCAAATAAGTGTTGAATTAAACAGCATATATAACCTGGCGAAATCTTATCCTACGAACCTGATAAGGTGATGAACGTTGCGATAGCTTGAATCTTCATTGTTGATGGGACGCAACCACCACAGAGATAGAACGATATCTCAATATCAGTGCTCACTTTAGTATCACCTTCAAAACACGAGAATTGAAATGTGGTAACTTTCAATAAGAAACTCGGAACCACAATCTACTGTATGAAGTGATAGTCTTCTTAGTTCTTACCAATACTTCGTATAACAGTTGATGGTTTGTTACACATGATTGGGTAACCAGCATCAACTGTGACCATCACGTTCTCAATCGGATGATTTGACTGACATTCGAGGGTAAGCTAAAAATTCAAAACTTACGATTATTTTTGACATCACGAGCAACCCAGGTCACACAGGAAAATACATTAATAAATATCCTAGTAACTACATGAAACTTTAACCAACTAACAAGAAACCGCCAGGAGAAATCAGGGAATGATTCATGAATTCTAGTGGTGTCTAACTGCATAAATACATAGAGCAAACTTACTTTGACCGTTATTGATGGAAATGTCTCGCCATTTTCATCGGGTACTGCACACTAGATTTCCAAAAAAAATAATCTTCACTGGGACAATATTAACCAGTGTTTAACAGGCTAACTTGCTTTGAAACTTACGGAATATTTGTCTAGAACTGTAGGAACATCAGCTTTCATTGTAATCTCGTCTTTTTCAGTTGGTTTAACTACAAACTCTGCAGAAGAGAAGAAACGTTGGCAAAACCATTCTGATGAAATCTGGGTTTAAAGAAGGAGTCATGAAATTATAACACATGGATGATGAGTGCTATACCTGAGTTTGATGCAGATTCTTTGATGACTTTATACAACTCTTGCATTTCATCTTCAACTTCCTAAAACAAAACAATCCTTTCTTTCAGTTATATATATCCATCTCCGTTGATTCTTCATGAAGGAATTTAAATAATTAACCCAGTTGACAAAATGAATGATCTTCAGTATCAGAGTATAGCTTACATCATATTGGACGTCGCGTGACTGGACGGGTGGAGTAACAAATAAGGATGGATCAGTTCCCAGATAACTGCAGTAGATATAACCTGTCTCATCCAATGTAACAATTATACCTTTGAGATTCCTAGAAATATTTTTAAATTGATTCTATGAAACACATTGAGGTATATAGGAAGCTATCAGGAGCACTATCAGCAGTTTGGAATGCAATAAATCAATTGAGAAGTGGTCAAGATCTGACAGAACACAATGCAATGAGATTGGACTACACCTGCCTGATGACTTAAATCATGGAGTCTATCTACAGATTATCCAGAACATACCCAAAGTTGGCAACTTTTGCATCAACTGGAATGTGGGGAAGCTGAGCTGCCCAGGCCAAAGTGACGTTTTGATAAATCATCAATGTTTTATTGTGAGTTCCAACCATCATATTAAATGTATCTTCTTTAACTAAATATTGTGAATGGAAAATACAAAATACAATTATATTTAACTTAGCCACTTTGAGAGAAGAAAAATACTCATGGCTGAGTGTACTTACAACAACCATAAGGCAGAATACAACTGGCATTGTATTCAAATTTCTTCATGAAAAGTAAAGCACCATTACATTGTAGGCAATAATATGATCTTTCTCCTATTAAAACAAATTACTCAAATAAGTAACCATGGCCTTGTAACATGTCGCCATATAATATACAGTCTGAGTAAGATGAAAATTATCAAATAGTTTTACCTAAGACAAATATTGCAGAGATATTGTTAAAAGCAACAACCATGACGTTGATTGCATTATCACCAATATTGAACGTCCAGTCGGGCTGTAAGAAGATGAAAAATGGTAAAAGCAATGAGGTATGTAGCCTGTGTACAGGTTCCCTGATGATATCCCATCTTTTGTGCAAGATAAAGAAAAAAAAGCAAACATATGTCAAAGAGCCTATGGCGGAGGAGGATTCGGGAGTAAGTATGAAATAAAATCTACCAAAGGCAATGTTTACCGCAAGGCGTTTTCCAGAGATCTTTTTCATTTCAGGTTTCTCTTTAGTTTCAGCCTCAGTTGCTGCAGCAAGGGTCTGATATCTGAAAAATAAACTTTCCCATTTAATGGGTCAACCATATCAATAAACAAAGTCTCATGACCTTTGCTATATGTAGATTGTAAACATTTCAGTAGATTTTGATCATCTCTGGTTACATACTTGTAGCATTCAACAACTCTTGATGAATTGCAGGTGACAAAGGAGTCTGTTTTGGCAACATATTGAATAGGACTTGGTAGTAAAAATCCTGGGAGAAATCTCCCAAAAGCAAACATTTCTTGCTCAAAAAACGACAGCATCCCATCCATCGAAGCAACGCAAATAAAATCCTTTCCTGGAGAAAATGAAATAACCATGTTAATAATGCATTATAAACAGAATTATAGTCATATTCTGCTCATAGAGTCATAATTATACCTTTAACTCCACCAAAGGGTCCATAGGTAAATGAATATGATGTTCTGTCCAAAATATGCTCATACACAAGGTTCAATGTGAAGTGGTTGCCATGTTCAACAGCTCCTGATATTACTACAAACAAATAGATTCTACAATGAGGTTTAGAAATACTTTTCATAACTACTTTAAAATAATTATTTACCTGAGACATTATAAACGGAGAACTTTCTTGAGTGAAGGATGCCCAAGTGAAGTTGATCACTTCCACTGTGAAATATAGTTGAAAGTTGAGTGGATATTACAAAAAAAATGGGAACCACGCTTGGGTTTATTTTCTATGATGAATTTTGTTGCTATTTACATCTCAAAAATATACAGTATGTACCTCACAAAATATCCTGCTTCAACTTGTAGTATTGGTTGAGTCATCTGTATCTCCAGCATCAGGTCCTCTGGTTTGAATTCTGCCGTACGAGGCATGAAAATTCGTAGGATTCCATGGTAACTGCCGACTATGATTTTATCTGAAGCAAATGTCACGGAGTTGATATGACATGAAACAAATGTCATTCTGTTGCCTTTTTTTAGCACACAGTAAGGAAACATGCAGTTTTGATAAATATTGAACTATACTAGTGCACATTTGCTTGTCTGGACTAACATACACATTTTGAAAGGAAATTGCAAAACAAAATGTCAAATTTATACTTCAGATTCAAACAATAATATACCAATTTGACAATTTGCAAAACAATTTTTACATGAACATTATCCAAATTAATTCATCATTAGATAAGACGCATGATTCCTTAAAGTGATTTATAGAAACCGAGTCTTTTCTTTATAAAAGAACAGAAATGTCAAACGTATTGATACAACATTTGACATTCAATAAATATACACAGCACTGCGAATCTGCAAGCAACGAAAGCAACGTATTGTACTAGTTCCAGACTTGACATCTCGTTGTACAAACGTACAATTCCCAAAACAAAAGTAAAAGCCTTTAATGACATATGAAAATAATGTTACACAGTTTTAATTCAACTTACCAGAGGACGTAGTATCGTTATCAATGTTTGCAACGCACAAACATCCCAGATCAAAGTCTTCCTCACTTCCTGCCCAAGTAGACCACCAATCCCTAGCTTTAAACAACGACATTATACAATTATTTCTGACATAATTTCATTTCTTTTCTAAACTTTGTTTTGCTTGTTGTCACCGCCATTGGTAACAAGAACGAGCCCGAGGTAGCCTAGGTCAGCAGCTGTTGCACACAGCGAACCCAAGTTGACCCAAGTGTTTTATGTTTTATATGATTAGCATAGATTCCGATACAAATACCTTGACCTAGAATAAATTGGACAAATGGAGCTCAGAGAGCTGGATTTGTAATATAGTCTTTCGCGTCTAATAGACATATGTACACTATCTAACTCTGGAAAACGTAATGGAAGTTATAACAAAAACACGCAATGTTTGGAGAACATTTTATTGTGCAAACACGTACAAATCATGAGCAAATGCCTCCTCGGGAAAGTTACACCACGTTGAGTATGGCAGTTGTTCGCAGCTCTTCCGAGTCTTGAGTCTTCTCTCACTGGTGTTTCATTCACACTCAGAATATCTCCTCTATTACACTGACAATTACACTAACGTTTCGTCCATTAAAACCCTTCTCGAATGATTATTATTCCCTCCTTTGCTCTGGTCATTTGTGATCAATTTTCTTAATTGCATTATCGGCGAGAGATACGGTTCTTCGTATCTGACTGCAGAACTGTGTGAAGGCATTAAACTATCTTCACTTGGCCGCCTTTTTCTTCTGAGAGCCTTCTTTATTCTTACCCAACGTTTTATTTCACAACGATGCTTGATTTTAAGAGCTTTTAGTTTGTCAGAAAGCTCGATACAAGATTCACGCATCTCTTGTTTTAAAGATGCTTGCGTGTTCAACACTTCAGATAATTTCTTTTTCATGAGATCTGAAAAAATGCAATTTCAGATTTCTATTTTGAAATTCATAAAACATAAAGTCTCTATTCTATTCCATTTCTTTGCCTACACAATTTCTCATTTCATTTCTGCTAGTTTTAGTTTCGTTCTGTTCCGTTCTACACAGACGTTTGAGATCCAGGAAGTGTATACAAACCTTTTTTGTACATCGAGTGGCAAAGAGTTCGCTTTAAGGGTTTTTTAAAGTACTCAATTAAGATCCCAAACAGAAAAGCAAAACACAAAAGAACCAAAGAGACGAACAGACATTTCTTGTAAATGATAAATGTCGGATCAATCAGAGATCTTGCACGTTTCACTGAATTACTCACATCAGTTTTCTTAAAAGAGAAAAATGTGATAAGAAATAGGTTAGATGTCAAGGGAGCCTTCCGGTTTATTTACGGCAGTTGATAGTTGCTGGAGGCAAATATAATTCTTCCTATAGTCCTAAAAATATCACTGCTTTAACCTTCGTAAAGCGTAATTGATAATGGCAGAAATGACTTAAATAATAGAGTGTAAGAAGTTTACTCATGCAATCATCAAATACATCACATACATAAGAGATTGGTCGAGTTGAAACTCACCTTAATCATATCAACATTGCCCTCGATTATCCTAAAAATTTCTTTCCTATTCTCACTAACATATCCTCGGAAACACTTGTGTAGTTTTTTAGCTTCGCCACCTAACACAACTCCATATGCCGAGGAATAATCATAAATCTTCTTGATTCGAACCCCAATGTTTTTAAACAGGTCTTTTTGACTACCAAGGACGTAGGCATCGATAAGAGCTCCTTTAACATAACCTTTGGATAGAGCGTTGTAGATGTCGTACAGATTATTATATGGATGTTCTACAAAAATTAAAAAGTTTCAGTGTTTACCTAACTTCAATCTGTAGTTGACTAAAGCGAGATATTCAAATCTCGGACACCCCCCGTGAGATCCATAGGGGTTCATCTGAGGTACTAGATACTGAATCAAACAGTATATTTCGTTCACTTTTCTAAGGGGATGTAATTCGATTTACCTAAATCAGCGTATGCATTCTTTCTCACAGCCAGTTGATGTTCGGAGGAGTTTTGAAGAACTGCGACCTAACAAAATACGACACAATTAATGCACTATTTAAAGTCATATCAGAGAGATTTATTGTCATAACTTTTAATAAAAAAAAACTCCTTTTCGAGAGCTTTTATCACTAAGAACTTATAGTGCGATTCATTTCAGTAAACATTTGATTCAAACAGATGAAATATTCGATCCAGTGCCATTACCTTTGTTCCATAAAGTTTTAACTCATTCGCGACAACTTCAGTTGTGATCTGTGATGTCAGAACAGAAGTGTAAAACGACATTATAATGGAACCTGTTAATATCCAGAAAATTCCAATTATCCGTCCCAGGATACTCCGAGGATATCTATCACCATAGCTGTGAAAATTGTAAAATTAGATCTCTTTCAATACCTTTGATCCAACACTGAGATATGGACCGTAGGGGAAAGACTTTAGGTATAGTTTTCTTACCCAATAGTTGTCATGGAAACCATGGACCACCAAACTCCTTGGTGGGATCCAGCGAAAAACGTTGGTGGAAATTGCTTATTATTTGTGAAACTTTCCACACCCCACGTTATGATACCAATCAACGTAATGAATGTAATCATGAGAAGAACAATTGGTAAGCTGTTTGTTATTGTATCTAATAACATAATCGATGCAATATGGGTATCATCAAGCAGTACGAGAAACACCACACCCGGGGATTCGACAAGTGGAATAAACTCGTAGCGTTTGTAGTACTTTACTTGATGGATCTGACCGCTCATAGGAAAATGTAGTTCGATTGCGTCACCGATATTTTTCCGGAATTTTGAGACGCCGGGTTTCAGATAGCTCTGGCCATCCAATGTGTGCCCTTCGAACTGTGTGACAGTCCAGTCATGTTCGTGACAAAACCCGCAGCACTTTTCAACCATGTTTGGTAGGATGGCTGGAAAAATCCCCTCAAGATTGCTGTTGTTTGTGTAAATATAGGGAGATGTTTTCCACCAGTTTGTCCTGTACGCTGATACACACTTGCAGGTTTCTAGAAAGGGGGAGTAACGAGTCGTTAATCATGGGATTGAAAGAGCCAAGCAGACATGATATGAACAAGATTGCTGAGTTTAGGGCAACGGAAGACAGAAAAGATGAGGGAAGCTAGCAGGTCGAGATGATGATGAAGCCAGGCAATAAAATGAGACTGGAGAGCTGAGGGAGACCTGATCAGGGATATTATGGAATGAAGAGATCAGAAGACATTGGCAGAAATTGTTGAGAAGATGAGAGAAGTAAGGTTGAGATGATATGGACACGTAATAAGAAATGAAGGAGTACAAAACTGGAGCATAGTGGATGAAAAGGGGCTGGTCAGTAGCTAGAGAATCGCCATCAATTCTCTACCTGCAGATATTTCAACAGCTGTTCCACTTCCTTTAATAGTTACTGCTCTTATCTTTATTTTATAGACGGCATAAATCTCCAGTCCCGTCAAAACATATGATAACGTTTTCGGACCAGTCGTTCGAACTACAGTCCTGCTAGACACTGCTTCGCCTGCCACATAGGTTTTCCAATACTCGATTTTATAGCCACGTAAGATTCCATGAATATAGAATGGATCGCTTATCGGTTTCCAACTGAGAGGAATTGAGGTTGCACTGGACTTGTTGATAGTTTTGAATTGCTCAGGAGCGCGAGTTGGGACTAAAACAAAGATCAATTATACAAGAGAGTAAGACTTCCAGGAATTGAATAATTGTAATTGAAGATAACTAACTGTTTTTTTATCATGAAGTTGTGGAAAGAAAGAGTGTTTTAGCTGACTTAGCAGGAAGGAGCCGATGGAAATGAACGAGCTATCGAGCATAAAAAAACTTTAGGGATTCCTCTAGGAACCGCAAAATATTAGATCATTGAAGACTGAACGTCTAGACAAGGAAAAACAGTCTCACTTACTGTCTTCATCCGTCCATGCTTCAAATTCAGGGCTTACCACACCAATACCGACCGTGGTGAAACCAGCAAGACGAAACACATACTTCGTGAATTTCCATAGATCTGTTATATCACTACTCAAGTCATTCTCAGAGACATTCTTGCTTTTCCATTCAGATTCACCAGCTCCTCTGAAAAAGGTGGAATAGCCACGCAATTTTCCATGAATGTTGGAGTAAGGTATTGCGTTCCATGAAATTCTAATACTGGTTGAGCTGGTATTTATCGCACGAATATCAGCTGGCCATGCACTTGGCACTAAACAAAAGGAAAATAATAGCTATGTACGAAACTTTGCATAACTTCTTTCATGTAAGAAAACCCCCGTTCAAAATATAATATAAAAACACTCAGTCAGTTGAACTGGGTAAAAACGACTGAGATTTATCTGTTATTTTGGTCTGTCACCAGCTAAAGACCTAAAGTTTGTTTCTTTAACGAAATACGTAAAGATTTACCATCCTCATTTGTTTTCACATCAACAATTTGAGAAACAGGTCCATGGCCTCTTGATGTGTATCCAGAAATCCTGAAGAAGTACATTCTAAATTTGTCAAGATTTTCAAGTACAACTTCTTTGCTCGTGGGCGGGACTGTCACATTGTGCCATTCTGAGGGGCGACTTTTTCTTCGGTAGAAAATAGTGTATCCTCGCAAAATACCACGGTAACAGGAGCGTGGTAAACGATGCCATTTTAACCAAATTGTACTTGAGTCGGTTGTACCGCCTGTGAGATTGCGGGGAGCTGAGCACGGCACTAAAATATTGTTTAAAAATAGTTAGTTAGTGAGTGACATATTTTCCTTTGGGTGAAGATTACTACACGGTGGACATCAACTCTCAGGGGAAAATCTAAACACATTACCATCTTCGTCTGTTGAAATCAAGATACTATCGCTAATCATCCCTTCTCCTTTAGTTGTGCTTGCGGAAATCCGGAACAAATATTTAGTAAACATTTTTAAGTTGGCAACTGTCACACGCGTCTCATATTCCTTCATAGTTTTGATAGTCCATGAACCGTTGCTAAGATACTGTTTATAATATACGTGATAACCAAGAATGACGCCATTTTTATGGTCGCTATGCACTTTGTGCCACTGAAGTCTGATTGATGTTGAATTACCATAACCATAATTATAAAACACTGGTGCTGCAGTCGGCACTACAATGAAGAATTGTGAGTATTAGTAGGTTTCATCGTGACGAACTAGCAAAAGCTATGCCGATTAAAAAGCGAGTCTAAATGAAGTACCATCTTCATTCGTGGACAGGAGAGTTCGAGGCGATATTCCACCAACACCTTTTGATGTAACGCCAGCTACGCATAGTTCGTATTGCGTGAACATCTTGAGATCAGTTAAATGAACAGAAAGCTGGTCTGGAAGAACTGTGACATTGTGAAAGGCCTCGTTGGTAAAATATGGTCTGTAGAACAAGACGTAAGCTCGTAGAATCCCATTTATATCCGCACGGGGCATTGCTTTCCATCTGATGTTCAAAGACGTTGAACTCGTGTTCGAACCCGCAGGCTTCAGAAACGGTGAGGCATTCGGTACTATCAGATAATACAAAGAAAAGCACGTTTATTAAACTTACAGCAATCTTACAAGCACAAAATGAAGGAATTAAAGGTTTGATTGACCCAACAGCCAACTCACTTGTCAGAGCTAGGTCATCGTCTCTAAATTGCTATTGGTCTCCCTGGCTTATTCTGGGAACAGCCCAAACATTCAAAATTTTGTCTATTATTCCTACAATCACACTCACCGTCTTCGTCTGTTAGTACCACCAGAGGATCACTTGGTATCCCTATACCACGCTTGTTCATCCCAGATATCCTAATTCTATACCAACTGTACTTTTTCAACCGATTCAGCCTGCCTTTGGTTGTATTAAAGAAGACAGTGACGTGTATTTTCTTTGACTTGACATCTCCAGTCCACGATAACTCCTCATACATGACAGAATACCCCAGGATTTCACTCTGCCCTTGTTGGCTTTCCAGGCGACTCCAGTGGAGAGTAAGACTTGTTGAAGAATAATTGAACGCCGTTAGATTTTGAACTGCAATAGTTGGAACTATAAGAAAGGATTTACAGAATTCATATGGATTAGATCATCTGTTCTGTCCCGAAGAACTCCATGCTTTGTAAGTGTTTAGTACAAAGAGATCTCTTGCCGTCTCTTGCAGTGTTTAGAAGCCAAAAAAAGTTCTCTAAACTAAGATAACTTATTTCGAAGGTTCTTTAATCTGAATTATATTCAGACGATGACATCTGATAGAAGCCAAGGCTCGTTTATGGAAACACATGGTTTATTTACTAACCACTCTACAACCAACACTCTTTTAATTGCGAGCAAAATTTATCAACCTACCGTCTGTTGAGGTAAAGAGAACAGGAGTGACATTGTACGGGCCAATTCTTCCTTCGTTATAGAAAGCATCGTAGAGAATCATGGCACCAGGAAAACTTCGTGAGAAATATATAACTTCCATAGCGGCTATCACACTTCCAGAACTAAAACACAAATACTTCATTACTTGATGATCAAGGTGAAGATGGACTTATGCAAGACCTTATGTTGTAGAATAACTAAAAAATTAACCTGTATTCCATGATTTTGATCTCCTTTATAACGTCTTTTGCATGGAGTTCGACAACCTGATAAAAAATGATCATATTTCAACGGTATACGTCATTGATTAATCTCATGAAACATACTCCAGGCTTACTGATGATCTCAGCTCAGTGTTGAGGTCACGATAACGTCTGCTTGAGTTATCCAAAAGCTCATCTGTCCAGTTTAAATTATCCAGTTTGAATTTTAAGAAGAAATCTATATCTAAAAGCAAGGAAAATATGGTAAAATATACTTAATACATTCATAGTAAAATTGACTATATATGTAATGGATAACTTCTGTCTAAAGCTGGTGTTTTTGCTGAGCTGATGCAAGTGCTTCATTGCTTCAAATGTACTAAAGAATCCCAGAAAAAAACAAAACCTTAACGTAATGATAAACCCAATAGCTCTATCATTTCTCTAGGATCTGTAAGATTGAGGTCCCGTCCTATTTTAGCAAAAAAGAGTACTTTTTCTGGCTGAAGTGAAGAATACGAGATTATCTACAGTTCTCTGAAATAAACAGTTCAATGATAGTCTATCATTACCTGGGCAAGGTTGAGTTTCGCAATGTTTAGACTGCACTGGGGATCCAAAAACCTTACAATCACGACCACCGAAACGAGGTGATGGGTTGGTGCAATATCTTCGTCTAATCTGAGTTCCGTTATCACAACTTTTACTACAAGATCCGAATGAAGACCAAGCGCTATAGTTTCCATGAATTGGACAAGGAGTCAGATTACAAGATACGACGTCTTTTGTTGGTCCAAGTTCAGAACAATTATCACCGCCATGTTGAGGCTCAGGATTTGTACAATATCTGTAACGAATGCGGATGCCAGACCCACAAGATTTGTTACAGCCTGAAAATTCAGACCAGTCGCTGAGGTTGCCATGTATCGGGCACGGCCGCGGGTTGCAGTGGCGGGTTTCCTCGCTGGGACCGAGTATGGAGCAATTTCTACCACCATAATTGGGAGCTGGGTCATCACAGAGTCTGGTACGCAGTTGGGTTCCATTTCCACAAGTCTGATCGCACTCAGTGAACTTTGACCATTCCGAATAATTCCCATCTACCGGACATGGTCCAAGGTCACATCTCACAGTTTCAACGTTAGGGCCTAGGGACGAGCAATCGTTCCCACCATGCCTTGGGACAGGTCCAGTACAATACCTATACCGTTTCTTAGAACCCTCTCCGCACGTGCTCGAACACTTCGAAAATTCGGACCACTCAGAAAAATTTCCATGTATTGGACAAGACGACTGAATACAGGGAGCTTTCTCTATATCCAGTCCAATGCTCGTGCAGTTTCTCCCTCCGTAACGCGGCTCTGGATTTGTACAAAAGCGCCGTCGAAATTTCGAGCTGTTTCCACAAGATTGAAGGCACGGTGAATAAGCAGACCAATCAGAATAATTGCCATGGATAGGACAAGCAGTTGTCTCGCAGGGTTTTGTCTCAAAATTTGACCCCAGGTTCTGACAATCTCGACCGCCATTACTTGGCGAGGGATTGTTACAAGTTCGGGTCCTGGTTTTCGAAGCATTACCACAAGTCGCAGAGCAGGTGGAAAACTCTGACCAATCACCGTATCCGCCGTGTATGGGACACCGCCCAAGATTGCACGTGTTTATCTCGTGATCTGGTCCCAAACCAGAGCAATTCCGACCGTCATATTTCGGGACGGGGCTCGAACAGGTCCTATTTCGAATCTTATAGCCGTGACCACATGACGTACTACACAAACTAAACGCTGACCAAGCCGAATAATTACCATCAACGGGACAAGGGTTGATCATACAAATTTGAATTTCGACAGCTGGTCCAATAAAAGAGCAGTTTAGCCCACCATACTGAGGTTTAGGATTTGTACAATTCCTTGTTCTATACCTTGTACTGCCTTTTCCGCATGTAAGAGAACATTCTGAAAAGTTAGACCAAGAGGTGTATCCCCCAGCAATTGGGCAAGATGAAACATGACACTCTTCTGTGTGTAAAGCTGGCCCGATGACAGAACAGTCTTGTCCACCATATTGAGGTTTAGGATTTGTACAATTCCTTGTTCTATACCTTGTACTGCCATTCCCACAAGACAGAGAACATTCTGAAAAGTTAGACCAAGACGTGTATCCCCCTGCAATAGGGCAAGGTGGAACATGACACACCTCTATCTGAAAAGCTGGTCCAATAAGAGAGCAGTCTTTTCCACCATATTGAGGTTTAGGATTTGTACAATTCCTTGTTCTATACCTTGTACTACCATTGCCACAGGACAGAGAACATTCTGAGAATTCAGACCAAGACGTGTATCCCCCTGTAATAGGGCAAGGTGAAACGTTACACTCCTCTGTGTGTAAAGCTGGTCCGATGACAGAACAGTCTTGTCCGCCATATTGAGGTTTAGGATTTGTACAATTCCTTGTTCTATACCTTGTACTGCCATTCCCACAAGACAGAGAACATTCTGAAAAGTTAGACCAAGAGGTGTATCCCCCTGCAATAGGGCAAGGTGAAACATGACACACCTCCATCTGTAAAGCTGGTCCGATAAAAGAGCAGTCTTTCCCACCATATTGAGGTTTAGGATTTGCACAATTCCTTGTCCTATACCTTGTACCGCCATTGCCACAAGACAGAGAACACTCTGAAAAGTTAGACCAAGAGGTGTATCCCCCAGCAATAGGGCAAGGTGGAACGTTACACTCTTCTGTGTGTAAAGCTGGCCCGATGACAGAACAGTCTAACCCACCATATTGAGGTTTAGGATTTGTACAATTCCTTGTTCTATACCTTGTACTGCCATTGCCACAAAACAGAGAACATTCTGAGAACTCCGACCAAGAGGTGTATCCCCCTGAAATGGGGCAACGGTGAGTGTTACACATCTCAACTTCGGATTTTGGGCCAAGGTAACTGCAATCTCTTCCTCCATAATCTGGAACCGGACTATCACAAACTCTAGTTCTGTTCCTTATGCCATTACCACACGTAACAGAACAAGAAGAAAACCCTGACCAGGATGAATAGTTTCCATGCACTAAAACATAACAAAAACATGAACTAGCATAGTATATTTACCTAGAAAGTCGATGTCAAGACCCGAACGTCTCTATCGAATTTTTAACTATTTTTTAAGTTCGACAAAGTAAAACATAGACAGTCGAGAGACAACCTGAGCAATTGACTAACCTCTTTCCTGATTTATCATCTGGCATATTCTTTCCCTCCCCAAGGTCTTGTACCAAATAGCAAAATCATCGACAGCAATCGGTGTTGCTTTTTTCCCACCATGATTGGCTCCCAAGATCAACAGCTTGTCTTCGCCTTTTTTCTTGTCAGATTTTTTTGTTCCAAACATAAAATCACTTCCTCTTGAGCAGTTGACAAACAGAGACATTTTCGGTTTGGCTGTAACGTTCCAAACCAGTGCAATGTGGTGCCAAATATGAGGTGAAAGTTCTGCCTTTATGCTGAAGGCATTTCTTGGTGTATTCCCGTGAAAAATTAGAAAAATTCTCCCATCTCTATACAGCGTGTTTACAGTTATTCCACGACTTTTTCTGCTTAAACCAAGCTGTAACAAAACTCCGTCGTTTAAAACTTTCTTTAAATTTACCCAAAATGACACAGTAAACCCATTCTTACACCTGGCAGGATTGGGAAGACACGTTTGGCTGAAATCTCCAAGTTTGACGTGCGACTTTGAACTCTTCGAGGTTTGAAGGAATTCTAACGCGTTGCCTTTCGGTCCAGGAATCACATTGTAGTTCCCTTCAATCATTGAACGTCCACCTCCTTTTAGATCTAAAATGGTATGGTTTACGGCAGTGTCGAAGTCCCAATAATTGACTGCGTCGTGAAACCATGGTAAATGAACGTCTGTATGGAAATGAATATTGAATATTATGAAATGAATGAAGTAGAAGATATCTCGGGGATATGAGAGGAGAAAGTTTTGGATGAATGGACATAAATAAGAGGGAAATATGTGAGGTGGTAGACATACAGAGAGGATCTGATGAGAGAAGCAAGATTGTGATTTTTTGATTTTTTAAATTTTTAAGGAAAGAGATATTAGGAACAAGCACATCGTGGATGAAAAAGATCAGAAAAATTGAGTGCATGTTTTGAAATTGTTAACGCATTGCATGTTTCGTAGTTCATTTTAATGTTTTCAATCTATTTGAACACAACAAAGTAGTAAAAATTTAATGCAGGCCTGCATGTTTAAATATTATTTTAATATCGACCACATATGATATGACTGAATCTTGTCAACAACACCGCTAGACATCTTTGTCTAATTACGTCGCATTATTCATCAGTTATAAAAAATTCAAGCTCTTTGTTTTATTTTACTATAAAAAAAGCGATAAGATAACTAGAGAAAGATCGTTTATCGAATCCTATGCTCCGTTGTTTTTTCTACTCAAAAGACTGCTCTAAGACAATATTTTGACCCGAAATAAAAACATGTTTTTCTTTGCGACCGCAAAGGCGCAAAACAATATCGCACGGCCCGTGTCAGGACATTTTTACGGGAAACTCAAATATTGATTTATTTATTTATAAATCTTGGCGATAAGCTGTCGTGGTTCGTGTCCAAACTCATGTGTTCAAGGAAGAGAACTTAAGAGTAAACCAAACCATTTTAGTCATGCAGTGGCTCTGAGTGCACGATATGAAAATAAAGTATTCCCTACTAGGAACTATGACTCACTCTAAAAACCCCTTGGGCATTTTTAGATTTTGACGAAAATTTTTTTTTAACGCAAGGTCAATATCATTGGACCACATGATCGAGATATCGCAAGTCGACAAGACCGCAGTTCACACTATCAACGTCAACGAAATTAACAGAGACACATGTTTCAATCAAGTTCCTGCTGGGAGATAAATTACGCGCTTGAAAAAACTGTCATATATATAGTAGTAAGAAATTGGAAATAAATAAATGATTTTTTTTCAGTCCATTCTTATACTGCGCATTCCACAGACACAATTTTAAAATCTCAACACTCACCGTCAGTCCTAGGATTTTCATTAGTCCAAGCGATCTGAAATGGAAAGAATAATCTTTTTAGTATAAGACCCGCAGACAAACTCCCCTACTTTGACTAATAATAAACAGTATAATTTTAATTTATCTACGAGGATTTTCTCCTGAAACATCGAGGAAGTATTTTTGTTGGTTCTAACGATTCTCACACAAGATGATGGCAAACGCCGGCGATTGAACTAAATCGAGTTGCTTGTATGCATGCATGCAATGTAAAAACAAAATTCCTTCAATGGACAAATGTCCTTGTTTTTAAATCAAAACCACAGATGCCAGCTTCATTTGTGCTAGGTTGTTTAGTGCTGAGGTTGTATAGTTTGACGAGTCATCACGACACAAACAAAGTTGGTCTAATGTACAAATATAACTGAATATACGATGGCATGCACAATCGTAAAAACTTAGGCACAATCGCAAAATTAAAAATTCAAGATGAGGCTGTTGCTTGCACGCGTAAATCCTGCATGAATTAAGGTTGCATAAGATAAGCGCTTCGCGTCTTAGTGTGATCAGACAAGGTAAAAGGAAATATTTACCTACCGATATGAGAGACAAAACTGCGATACACGACAACGTCTTCATTTATTTCACCTTCCTGGCAACACCCTTGAGAAAAAACGACAGGTTTGGATATTAACAACGCACGCTTTATATGACAGAAAAATCTTGTTCAGTAATCATTGTTTTGTAATTAAGATAAATTTAACTTGCTTAAAAACAATCTCTTTTTCTCGTTTCGTGCCAGATTAGCGCGTCCTGATATGCAGATACAATTGTAGAATACTTTTCAAATGCAAATATTTTAAAGATGTACCTATATATATATCATATACATAATGCAGATAGATTAGGTATAGATTATATCATATTTTTTTTTGAAAAAAAAAATGAGAAAGTTAGCTTGATACCACGATAAAGATCTCTCTCTTGTTTGTGACTCGACAATAAGAAAACCTCAAGAAATAACTTGAGACAACTAGAAGAACGGCACGAACGTAGGAATAAGAATCATCATTGCAAGTAGAGAGAACGCTTTCTGAGTAGAAGAAATTAAATGCAAGATGTGAAAGTCTCGTATAAAACAGCGAAGTGTATGAGGTATAGAAATGATATATTATTATTTATATCAGTAGAAATATTGAGATGAATCACGCCTAGGGTATTTTTAGCGGTTAGATAAGGAATTAGAAGATGTTTTGGTAAACATTTCAGAGAATTGCGATTTTCTATTATAGCCAAGGCGATGAAGCTAAGATAGCAGGCAAGATCGAGATGATATGGCGTGAATGACGAAGAAACACGAAGTAGTGATAGGTCTGTCATACACAATGATTAGATCAGAAGAGATGCAAAGAATACCTAATGGGGAAAGAAATGGAAAACATGCATGCAGGATTGATAACAGGGTAGAATATTTAAGAATTGCAGATGGATAGTGTTAGCAGGAGAAACGGACATAGAACTGCTTAGAGGGAGGAACTATGTTTGGAACTATATATAGGTGAACTATATTTGACTACATGGACAAGGAAGCAATATTCAGAGCCACAATCTTTTGACCCTTCACTTAATGTGATTATAATGCGGTTGGAATTGAATTGTTCACGCACAGATAATATAAGTCAAAAAACTACTTTGGAAATTATTCAAACCACAATACCGCTGTAAACATTATCGCGGAGGGATTTATCATCATTAAAATCTTGAAAAACTTTTAAGGATTTTTTTATTTCCACTCATAACGTGAAAACAAAACAACTGACGCTGACGGAAGTCATTTCAAACAAAGCGTCGATGTTTAATTGAGGTCACCTGCTGCTGTATACGAAATTCTGGATTTGAAACACTATATGCAAATGTAGCTAAGATCATTTTTAACCTGTTCCATTTAATTAAGTTTTAATACAACGACATCCGTAAAACTTCAGTACCGATGTAACAGCAGGAGACTACATGAGGAAGTCAGTGATATTTTGTAGGAATGGAGTATGCATGTGGTACATTTGGATACTCTCTTACCTTCTTACGTCATCCCAAACAAGCCTAAGACGATATTCACACGGTAACGTTGCGAGCATTCGTTTTCATGACAGAACCCTTTCAAACACTGTCAATTTACAATAGACGTTGAAGCTAATTTAACATATTTAATTGAGCATATTTTTCCCCTTGGATCGTGTGGACAGGGCGTGTTAATAATAAAATAGACAAAAACTTTTTTTAAAACGCTCGGAAACGACGTTCGCGGCACATACTCCTAAATCACGACTCTCTCATGGTGTAATATGGCGATAATGGTTTTAAATTACGTCGTACACCAAATATAATAGAAATACTACCACAGTATAGCTACAATCAGCACTCAGCAGAAATGACTCGTAGTAAAAATTTAAAATATTCGGAGAAAAAACTGCCTCTTCTCCGTTATTAATATCCCACGATTAAATTATACAAATGTAAAGTATTGACTGTTGTTATTCATGCAATATTTGACCAGTCACAACTTCAATCTTATAGAACAATATCGATGTTTGTGAAAGCTTAAATTCTCGATTCATATTGCATGGAGAATGAAGAATGATTACTATATACCCCTGGTTCACAAAGATATCCTCATCGCTTCATTTGGAACAGTTTATTTTTAAATCTTACGACATTGACTTGATCAATTCTGCACAATATCGCAATCAACCCGGTTAAGTTTCCTTGATTTTCAAGCCGTTATGATGACAGGAAGTGAATGTCACACAAGAGCTTCTTTACAATGTTTGTACAGGGAGTATCTCCACAAAAGATAAACATCATACAGATAATAAAATGCATAGAAAACTTAAAGTAACCTACCGTATATTCTTTACATGAAGAAACATCATTTTTCTATCCTGAAGTGCATTTAACGTTTATTACGGGCATACTCTGCACGACACTGTTTAATGAAGCTTTATACCACCCGACAGGATGTCAACATTACCTGAAAAAAATAATATATATGAACTGTGAAAATTTCATTAAATATTAAGCATGCTTCAGAGCGAATTTTGCTGGCAAAACTCGAGCTTGCAACGCGCATATAGAAAAAAAAATGAATCCTATTTTGTTTGATGATTTGTTTAGTGCTATTTGTCTTCGGACCCATATTTTCTAGTTTTGGGGTACTTAAGAATCCTAGGAAATATCTGAGAAAACATGAGTATAAACAAAGTCGGTAATATGAGATCACTGAAATTTGAAAAGCCCTGCAGCAATATTTACAATTACAAAACTAGGCTCGGCAAGGATGAATAACTTTAGCAAAGCTATATTTTTTTGTACAGGGGATATGGAATATACCTTTTATTGCGATCTAGCACTCTTTCATGCATTCTTTATGAAGGTCGCGACACATTTCGTAATGATATGTCTAATGTCTTCGCTATATGGGAAACAAAAATAGAGATAATTGTTATCACTTCTATACTTCTATAAAACCCGTCATTCCTCCATTTACACCAGATAGGCATTAAAAGCAGTATTTACAGAAAGCAATTCAACATGCTTTGAAAAGTAATCATTCGGTGTTTTCTCCGTAATTATAATAGCTTCTCATTAATAAAATTTGAGTTGTAATGAGAACAACTTCAATTAAGAGGCTGTTCACATTTAACTAATAGCATGGGATTGTTTTGTTTCAAAAGGACTTCAATATCTCAAAGGTACCTTTATACGCTTCGTGGAATCTCGGTAACCGGGTTCATGTGCATGAACAGTCCCGAGTGTGCAAACAAGAATTCATAACGACCATTTATTCGGTTATACTCGCCTGTAGTCTGGAACAACAGAAATATTCAAATGAAAGAACACGTTTGTTTAATTTATGTATGGGATTTTCTAGTATTCAAGATAATATCTGTGGGCTGCGGAAGATATCGTCTCACTTCAAACTAATGATTGTTTAGCTCCAAATTAGCTGACATCAATTTAGATGAATATACAGATAATATTTTCCCATCGCGTGCGTGACAACTGTATTGTAATGTGAGTGTGTGACCAACTACTTTACACTTTAGCTGGTACGTCAATCGTTTTTTTTTACTGAATTACGAGATATTGGAAATGAGAGAATATCTGCATGCATATATGCATGTACTTAACCACAGCATGAGATAACGTCGCCGTCTATCGACGTACCATTCCTTTATACGGTAAAAACGGTCAGACCGGTCCTAGTTGTATTTCAGAACAGACAGATTACTGGTATTTTAGAGTGTTTCAAGAACTCTGCATTCAAGTATATCGTTATTTACATCTGCCTAGCACGGGAAATCTTGTTTCATCACTATATTCATAAGGCCATTTTGAGCGCTTAATGGAAAGCGCCATATGAATAAGGCAAGACTATATTTGCATCAAGCTTGGTGAAGCCCACGCGCAGGGCGACCAGCGGCGTATCGACGAACTTATTCTTTGAAAGTAGTAGCTGGTTTTGTGGTTGAATACATAAACGAACACATATAGAAGCGATTGTCAAACGATTGCACATGCCATATCAACCGTATCAACACTTCTTAATGTCATAAAAAAGAACGATACGAAATCCAGTTTCTGGCGTAGCAATAGCTACATATACAAATGCTTGTTTCGATTGCTTTATATGTCAAAATGTCTATATATTGTTTTTGTTTATTTTTTTAATAATATGTCTAATCTTATTCTCGCGGGGAGATTTTAATAATGTCTAATCTTTTTTTCATTTATATATTCCATAATAATCTCATAAACTTCTTATTTTTTCAAACTGATTTTAGGTTTATTTTTATTGAATTCCCGGCAAAATTTAATAACAACTCGAGCAAGGTGTCAATAAACCACTTGCCAAGCATAGATCGTTCACATGCTCCAGACGAGAGATATCAAAAAATATTTCAAATTTCTCCGTGGGTGCATGTATTGATCGCTTGAAGATTTCAAGATATTAATGTTTATGTTTCGCAAAGAATTATACGCGGAAAAATATTGTCGAGAGTCACTCCTTGACAGCGATATCATATAGACGCCACTCGTTCGTAAGGAATATTTTTGAAAGGCGTCCAACAGTGCCACTATACCAAATTGATTTTAAAAACTTTCAAGCGATATTAAAAAATATATTTCTATTTTCGCTGTTAGTCGAATAGAACATTCAAGAAATGATTTCATGCTTTATACATCAATAAAAAATGACGAAAAATATAACTTACATTAAAATTGTAACGTGAAATCTAATTAGATTTTTTATCCAATATCGATGGCCCAGTTTCTGAAAGGTCTGTACGATTTTGGCGAAGTTAATATCTTTCTAAGCGAAGCCGAAAGATTCATCTATCGTTCTCTAGACATTACTCTTAACTAATTCAATTATAAAAAATTAATACCTGCTGATTTTGTGTAAAATGGCTAGCTTAAGATCTATGCGTGTTTTGGGTAACGCAAACATGCAGGATGATCTCAAACGAAGGATCTGGAAAGTTCTATACGACAATAGACGGTCTTAATTTGGTGTTCATGTTCAGTATATAGCCATAGGTACAACACATGCAAGCAGTATAAAAGCCCAAAGATAATAATTCTTTTAAAAACGTTTGCCGTTATTCACCCGCTGCGTGAATCTTTCTGTTGGTCATTTTTTTTTGTAATCCGACAAATCGATACAAATTCTATTTCAATCCTCGCCAGCTTTAGTATTTATTAGGTACTGAATAACTTCTTTTTTGAAATAGATACAAAACTCGGAAACACACTGCAATGCGTTGTTGAGTGTGGTTTTCAGTACAAATTTCCGGCTGTTTAAAAATTGCGTTTACTACTTGGAAATTCAATCCTGATCTTTCTGCCCCATACCGAGCAACGACACCCTTTTTCATCGACAAAGCTCCATGTTCAACGTAATGGATTTGCTTTTGCTTTTGCCGACAACGTTATCTCAAAAACAATTTATCCTATAATAGCTCATATTACATAAGAAATATTGTCATGCAATGTTTAAAACATCACGCCACATACCTTAAACCTTATAGCTATACGTTGATTATGAATCACTCCTCTTCTTCAAACCAAATTGCAAAAAACTCTAAAGATTATCAATCTTCATGCAGAGATATCAACCATTTCAGAATCAATCTTCAGGGATAACTTCATCCAGAATTTATATTTTTTATCCACACTTGACGTCAACTCCCGTCGTTGGTAAATATATCACGTTCTCAGAAGCTAAAAAATAGTTTGCATGAATATGTTACGATAGAAACAGAGGTAGTCCAAAATGGAATTTCTGAAAAACATTTGATCTACTTTGTAGTTTGTATATACTAACAGTAAACTGCCTGAATTCAGCCATAATTAGGACGCTGAACTGACACAAGAGCTGATCATAATGCGGAACGATAAAATATTTATATTCATAACAGAGACAGACAACAGCAACAAATTACTTTAAAAACTCATTCTGTTATTCTTATTTATGAGGTTAAACAGCTGTTTGTGTCGAGGTGACGACTGCCATTATAGTCATATAAATAGCCTGCTATAGTCATATAAAGCCTGGTATAGTCATATAAAGCCTTCTATAGACATATAAATTCTGTTAGTCCAACCTCGCTAGTATAAAGATGTGGAAAAGGTTTGTGAAATGCTAATGAAATACTCGTACAAAAGTTTTATGTAATATTTAGACCCAACCACAGTTGTCTACAAAATTTGGTCAAGTACAGAAGACGTTATAATAATTATCAGTGTTAGTGGATAATTTAGATCTTAGGTATAAATGAAATTAAATGCAATCTGTCTGCATAAACTAAAAAAGAACTTCCGGCTCTTTGAAGTTTGAACTAAAACATTAAAACTAGGATGTGCGTTTAGTTTTACAGGAGAGGAGCCCATCCAATAATAAACTAAACACGAGATATGTGCAGCCTTGCTGGAACTTAGATATACCACGGATATATAGAGAAAAACTGAAATATATATATGTATATATTATCTTAAATAGTGAAATTCATTGTATAAATATGTATTATTATGTCACAACGGTAGAGTTCGTGTGTATAAGTGCAGTCCGGATGTTGTAGTTACAAATTCTCAGGCGAATTGAAAAGTGTCCTGGCAACAAAGTTATGTGTGAAATAAATATATATTTTGTATCCATAAACTGTGGGAACACACCGAATAAACTGTATATAACCTTAGTTCAATAGTTCAATTTTATGTAAGTCCAATCGTGTGCGTCCATGATATAGATGAGAAAAGTTTCCTAAAAATACGGAGTCAAATTACAATATGCATGGTTTATAGAAATGAAATAAACCATTACGTCAGCAATGACAATGCGTGAAAGCCGATATACAGACACATAAATACAAAGTACCATTCACTTGAGAAAATCACTACCGTCCGCTTCAGACTGGTGTATAAAACTTCATCAACTGTGTTTGTCTTGGGGTTAGAGAACAAGCGCTACCATTAGAAATGGCATTCACAAAGTTTATATGTTGCGTCTTGTTCATTGGGACGATATATTTATCACCCAACGTTGTAATGGGTCGCGATATATTCACAGCTTATAATCATATGGCAAAACTTGCGTCGGTTGAACTAGAGCTTCACCAAGCATTGCAAGACTATATCACTTCTGAGGAGACGAAATTGACGAAATTGCGCGAGTTTTCAAAGAATATCGCGTCGGCAAGAAAGCTGAACGAGGACTCTACGACATTTCTCACGGACTACGCCGCAAATCCAATACGCGCGTATCTTATGTTGAAGCGCTTCGTAATGCAATGGGGACAAATACAAAAGACAATGGAAGGCCAACAAGGTAGAGTAATACACTAAAATACTTCAGTGTTAATAACTCAAGTTTGTGTGAGTTGTCTATAAATAAATACTTTTGTTTTGGTATGAACAGTCGGGGGTGAAACCATCTTAAATTGGCATTGTTTGTGTATGCATTTATCCTTGGCTGCTATACCGTCATTTTATTGTTGTTCACAGTTTGTCATAGAATCTTAGTTTTATGTATCTATAATTTCATTTGCTGTGATTTTGAAGACAATGAAATGAATGAATGCTAATTTGCGCGTTGGTTGTTAAGAGACCGCAAGTACATGCGATAGTGCATGTTTTTATACACAAAGGAACTATTTTATTGGCCCAGAAATGATTAATGAAGATAATATAATTCTATACTGATAGGAAAATACTGATCATTAAATTACAAGCAATAACCGATGCTCAATCAATTATAATCAACAAATGTTGATTATGTTGATCAATAATCATGAAACTGTTAAGATCAATGATGATGCACTATTTCATGAGAAATGAAGTCACGCGAGGACAATTTATAAGTATTTTCTTCTTCATCCGAGATTTTAAACTAAGATAATTGTTGCTTCAGAATTAATTCTTGGGCGTTTACAAGACAACAACGAGTTACTCCCTTCTGACGTCGACTTGGACGGAGCACTCAAAGCGATTGCCCGAATTCAGGAAACCTACCATCTCCCCCCGTCGTACATTGCGGCTGGACTTCGCGACCAGCCTACGGACGAGTTACAACTAGGCGTTCAGGACACATACAGCATAGGACGAGATTCCTATCTCCAGGAGAAATACTACAACACTAAAATATGGATGGAGGAAGCACTAAGACGGATGAACGGCTCAACGGATAAAGATGGGATAAATATAAGTGACATACTGGATCATTTGGCTTGGGTTGAGTTTAAGGTATCTACGAGTTGTTTTTAATGGTTGAAATAGTGTTTCTACGAACCATTGAGGTTATTTGAACCATTAGTTAGCTATCAACTCGTCTCTTGACTGTGTTGAGGACTTGAGGGTTTAACACTCACACGCTGGTTTTTCCTTTTAGCTAGGAAATGTTCAACAAGCATTGAACTACACGGTTGAGTGGCTGAGGATAGGTGAGTGAGTCTTGCAAAATTCTCGCATTCAAGCTTTTATAAACTCGCGGAGAAAATAAAAAGGAGGAAAGACGAACTTATGTATGAACTCTCGCTTGACGAGCCGGCGATTGCAGTGTGATTAACCCGCGAGTTCGCTGACCACATGTACTGTACTGCCTTTGTCAAATTTAGACCCAGACCATGAACGCGCGCGGGCCAACCTGATCTATCTAACGAGAGAGAGCGAACGACAAATGGGAGACGATAGCAGTAAAGTAGAAAAGCCTGACACTGAGAAAAAGAAGAAGTTAAAACCACATCAGAGAAAACGATACGACTACAGAAACTTTGACTGGCCAACTGAGAAAGAGAATTACAAACGATTATGTCGTGGTGATGAGATGCTCACGTACGAGGTATAGAAACCATTTTCTGGTTAGATTTTTGAAAACATGTTTTCTCCAATATGTGGGGCTTTAAAAATTTCATTTCATCGAAATTCAGGAAAAACAAGACGACAATAAATTGAAATGTTCCTACTTCACTAAAGACCCTTTGCTGAAGATCAAACCAGCCAGAATGGAACGAGTTTGGGAGAAACCGCCAATATATATCTTCCGAGAGTTTGCAAGCAAAAAAGAAATTGAAGATCTTAAGGTCATCTCCGGTCCTCAAGTAAGTGATATTATCCATCGATCTTCGAGTTGCTTTGAAGGATGACCAAAAACGTTAACGCTTGCTTCGTTCTTCTGTGTCCAGCTGTCTCGGGCAACTGTTCATAATCCAACAACTGGGGTGATTGAATTTGCCAGTTACAGAATTAGTGAATTGTAAGTACACGAGTGTGTCTTTCAAAATTAATTCACATTATCACCAGAAACATTATCACTTGCGTTGTGATCGCAAAGTTTTGGATCAGATCACTGATGAGGAGTGATGTTGTTCAGCGATATATATGAAATCCTGAATTGCATCGGGTTTTTTGTAGTTCTTGGTTGTACGACACAGATGGGTTAGCTGTGGCAAGAGTTAATGCAAGATTAGCAGCGGTAACTCAATTGGACGTTTCAACCGCAGAAGGTTTGCAGGTTCGTGATAACAAGGCTTTTAAGCCCGTTTTCGCTAGGCGAATTCATTCGCGCAAAGTAAAGTATGATAAAAGGTAGGAAGAAATCATACTTTTTTTCGAAGAAACCATCGAACTCGAGTACAGAAATAAATCTCTCCTGTGTCGTGTCTGGACGTAGTCTAAGCTTCAAGCTTGAGGGTAACAAGAGATGAGAGTCGATCTTTTTTGCTAAATATTGCCTAGAACTTTCCTCATTGTACATTTTCTTTCTTAGCTTAAATCAATCCATTTTTAGGTTCAAAATTATGGAATGGCTGGCCAATACGACCCGCACTTTGACTTTTCAAGGGTAAGACCTGAGAATATCATCTGTCATCTGTCAGGAAAGTGGTTTGTGCTGAGGATCTTTGCACATTCAAATAAATTATTTAACTATGGATTGGGTACAATTAGGCGTTCAATAATCATAATCTAAATAATCTCTGCCCCAGATTTACAAATTCACTGCAAATGTATCCCGCGTTCTCAGTGGATTATCTCGATTAATCTCAGTTTATATCTTTGCATTCACAGCTCAAACTTGAGAAAGCCAGAGCTGCGAAAGTAAGTCCAGTTACACGTCTTTAAAGTAGAGGTCAGTCTACTAAACTTGTCGTCAGACCTCTGATTGAAAAAACTTCTTGTATTTGCGGATAAGCAATCTCCACTTAGACAACGTGATTTCATGAGAAATCCTCGAAAGGGTATATCAACGTGTTTCGACTCGAAGGATCATTTCACAAAGAATTTATTTTACTCTATAGAATGAAAAATATTCCCAGGCTTTCTTGATGTTTGAGCCGTGAGCTCGTGATTATAAAACATTTATTACCACACCCATATTTAACACCTTTTTAATAGCATTACTATTTTATCTTTTCAGCCGCACGAACTGAAATTAATAAAGAGTTTTGGAGATGGAAACAGAATTGCAACGGCACTGTTATACGTAAGTATTGTGTGATTGCATGTGTTTATATCCATATGGATCACTAAACCTTGCATACAGAAAGATCAGGGGCTAGTTGTACGAAGAACTGGGTAGCTCTGTCTAAAGGATACTGTGTTTTGCAACCGTTGTAATAAAGCGACTCTGAAAGCAGTAAAACCACAGATTTTGAGTAAACAATCTCAAAGAGAATTATTAAAAAAAGGAAAGGTAATTTCCAAAAAAACGGACAATTTTGAAGCGATTGAAAAAAAGAGCATATTGAAAAAACGTGTAACGTTATTCAGCTTTCGTACAACTTGCCTCTCCAGCAATATTTACAATCGATCTTACCTCACATAAGGAAACTGCAATTCACTTTTTGAAATGGTGAACTTATTTCTTCTGTAAATTTTGGTTCTGGCAGATGAATAAGGTTGAAGCTGGTGGAGCCACAGTGTTTCCATATGTCGGAGCTCGTCTAACGCCATCTGAGGTACATGACACTTGAACGGAATAAAAAATATATCTATTTGTATATACATACGACAAAATAGTGGTTAGATATCCAATATAAGTTGCGTGCACAGGAGCGGTATCATTTAAAACCGGGAAAAACTACTGGAGTTGTGGTTAGATTGAGAGATAAGAATCTTTGTTGTTAGTCAAAGCAAATAAGAACAAAAAAAACGAGGGGAAATGTAGGATAATATAGTTAGAAAACTACCTCAAACAACGAGATGTTTCGCTTTCATGCAACACGAATTTGATTGAACTGAAATTTAGGGGGATGTTGTGTTTTGGCATAACTTGATGAGATCTGGTGATGGAGATTTCAGAACAAGACACGCAGGATGTCCAATTATCTCTGGGACAAAATGGGGTGAGCAAGATAATATTTATATTTGCATGCAATGTAGATATGTATGAAACTACAGAAAGCTCACAGAATATTCCTTGCAAATCACTTTGCATGATCTTTCGTAAATTCATCGATGAATAAAAGCATCGAGGAGTGTATCAACGCTAATTTTTTTCTCTTATGCAAAAATACGTAGTATACATGTGTATTGTACATAATCTTCCTTAAGATCCTCCACGTTGACTGATTATAACTTTGAACTCCAAGATTGTTTCGAGGATATATTTATTACGTTTGGCAAAAATAGCATTTTATCTTTGCTTCAAATCAAAGCGTCCGGTCAAATCAATTTAAAACCACAAAAGCCATTAAAAATATGTTGAACCTCTTCAAAGACCAATAATAAACACACGTTCATCAATTTCATCACAGAAATTTCACGGCCATCAAATCTCATGGCACTCACGGTATATCTTTCCCATTCCAGAATATAGCTATAAAGATGATGTTGCTTGTCTTTTTTTAGTTGCTAACAAGTGGTTTCACGAAGCTGGGCAGGAGTTTAAACGTCCATGTGGTCTAACACCGGATGCTGAATGAAATATAAATTAAATAATTCCGTTGAGAAGGCGATTTGTGCTTTATTTCAATTGTATATATAGATTTTTTGCAGGATTCATAACAATAAAAGCTGAAGAGTTATTTAAATTGAGCGGGATAGTATACGAGTTTAATTTTAAGAAAGAAATATGCCACACGTACCTCGTGGTTTTCACCTTCCTGACCGAGTTCATTCTTTAAGTGTTTGTGAATCTTGAACACTGTGGACTTGCACCCTTCCATATATAAGGCCAGGAAATAGTAGTTTCTGTCTTATGGAGATTCTTAAATATCAAAATTAAAAGTTGGTTCGTTGATTACATATGTGCAGACAACATATGAGCAATATACATATATATTTATTGATATACCTTGCCTTACCATTGGCAGTGTTGAATATATGAATATCACCCCCAATTATCGCTCTAGTTACGCCCCTGAACGCCCCTGATCTACCACAGGAATAATGGCGTACAAAAGCAATCAGTCGGGCATAAGATGAATTTATGAAAATAAATCCCCCCGCCCCTCCCAATTAAGCTTCTAGCGACGGCTATGCATACAGGAAACAGTATTTCTCAATTTGTGCAGAGCGTTATTGACGGCTAAAACCGTCTGTAGTTTTGCACACGGCATGTCATCTGCCGTCTCACAAAGCCTTGAATTAGAGCTCCGTTTATACGTGGGCGAATTCCTGGATTTTGGGTAACAATTTCATGTTCAGAATCCACGAATATAATCCTTGATTCTAATTCTTTAGTATAAGTAGTTGGGTGAGGATTATAGGGTCTGGCTGGAAAGTGGTGGTTATATACCGTCAAAGCAAAGTTATGGTCAAAGACACCGCTTGTAACCGCTTTCCACGCAAGAAATACCGCTGATCGTTACGTTCACGTTAACGCAAAACGATAAACTGAATGGGGAGTTTGAAGGGATTGAAATTTAGCTGCTGAATTTTGATTCATTCCACCACTTTAGCTTATTTGAATTTGCTATATATTATTATAAAAAGGTCATGCTTTTCAAATTAACCTAGCCACTTACGAATCTTGCGGTAAACTTTCGATGAAACCTAATTCGACCACAAAATTATATATAAAAAAAATAAGGGTTTAGACGTAAACGGGACGTAAACGGTTCAACAGGTAACTTCAAAATTATTTTGACTACACTTTATTCTGATTGGTTCCTTAAAGAAATGTTTACGAAAACATGTTTTTCAATGTAACGAAGTGCAGAGTTTGATTCAGTTAGCGTAATGTTTACAGATGGGGATGAATTGATTTTGAAAATAATGTTCTGTATTGCTTAAAACTGGCTCAAAAGAAAAAAAACACCATGAAGAAATATTGACGAAAAGAATGTGGTTCTGGTTGATTTTTTTCCTCCAGAGAATATTCTGGGTATGAAAGATCTTGTACAGCAATTTATTGTTATATATTTGTGGTGTTCCGTCTCAGTTATTTTGAACTTTTTTTCAATCTTTTTTCTAATTCAGAGGTTTATACATTGGCCATTGTTTTGGCGACGTGATTAAGAGCGCGTATATATATGAAGTCATACAACAAAAGGCAATTCTTTTCAATAGGATTTTAAGAGCATGTATTATCGGTAAAGTTTTAAGACGCTATACCTGTTCAGAGTGAAGTGAGTTCAAGGAATGCATGGCTGTTAGGATGAATGCAATGCAATGCAATTTGCAATGGTAGACTGGCTGTGTTTCCCCTAATTTGAGATATCAGTAATTGCACCTTCCTCCATCAGGAAATATTTTTAATTTCTGGATTAAATCTGATTAAGATTACTGAATGTTTATTTTGCTTTGTTACCTACTTACCTTTGTATTTCAGGCCTCTGCAGAGTCAATCCCAGATGTTACGAAGTCAGGTAGGCGAACCTAAACGAGCATAAAGCAGTAAATGTTTATTCAATCTAGTATTACCAATACTTTGACATACCACACACCTCTAGGTACAGCCATAAAAATCTAATTTAAAAAGTCCTCTAAGGCACAAATAATCACTATCCATCTTAATGCTTTGTCTCAATTTTAAATTTTCTAGATCCTTACTACACGAACACTAAATACTTCTGGTCATTTGATGGACCACAACTCGATAGGAACTTCACAGTCAGAAAAGTCTGGGGTATGCTTGACGGAGCGATTAAACTATCAAATCGAAATACTAGTTCAGCACCACGGGTAGATCTTGGAGCCGTCAATTACTCGTGTATTTCTGAACCTTTTCAATGCGAGCACGGGTTCACCCTGTCCTTTTGGATGCGAATGAATGAATCAGAAACAAACATAGTTCTTTTAAATGCTGCTCAAGAGGACGCAGCTAGGGGAGTAAACGTCAAATTGCACGAACGGAAATTTCGTTTCTCTACAACTGGTTATCAATGGAAAGAGTATTTTCCAAGGACCGTCGAAAGGTTCTTAGATACAACATGGAATTTCAAGACGTGGACACACGTGGCTTTACTGTGGAATGCCAGAAAGAAAGAGTCAAAAATTTCTTTCAATTGTTCAGAGGCCGATTATATTTCGGGAGGCATCTCTCTTGATCGTACCGCGCATGCGTTTGGCCCATCGCAGCGATTGATCGTGGGCGCTGATAATGAGTTAGATAAAGGTGGCGAGGTTGAGATCGATGAGTTAGCGATATGGGATAGCGTACTCACGGAGGAAGAGATTTGTTATGTGTTTAATGCAAGACGAGGTAAGATAAGGGAAAGGTTTAAAGTAGGTTTAAAATCGTTTCACGGCATTTTCTTCAGGGATTCTCACATGCCCCTTTTTTTATTTTTAGTCCATGGTAGATACAGTCCTTGGTCAGAATTCACGGCGTGTTCAAAAACGTGCGGCCTAGGACTTCATTCAAGACACAGGAGTTGCACAGACCCAAGACCAGCTCATGGAGGAAAGAACTGCAGCGAGCATGAACCAACCTCAGAGACGACATCTTGCATGGATAGAAAGTGTCCAATAAACGGTGGTTACTCTCAATGGAGTGAATTCAGCGCCTGTAGCCAGACATGCGGAGGGGGGTACTCAACCCGCATACGAACATGCACCCAGCCCGAGCCGAAATATGGAGGGAAAAATTGTTCGGGTTTCGGGTCGGCTAGAGAAATTCGGGTGTGCAACCTGAATCCGTGTCCAATCCACGGAAATTACTCGGCCTGGGGGAATTTTAGTGAATGCACTAAGAGTTGTGAAAATGGCACGAAATACAGAAATCGAAGTTGTGACAATCCTAGGCCAGAACATGGTGGACGAAATTGCTCGGAAATCGGACCGTCTTTCGAAAAGATGGGCTGTAATGAATTTCCGTGTCCAGTTCATGGGGGTTACTCCGCCTGGTCGAACTTCTCAGAGTGTAGTAAATCATGTGCTGGGGGTAGGAAGACCAGGGTGCGCACTTGCACTGATCCAGCCCCGCAACACGGAGGAAACGACTGCAATGATTTTGGCGCAAGCAGCGAAACAATAAGATGTAACACACACTTTTGTCCTGTTCACGGGGGTTTCTCTCAGTGGAGCGAGTTCAGTTTTTGCACAAAAAGTTGTGGAAATGGAAGTATGGTTAGAGGTAGAACCTGTGATAATCCTCCCCCACAATACGGGGGGAAGAATTGCTCGGGTCTTGGACCCGCTACAGAGGTCAGAAGTTGTAATTCATTTCCATGTCCAATTCACGGTGGATATACCAGTTGGTCGAACTTTTCCGTCTGTACTTTATCCTGCGGCGGTGGGCAACAGACACGAGTGCGCTCCTGTACTAACCCCACTCCACAATACGGGGGAAGAAACTGTTCTCATTTAGGATCAAGCAGTGAGACCATACCATGCAACACGCACCATTGCCCAATACACGGAGGGTATACAGAATGGACCGACTTCACACCTTGTACCAAAAGTTGCGCTAAAGGCGGTCAATTTAGAAATCGATCGTGCACGAACCCTAAACCAATGTACGGTGGCTTTGATTGTTCAAGACTCGGGCCTGATCACGAGGCTCGCACGTGTAACGATTTTCCTTGTCCCATAGACGGCGCCTGGGGCGAATGGAGTGGGTATTCAGGATGTACTCGCACCTGCGCAGGAGGGAGACGCTTTCGGATTAGAGAATGCGATAGCCCGACGCCGAAACATGGCGGAAAGACCTGCGAGGAAATCTCGGGTGAATCAGGGTGGTATTGGGGTATATGTGGAACCAGGCCGTGTCCTGTAGACGGTGGGTACACAATATGGGGAAATTATAGCACTTGCACCAAGTCTTGTGGAAACGGCACAAAATATCGAATTAGGAATTGTTCCAATCCTTCGCCCGCTCACGGTGGACGAGATTGCAAGAGACTAGGGCCTAGTTTCCAGGAGGTCTTCTGTAACACACACCCGTGCCCAGTTCACGGAAACTACACGGCCTGGTCTGAGTTCACAGCTTGCTCGAAGACTTGTGGTGACGGTACTCAAATACGGTATCGTAGTTGCAGCAACCCAACACCAATGCATAATGGAAAGAATTGCGATCATTTTGGTCCGTCGAATGAGACACGATCTTGTTTCTTACGAGAGTGTCCAATAGATGGAATGTACGGACCTTGGACGAGATTTTCAACCTGCAGCACAACTTGTGGCGAGGATGGTTATCAAATAAGAACTCGTGAATGTGACAGTCCGGCCCCTAGATTCGGCGGGCGTTCTTGCAACAGACTAGGAGCAGGGAGGCAAATCCGGGCCTGTAATATTTTTCCGTGTCCCATAGACGGAGGGTGGGGCACATGGACCGAGTTTTCGGGCTGTTCGAAAACTTGTGAGTGTGGTGAGCGGGTTAGGACCCGGGCCTGTGATAACCCACCTCCCCAGTATGGTGGAAGAGAATGCACAGCTGTGTCTGGGGAGTTGGGTGTCCACGCCGAGGAATGCAATCCACAAAGATGTCCAGGTAGGCTTAGTTCGAATGAGATTGACTTTTTGTGTCTGAAAATCAAAACTAGGTTCCTACACTACGACCACATCAATACTCCGATTTCTAAATTGTTCAGGAATGATATATATCATGACGACATCATAACAATCACATCATTTCTTTTAGATATTCTTTTCGAGGTAACGATCAAAATAATGTCAGAGAAATGGAGAGATTCCTTGTCGAATTTTAACAGTCTGGAATACAAACATTCTGAGAGAAAAATATTGAGAAACGTAAGAGACCCCTGACGATATTCTTTAAGCAGTTTCTGCCCTGAGAAATCATAACATTTCTTTTAATGAAACATGTCATTGGATCTTTAGGTGAGAGATTTCTATGGTGACAATACGCCAATAAGCAGAATAAAAGTTTTGAAACTATGGTAGGTCGTGAAAATATAATTGGTAAAAAAATTTTTAAAAAAACACATTCATACCTTGTTATTTTTTTCTCTGATAATCGTTCGCAGGAAAGGAAGCGTCTTGGCACTTGTGCAAATACATTTCTTTAATATTCTTTACTCCGGTGTGATGGACATACAAGACGAAATATTTCTGCAAAATAAGTTAGGCCAATTTGAAGTCATTGGTATAAATATGAAAAGCATTGATGGTAAGACAACTTGAGATTATTAAACACTGGGAATCTGATCCTCAGATATATAGGTTTTCATCATAGAATATTTCTTCATTCAGTCCCGACAGTTCCTCCTAACAACATAACAGCCTACAACATCAGCTCACGAAGTATTCTGGTAAAATGGAATGACATTCCGAAATCTCAGAGCAATGGAAACCTCACGAGTTTTGTCGTGCTCTACAGTAGAAACAAGTCCAAAGAATACACAGAAACAGTGTTAGATCCAAACGTCTATCACGTAATTTTGAAAAACTTAGAGATATTTTATCCATACAGCATCAGAGTAGTGGCACACAATCGACGCGGAGAAGGAGTGGCGAGTTTACCAATTGTTGTTTGGACGGAGATGGAAGGTGAGATGTTAAAAAGGATATCTCGTGTCTTACTATAAGTTCTAAGTTGTTCGTGTTAGACAGTCAGGAGGATACTGTCATTGTTACTATATGAAAAAACAAAATCTAGATGATCTAAACTCTCCAAAAAGTTGTTCTAGTAATTGTAAGTTCAGATCAGTTCACTGAGTGCTTTCTTTTTTTCGTGTTAGCCCCAAATGCAGAGCCAGAGATTCAATCTTCCTACAATCTCACTTCCACAAGTGTTTATGTGCATTGGTCCGCTATTCCCAAAGAAAATCATCTTGGAATACTGCTAGGATACGAAATCAAATATCGTTTGAAGGAAACAGGTAGTAAAGTCGTGCAGTGACCTTCATGTTGAACCGTGCGCCTGTGTATTGAACTCCCGCCCTTCTTGGATTCTTTAGATGAATGGACTTTGACAAGATTAAATGTAACTACACAAGACATTGTCTTGGATGGTCTCAAGAAGTTTTCTGTGTACGAAGTAACCGTCGCAGGATTTAACAGGATTGGCCGAGGACCAGAGAGTCGTGTGTATATCACAACAGACGAAGATGGTGAGTACTTTAAAATCAAGAAAGAAAAACTATTGCTGATAATCTTTTCTTGAAGAAAATCCTTTTCGTATCCGTTCAATTTGCTTAGTTCCAAGTGAACATCCTACTGGCATCAAAGTAGTAAACACCAGCTCAACAAGCCTACGATTGTCATGGAAAGTCATTCCGCCTGAACATATCAACGGTATTTTACGAGGATACGGGATATTTTACAGAGCTGAGCATGTTCACGTGTGGAACAACCTTACTGTACAGCCTGATATACATAGTCTGGAGTTATCTGGACTGAAAAAATATCAGAAATATTACATACAAGTTGCAGGATTGACAGTGAAAGGAATTGGGAAACCTTGCAAACAAATTCCGGTCATGACAGACCAAGACAGTAAGATACATTCAACTACCATCCACACTAGTTTGTCTTGTGGTTTTGCTGTTAAGATGACCAGTTCTAAATCATCTCAACCTTGCTTCTCTTAACTTCTCTGCAATATCTACACCCTACATGTTCTTCTGATCTCTTCATTCCATAATATTTCTGACCAGCTCTCCTTTATCTCTTCTTATTACGTGTCCATTTCATCTCAACCTTGCTTCTCTCATCTTCTACAATGTGTACTACCTCACATCTTCTTCTGATCCCTCATTCCATAATATCTTCATCTCTTCTCGTTACTTGTCCATCTCATCCTAAACTAACTCGCCTCGCCTTCTTCACGATGCCTCAGTCAAAATCTTTCATATTTCAGTCCCAAGTGTAGCCCCTCCTGACGTTCTGGCAGTCAATACCAGCTCAACCTCGCTGCTCATCGAGTGGGACCCACTTCCACAAGCACAAACACACGGAATCCTCCTTGGCTATGTTGTGTTCTACAAGAGACGAGCCTATCGAAACAGACCATGGGTCCTCCGCCGGACCACGCCGACAACCAGAGCAGTAGAAATAGTCGGATTAAGAAAGTTTACCAAATATAACATCCAGGTCGCTGGGTTCACAAGCAAGGGAGTTGGCAAGAAGAGTAAATTGTTTTTCGTACCAACAGGCGAAGACAGTAAGTATGGATTTGATTCAAAACTATTTTGAAAAACTCTTCGTTATACCCGTTCACTTGACAAAGAATTTTAACACGAAAGGTCTAGAAGTTAATGAGTATATTTTAGGCAGTCACTGCGCCACATTTTACGACAAGTTATACCCTTATATTTTCATTCATTTCAGCTCCAAGCCGTTCGGTAAATTTCTTAACCGCCAGAGCATTAAGTTCCACCAGCATAAAGGTGAAATGGGGTCAGATACCCCACGGAATGGTTCACGGTATGTTACGAGGGTACAAAGTATTATTTCGGACGATAGATGACGACGGCGATTTCATGGTGAATAAAACGTTTCCAACCACGTACGAGATCATTTTGAAAAATCTGTTGAAATACACCAAGTACAGCATTAGAGTTATTGGTTATACAATCAAAGGGAATGGTAAAGCAAGCAATGATATTAACTGTACAACATTTGAAGATTGTAAGTAATTAGTAAGATTACTTATGTGAATAGTTCGTTCTAACTAAAGGTAGTCATTCTGATATCATGTTAAATCCCTTTACATGGTCCCTTTAAATCCCTTTTAGTACCCTCACGACCACCACTTCACATCAAGGTTCAATCTCGCTGGAGCTCAACAGAAATCCCGGTTACCTGGCAACCAATCACGCCACCATATTTCGTCCACGGTATACTTCGCGGATATCGTATTAAATACAAGCCTGTGAGAGATACTTTGAAACCCATTAACGCGACCTTCACGTGGGATGAAATAGGTGAGGATTGTTGCTATTTGCACAAAGGCTAGCTGCCCAGGTGAGGCCCTTGCTCTTGATTGTCAACTAATCTAATGGTATCATTTGTTGCTATCTTCTTAGGCCCTGATAAACTGGAGTATTTGATCCGAGGATTGCAGCCGTTTACAACTTATGTTGTTCAGGTGTTGGCCTTCACCTCAGTGGGAGATGGGGTGGAAAGCGAGCCGGGTTATGGAGGTATGAAGGGCAGTGGGGGGTTATCCATGACAGTAGCCAACATGGGGGGGCGTTCCATGACAGTAGCCAACAATAGAAATTGCCTTTTGGTTCCGATATCTCAAACTTGACCAAGGTTCGCAATGGTGATAAAAAGCATATTAGTCTACAAATACTAAGCTAGTCTGATCTCGAATACATCTGCTTTTTTTTCAGAAACCTGCAGTTGCCAGCGAGTATTTACAAGCAACTGGTGGCAGTTGATACCGTATACCACAGTTGATGAAGACAAGGCAATTGGGATTTTTCCAGATATCCTAAAGAACGCTATAGAGTTTTGTTGTCTTGACTGTGTGCACGGACATGCTGCAAGCATAAACTTCGTAGGAACAAACAAAACTAAATCACTCCAGCGAGGAATCATTGAAGTTAAAGATAATCTTCGAGAGGAAATTGATTTTCATTTTCCAATCTTTGGAACGCAATACAAGACGACGTATGGCAATGGATTTCCATATGTTCCTCTTGTTCATTCACCAGGAGCTGTGTTTCTTATCAGCTCGCGTAACGAGTTCAATGAATCTGATAAGGTCATGGAAACTATTCTCACGTCCTGGACTTTTATCGTCGTGTTGATACTATTATCGTATTTCGTCGGCCTGATCATGTGGCTAGTTGTAAGTTCATATTTACATGCAGTAATTTGCATTATACTTGAATTCTTAATCTAGTCATAGTGATGCAAATCCGTCTCCCCAGCTGGAGAGAGCCTTTGTGTTATCTGGAGAAATTACTATAATCTTTTAACAGCAAACCATTGTCTTGTTTTCGTATTTGTAAAATTCGACGTGTTTTCATCGCAGGAACGTAAGGACAACCCCAAGTTGTTCAACGAATCGTTTTTTTATGGCCCTTGGGATGGATTTTGGTGGAGTTTTATTACAGTCACAACTGTCGGGTAAGAGTGGTCAACTGGTTAACTTCATACGCGAATGAAACAGCCGTTTAAACAAGACCTGTGGATTTCTGTATCAAAAAGGAATGAGCTTGTTTCAGATGACAATATGATTTTAACCATAATACTTTCAACCATTTTGACTTTATGTTGACAATCTCATTGATATATTTATATATTTTTTAATTAAATCAGATATGGGGACAAAACTCCAAAGACCGTGCTTGGTCGCTCCATAGCTATCATATGGACGATGTGGGGTCAGATCATGGTGGTAATGCTCGTAGCCCAAATAACAAGCAAAATATCTGCTGGAATCATTGGAGAAGAAATCAGAGTTTATGGAAAAAAGGTGAAATGCATGAGTCAGGAGTAAAACAATTCAAATCAGGGGCTAATCCAGGCTTATCTGTAGATAAAGTACAAGTATTACGCACGTCAGACTCTTTGACAAATGAAAATTGTTTATAATTTTAGGTCGCAGTGATACAGAACTCGTCAGAATACAGACTTGGAGTAAAGAAAAACGCCATATATGATCCAGGTAAGAAACAAGAAATGGCATGAAAACATAAGTATCAAGACGTTTATACCAACAGTGGCCCTTATATTGCATTTCAGATGTTCACTACTCAAATTTAAAAGAAATCTACGATGATTTGGTGAACCACAAAGTTTTTGGTGCGTTGATCGATACCTACACGGTCGCGAGTGCCACGGATTTGTTCAACGATGCAAAACTGACTGTGAATAATATATTTGATTATTCTCTCAACTATGGAGTCGTGCTTGGCGGGGGAAAGGACGGAAACTACAACCTTGTCTTGAGCACTATATCCAACAAGAAACAGAGGAAATCCATCATGCTGTTGTAAAACACGTTAAGCCATTGAAGGTATTGTTCACAGATAACATGTTTTCCCTGAAATCTCGCTTTGCTGTGATCATGAATTATTCTCTGGCGATAGGAAGAACCCAGTGGATCTAACTAGTCTGTTATCATAACCTCTGATAACAAATTATTCAACATTTAGGATGTTTTAACGAGAAACGTGAGAGTGGAGAAGACACAAAGCCTTTTCGATGCAACTTCACACACATATCAACAAATGATTATCGCTGCTTCTGCCTTGCTCGGAACCTTTGTCCTCTTGGGAATTATGAAAGAATTAATTTCAAAATATTTGCCTCATTTTAAAATGCCGATAGGTGAGTAAATAGGTACAAGGTTATCAGCAGTTCTTCATGGATAAGATGTATAGAAACCACAACTGAATATTTCTCAGATTTTAATGAAAATTGAAGCGCTCCTAAGTAACCAGTCTGTTTGTTTTTTGATCTTTTCGTGCTCTTCAAATCTAGACACAAGAGCAATGGTAGCCCGCGCGAGAGATCGTGCATTCGAGTCTTGGCAGGAAGCTGTGATGGCAAGAGTGACTCCAGATAATACTTTCACAAGGCAAATGAAACGACGAATTCAACGTGCTAAAAGAAGACACCTGAAAGAAATAAAAGCGTACATAAAGGAACGTCAGAAGGCTGAGAAACGCATAGAAAGAGCTTTGAAGAGAGAACAAGCGAAGAAGAAACGCGAGGCAGCAAAGAAGGAACGAGAGGAAGCGAAGAGAAAACGAGAAGAGACCGAAGATACCGATGAGAATTGGAGTGATGGAAATTTGTCAAGTACAGACTCACTAGGATCGGTTACGAAAAATAATAAGAATATTTGGGAGGATATTGAGCAGTTGGAAGGGATATTTTCACTGGTGTGAGGATGCAGAGTTAAGCCCCTGGTACACGGTGCATTCTTCTTGCAACTCAACTCTTCTACTTTTAAGAGACGTAAATTAGTGAAGAGCCTTAAAAATGTTAGTGTAAGAGGAGCCATGGAGTTTAATAATTTCCTGCTGTTAGGCTATTTAAATTGTATTTTTTTAATAAAAGATGAAACTGTGAATAAAAGATGCCAGTGACCTTCTTCTACCTTTACAATTTGTTTTAAAGATAAGCATTTGATTGGTTTCTTTTTGTTTTCTGAACTAATCACAAGCTGATTAGGAGACGAATTGTAAATTGATGATAAACGATTTAACTTCATCACGAACTTGCAAACGTTTGAAAACCGATGATGAAATTTGCATAAGGTCAAGTAAAATTAACTGTAAAAATAAAAGTTTACATGAACCCAGTTCAGTTCGTTGTCAGCGAAGAATGAAAAGACGCATAGAAACATTTTGAAACGGCTGACTGGAAAACAGCAAATAGATTAACAGCTGGGAATTAATTATCGTTAGCATTTCTTATTCGGTGCCATATTTCAGTTTGATGATTCTGCCAACATTTTCCCTATTTTGAAGGGACTTGTTGTCGTATGTCGTATGTTGTAAGTTAGGAGGACTTCGTTGCCATAGGTAACAACACTCGTCAGCACGATTCTGATTGGTTATAGAGCAGATAAACAGATCTTGCGGCGCGCGGGTAATGCTTTGAAGACGTTAATTATTAATTGCGTTAATAGTGGGCAGAAGGTAGCACGTCTACTGCAAATGTCTACTAACGCAAGAAAAGTTGTTGGAAATTTGAAATAGATGTTTGAATTTCTGCAACTCTAAGTCAAGCAAAGAGTTAAAACACAAAACCTGGAATATTTTTAAAAATGTCCGCCATAACTCATATGATATTATCGCTCGTCTTAACGTTGGTAAGCGTTCGCTATTATTTGTAATGTTTATAGATTTAGTTCTTTGCAGAAATGAGATAAGGTGCGAGAGATATTACAGGGAGAACGTCAAACGACACATAGCGCATTTAAAGTGAATAAATATATCTGATAGCTTTGTAAAATAACACAGAACTTGAAATCCTGAAGACGCGAGCGAAGCCACAACAGTTTGGATTTTCTTTAAATGGGAGAGAAATATCTAGATTTGTTTCTGGCAATCTCTTCATATTTTATCAGAAGTGATAACGTAACTTATTCTTATTTTGTGTGTAGATTTAAAACAACTTAAATTGTATTTTTTTTTTAGTTTTTGAACGGAAAGCTGACAGATTCAGCAGGTGGGTTATGTTGCTTCGCAACAGCGGTTAAACACTGGCAGTTTTTCAAAACATACAACGCATCTATATATACGAATCCTTTCATAAAACCCTTATCACGTTTTCATCATCAGACCTTCTAACAAAAAATTAATTTAGCTTAAACGCGGTTTTTAAAGTGCTGTGAAATGCGACTACAGTATCTGAGTTCTCTGCTTGCGACACGATTAATTTCACGTTATGTGACAAACGATCGTGTCTGCCAGTAAAAACTTGAAAAATTGCGTAATTTTTATAATGAAAATACTTCCTTTATCATTCTTTTAACTATAGTCTTCCGACAAGATGTACAAACTCTAGACGTAAAAATTGTACAAAGTTTGGGGATTTAAGTTTACTCGATGTGTAGTTAAATAAATATATTATTTCTTAAGAACCACATTGTGTTTAAGAATATGCCTTGCTATGCACCTGTTTCAACATATAATAATATGCATATTCGAGGTTTTTCATTATGAAAACCGCCAACGATATCAAGGAGGAGTTTCGTTTATAAATTAAACAGCAAATTTGTTTTCAATTTTGAGGCAAAGCCAATCAGAGTGCTTAAATTTTTAATACTTTATGTAAAATGGTAAATAATGATGATGGTTTAAAACGAAATTCTTGTTATCTCGCATTTAGTTTGTACTGGGGTGAAACGTTTGCTGGATAATGAGGGTGATATAATGAGTCCTGGGTTCGACAAGGGACAAAACTACCCGACAGAAGAGACGTGTCAGTGGGTAGTGTTTGGACCCACAGGCTCCACAGTAACCCTCGTCTTTGAGTCATTCGCGCTTGAAGAAAGCAAAACGTGTGGGTTCTACGATTATGTGACAATCCGACAGAGATGCACGGGAAAATCGCTTTCTGATAACCTGGGAGGGAGGACTGATGGATATTGTGGTACACATATGCCCCCAATGATCAATTCGACCTGCAACGAGCTCCACATCACCTTTCACTCGGATGATAGCGACACAGATAAAGGATTCAAGGCAAAATATAAGATACACAAGGATTCGGGTAGGTTGAAATACACTCATCACATTGCAAAACAACATAACAAATGAGACAGCCGATAAATTATCATGTAAAAATCAAAACAATTTCTACATTCAGAGGCACCACAGATAACCAGTTTTGGAGATAAAGACGGAAAGAAAGATATCGTAAAAAAAGCCACTGAATCATTTACCTTTCATTGTCGTGTACATGGTCATCCCCGCCCGCGTCGTTACTGGGGCCGAGTAGATCAGAAACCGTTACCTCCTGACGCCATCGATGACAACAATGGAACGCTGCTCATTCCGCGCCTGCGATATCCCGAGGACAGCGGAGAATACATGTGTGTAGCTAACAATACCTGGGGAGAGGATCGTGCTAATGCAATCTTGAAAGTGATACGTAAGACATTGTTGTTCAGACTCTTCTAATAGTTGCCAATGATTCACTTACAACTGTTTATTATTTTCACAGCAAAATGCCACTGTCCAAAGAACATAAGCACTAACTGGCTCCATATGCCACCCTTTGTGATCAACGAGGGAAACGGCAACGAACCTACCGGGATTTTCCCAGAATTGATCAAAAAAATAATTGAAAAATGTTGCGGTAATTGTACCATGGGTCACGGCACTTCGAATGTCGAATACGGCATTCCTAAAGAGACCTCGATTGACTTCAAGAATGCCATCGCTTCCAGAGAAGTTGTTCATGTTTCTTTTCCAATATCAGGGAAAGAGATTGACGATGAATACAAGGTGGGTGTAGTATAGTACAGCACAGAGGTGGGGGAGTAGGTGGGTGGAAAGCTGAATGCGGGAGGGTAGGTGGGGGAGCAAATGGCAAGTGTGTTGGTCCTGTGGTAGGTAGGTTGAAAGAGGAGTGTATGGGTGTGAAGTGGGTTAGAAAGAAAGTGGATGATGGTGGATGTGAGTGTTATATGGAGTGTTTTTGTATTGTGGAGGACACATGTACCTTGACGACCCAAAATGAACAAGAGCTCATGTGATATACTCATTTAAACTAATTTGTCTTAAGGGTGAGTACTTTAGACCGCTGTTCAGTTCTCCTGGCGTTGCAGTTCTTGTAATGAAAGAAGACCCGAGCGAAAGTGCCAAAGCTATTCTTGCATCAGTTATCTCTGCTTATCCTGTTCTGTTGTTGACTGTGGTGATGGCTTGGTTAGCTGGAATTGCAATGTGGGCTTTGGTAAGATACTTTGCGGGAACTACGTTTAAAGTTCTTTCTTACAACCAATATTGCACGAAACATTTTAACTTGTTGCTGAAGGGATCTTGATGAATAGAATATCTTCCTTAGGATACCTGGACTAACCCTGACGAGTTTCCTCGCCCATTTCATCGTGGTGTCCTGGAGGGCTTCTGGTGGGCGTTTGTTACCATGACGACAGTTGGGTAAGCTATTCTAAACTTATATCCTCTCTATACACAAAGTTTAGGAATCCTAAAGTAATTCTGTGGGTGTCGACTTAGGTATGGTGATCGTTCTCCCCGAGGCTATGCTGCCCGTGTGTTTGCCATTGTATGGGTCCTGGTTGGTCTTGTCATCATCTCTATCACCACTGGTGTTATAACCACGTCACTGACGGCCATCACTCTCAGTACTGATCTTCGATTGTACGGAGCTAAGGTCAGATATACTATAGTTGATTTATAAAGCCATACAGTGGTCATCTTCAACGACAGTTGTCGATTACAGAAGTAAATTTCCAAATAAAAAATGGTGGATTTCTGCTCTTAGGTTGGAGCACTAGCAAATTCTACGGAATATCGCATGGGAGTAAAGAAAAATTCTGACGTTAAAGGTAGGTTGTCATCCTTGTGGAGACTGTAAAATGCTTACACTAATATAGTGGCTAAATGATAGGAAGTTTAACTCGCAATCAAAATTATTTGAACGGCTGTGAGGTATTAGATTGCCTTTAACAACAAGCACTAGGTTTAGTAGCGTGTTTATCAAATCTCTTTACCAACATAGTAGCTTGTTTACTAAATTTCTATAGCAACATTTCCAGCAGCATTGTAACCAAATTCGTAATGTTGCAGAATTTAGCGAGCTTGGTCCAATGTTCGCTGCCTTGGAGGATCGTTCATTGGATGGTATATTGTTGGATAGTTTCGTTGCTGGGGCAAACAAAGGCTTGATTTCATCAAACGTTCGTGTGAATAAGATCATTTCGTATGATTCCTCCTACGGTATCGTATTTCGTGAAAATATGGCAACTCCAGAACTCCAGAAATGTTTCAATAACTATTACTCCGACAAGAAAGGTGAAATATCGCATATTGTTGAAGAAAAAACCTCACCAGTCAAGGTAAATGAAGAAATATTACAGACATTCGTATTCTTTTAACCTTCATTGGTCAAGGTTTATGAAAGCCAGTTGAATCCAGCGTCTAAGCGTTTGTGCTCCATGTGCTTATCTTTGATTTAGGAACCCAAAGAGAGTGCATCTGAAGAAATAGCGTCAGGACTGTTTGATGCAAGTACACCAATGTTTAAGAACGCGTTATTCTCTTGTATCGGGATGTTGTTGTTCTTTTCGGCTTGTGGTTTGATCTGGGATTACGGTTATCAAAGACACTTCAAAAAGAACAGCTCAGAATTCGGTAAGTATTCGTCAGTATTCGTCAGATGACGTAAGATAGTCCAAATACCCCAAAATCCTCGGATGAGAACCGTAGCGAGATGGTTAAGAGGTGATAGAATGTGATATACTCAATAGCTGTTAGTAAGCTCTCCCAGTAACTTTTGCATCAAACATACTCCAGCCTTTCTGCAGGAATATGGGCTTGACAGTAGGTAAATTACTGACCGAGACAGCCAAAGGAGAATTGTACATGTCGTCATGCGCTTCAATTGAGCTTTATTTCAATCCATTTTTCTCCAGATGACCTTGCGCTGTTGGCGGGACCTGGATACGAGACGGTGAAATCCAATATGGATTTATTGCAAACGTTGTCGCAGGAAGTCCAGGATTTCAACGACGTCTGGACAGAAAAACTCGATGAAATTATGAAAAAACATGACGCTGAGTACAGGGTGTTTACACAGCGCCAGGAGAAATCATAAACATCTTGTTTTTAATGCTCGTTTTGCGTGTTTTTAGCAGACACACGATTTATATATCAATGAAATACTGTAGTATAAAAACATATGCACGTGTTTGGCAAAAACGGTCGAGTTCTGCTCAAATTTCTGTTTGATTTCACAATGATATATGACGTCGCACACTACTGTCAATCACAGCTGCAGCACGCAATATCCACAAGACGATTTGTTACAGAGCGAAGGAGATATTTAACCGCATTTTATATTCACCAGTATATTCAGTGTATATTCAGCATTGTATAGGTTTTTGTTCACAAATACATAGAACAGTTTTTCCTTGTAAGTTTTTGAACGTTTAAGGCTTTGATATTAGATCCATTAGCTTAATAAGTTGTACACAATTTAAGTTTAAGCCAGTTAAGAAATGATTTGAATTGAATATATAATATTTATTTGGCAAGCATTATCTTAGAGTTGTTTATCTAAATAATAATACGTGATAATTACGATGTAAATAATATTAATTCATTATCATATGTATAGTTGAAAAATAAAATTCAGGAATTATTATATCCACCAACATACCTTGTTAGTTTACAATCACCTTACGTTGAGCACAATTTTATATACATCTTTAATTTCTAAACTGACTATATATACATTTATTTTACATTAATTTAATTCGGTTATTTAATTCGTACTAAATTTACAGTCTGATTATGAAACCTTATTACGGTTCAATATATTATTTAAAAGCGACTAAAGCCAAGCAAATATCGAATATAAGATGCATCTGATACCACAGCGGTCAAGAAAATGTTTCATATGATTTGAATTTACCCACAAAACGCCATTTTGTAATTAATCATTTCTTGTGCGGAGTTTTAAAATGTTGAGGTGTGAATGTGAGAGCCTGCATGAGAGATTACATGTGTCAGCGAAGCCAGTGTATCGATCGAAATATCCCAGATATGAAGCCACCAAGGTACATATAAGAATCAAAGCCACAGTTGAACATATAGATCAGTGTGTCTAACATAGGATTGATACGTCTCACCTGTCAGGAGAACTGGAAACGAGGCGCGAGATGCAACTGAAATTCGTCATCTTGTAACAAGTTTTTTGCACCAAACCTTGATCTACGACCACTCATATCATTGCCCTTGGATAGTTCATTCAACATTCTTAACTACAGCGAAAAAGAAAATGGAAAATTGAAATATGAGAGAATGCAATCAGACAATCTAACTTGCACTATTCATTTGAGGAGAAAATATTACTCTGGAAGGTCCTTTGAGATTCTTTCTTAAGCGGCTGAGAGCCTCTATTTGTTCACTGCTCAATGTTGGAGTCTTCTTTGATTTCTGAAACAGTAAAAGTTGTTTTAGTTTATATACTGCACCTCTCTATACCCTGAGAAGACAAGACTGTGACCAGCCTTAAAACCACTTGAAAAATCCCAACTTCTGTGAACAAAATCTACTATAAAATAACACAAACTACAATTGTCTAAACAAACTTGTCTTTCATAATTACCTCTGTTCGTGTCGACTCTAAAGGTCGTTCCTCAGAAGCGCTCACACGCCGTGTGATATTCTTCTTTGAACATATCGGACACGACCAGTTCCTGTCGTCGCCAAATTCATTTCGCAAACATTCTGTGTGACAGCAATGCTCACATCTGATAAACGAACGTCAACATTTAATAACCGAACTAAAAATGCCCCTCACACCGTTCAGGTCTTAACACCAGCAAAAAAAAACAGCAAAAGTGTTTAATTATCGTTCGTTCAGGGTACACATTTTAACCTTCACCTGAAAATAATTAGGTCACTGTGTTTCGAAGATGTTTCTCCCATCAGTATCGGCCGCTGACATAACTGACATATTGAATGTCTTGGTTTCACACCACGGTTTAAGAGACCTTTCATATGACTCAGAGAGCGATGAAGATCTGACGCTAACAGATGGTTGGTAGTCGTTAATAACGTCTAGGTAGGAAAACATAAGAGTTTAGGAATGTAAGAATTTAGGAATGAAAGAATCTGACATGATTTTACATGCTGTCTGCTCAAATTGAGACGAGAGTTTAGGTCGAAAAGGAATATCATTTCACCTCTTCATAACTATACGTATCCAACATTCCCATAATCAATTCTCGTATTTCACCAAATTTCCCAGAATTGTACGTCGGGTCCTAGAAAACATTTAAAGATTGAAAAGGGTCGCGAGCCTGTTATCTTTAATATCAGTGACACTAGCACTATAACCAAATGCGAAGTCCTAGGAATACTTAATGAGGGGGACCTATGTATATTAACTTGTGCTGGATGGATATACACTAATATATCCTATATTACCTGCATTATCTTCTGTAGTATCATTGGTAATGAGATATGGCCGGTCATACTGTTTAAGACATGACGAGTGAGATCTTTGAATGCTGTAATGAAATACTTAAGATTGTTAGTTGAGATGTGTTATTGGTTTTTTCAAAGTGTATGTCACCATGAGATTAGAAAAAGTCTCAGATTACTTTGAGATTACGTCGAGATTACTTTGAAATTACTTTCAGATTACTTCGAGATTACTTCGAGAATACCTCGAGATTACTTCGAGATTACTTCGAGATTACTGTACCTAGAAAATGGTCACTTGTCATGTCTGTGAGTTTTCGTTGCGGGGACATGACTACTTCCAGGAGGGGAAACCACAAATTCTAAATGACATGACAGAAAATGGATTAGAAGCTAGAGAGCCAGGTCGAAACAAATAGTTTAGATATTTTTCTCTCATATACCTCTCGTTCATACTCGTCCATTCTTCGTGAGTTCCTCTGACACAGTTGAATGATAACAAGAAGAGTCGTCTTGCAAGTTGTCAAAGCCATGCTCATTTCTTAAAATTATCAACATAAGATTTATTTTCTAAAAACACTTTCAAATCACGGCGTATTCTTCGTCAAAATCCCAAAATGTCAGAGACAAAAGCACTGCTCGTTTATATATCATCCTCACACACACACACACCTTTTGAATTAACTCTGTTGATGAAACCTTGGTCAACATTCTTCACACATTTCTCCAAAGCCTATAATGACCCAGAGTAGAGCCAATATATACAAGTTAAAACTTAATTGTAAACCAAATTCGAACGTTGGCATCGCAAACAAGGCCTACCTGGAGTAACAGAGCAAAAGCTCCCTTAACATCGCCGGATTTTTCCAGCAGGTAGGCTGTGGCGTCGATTATATCAAATCTTTTCACGATCTGCAAAAACGTTTTTAATGCAATAAACTCAAGATACACTGAATGAAACCACAGCAGGAGAAAATGGTGACACAGACATGAAACAGACAGAGAAGAATGTTCAGAAAATACTGAAGAGTACCTCTAAAGTTTCTTGTAGCCTGTAATTGTTTGAACTTCTCAAATGGGGATAAACTGCCAATGATTCAAACTCGCACATCAACTCGATAAATGTTTCATTCGTCGTAGCATCTGAAGGTGGCTCAAATTTCGACAAGGACGACTCACTTTTAAAGGAATAATTAAGGTATTTACGCACAAACCACAGCAACAAAGATGTTAGAAGAAACGAAGCAAGGATTACAACTTTACCTGATATCAAAAACGCTTTTTAAAAAGTTGTAAAGAATTTGTCTTTGGTCCTAGAAAAGTTGACAAAGACATTGTAGTATTCTATACGTTCTAGATCTAAGTACTGTACAGCAAGAAACAAAATATTCACCTCTAGTTTTTGAATGGCCCATTTAAGAGAGTCAGGGAAATAAGCCATTATCATATGGGCAGTTCTTCTGGTATCAACAGCAACAAATTCCTGAAGGAACAAAATTGTCATCAGCCAAAGATTGTGTGAGGGTGTTCCACTGATTCATTCAGCTAATCTACAAGCTTTGTGCAAGCTTTGCTCTGGGAATTTAACTGATTACTTTGTTTAATGCTTTTGTTATGATTCTGCACACATAGTTGGTAGGTGTACACGATCTGCTTACCAGTAGGTTTTCTAGAACAGTCTGTTTCAGTTCGGCTCGGTCAAGATCTGTGTAGGAATCATCCGTCATCTTTAATTTAACGAACTCAAATGCTTGATTCTGAAAATAGAGAAAGTTACATTATCACGATGTTGGTGTGCCATTTCGATACAGAATATCCAGGGGAAGTGGAGGTAGACGCATCTATGTCCATCAATTGCAGGAATAAATCAAATAATTCTATAAAGTTGGTAAAATATATTGTTTCCACACCTGTCTTGACTGATCCCTGAAATAACAACTCAATACTTTTCCATACTGACGTCTCCGAATGTAAAGAATCTCGCACACTTGATAACTGAAAATGCATGGGAGAAAATATTTTACAAATTGACAGGTATCTTCCAGCAAGTAAGAGTACCCAAGATATTATTATTATATGATTATATTATTCGCCAAGCAATAATGATAACAACGTACAATTTTCCATTTTCAGCTAAGACCAATATTCTTTCCTCATCAAATTGCCTCAAAGCTCCGGAGTCCAGTAATTCCAACAGCGCCTAAATGATTTCACATACGTTTTGTAAAAACAAGATTTATTCAATTCAAGCAACACAAGCAGCAGCATTAAAACCAACCTGTTCGCGCTCATTATGACGAACCATGTCCTCAGGATTTGACAAATATTCCAAAACCTGTAAGGGAAATAATATCAGCAACATGTAATATTTATTTCTCTCCTGGAAAGGGACTTTGCTCATCCGGACTCAAGGGCTCAGAGAAACTTGTATCACTGCGCTTTTGGGTTGACTAGCGAAGAGATGATACAGGATTCATATTTTAGTGTCATTAGACAGTCATATCGTCTTACTTGTTCAAAGAGAACTTTGTTTAGTGATATTTTGCTATGTTTTGCCATTTGACGAGCCATGAATGTGAAGAATGAACCAACTTGAATTGGCTGAAAAACGAACATGATGAAATATACTCTTGCTCAGGAAATGAAACAGCATTATGTCATTATTTCAAATATAATTATCCTCACCGTAAAACCAGTTCCTTGCACCAGAACCTCAAGCAACACATCAATAAATCTCTGTCTACCAGCCACGCAATTTATGACTCTATCAGACACAACAGAGAGAATAATTGTAATCTTTGTACAATGGAGTAAATCTTTAGATGTTCAAAACAATGGCAGGTTTATTGCACTGGAATACACGGCCTGCGATTGGAATACGACAGATGCTTACCCACAGTCCTCGTCAAAATCAGCTTCTTCAAACGCCTAGGAAAATGATAAAGAAGACATCAGAGGCAAAGTAATATGGCACGTGAATTAGTAGAATATTAGCTGAGGAAAAACAACACATACGAGAGACAAGACGTTCAGGAACTCCGCAGTGTCAAACTCCAACAAAGTTCTAATATTTGGGTAAGTATCACCTAGAACATTGAAGCAAGACACAGGATTACATGTTACATGAAGCTGACTAACTTTATACTTGTTGCTGACTGTTCTGTATAGCGATGATCAACTCTTATTGATCCACTATTACAAGGAAATCTAAGCTAAAGTATAACTTCTTTTTTACTGGATAAGGTCTCTCTATAAGGTCCAGTAAATAGGACAAACGAAAAACCAACCATTTGAGCTGTCCACCATGCTGGGCTTGAGAAGTGTTCGGGCGACCTATGTAAAAACGTGAATTTAAAGCGAGCCTTTCAAGATTCTGGCTACTGTATTTTAGACACAGATATTTGCAAACCTGTTCTCTAACCGGCTTGACCAGTTCTTCTGGTATATTTCCCACAGAGTAAGCTCTGCCGGCGAAACAACTGCTGATGTAGACGAGCAATTTATAACCAAGCTCGTGAGTGGACTCTGGAAAAAAAACCTAACAATTTTATACAACAACTTTCAGGCATTTTACAAATGGTGTAAGATGCACTTGTGCCGCCAAGCTGCATGCATGCTGTAACCCTGCACAATTTTTCAGGCAATTTATAAGGATGCATTACCATTTAAATGGACTTGGGAATCAGACGTCTCTTTCAGAATTCTCAACAGTTCCTTGATAGCATAAAAACGATTTTAAAGGAATATGAAATAGAATAAAAGATGCTGTGATAATTTAGATACCTCAAGAGGAGTTCCATAATCTGCCATACCGCGGTTGTAAACATAAATAACAGCGTCGTACAGCTCGTATTTCCAGCATAATTTCACCGTCTGAGTGATGGAAGAAAGGAATATAAGCAGCTTATTTTCTGCGATCAATGTCAAATATCAGGAAAGAATAATCAAATATATGACAATTTATAAAACAGTCCATGCAACACAGACGAAGCCCGTTTTCCCTCAAATCTTTCGTTTCGACTGTTGAGGTGCTGGTTGATAATTAATTAATAGGTTTCCGTTGTATTCTTACCTGGTCGATGTCGAGGTTTACTAAGTCGAGATGAACAAGACATCGTTCAACATCTTTTAATCTTCCCATCTTTTGATAATGACCTGGAATATAACAAGATATGAGAACATCCTTTCATCAGACTTCAAATAATACGATTAACAAAAGATACTCCAAACAAACAATTTCTGATCTTTACCAACAAAATCTTTCATGACGATCGGGGTCAGGGAAACCAGCCTGAAATATAGAAAAATTTTGACATAAATGTAAAAATATTAGAACAGCCTTTTAAAAATAAATGCCCGAATGCCAAAGCAAGAAATAAAATCATCCACAACTGACCTATCTTCTTCAATATAGGACTGGAGACTTTCAAGAAAAACTTCTTTTGTGAGTTCGACAGATGAGAATTTATCGTAAATGTTGGAGAGCAATAATTCTCTGATAAAATACGAATAAAAAGAATGTAAGAATAGAAAGGTCCCGAAATAAAATGTTTGAAATGCATAAGGAACTTACATGTTTCCTATTGCCACACAGTAATCAATACAAACAGGGATATTTTCCTAATACATAAAAAGGTTGTGTAAAACTCGACGGTGATCGACTGTCCTTTTCTATAAGTTCAGATTTATACATTACACTGCAACAAAACTTTATTCTCCTTTTTACCTTGAAATATGATCTCAAGCTTTCCAAATCTTTGTTTTCTGGGATCATTTCCAACATTTTATCAACGTATCGACGAATAAGATTTTCAATCTAAAAACGTTGAAATCCAAGACTGAGTTTTTTTGATCGACCCAGAAAATGTTCCGGCGTACAATAAGGTAATTATGGACACAATTTACAAAGCATGGATTTACCATACGAGCGACTGTCATATTTTTTTCTTCTTTACTTCCAATCAAACCTATAAATATAGTGGTCGATTTTAGCACAGACAAGACGATGAATTACTATGTAGTTACACTCGATTAATAAGATATAATCCTTGCTGGATAGAGCTATCCAGTATGAATAAAGTTAGTTTTGTTTAGTTTTCAAAACTCTCCATACCTAGAACTGCTTTTGCAGTTCGATTGTAGAAAGACAAGGCTAACTTCAAAGCACCAACAAAATCATTTCCATTCACAAACACGGATATCCTCTGAAAAGGCAAGAATTTCATTTCTGTCATACAAAATGCGATAGAATGGAATGGACTCGCAGAATTACTTTCATAGGATCAACTTACGTCATCCCAGGTTCGAATGGTGAAAAGATGAATGGACTGAAAAAAAAAATGAATTCATTCACTTCATACTGTCATTTGATACTGCACATGGTAAACGGAATGCAGGATGCTGGAAACTCAAATAGGTAATCAAACTAACCTGCCTTCCTAAGATTAAAAGCTGTGAGTTAAAGCCCACGACAGATTGGTAACACGAGTGTTCGCTTGCTAGGGCCTTTGATGCATAAAAAATATATCAATACTCAAGCGTTTAAATAAGAGAACCACAGCGGTATTCTCCTTGCAAGTACATAAAGATCTTCGTGAATATTGAGAGAATAGATACCACAATTCATCAAAGAACATTTTGCAAATATAGAAATAAAATCATACCAATGCTTCGCTGACATTGCCTCCATTCGATAAAGACTTAAAGAAACTGCTGCTGTACACGAGTTGGACGCTGTCTAGGTCTAATGTCTAAGAGGATAAAATGATTAGAGAATTAACAAATTTCAAGATAGTAAAACTGCCTGGCAGTGGACAGAACGTAAATACTAAGAAAGGGAGTTCTTGAATACAATGATAACTGCTTCAACTTGGATAACTGCCTCATCTTTACTAAAGCATTAGGATTTCTAGAAATTGTGAACGAGGTATCGTACCTCAAGTATTTCCCCATTTCGTACATCCATCAGATGGATTCGTTCAAGAGCATCGACTAGTCCAATCAACTGCGAGTCTAGCCACTGTTAAAAACAAATACATCAGTATTAGGGTAACAGCAAAGAAATGAATGATAAAGAATTGTGTTTGCAAACTGCTTACATGAATTGATATAATTTTGAACTTTGTATTGATAAGATCCAGTTTCGTAAAGACGATGTTATCATCATCACCATTCGTATGGGCCTTGGAAAGAAAACAAACTCTTTAAATTATAAAACAAGGAGTGCTGCGTGGTTACTAAAAAGCACTTACCATACAGAAATATATCTTAGACTCTCGAGCGAACGCCAGAACCTGTGAAACCATCGAAGAATTACCGCACAGTTACATGTTTTAATTCTTTTACGGAACAAAGCACAGAACGATTAGACTTACTGGAGTGAGCAGTCTGGATGAGTCCTCGTGTTGAATTACTACAAAATTCCAAGCCAGAAGAGGCAAGCTATCTAAAGAACCCTTTGAAAAGAAAGTTTTATATTATTGCATAGATCATTATATGGATTGGCTCACTGGAAGAGATTGCTTTACCTTCAGTCCAAAAGAAAAAACAACTGAAAACTGTGGTCTTAATGACAGAACAACGACCTGAAAGATTAAACACCACAGAATATCAGAATTGACCACAGTCTTCTTTACCAAGAATAATTCATAATAAATTCTCACCTTTGTAAGTGTAGCCAATGCCAGCAAAGATCTCTCAGACAACGGATTACTTTTCAATGATTCAGGAAAGTGTAGCGGCGCCAAAACGCAAACCTCACCACGGCTAACAATATAATTAAACAAAGTCTTATGGTGCATCTGCTATTCACAACAACCCTGGGGTGATAGGGGGCACACAGGAGGGCTTCAGTGGGAGGTGAGTTTCTTTCTAGATGGGGGGCTTCATTGGAGGTGGAAGTGGAGCTTTGTTGGAGGTGGGAGGGGAGCTTCTTTGGAGGTGGGAGGGGAGCTTCTTTGGAGGTGGGAGGGGATCTTCTTTGGAGGTGGGAGGGGATCTTCTTTGGAGGTGGGAGGGGATCTTCGTTGGAGGTGGGAGGAGAGTTTCTTTGGAGGTGGGAGGGGAGCTTCTTTGGAGATGGGAGGGGAGCTTCTTTGGAGGTGGGAGGAGAGTTTCTTTGGAGGTGGGAGGGGAGTTTCTTTGGAGGTAGGAGGGGAGCTTCTTTGGAGGTGGGAGGAGAGTTTCTTTGGAGGTGGGAGGGGAGCTTCTTTGGAGGTGGGAGAGGAGCTTCTTTGGAGGTGGGAGAGAAGCTTCTTTGGAGGTGGGAGGGGATCTTCTTTGGAGGTGGGAGGGGATCTTCTTTGGAGGTGGAAGGGGAGCTTCTTTGGAGGTTGGAGGGGAGTTTCTTTAGAGGTGGGAGATCTTATCCCAAATTAATTAAAGGAAAACTAACTTACTAACCTTCCAGAAAAGACCACTTGTGAATCATAGGTCCTTACCCCAATTACTTTCCTAGGAAAATTTCGCCAACATGTGGTTATCTAGATACATACATTTAACACAAATGCAAATATTTTTTCTATTTAATTTACTTGAAAGTAAGTAGAAAAACTGATCCACCACTGTCACTGCAAACAGCTTCTGTTAAATCATCTGTGAACTGCAAAGGACATTGGAAGGTATTAATTGAAACTGATCATTCATTTAAAGTAATGAAGTTTAGAAATGGAATGACACACTATCCCGAAAAAAACATGGTAGAACAATTGGTTCCTGAAACTCCAATCTCTATTTGAATTGGAAAAAGAAATTATTTTCTACTTACCAGAACGTGAAGTACTGCACTCCCTGGAGGATGAGCATCTAAGATGGATCTAACACACTTACCAGTGGTCAAATCCCACATTGTGATCTAAAACATATGAATATATCATCATGAACATAGCATGATTGTTTACAAGCGAAACAATACAAACAGGCATGCAGATGAGAAAAACTATACTGTACCTGGCCTTTAGCATGACCACAAAGCAACCTGGTTGAGTTTGTATTTATTCCTAGTGCTGTGACTGCACCATACTCTGCCCCTGGGTAACACACAAAAAAATTAAATCTCTTCCTGGAACTGGTTGCACAAACCATGCTAAGTACTTATATTCACGGTCATCACATTTATCTGTTCCTAACAGATAGGGGAGATTTCCTCAAGCACCTCATATCGTTAAATTTTTCACATCTGGAGATAACGGTACCTTATATTGTACATATATACAATTACCTTGCGATGTTGTTCCAAGAACCAACTGCAATGTTTGCTTAGCATCTAGAAAAAAATGAAACACACTAGAAATTCTTCTGGGATTACAAAATGTCACCAATATTGATCAAAGATCACATACACTTCTGGTATAAAACAATTAGCCTGCTCACCAAATATTAGAACAATTCCATGAGATGTCCCCACAGCAATAATTGTTGAGACAGCCTAAAACAACAAACATATCAAAAGTTAAGAGCCCTTGCATCCAAAATAAGTTTTGGAGGATGTAATGAAGAAGTCTGCAGAAATAGGAACAAACAGTTTGAATACCTACCATAGCTGTTGGCAAGCCAGCTTCAATACGACTCTAGGATGTAACAAAAAACCAATGTATAGTTTGCTGGAATAAGGTCTTTATATTTTTAATATTGGAAAATGATACGTACAGAAGCAGATTGCACTTGAGCAGAAATTTTTTTCAAAGCAACATGTCTAAGAATTGAACCATGTTTTGTTTCACCAGCAGAACCTCTAAAAATTATTGATAATACGAGTATTTTACTCAAATATACATACAAATTGTGTGGCCAATATTTTGCCATGTAAAAATTTCATTTACAGAAGTAGTTGTATTACCGGTTGGCTTCACTGGTCGATGGTTTTTCTGCCTTAAGAATATCCTCTAATGTGATATCAACTACCAGACCACTAACATCATCCTCCTAAACAATGTTCATATGTCTAATAAACACATTGTTCACATGGCGAAACTACTGATGGTTGTTGAAAATCTAAACAAGCAGTTTAGGTATGCATATACATAACACACTTATAGATCTTAATTGACCCAACTCATTGCTAAATCAAATTTTATGACTGCAAAGGATAAAAAATCAAACTGAATGATGTATTCAAGCCATTCAGCCCTCAAATATACTTTTACCATGTACAATCATTACTCATGTACACGAGTAATAAACTCATGTACATTCATTACCCATACAGACTGATAGTCTGATACAGTACCTCATTGAGGATACTTTCCAATGTCGGCATGTCTTTGACTGTGGGTAAATCCATTTCCAAGTCAACCTAAAAAAATATTCATTCCCACCTTAGTTTGAGGCTTATATTTAGTCACTGTCAAATGCTAGTTTCAGCAGTCTAGTCAAACAGCAAAATATGAAAATACGAAATAAGAATAAATTTCATACCATAGCTGAGCTGGAATCGTGTTTTGAAGATAGTTGAAACGAGCTGGATCGATTTGAAGTATCCGAATCTAAAATACTGCTTCCTAAACTATTTGTGACAGACAATAGCCCGTCCAAATTCAACAAATCTTCACTTCCAGTAAACTGCACTTTGTCCGCCATCTTGAATTATGGATTCAGTAAATCCCAGTGGTAAATCCTAAATACACATTTAATCCTTGGTTAAGATTATGTTAGGATCAGGATTAGGTTTTAGATGAGATGATGAGATATGTTCATTTTCACTTTTAGTTTTTCCACCCCCGCATTTCGTCGGCCAGGAGTTCGTGACCTCTCATGCGATACAGCTAACAATAAACCAGAACATATCAAGCAACATATCAAGCAACCATAGTTTTATACAGCTGTTTTAGTTCCACTGAAATGATCAAATTGGTTTATCATGGAAGAAATTACTCAGTGGACACACAGTCAGAGAAAGCGTTTGTCCGTTGAAAAGGAACTTCTTGAACGTTATTTCCCAGGTCGTACTAAATGGCTTGATCATACCAATCCGAGCAAAGCGAAAGTAGACATTGCCTTAAATACAAACGATAATACAGAATATGTTCTTCGTATTTACCTCACAGAAGATTTTCCAAATTCATGCCCGAGTCTTGCAGTGGTTTCCCCGAGATTGAAGTTAAGAGATGGAGAACGCTTTCCTGTGTTAAGTACGGAATTCCACACTTTAGAAGACGTCGATGAATATCCGACAATATGTCACTTCCACCCACAGGGTTGGACACAGGAGTTCACACTTTATCAAGTGTTTATGAAAGGAAGGCTGTGGCTGGAAGCTTATAGTTTGTATCATTCAACTGGCAAGATGATGGATGAATATCTCAGGGAATACGGTGATCCCGAGATTGAGGATGAACGCTCAGAAGTGTCAGCGCCACCTGATAGTCGAAACCGTCGCAGATCAAGAGGATTGCTTGCGAGCATATTGCGTCGCCGCTCAAGATAGAGTTAAAGATTTATTAGAGACACGACCATATATAACGAAATTACTGTCCCATTTTAACGATGGAAAATATTCACTGCAATTCTCTGTGTGATAATAATAATAATAATAATAAACTTTATTGACCCACACTATTCTATTTAAACATGATAATTTATATTGAAATCATGATATAATATTAAATATTTTGGTTGAAATTACACTACAACCAAGTTTACATTTATCAATATGAAACATGGTAGCACTTATAACAGCCTATACTATATATATTCATTGTACAATTGCGATCATGTGAACACGGCTAAAGAAAGATACACATTGATTTATGTAATAAATATAATTTAGGTCAAACCTTCCTTTAGAATCTATTTAAAGCCCCTATAGAAATCTAACGGAGTTTTGAAAGAACTTCAAAGTATTACATTATTATATACCCGTAGTTTTTGACCTCTCATGCGGTTCCTCTAACAATAAGTCAAATGACAACTAAATAAATAATATACTCGCCAAGCATAGCTTTACACATCTTTTCCTGCTTCGGTTCTGAAATAATCAAGTAGCTTCATAATGGAAGAAATTACTCAGTGGACACACAGTCAGAGAAAGCGTTTGTCGTTTGAAAGGGGTTTTCTTGAACGTTATTTCCCAGGACGTACGAAATGGCTTGATCATACCAATCCTACCAAAGCGAAAGTAGAAATTACTTTAAATACAAACGATAATACAGAATATGTTCTTCGTATTTACCTCACAGAAGATTTTCCAAATTCATGCCCGGCGCTTGCAGTGGTTTCCCCGAGACTGAAGTTACGAGATGGAGAACGCTTTCCTGAAAAAAATTCGCTTTTCTTCACCTCAGATAACGTCGACAAATATTCAACAATAGGTCACTGCCATCCGGAGAGTTGGACGCCCCAGTTCACGCTTTTCCAAGTGTTTATGAAAGGAAGAATATGGCTGGAAGCTTATAGCTTGTATCATAAAACAGGAGAGACGATGGATCAATTTCTTAGAGAATGCGATGAGCCTGATGATGGGCCGAATGATAACAGTGGAGGAGCTACTTAAAGTGGAATGTGCAGAGGATTGCTTGATAATGTGTAGCGGCGTCCAGAGTTCTGATTCAGTAGATGTATAACCAGAACAGTAGATATATAACTGATAGTTGTAAACAAAATCGTATATATTCCCCGATTGCCCGATTCCGTTTAAAGTAGCTACAGGAATTGCATGTTTCCTACGTTTGACACGGCGATTAATATGAAGCATGAAGTTAATGATATATTTAGTAATTTCGTTGAAATAAAACTTGAAGTAATATGAAACAATATAGCAGCACGTATGGTCTACACTACATGCAACAGCCATGTAGAATTACGTTCTTATGAAAAATATATTTGGTAAATCTTTAGGTTACACGATGTGTAATTTAGTTTGCAGAATGTAGAAATAAAATATACTGATATTCACATTGGAAAAATATTCCAATTTTGCCTAGCAAATAATAGGCTGGTTATCGAGTTGTGTTCTTTCACATTTCAACAGAATTACAATGTCTTGCCTGACAGTCTCCGTTGACTAAGAACATAACAATTTTGGATTCTGATGGGGGTAGTGCTTCCCGTCATTGTCACATCAAACAATCCTTGTTTCCAAGAGGAATTTGAATAAAAGTCGGTACCTTTACGGCGGATAAATAAACACGATTGTTCCTCTCGCAGGAGACAGCATCATCAGACGATTGGGCTCCGATGAATTTTATTCAGTATTTTGAATCTTACGCAAAACCAAACATTGACATCATAGAGTTTGCATACGCCATGGGTTTGACATTGGGATGTGGCTAAAATGAAAAGAAAAATCATTAAAGCATTGGTAGAACACGAGATGGTTTATATGATCCCCAAATCAGACGAGATTTAAGTGTAAGATGAAACACGTTATGATAAAGACTTAGTTGTTGTTCTTCCAAACTAGCAAACGATCATAACTTTACTAACCACGGCATCGTAGGTTGTGAACTGAGGTCTTAAATCAGAATCCATTGTGATAAAAGCTCCTTTGTTTCCCATTTGATCGCTAAATTTGAAAGAAGATAACGTTTGATATAAGGTGTCTCAATTTTCGCTGCTCTGTCAGTTCTCAGAAGATAAAATTACCAGTAGTTTGGAGCGGAAAAGACAGTGACACACTTTCCATCATGGGTCACCTCATAACCTTCAGCTTTCACTTCATGACTTCGGATAATATATTCTAAACGAAAAAGAATGCAAGTTATAACGAGTTGTATCAGAATCAAACCTACATCAATCTGTTGAATGCACTACGTTGTAAAGAATTCTTGAAACAGCCTGATGATAATTTATATGGTTACCTAAATTATTCAGGGTGCAGAATTTCTTTGTTACGTCTGGTCCAAACTGGATTGCCACGCCTCGTTTGCTGGCTGATCGACCGTTCTGAAAATAGTTTATTTTACTGTTAGAGAAACATCAAAAACGACTGTTGTGAGCCGTCAGTTTAACTTCACCTGCGGTTGAGGATCAGACCACAGCAGTTCACACATCACACCTAATGAAACAAGATTAGTTTATCATTAGAGCATCAGGATTGCCCGATTGATTTCTAGAATATCAGTTAATTCTCAAGTGAAATAATCCACTAAAACTTCAAATAGTCGTGCCTTGCTCGGGAGGTTGTCGGTTTCTGTCGATCTTTCTGATTTCATCCAAAGTGACATCATCTCGACTGAACAGTCCTCCGTGCATTACCTGACAAGAAAACATGTTTGCTAAATTACGCTCACGTCACATTATTGCGAGCGCGCGAATAGGACTTGAGTGAGCAACAGCGGTTATACACCATCAAAGAAACAGCCGAAACATTAGCTTTGGTCACTATAGTGGAACCAGAAATTTGAAGCTAGTTTTTCTAGTGAATGACTTGAAGGTATTCAATGTTTAGATAAGATTAGATGGATGTTATATGTTCAGACTTACCATAACTTTATTATTGATTAGATGAGCTAGTGGTAACCAGTTATAAACTTCGGTGAAAAGTTCTACCATATCCGTGGAATATATTTGATAAGTTAAGAAATATACATCCTAGTTTATCTGAATATCCATATGCAATTGGATTCGAGACCTTTTAGACATAGAAAAGGATACTTCGACTTGACTTCACCTTCAAACCCGTACATTTGGTTCATAGAGCTTGTCTCGTGGTTCCCTGAAAATATACAATAGTGAAAATTTACTGAAATTCCATCGAGACATACCTGAGGTATTGAATCAATATACTAATCTATTACTGTACCTCGTGACATAAAAAAATGATTTGGGTAAAGGAGTTTAAAACTGAACAACGTAAAAATAACTTCACAGGAGAATGAACCTCTATCTACAAAGTCACCATTAAACAACTGAAAACAGGTTAAGGAATCATAATGGTCCTTTTAAAAATGCTAAACAGTATGGTTGCGTGGTGTTCCCGGGCGTCATCCCTCAAAAAGCTAGGTATAAAAGGATACATATGGATTGTCTTCTGAAGGAAGGCCGTTTAGTTCAAAAATATTTAACAAGTCGTAAAATTGCCCGTGAACATCGCCACATACGGTAAATTTATTTCCCTGCAACAAACCAAACATTCAAGAAAATAAACTAATGAAGAATAAATCTGTGAACATTGATTTCAGGAATGTCTTACCTCTGGTATCGTTATATCACACAAAGTATTCACCTCCTCGAAGTATTTCTTAATATTTATTAATATCTGTTAGGAAAAAATCAGAAAATATTTCAGTGGTCTCCTAGTTGAGTTCAATCATTGTAGCAATCCATTCTCCCAGAGTTCAGAATTTCAAGATGACGTCGGAATTTATTCCCATGACAAAACTACGAATGATCTCTTCAATTCAACATGAAGACATATCTATAGCAAGCACTAACGAACATTCTTACCGTGTACGCGTATTTTTTATGTATTTTCTTTTGATCTTTAAATCTTGTTAAAAGTTTTTCAACAAATTCAAACGTCACTTTTCCATCGTCAAGACGTGGTCCGTCGTAACTATCGTCTACATCTGACGGTCAAAAAACAAGATTCTGAACAAAATTCTCGCGTAAAACAACAGAGAGCAATCTCAAAGGATCATTGGCTAGGAATGGGTAAAGGATTTAAAGGAAGGAAAATAGAAAAGCCTGGCTTGCGAGGTTGAACTAAAAATTGATTGTCTCATTTATGTCTGCCCCGTATCTGTCCACAAGATTTCCTTCTGACCTTGTAGTCATCAGAGGGCACGGATATTTTAGGGAGAATTCGTGATCACATTGCCATGGTAACAGGTGATGTGATGTATCTATATTACTCCCACATATCCTCATATTTCAACCTGTAGATTATATTCTGTGTTAGTTCGATCTCTCGCATGTGGGAGGACGTTTCGCGACAGATCTTTGCGAGCATGCGCGCGCGTTATCATTAATGATATGTTCAAGTTTACATTCTTTCCAAGACTACACAATTTGTATAACAAAAAAGCACAAATGGTTGCATGTAAGTCTGCAAATATTCGGCTGATTATTTGAATAAAACTATTGAAAGCATTTCAGAATAAACAATTTCATACTCATTGAGTTAACATCCAAAGATTCTGCCATTGGTTTCTTTTCATGATCAACTGCTATGGCTTTTTCAAAAGCTTTTTTCTGTACAATTTTCTTGCATTCTGTGTATTTAAGCCGTGCGTCTTTATCTTTTGGTCGAAACTTCACCACCTAAAATGTGATTTTAAAAAATCATAAATATTAGACCTTACCATTAATATGTTTCCTTGATCGAAAGAAAAATTCTATACTTACAGTTTCATAATCTTTTAAACTTGCTTTGAATTTTCCTAACACCATGTTTGCTGAAGCACGTCTATAATATGCCTGAATAAACAAGAATATTTATTCAAGAATTCTGTTATGTATTACAGTTCACATAGCAGTATCACATAGCAGTTGAGATGAAAACAGAGCTGTTATACCCACCTTTATATATGTTTTATCAAGTTCCAAAGCTTTATCAGCATCAGCTAATGCATCACCATAGTTTTCAAGTTTTATAGAACAGAAGCTTCTGTTACCATAGTACACAGCACAATATGGATTCAATCTTATTGCATGAGAGTACAGTTCCAACGCAGTTTCAAAATTACCATCTAAGTGAAGGAGAGTAAAAATTGTATTTTTGACATGCCACAAAGCCTGGAGCCTCATAATAGACCTGATGCATGAAGACCATAATATTTTGCTAGGAAATTGGCTAATTGCAAGACACTTGTTGGAAGCAATGGGGTCTGAGTTAAGTTGAATAATATCATGATCTACTTATTATATCTTTAATCAGTTATCGCACTTCTTAATTTTTTTAAAAACATGTGTGATTTTTTTAAAAGTGGGTGGAAGTAAAGAATGTGGCTCAAATACATGATTGAAATACGACACAAAATGCGAGGTGTTAATCGTATTAAGCGACGTCTTTTAGTGAAAAAGATTAATAGTTTCTATATATATATAGTAATTATATACTCATTGGGCAGTACAGAAATTGTAAAAATATCATTATATTAAAGGCAATAGAGGAACAGTGAAGTGAGATTAAAAGCTTCAAATAAAATTAATGAAAATTATTTAATACTTGACTTTGTACAAATGAACAAAAATCCTTTCACCACGATTTCCCATGAGGATATTCAGGAAAAAATATATATATGATGTAGTTCTAAAAATGTTACCTTTGAAGAATTCGTTTGCACTTGCTTTTACTGAGTCTGCCTCTTCTTTTTTCTGTTGAGAAATCTCGATATTTTCTTCACAAGAAGCTAAATCCTGGATCGCCACATTAGCGGCCATATTGGATCTGATTTCACCACTGAGCTATATATATTCAATTTCTGTGTATTATTTTATGGTGGGGGGTTGTAAATATATATATTTCAGGGCAGATTATTTATTGTTCATTTTATTTTATAACCTTGAATGATGTTGGCATATATGGATATAACTGGGTCGGAAAATCATTGCTTTATAAAGATAAGGATTCCAAGTTTCCAACCAGCCAGGGTTTTGCCAACCCAGTAACTTACAACTGGAGGAAGGTTGGTGCATGTTGGAAGTAAACTGGACTGGATCAATGTGGTTTAATACTTGTTTGTTTACTAAGTAAGGTGAAGCAGTGAAGCAGAAATGGTTGATTATTAAATCTTTTATTATTCACAGCCTTCAGCTACTTTAAATCTATACTTAGCATAGAACTGGTAGTAAATTAATCATTCCTATTCTTTTAATTCATAAAAATTCTATTTAAAAAAAATTCTATTAAAATTCTATTTAAAAAATTTTTTCACTGCTGGTTAGGCATATGAATACCATCTTTTATCATTGTTCTAGGCTTCGTGACTTTCCCATGTGCCCTAGTCCAAGACGACCTGGTCGTTTGAATGCCTTCACTGGATCTCGTATACCAGAGCAGGTGGGACCAAGTCCTTGCCCAGGTGACCAGCCCATGTTTTGTAACATCTGATTGCCAATATTCTTCTCTGACAATGGAGGAGCAGTATCACCAACAAATAAACCTGGTGGAAAAAATAGATATATTCATCCATGAAAGAACAGATTTTTGAAATTCTAATCAATGACTGCATGTATTTACCTGGTATAAGTGGGGACGCCTTCCGTCGCCTTTTAACATCAATTCCAGGACTACATGTTTGTGACTCTCGTCTAGTTAAAACAAATAGATAATATAACATCTTCAGCTAACCACATCAAATGTAATAGGTCTTCATTAACTCATATACTTATAGGGTTTAAATATGTACTAGTAGAGGTGATAATGTTACTTACAATTCTCTGAACGGTCTTCCAAGGAAATGACACAAGGCAGATTGTTCTGGTTTACTTGTACTCCTTAATACAAAAGAGTTACAAAATAAAGTATTGAAGAAGTGACAAAGAACAAGTAATAATTGCAAGAATAGAATGTATATATATAATTTTAATGACTCTGTGATAAAGGAAGCTTTACCTTGTTTTGGCAAGAACAACCATTCCTCTCCTTGTTGGATCCTCCATTTTACAATGTAATGAATACAACGCTGCCAACTGGGAGAGCTAGTAGGAAAATGGAATTACCAAAATCAATGTACTATACAATGTTTGATCAGACAAAATTTAGTTAATAAATAGATCATACTAGTAAGCATTAATAACAAACCTCCTCCTTGTCTTTCCTCTTCACATGAGAAAGACGTAGCCTTGAAAATTTCAAAAACACAATGTCAAATATTACAAACATACTTTATCTGCATGTGAGCTCAAAGATAAATGTGTGAAATCAACTCACTCTCTCTTGCTAGGATCTTTCAAAAATTTCTTGATTCTTTTATTGGCTTCAAGCATTGCTGACTGTCCCATCTAAAACCAAGTACATACAATGTATCATTTATTCTAATCACATTCCCAAAAGGGTACTCTTCGCAAATGTAAAGCAGTGTATTACCTCAGATCTTAGGAAATTTGATCCAGACTGTCTATTGCTGGACACTACAGCAAAACAACAGACATTATGAAACTGTTCAATGGAGTGAATGCATTTCATGTTCATGAGTTTATCACCAAGAACACAAACCTTGATCATCTTCAAGGAAAAATGGTTTTGATTTGAGATATTCCAAAGTCTCTCGGTAGAGTTTATGGAACTTGATATCCTCATCATCGCTGATAGACTTTCTTCGGAGCCAGCCACATTGGGAGTCTGTCTCGTAACAGCTTTCCTCCTGTTCGTCATCGCCAAATTGTCCTTCATCATTTGTAAAAATCTCCTCCTCACTGCTTGATGACAGAGCACTGCTTTCAGGGGTGTGTGTGCTTTCACACATTGTGTCTGATTCGCTCTCTTGTTCATCACTGCATATTTCCATATCCTGTAGGTTCGGCCAGGAGTGACGGAATCGTTCAGCTGAACCTGGCATATGGTTGGCATACTCCCCACAGCTGCTAGTATGACCGTTTTCAGCATCGGCTAAGAAATCATCATCATTTAACCAACTGCGGTGTGCCTTCAAAATAACATGCTTACCATTGGTCAATTGAGTGGTGTTTAACTTAGTCATGTCCATAGTCATAGGAGGTGGGACTTTGAATAAGCTAGGTTGCAATGTGACTGAGAGAGGATGAGATGTACCACCACACATTTTTTTATGTTTTCTTTTACGTTTCCGTCTTTTCTTTTGGTAGTTGATCTCGGAACAAGAATCACTTTCAGCCTTATCTGCGTATTGATAAGGGTCACTACAGCCATTACTAAGATTGTTAAGTTGACAGCGCAATGAGGATAAACGTTTGATCATATTACTATCCAAATCTGAGTCACTTTGTTGAGCTGCGATATTTTCCATATAATCCCTCAATGCTTCATCTGTTGTGTCACTTTCTTCGCTTATTTTCCCAGCACTTTCCAACAAGTAGAATATATTTGAACGATTTCTTTTCCTTCGCTTTTTAAAAGATCTAGGTTTAATGACATCTTGTCCCTTCGAGGGGAAAAAATCAGCTATGTCGTCAAGAACCATAGCGTCGCTTTTAAAACTAGAAGTTGCCATATTTTTATGTAAAGAAACGGAGTAATATCTTGAAGTTTATAGCCAGAAACACGTTACCATTTATAAAGGACTGAACGTTCTTAAATATTTCTTTTTATTCATGGTTTAATCGACAAAAAACTGCCATAAATAAAGTTGGTTTATCACTATGAAAGGTTTATCACAATAAAAATATTTTGTAGAAATAACCCCCCTGGAAAGATAAATAGATAAAGACCGGGGGGGTGTAAGGATTTATTATTTAATGGTTATTTATTAGATAATGGTTATTCATTATATAATGGTTATTTATTAAATAATGGTTATTTATTATACAATGGTTATTTATTGTATAATAAATACTAAGATGGCGCGGTTGATCTTACAAAAGAAAACAAATGCATCAATACAAATTTACACTCAATTTAATCGAAAAATCATTTTACAACATTAATTTCTACGTATGAAAATATGTGGATAGAGATTTGATAGAAATATGTGTATAGATTTTTGAGAAATTACCTCTTTGAGACCAAAAAATACATCCATAAACCACTCATTCAGGAGGATAGATAAAAATGCATGTTTCATATTATTCTAATCTTCCCAGAAGGCCCAAAAATTGCCCTCTCTCCCCCCTCAACTCAATAACGCGAGCAACGCAATGAAAATACCTTCCTTAGGAAACATTCAACATAAAAAATGTCTCAAACAGCAGTGTTTCGTCGTAATTGAAGAGCGTCTAACTGTTCCAGTACAAACGTTATTGTCTCTTGTCGAACAAGCTTTAGTTGTGATTCCAAATTACGAACTTTCTCTAAAGCTTGCGTCAAATCGTTTCGCAAACTCTCGTTCTCATCTTTCAATCCTTTGTTTTCTTCTTTGAGAGATTTTATTTCCTACAGAATTGAAAACAAGGATGTGGCAAAGACGGATTAATTCTTCACAACCCTAGTTACAATCAAGACGTGAAAGAAGGGGACATGGGGGAAGAAGGGTCGCCCCCCCCCCCAATCATTCGAAAATAATATTTTGGAAACGTTGAAATTGTGGTAAAAAATTAGGAGGTGTTACTAAATCTTTATTTTTCAGCAGGGACGCTGACCGACGTTCCTTAAATACGCCTCTCAAAGTCAGATCGCGACAATGCTCCTGGTTATAAGCCTTACCTGATCAGCATGGTCTGGGCTTGAATGAACAGCATCTGTTTGATCAACGGTGATAGGGACTTCTTTGATGATAGGCTCATGTTCTGATGGCGGATGCCGAGATCTCCGCTTTTTATTCCATTTATTTCTTATAGCATCTGCTTTGCTTGCAGCCCTTTCCAGCGCTGAAACAATCATGGCAATGAATATGATTTGTTAACGAAGGACACACACACATGCAAAAGCCATGCATGAATCTGTTGCGATACATACTTGATGAATTCGAGTTTAACGAACCAGGCGATGATATTTTCGCCCTACAATCAATCACGACTTGACCTTTGCAGGCCTTGTGACAATTAATCCCACAATCTAAAAAGACAGTATTTGTTTAGAAAAAAAAATCAAAATTACCAACACGGAGAATATTACTTCATGCTGTTTCACAATTGAGAATCGCCCACCTTTGCATTTAAAGCCTTGCCTGATTAAACCCCACAGCTAAAAAATAGAAACAGTTCCTTAAGATTTTACGGTGGATAAGACATGAACGTTTCTTCACGATCTTTCTGGTAAATTTCCTGCTTCGGATGAAATGTTAATCCAGGGTTAATCTTAGGATATACTTACTACACCCCCACAATGTTCACAGAAGCTTGGAGTGAGATACGTAGTTTCCTGGAAATTGTGTATGAAATCTCTTCCCAAAGCTCGGTAATTTGCTTTCAAGAAATACGACTTCATTTCTTCTTTTGTAACAACACCATCACTATTGTTTTGAAGAAATAAATAAAACTGTTGAACCTTAGTTACTATTCAGGATGGGTCAGTCAGAGATCGTTTTTAGGGTTCAAAGAAAAGTCATTTGAGACAAGGCCGGTAACTGGTACACATGGTTTGTGAGGCAGCATATGAGGATAGAACCGGCCAATATCCCCAATTATCACCCTACCTATCAGCATCTACCACGCCAAAGGCATCAATGAACGGAAAATTTGTTGAAATCGCCTCAAAATCACTTATTGTGAGTCGACCATCACTGTCACGATCGTAAAACTTGAAAACAGCCTGGTATGAAAATATTCAATGTCATCAACAGCTGATTTTCTATATACAATAAGGTGTCAAAGTCATCCTTTAGTTTTGGGTTTAAACAAGAGATAGCACTACAAGAGATATGTTCTCGATACAAACCTCGACCATAGATGTGACATGTCTGTCAATAGTTTTAGAGTCAGGCGATGACACGCGACCAGAAGCCCAATCAGCAAATAGTTGAGAATTTGTAGAGCTATCACTCTGTGATATCTGAAGAAAAAGCCAATATTTCTTTTAATAACTCAAGCGAGATATTTTAAAACAATGATTGAATGTTTTCAAACCTAGAGAAAACTTACAACACTTGATCTCTTTGGTTCTTTGGCGTAGGATAATTCGTACAATTCGTCCTCAGTGATGGTCATTTGAATTGATAACTACGAGAGACAAATCGCATTGTATTTTATCAGCAAGGAAAAGCTCAGTATTTATCAGCTGTGCCGTGTTTTATACTCACGCGAAGCATGTTAATCAGTTCGAATTTTGACGGCGCAGGTGGTTGCATGTTCTTGAAGTTCATTAAGGTGGCGATAACGGTGTAAAATTTAACCATTTTTTGAAAGTTGATCAACTTTTTATCTGAGACGTAATCAGGTAGAGCGCAGTCGACAGCGATTAAATCTTTAAGATGAACTCCTGAAAAATGTCAGAAGATAACGTTTGATCAATGAATATTGATCAATGAACTAACCCTACGCAAAATTATAATACAATGAAAACAGACAATGAATGCTTTTATGTCAATACCTCTGAAAAATTCCATCAGAATCACATAAAGAATAGAAATGAAAAAAAATATTAATCACTGTTCATCGTCGGGTTTAAAAACACGCATTATTATAAAGAGTTCTCACAATATTGGAACATAAAAACCACTGCACGAAGCAAGCTCTCTTCTGTAATTGGCATAGTTTCCTTCAGACGACAAGAATTCGGTCATTTCTTGAAGAAACTGCAAAAGAAAACGTTCAAACGTTACATTGCATGAATACATTGTGACGAAGATGCAATGAAGTTGCTAAACGTTTCATCTTAAATACCTTCTTCTTATTCTCGCTGAGCACTAGCATTGTTTGATGCAGTCTTCGTAATGCACTGTGATTTAAAGCACCAATCACGGCCATGAGACTGTTGAAGTTTTGATGGCTTCGCAGACACTAAAGAAAGTATTCAATCGTTCGAACTTGTTTTCAAACGATAAAGCCATGATCAAGCAAATAAATGTGTTGGCAAACCACCTTTCTACTATAGGGTGAAATCTTCACGCCACAGTTTGGAGGAAAGGACGTCCATTTAGGGACGGTTAGGAGGGGCAAAGAGACAAGGATTTGAAATCATGATATTGTTTCCTTCATACCTCAGCCACGTTCAAGAATTTTTCAATGACATGAGCTCGTATCTCAGGAGATGCACCTTGAAGTACCATAGCTTCTATCCATCTTGATAGACCATTGAACCGAACAACATATTTTTCAAGACTTGGGACAGTGCTTAGTTTAGTCTTCCTTGCGTACGTCTTCCATTCTGACATCTATAGAGATTGAATCAAGCTCGTGATTTGTCGTGCTATCAGTGGAACCTCACACACAACAGTGAATCTTACCGGTATTTTCTTCAACGATCTGCAGTCAATATGTGTCAGTTGCTCAGCAATATCTTTCGGAGTGAGGTCATGAAATGCCAAAGATTTCGTGCGAGCCACTTCTTTTTGTCTCACAAGTCTTGTCGAATGGCTGTGGAGTTCGCCTGCTCCTCTGTAACAAAAAAATAACTCAGACTATTTGTTCATTCCTTTCATCAAAATCATCTCAGGGGAGAGTTGGCAGGAGAGGAGAGCTCAACAATTATCAATAAAACGTTGACTAATTACTTGAAATTTGAAGCAACTGATCATTCTTCAACCTCATTACTCTCGTGTGAACAGAACTCAGGTGATTCTCTTCAGCAAGTTGACCTGGGGGATCTGGGGGTCTAATCCCAGGTAATTCCCTACGAGGAAAAGCAGGCCCTCAATGCTACACAATACTGAGCTAACTAACGACTTACAATACTGATCTTCCGAGCAATTGTTTGATTTTCTTCTCACTCGCTGGAAATTCATTGATTAGAGATTTCTTAAACTGAGCAATATCCAACAGAACGCTATCATCACCACGGAGGTAACTCCCGAACTTTGAGAGCCAATAACTAAACGATCATTTCAAAGAAATAAAAGATACAAGCAAGTTAATTCAATAGACCGAAATATTGTAATGTTTTCGAGTTTCTGAAGTGGAGTGTACTTAGTGAGATATTAAGAACAAACATAATACGAATTCGGAGATTTCACCGCAGTATTGTGGCAGCAGGTAGTCATATGTATTGTACATAGATCGTGTGAGATGGATGATGTAACTTACTTTAAAAATTGACAAATAATCCAGACATTGATAGCTGGATCATCTTCACTCTCTGACTTGTGACTTTCATTCAAAGATGATGATGTTTCTTGGCTTATTGTACCTTCCTTCTGTTCATCCTCAATCATTGATTCATCTTGTTTGTCCAACGACTCTTCACGAATACATCTTATTTTCACCTCTGGTGTCTCAACTGTTTCTTTAATCTGATCTACAGAACATGGCTCAACAACTGCCACGCTATAGAACATTGGTTCTGCTACAGTTGATGCCATTTGAGATGTTTCATTATTATTCTCTGTGCTTGTATAAACTGTCACAGTATTATATTCACCAGTGTTCGAATCACTGGTCTCATGAAAATTGTCTTCACTCGCATCTAATGCAACGCCATTACCATTTGGAACAGTTAAATAACGTTTGTCAGCTCCAGCTTCATTGTCTAATTCATCTCCAGATTCCCTAGTTTCAGCGATACTTGTAAGTTTTTTTGAATCTTGATTATCATGGTTCAAATGTGGAGTCTGAAATACTTCAGCAACATTATCACCATTGGTTAACGGGACACCATTTACACCTTTCTGTCTCTCGTATCTTGTGAGCAATATCAAGGAATGTAAGGCAATATGTACTGTGTGTTTTAACTGTGTACATGTACTCTGTCATCCCCTGCTAACCTACCCTATCCTGCAATTCCTGTCTTGTATACAGAAACCTGCATATTTTTACATCATATCTATTTCAATAGGCACAAATCTGGAAGATGCTAGCTAGCCCTTTTAGCTATTGACAAATTTAACTAAGCCTTAGGCAGATTGAGGCTAGACAGACGTATTTTCATGGTGATTTGTGGATACAGTTCAATGACCTTTGCAAGGAAATCTTTAGACGTAACATACCAGCCATGCATGGTTAAGAGGACAATGGTAACTGAAGGTGGTGATGTAATGCAACCATCTTCATCTACAAACAATTATAATTACAGTATAACTGCAAAGTATTGGAAAAAGTAACTTCATCATGATTCAAACATTAGACTCTCTATCAAATCATTTGTAACAAACCACTTTTGAATACTTACCAAATTCTTGCAAGGCAAGTTTAATAAGCTTTTCCAAACTCCCAGATTCAATAGACAACGAGGTGAATTCTTTAGAAAGGCTTGTGTTAGATGTCACTAATAAATAACATAGTCTCTTAAGTTCTTATCTTACTGTGTAAAGATATACAGAGATGATGATATCATAAGTGATAGGAGTCAGTCAATATAAAAAATTGTAATCTTGCCAATTATTGGTAATACAATTTTCTGCTTTTTTTTAAAACTAACATTCATACATAGTTTAGTCTTTAAATAATAGTTCATAGGTCACAAAAATTAATTGATTCTGGTTTGTTCGTTAAAAAAAGTTGTAGAATTTTCAAAAAATTTTAAAGTGAAATGAAATTATGGAAATTTGATGGAAATATGTAAATTACAAACTAAAGAGCTATTAGATATAGAAATGCGCAATAATCTTTCGTATTATGAATTGCTATAATTCAGGGCAATTTTGCAGTCATTGAGCAGCCAGCTACAACAATATGAAAGAGAAACAGCTAATTTTCATTTTAAAACAGATTGGTAACGTTTCTCGACTAGAACTCAGCGAAAAATACAGAAATTATACGAGCCTTAATGATATTAGCTTCACACTTAGTCGTTCAAGAACAATAAACAGTTCTTTCAAGCACTTTCTAATTATTCATCAGACAAATACCTGAGAAATTACACCAAAACAGCTGGCAAATATGATATGTAATTTATCAAATAACACGGATTAAGTTTCCTTGTAGCACTGACACCACAATATTTAAACGTTGTGATGCAAGTTTAGGCAAGCCAGAAATTATAAAATATATTCGACCATTTTTGGAAAATATCGAACTTGCCGAGTCTTACGTTATAAATATTCCGTCTGGAAATAACGTTTTCAATTAATACGTTTCCCAAACAATTCACCAATTTGCTAAAGAAATTATTCTAAAGAAGATTAAAAGATAAAATCCAGAATACACTGTTTAACTTTACTTATATTCATGGATACTTAACCGCCCGAAAAAATTATAAATCTCAAATATTTTCAGCCTAAGTTTACACTGTTAATCTTGCTTTAACAATTCTCAAATCCCTCTGGAAATGCGTATGAAAACAAGCCCTAAAATGGAGTTTACTATTGCCCAATTGAACAGTAAACATCGTCCGATTCAGGCAGTTTGAAGATTGGATTATTAATTCAAAAGATCTCAAGGGCGAATTAAAGCAAAATCCCGTTGAAACGCAACAATTAATGAACAGGTAGACACTTTTGAAACGTATAACAAGGTAATACTGACCACTCGGATGAGATTTCAGTGCTCTATCCATCTAGAAAGATTTCCAAAGCCAAAATGATTGAAAAAGATTTAAAAATTGTTCTCCATTGATGTAAAATTCAAAGATAAACATATGTGAGAGGACGAGGAAGTAAACATTACGCGCCCACGCAACACGACGTTCCGCGGTATCACATTGGAAATAATTTGAAACAAATTGGTTACAATGAATATGATTGTAATAACTCAATACAATTGTAATGTTTATGTTTCCTGTACATCTAAATTCCCCGCCTCACCAGGAGACGATCTTTATCCGGAAATTTCGCGTCGGGTGCCAGTATAAAATCGGATAGCCTTTCCTTTAGCCTGAGCTTCCCAGCTTGAACCATCCATCATTTTGCTGTGTGCGACAGGGCGTAGCAAGGGCATGGGGTAGCCGGTAATGTTTTACCCACGTCTAAATGATCAGATCACTCCGTGACTCCGATGATGACATCCAAACTATACGGGGTTAGCAGTTCATTTTTACCAAGTTTACTGCATGTTCAGGTTAATACAGATAGACTGAGATAGTTCTGACCCGGAACCATTCAGTTGATGTTCCGTTCAATGTTCTGTTCTTATACTTGTTTTTTAAACAGCTAAATCTGTGGTATATATAAGTATATAAGTCTTTTTATAAGCATGATCCTATAAAAAAAGTCATATGTGGTGATATGTAATGTTAAAAAAAAACGATCGAAGCAGCTGTCATCTTAAAAAATGTGTGATACTTTTTATCACCATAGATACGATGTTCACAATATCACGTTTAAAAACAAGTGAAAGAAATCAGTCTATTTCTAAACTTATATCGCATTACATGCAGTGTGCGTGGTTATAAAAAGAATGAGAATAATCTTAGTTGAATATCATATTTAAGAGAGCGACAACCGAGAGCAGATTTCAGTTGAGATAGAATGATTCCATTCAAATCTTACTCCATTATACCAGCCCTGATGTATTTGACAGTGGTAACACTAGCTAATTCTACGAATACAGGAATACCTGACACCTCTTGGAATTTCACGGAAATCCGCAACACTTCACACATTCCTCATCTTCAACCTAATAGAAATAACTCTGATGTTTGTAAAACAACACAACACGTAAGTTTTCAACGTTAAGAAACTGTAACAGTTTTTTATATATAGGGTTTAATCTTGATTTAAGCATTACGATGGAGTACGATTTTGCAAATGCTAGATTTTAATCCTAAAGGAGAGTGGCAATGTGGCATGTTTCAAACATGTCTAGCCCTAGACTTTTTCCGGCTACACTTTCATTTATTCTTGTATTTTATTCTAGCCAAGCCAAGCGTCAACTCATGCAGATATCGGGAGAGAAATACATTCGCAGAATTGCAACGAGCATTGTTGCTGGAACTTGCGCTTTTTTTAACGCCGTTCTTTTACTCGTTATTCTTGCTGATCCTCTGAAAGTACTCCGCAAAGGATCTTGGATAATGATCATCAACGTAGCACCCGCTGACCTCATGGCCTGCGTCTCGAGAAATGTTTGGGATCGAGGATATTAAATTTCAGGACAACTGCGCCTTCGGTTGGAGACTTAGTGTTTCCGCCTCATTCATATTGCTAGGTGTTTCACAATGCAGATTTGCATGATAACTAAATTTCCCTTTAGAGCTTCGAGGATGTTAACAAACAAAGTTACACTGAATTGTGTCGGGATTTAGCTTCTTGGGATTCCCTTAGCGTTTTGCAATATATCTTACTTGATGTTGTCGGAAGAAAAAGAAATGTTGAAGGCGTTTATTATTCAAATTACAGTCTTAGAAGTCGTCGTTTTAATTCAGATTATCTTAAAAATTATTTTCAGTTTTCAGGTGTTTAAGAGCAGCCGTGATGCGGGACAAAAACGCTGTTTTAGAAAAGTACTTTTTATGAATAATAGGAATATAATTTTGACGCCAGTGTGTATATATTTATTTATATTATTACGTGACGCACTTCAAACCGCGGCGGATGAGGAGAGCTGTAAAGAAAAAAATTGTTTCCCATTCTATTTTAAAAAGACAGTTTAAGCTGTGCAAACAAAACATGTTTACTAATCAATATTGAAAACCTGTTTCGTGCATGAGCTGATAAGGTATTTGCATAAAAAACAAGGAAGACTGTTGCAATAAATAATGAGTTTTTATTTAGCATTACCTAAGGCATTTAAACCGCACATGTAACGATATTATTCACAGCGATCCCATGCGATAATCGAGTGTTAATATAATCTCTGGTGTCCTTAATTAAGGATCGAGCTAGATTTAATACTGATATCCGTTAAGACTTTTTTTCCAGCAACCTCCACGACATTCCGTCTTCTTGTTCAAGGCATCACGCTGCAACAGCTTTCTGTCTTTACTCCCGTCAAAATCTTGAATGATCTTGGCGTCATCTGTCGTATCTTCTTCTGCATTATACCCGGCATCCATTTTGGCCTTGCAGCGCCCAGTTTGTTTGCATAAAACACAAACATAACAATGAAGACAAATTTCGCTCTAGCCATTTTCTCTCTTCAGTTACACCTCTGGATTTCCACTGCACGGTTAAATGTTAGATTGATTGTACAGTTCAGAGCGAAACGAGCTTTTACAGAGGGCATGACAAGCGCAGATGCTGAGGTGACAATAATATTCATGGCAAATTCACCACTCTGTGACAAACGAAATTGAAATTCGTGAAGATCATATCGATTTGATGTCGGGTTTTTTTTTGTAAGCCGCTTAGTCGGGCACTTAATCTTACACAACTTAATTTTCATTTTTCAGCCGAATAAAGTAAACTTTTTCAGGGGAAAAAAGTAAACCCTTACTAATCTCTTTCCGGCCCTAACCATATGAAGATGCTATGTATGAGACACCTTGCATATCTAATAGATTTCCAAATGTCTGAGTATATTGAATCCGACTTATTTGAGAGGATATCCTGAGGTATATTACGCCAACGTTCGTCAAACAAGAAAAAGATCTACGATTAAGTTACCCAAGCACATTTACAAGATGCATTAGCTATAGATCCATTGCTAGTGCCTCTGGCACGCACACATGTTACTCGCGACGATTTTGACCAACATGTATCATCAAGTTGAGTTATTTTGGTCCGCAAAGACGAGGAATACGTGTATAAGTGTAAAGTGTTAAGAGTGACATGTGTGCGTGCTTAGTACACAAGTGTGGGTGGGTTTAGATCTCTTGGGCTTGACCAAATTGATCACTTTACATGCAATACATTTGAACTTGAGGATTGGAGGGAAATCACCCAATCAAATAGTTTGAAAAACTTCAGTAAACAGTTATGAATACTGATGAAAGTCTAAATAACGAAAATAATTCGGATTATGTGATAAGAAGCGTGTGCGTTGTGTTCGTGTTGAGATGAAGTAATTGATGTTTGTCAAGATTATTTAGGATTAATTTCTTCCAAGAAAGTGTCAATTCGGGACGATAATAGTTCAAATACACATATGTCTTGTATAATTTTGTAGACTATAACTATCTGTTCAGTTTTCTGTATGGAACACGAAATTCTCTAGCACAGGCTGTTTTCTCTTGAGATGAACTATCTTCGAATCACGTTTCCATCCTAAAACCCCGTGGTCATCAAACTTATATTGAGATGCAGTAAATAAATCCTTATCTTTTGCAATAATACACACAGTAATGCTTTGCGTCATGAGCGTTTAGAAAACGATAATTATCAAAAGAAATTGGGCGGGTTTTTGTAGACCACGTGTTAAGTGTAGCTATAGACTAAACAGACGTGCATGCGAGAAGATAGAGGCATTAAAAAAAGATTGTTAAATAAACGAAAATACCGACAACGCCACGGGATTATACATGTGTTGTGGCAACACTAGGCCCTATATTGCTAGTATAATTATTATTTGTAACTTTATTGTCCCGCAGTTTGACCAAAATTTCTGAAAGGAAATTGAATAATTAAGACTATTTTTTTTAGCGTTGTAATATATATAGATACAAAAACGCACATAAATCTAAACTGTTTAATATAGACGTTCTATATATTGCCCATGCTCTAAACTCTTGCAAAGATTTGATTTGTGGAAGTCTTGAGTCTTCCATCGCTTGTTTCAGTCTAAAAACATCCAAGCAATTTGTGGTGAAATGTATATTAGGCAAAACGTAGGCTAATTACTGACAGACTGCGATAAGTTCATTCCTATGTAATTCTTATATCATGCTAATACCCCACTGATATTGAGAGGGCCATGCTGAAAAGTTTACACAAATATCATTCCTAGTTTACTAATAATTTAAGGAGCAGTACTAATAATCTATTTTGTGCCGGGTTCATTAAAATATATTCCAACCTGGCCATTCGTTCATTATCATTTGTAAAATTCACTTAATAAATTGTTATGGAGATATGTATATTCTCCGAATCTCCGTTAGTTTTACATGCATTCTTGCATGTTGTTTCCAAAAACTGACCCGGTTTTGACAGACCAGGATTTGAACGATATATCTGAATATTGCAGTAATATAAAACTTCATTTGCCATAGAGTTTTTTAAATATTCTATATGTCCATTTGACATTTAAAAAACCTGTTTTTCTGCGTGACAAATTCACCTGCAACGTAATCGAAATATCTCGATCATCGAAGTATATATATATATATATATATATACTATAGCCATATAGGAAAACGCATTAAACTTATCATGTGATACTGGGTCAAGCACGATGTCTCCTGTGTAGCAGCAGAGATAAGATGTCCTAAGAATTGGCTTGTAATGGCGATGTACAGATTAAATTTATGAATAAATGCATTTCAAACCGATAATTCAAGGGTCTTAGAGATCTGTGTACGTCACTACCTGCATGGATAGTTAATTTGCAGCAAACTGGTTTGACATATGCCAATTGAATTATTTATGAACGTCCGTGAATATATTGACCTGAATCCAAGGTTTAAGCATTTGGATTATTCATATCGTAGAGAGTGAGGACAAAAGCTGTATATATATTGTTTTAAAGTAAGAACGATAAACAGCTTGCAAACAATTTTTGGTCACACAAAGTAAATACACAATCGAACCACTTTGTAAAAGAAAGAGATGTGGCTGCTGGACACAAAAGGCTCTCACTTTTACCAAATCGCTCTTGTAATGTTAATATGTTGTTCTGACTCAAGCTTGCCTGAAGAAAGAAAGCCAGGGAACTGCACCTCAACAAAGATAAAGACATCAAGCAACACCACTAACCAGAGAAATGCCAACTGTTCAAATGAAACGAAAAGCACAAACGGTTCAAAAATTAATAAATCTGTAAGTGAGATATATATATTAGGCATATTCATCTATATTGTACGTCGAGTATATTATATAACGTCCCGTATTTTGCTTATTCTAATTTTCTGATACAAACTGAATCTTTATTCCTGCTAACAAATACTCAAATTGTTTTAATCGAATTCTTGCATGGTTGTGGTGTTAGCTTATGCGGTCATCAACTAAGGCACTTAAGTCCTGTAACGCACGCAATTCATTGCATGCAGTGCAAGCCACAAGAGGCAGATTTTTTCGAGCATAACGCTTTGTTGCATACATATACTGCACCACGGAAAACGTCTGAAAAGGTTATGAACCCGCATATTGCACATTCTGTGACTAATCAATTTACGTTGTCATTTTTCGAAATCGTTGTGGTTGCAAAGCGCCCACAGGCATGAATGCGGTTTGCTTCATTTTCAAAAAATTCCACTCGAAACAATATAGACTCCAGTCGACGTGATTAATTTAAGTGAACGTAAAAATACCCGCAAGAGTAGCACAAGGACACGGCAGTGAAAAAACCCCTCGCCAACAATTAATTTAAGCAGAGTAGAAAGTATTGCACAAGATATTAGAAATACACCATGCATGTCTACGTTACCAAATATTCTCCTATTTATACTGCGCAAGTGAAGTGTCACTTGACTCTTAATGAAATATGTTATTCGTTGTATTTAAGTTATATGTATAATGTATTTGGTTTGTTATATTTGATTTTGAGAGGTTTAAACAACAATCAAAAACAAAACTCTTGCATGGACGAATTCTTGAGGATCTTCTGAATTCTAACTATAGTCCGACATCATTGACAAATAACTTCATTTCTTCTGTCATTTGTTTGTAACCACACATGCAGTCGGCGGACTATAATATTATCAAACTATAATATTAACAGTGTAAAATCACTCTGCTTGTATCGCAGGCGTAATTCATGCAGTTGTTTTTCGGATCGACGTTTCCCTTGTGATTCTGTGCTATCATGCGAGTACGTAAAAAAAACTATAATGTCATTGTTTGCAGCGTTTAATATCACAATAAATGTTTCGTGTGGATAAGAGTCTTTCGTTTGAGCAGGAAATACATACTTGCGGTGTTTTTTTAGGGGAAGTGTTTAGTAATACTAAAGTGTGCAGGGATGGCTTACAAAATTACATGAGGTCAAAAGTTGGCGTTTATTTATTACAAGTCACGTCCCATGCAGAGGCAATAGAGGATGTTTAAACAGGAAAATATGCCGATACTTTACGTTCAAAACACTTGACGATCACGCGATAAGGCTGTGAACTGAATTGTGAAAATCATTTCTACTTATCTAATACTGCTTATGTTGCGTCTTCCTTTTCCTTCAAGATGAAATGATACTGATATTACCGTGATATATAAGAGCTGCTGCATGCAGGTTGCTTGGCGATCGAAGTTTGTTGTGAGGAAATGTTTTGACAGGCCGGGAACGTGCTACTTAAAAAACGACTTCGTTTTTGGCAGTGACATTTTCAATTTCACTATCCATCATAAAAAATAAAAAAAACGCAAAAAAAAAGGTTTGACGAGCGGAAAACCCGTTATGTCCCTACTGATGTAAATAAAAAATATTATCTGATATTATGAATGATGTATGAGTCTTAATGATTACTAAACTTCGGGGCAGGATTCTCGAAAACAAGATAAAAATAATTATAATTAACAAAGTGTTTGAAAAGCCGCAAAGATCATAACAAGTACAAAAGCTTTAGATAATTTTCTAATAACATCTGCCTGAAAGAGCTCTGATCACGTCCTGGACTTTGCTCGGGTTCATGCTTCTCGGGTTCATGCTCCCCAGTAGCGCTAACTCGAACTCATGCCCTCTGATGGATCTTTCGAACTTTACTCCTATTCTCGTACCCAGGGCGTCAAAGTTTAACCATGTTAGTGTCAGAGTCCTAGGAAGATTGTTTAGCGATATTTTCCAACACGTGTTCAAGCGATTTCTGTTATTTTAAGAAAGTCTTTTTCTGAAAATATTTTCTACTTTTTTCTAGGGACTACATGACGAATACTACATGATGTTAGGACCAAACATGGCGGTGACATTACTTGGAATGATCTGTAATTTTCTACTTATTCTCCTCATCACAATCGATCCACTGAACATCCTCCGCCGTGGTGCCTGGTTTACAATTCTTAACCTTTCAATTGCTGATTTTCTTGCTTGCCTGGATCACTTCGTGAAATCCTATCACTTTTATATAAGAGACCTGAAAACTTTATTCAAAATGAATTCTGAACTTGAATTCTTTTGGATGCTTTCTGTTGGTGCATCGTTCATGCTGCTGACATTTTTGACTTTACAGGTGTACTCTATCATAAAATACCCAATGAAAAGCAGGTATATTGTGACACGGCACAAGGTCGCACTGTCTTGTTTGTTCATTTGGGTTTTGGCAATTGGCCTGGGTTTCAGCGAGATATCGTATCTGTGGACAGACAAGTCACTGTACATATATATCGGGGGTATAGCCGTTCTTGAACTGGCGACCATCATTCAAGTCCTGTTGAAAATACTCATCATCTACGAAATCCTGGGTAGTGGCTGTGAAGGCATGTGCAGTGAAACGCAAAACGAGAGACAGAAGGATATTGCTAAAACTGTGATGATGCTGAATGTTATACTTATTGTAACCGCCTTTCCTTACTTCGTTGCAAAGCAGATAGAGCTGGGAGAACGCGTTGTTGGCACCGAGACGAGTTCGTTTCTTCGAAAATTTCCATATCTCTACGAGCCGGTGGCTCTTCTGAATTTCGTCGCCAACCCGATTCTGTATTCTTTACGTCTGCAAGATTACCGGCAGAGTTTGATTGCTCTTTTTACGTTCAAATGCAAATACCGACATCGCAGTCAGAGCATATCTTCACAACGCACCCTCGCCTCAAAACCTTCCATCTCTTTGCAAGAAAAACGCACGAGTACGGAAACAACTAAAGTGTGAATCTTTTTATTCTCGCACGCACGTGTATGTATAAAGCATACGACATTTCCGCGTGCGTGTTTTGACTTCAGTCTATAGGACCACTCCAGCTACAATGTTTCGTAATAAGTGAAATAAACAGATAGAGGTACACAGGCAAAAACAGTGAACAGTTATGAACACATTTCACATATATACATTGGCTTGAATTTGACTGAGATGTCTAGATATATACTTTTCAATCGGACTATTAAGACCTTTAAACCCTATAAAAATGATCGGCCTACGAAGAAAATGGAAAATTTTGTCGAAAGCAAATGAAACACAAGTGAGATGCAAGTGGATGGACGTGATGGGGTTTTAGGATGTACCATTTATCATTTATCATTTATCATTTAGGGTGTACCAGTTATCAACAATTGTATCAACTAAGTCTAAAAGCAATCGAGTGAGATTATAGAGTAGACATGCACGGTGCTTGGTAGGGCCAGATGTTCTGAACACAATTGATAAGCACATCTTTTCCTGTCTAATTCACCATATATATTACATAAAAAAAATGATTGTGTGCGTAATGTCTGTGTTGACCGATATATATTTTTTGACTTTATTTATAGATACATACATTATATAATAAGCTAAGTTTCTCAGTTTTTTAACTATCATGCAGTTTTAGAAAAAACTGGATTCAATTTGACAATTTTTTAGGCTATAAACACACGCGTATAAACACTAAATTTAGGTAGTTTAGTTTTTCTTCAGCGATTTTCATTGGACTAACATTCGAACAAGGTTTTTACTTTTTTCCACAGTCACGAATATCTGGCTTGTTGCAATAGGTCGGGTTTTGTCTTTTGCCTGGACCAGCGTTGGTTGCCATCCTATCCAATAACTTGAACTTCGTATCGTACTGTGTTTCCCTGCCAGCTATCTGCTCATTAAGTTTGTCTTCAACCCAAGTCCATCTTGGTCTCGCTAGACACAGGTTGATCATTGACAACACAAAGACATTGACAAGAAAACTCTTGAAGAATCCCATGATCTTTTTAGTCAAAACTCAAAGCTTATCTCTCAGACAGAATAAAGGCAAGATCTAATTTATTTTTAAAGCAGAATTCTCCTTTTATCGCTGCGGTAAGAGATGCTTCTCAAAAACACATCTGGGAACATATTGTATTCGCAGCCAGGTCGCGTAATGAGCCATATATTTTCAAATGTGCATGCATGCAATATTTTTAGTGCGAAGCAATTTGTCTTGTTCCGGATATTTACAGTTGCATATTTGCAAACCCTAAAGCCAGCTTTGAGTATGTTTCCAAGCACTCATCCAAAGCACAAAATAGTCCTAAAACAATCAGTATCTGAGTAAAGCAGGCAACGCGTAGGAGGCAGGGGTTGGACAGCTGCCCCCCCCCCTTTAATTATTTTTCCTATAGGAATTCGGCAAAGTATAATGGCAGATTCTGGCAAAATGGGGGGGGTGAATCACCAGTGGTTCTCGTGTGCTAAGTCTCATCTTGACCACACTCTCATCTTGGCACAGATGTTTTTTGCTGTATGCCATAAAACATGCAGCTATTGTTAGCAACATCATTTCGCAAGGATCATGAATAAAAAAATTGAAAAAGAAAAGTAGAAACGGCAGGAAGAGGGGTTGGGTAAGAAGTGAAACTGCATGCATACATGGTATTCATAAGAATCATTTCGGAAACGAAAAAGCGATAGAAAGAGAAGCCAATATTATGACGCTATATACTTGAAATGAATTCTTTCTAAGGAGGATGGCTTTACAAGTAGGACGCACTAAACATATATACGTTTCATTCTAATTATTTCTATAACGCCGACAGTTTTTTAAAAATGTCAGCGAGGACTGTATCTTATAAAATATTGATGATCCATTATTTCCTTGGTTTTCAAACCCCCTTTCTATATATGTATAGTATCATATATTATATACGAGGAACACTATAAGTCTTTAGTATTTTTGCACAAGTGATTATAATAATTGTTAAATATACAAACTGATAACTATATGCATACTGCATCGTGGCCGAAAAATACTGAAAAAAACAATAATCAAAGCCTTGCTCTGGGAGGGGTTTAACAACATTAGCTTCTGCCTTTGCGTTTGAATGTTTCTTCAGTATCACTTTCCTCCTGTTCGCCCTTTCGATTTCAATGCCGTGGTTTCTACCTGCGATAAATGCTTCATCGTGACAAGGAAGTGGTATATATATAACATGATACAATTGCATCGTGCAAGGTTTGAATATAGCGGCTCTTCTAACCAATAAATTGCCACACAATGCATAAAGATAGCTATCATCAATTGCAATATAATTAACTTTGTAGATATTCAGACAGAAAATGCTGGTGCATGATAATAATTCACATGCATGCACAACACAAATATTGTCTTGTAACAGAGTTTATTTTCAGAAAACAGGATGTCTCCATGTTCTCTATATAAACATACATACAAATGCACATAAAATCTATCTTCTATATTCTTCATCGAATTTGTATGCTCGTATAAGTGCGGTAAATTGCAGGAAAAATTCATTAACTTGTAATTCTCATGTTCGAGATGAGTGCATTGATGGAGGCGAACAAGCAATGAGTACATGAACGCGTGGGTCCTTATTTAATGCTTTCTCGCCTTTTTTCTCGTCAAATTCAAAGAAATTAGAAAAAAAAAACACTCAAAACACTTGAAATTGCCAATTTAGAGCCAAAACTAGACACATGCACAAGTAGGCGCATGGAAAATATACCGGCTCTCATTATAGTCGCGTGTTTAAGTGCATGTTATATATATTTATTAACAGGCTGGTCATCCTATTATGTAGAGATGACAAACTTCTATGACAAAATTCTAGTCTTTTTCATTTTCTCCTGTTTATGCAATAACTATGACATAATTTTTGTTAACTAGTGCAAGTGTGCAACTACATATAGTCAGTGTAGCTACTACCAGTACCTCTATAAGAACACGCAGTTGAAGAGCTGCATGCAACAGTTTTCTGAGATAATTTTGGATAGGTCATTGTAGACAGATTGTTTGTTAGTGCAAGATGATAAATGAAATTAAGCCTATGTGCACAGCCACAGGGTAACGTTTTTTAGCGTCCTCATATTTCTTTTCATGTCAAAACGTTTTCACTGATTAAACACCGTCAATTTGCAATAGAAGTTGAAGCTAATTTATAATATAAAGTATATATTTTTCCCTGGATCGTATGGACAGGGCGTCAAAACAATAAAATAGACAAAAACGATTTTGAAAACGCTCGAAAACGACGCTTGTGTGCAGTTCTAATAGCAAATTTGATGAATGTCAATTGTCAACACGTGGACAATAGCTTTACAGAAACAAGGCATGCATAGTATAATATACAATTATTATACAAGTGCAATATCGTTGTTGTGTTTTGGTTTAGTGACATCTGTCCTTTAGCTCCATGCAAATGTTTTTTATATAAGGCAGAGTGCTAAAAGCAACGCTTCAATCTTAAACAAGTGATCTTAAACAGTTCGTAAGTATAGGGTTGCCTCGGAACTATATGAAATAATGGCGATCTGTAAAATGGTTCTTCCTGTATTGATCATAATCTCCTTCACCATAAGCATGTCTTTGGCAAAGCGTAAATGGCTGTGGGAGGAAGATGACGCCGCTGACGATTGGATGGATGGCACAAATCACGTGAGTGATGATGTTGAAAGAAATGGATTTCAAGATGATGTTAAGGGATGCGGTAGCGACTATCGCTTGTGTCCCGGGCGATAAGCCGGTGTTTATCCTAATTTTAACTGTCGAAACTGTTCTATCTAAAGTCACAAACTGAAATACCACATTAGAAGATAATAACTGTATATATGTTGTAGTATTTACTAGGCTATAAGTAAAATTTATCCGATGTCTGTTATTGCTGTGAATGGTCTGTTTATTGATCAGGTATGAATGATTTGGAACGTACAACGTGCGTTGATAAAAAGAGTGTCATCGAGGAATTCAGTTCAGCAGTAGCAAAAGCACAGGAAAGATTAATCATGCAGTCCACTTTAATGAACTGAATATTTTAATTAGGACTATAAAGTATCGCGTTCAACCACAGTCTGGGTGTTTAATTATAGAGATATGACACTTCGAATTTATGATAATAATTTATATACTTTCTACGGCTAGAGAAGCAAGAGTTTGTCTCTCTCACTGACGGGTCCTTGCAAAATTCTGTACCCTACTCGGTGCGCTGGGGCTTGTAGGACCTTTCAGAGAGGATATGAGGTAATTCATTTAGCTCTATACAGACATGAGAAGATTGTATTTATTAGGTGGGGAGCAAAGATGGAAAGGTGGGGAGCAAAGATGGAAAGGTGGGGAGCAAAGATGGAAAGGTGGGGAGCAAAGATGGAAAGGTGGGGAGCAAAGATGGAAAGGTGGGGAGCAAAGAAGGGAAAGTGCATGGGGAAGAAAGAAGGGAAGGTGGGGAGCAAAGAAGGAAAGGTGGGGAGCAAAGAAGGAAAGGTGGGAAGCAAAGAAAGGAAGGTGGGGAAGAAAGAAAGGAAGGTGGGGAGCAAAGAAGGGAAGGTGGGGAAGAAAGAAAGGAAGGTGGGGAGCAAAGAAGGAAAGGTGAGGAGCAAAGAAGGGAAGGTGGGGAGCAAAGAAGGGAAGGTGGGGAGCAAAGAAGGGAAGGTGGGGGAAGCAAAGAAGGGAAGGTGGGGAGCAAAGAAGGAAAGGTGAGGAGCAAAGAAGGGAAGGTGGGGAGCAAAGAAGGGAAGGTGGGGAGCAAAGAAGGAAAGGTGGGAAGCAAAGAAGGGAAGGTGGGGAAGAAAGACAGGAAGGGTGAGAGCAAAGAAGGAAAGGTGGGAACAGAGAGGAGTAACGATGTCATAGGATCAGAAATAAACAAGGAAGCAAAATCGTGAGGCAAAAAGAAGTCAGGAAGGCATAATGCATGATAACGACGTAATGAACTTTATTCAACACCGTCAACTGAAGCTGGTTTTAACAATGTGTATGTTAAAGAAATTGATGGACATTTTCCGATCAAACTGCAATATTGCTATCGTATCAAACTGATCTGACGCCAAGACGCATACCGCAAATCGTCCTTATTAAAACAGAATTTATCTCGTATGCAATATTAATAATTATGTTTTCCATTCAGTCTCGTCGATAGAGATCTCAAATTGATGAAACAAACATAACCCAGAAGTATAGGCACGTTCCGAAACCACGTTATTAATAAAATTCATATACTTGATCGCTAGCATATTCGCTGCACGATCAAATGCGGTTTTACCTTCCATTTTATATGGGTTGTGGGGCCAGAAAATGTAGTCCAGCAATGCTAATAATCATTAAAACAATCCATTATTCACTGTTCATAAGTAACCCATGTTTTATTTATATATAATTCTTTTAAAAGCCGTTAAAGTTAATGGGTTGTTATTTTAGAAAGAAGGTTACTCTAATTTTCTTTTACTGCATGATCAAATGGTTTGGTTGTCATGCAAAGATATTTGAAAAAACTCTCTTTTGCTTGAAGGGGGGGGGGGGAAGTGAATTTATAGGAAAAGAAATCTATATCAATATATGAATGTTATAGAAATTGACTGGGAAACAATAAATTTCCAAAGAAATAAATGATATTACCTTGCACAGCGGGACTAACTCGTCATGCGGGCTACGCCACAGCATTGCATGTATATGATGTATACAGACTCTAGAAAGAAACCATATACAGTATTTATAACAATCAAAACATGTGTAGTTTTTAGGCGATAAGTTAAATTAAAATAATCCGTGATTCACCGTTCATAATTACACCCATGTTTATTTTATATATTTAAGACTATAAGTATTTTACAAGCCGATGTTGTCATAATTCCCTTTTATTGATCGCGCTTAGTCTCGTTGCAAAAGATAACCGCTTCAAGGCGAAAGAGCTGTATTAGTAAAAGTTGCATGCAAGTATATGATTTGAAAGAGCCTATTCAATAAATAATAGGAGTTGAACTTTTACAAGAAAATGTTTTTTCCGCACTAAAGGTGTCATCAGATTATGCATACACTTTAAATGAAAAATGTTTTGATGGGTCAAAATCTTGAGAATGATGTTAAAATGCTGTCGCTGGATTAGTTCCTCGTATAATCTTAAACGGTATTTACACGTGCTCTCCGGCGTATTTATATAATGTTCGGCTTTGATAAAAAATTCATTAGACTGATTTTTACGATGCATTTAATTTATGCCCAATGATAAAATCAGTTTTTTTTCATGGCAAAATTTGTCAACTTCCCAACAATTTGTTCCGACAACCATGCATAATAGATACAAGGTATATGTGGATGCTACAACAAGCTCGACTTTTCACAAAAGTTCTTTCGTGGTAGTCAGGAAAGATGCAGGATGGTTATATTATTGTATGTAGCTACACAAGTGAACCTTGAGGTACAACTAGGGTCGAACATCTTCTATGTAGCTGCGAATAAGATAAAAAGAAAATTTAAAATGATCGAAAGTAAATTTGTCTGGGCATTGGATGCCTTTGCAAACGTGCGACTGAGCCATTTTAGTTTTCTATTTCAGAGCTTTGAGCGTTTGATCTATATATGAATGCAGTCCATTTTGAAAGGAAACATGCCAATACTTGGCTAGGAAGACATCTCTCTGTGGGAGGTTTAGGTCAAGTCAAATTCAAGATATGATTTGCTTCATGCAGACAAGGCAAAGCAAAAATAATTGATTAATTAAACGCAGATGCAATGCAGATAAAGCATCATGCAAATGAATGCTGAAATGTACTTTATGAAAGAGAAATGAAATTGAATCAAACGACTTTCCAGTCCACATTGAAAGACAGACAGGTTAGTATACTGATTGAGAAACAAATTTGTCGAAATATGTGAAAGAATTTAAACAAATCACTCCACGGCCTCCGTCCAAATTTAGAGCATGCTGTGATTTCTTTCTCAATAAAATCAGTTCTAACCAAGATAATTCATTACTTCGTGGATTAGATGCAAAAAGTAAAATGTAAATCATTAAACTAGTAATCGTCTTTTGATGCAAGTCACTTATAGTATGTCAACAAGGAAACCTCGCCATGCAGAATAGATAAGCAAAGAGCCTAAACAACTTCATATCACTTTACTTTAATGCAGAGGAGTCTTCCAATAAGTCGTATTTACCACAAACCGCATTTACCACAGTGGATCAGCACATCAAATCAAAATTTTTCGCAAATTAGCTCCATGAGAGATTGTATCTTTTTAAGGATACATATGTCAGATAATCACCGTTAATTATAAACAAAATTGCAAACGTATGCGGCATAATGAAATGGATAACATCTATTGACATATAAATTGAAAATACTTTTAATTTTAAGTCCATATAGCTGGGGGCACGAACCACGTGATAGCCTGCTTATAAATAGAACGTCTTCGACAAGCTGAGACCAGAATTATTCGGAAGACCAGAGCAATTCATAACACAGAGATATAACACTTCATCTCATTTGATTATGTTTGGGAGTGGTAGACGCACAGTATATCACGAATTGATTGCATTCTTAATATGTTTGGTATTGACTGGTAATAGTGGATCTGGAAGCACAAGCAAGGTCTGTCCAGGCTGGGGAAAATCACAAAACGTAACGTTTCAGAATGGAACAGAACAAGAGACGGTATTTACGTATTTTATAATACAATTTAAATGCATGGTACTATGATATAAGTGTTTTAACATAGGCCTGGTACGTAACTGAGAAGAAAACGGGAGACATCGCAATTATTTCACAAGTATAAGATTCACTCAATACAAATAGGTTTAAGATTCACTCAATACAAATAGGTTTTCCCACAAGATTCTCCGTCATTCCGGAAATTATCAGCGAAACATTTGCCGAAATGATGACATAAATATGTATAATTGTAAAGCTATCGTGGCAGAACGGTACCTTATAAGCCCCTCTAAATCATCACCAAAAAGGGCGCTTGTCTACTTAACACGTACGTGTATAACTTACTGAACAATTATATACATCACGTTTGATATTATCATAGTAGTATAGATCGCTAGTATAGAAAGTGCCTGCCTGAAAATATTCCAGCGGAATAATTAGTACAAAAAAAATTATCAGCCGAAGTGTTTCGACTTAGTTTATGTATATAGCGTATTACATAGTTTTGTAATCAGAAGAATGCATGTGCATGCAGTTAAATTAAAGCTTAATTGCACTGTGATTGTAATCTCTTCCATCTTAACAACGCATGCAGGGCGCGACTTAATTCGTTCTATGATCATAATTAATTTCTAGTTGCTCTTCAACGATGGGCAAATAACAGCGTTGAAAATCGTGGCAATGTCCGTGGCTGGCAGTGGAGTCGTGTTAAATACCTTTGTGATCATGGCTATCATCATTGATCCTTTAAAAACGCTTCGCAAAGGAGCATGGTTAACTATTTTGAATCTGGCTGTCGCTGACGTCATTTCATGTATATCAGCCTTCCTCATTTATGGGGATAGCTATTTCACGAGCAACTACAACAGCGCCAGTGCCTCTGCATTTAACGCTACTACATCCTTCTTCTGGAGCTATGGCGTCTCTGCATCGTTCTTAATTTTGACTTTTTTCACTATACAAATTTTCGTCATCACCAAGTTTCCGTTAAAAAGTCGCTTCATTTTTACAGAGTTCAAAATCGTGCTCAGCATACTGGCAGTTTGGATCATCTCAATTCCGTTAGGACTAAGCTATCTCGCCTACATGTGTTTCAATTCAGAAACGAGTTTCAAGATTTACGCAGCCCGAATAGGAGTTCTCCAAGTCGCTCTTCTGGTTCAAGTTATCTTGAATGTTCACGTGACAAGTGAGATATTGAAGAGTGGCCGAAGTACTGGGAATGATTCTTGTCAAAACAACAAACATCGAAATATCGCAAAGACGGTGGTCATTCTGACGGCCATTCTTCTGGTCACCGCATTCCCTTATTTCTTGTTTAAGCAAATAGAATTTCTTGCGAGGTCTGGGCAAATTCATTCAGACAAAATAGGGAATTGGCTCGTGGTGGTATCCTACTGTTACGCTCCTGTTGCACTTTTAAATTTCACAGCCAATCCAATCCTATACTCGTTGCGTCTTCCCGACTATAGACGAACCTTACTTGTCATCCTAAGTAAATTGAGAAGGAATGGCGGTGTTTCATTGAAAACAACTCCAAATACTTCGTTAAAATTAACAAAGGTCTCATCCTTTCAAGAAACCATGGACTCTAGTAGATCACCAAAAAAGTACAAAAGATGTGAATCCTTGGAGGAACGATCGTTTGAGCCTGGCACCTCCGAAGTCTGATCAGGCTGAATATATGACTAGGTACAGATTGCAGGTTTTGCGTATTTCAGACAAACGTTCGGTACTTTATTTAACAATGGTCTAGCCGGAGAACCAACACCCCTCCAACACCCCTCAATTTACGCAAGCAGACAGACCTTTCAACGTTTAGTTTAGTATCAGTGTCAGCCTAGCGTATGTCCTAATAAAACTATATCATAGTTCAAACTATCCGTTGATAGCATATATAAACTATACTAAACTTTCCAAACCCAGACCAAAAGGTCGAAACATCGAGAAGTGTTTTCGACCTAAAGGTGTGTTCACATGCACGGTTGGATCCAATTCACTTCCTACGTATGAAATATATATCGTGTGAACAGAGCTTAAAAGAGAGAAATTGGAACATTATTGAATGTAAATGTGGACAGCTAACATTTAATTTAGTCTACGCGTAGCTATTTCTCTCCATACTTGGATTGAAAACGTCTCCTAAAATGTCAGGCATTTGAACCCTGTCTAAATCCTGCACCGTTTTTCCGGTTTCTGGAAAAGGCGAGTTATTTCTTCCTTCTAAATCATAGCTATAAACTGTAGATGACAACATTAATCAAAACCAGCTTGATGATGGGCTTTCTATTTTTTTCAGATGACGCGGGTTTTTCCCAAAGACTGAGCATTACGACTATAATATAAATAACAAATTTCGTGCTAGGAATAAGCTCATACACTGACGGGCTGAGATGTTTGAGATGCGTTAGATGATGAAATGTTTTAAGATATTATGAGAAACAGGATATCGTGGGGATATAATGCAGATGTTCGCTCTTATTTACATGCCATGCATTGTTCAAAAACACGTGGAATGCATCCAAATCTGAGATGAACAGATATATTTAGGTTAAATAATCAGTTTAAAAGTTTACATCGGTTTACGGGATGTTTAAAGTTTACAATCTTATCCTCTTTCAAAGTCTTACCCACTGATGCAAAAACATACGCCTGTAACTCTCAACCTATTGAATTGGAGATCTCAATCTTCCTATAATCCTTCCATCACAGTATTCCGACTACAATAAGAGTGTTTTGAACATACGGTTTTGAACTTTCCTATTGATTAGTCACGCTCGATAAAGGTTAGGTGAGTGTATTTTTTTTAATACAGGGGATTGTCACATACAAACTGCGGCTGTTATACCGTTAATATTCATCATTATTGTAACCTATATATATCAAATTTCAAAAGACAGCAATCACTTCTTCTTGGAATGGGAACCTTTTTAGAGAACAGAAGAACCATTCACTCAACGTATTGAGTGTGTAAAAGGTTTTTCACCCAACTATAAAAGAAACATTGCAGATGCATTGTTTTAATGAATTTTTTTCTTGATATTTAGTGCATATAATCAACATTGCACTGAGCTACATACATTTTTCAACACGCAGCAATAATATTTACATGCAATGTCTATTTATTGTGATTATCAATTGAGCGAGCCCTCCAGGCCAGACCAACCTTATCAGAGTATAGCCATGCAGAGAATGTTTTTCACCAGAGTATAACGATATTATGACGTTTCAATATGACAACGTTTTAATACAACAACGTTTTAATACAACAACATTTTAATAAAACAAGTATACATTGCAATTAAAGGGCGAAATTTTAAAGAGTCTGATTATTACGACATGCCTGCTAGGCACTCACGCGAAATATGCATACATATTCCAATTAGACGAAACAAAGTTGAAACTTATAAAATCCTTGACCTGGGGTTAGAAGTTGAAGCAAAACAGTCTGTTCCCTTGCCAGTTGTATTTTTCAGTGCGGTTTTTTTATTCATCCTTTTGTGAAAACTTTATTAAAACGAAACATTCCAAAAGTTCCAAAGTAACGAGAAACAACAGCACGTAATCCCTGTATTGTAAAAGAGGGGGAAATTAATTGGCAAAACATATTCCATCTTTCCGACACGTATTAAGTGTCGAATCACATAAGGCCCTCAAAGAAATCAAGGAAAGATAAAAAAATACCGCTAATTTAAACGCCAGGCTTCTGGTGAAAACATGAATTAAATAATATCTCTAAGAAAGTGAGCGGGAAGATCCTACGTGATGATAATGATGACCACACCGAAAGATTGCAGGTGTCTCCTGAGGATATACAAGCCGTTTGTCCAGACGAGGAAACTATGCATGCACGCATTCTTTGAAGTTTATCTCATAAGAGAGAAATCACAACATTTATCGTCAAGTGGATCTAAAAAGTTTACGATTTGATCTCCAAACTGCTCCTTACATATACGTTAAATGTTGTAGGTATATACGTATGTTAGAGCGTACCTATTAATTTACTCGAATTTGAGATGGATGTTTGCATAGAAGCTTTGATTAAAGCGAAGATCAGAGGGGATTTATCAGAATGATATGACATGTTTTTCAAAGAAAACGAGAAGAACACGTTATTATGATTAGGCACATGCTGATAAATTTGAATGCAGACAAACTGAACACCCTGGGGGATGAATAATTTATAGCAGGGTTTCATTCCAAATTTCGAAAACAAATGAAATATGTTTCAAACATTTTAAAATATACTTCAGTAATTTCCTGTGTGCAATCGGAGAAGCTTCAGTAATTGTTTCTTCATAATATAATATTTGCATTGCGAAGATTTTTGTGTCAGACTGAACATGCAGGTGAAATATTTTGAAGGCTGATCGCCGCATTCTAAAATGCTCAGGCTGGTTTCTAATCACTGCATATCTCGGAAATTACTGCATATCTCGGAAATTACTGCAGATCTCGGAAGTTCCTGAAAGAGTCGATAAGACTAATAAAATCACTGCCCGCATCTGCATCTGTATGTAGCTGCGACGCGTTTCAAGGTTATGGAATGCTCATGTCATTTGAAAAAATATGTTTTTTATTTAGTCACGTATAAAAAAGATTCCGCCGGAATATTGCTTTGTCTCAGTGTTTGGTAAACAATTCTTCTTCATATAAATTTCCTCTAAATTTCCTGCATTTGTTGTTGCTTAGATAACATATCATTGAAATTCATTGATTATCCGCCAATCACGCATGCATCTGTGGTTAATCTTTGCCAAGAGATACGTGCATGCTTGTCGCGCATGGCAATAATAAACAAAATAGGATCAGCGAGCTCTTACACAATTCATGATGTCAACACATTTGAGGGGATATGATTGGTTTTTTTAAACAGGTCATGCATGTAGGCGGCGTGCCAATATATATTGACGTTATGTTGAGCTCAATCTCAGTACCTCAGTTGGGAGTGAGCCTGCTTTGGACTTCAAGATTATAACGTTTTGTCTCGTCTTTTGAAGTCGCATTATTATAGAATAATAGTGCGTGAAAATGCGTTGCAGTGCAGGACATATCATGTGTTCACTGTTGTTAGTATTTTTCATGTGCGTTGTGTTAGCTAGTGAGACAACAACGAGTGTTCTTTCTGCGTCAACTAACTCAACGCATACCACTGGCACGGGCAATGATACAACTAACCCAAATCCAAAGGTGGGTTTATTTTTAAAACTTTTTCAGAACACTCATCTTCATCGCTCGTTGTTTAGTAATATTTGTGTCTTACTCTCAGTATGGGGTCTTATTGAATTACGAATGCCGTCGAAATATGCCGGGTATTTAGTTCCTCCTAATTTTCCCCTGGTATTTACTATTAACTTGTCCCCTCCGAAGAGAACGCCCGTTATCTCGTATTAAACATTTTTAGTCGTATCTCAGATATTTATTGACTTCAACAACCAGATTTTCACCTACCGATACCGTTAAATATATAACAGATAAAACGCAGCGATATTGCTCTCTGATGGCGTGCACCGTAACCTGTTCGAGAATGTTTGCGGTTGCATACACATAGTCATTGTAGGATTCTACGTGGAAAGGTGCAACTAGTAACTACAATGCAACGTGCACACTGAAAGACTATAAAAAACCTGGAATAACAGATGTTTGACTACAAAAACCTCGTATCGGATTAGATCAGTTATGATAGCTATATATATATACATAGATAATCTAAAATTGCGTAAATTGTCACCATGACGGAAACTCAAAGATATTTTAATAACGACATCTCAATTAATGTTTATTCATTCTCAGGATATTAATGCTAAAATTTTGTGTACGAGCTTATACGTTTATGCAAACCAGGACGAATGTTTAATTAAAAACTTTAAGATGTTTGTACATGTACAATGTGTATCATGAATGCACGAATGTCTGATTAATTAAAAACCTACAGATGTTTGTACATGTACAATGTGTATCATGAATGCACGAATGTATTAATTAAAAACCTTCAGATGTTTGTACATGTACAGGGTGTGTCAAAATGAATGCTAAAAACTGATTTTGTATTGAATCAGTGGTATATAAATGAACATGATGGGTATTAAAGGGGTAGGGTCGCAGCTCCTCGCAAGAATGATTTTCATTGGCGGAACTTTACAATACATTTCTGTTTCAACCAATAGCATAGCTTCGTTCTTTAGAAAGCATAGAAAAGTATTATCCAATTGGACGAAAGCTTCCGAGCACTGCGACATGTCCGGTATTAAATGGAATTGTGAAACTTGTGTTGATTCAAAATAACATGCTCGCTCCACATTATACATATCTCTTTGCTTCAAAATATTCTCGTCAGTTACAATTCATTTAATTCAAGCAGAAAAATCATAACAGTACATAGATGGTTGTGCACCATTTAAGATTCGACAGGGATGAGATTTTTCCTTCTAGTTACTTACAATCTCATTTTCTTATATATTTACAGAAATGGAATTTTTTGAGTGATGATGATAACGACATATTAACTAAAACCGCAATGAGTGTGGCAGCGTTAGGCGCACTGCTCAACTTTATTGTCATTATTGTCATGACGTTGGATCCTTTGAAGATACTTCGCAAAGGACATGCCTGGATAACTATTCTAAATTTGGCAATTGCTGATTTCATCTCGTGTGTATTTGGTTTCTGCTTATTTGGACGTAAATATTTCGCTAAATCGCATGATTATGACTTAATATACAAGAGAATCAATGCATTTGGCTGGGGTTTTGGTTCCGCAGCCTCGTTCTTCGTGTTGACATTCTTCATGGTGCAAATTTTCGCAATCACAAAATTTCCTTTGAAAAGTCGTTCTTGGTTTCAAACACGAAAAGTTGTGTCAATTATAATAGTAATTTGGTTCTTGGCATTTTTGCTGGGTCTATGTTACGTGGCCAGCGAATTTTTTACTGGTATTGAGACGATTTTTAACATCTATATAACTCGCATTGCGATTCTACAAGTGGCAGTCCTGGTTCAACTTATCTTGAATATCCAAGTTGTTGTCGAAATCGTTAGAAGTGGCCGTAATGTTGGAAATCCTCAGAATAAACACAAGGTTCTCGCAATAACTGTTATCATCCTTACAACAATCCTCTTTTTCACTGCCTTCCCTTATTTCACGATAAAACAATTAGAGTTTATCGCAAGATCAGGACGCCTTGGTGACGATAAATGGCAGGATATATTTCTTGATCTGAGCCGAATCTATCTACCAATTGCCCTCCTGAATTTTGCGGTTAACCCTATCCTATATTCTCTGCGTCTACCAGATTACCGACGGACTCTGGTTGTCTTGGTCTGTAAAAGACAAAGAAAAAAATTTTCTCCGATGACGGCAACTTCAACAAAGCAAACAAACGTGTTCTCTCTGCGAAGTCAAAGAACGTCGGACAATTCACGCGAGAAAAAGTGAGAAATACTTTCTGAAACAGTCACCATGCATGCATTACCGGACCACGTCTTCTATGAAGATAAAGACTTATGCGCCTGCGCATTTGCTCAGCTTATTCACTGATCTATGTAAAAGCCAGTGGTGCCTATATAATTATAGATATTTAAAGCGCTTGGATACGTGGCTGGGCGTGGTAGGTCGATGTGACATATATCGTTAATTTCTAAGCCGAATAATTCTTTTTTAGTAACTTCAATACAACTTAGATGATACCTCGGGGGTGGGGGCCTGGGAAGTATATTCCTAATCACGCGATGGCGAGTACAATTCCGGCGAGTTAATACGAGTTATGTTTGAAAATTTGGCCAAAATTGTGGAAATTTTCATGATAGATTCGGTTTGAAAATGACCTGAATATTTGGAGTTAGATCTTTCTGTTCAGAACATTTGAAAAGCTATTTTGCTTTCAAGAAAATATAGACCTACCAGCTATCGTTCCAGATATATCAGAACTCACTGATTGATATTCATGCATTAATGCTTCATCATCCTCTGCACCTGAAGTGTTAATAAGCCTTAGGACTTTCGTATAAGTCACCATGAAAACAAATTAACTCCAGCTAGGACCTTGCAGAATATAAAACTAAAACTTCATGAAATAAAGAAAGAAAGAATGCATGAAGAAATGAAGCAACAATTAAAACGTGAAAAAACATTTATAATAGAGAATTGATTAACATATATAATTATTGTTATCTAGTAGTTTATACAATTGCTGTAAGCATGATGTTAATCCACAACGAAATTTAAGTTAGTTTGGATTGGAGGTGCCAGCTAGCACACTGGTTCGTAAGTACAATCTCTATCAGTGTGTTTTCGTCGTTTCGTTGCAAAGGAACGAGAATTGACGTCGTCGTTCCAATCTCCGAAGAAATTCTTGGCCTTCTCCTTTCTTGTTAGAACTTCATCGTTAAAATCCCCGCCATTCTTCTCTTCATCACGGAGCCAAACCCATCTCGGCTTCGCCAAACACAGGCTGATGGTAGAAAACACCAGAAACACGACGAAGAACTTCTTACACAAAGCCATAACGTTTCAAACCTTGTTGTGAAACTGGTTTAGAATGCCCACTTCGGAACACAATAAAGTATTGAATATGAAGCCTGACTTATATACAGCACCTCCTCAGGATTAACAGATGTTTTCTTTGACACATTGACCGTGTTTTTAAAACGGACGCCATGTACGCTAACAAGATAAGTGCTATAGTTCAACCAACGCTCGCTTCACAGCCAAATGAAGGCACCCCATGTATATTCAAGCTCCTGGCAACAATTAATGACAACATATTGTGTCAGATCTACTGCATGAGTACTCCCACATGAACAATTGGTCTAGTTCTATCTCATAGTTTAAAAACATGAGTGGAATCATGTCTTAATTCTTGTTAAAATAATAATAATCTGGGAAATATCTCAAACCTTATAACGCTATCATTTATCCACTGATTACATTTTTTACAAGAATAGTTTTATACAGGAGCTTGCATGCTAAATGACTGAAACATTATTATTAAGTTATTGCCAAAAATGTCAATCACCCTCCCCCCCACACACAAACCCCTCTCCCCACAGATCATTATGATGCCATTCCCATAAATTTTTATCGAAACCTTGTCTGACCTCAGGCAAATGATATACACTGAAGTACATTTTATCTACCTAGTACGCAATTTTAGACGGAGGGTCTGTTCATTTAATTATCAGTATAAATACCTATGGTAGCCAAACCTATGCTCAACTTTACTCAACTACATGGCCCTAGCTTGTATGTTAATTCATTTCTTATGTATATAAGGTACGTTTAATCTTGTAGATTGCGGCAAACTCTCCCTAGTCGTCAACGTTAGAATTATAGTCATATACTGCATGCTATATACAGACAGAAGTATTCCGATGATTCAAATATAATGTGTAAATTAAGTTTTTTTTTTCATCATGCACACACAGTCTGAGTGGAAAGCGTCTTTGAAATTTTTAAGCTCTTGAAAAAAGCCGTCTTTGTGGACTGGATAAATATTCTACGTCTTTTTATTCAACTGAAGAGCATCCAGGTGAAAATATCAGCGTTTATTAAATACAGTACAGCATACGAACGTTTTTTTTGTTTCCTTAAACAAAAGGCTTTGTAATGCACGGTTATTTTCAAAGTGTCATCTTAACTGTAGTTGTAATATTCTGAATTATAGCTATTTAACCCCATGCAATATGGCGCAAAATAACCGCGCGACTTGCATTAATGCAATATACTTTGTGAATACGAGTGTGCGGGCAAATATTATTACGACGAAAGAGCTAGGGGAACATCTTAATCGATATTTGTGACAAGCCTGTTATTATTCTTCTACATGTTATGGTACAATATGTTTCCATATGTTTATTTCTAAACGGTAATGTCTTCGCATTTCGTATAGATCAGAAAACAATCTTCAACCTTTATAAAACGTGCAGTGCTGGGGCGGGGGGAAGAACATTCATAACTCGTTTATAGGTTTCCAGCCTGGCTGAATTATAGTAAGGAACCAAACCATCTTTCATGTGTAATTTACGTGCATCCCAATCATCGTGTTTCAAATCAAGAATGCGAGCATTTTCCTATGCAAGAGGGCGTTCCTCGCGTTACAATCCTGTTGTTCATTTCTCGTCTGCGGGCAGGCGTGTCAATTCTTTACTTCTTTACAACTATACACATGCAATATTTTTTTAAAATACGTTTTACGCAAACAGAACATCGCTATGTCGTCGTGATATTTCACATTGCTTTCTTACATATTCAAACGAAAGACGTATCAATTGAAACGTGTTATTGTCCACACAGAAAACAGTTGCAGGCGAACTATACTTCTTTTAAATATATCATTTTAAATAACGCGGAACTAATCCCATTAACCAACTATACAGGGCAGCGTAGGCTTGTATATTTATATATATTTATATATATATATATATATTTTAACATGGCGTTCAAGGTTAGAATTGTTTATCTTCTTGTGACTATGTACACTTCAATTTATTTTATGCTCTTCTTTAATGAACATTTTATTTTAATCAGTCTAAATATCTTATCATCAGCGCATGCATAATGTGCATCAAGAAACGTTATCCTGCGGGATCTTAATTTACTCTTTTATGCTTAACGAGTTTTAAGTACATATTGTATGTGTTGTTTCTAACGGCATTTTTCCTACTTTAACACTGATCAGTTGAGGAGAGTTTGAGTGTAAAGTTGTCGCGGTTTGTCGAGACCGCCGCATCACAAAAAATGACGACTATATACGTCCTTTTAAGAGACATATATGACACTCTAAAAGCGCCGGTTATTACAAAAAGGCGAAATATTTTTATTATTTCTGCACAAAGTAACCTTTTTCATGTTACAATTTCTGTATGATCATAATGATGTGATGCATTTGGGAGAATTACTGGGTTTCTAGGATGATGCCGGGAGAAGAAACTTGTGCAATATAGGCTGCAGCTGTTCAACACTAGCTGTCATTGTCAAAACATGTATGTTTGCGTTCATCATTCATACGCACGCCGGCACGCAAGACCACGATATTAGAGCTTGACCAATATACTGAATACATCTACTAAATTATACATTGCGAAGGCACTATTCTCCAAACGATAGCGCACGTTTGATGACTGTTTTATTTTCAGACTTTGTATTCCTACTTCCTACAAGCCCATAAAGTTGACTGCTCAAATATATTCAAGACATGAGTATAAAAGTACAGTTTGTTTGCGCGCGTTATTTAACAACAAATAACAGCCACATGCACGTACGATATGTTTGTGTATATAACCCATCTTGTCAGTTCAGTTTGTGAACACATGCAGACGCTTATTTTGCACATAATCATCGCAGTAATCTTACTTAGTAAAAAACTTTCATACGCCACTCGATCGTATCAGATAAATCATCGAGGACTAACAAGCCAGGCAGATAAAGTATAGTCATTTAAAGTAGACCTGTTTGTTTTAATATATTTTCACTTCACTAATGTCCCAATTTCTATGTTAAGGCCATAAGTGCATTGTATTATAGTAAAAGGCAAGACGCTTCACACTTCAGTCTTCAGACATGCAGCCCAACAGAAACGAAGAAGCACTTCTCATGAGATGCAAGCTATCAAATCATTTTCAAACTCTAGAAGAGCCAGACAGCTCAAAGCAACACACGTAGTCAGTTTCGTTAAGTGGTTTTGTCTTGAAGCAAGCAAGAAGAACTGAAGGATCATCACGTTTGGTAATTCGAAAATGACCGAAGTATAATGTCGGCCTTTCAGCTTCTTCATTTGCATTTAAGATGGATGACACATACTAGTTCGTCGACTATCTCAGTCAAACTACTAGGGGAAGCTGTGTAACTCGTCAGGAGCGTGGCTGAAGACTGGAACTATAGTTATAGAATTTCCTATAAAGTAGTTATAATTTCGTTTATACGCATTCGTAAGCCATAAATAAAGCAGACGCTTGCATACCTGTTACTGACATTGACCATGGCCGCAGCGTGACGTGTGGGGGTGGCTGAATACGAGGCTACATTAATCACGCCCTTCGAACGGCCATAAACACAGGATTCAGGTCCACACGACTAATTATTTAACGTGTTTTTTTATAAATGAAACTAAGATATGAAGAAACGAAGATATGGCAACTGTCGTGAATATCAAGATTATCAGTTTAGCGTGGGTTCAACATATGGCGTATTTGCATTGAGACATTTTACTCCCTCATGATGAGAGATAAACAAACTGTTATCTACGTAATTTAATTATAAGACGCGCTTTAAGGCTTCATTTGCGCTGAACCTAAGAACAAGGCAAGCACACGAAGACTTCCCTATCACGCTGGACTAGAAACAATAATATATAGCTCTTGTTTTAAAATTTCTTTTTCGTTTTAGCTTGGCTCATGATCAGAGGATTATTTGTCCACACAAAATATTCCATCATCGTTTCAGTAAAGCAGACCTCTTTCTTGTGCTTATTTTAACATTATTTTAACAGAGTTTTCACAGCAATATCTCACGAACTGGATGTTCAAAGAAATAATCTCTACTTTGTCATATTGTTTATATTATCACAACAAAAAATAACTCTGCCAAGATCGTTGCACAAAAAATACGAAATATGACAATTATCACATTTATCACAAAAAAAACTTGTTCTAAAAGCATGTAGCTTTTTGAGTCAAGTCAGTGTTTTAAGACAAAATTTACTTAAATTTATAGATTATTTTATAAGAATCATAGGTCATGTAAGCCAGTAGATCGAGATTCGTTAAATCTTCAGATAAAAAAATGCTCTATGCTAGCATACGGAACCAAGGTAAAAAGCTATTTCTCAAGTGATTTTAAAAAACAGCTTGCTGAAATTTGAATTCAGTTCTGTTTTGTGCTGTGTTTTATCTCAGACGGGATAAACTGTATCTCCATGCATGCAGTGTGGACCAATCAACAGAATGAAGTAGTTATCGCGTGGCACATGCGTGGTACGGATTGAGAACATGCATATGTAGTACTTACAATCCTGGGTTTGCATGCATGTATAAAAGTCAGCTGAGATATAGCTACAATACTTCAGTGTGTTCACGACGGAAGCAATATTTTAATAAGAGATCGAGTCACTGCTGAAAAACGATGGCATTGTTTAGAGAAGTCTTGGCCGTGTTTCTAGTGTTGACAACAATCAGCTTGTGTTTGGCGAAGCGAAGATTGATTTCGTTCCCTGATGAAGAGAAGAATGGCTGGAATGAAGTTCAAAGAAGAAACGAAATAAGAAAACCAAAGTGCAAAACTCATAATATATTTCAATGTCGTACTAGATTACTTCATGATGAGAATGTTGGCGCAGATTTCACCAATGAAATACAAGCAAGCAAAATACGAAGAAACGGGAATTTGAGAAAAGATCGAAACAGCGACGATCCTTCACAAAAACGAAGAAAAGAAATATGCACCAAGGATAACTCTAGACCGGTCTGCATCGACTGAATCTAACGCGACTGATGTATGATTATTATATATAGAAACTGTAATTATTGTAATGTAGGTTATTCAGAAAAACTGGCAAATATAAGAAAACGAATTCAATTATCGATACTTCTTCCTGTGTGAATTGTTTCTTTCGAAAGCGAGATGTGATCAACAAATATTCGTTTTATATAAAGACTTCCGAAACAGAATTAGACGAGCAACTAAGAACATCATAGGTACAAGACACCCTGTTTTTAAATATTTTGTCTCTTGACAAAAGATCTTTTTCGTAATGTACATTCAAAGAATATTGACTATCGTTTTAAAGCTTTTAGAACCCAGTTTTAAAGCTTTTAGAACCTAGTTTTAAAGCATTTAGAACCTAGTTTTTCTATATTGCGTAAAAAGATTGATCTTAAGGATCATACTTCGCATTTCCGATCGTAGCTTTCATGCAAGTTCTTTTCAGTGCTATACCCTCGGATCACAAAATATCTTTATGATTAGACCCAATTGTAACTAGTATCCAACATTGCCTATTTGCAAGTACGCATATCTCTCATCATACCGACCTAATCTTTGAACAAAATTACTGACTCAGCTCACGCTGGGCTTTATCTCATACCAAAATACTTTGGGCATATTTTTTAACTTACACTTAGTCTGCAGAATAAACTTGTTAAATTTGAAGCTATCTCTTAAGGCTCCAATTGCTTCATAGCTGGTTATCTTGTGCCCCAAGAGCATATGGAGTAATTAAACTCCACGAGTTCACTTGCCTATAAAAGTCAGTTGGAATATCCAATACTTCTCAGTGGAAGGTACGTGAGCAAAACCTAGCATCAAAGGAGAGTCACTGCAGAGTGTAAAAGCTCACTGAATCTCTGCTGTTACAAATCATGGCTTTGTGTAAGAAGTTCTTGCTCATATTTCTTGTGTTGTCCATCATCAGTATGTGTTTGGCGAAGCCGAAATGGATTTGGTTTCCCGAAGAAGAGAAGAATGGCCTGGATCTCAACGATGAAATCGGAAGCAATGAAAAGAGGGGCGCAAATTCCATGAAAGAATGGAATAGTGATGCTCCACAGGGAAGAGAAAAAAGGTTGTGCGGAAGTGGATACGGGTACAGGCCAGTTTGTTTTGGTTAAAAACATTATTAAGTATGACATATTAATGTAATATATATACAGACTATATAGTAAAGGAGAAGTCAAAAAGACGAATGAATATAACGCATGAATTTAATAGATCAATATATATACAGTTTCCTCGCATGCAGTGTTGTTTTTTACTTGGGAAAACGAAGAAGTATGCATTTGCCGAAAATGTTGAGAAAAGGGAGCTAGGTCTTCCATTAAACCAATGATATATTTTTTTCTTTCCTCTGTTTTGCGTCTCTGGCAATTCATTCCTGGTTTCGCTGTGACACCGCAGAAATTAGTGTTTCAAGCCGAAAATCTATAATCACTGGTTCACAATTGTGCATATTTATGTATCGTTATATCAAAAAGAAACCTATATTGAATAACTTTAAAATAGTGAATACGCATTCTGCAATCTTTTGACAGCTCATCTTTCACATCTGACAGCTGTGAGATGGCCATTTTGAGGCTTAAAATATACACAAGGTTATTCATTCAGACGATTCGTTTTCGCCGTGTACAAGCCTTAGCACTTTTGTGCATGCAAGGCATATTTTGCTCAGTGTTATAATAAATTTTTTTCTTACCAAGTCTTACCACCTTTCGCGGTGTCGATTTCGCTTGTTTCTCATACAACAAAGTCAATGGAAAATATCATGCACTGTTTAAATTGAGTTTTTAGGACTTTCCCTGTTTCGACCCCGCAGGAATACAGAAGTATATCTTATTGCTCATGCCGTATGTCCGGCTGTTAAACCATAAGAAATATTCACGTATATTCCCATAATTTTTGACTTAAGTAATGTCTAATGATGCAATATCGAGCTCAAAGACAGTACCTCTAATGTAGCTAATTAGCAATGGCTACATAAGATCAAATCGCAAACTACTTGAGGACTAAAAAGGCTGTCAGCTTACATATATATAGGATTAGTGCACACGTTGGGCAGACAAAATGACACCGCAAGTTTTGTTCATAAATTAAGAGAGAGCCTATGGATAACGACGTTCACAGAAATAGAGATATGAGAAAGATATGAGATAAAAAGGTACTAGGCGTGAACCAGATAAAAATCTCTTTCATGAAAGCATGCTTTTGACTCATCCTAAGGGTAAAATTTCAGGCGAAAACCCAATAATTGTTACCATTAAGATGACTTTAGTCAGGGCCAAGGTAACATTTTCAGTAAGTTTGCATGTCTAAGTTTCCACGGTTCATTTTCCTTAATGTTGATGCGAGATAACAAACTGCGTTAGACGTTGTTTAAAATTTAACTTAGTCTAAAATGATTACAGCACATGCAGGCAAACATCTTGAGCTCACGCCGTTTCTTTACCTAATCTCCTGGCGTGGATCAAGAACATATGGCGAAAATTATTTTTTAGTGGGTTTTGCGACTATAAAAGCAGTGATATCGATTTTCACTTCACTATGTTGAAGAGAAAGAAACAGTGAACATTGATAGAGTGACTGCAGAGTACAATATTTGGAGAAGCTATAGTGTCATCGTTGAGAGAATTAAGTTATGGCTTTGTGTAAGAAGTTCTTGGTCGTGTTTCTGGTGTTGTCAACCATCGGCCTGTGTTTGGCGAAGCCGAGATGGATTTGGCTCCGTGATGAAGAGAAGAATGGCCAGAATTTTAACGATGAAGTTTTTAGAAAAGCAATAAAGAAAGAAGATCGTATTGATTGTAAAGGTCCTCCCTTGGCAATTAAACCTGGATGTGCAGGTTAGCTGCATGTGAACTGAAAATACACTACAGTAACCTATGATAAACCTAGACAAGAAGTTAATAATATAAAAGCAGAATGAAATACTGTAGTTTGTTAAATATATGATTATATTGAACTTCATTCTCGTGTGATGTGTTAATACTCGATCAAAAGAAGGCTAGTGTGGTATATAACTATCTGCTGCGCGAGAGGATGCGTGCATGGTATAGCTAATTCCTGGCGAAAGAGTCCCGGTGCGTCTCTTTCCGGTTTAGGTTTCCGGCAGCCCAGCTTCCCCTATAGAACCTCTATAGTAAAATTCTTTCGCAGCTTTTTTCTGAAGAACCAAGAACAAAACTTTTTCTCTAATTACATTATCGGAGTCTTTCTTAACAATAATTTCATCGACGTTCGCAAAATATTCCTTTGTTACCGTTATTCCCTTCTACGTCGGTTTTCATCAAACCTATCCCGGCGTTGCATGCATTAGTGAGTGAAACACATCTTTCAAGATCGACGTTTGTTTTTCACACTGTGTTTTATCTTAAAGTAAATTAAAAGGTGTTTAATTCTTTTCAATTCTAGTTAGTCTCGGCCATTGTTAAACGAAGGGAAAGCTAACAACATCTTAAATTGCGGATTACCAAGAGCGTATACCGAGTAATTGTATTGTTGGATATAAGCTTGACAAAAACGGCTTTCTTTTTATGAAAGTGGGTGGGTTTTCAACTTGAGTCTATGCTTAAATTTAAGGTCAAAAACTGAAAAGAAAAAGGATAGTAGAATTGATAAAGCCAAACCTTTGAGCAGGTGATAAAAATCAGGGTAGAAATCCATCGACTTGTCATGTTTCCTACACAAACTAACTGATTAAACTGAATAGGAGTTCTGTAATAATGTAATGCAAGTTCTTAGCTGTGTGTTTTTTATCTCATAACAATCTACTTTGGATTACTGTTAAATTGCCATTATAATCTCAACTATAAGCTAACATCTTGAGACGCTGAGAGACAAAAACATATGGAGTAATTATGTTGCCATGGAGGTATAAAAATGCCAATTACATTAATTCACTGAGAAAAAGTATATATAGTGAACATTAACAGCACAATGTCTGCCGCCTGCCGGCTAAGTACAATAGTTCAAGAATCTGTTTATTTTTTCGTTGAGAAGTTATGGCTTTGTGTAAGAAGTTCTTGGTCGTGTTTCTGGTGTTATCAACCATTAGCCTGTCTTTGGCGAAGCCGAGACTGATTTGGCTCCGTGATGAAGAGGAAAATGAACAGAATTTTAACGAAGTTTCAACAAAAGACGAAAGAAGCGACTGCAGTTTAGCAAAAAGTGAGTGAGGTTAAGATCGTATCCGGAAAGTGAAATTGCATGAGCTGTTTGTTATAACTTGGAGACGTTAGGAAACAATTTATCCTGATTCTTCGAAGTAACAAATATAGTAAAAGCTGTAGATTCTAGGCTATAGTTTCAAATATATAGCGAGAAATCTCCCAACCTTTAGGTTGAAAACTTTTTGAACCATGCATGCAGGCTGCGGTTATGCACAGATTTTCCCCATGTTTCAAAATTCAAATAACACGACCATAATTGATTAGTGTCCATACACTACGATGTTCTGTTTTATAGCTTTACGGAGATATTTCCTCCAAGGGTCAATAGTCTGATAAAGGGTGTGAAAGTATCTTAGTTATTGTTAAGGTCAGATTGATCAGAGATAATCTGAACGATACTGTACGTTTTATAGTCCGCGTTAAGATATAAACAATGAACATTTCTGTTTATTATTTTTGTGCTTATGCAGGCTGGATAATCCAGGGCCGCTAAGAAAACCTGTTGTTAGCCGTTTACAACAAACGTACGTGTTGCTGAGCACATTGGAACAGCGGCCAGCATGTATCAACAAGAAAATTAATTACAACAAAACGTACTTTCGACGGGCGCCGAGTGAGAAATGATGCCTCGATTGACAACATAAGAAGAATATGTCAGCAGCTTTCGTCTGTTTGTAATATTAATTTACTGATATACACGACAGCAATAATTTGACTGTTTGTTCTTTATGAAAAACATAATTGATAGCGGATACGTGCTTGAATATACAAGCTTGCTGTCGTGAAAAAACAGATTGTATTGATGGAAGTCTTGCCTTGATGTAAAATTGTTCGCGTAGGTTCGTTACCTGCATCACAGAGACAATATAATCTGATTACGAGGAGCTTTATTTGGCTCGTATATACTATATCCAATTGATAGCTAAACCTGATGTCGCATGGACTACATACCGAGAGTTGCATATCTTCGTCAAAGGAATTGATAAGCATTCGCGTCTGCATGCAGCAATGGACAAGACAAAAAGTCCCCAGTTCAGGGATCTGAATGCCAGAGTAAAGAAAACGAAACTCATTGCATACGGCTCTTGTAAGAAACAAAAATTCGTCGATCAAAATGAGTTAAAAGACGAGGCAAGCAGGCAGAAAAACGACTCAAATGAAACTAGTGAAAGTTTAAAGATAAAATCGGCTGCAAGTAATGAGGTTTTTGAAGACGATGATGTGTTTTTATGGAATCAAATCCGACGGGCCTCTGAACCTGTGTATCTTAAACGAAATGATAACGAGATGATATCCCGCACAGGTCGTCAAAATCCTAGCGTACTGAGAAGTTTAAGCGAAGGTATTCCCGTCCCGGCTGACAGAAGCCCGCGCGCGCAACCGCGATTAACAAGATCTGCGTCGAGCTCTGATGCGCAAACTGCTCTCTCGCAGTTGTTCGCATTCTCGCCAAGAATTGTGAGAAAAATTAACCTCAATACGTCCCTACGAGATTGGCTTGACAACGAGAAACAATCGAGAAATGATGCGGCAAAGAAAATCGCAGCGATTCCAGCGCGGAGCTCGTACAGGCGTCGCTCGGCTGATATGGTCGGAAAGAAATCGAATGTTGACGAAAGACGACGACCGTCAGCCCCACCGGAACTGTCTGGAAGAAAAGATGAGAATGACGCACACAATAGCGTTCAGGCAAAACCTCACATAACACCTTGTTATAAGACCAGCTGTAGATTTGACAGTGTTCAAGAATTCCAGATTCATAGTTTGATAAAAGAGCAGTTGAAATCTAAACTAGAGTCTGTACAATTCTGTACACAATCGTGCCGTGGATGGTGTGAAGATATAGCGGAAACTATCAAAGAAAGAATTCAGGTGATATTGAACTCGCCATGTAAAGTTGTTTGCCTCGTATACATTGGCGCTTTACGAGATTATGGTATCCATACAGGATCCCAAGCCACACTGGACGAAAAACTGGACTATCATGCGTCAGCTTGTTATCAAAATGACTCTTTATTTGCAACGGTGTCTGTTTTAGCGGTAAGATATACAAGTGGATAGAGATGTAATCAATATGTTTTCATTTTATTAACCGTAAAAGCCCAGGCAAGGAATTTAAGCATGTTTAGGGCGGAGACCGCGGAGTCGAGGATCATGGTTCGTGGGTCGAGGATCTCAAATTTCCTACTCAACCCGACATCCTTCCAAGTCATTTGTCTTGTCCAGTGGGAAGTGAAAATTGATTGGAAAGATGCTGATTTGGACGAATGACGCACGAAACACTGACCAAACATAGTCGCGAATTGCGGGAGAAGATAAAAGACATGTTATCCTAGTTCACAGAAGTAAAATGTAATCTTACAGAATCTTACGTAGAGATAGTGTGACGTTATATACGTTAACGCTTAGTACATGTATAAAGACGTCTCTCACATCACGTTATTTTTTACTTTGTGCTTTTTTTTCTTCCCCACGACTAGGATGTGATTGCTGCAAAGCAGTTAAGCTCTGTTCCGATTAACATTTAACAAACCAATGGTAAAAATATGCATTTCAAGTCGCGAAAACACGTCAGGTTGATATGCCACTTTCAAAATGCCGCTCTAGATTCTCTAGTCTGATTTTCCAACAAGAAAATTTCGCGTTGTCATCGATGACGCAGCAATATTTTAATGTTGAGTGTAATTTGTTTGCGATTCTAAATTAACTTGTCGAACATAATCAATTGTTGTATACTGCTGTTCATGAAGCCGTTCATGAACGGGTACTGCCTCAGTGCATGAGGAACGAGGTGAACGTCAAGCGTAGGAGAATCACTGAGCAGCGCACGAGTGGGAGAAACCGAATGACTTTATAGATCATAACACGATAACAAAACGTGCCACCGGCTATGTATAAGAGAATATGATTTCTATATACGAGTTAAATGTGATATTGCCAAAAATATTTACTTGAATATTCGAGATATTGCTAAAGTATCCTTGCTCTACTTATAAAGCAATGCTATTTTAAACATACTTTGATAATATGCGCCCGCTGTCAGATTATCGTCTGTTTATCTCAGATTATTCGTCAGAATTGATGTTTAAAAAAAGTACAGTTAGCGATAACTACATGAAGTACCTCCATTTACGTCCATATAAAGGAACAAAAATGCATTAAAGTTCTTATTTTAAAGTTTTTTTTCTAGTTTTTTATCAGTAATAGTCAATGTTGCACGCTGTCCATTAAAGGTGGAGAATTAGAAAGTTTGCAAATATGACGATCGCCCAGATCAGTGCTGTGCCAACTACAATAAGCCGCTCCGGAGATAAACGACGGTCATTGAAAAACAACAACAAAAGACATCCTGTAATTTCGGGACCCCTGTAGATTTCGCCACAAAAACGTGCAGGAAATCTCGTTGGCCCACTACAATACGGTCTAAATACTGGATCTCTAGCAACTATGCAGCTTGGAAACTAATAAGAATAGCGGTCTGCGAATGAACACACGTAGTAAAATACACGCAGCTGCTCTAAATACATGCATATGAATAAAATTTATTGATTGCCTTTATACTCAGGGCTGGCTCCGAATTTGCATAAGTCATAAATGCTCTTTTTTTTCCAGCTTTTAAAAAGTCAATATTACTTTACAATAACGATATAAAATGTGCATTGTACCAACAATATGCATACACATCCTAAAAATACTCAAAACAAAAAGGAATGATTTGAATTACAAAAATAAGCCGAAAAAGTTAATTTTCGCGTTAATGCATGCATGGAGTAGTATATAGTATTAGTCTTTTCTAGAAGTAGTGTTTTTGTTTATAATTTAGTGTAACGTTCATTCAACTCAACATCATGAAAAAGTACAACGCAGACACGCAGTTCATGCACGATATGATGTGTTGTGCTTACAAGATTGAATAATTTGCCAATATATATTACTGCATCATCGGACATCGGTAAAGAAAGCAATTAATATATTTTCTTTCGAAATTCATTACGTATACACAAAGTTGCCAGGTGGCTTGGCATTATACATTGGTCTTACTAATATAAATAGAGCGAGTGCACGCCCCCTTATAGTGAAGTAAATTTTATGTCGTTAGATCCCAACTGCACTGCACGAATTAGCTTATAGCGCGGGGTTGGCAGGACACTGAACAAAAACAAAGGCTCACTCGATAGATCAAAGTATTTGATTACCCAAACTTGTGTTAATACTTCGGTTTGTGAACTTGGCGACTACAAAATGGGTTGTAATATGTCCGCCGACCGTTTATCAAAGATTCATAATCAAACAGTTATTCATACGACGTACAACAAACTGGTTTTAACTGATGATCAGAAACAACTGATCAGGTACTCCTGGGAATTTTTTGAACCGAAAAAAACAGCAATTGGGAGAAAGATGTTTGTCAAGTAAGTAGTATTTCCGTAGCCTTCTTGTTATATATTATAACTGTAATACATGAAACTCTTTTATAAACTCTTATAGGGCTAAATTAGATATACTTTAGCTTGAAACTCTTCAGTATACAAAAATTGAAGTCGAATGTTTAATAGCTACAATATCATCATGTATCGTTTATGGATATAATTCGGATTATATGCTTTAAAATATTTGAGGTTTAACAAAAGTTAGCTTTGTTTTTCCTAATAAGTTTAAGGCATTAAAATTAAATAGTTCTGCAAGGCTGCATTAATGCCCTAAAGGCTTCACTTTTCGAAGCAAAACTCACGATTGGCGGTTGAAGTATACTTGTAACCTATATAGCGATTATACAGGCGGGGGGCAGAATACTCGCCGCGCGGTCATCCTGAGATGATAATCATAATGAACGGAGATATAGATGCTACGTTTTCGCGGCTATACGGCTATAACATATATCCACAAATGAAAACAAATCAAAATTCAAGAAAAAGTACATGCATGATCTTGTATATGACATAACTCTTTGCACTTACCTGAAATGAAACATCAAACTCCACATATGCATGGAAAACACGATGACAGCATGTGTTTGAACCTTGACTTTAACTTGAAAGTTACAGATGGAAGGAAGACATATTGACTTCGTTGTCTCTGATAGAAAAAAAAATCATTATTCAATTGCAAATGTGCCGGACAAGAAGGGCCATTATACATATATACAATAGACAAATCCGAATTCCGGCGGTTCACATTATAGGAATATAGCTATATTAGTGTACAACCCTATAACGACTGTATAGTTCTCTTTCTCAAGGGCTAAAAACGTAGGCTTTTAGTATGCAGTGGAAATATTGCATATGTGATACCTCTGTTTTTATGATAAGCTAGCTCTTAATAAGTTCGAGCTTTCTGATTATGTTATATGCCATGGCAGTCTGGTCCAAACTCGCTCCCATCCGGCCAGGCTCGAGTTCAAGATCACTTCGCGTAGGCATTTCAAGACGATCATTTTGAGTATTTTGGATATATAAGACCTAGCATTGATTGAGGACTTGAGTAATAACTAGTGGAAGTGTGACTGTAATTTCTTAGTCACATTCAATAAGCGTGAGTAGTGAAGCTTCTTCAATAACGAAGCTTTTTCACGAAACCGCTCGATATTATTTATAATCGTAAATATTGCAAATAAGTAATTTTTGATGATGCGGAAAATAACTTGAACTAATATTTTGCGTGTGATCAGATGCGGGTAAATCTTTTCTAGGAGGCGTGTTGATGTGAATGCGATATAGCGTACTTACAGACTAAAAGGATTATCTTTGAACCTAAATATTCTATAGCCTCTATAGCAATATTTAAGAGGGGGAAAGCGAGTTTTAAGCAGATAAAATTCTCCTCTGGTACATCAGCTGTATTGACATACACGCGGTCACTCATACGAGCGATTAAATGATTTCATAGCAGGTAATCTACGAGAATTAAGGCTATTTGTATTAGATATCAGACTGTTTTAGTCTGCTAATTTAGTGTGAAATTTCGTCAAGATTAATTATACGTAGAATACCGCGTAAGAAAATAAAAAGTTATACATTGCTTTGGCTTTCGCTCAAAATATATCCAAAGAGTTCATTATGAAATATTTATCTACTGTCCATATGGATTTGTTATTCTATTGGAGATTACACACATTATATAGTCACTATACACGGTAGATCATACTTTGATAATGTTCAGTGGGCTTTGTATGCATATATATTGCCTTAAATGTATAAGATATACCTACTACGGTAGTATAGACGGGGGAAAATATAGTTTAGTAATGAAACTAAGCAATGTATACCTTTATACATGCAGCTGTTTCTATACAAACAGCGTGTATTACGCTCGCTAAGAATATGCAAAATGTGAAAAATACTCGAAATTTATCGCCTTGGGAAGGATTACTGGATTAGGAATGCTTTAGGAATACTGGAACTGGCATGCAGCTGCAACACTTGCTATCCACCAGGGGGGGGGTGAGGTTGGAGCAGAGGTTGCCCTTTTGAGTACAAACTAACTATAGCTTTAGCACATAGATGGCGAAAAACCCTCAGATGCCGAAACTATCTAAGAGGGTGAGACAAAGTTGAACTATACAGATGTTACAAACACTTTCTTTATCAGTCAATCCAGAAGTTTTGTTTCACAAAAATCATCCCCTCCCCCCCCCGGTAGATCGTGGGAATCAAGTTTCATTCTATGTCTCTGCCAACTGAAATTATATCAACTGAAATCTCTCCATGCCTATATCGCGAGAATATATACGAAGAGTAAAATTTGAAAATTCAAAAGGCTGACTTTTGTTGAAAATAGATTTAATTTACGTTTTGGGTAAACAAAATAGATTAGAATGTCATCATTGTGAACGTAATATTTATACAACCGCTTGTGATATAATTAAGTATTTCGTGCACGTTCCAAGGATACACAGAGAAAAAGCGAAGGAGTTTCTCTGGCCTTTGCTCGTTTTAATTTCAATTTCAGGCTGATCATGCATGCTTGATAAGTAATTATCTTTGTATCACTGTGTATGTGTCCTGTTTTTTTTTTTGCTTTTTGTAACCTCCTTCACTTGTCAAATGAGAAAGATAACTTTGTGTTTCGTTGTACGCTTATCAATAATGAAATATCGAGAAATTATTTTTGTTTTTTTAAAACGCGCTTCGTGAGAAACGAAGCTCAGATGTGTCTGAGGAAATTTCAAAGGCTGAGAGTTTGTACATAACTTGTCTGAAATGGAACAAGTCAAGTTGATTCGAATAAAAATTTGAGATTTGGTAAAACAATGACCAAGACATAACACTGACTGAATTTATCTATATACATATGCATACACTTGACGCTAAACGTGTCACTAAGCAACGTGTATATATGAAGAAAAACATTGTCGAAAGTCATGAATATTTTCAGTCAGAGAGGCAACAAAGAGCTGTGAAAATTTCCAAGCAAAAAATAAGTATTTTTCTCGGCAAGATAAGCTTCACATCGCCTCACAATAAAACGGTGATATATGAAAAATATATTAGATTACCGACACCGTAATACTTGAATGACTTCTTGAAACTAACATAATTTAGCTTCGTTTTCAAGACATTATTTTGCGCATTCAAAGTTTAATTATATCCTTTGTAATTAACTTCTCTCTAATTACAAGAGGCAGTAATGACGCAGTAAAGCGGCGTCCGTGCATGTGCCACACATTGCCACATGAACAACGCCGGGAAATACAGTTAGGATATCTTTATAATATTAATTAGGATATAAAAAATAATTGAAAAATTTTTATCTCAAAGGCTTGCCTTTTCATATACAGTTATTTTGCAGTGCGAACGTGATAAATATCGAGGATCACCAGAGGTTTCTGATTGTTTGCAAAAATTGAAAAAAACCGTGAACCAATCTACAACAGATGGCCGGCCTTTACGGAATTGGACTAAATATGCAAACTGGAAGGTTCTAGATAGTATAGGATTCCTTTTTTTCAATATCGTATTTCGGTTGTCAACTTCATAATCGATGCATAGACACACATATATATACTATTCTTAAATCAATTATGACTTTTGGCACTTCACTTGCGATGCAGGAATATTCTAGAGGTTGAAAGGATCTTAATTTCGAGTGGAATTATACACACTTCAAATTCAAGCCAGGAACAGCTGATGCAAAAATGAGTCAACTATAGATCCTCCGGCAGGAATCGAACCGACGCTTTTGCGATGCCGGTGCAATGCTCTTGCCACTTACACTATTCTTAGATCTATATTTTTTTAAGTCGAGAAGCTACGACTTGTAATACCGCGGGACTTAAATAACTTTATGGAGATAAAAAAATACAATTGTGTTTGAGTGTCATCATCATACATATGCATGATGCAAAAATCAATTAGAAATTGAACTTATCAACGACGTGTGTAGAAAAACGAATTATAAGTATTAATACAACGTCAATCCGTGCTTATTGAAAAAGAGTGATTGTAAAATAAAGAATAAATAAATTAAGTTTGAATATCATCTGCAGTCCAATTCTTCGATAGATTCATGCATGCACTTAATTGTTGAATTGTCTTATGCTTGAGAGCTGAAGTCATTTTACTTTTTCTTCAGTCTATTTCAAGTGTACCCTGAGATGCAGAACTTATTCCCAGAGTTTCGTGGTCAGGGTAATGTGGACAAACTTGAGACAACACAGTTCCTCAATGGCCATGCAAAACGTCTTATGACGGCAGTTGAAAATAGCGTCAACGCATTGGGAGATTTCGAATCTTGCTCAACCTATCTTCAAGAGTTGGGAAGGAGACACAAGATACGAAAATTAAAGCCACACTATTTGGAGGTGCGTTTTCAAATTGTAAAAATCGTTTTCACTTGCGTTTGGAAGGCAGGCAGGCTAACGCAATCAAACCTTATGAAGTAAAACTCTCGCTGGCCAAAGGTTTAAAGATCAGTTGATTTTGATTTTAACAAAGTTTATAGCGAACTTTCAATGGTATTACCTTGATAATCCTCGCTGAGCAACGGTGTTTTATTTTGGCAGTTATAGGCGAGATGTGAACGAACATTCATCGTATCTGAAAACAAAAATTCAAGGAATGAGATTTTTAAGACTTCTCACCTCACATCAGCTTTATACTCAATATTTACACCTATTGTAAAGAACTCCCACGTGACACATTTTTGTCTAGGGAACATGCACCCCCTTTCCCCCCACAAGACACGCACTTTCCTTTTGTTTAGGAACGTGGGGGGGGGGGTCACCCTTACTCAACCCGACGGATATTGGTTAGAAAATATAGACAGATATATCTGGAGGAAAGTCCCTAAACTGGACTTTATTCCGCAGGTGAAAGCAATCTTGATCCTCCTGATAGGAAAAGATTGAGAAACAAGCAATCTTATCAGGAAGAACCGCGGAAACTTGCTTAAAGCAATTAGTCTCATGAAAAATTTGTGTTGATTTTCATTAGAGAATGGGCGCAGCAATGATGTTGGCTTTCAAAGAACTTTATCCAGATTTATGGACGGAAGAAACAGACGAAGCATGGAATAAACTATACAAATACATCTCAGATATGATGGTCGAAGGATTGAACTCGCCATAAACATGCATAACGAAATAAACGACTTCTAACTGTAAAATTGTGCTCATGTCTCCCAGGATTAATTTATACAAGTATATTTTAGCATGATAATACAGTGGAAAATATAATTGTGTTGATCACAGTTAAGTTTTTAAGGAATAAAACGTACCATAAAGAATATTGTAAATACGTCAACGTAGTCGTAGAGCTAAGTCTAAGAGTATAAATTAATATATAACTGTAATTATATAATATACATGAATTACTACAACATAATTTGTATACATGGGAAAATAAGAAACTTTTGGAGAATGTTTTGGAAGGTTTTCTGAAATAGGAAAGCAAACTTTAGAGGAAAAACTCTTTGTGATAGAATACTTTGGTAGAACACTAAAGTTCACGAGGACCGCTATAAATTAAGTAGATGGAATTTTGTAAAAAGACCCAATGGACCGTAATATATTGTAGACACTTGTTTTGTGAATTTCCAGGCAGACAAAGCGTATATACCCAACTTAATAAAAACAACCTATGGCTATAGCCACCTGTTTTGCAGGTGACAATTGCCCCAGTTATTGGCAAACGAGTGGTTATTTACGCAAGAAAGATACATATTTATTATCAAAAAGTCTTTTAAGTATTAAATTTTACTCCCTTCTTGAAAAAGCTGAAGCTAAGGTAAGGACATCATTTAAATAACATATACCATAAAATGACCGGAAACTAGAAATTTCCTTTATATATTAAAAAGCGATCGTATATATATATATCAAATACCGCCGCTATCGGTAGTAAGTTCTCGTCTTTTAGGATACTGTAAATCCAACTATATTAATCCCTACTTATCGTTCAGATCCCTACTTATCGTTCAGAGTTCAGATTTTAGAAATCTTAATCCGTTTCAACAGCATGGCGAGATTTTCAATGAGTTAGAATATTGTACATATATTACATACGTATATATTGGATCATGTTTGTTACCAGGCAGCCATTCAAAACAAATGCTACCGAAAATATATTTGCAATAGAGCAACAGAAAAATCAATAACTGAAAATAGCCTTTTACAGACTACCAGTCTTCTAAAGCTGTCACAAGGAAACCAATGCAGTATGAGTATCAGGTGTCTTCCCGTTGTTCCACTTTGAACAATTGGAAGATGGCATTATTCGTTTCCACTGTGCAATGTATCACTCCAATATTCCGCCAAAGATGCCTTTTACACTAACTTAAGTCAGAACAGCGTTTCCTATCTTTTAGGTTTAATCTTTAGAGATACCATGCAGATTAGTATAAGGTATCATAGCTTTCTATAAACAGGGAGTTACCCCTGGCGTAGAGACGCTAGCCATGTTCAACACTTCAAACCTAGCTTTGGCTTGGTTAGGCCTTACCCAGCAGATCTGGGTGGGTCACTGGCTCTGTTCAAAGCTAGTGTAAATACGGCAACTGTCTAGTAGACACGTTCGCCCCATTTAACGAGGACAACTTTACAATCTGTTCTCCTTACCAGAGAATGGAATACAAAAAACAGCAAAGTTTCGACACCAGTATCATTCTTCCAACTCTTGAACGTCTCGAGAACGACCCGACTGTCATCGGCGTCATGGTCGTCGGTAACGATGGCTATCCGATCCGAAGTTCCCTCGACAGCGCCACGACTATTAACTACCTCGAAAACTTCGGTTCGCTTATTGAACTAGCGCGTTACACTGTTAAGAACATGGATCCGAGCGATGAGCTGAATTTCCTACGCATGCGTACGAAAGACTACGAGGTGATGATTGCACCAGAAAAAGAATACTCGTTACTCGTCCTCCAGAAAGAAAACGCTGCCACGATTTCAAAACGACATCGAATAAGCGTTGATTAAACGATCTTTACACGCTCTTAATTTTTTTCCATGTAAAAAGCAATTCTGTAAAAATGGTGTAAAATTATAAAAGCTCAGTTGAAAACTTCAACCAGATTGTATTTACTGTGTTTTCAAGTTTTTCATTCAACGTGTAGTTTATGCATTTCCTGTTTGCGCGCGTCTGTATGTCTTCGCCTTTTCTCTTTTGCGCAGTGCATTCGTTTTTGCTTTATTGCCTGCGAAATGCTTTTCTCATCAGCAGCGGTTTTTCATTTTTTGCGCGAATCCTTCCCCATATTTCATAGCGATGCTTTCTGGATTTTTTCCACACATTATTGTCCCACGAATTACTTACAACTACACAGAGGTCTTGTACATAGACCATCATGTTTTAGTTCAATCTCTTTTATACACTTATTCACCGCATTCCATTCATTCCATTATTCTATTCATCCGGTTTAGTTTTTAAGTAAATAAATAAGAGCAAATGAGGAGAAAAAGGGAGATAACCATTAATCGCAAACACAGAGCTTCTATATATTCGTGCGTACGTTTCCTTATAAAATTACTTTATTCAATTTCATAATAAAAAGGAAAATTCTAGTCTACATATACAAAGCCGGAAACGCGAATACCAGGATTCTGATTTGCATGCAAGTGCATATGTTCTCGTTTCATCGAGTTTCATTTCGTATATTTACGGACTGTAAGTCAGTAAGATCACAAAGAAAAACGAGGCCGGATAACCCAAGGAAAAGTCCATATCTACAAGTCTGAAATATTATTTCCGAAATAGTGTATGACACCTTCACACAAGTTTGCAACGGCTCGTTGACAACTTGGAAGACTGCCTTAGTTTGCAAGTTGTTGTAAGAACGTATCAACTATATAGGAAGGCTGCATTTCACCTTTGCGCTTTCATGCGGACGTGAAACGACGAAAAACTCTCAGAGAAATTTCTATAATTACTAAAACTCCTCTATCTCTGACCAAAGAGAATAAAAGTTCTTAAAAAATATTAAAAACCTTCTTTCCCTTGCGTGCACATACAAGAAAAAATCACAAGAGTGAAATACAACCTTTCCTTTTTTTCAAACATCCTTTTAAACAAGTTGTCTGCATAGCAACTTATAAATAAGGAATTGGGGGGCAGTAGGAATGGTTATCTATACGATAATACGGATTACAACGGGATAGACCGAACATCCCAAACATCCTCTTTTGCTCTCCACGAGGGGGGAAGTCGTCTTGTACCGAAGACGCATCTATGTGAGTTGCTCTTGGGTGAAGGTATTATTGAAACTATACCTGGATTATTTAAGAATAACTTCAACTTGCATGTGTGTATTTTAAACTAGAACTATTTTAAGGTTTGACAGCCCGACGATCTATCAAGCCAATTTAAATTTGCAAATTAAGATTGAAAGGTCGCCGTCTTGTTTATTATGGCAGATGCAGGCAAATTGCGCTAATGACCGGTCCAGTTTTTCGCATGTTAATAAAACTCTATTATTCAGAACTAACTCACTACCTAAAATGCTCAAACTTCATCGAGTCTTTTCACAACAAGAGAACGGCAACCATGTGTATACAATCTGCATGTGTACTTGTAAACAACCACTACCTATAGAATTGAGACAAACAGTCACCAACATAATAAAACCAATTGATCACAGAATACATAATACGCATAAGGAATACATAATAAAAAGCCAACCTCTGACAATACATGCGAGTTCGTTCTATTTAGGAATTTCAGCATCAGGATTAGTCAGTATGCTCCAATCAGTGCCAATACAGAATCCAATTTTGCGACGATGTTCTAAATGTTTACGTTCTTCAAGATCAGCCCAACGCACCTGGAGTAACACAGAAATATTACAACTCACAGCACTTGTCGAAAGATGGCCGGCTTTTAAAATAGAAATTTAAAACTGACTCTTTTCTTTCCAAGTCTCATGTCCTCCTCTCTCTCGTCATAAGGATCCTCGTCCAGGTCATCCTCTTCGCGTGATTTTCTCTTGCTTCCACGTGGACGAATGCCATCCAGTTTGTCTGAAGCAAAATGGAAGAAAGTTTATATCGTTTCTGATATGGTCTATTTTATCTTATTCATCAATCGCACATCTCTAAGTATACTTGTAGATTACACAAGCCACAGTTATAGGACAAATGGTTAAAGTTACTCAAATATTATTTTACAGTTGCTCAAAAGATATAGCTCATTAAATAAAGAGATTTGGGGCGAACAATTCTGATGTTAAATGAAGCCTTACCTAGAGTTTTCTCAGTGACATCAGTGTCATTCCATCGACTCTTGAAAAGGGAGTCTTCCTGCTATAACATGGAACCATTAGTCCGTACTTCGCAAAAAGTACATTGTCCATCTTACCACCATCGGACGATGAATAACATCGAAAATGATTTCACGAATTTGGTTTTGTTTGCATTTTGTTTCCCTTTTTGCTTCGCAAGGAAAATGTGTACGCTTGATATTACATGTATGCGGAGTCACAACTATTATCACTAGTTATCGCTATATGTCCCTAGAATAAAAACAAGCTCTACAATTGGTTACCTCTCCTTCAAACCCAGTTTCCTCGCTGTCTTGATCATCCCCAGCCTCTCCTGTCGCGTCTTTATTCTCACCAGGTTCCTCAACAGCTTCCATTTCAACCTGGGGGGGGGGCGCAAAAACAAACGTGATATAGCTTGCAATAACGTTGACAAAACTACCCAAGAGTTCAAGAGTTCTACCATTGCTGTCTCAATGTGAAACACCAGCAAGCATGAATAAATAAAGTTTTGCTATCCAAAATCTAGACTTATGTTTCATTAAGATCCTGGTATCATGAACATACCTCAGTTATGGCAACGTCTTGTAGTAAAGACCGCACATCTAGTCTAATATAATGAGTTGGTGTTTCCTCCCAAGCATCCAACAACTAGTAAAAAGTAAGATCATATGTAAATTAAGGCCTTGTTACATCTGATTTTATGTGCGATTTTCGTCAGAACATACTTTGTTGATATCCTCAAGAGATCTGTTATGAGTGTTTCTCTTTGCGCAGTCATTAGCATCCGCTGTCATCTCAGCAACATACACCTATACATGGAGATGATGAAGACGATGATTGAAGCAAAATTTCGTCAAAAGTGCAAAGAAAAATAAAAGAAGAAATACCTCAAATCCCTTCTGTTTTGCAATACTCCAGAAATGATCAAAATGATCTACTTTATCGTTGACACAATCCAGAATAACCATAGGAAAGAAACCGTCGTCCAAAGTTTTATTAAAAGATTTGAACAGACTTTTTCGATAGCTTTCCTCTAATTCTTCCTCATACACATATTCTGTTGCCTATGGAGTAAAATACAATTCTTTAGCATGAAATAACAGTATTCAGTGATCATGCATAGCCATAGGAAATTTTATTAACGTCTTACTGTACCTTGACTTTAACTTTCTTCCCTGTGTCTGGATCTTGCTCCTCTTTCGATGTTTCTTGTAAGAAATAATCATCGAGACTGAGAATACGAGGAGCGTGCGCTCCACATGCCACTTCTTTGTCCTGAAAGGATTGAAAAAAAACGATCAACAGAGAATTAGAAAAAGCTCCTCAGGATTTCTGAGGATTTGTTGAGTGTCTCTTGGTAAAGTCTTCTAAGTATAACCATCTATTAGAGATACCTTGATTAGTCTTGCAATATGGGTTTTACCGCTTCCTGGTACCCCACGGAATATAAAAACAATCTAAAATTACAAAAGATAAGATTCTAGAAAAGATGAATTGTCATTTCAAGATCTTAAAAACACGAGCATAAGGAAAAATCTCCAGATAGAAGTTTCACTTATTACCCTATCTGGTCTCGTGTCTCTGCCGGGAGCATCAAGAAGATTTCCAATGGCCACAACCTCTGTCTTTGGTTTAGGTGGGGGCGCTGGTTCAGGAGGGTAGTCCCGTTTATCATATCTCTCCGGGAGGCGACGTTTTCTTGTCTCTTCCTCGTCTTCTCGCCAGCCATGTTTGTAATCAATTGCTTTTGATTGTAGCAATGCTTCGCGTCCAGTGAGGATCGCATCTGCTGGGTCAAGATCGCCACGATGTCGATAGTCACGCGGTCTTGCATCGGTGTATGGGTCGCTGTAGCGATCTCGTCCGACGTCGCGTCGTCGATCGAGGTCGTCTAGAAGATCGTAGGGTGGTCGTCTATCGTATGCTGGATCATGCAGGAGATAGGTATCGTCGTAAGGATCTGACAAAAAAGGAGCCAATGTTTGAATACGTTGTACATTTTATCCCCCTTGATACATAACTTTCCTCCTACACCCCTCTCGATACATACCTTCCCTCCTATACCCCTCTCGATACCCTCGTTCAGTGAGGTAGGGATCAATCTTTCTATCTAAATCTCGTTCCCATAGTTCGCGTTCATTCTGTCTTCTTAGAAACTCAGCATCAGGGTCACGATAGAGGCGGTCACGTTCGTAAAACTTGTCCTCATAGCTGTCTCTGATTGGTCGTCTTTCTTCATCCGGGTATCTATCGAGCGGGTAACGACGTTCATCCGGGTATCTATCATCATCCGGGTACCTCGGATGATACCTTACTTCATCAGGGTATCGTCCATCATCGAGGTATCTTCCCCTATCGGGGTATCGATCCTCGTCTGGGTATCTGTCATATTCTCTAGGAGGAGGATACAAGCCTTCCTCTAGCCTGGGATCACTATGCCGGTAGTCTACCACACGGTCCCGGGGTTCATCGTACGGTCCTCGACCGAGGGTGTCTCGTTCTGGTGGTAGGACACGTGGTGGTCCCAGACCATGGTCAGGATAACCCTGTATTAAATAGAGTGAAATTAGATAAATAAACTATGGAGACTAGCAAATCGTCTGGCTATAAAAATACCTCTCTATAGTGATCAGGAGGATAATCCCCACGGTCGGAGTAATACGGATCATCTTGAAAAATAAGACTACAGTTAGCAATGAGAGTGATGATATCCAACCAATATTCTCGACTAACATGTAATCAGACGAGAATAGGTTTCGAAGTACACATGTCACGACTAACCTGATCGAGGTCTTCCATATTCTAAGTCGTCAGGATGCTAGCAAGGAGAACACAATGCTTAGAACCTTTTGAGTAAACAAACAGGACAATTTGAGTCCAATTCACCTCTGACGTATGGGATGTAGTTTGTTTAGTTATTGATAAAGCAGTACTGCATTCGCATTTGTTGATTTGCTGTTACATATGTACATCGCAAGTCACCAGATTATAAAACATACATCAGAAGTGAATTGGATTTGACAAACTTGGATCGTTTTAACGGACCTTAATAACACCATGTCATTGTTGCCTAATGTTTTTTCCAATAAGGAGACGGAAATTATTGCCTAAGTTCGTATTATTGCGGAGATAATCAAGATATCACTCCATTATTATGAGGTCAAGATCCCTCTTACCAATCTTCCTCTCTCCTCTTCGTATGGCCAAGGCTCTTCATACTCGTGTGGTCGGTGATGTGGAACATTGAAATTATCTTCATAATGTCTTTCTTCATTCACGCCTTTAAACCTTCCTGAAATATCGAAATACCACTCATATTCATTGTCTAAGACATTCCATTGTCTGAGACGTTCTTGCAGAGGTGTCGTAAACGTCAAGCTAAAGGTCTCTAATATTTCACCATAATATTATATCTATTTATTTCATCCTACTTACCGCAAGCACGTTTCTCTAGAGGCACAGTGTGCCAAAATGGACACTCTTCTCTCTTGCATCTACGACATAGAAAAACATTGTTACGTGGTCTTTCATTAGTCCCATCAAAAAATTTTTCAAAGCGAGAAAAGCTCAGACATACCTCACATCATATTTACACAACGGATGAAAGAACTGACAATCTTCAGCAAGACCACATCGTGGAAATTTCCTACACGGTAACATTCGTTCCTCGTTTTTATTAATACCTGCAAACATACGGTATACGTTTTAGCAATTAAGAATACCGTTGAAATGAACCCTTCTACAAAATCTTACCAATCGTGGGACTGTCTTCAGGCGCCCTTTCCTCGTTTCTTACCACACCTAAATTTTCACCCTCAACTTTGGGCACTTCAACATTTAGGGCCACCTCAACTTTGGACACCTCAGCATTTGGCGCTGCCTCAACTTTTGACTTATCCGTCTTCGCTTTTTGTTGCTGTTGCATCTTTCCTAGAGCTTCTAAATTTTTCAACTGTTCCTGCTGCCTCATGAGTAATTCAATCTCCAGTTGTTTCTTATCTTTAAATCCTGTCATGGAAATATGACCAGCTTTGTCAGCTATCGGTGCTGGCCCGGTAGCTTTGTTTCCAGAATTCTCCGCAGCTGTCGATGGCCTGTTTTAATACAATATTTTAGAACAACACTTCTTCACAAGACATTGAAATTTAAATGGTAAAACGAATGAACAAATGAAATAGTTTTACAATATAATCATCCACTTACGCACTCTTGCCATCTGGCATGCTTGTTTGACCTGGAACCTTTTCTTGTTCAGTTTTAGTTGAATCCTGACTTTCAGAAACAGAAACAGACACTGAAACTTCTTCATTTTGAGCTTGAGGTTCGCTTTTTGGTGGAAGTTTTTCGTTAGTTGCCGCCACTTCAGTTGTGGGTGATATTTTTCTTGTTCCATCTCCTGATATTTCATTTGGTGTTTGTGATGGTCCAGGGACAGCTGGTAGCCGTAGTTTTGGTACAGATGGTAGCTGTAATGTAGGTTGAGATATTTGTTGCTTTTGTATAGGTGGTTGACTATTATTTTGAGCTTGGTTTGGTATCCTCAGGGTTGGTTGAAGGGTAGACTGTTCTTGTGGTCTTATTGCAGCGGTCTGCGCCTCAGAAACTTGCTGATTTTGGTCTGGAAGACTTGGCCTGGACAGTCTCAGTTGAGGACGTTGCAAACGCTGCTGATCTAGTGTTTGAGGAGCTTGTTGGTTCAATGTTGCCCGAGGAGCCATTGCTCTTGAGGCTTGATTTGGATTCCGTGGTTGTTGAGAGGAAGGTGCTCTCATTCTGGGCAGTTGTTGATTAGCTGGACCAGCAGCTTCTTGTGAAGTAGGTGGCAGCATCCTTGAGCCTGGGTGTTGTTGTGGAAGTGTTTGAGGATTTCTCATTCTTGGACCTTGTAGTCCAACTCCACGAGGTAAAGGAGCGTTCATTCTTGGACGCTGTTCGCCAAAGTCACGAAGTCCTTGTGGTCCTGGTGCTGTCATCCTTGGCCTCTGTTGATCACCTAGACCCCTTCCTCCCAGAGGTCTGGGTGGTCTTGCCCTTGGACCTCTCTGATCAAACACAGCTCTGGGTCCTTGTGATCTTGGCATTTGTTGACGAGGTGGGTTGTCAGTTGCTTGTGGCATCCTTGAACTCTGCTGATTTGCTTGCATTCGTGGACTTGGTACTCTTGGTATTTGCTGTTCAAATCCTTGTGGTCTCAAGCCTTGCTGAGAAGATGCCATTCTTGGTCCTCTCTGAATCGACTGGTTTTCCAATTCTTGCTGGCCTTGGGGCATTTCTGGACGCATGTCCATCAGTGATTGCCGTCCTTGTACATGCGAGGGTCCAGTGGGCCTTTGATTTGACTGATCAAAGCCTGGTTGGCGAGGTCTTTGTTGTTGGCCTTGCATTGATGGGTTGAATTGTCCTTGGGGTCTAGGGCCTTGGAATCTTGAACCTTGGAATTGATCTGGAAATGGTGGTCTGTGTCTCTGTTGTTCTTGTCCAGGACCTCTGGGAACCTGTGTTATGCTGGACCTCTAGGATGTTGGGAACTAGCATGGGTAGGGCCTTGTAAAACTGGACCTCTGGGACTTTGAGAAACAGGAGCTCTGGGACCTTGAGGAGCAGCTGGACCTCTAGGGCTTTGAGATGGTGGACCTCTGGGACCTTGAGATGGTGGACCTCTGGGACCTTGAGATAGTGGACCTCTGGGACCTTGCGATGCTGGGCCTCTGGGACCTTGAGACGGTGGACCTCTGGGAGTGGGACTATGGTAAGGTGGACCTCTAGGTCTTTGTGAAACTGCACCTCCAGGACCCTGTAAATTCGGACCTCTTGGCCCACCGGGACCTCTAGGCCTAGGACCTCTTGGAGCTTGTCCTCTGGGCCATGGTCCTGGTCTTTGACCCTGAGGTCCTACACCTGGGCCTCTTGGTGAGAATCGTGGCCCTTTTTGTTGGTATGCAGCATTTGATGTTTGAGATTGGTCTCCTCCGTATGATTCACCATACTGGTTTTGGTAAGTGTCGGCATTTGGTTGTGGAAATCTGTTTTGATTTTGGGTTGGTTGATGGTATGATTGATTGGTATCATACTGATCAACAGGTTGTTCTTGATCATATAAATGCTGGTTGGAATTATTTCCCTGCCCTGGTTGAGATTGTTGCCAAGAAGGTGGGCCTTGGCTTCTGGAGTAGTTCCCTTCATTTGATGAATTGTTAAATTGAGATGGTGCATTAGGTCTCTGGGGCTGGCTAAAACCTGATTGATAATTCTGTTTATTTTGATACTGGTTTTGAGGTTGCGATTGTGATTGATAGCCTCCCATATTTTGCTGTCTGGTTTGTGTTGAATATGTACTGTGAGGAGTTCGCTTTTCAAAACTTTGTGTAGTCTGTGTTGTGTTCGGCTGTTGTGGTCCCATTTGCTGACTTAGAGATTGCTGGCTGTATTCAGGTCCCTTTTGCCCTGCCTGACTGGAGTAACCTGTTTGACCAGAATAACTGGTTTGACCTGATTGGCCAGTCTGACCAGTATAACTAGTAGGACCAGATTGTCTAGGTTGACCAGAATAAGTTGTTTGAGATGAATAACCTGTTGGAGCAGAATAACCTGATTGACTGAATGGTGCTGTTTGTCCTGAAACATTAGTTTTACTTGGATTTGTTGGTTGTGAAGGTAATGGTGGTTGTTGTTTATCAGCTGGTGGTTGTGCTGGCAAGACTTGTGATAAATTTTGTTCCCACTGTTTCATTTGTTGTTGCCATTGTTGAAACTGTTGCTGGTCTGGATGGTCCTTGGTTCTTTCAAGCCACTGGTCATACTGCTTCTTCCATTCTTCATATTGTTTTACAAAGTCCTGTTGGCCTGTAACACCCTAGAAGAATACAAATTATTAATACAGGAGTTGCCACAACATAGTCAAATCACTTTGTATATAATTTTGCAAGTTATTTAGATTTGAAAGTTTGTTAAGATTTTACCATCAACAAAAACAAATTTCCTTCTATCACCATATCATATATTGAACACAAAGGGAATCCTGAGTAAATAGTCCTCAATCATTCATCAAGATTTATGAAAGAAAAACTACTTGGTACTTGTGATGCAATTGTAGATTGGTTGAGAAGGAATGTCTGCATATGGGTATTGAATACCATCTCATCTGGGTGATAGCTATGACTTTAATATGAATTGATACATTTAGATACATGCTAGAAATATAAACTATATTTACCTGGTTATTGGTTGCTGATGGAGCTTGTGATGTAGGAATTGTAGTGGATGGAGGAAGTGCACTAGTCATACCATAATATCCCATATACTGTGGATCCATAGGACCTGCGACGGCAGCATAACCTGGATACGCCGGGTAAGCTGGATAAGCAGCTGGATAATAACTAGCTTGGTCTGTCGGCATATAACCAGCATATTGTGGTATGTACTGGGCGGCATTTTGACCTGTTGGATACTGATTTGGATTCATGTTGATGTCATTTATTAAAGTGTACGAAATTCATAACTAAAATGATATTATTTCAAGAAAAATCGATAAAATATAGCTTTAAATTTCCAAACCAGTCTTGAAAGATGGCTGCCAGTTGCTTTCACATTCTGCACACGTGATAAAAATGTTTCCACTTTCTTAAAAGTATAAATACTATAAATGCTTTTAAAAAAGTAATTATTGTGAAATTCTTGTCAAAAATTCAAGACATTCAATTGACGGAGAATTTTGTATTTATTCATATTTTTATCATAAAATTGTTTATTCTTTGCATGAAAGAAAGAGGGAAATTTTCTAGCAGAAAATTTCCCTCTTTGACATTTCCGGAAACTTGAAACAACAAGGAAGAAACAAGATGGCGACTGAATGGAAAGAAAAGATGGAAAAACGGCAGGAAGCGAGGATTTCGGAATTGGAGCGGAAGAAACAAGAAAGAGCTGAACGAATAAGACCTGAGGAAAATCCTGAGCTTTTGCTCTCCGTATTTGTGAAAGAAAAAGCAGCGATAGAGAATATGTTGTGTGATTTAGACGGCCTTGAAAGAAGTGTTTTGCGTGACCGTCTGGATGATGCGACGAAGTTGTTTCAAAAACTTCAGAAATTTGTGTCGGATTCATTCACGTTTCTGCCTTCTTATGATGTTAAGAATATGCAAGCTGAAATAAAGAAGCTTCAGCAGGAACTGAATGAGAAACGAAGTAGTTTAATGCCAAAGAAAAAGTTTGCTTTCAGTAAGAAAAAACCGAATGAAGAAAATGAGAAGACGAACTTAAAGGCGGACGTAGGGTTGAATGAACTCACTGACAGCTCAAATACTTCTACAGCTAAAGAAACTAAGCAAAAATCTACAGATGCACAAGACAGCGTGTGTTTCAGACAACAAATCGTGAGACATGAAAAGGACTTGTTGGAAAAAGATATCAGTTTTTCAAATTTAAAGGAGTGTACTTTGACTTTGTACGGATCTCCTTTGGCTTTACATCTTGAGAAGTTAGAATCATGTAAAGTATTCTGTGGTCCTGTGAGTGGCTCAGTTTTTATCAATAACTGTAAAAACTGTGTATTTGTGTTCCCATGTCAACAGTTACGTGTTCATGATACTGTTAAATCACAGTTCTACTTGCATGTAACCAGTCGAGCGATCATTGAAGATTCTAATGAGTTAGGATTCTCACAGTTCAACTGGAAGTATGATGGAATGGATGATCATTTTGAGACAAGCAGATTGGATCGTACAAAAAATAATTGGCAGTTTGTGGATGATTTTAACTGGTTAAAAACTGAGGAACATTCTCCAAACTGGCACATCATTAGTGATGAACACAAAGTGACTTCTTGGAATGACTAGAAATTACTTTTTGGTTTCTTGACATGAAAATTAGTTTTATAAGGTGATATATATGTATGTTTATGTAGACATTTCAATGTTGCAAGAGGGGAGAAAGACTATGATTTATGATACATTTATTTATGGTGACATTGTGTGAATATGGTAAATGAACACAAGCAATGCTTTAAATTATTATTGCACAATATTCCCAAAATGAAATGTATTCAAACCTGAAAATTCTCATTCTTCATGTGGAACAAATCCAGGAATGTATTTGTAAGTGGAATGCAGGGAACAAAAACGTTTCATATGCACTTTCATCTGCATCATCTTCTCATTATTCTGAAGAGTGCAATGTAGAGAAATCAACATAGCTAAAATCCTAAAGTTTTTTCAAGTGTATTTTGAGAAAAAGTTTACCCCTTGACCAATATAAGACATAATGTTTTCATCTTTAAAATGATGCACTGGATTTATTCCAAGCACAGAATAACCTAAATAATGTGAAATTATTTCCTGGATTATTGTAGCATGGTAATCAGGAATTGCTGTGTCTCTTCGATTACCCCAAACAAAATTTGTCTTAAAACGGAAAAAATATATAGTTTTATTTATCACATGTTTCACAACAACATACCAACTCTTGCTGTTATGGATTCCTCGTACAGCAAAATCGCCATTACTGCGTCATCTTCGGAAACCTGTTTTTAGTTCAAATATTTAGTCATATTTATATACTAAATATTTCATATATCAACCTACCTCAGGACGAAAACTTAATTTTGCATGAGCTTTTGCGAGTGACATCCTGAAAATTGAAAAAATATGTATGGCAGATCAGTTTTTCGGCTTCATAATCTTCGCTTCAATGATACTTACATTGATTTGAGTGCAGTTATCGGAAACTCAGCTCCACCAGAATTTCTTGATCTGCGACTAGCGAGGTAAAACCCTTGGATCAAATCTCGGGCCTCGTTACTGAATGAAGGATTACCAGACGCTGCATATTGGAGAAACTAATAGAAAGATAACAGTGTGCATGAAATTTACATCAAGTGTTTTAAAACCACCAGATTTCACATGATTAGGAAGGCTGAAATTCTAATACTTCAGATACCTCAAAGAATTCATTTCTTGGAATACGATCGGTTTCTCGTTGGTCTAGTCTGGTGGATTGTTTCAGGATGTCCTGGACAATCAGTGATTCAGAGAAAACATCTGATAATTCGTTCTCTGTCATAACAAACACCAAATTGAAATAACTGGAATAAAATGAAATAATATAATGATAGTAAGCCTATATCGTCCGTCGTTTTAGCCCAATCAAAATTTCAATCGAAATTGAATAAGACAACGTACTCAATAAGAGTCTTTGATAACTGCCCATATCCCTATATAATGATCATATTTTTAAGAAAAAATTCTTGGTAATTAATTAATGGTTATTATTTTAGTGAGCGACTTCTAGAATTCAGATGCAGGCATGCAAAATCTTAATTGGGACCACGAAGAAAGACACTTGGATAATCGTACTTGCAAATTTTGATAGGTGTTATAATGCACTCTTGCCCCTTGTTTTTTAGTTGTTTCACAACAGGCCCATATCTTGCATGTCACTGGGACAGAAATCTGAGCTTGCTGACAGCCTTCAATGTATTTCCTTGGAACGTCAATATTCACACAATCCGTTTGGACCACTACGGATTAAATACATAAAATAAATAAATATACTTAGTACAGACACGAAGATTTGTTTAAACACAAATAGGACTTGGTTATTAACTTCGGAACCAACCGTTTTCCAGTTCTCCTAATTGATCGTTTTTCAATTCATTAAGATCGCTTACAACACAAATTCCATCATTGGCTAATAACACACAACCACCTTAAATGAAAAACAATTATAAGTAGATCGATACACAATATACCATTACCATCATCTTCAAGGTGAAGTAAAGAGCAATGCCCAGAATCTATTTCCACACAAGCAAAATCTACTAAGGTATCCACCTCGTGCATACTGGGCTTGACTGGCTATTATCTATACCTACCATGAATCATACAAGAACCCATGTTAGGACTTTGAGTCTTCGATATAGAGTAACACAAATCATTGCATGGTGAGAAGAGGATTGATCGGTTAGCAAATGACTTGCAGTATGACATTAGTCTTTGTATTGTTAAGATATCTTTAGAGACGGTAAGAATGTGTATTTGTCCACTAGGCAGCTGGTTGTCCTCACTCGATGATTGGTGATGACTAACTAAGCTGAGAAGTAAGCCAAGCTTCAGTCGAAAATATGTCCCAGGAGGTGAAATGCTGTCTGGATAATGGAATGATAGTCATTTGATTCAAAAGTTCTGTGAAAATTAGGTTCATGAAGGTTGATGGCAGTCGGCATGTGAGAATGTGCATCGGTTTATTCGGTTCGTAGATACCTCTTTGTGGTGAAGTATTCTAAATCGTAACAAAGTAAAACCCTAAACTCACCTCCGAAGACGTAGGCAAGACAAGCAGCAAAACTCCAGGATGAATCTTTGCGATCTATACGAAATTTGTTCAAGAACAATTCAGCTGAGTGAGTGATATACATACACAAAAAACCAGAAACTGTACTTCGTTTCTTATAGCAGGAAATGTAAAAATGAAGAGTAGTCCAAAACTAACCATGATACAGTCTTTGTACTCGCCAAAACTTTGATTGAGCTTTCAAAAGGGAAGCCGTAAACAACGCAGGATTACCACAGATCTTTCTCGGTGAAAGGATGAACATGAAAAGTTCAGTTGTCCATTGAAACATTTCCTATCATCGTCTTAAGTTTAAAATAACTATAAAAGTTCACCTTCGTAACGTTGTTTGCTTCAAACACTAAGCTCAACTGGCTGGAGTTTTGTCCACCATAAAACTCTCGAAATGGAATTAATGAAAAGGAATAACAGGAACCAAGTTCAACTTCATTCATTAATTCGTCTGGAAATATAAAACATGCATGCTATTAAAGATCAATCTCTTTGAAAATGCTAACTTGATTGGCTAGTTTCCCAGTTTACCTGTTGCTATATTAACTAGTTTTCTTCGTCTAGAAAAAAACGGTGCAGTCTTGTATATATTTCAACAGTCTTAACAATGCCTACCTCTGATGTAAACCCAAATGGAACGCTTAAGTCGGCTGTTCGCATTTTCTAAAATGTTGTTTGCCAATCCATCATAACTTATGACACGAAGAAGGCATTTCTCTAGCAATATAATTGAAGTAATGATAAAGTTATACGGGAAAAAAGGTTTCATTTAGTTTATTATAGAAATCATACATCTTGTCAACGTTTGCATCTGAGTCTTTATCAGCCGGGTTGGATTAAAGAACGTGTCTTACCTCCAAGAATTCTGCATGAAATATCTTCCTCTAGTGGCGTTCCACAGCCGTTGCAAATGATTTCCCCGCTGAATAAACAAAGATTTGTTTTAGCAACCGTCGGATCATGTTAGTTCTACTGTTAGTACTTGTAATTGTCATTGCTACCTTATGTTTTGGTTTCCCAAATGATTTGAATATCTTGCGCATCCACTTCCAATGGAGGATGAACATCGGTTGTTAATGCATTGAAACCATGTACTACGACTGTGAAGAACATAAAATGGCAAGAATAAGAGAAATGAGGGAAAAAGAGCTTGCATAGATAGGTCGAACACCGTTTAGGTTTCAAACTTACGTGTAATTTACTCTGGATGTTATACCACTGACAATACCAACTGTACTGAATAATGACATGTTCCCACTCTGCTGTAACTCTCGTTTCAGAGAAAACACTGATGAACAACTAACAAAAGCAGATTCACAAAAACCAATACAGCTCCAGCTTTATTCAGGAAATATTCTTTCAGAGAACATTAAATACTTTCCCCAGAAAGTTGGTATTTATTTTATCACAACTTACCTTATAAAATGTGGGATTGACGAACATCTGATTTGTAGATCTATTTGGGTTTTTGCCATAATCCCGGGAATCCAATTTAATGTTTGTATGCAGATAAAACATGCCTAAAAGTTGTATTTTCTACAGATGACTGTCACGAAGAGTGAAAACCGCAAATGATGGACTCAAATAAGTGTTTTTAAAATACAGTAACGTGCAATTTGGCTTTAATGGTTGACAGTTCACCTCTTGAAATATTTCGTTTCCTTTCTCTAATTCGTTACATAACAGATTTCCTAGTTTTGCTACACAGAAAGAAATATATGCAATTGCTATGGGTAATCAAAAATCATGCTAGAAACTAGAATTACTATGAAAAAAGCTCCATTCCATACCTACCGTCAAAATCTAACAAATCTCCGATATCAATTGGCAAAATAATTCGAAAAATTCTCTTTACTTTCTAAAAATTCAATATCCCCTTTTAATAAACGAATATACCTGTGTTACTCGTCAAATTGTAATACTGTCTGTTAAATTTGTCCGATAAAGCGACTCTATTTCAAATATAATAATACTACACATAAATACAAAGTGTGTTTTTTGGCAGAAAAAAAACCCAGAAAAGTACTACCATTGTATCGTCGGAGGGCTCGTCTGTGAATGCTTGGCATTTGTGGTGTAAATCATTGAGAATTCCACTTTGAAACATCCACCTGAAAGCAATCTCTTCGAGTGAAGAACTGTTTGATATATCATCCATTTGAGATATATTTCCAGCCATCTTTCATGGCTGGCCAGAATACGGAAAAAACGTCCTCAAAAAACGCCTAAAATTTTCTTTCTTTACATAGTTAATAATTCAACATTTTGTACTTTGTACAAGGCACTTTGTACAAGGCACTTTGTGCCATTTAATAAACATATTTTTAAAAAAATTTCACTTCTTTCCCAAAATTCAAATTTTCCCGCCAAGAATACTGTCATAGTTCGTTAAAACACATCACTCAAAAGTGTGGTTAAGGTGGTTGGGGTATGCATCCTCCACCAAGAAGAATTTGATATCTATGACAGTCAAAAGAGCTATAAAATCGAATTTTTAATAAAATTCTCATTAAAATCCAACGAACGTACAATAGCATACTGTGTGGATGACAGAAATCACCTGCCACGACGATACAGCATCTTTATTATTGAAGTATAAACTCTAAATATTCAGACTTTACTCAAAAGTGGAGTGTTAACAATGTCAGTGAACACATCAGAGCATAGCGGGGATGTGTTTTTGCTCAATGTGAATCCAAAGTCCTTACCGGTCGACATCATAACGATTTCAATTCTTTCCTTTGGGATCGTCGCCAACACACTTCTGATAATAGCGCATTGCAAAGACCCGCTTCGTGTTTTCAAAAACACAACATCACTTTTCGTACGAAATATAGCAATGATCGACATTATGGTTGCGTTTATTTGGATCATACGAACAATTATGATACTCGTTCGTGGATTTAAGCCTGAAACAGCCTCGCTGATTTGGGCTGGAGTTTTAACAATGTCTCCGGGTGCGTTTCTATGCTTTGCCATTGAACGGTTCATTTCAGTTGCGTTTCCATTGTGGTATCGTGTTGGAGTCACGACCCAAACATGTAAAAAAGCGATAGTTGGAACATGGATAACTCACGGTATAATATACACACTCATTAACTTGGATAACAGAAAAGATGTGCTTCTAGTTACATACGCAATAGTTGTATTTTTTGCAATATATATTTTCTACTTTGCAACATATATTGCGCTTCGGCGACAGAGGAATGCGTTTCGAAGAAGACAAGACAATGGAGTTGATCAAACAGGCATGAGAGCAAGGCAAGAACAGGAGAAACGTTTTCTGGTCACTATCGCTATCGTCTGCGTCATTCTAATGATTTTATTTCTCCCAGTCGTTGGACTAGGCACATTATTTGTACTCTTAGGAAACGTTTTGGAAATTCAGAGCGTGAAGAAGACTTTTGCTTTTCTCTTCGTTTTGCTAAGCATTAATTTCGTCATAAATCCGATAATCTACCTTTTAAGATTACCAAAATATCGAGAAACATTTAAAGTAATTTACTGTAATTTCACATAATGTTTTTTCCTCAATTTATGACAGTTTGAATTAGAAAAATATATAGTTCTGTGGATTATATGAAAAGTTTGATTGAATGAGGTCATACTAGACTGTAATTGGGGCGTGGATTAAATATAAAAAGGAAATGCGTGTCTTAGACAAGCTTCCATCGTAAATGACTCCGGATAACTTCACATTAGATGTATGATTAAGGATGACAGAAGATGATAATCTTCTTTGATATCAGGATGTTTTAAAACTCGAGGATATCCTGCCAAAAACGTTTTACAACAAGATGCACTATCCACAGTTAGAATAGCCGAATAACTGTCCGTTGCATGGAATGGACGAGTACCTGACCCCACTGTTGGAGCACTGTTGGAAAATTGTTTCGTAGATACAATGTCCTTGAATTGCATTAAGTGAACGAGGGACAATCTCTCTCAATCTCTTCTTTACATGCAACAAAACAAACTAACAAAGAGCCTTAGGAGCAGGCATGTACGTGGGTATATCTATTGATGAACATCTGTCCCGTTGTTGAAAAACTCTTGATTCAAAAAGAATTAAACAAATGAAATGATAATGACGTTTTGACACTAACTGCATTTGGGGTAAATGACATTAGCAGTACACAGCCACAATCAGTACACAGCACTGTGATCACAGTTAATCACGCGATATTCTAGCATGGGAATCCTTCGACGTTAGGTGTAGAAAAACTGATATAAATCCATTTCTTGCAACTGCTATTGGTTTATACAAATGCATGCGGAGGAAATATAGGTAAGATACTTATATACGTCTTATTTTAAAATTCCATTCACTCGTACTAAATGAGTTGAAGTCATGCAACTTGTAACTCTTCGTTGTCGGTATTTAAACCCAACCGACAGAGTACATTGATCCAGATGATTACATGGATTTTCGGTTGAAAGTTACGTTTATGACTAGAAGCTTCATTGTAGACATTATACGAGGACTTTAATGAGTAACTTTATAACTGAAGCTAAGCAATGACAGCTGAAGAATATGACCGTCCTTTGCAACGAGTAAACACCTCACGTCATATATTACATATCATGCCATTATATTCACAAATCGCTTACATCTTAATGCGTTTTTTATATAGAAACTACATTATTTAGATAAGAATATCAACACGTCATGTCACGTGAATTAGGGGAGTGATATCTGGATCAGAAGTCAACTTGTGGTTTTCAATCAGATAAGGTAGGCGTTATCACGAACGTTTAATGATGCACCTGAGTTTCTCGATAGCTGCATAATATTTTAGACATGCATATCAACAGGGTCCTCAAAAAGCTAAAGGAATATTATACAATTTTGCAGAGAGTCATCAGAGACACCGACTGGAACAATATTAGATCAATAGCGCCACAACTTCTCATTTCCAATACAAATATTTGCCAGGGGAGGTACTGAGTAAATTTATCAATGCAAGATCTTGTTTGCGACAACCTTGGTATAAAAAAGACGTGGGAATTTTTAGGGGAAAATTAGTTTCACCAGGGTAACCGACTCGAGGTTTTACAATCATGAATTTACATAATGCGTCAACAAAAATATTTCTATTGTAGTGCCATCGTCATGTCCAACCACATGGAACGTATCATGATTTACTATTTAGAGTTCATAATAAAGCTGCACATCTTCAGTCGATGTGTAAATTAATTCTTAATAATTAATGATCTGTACTTTGAAAAACAATAATTTAGAAAGTGTTAAGGTTTAAATATGCATTAGGAATGCCAAGTTTTAAGTGCCTCACTTAAAGAATGACTGAATTTGGCAGGTGTTACGAGCTATATAGTGCTTGTTATATTCATATTGTTCTGAAATGCGAAGATTGTATCTTTTGAGAGCGTAGAAAACTCCGTTTCAACTGTTTTAGATCAAAATTTAAGCAACAAGAGCCATCGCAGACACAGAGTAAGTAACCATCTTGAATTAATAACTACACCGTTACAGAGATGTATGAAATTATGCTTCTTATTCATCTTGTTTTAAATCGAAGCATGCAATAAATCATATCTTCTTCCAATTGCCTACTTCACTCATTCTACAGAAATCTGTCTTCAACAATTTTTAATGTATAAGGAACTCTTAAGAGAACGAATTTAAGGCAGTTGCGAAGAAGACATAGCTTTTTGCAGGCCAAATGCAAATTCGTAGCGCTGTATATATAGTTCAGTAAAATTCTCAGTCAGAAAACTGAAACGTGCACAATACTAAACGTACAATACTTAACGAACTCCTTCTAGAAGATGGGTGTTTCGCGAATATCATTTGAAGATTTATACAATAATTTTTGAGGTATAAAGAGGATCATCATAATGGATGAGTTGTAATCTAATTCTCAGCATGTTGCCTCTATTGAGCCTGCAGTGTAACACCATGAATTACCTCAGCGTTCTACACTAAAAGAACTAAGAGTTGATTCCTTCATAGAGTTACTACCTCAGCTAGAACGAGGTTGCCTCAACCATTCTAGCACCTAACCATCGACCATTGCAACCTGCTGTTCTAGATTCTTACTCCGAATATAAAAATTAGACAATTTTATATATAGATGATATACGAATGAGCGAAATTTTGATTAAAATTTCAGTCTGAATGTCTGGCTGTGAAGGTAAACTTATAGTTGGTTCGTGCTTGTAGACATAATTAGACGATAACGCTTAGAGCAAGGGTTGATATTTAGAGATCAAATATACACACACCGAACTCTGAAAGATTTAAACCATTATCACAGAAAAAACATTGTCGTTCTTTCCGAGAATGTGGGGTTGTTCAGATATAGCCTGTTTAATAAGATTTCATTGCAAGTTTTTAATTATGAATATAAACGAGCCCACGCTCATATTTTGAAACTGATTTCACATTCCTTTTTTGTAAACAGTTTTTGATTTCTTTCTATATCTGTACACACGGATGATGAACGCTAGAACACAGAATATTATGTCAAAACTATTTCATTCACAGTGTTCATCGGCTAGCTGGGATGATAAATTTTAGCTTTTATCTTAACAAAGCAATGTCACAGTCGCAAACCATTGTCGTTCTAACAATGTTGACTTGTTTTTGCAAAAAATTACCGCAGCCTAATCGCAAATGATAACTATTATTATTCTTCTATCATTTATTACTACATTGCTAAGCAAATATTCGCTCGTGATATGATAGCACGTCATAAATGGGCAAACAAACTCTTTTCACTTAATGATTTTTCCAAAGCAGGACCTTATGTCGCGTCAATTTCGTGACCGACTGACCGCTGAAGCCTCTGTCGCAAAGGAAACCTTTCCTGCGGTTTAAATTAATCTATTGTGAGGTGCTGGTAACTCCACCTCAGACAAAACGGTTTATAAATTCGCGGGCCGGCTTGTCTAACATATTTTTAATTCCAACTTTTATTTAGACATAATCTTAATTGCTTGAGTTACTATGACAATCTCACTGCCTGCTTTACGATTAATTAACAAATCTGCCGACCGAGGTGCATTTTCTGTCATTCCGAATATGCTGTGTTGTGTGGCCACTAACACACGTACTAACATCGTAACATAACAGCATGTTATTCTGATTGTAGTACACTACACCACGAAGCCGATCTTAATCGTTCAAACATGGGATGCCAAAGCTCCAAAATGGTTATCACGGACGGCCAGACGAATTCGACCGCAAAAAAAATGTCGAAAAGCAACAAAAAAATTGTCCAAGAGATGTGGTTCGAACTGAAACCAGACCTAAAGAACTTTGGAGTATCAATCTTCATAAGGTATTATCCACAATTTTGTATTTATAGTGTTTAAATTTGTTCTGTATTTTGTCGGGAACGTTCCTCTGTGTAAGAACACAGCAAATTTTGCCGTTGTTTTGAACTTGATTTTCTCCAAATCATGGCATCCCACAACGCCGAATTAAAACCGGGGTTGTTTAGAAGCGCATGCAGGAACGCGTTAAATGAACTTATTACAAGAGCCTCGCACTTGATAAGCCGGTTGCGATGATTTTTCGCTGGCTTGGTAATTATCGATAAAAATTGTCAGCGTTCTATGGTATAATGACGTATTGCGTTTAATTACAAAAGCTAAGCGCCTCCAGATGTGTTTAAGCGGCCTTTTGGACGTAATTTTTCTAATAGTTTACGAAAAAGGGTTTTGAGTTATCATCAACGAAACATTGTTATATTTTCCCGCAGTGCATTGTAAGTTATGTATAAAAGGTGCCATTATAAAGTGCTTTTACGGGTTAAATAGTCTTTAACGATCATTCGTGATGTTTATCGCATTCCCCAACGGTCACAAATAAACAAAACTGATGTTGGTGTTAAATCTACACAGCATTTTCAACAACAGCAACGTAACAGACACGAGCACGACGGAGGAGTTGCTGGTTATAAATAATATATAATATGTAGAGAGGGATTAAGATAATTTGCAACAATGAATTTGCATCAGGGACAAAGGCGATCCTTAATTTTATTGAACGGGTTTAGTTAACAGCTGTACGCGAGCATTGTTTTGCCACGAAAATGGCCCACATATGATGTGGGGATGTCGGCTTGACCAAAATAAACATATCAAGTAAAATTAACTGACGCCTCTTGAAAAATGTGTGTTTTATATCGCTGTGCTGTGAATGGATCGTGTTTGAGGGTGGCAAACAGATGGATTACCTGCTAAGATGAATTGGGTCAGCGGGGTTCGCCAACACAGACACTTTTGCAAATTTCTAGAACCTACTAGTGCTGGCTGTTATTAATCTCGACAGATGTCTCATTTACACGGCCGGTATAGGCACTACATGAGGTATAATAAAACTAGAATGATTAAAAGCCTAAAAAAACTTTAAATGATTTGGTCTCAGGAACAGTGGTAATTAAGAACGCCGAAGATGTTTGCAGTTGATAAATTCAGTGATAAATCACGTATTGATAACAATGTTGTGACAATTCCTTTTAATAAGTAGTAACAAGCGCTCTAACGAGTGTACTCTTTCTGCAACTGACTGACTGTAACCTTAATCCTTAATTTAAAAACATTTAACCCGATCCTAGCTACCCTTGCTATTATCGTGAGTTTAATAATGGAAGCATCTTTCAAGTAATTAATTTGAATACCTCACTGCACAGCGAACTATTAGAAACCCAAATATGCGTCTTAAAAGCCATTGCCTCTGACATGCAAAGCAGGACATTTACATTTGAAAGGGTAAATGTTTCTGGCAGTTCATGTAATTAAGTTTATCATCGAATCCTGTATCTATGGCAAGGGATCTAGCGTGGGATTATGTTATAAGCTTTTTATATTATAACGACGGCGACAAACAAGTCGTTTTGAAATCGTGTTTGCTTTTTCTCTTATTTACAGACTGTTCGAGGAGGCTCCAGAAGCACAGGATTTATTTTACAATTTCAGAGATTTAAAAAACCAAGATGAACTTATTCAAAGTTTAAAGGAACTCGACCACGTCGCGAGGGTGATGAACGCGTTTGGGAATTGTATTGAATTATTAGAAGACATGGAACAGTTCTCAAACACTGTCCAGGGACTGGGAAGAACTCACATTAAAATTGGAATTAATGAAAGTCATATAAATGTAAGAATTTGAAACAGTTATTTCACACATTATGTCATAATCTATCACATGATATCCCACTATGCCAAGGTTAAATATCCTACCAAATCATATCGTATCCTACATAATCAATCATTTATCTTATATTATCCCTCTACCTCATACCCTATATATCTTATCATACTCCTTGGAATCACATGGTGTCCTATTTTATCACAAATCACTAACATTGAAATTATTGTCCATTTTATTTCTAGCTTTTCGGCAAAGTAGTGATGGATTTACTAGTTGATTACTGTCACGTTTCCTGGACAGTGCAAAAAGAAAATGCGTGGAAAAATTTTTTCGGTTTATTATCTGAAAACTTTGCGATTGGGTTGAACGACACTGAAAATATTAACTTGCATAACGGCAGTGACAATAATAACCACGCCTCAAGCTAGAACTGCCTAAATCATCCCCATGTGTGTGTGGCTACAAATGAAACTATGTCACTGCACCCTAAGCACTGCCAGATCATTCTTTCAACATTGTAAAATAGTTTTTCAAACCTAAGAGATATATCGAGTTTTGTATACGTTGATATATATATATATATGTATATTGAAAATGTACATTAAGGAATCATCAATACAATTTTACAAAAGGTTTAGACGAAAAATATGATACATTCGGCAAAAATACAGCTTTGAAATCACAATCCTAGTTGATAAACTAACGATACAATACGATATATAAACACTATACGAACTGCTCACAAAACAACCAACTGTCTCAATGAGTTGTTTAGACACGTTCACACAGAACATGCAGGTACGCAAGAAAACCAGACGATTCGAACGCGCGGTGCTAAAATTCCACCTGGTTGTGGAAACGTTGCCTACGACATTCTCTTTGAAAACTGTGTTGTAGAGTATTTCCTGGCTTCTTACACATTACGATATCACGAGTTTATCACAAGTTTTCGGAGAGAGTTTTTAACGCTCGAATTAAAATCTAAGCTACTGATTCACAAGAGGCTCATTCTCAAATATACTAAACCCATAGCCCTCACCAGAGAGCCACAGGCGCGGGTGCAGCTATATAGAGCCTGGAGCCGGCAAGTTTCTGCAATGGACAATCTTATTGTGCTAATAATGTGCTTATTATCAGCTAGTCCAACCCAAGTCAATAAAATATTATGTTCGCTTATCTGAATTGTACTTGTCCGTAGATAGCATCATTAATCCATGGTGTAATGTTGTCAACTAACTCGATAAGACGTAGAGATTTGAAGGTGCTTTGAGATCTTCAGCGGGCTTATTCTCCACAACAACGTGACTGGAAAATACAAGAATGACGAGAACTGGAATTATATGATGTGATTGATCAAATATCCAGGAATATTCTGTTTGCTTTTTCATTACCTGTCTGAACAAAGTAGCCGGAATATCCTGTTTGCTTCGTTCACGTTTGCCGTGATCTTGGAAATGCAAATACAAAATATTGAATTCACTGTGATATATGTTGTAAAAACGCATAGCAAAATGTAGATGTTACTAATGGCAAAAAGATATTTTCTACCTGTCCAGAAAACAGGTTTCTTCCTTCCATGCCGTGTGAATGAAATCCTAAAATACTCCCTTGAAGGCACACTAAAATATCGGGAATTTGGAGATGAAAACAACATTCTAACATTGGAATATTCTGGACATTGATTCAAGATACTTACCAACAAAATCTGGTCGCTCTTTAAAATGGATGACGGGCAAATGAGTTCGCCCGTTTTTGATATAGCCCTCGATGTCGATAAACTGAGCAATATCTGCAAGTAATTATTGATAATGAATTGAATGAAATAAACATCATTTCTCGACAGAGAAAGCATTGTTCACCAACGTCAGCAAAGGTGATCATATTCGATCTGAATAGGGCAATATGGATCATAACGTGATCATAAACTTACTGTCGTATGCAATCAATATTAGATCTTTCTCGAGCTGTGCGAATGTTTTCAATTTCAAGGCTTGACCAGTCGCTGCAAATAAACGACCAGATTGAAAACAACATACCGAATATACACTCAAAAATGAGTACAATAACGTCAACTTACGATTAGCTTTATCAAACCAGTTGGTCGTGGAGTTCAAGTTTATTGAATCGAAATGAATTCTGCCATCTTCACTGTAATGAAAAAAAGAGATGAATTCGTTTCAAGTTGCTTCGTGTGCGGCATGAAACAGTGAAATGAGTGAATGACAGCATCAAATGTATAAAAGACTAACCTTTGTTTTGCTCCAATGCATATAAGAGGCAATTCCATATCAGCTCGAACGATTGGTTCAAATGTAACCAGATTGTTTGGTAAATCACAGGGTACATTCTAGGAAATGACGAAATGTAAGTTGTCCATTTTCAGGTACAAAGTTAAAAAATACAAAGAAAAGAGTTGTATATAATTCACCTTCACTTTCATGAATTTCTCCAAAGGTTCATACCATTGCATTAAAAGAACTGTTTTTGCCATTGCCACACATAAATACACTTGTTCATCATAAGGATTGTGAACTGAAGGAGAGATATGGAAGAAACATCAAGTGTTATTTCTGACGTAGAACATTTTCTATCGTTACGACAGCTTACCTACAGTACATTTGTTGCAGTATTTTGTGTCGGGAATTCTCATTGTATATGTGTCTCTAAATATATCATAAGGAAATAGAGTGGTGACTTTAATAAAAAGTTTGCAAATAGAAATTATATGCCGTCACATCTGGCTTTAAAATCAAGTGAAATCGAAGCAGCTTACCGTTGTAAAGATCTTAGTGGAAAGAAAACGGGCTGGCGAGAGTGCAAGGCTGGTAGGTTATGCATATACAGAAATGATGGGCGACCTGTGGAGAAGGAAAAATGAACATTTTAAAACACAAAGGTGAAACAACCTCGTGCCCGGGGTATTCGCAGTCTCTCAACGGCTACTACAAGATTCTGAAGGTTGAACGTGAGCTTCAGTCAATCTTAATTCAAATGTACCTGATATCGACACGAGGATATTCTTAAAAACATACAACCAAGTGCAACGCTTGGAAAATATCTGAAAAAGAAATTTAAGCTCATCTCTTTGTAATGCATCAGATTACTTTCCTGTCTGTGTAAATTCAAACATGAGTCAGTCCTTCGATTTCTAGCAATTATATTCGTAACAGCGTCGCTTACCTGTTCCAATTCTTTATCATTCTGGCTAATATTTAAAGTGTAGATTCCTTCATCGGATCCAATGAGTATATGACGATCTAAACACGTAAATATTGAAATCAATCAACGATATAATCAAAGGGAAGATACTTCAGATGCCTTCTGCGCCGGACGAAATAATTGGATCTTTACATGAGAACTTTTTAACTACTGTAAGCGTACCCCCAGTCTTTGGGTCCGTCCACGCAGACGCACAATTCACGCGAAGTGGACATTCACTGAATATCTTTGAGAAACATTTCACCTAAAAACACAGTAAATGCAGGAATTAAAACATATATGAACAGTTGTAATACATTATATTTCTATATTGAGGGAAAGAGTAGTTGAAGAGTCATAAAGTCGTACAATTAATTAATAGGCTGAGTTTTACCGGCGAGTTTGAGAGTCTTTTCCCACTAAGTCTTGGTGGAGGTCTCTAAAAATATTAAATATAACCATTCACGACGAATGCTCGAGAAATGAGTAGTTTTCACTAGTTGATGGATTATTATTTCATTGTTCATTTTGAAATTTTACAGTGTACTTACTGGTGGAGGGACATTCGGAGGAGTTGGGGATGTTAAACTATCATTATAGGATCGTGGGGGTAATACCGGTGGTTTGTTAGACTTGGGACTGGGGGGACAAGGGGAGGTCGGTTCTACAATTGATAATCTTGCAGGTTTGGGAGGCAACACAGGCGGTGAGGCATTCTCTTCTGGAGGAGGAATCTATTGAGAGAGAAAGCAGGGTGGTGCTACAAAACTGATATCTGAAATTCCAATTAGCTGAGCTATAGAAACCATTTCTTTTAGTATAAGAGCACTTCTTGATTCAAGGCTACAATATTCTACCTTTGGTAACGGACGAGAACGAGGTTCATCCTTCCTTTTCAACGTTCCTTCATCATCTTCGTTTGTCGTGTCTGTTGAATTCATTTTTACAGTTGCATTTTCCTTCGACACTTTCGCTAAACCATTTTGTCTAAAAATCATAGGGAGGAACTTATAGTACATAATATGCGAGTGTCCAGGTATTTGGCTTCGATCAGTGTTTTGTACATTGAATTAGAGGATGGTTGAAAACAAATCAACATCACTTTTTTTGTTTGTTTTATTTGAAATGTTATTACCGTGCACCGGCGTCGTTCACATCAAAATCATGAAGCAACTTATTGATAAGATCTTCATCGTCCTTTGAGAAAAAAATATAAACTTGTAAATCATTATGGCTTTGTGATGCAATTCATGAATTTTAATAGAGGGACAAATGAGATCTTACCTCGGGACAAGTGGGCTGAACATCAGGCTGAGTCTCTCGTTTTATTAACGGTCCTAGTTCAAGAACTCCTACTGTAAAACGAAGTGATTTGTTAGTGAATTATAAACAGGTGAATGTCATGCAGAACTGGCACATCGTCTTACAGTTAATATCAGAATCTCTTCTGGAAACTCTTCTTGAGGTATTTTTCTTTGATTTGATTCTTGTCAAGACGTTAATCTCCTACAAATGGATGAACTATGAATTACCTTCAAGAACATGCAGCTTCTTGCTTCAATTTCTTTGACACAAACCTGTTTGTCTTCATCTTCTTCCTCGGCGTCATCTTCATCAGTTTGATAAACACCTTTCGCAGATTTTCTCGTTGAATAAATGTCCAGCAACGCCTGACCTTGTTTTCGTGTTAAGTTTTGACAACAAAACGGATGCTGGCGAATTCAAAAGATGACAAATTATTAATAAGATTAAAGAAATTTCATCAGCGCTTCGCACGATTGCCTTACCGTTAGCAATTTTTCAGCTGGGGGTCTCTTTTTTGGGTTTTTCTGCAACGACGTTTTGATGAAATGGTGCATCTCGTCCGTCCTAAGAAACAAATCAAAGTCTTTAAAATGAAATTATGGAATGAGGAGAGTTTTAAAGCGAAAAAAAACTAACCATTTTGATTTCACTTTAAGCGTTGGTGAACTGTAGCCCTTTTTCGATATCAAATGGAGTGCCCTTTAGGGAAACAGAAACACATTTTGTTATGAAGAAAATTTGTGAGGTACGCTTTATTTTTAACCATAACCAACCTCATTGGGTGAAGTTCAAAGAGTGGTGGTTGTAGTTCTGCCAGTTCAATTGCGGTAATACCAACAGCCCAGATATCACACTGTACAATAAAGTTCACAGTTAGCAGAATACAGGGTAATCACTATTCAATCAAAACTTTGCTGATCAAGATGTAGTGTACAGATTGAATCATGACCACCCACATTATCAACAATACCTTTTGATCATATCCACCAGTTCTTTCAACTGCAGCAACTTCAGGAGCCATCCTGTCAATATTTACACACACAAGACTTAGATAAGGTCTGTCAGGCTTGGCACTTGCAGAGCCATTTTTCTACGTTAAGAACTTTCAGCATGTGAATTATAAATGTACAACGTATTATACAGTAGATAATATATCTCCATGAAAAATGCAATATCTTACCAGTATGGAGTACCAATGAAAGATTTTCTCTTAGCAATGCTTGCAGTAATTTGAGCAGAAATTCCAAAATCACCTAAACATCATCAGTGAGATTGTCAAAAATTCACAAGTCACGTCAGCGAGATCACCAATCACACATCAATTGAATACCCACCTAATTTTACATCTCCCATGTGCGTCAGTAATATATTAGCACCCTTCAAAAAAAAGCAAATTCTAGTATTTTTCATTACTGTATTTTTGCTAACTAAAATAATTTCCATTTACCTTAATATCCCTATGGATGAGACTTTTCTTGTGAAGGTAGTTAAGACCCTATGAGCAATGGTAAAACATAAAATGAATATTTGGCAAAGATCATGAAAACAACATAGTTGACAATTTTTTATCAACACACTGATAATAATGTAGATACAACTTTGCCTTTGAATCTGGAGCAATAACCATCTAAAATAGACACTTCTCAAGAGGAAGGCAGCTAGTTTAGGCAGTTTTTATATCACATTTGATGCAAAGTTGTTTGAAGATGCTTCCATGCTGCTCCCTGGTTATTGTCTTGGTAATGGAAATACCATTATAATTTCTAACTACCTGTAATGTTTCACAACACATGTAGGCTATTTGCTTTTCTGCTAGAGGTCCAGTCACTAAAATGAATCACAAAACTTTGAGTCCAACATAAGCACTATATTACAAAGGGACAAACACATTCATTGATTCATTTGATTCTTTCTGTATACCATTGTAAATGTCTTGCAAAGATCCACCACTGCAAAAGTCCATTGCGATCCAAAGCTTTTGTTTTCTATATTAATTTAAAAAAGCAATCATTACTAAACAATTTCCACTAAGATTTGAGTTTTGAAAATTATTCATCCATATTAGTCATCCAAATTTGAGTAAATTGATTCACCCCTCAAATATTTCCAAAACAGTTCATAATACTAGCCCCACAAAAATCCATACCTTAGATAGCTTCCTATACATCTTACAATATTCTCATGTTGACATTCTTGCATCAAAGCAATTTCTTGTTGTATAAGATCAAAATCATCACCTACATGATATGTCAGATATAACAAAAAAAACATTGAAGCCTTGAACATTTTGTTATGAAAATTTGTAATTATTCATTCTGATGGATATGTGAAGGTATAGCTAGGAAAAATGTTATATATTTCTATCATAGGGGAGCGATAATGTTGTAATAAAACATTCTTCTGGTAATTGCATGAAATTAACTTTTCTGGGAAGAATAGTTTTTGTTCCTTTTGTTATCATCACATGATGAAATTATCATTCCTGTTTGCAGATAAACTATCACAAATGATGTACTCTAAATTTAGGAGTTCTGCAATATTTACACTCACCCTGCCCACATCATTGCAAAACATGTGGGACCATAATCAAAACAATTTATTGCTGTATCATGCCAAATACTGTTGTTCAAATGAAGTTTGGGGAATAATAGTCTCCGGCCATTATGAACATTACTCTTAATTAAGTGTTTCACTACGGAGACAACATACGTGACAGGAATTGAGTCAACTATATTCCTTTAAGTTCATAATCACGCATATTTACCGTAAAATTAAGTCTAACAAACCACTTATGTAACTTGGAAAACAAACATAAATATAAAAGACAAAGGCTGGATGCATGTTTCAGTTGAGCAGCTGAGCTTATTAAATTCTGTTATTCTATTTTCCTTCGCCAGCAAGTTTAGTCAGTTAAAATTACTATGCAAACATGAAACGGAAACTGGCAGAAAAGCGATGAGGCAGCTAAGAACGGTGATATCTCGGGAAGATTTTAATCCTGACTGAAAATGAAGCATTTGTTGTGTTTATTTTGAGGCTTAAAATGAACAATTGGTGCATAAATGTATCATTCTAACAATAAACGTAAACAGAAAATAAGTCTTTACCCGGTTCTATTTTAACGATCTTGACAGCGGCGAGTTCTCCAGTTGCGATAACTCTTGCCTATAAGAACAACGAAATACCTTGTACAAATTGTGGGACATTTCGTGTATTATATTAGGCTCCAAAACAAAGTTTATGCGTTGAATTTAGCTCTATAATTAATTACACTTATTACATATTAATTCTGAAATAACACAGACAACTATTTGCAAAATACCGCTTTGCCGGTACAGAATGGGTCTGTTGCTTCAAAATGTATTGAGATTTTTCTCCTTGGTTAGTTTAGTTTGTTTCTGAAGTTATCTGGGAATCACGAAGCAGCTTTGGCAAAGATCGGAGGGTTTTATACAGTGTAATTGATAATTTGTGTGTTTCAAAACATGCTCATTTGTCATACCTTGTAGACATCACCGTATGTACCAGAACCAATCTTTTGAATCAGGTCAAAAACCTTTGTGGGGTTATCTCTTGATATATCAGCACGTTGCATCCTCATATATAGAAGAAGTCAAATTTATGGCGAATTTCAACCCATCCTTCTTTGCATAGACAAGAGAGAACGATAGCAAAACAGACTTCCCGCAGACAGACGAAATACTCAAGGTCATATTGCCCGCACGGGTCAAACTACCCACGGGTTCAAATCATAAAGATTAATTGATTGATTACTTGAGGGCATATTATCAGATTTTTCAAAACAGACACGCGAAATTTACCTACAAAATCTTTTATGAAACCCTCTCTAGTATAGGTTAAATTTCTAACAACAAGCCGGTCCAATATAAATGTACATATCAATAAATTAGCTTGTAGGGTACACAACGTTTTTTACATTAAAGCCCATCGGCCATCGCCTTTCAACGATCTTAAAACATCCTCGAATTCACCATAGGAAACTAGAGCTCTCTCCATACCAAGCACCTCTGTTGACTTGCGAATAAGTTGAAAGAATTATCGATGCATGGTTTTGTGTGTACTGTAGTTACATGGTGTAATTAAATATTGATTGTAATTAAATAATACATGCTGTGATTAATATCTCAAATTTGCAGGAGTCAGGATTGCTATATCTTCAATTCCACCAACTCCGCCCGGCCACCGCCATTTTGAATTTCGCCGAGACTGGGGAGAGTATTCGGGTGGATTAATTAAGGTGGTTGTCATACGATATAAATTTTTAGTTGAAAAGAACGCAAGAAAAATCTTGGAAAGATCTTCGTTGATTCTGTTCTATTTTCGGGGAATATTAAAGTCCGATCTCTCTTCTTTATTTCAAGATAAAAATCTGTTTGCTTCGTTTAAAAATGACGAAGAAAAAGAATTTGCTTTCAACAAAAAAACGGCTTCTTGTTGCGTCACTGAATAATGATCTTACACGAAGTACCGAAGTGAAATCATTCAAAATGGTGTCAAATCATTTCAGCAGGGCCGATGTTTTATACAGAAGAATTGTACGAAATACATTCTTTTCCAAAGGCTGGGGAAGTATAGAAACATATCGAGGTTTACAGAAATTAAAACGAGATATATTTGACGCTGAAAAATTCAGGGAAATTGTCCATAGTGGGAGTGTAAAAATCGATAAAGAGTACGATTCCTCGAAACAAGACCAATTTTCGATTGTTGATGGACATTTTGTTTCCCCTATTGCGAAATATTACCCAGGATTGCTACCGAAGGAAAGCGAAATTGCTTATTTTCAGGCTATTATCCCCAAAGAGCGGCGTAACGATGGTAAACAGCCGATGTGTATTCAACTAGCGGGAACTGGTGATCATAATTTTTGGCGCAGACGAAATCTTGTTGCGAAACCACTGATTAAAGAAACATTAATTGGTTCAATACTTTTAATGAATCCATTCTACGGTTGCCGTAAGCCCAAAACCCAAACAAGATCAAGCTTAAATCATGTTGTTGATTTACTGTTGATGGGCTGTGCTCTGATTGTTGAAACCTCGGTGTTGCTAAATTGGTGTGCGGATAAAGGTTTTGGACCTCTGGCGGTGACAGGCGTGTCCATGGGTGGACACATGGCATCTCTTGCAGGCACATTTGTTCCCAAACCTGTAGCTATCATACCATGTTTGGCATGCACAACTGCCTCTCCTGTTTTTACGAAGGTCATTGGGCGTGAATGATGATGTCAAAGTGCATGTTGATACATTAAAAATAAAAAGATACCACCCACACAACCAGATGTTTGGGCGTCTAAATTGTGTTTCTTTCATTAAAGTAATGCTATCCTATCTAATGTCTTTCATTCTATTTTCTAGGGTGTTTTGAGCAAGGCAGTTGCATGGTCCGTGTTGGAAGAACAACTTGAAGACTATTCATTTCTTGAAGAGCTTCGGCATATATGTCAGATGATTGAGTCGGATGGTTTGAATGCTAATAATCCTGGAAGAACAGCAATGAATTTGTCAGCGTTTCCACAGGAGCTAATGAACATTATGAATAATTCTGTGGATCTGAGTTCAAAGTCTATACCAGATTATAATATAGAAAGTATAGTAAATCGTGAGGTGATAAAGAAGAATCCTGTGTATGAACAATCAGTTTCATTTGAAATGCTTGCAAAATCTTTTCAGAAACAAGTAGGGAAAAATATCCGAGATAAAATACCAAAAGATCTTTCCATATTGACCTCAATACTTGGGAACTCTAAGAAACCCACAAAATATCAGAATGCTGTTGATTTCTTGATCTACCTGTTGGACATAACAACACATTTATCTTATTACAAAAAGCCAGTAGATCCATGCTTGTCAGTGTTTGTTCAGGCCCAGTTTGATGGATATATTCCAAATATGGACTGTCCTTCTCCGTTGGAACTTTGGCCAGGCTGCAGAGTGAAATATGTAGACTCTGGACACATCTTTGCAGCTCTTTATAAACAAGATGTATTTAGAAAAATCATTTCTGAGACCCTAGATAAATGCTAACAGTAAAGATAGCTACCCCAGTGTCCTGCATATCTGTGTTAAATTATATTTACCCAACGAAATATTTAGTAATTTAATAAAATCTCTGTTTACAACTATGTGGTTGTTTTCATTTTCGCCTCGGGACAATTCCTCTGCCTCGCGACGCTACTGTAAATCAGAACCATTTATCTTGTGGGTATTTTGAAATGTGACAGATAAATCTGAGATAATCCTTAGGATTTTCAAAACCGTAATAATTTAAATACCGTAAGCATCGCTGGTTTGGAGTAGTATTTCGGCGACTGCAGGACGTTGTGGCAAGTTGAAAGAAAAAAAGGAAGGATAGATTAGCACCTATTATCTTTCAATTTATTGACATCGTTTTTCGAGTGGATCTCTTTGTTTTCGCATTAAATTCTGACTAATCTATTCGTGTTTGCTTCGGAATTAGCAAGGTTCCATATCGGCATTATCTAATGTAAACTTTAGCAAGCTAATCCCTACTGTATATTGTCAGACATGAGATGAGAACGGCGGAAGCTGCTGTGAAAAATCTTGGAGCTAATCAGCCAGGAATCGGTGTTAAAATGAACAAAACAGGAGGATATTAGGATCCGTGGTTAAGATTTGAGACTTTGAGACTGGTTTGTTCTAACAAAAACGATACAAAGTTAGCATTCGTTGGACAACGAGATCACACAACCAAGGTACTTATCAAGCTTTAATCTTATAACACGAAATTTCTATATATAATGAATTTCGATGAACTCTTCAGTTAGGCAAGTCGATATTCATTATACAAATTATAGTTTTTGAAGCATTGTCTGACCATCATCACTGATGGAGCAGGAAAGCCAGAGAAAGAATCAAAGTAGAACGAGAAAAAACGCTGAATTTTGGAGATATGGAGAAGTTTCTGACAAATTGATGGACAAACAAAATGAAATACAACAAGAGAAGAATTCTCAAGTCTTTGAAACAGACGTTGAAAACTCAGTTGAAATTCTTCACAAATTACCAGAAACAAACCCGCAGCAACGATTAAAGAGATACTGTCAAACTCTCTCAGAAACAAATGTGAGTCACAGACCTATCGCAAACACAGCTAAACTGAAACGCGTTTCGTCAGCGACGGATTTAAGAACACGTTTGGCAGGCTGTCCAAAAGGATTACTTATTACGACTGAACCGCCAAAGTCAGGGGAGTCCTACAGACAGAGATCCATTACCGAAGTCAAAACAGTTTTAAAGAAGGTCGATCATCATCATTTAAAACAAGAAGTTGGCAACATTGTATACCACGAGAATAAAAATTTGGAAGAGGTAATTCTGTTCAGATGATGTCGATGGTATTTTGTTAACTAGCTAAAGGCTTAATCCTTTATTTGATATTGATATCTTTATGCACGAGTCAATTTGTACCCAGTAGAGTTGATTCCTACTTTCTCCCCCCCGGAATGATAAATCTTTATTTGATAATACGCATTAGATGACACAACAAAATTCTTCATTAATGAACTCTGTGGCAACATTACTCTGAATTTAATCCATTTGGTTTCATGCAGAGCTTGGAGCCATAGTAAGTTGGCAATCATTAAAACAGACGAGACCCTAACGCCTAATCTTATCACTGTCAATAGGAAGACGAAACGCTACTCCTAGAACTGGAAGCCGTGAAACGAGAACGTGAAAAACTCCAACAAGAGAACGAAAGATTGCAAGACGAATTAGAAAACAGAAATAAAGTTATCGATCATTTAATCGATTTTATGGTCAGGAATCAATGATTTTATTTATACTTCTAGTCAGCTCTAATTCCGTAAATACTTATTGAAGTATTCTTTATCTTTTAGAAATCAAATCTACCAGGAGAAGGTTCACAAATTGAAAAAGATTTTGACGAGAGCTCAACAAATAAGAACACAAACAGAACGGCATCTTCTGAGAAAGTTTAAATCCAAAGGTGGCTGGTGCATGTTTAAGTCAACGTGATAGAGAATTAATTCGAGGATCGCTTCAAGGAGAAGAGTAGTGATTAATTATTCCCTTGAAACCAAGGATTTACTATGAGTTTACTGCAGATTTATCTTGAATTCGACTCGGATTTAGGTTGGATTTATCTTAGATTTACAAGGTAAAAAATCTTTGCAAAACGTTCGCAAAATTTCGTCAAAATAAAGTTCATTTTACATTTGTAATTTTACTCAATTTTTCCAGAACTGTTCAATGTAAACTTTGCTAATCTGTGTCAGATAAAATAAACGAAAATAAACGTTCATTACTTGATGATTTTTTTTGGAGTCTCTATTTATGATTGGCATCTCGAAGTGTTGGATGTGGGTTATTTAGTTTGCGCTGCAGTGCTAGGTCCCATTCCAAGCGCGGTTAAACCAGCTGCCCTCGCTTTGATCTGACTGGACAGTTTTGCAACATTTGCCCATTTTGATTTCTTAGCTTTGACTGGTTGTGACGTCACAGCTGTCATTGGTGCTGTACTTAGTGTAGATTTCACTAAAGATGCTTTGCCGTCACGAGACTTCTTACCTCGTTTTAAACTCGTTGTCTTTCGTGTTCGACCGTTGGCTATGTAGGTATCCATCAGATTGCTGAGGAGGACGAGTTCCGTTTGAATAGTTGCTAATGTCTGTTCATGTTTACTCTGCAATAACATAACTTCAGCCATATTCCCAAGGATTATATCCAAATCAGACTTACTTCCTTTACCAATCTTCTTGCTAAGTCGCTCGGTCAGGATCTTCTTCATCTCATTTAGATCGTCCAGGATTTGTCGGAGAACCCTCGTTTGTGACACTTCGTCAATGACGTCATCTTCGTAATGTAACACCTAGTGAGGTAATGTAATCATTTTAATGCATAGTCACTCCGTGGTTTCAGTAATATTATAAAAAATGCCTAGTGGCAAAGACCTAATAAAATGAATTAGGTTTCACCGTTCGCTAAAAAATCTTGGAGACTAAGCAGTTAATACTAAAGTTTTTCCCAATCTTACTACCTCTGGACTGCAGTTTGTACGAATGAAGTCGAACATTTTCCGACGTCTCTTTTTGGAGAGGTTCCGCTCGAGTGTTAAGATCGTGTAAGCTCGTTGCATGACGGAATTCGCTCGGGCATTCTCGTAGACGCGATAGAAAGTATCGGACAGCAATGCTATCAACAGATTCAGGATTATCACATGTGAGAAGGTTATGTATGTAGCACATAGGAATCTGGCCATGAAGGAATCGGCTGCCTGAAGACCTTCAAAATTGTATTCATCTACAACTGTCATTCGAAATAGTTGATAGAATAGATCAGAAACATTCGTATAACCTCGCACAGGGATTGGCGAGATGGCTCCGAAAATCATCCAGAACGCTGCGGAATATGGAACGTAGAAAACTAAGAAGAGAAAGAGCCACTTTAATATGTCCCAGACCATGTGCACAAGCATGACCACGAACGGTCCAGTTGTTTTGAAAGGTCTTGCGTATTTTATAATCCGCAACCACAGTACAATGAGCAGTGCAGCGGTAATGCGTATATGTACCACAAACGTTGTGTTGGTATGAGCAAAATAGTCTATGGCATGTGTTGAGACTGTCGCTGCAAGCATTGCGCACGTGATCCACTCCAGGTAGTTCCAAGAATCGTGGAAAATCAATGGAGTGTCTTCGTCGAGAGACTTGATCTCTTGTTCCAGATATCGCCTCTCCTCCGGCCATTGTGGATGGCAATAACATAGATCTTTCTCAAGCTCGCGTCTTCTCCAAGCCACCCACTTGTGATGATCGTGTCGACTCTTCCACGTGTGAGACAACAGATTCCGCGTCTCATAAATCGTTAATAATAATATGCACACTTCCAGGGTGACACGCCACCACATCCCAGACAATGGAGTGTACCTCTCATTTGGGTGCTGGGGTAAGGTCACACCAAGTATGGTCCACAGAATTGCATAAACGGTATTCAAAACTAGATCCAACCAAGCGCCGATTTTACCAAACTGCTCCCATTTCACGTTGATAAGTCTTTGAAATACTGGATGCATAATCAATTCAAACTGTTTGTGATGCACGGCTACCTCAAGAGGATTGCGGGTGTAAGATGTAAGGTTACAATAAATATTTTCATCATTGAGTCCATTTAGACAACTCAAGTAGTAATATTGTTTGCGGTTCGTTCTGTCTTTTACGTGGAGTTGTTCCAAAGCTTCCGTCGCAATCAGAGGCATCTTTTGTATCACCATTGAGATTGCAGATGTGCCTTCGTTATCATGGACAGCTGCAGGTGCTCCTTCTTCCATCAAAACTTTCACAGATTTCGATCTGTTTAACTCAGCTGCGACCTTGAAAGGAAAGAGAAAAGGTTATTTCGTTGGATCGTGAAGATACTGCTGCAATGTCCCACAAAACACCTGACTTGCCTGTAATGGTGTCCTGTTCTTGTGATCTCTTGCGTTAATATCCGCGCCGTATGCTAATAGCATTCTAATTGAATTAATCGCGTCATTCTTGGCCGCATAATGAAGAGGACATTGGTTCTCTCCTTTCGTAGCTACGGTATGGTCACAGCCATTTTGAATAAGGAATTCTACCATCTCAGAGTAGTCAACGGCTGAAGCGACGTGAAGGGGGGAACGGCCAAATTTATCTGACTGATTCACATCCGCACCTTAAGAAATAACGCTGGAGTTTCATAGGCGATTGTGGATAATTTATTGCGAGGATATATTACAGGAAGATGTTAAGTAACTCACCATGATCAATAAGAAATTTAGCGACATCTGTATGCCATGATCTGGACACTTCATGAAACACAGTTTGTCCGTGTTTATCAGCTGTGTTTATTGACGCACCATTCTTGATTAGAGACTCAACGAAGTCATAATCCATCGTGTCACTGGGATCATTTGAGTTCGCGAGGTTTGCAAAGTAATGCAGCAAGGCGTGATTACGAACCTTTATTGGTGTTCTTTGTTTTCTAGCTCGCTCCCCTGAAAGTGCAAAACAGTTCATTTGAAATTACTATAGAGAAAGATAACAGTGCTCCCATAACTCTAACCTCTAACCTGATTCAGCGTCTTCTTCCAATTCACTTTCCAGCACAGCGTGCATAGCTGTGTTTGTTTTCATACTTGATCCAGGAAGACTGTTCAACAGCATGGTTTCGTAATCATTATTGTACTTTCTATTCGACGATAAATCGCGCCATTTCTCTCCAGGATCTTCCAATTTAGTTGCATGACCATTGGAATAGATCTCCCCTGTAAAATCCTTCGCTCCTTGATTATTCATTTGGTGTTCCTGTTAACCGGCTCTAGAGCGGTCAAAACATTGGTTAATTAAGGCGCTGTCAAGGTGCAAACAAGCACAGTGTCTCGTCCATGTTGGACAAAGAAAATACTCACATTATATTCTGATATCGATCAGATATTTTGCACACACGTGTGAAAATTTTTCGCTAAAACGGTTGCGATATAATTGTAACTAGATAATTAGGCACCACAAGACCTTAAACTCAATTAAGATAACTTATTTTCAGCAGAAGTAGTCTCTTGCCTTAAAATTTGTCTCAGTTGTATAAACACCTGTCAATTAGATTTAAAATAACCTGTGGGACGATGAAAATGACTCGTAGCGTCCTGGGGTTAACACAAACACATGAAGCAAAACTAGAAAGAGGCGCGTATAATATTGAATCGCTCGCCCTTCACACAACGCCTCTAGCCATGATATAAGCAAGACTTAGAAAACCGCAGTAATATAAAGGAGTGTTGCAGTTTTTATCTACACATGCGCACTCGTCAAGCCTACAATCTAAGATTCCGACCAAGCCCGAGCTTTATATGCGAAGCCTTCCTACGCTCGATGACATACGAATGTTTTGTGATCGCAGATATTTATGATATCCGGTTCGTTCATAAACTCAAACATCGCCGTATAAACATATATAAACAAACCACTTACTGTGTTGTATTTCAACATCAACTTCAGAATCAGCTCTACCCCTTCAACATTTCACCAAATACGTCTGATGTGCTCTTAGGAAACAAACAGATAACGTTTTGTCAGAACAGGTTGAATACGTGTAATAATGGTTGTTTGGCTATACTATAGACAACACTGTACACTCGTCCAAAGGGAATACATACCTTGTGAGATGTTCAATACCCTCTCTTCAAACATGAAATCTTTGACAAATAGTTCACAAGCTCTCGACCTTTCATAGATATGATAAATACTTTAAACAGCTCAATACCGGCTTATGCTCTCCTGTTGTGATTATACTCTAACTGTGCTTAGCCTAATGGCTATTTCTTGACTTGAAGACATCTGGTTATGACCTTATCTACGCTACTTTAATTATAGTTTTAATCAAGTGGTGATGATAAAGAATGTGTCAGTACGAAGAATGACGCAAGCTGAATTGGCGGTAATGAGAATTTTGTCTAAACTTGAAGTCATTGAAACTAAACCACAGCAGAAACCACGTAATTGAATGTTAAAAGCAAGCCAGGTGATAATTCTTATAGTGCTTCGTATTTTAGGTTCTAGTATATGGAAATGCATTTTCTGTGTTCACACAATTACTTTATGCTTCGAAGAGTCTAACAGTATGGATTGAGAAAAACATTGGTTGATATTAGGTGATAGCAAAGGGTGATAATGAAGTTAGGAGTCAATAGAGGATAATAACAAGAAAGAAAGGTTGGTTAATTGTAGCCTAATATGGTGATATATCGAGATAAAACTGCAAGGCCGAATGAAAGGGATCAATTATCGATTTTTTATTGTTGAAGAAGCAACACTCCTTTTTCTAAAATGATCCATTTGGCGCATGTGAAAAAGTCTAATAGTTTTAATAGTTAGTAATCATTGTATACATTGCTAAGCTACGATGATGGATGGAGATATTGAATCAAGAGTACTTTAATTGCATAACGTGTCGGTAAAAAATATAAAAGACGCATACATAGTTTCAGAGAGATAAGAGGTACTTGAAAGATGTTATCACTGGCAGTGTAACCGTCCTAGTGCAAGGATCGCACTTCTCGAACAATTTGAAATCTCTTACTGCGCAGTAATTTAGGGTGGCTATAATTACAAACACCACCTTAGCAATTAATTCCAGGTTGTTGCAAACTAGATGCAAAAATTAATTAACCTCTAGGCTAAGTAATTTCTGAGAAAAAAAAAATTAATTGAATTATTCCTTTTAGATAACAGAAAACATGCTTTCTCATCACACGATAACCATGCCTTGAAAATCAAAACAACTCTGCTAAGAACTGTATTAATATTTATTGAAACATCTCGATGACCATTAAGTAATAATAAACAATCTCAGAGTAAACGTAGTTCAAATTCACGACTGTTTTTCTTTTATTTTTTGAGAGTTATTAATAGAACTATTGTCTAAATTTAACCCGAAATTAGTAATTTCTTCTCTCCTGTTTTCATCGTCATTATCGCTGCGACGAAAGTTTTCACTGGCCACACTCGACTTGTCGGAGTTATTGCCAGAACTGCGAGGTTCCGTTACCATGGTATCTGTATGCTGACGTGATTCAACCGAACTCTCCTGACTCTCCTCCGAGTTTACTGTAATTTCGTTGAAACCATCTGACAATTTTTTGCCATCGTTTCTAGTTGTGTCCTGTTCAGTAGTTGCGATATTGACAGCAGAAGAGGAATGTCCTGTCAATACAGAATGAGATGCTTCATTTTGACCACGTTCAAGAAAGCTCTTCAAAGATGAAGTCTCCGCTTGCTTCTTCATAAACGAAGTGTACATCTCAGGATCATGTTGAAGAGAGGCAACACCGCATTTTCTTCTAACCGGCAGGCTGGCTCTCTGCCCGAACTTTGATTTGCTTACCCGACGGCCTTCGCTGCCCGATCCGCGGGAGCTCGCGCGTGAAACACGAAGAGTCACTGGGGAACCGAGAGGGCCTCCATTGGCTCTACGACGATTGATGTGAACGTCATTTACACCCGCGTTTGAGCCATAAGGACTTGCACCAGACAAGCGCAGACTCCCACCCGAACTGCATGGGCTATCGCGTGGACTTGCGCGCGATCCACGCACTCGACTTCTTACTGAGGACTCTTTAGACGATCTTGGGCTCTCGGCAGAATCCAGCATGTGGAAAAAATTCTCCAGCTTCATGAGGTGCACACGGATTCTTAGAGAAGCTTCTTGCAGATCCTGTTGTGATTTGCGGACGTTTTTCACATTTTCCATGATAGAATCAAAGTCACTTTTTGCCTTCATACCACAGCGTTTCCCCAGGTTAGCGTTGACCAGTTGAAACATCTCTTCCACTTCTGTCAAAATATTTTTATTCGTTGCTTGAAAGGACAGCTCGTTCTCCCAGTATTCATCCTCGTACGGCAACACTTCTGGTGAACAGTGAGTGATGACATATTCATGAGCTTTCTTTCGTCGTTGCCTGCTAAGAGACCGCTCCAAGTTGAGAATGATCTTCGCTCTCAACATTACTGCATTAGACTTGGCGTTGTCGTAAACACGTTGAAAGGTATGAGAGAGCAAAGCTATCAGGATGTTCAGAATAATCACGGCTGATAACGCAATGTATGTTCCACAGAGTAGCTTCGCCATTGTGGCATCTTGTTGAGAAAGTCCATGAAAGTTATATTGATCAACAACTGTCATACGAAATACATTGAATAGCAGCTCAGACACAGTACCATATCCCTCAACTGGAGTGGGACTCACACCGCCAAAGACCATCCAGAAACTTGCACTGTATGGAATGTAAATGATAAAGAAGAGCACAGCCCACTTCAGGAAATCTGCTGTGATATGACCAAGGATTATCACAAAAGGTCCAGTTTGTCTAAAAGGTCGTGCATATTTCATTATCCGTAGCCACAAGGCTATGAGCAAGCCAACAGCGACCCTCATATGAACACTGTAAGCTGTGTCTGAATGATAGAAATAGTTCACCATGTAGGTAAGAACTGTACCTAACAATATAGTACATGTAAACCACTCGAAATGGTTCCACGCATCTTTGAATAGCAATGCCCGCTGACCACGTAGCGATTTCAGCTCCTGTTCAAGATACCGCAGTTCTTCAGGCCAGCGGGGATGACAGTACTCTTTGTCACGTGACAGGTCTGTCGTTTTCCACGCTATCCAAGACTGGTGCTCCTTTCGACTGCCGTAAATTTCCAAGAACTGCTTACGTGCCTCGTAGCACGTGAAGAGAAACACGATGATTTCCAAGACGATTCTCCACCACTTTTGTCCCAGGGGGTTGTAGTGATCACGTGGGTGCTTAGGTTGCGTCACGCAGAGGATGGTCCAGAATATCGCATAAAACACATTCATCAGAAGGTCGCCCCATGCTCGGATTTTGCCGTATTTCTCCCACTTGACATTGATAAGTCGCTGGAAAACTGGATGTAACAAGATCTCTGATTGGTTGTGTAGGACAGCCACCTTAGAGAAGCATGGTAAAATATTACTCAGTTCACATTTCTAGACTGATTAGGCTTGTTTAGACTACGAAAACGTAATGAATTTGTTGGTTATGTAGAGTGCACATTACCTCAAGAGCGGTTTTCGCTCTGGTTGGTCCATCATCTCTATGACGAGGTTCGAGACAATTGAGGTAAAAAAATTGCTTGCGATTTATTCTGTCTTTGAGATGGAATTGGTCCAGAGCTTTCAGCGCCACAGAAGGAAGTCTTTCGATGAGCAAAGATATGACAGAGTTTCCCTGAGTGTCACAGACGGCGGCTGAAGCCCCGGCATTGATGAGAAATGTCGCTGACTTAGCACGATTGAGTTCTGCTGCAATCTGCAGTAAAGAGAACGTACATTTCAAAATTTGGTATTTGATTGGTAAACTGCTATCGGAAAGAGTCATATGTTAAACTATTTGATTCATTTTATTTATAGATTCATCTTTTAACAAAGCAATTAACGTTATATCATCGCACTGTTCCAGTTCTGCTGTTTGATTAGATTTAATTGATTCTAATTACTCTTTCGAAAATACACAAAGTTAGTTCAGATTTTCCTCAACAGTGGATCAGTAAAACATGATCTTTGAGATCACAACAAAGCTTGTCAAGGTTTCTGGTGTAACAACACCTCATGAAGTGGATCTCTCACCTGCAAAGGAGTTCTGTCCTTGTAATCTGTGCAATTGATATCACTCTTATGAGCTAATAGCATTTTCATTGCATTCACAGCATCATTCTTAGCAGCAAAATGCAGAGCTGTTTGACATTCTCCGTGCGTTTTCGCGGCAACATCAGCGCCATTCTCCAAAAGGAATTCAACCATGTCAACGTAATCCACAGAGCTTGCAACGTGAAGTGGAGAACGACCAAATTTATCAACTTTATTCAAGTCAGCACCTGAAGAAATGAGAATATTTTACTGTTGTTACAACTATAGGAAAACCTTGCACCGAATTCGTAACAGATGTGAATGGGTGCATTCATCATTTCCCTTACAAACATCATGCGAATTAGACCAATTGATTGAAAGGTATATTTCTTACCATTATCCAGCAAAAATTTAGCGACATCGGTATGCCAGGATCTGGATACTTCATGAAACACGGTCTGTCCATGTTTATCAGCTGTGTTTATTGACGCCCCATTCTTTACCAAGGACTGGACAAATGCGAAATCCATCTTATCATTGAAATTATTTGACCGCGCCAGATTGGCAAAGTAATGCAGCAAAGCATGATTTCTTACGGTCAACGGGGTGGCTGCTGTTCCAGCACGTGGATTACACCCAGTCTCAGAATCAGAGTCTAGTTCAGATTCTAGTACAGCATGCATTGCAAGGCTCGTCTTCTCCACAGCTCCTGGTATTTCAGCCATTAGCATCTCCTCAAAGTTGCGTCTTTGGTTACGAATAGTTCGCTTCCCAGTTAAAGTTTGCCAGTGGTCCGTGTACATTCTTAAAAGATTGGTTTTCTTCGTTTCGCCTGCTTTCTCATGGCTTGCTCTGACCAACTCGCTTGCTTTAAACATCTTGTTGACAAATGCTCGCTTATAACTTTGTTATCTTTGAAGTATTCACAAAACACCGAAAGTGCTTTCTTAAGTAAGAGTTTAATACCTTGTAGGAATTCACTTTAAGTCCTCAAACGCACTACCAGATGAATCTGACAGGCCAAACATTGCTCATAAAATACTTCAATATGCTTGTGTTAATACGATATATACACAACAGATTTAATTTACGACATTCAAATTCCTTCGTAAAACAACACGTGTGTCATAATCACGTCTGCTAATCAGTTTAGTAATAAGTGTTCGTAAGAAGAAATTCCGGAGACACTTTTCAAGATTGTTTTACGATAGTACACGCTACCTGCAGCAGAAATAATAAAATCTGAGGTCATATGAAAATACTTGGGCACGACCAACAGCCCCTTTAAAAAGACATATTGATCTTTCGACGATAAATCACGGCTTTTTTATACAGTACTAACTATCGTATTAAACACAAAAGGTATTAATTTGGTTTACTTCACTTATGGAAAGATTCTGGTTCCATTATAATACAATAACATTTCTAACAGATTGAAAGTAGTCAAACAAAGTTTTGCACAAATTGTTCGTCTATTTTTTTTTCATTAAATTACAATTTTAGCTTAAGATATATTAAAACTCATATATGAAAATTCGAGTTAAAAATTTTATATTAGCTTGCAGTAGATTTAACGAGTTTTAAAATGCTTGATCAAAGCTAAGTGCAGAATGTGTTAATTAGTGCAAAGAGATTACTACGCGATTACAGCGAGGACATATCACTAATATTCTTATGTTTCTAGACGCTTCTAGACCTCATGGTTACTGACTATTTACGGACAAAATGGCGCCGTTTAATAAATCTGTTGACAGTTAGGGAGATTCTCATTACATATAACTTTACCATCTGCGTTAAAATACGTAAACAACAACTCATTCATAGGCGAGATTCTTGCGATGATTTACAAATTTCTGCTTCAAAGCATATGCCTGATCACAAATTAACAACTGTATATAAGAAATTTACTTGTTTTGCAGAAACTTTATTTGAAATATTTTTTTTCGAAGTGACTTGTTAATGCATGCTTTAAATGTTCCCATGAAATTACCACAACCCAACCACACCCAACAGCCCACACGCCTGTCTTTCACCACTACAGTAGATTCTATTTAGCTCAGTGATGGCAAACCTGAGGTCCTATAAATTTCTTCTTAATTTACAGTGACTTCGTTTGATATTCGTTCAGTCACAGAGAAACTGTCTTTAGCAATAATAATAATAATAATAATACAAATTATAAAATTATCCTGTATAAAAATATATATATATATATAACTACATTCTGATTATACTTGTTAGTCGCGGCATTAGGGTACTTATCACTCTCCGATGAAAATTCTTTGTCATATGAAGATGGCCCTTGCTCAGGTCTTGGCGAAATATCTCGTATGATTTTGGGATACTTAGAAAAAAACAATAAATTATGATGTGTAGAACAACTTTGAGGTTCTGTTCATATAAAAGACGACTAAAGATAGGGAAGGCATTTTTCGGGAAAAAAACTGTATTACACGTAACAGATAATTTACATGCATGCTTACCTCTTTCTGGTCTATGTTATCAAAGGTGGACTTCCGAGCTGAAAATGCACAAATTATAGAGTGTAAATTTCACCAGAAACCTTACAAATTGTTTATCATGCTAACCGTACCTTTCTGGTGAAGATGGGTGCCCTGTGCTGGAGGTTTCCTGCAATTCGTTGGGCATTAAATTTATCGAATCTGAATGAAAAGAAATTGTAGATTATTATAAAGTTACTGAGAGGTTTAACTAGAACCCTTTAACAGATCAAAGGCATCCAGTATATACATATAGAACTGTTCACCTGCTTTACAACAATTATTTTACAAAGATATGCGGAACTTACCAAAAGCAGTTAGCGGTTGTGAACCATCTTGCAAGAGAATACTAGGTGCCTAAGAAAAAATAGTTAAAAGATCAGTTTCCTTGTCGAACTTGGTTCAAAATATTCCAGCCAGAAATGATTCAATCTTGGGGTGACTAACAATTCCCAACGCAAATTGCGATTACACGCGTGAAACTATTCAGCTAAGCAACATAAGCCTGATTCGAACATCGACCTTTTCTGGAAGTGATAATAGTAGGAGAATTTCAGTCAAAAGTATAAACATCAACGATGGTACTCTTGGAAACTAACCTCACTGAATGACTGAATGAAATAACAGGGTGTACACTAAATTTTAATGACTGCAGTGATCCAATCTTATTTTATTAGCTCAGTGTTTACTATGGTGTTTACCCTAGACTCTGGAGGCTGATCGAATATTCTTCTGGCAATCTTGGGCAAAGGGAAGTTAGTTTTTCGATATTTAGTCAGTGCATAAAGCATAAAGCGGACAAAAAAACTAATCTTTAATCAGGACGCAGTTGGTTTGTCCTGCCCAAGTTTTTGCAGAAGAATGATTCATCTCTGGTCGAGTTATTGTGTCGAGAATCACTGACTTTGCCCTCGGTCAACAAACATTAAAAATTCATTATGTTCACTGAATTTTAAACACAGTCAAGTGCCTCAAGGAGAGAGAGAACGAAGTTGTGTTTACGTCATTCGTTTTTTTAAATTTGTCCACTTTTAACACAACTTATGTTTTCTATTTTGTGGTCTGTTTTAATATATTTAAAACTGTTTTAAGTACTCTAATTCATGTTATTATTAATCGATATTTGTGTTAGTTGTGTAGTTTGTAAATAATCCACTCAAATATTGGCGCACATCCTTACATCCGCCTTAAAAAAACACGAAGTATACCTCATTCTTTTCAAAGGAAAATTAGATGATATTGAACCTCACAAAGTTGGCACGAAATTTTTGTAATTCTCATCCGTACATTGTTTGTAAACCAATCTCAAGGGTTAAAAAAAACAGGAGATTTTGAAATGTCGAATGAAAAAATTATGTACACTTGCAAACAAAATCTTTGTATTTAATATATTAAAACGTCACGTGAGGTGCTCTTGAAGACCACGTTTTAGGGAGTCTGTAAACAGATGCGCATATCGAGTGGCATTAAATAAAGTTGACAAGATTTTTAAAATTTATTTTAACATTACACGTTTCAATATCTCTTAAAAATATTTAAATCTCGTTCCAAATTTAGCTAACTATATCGTAATACGCATATAATTCAGGAGTTCAATTCAATTTAATGTCTTTATTTAGCACTATCCCTATAATGACCATTCATTTTTTACCACTTGATAAATTGTCGGCTATCAAAGGATTTATTACTTACGAATCACAGGGATATCATCGAAGTATCCCGGGAAACGAATTTAATAGGATAGCGAGTTTTAAATTTAAAAAAATAGATGATGTTCTATATAAAACACTTTTGTGTTTTGTGCTTTGATTGACAATACAGGTATATTATATACAAACACATCTTGATTGGATAATAGTATATTTTCGACGATAGTAAATGCAGAATTTTAATTTTACTGGACAGGTCAGTTACAGGGATGTTTGTTTAAGGTTAGTGCTTTTTAATCGCCCAACAATTTGTTTTATTTGTACCCAGACATAAAATAATGTTTAAGAGAATTTACACAAAACACTTGCTGTATTTTATATCTACACTAATTTTCCTCTCTCTCATTCACCGCATTGATGATGTGAAAAACCAGGTTGTTGTGTCATGACCTTCTAGTTGTCGTCATCTACCTTAGAAAAATATTTCTCCAAGTCCCCTGACAGACGATTGCTTCGAGTTTCTTCACTTGATGTTGATGATGGCGACCGACTCCCTCCTTCAATGCTGAAGAATGAAATTTTAACATAAGATTAATCCAATTGCTTTTGGTCAGTCAAAAAAATGTCTACTACACATCTGCCTTCCCTTCATCCATCAGTAAGCCTACTTGTCTTCATTCTCCTGCACATAAATCTACAAACCTGCTTGCCTTCATCCCCTCCCCTCCCCTCTCTTTACGCCTGCATATATACAAAAGTGCCTGCCTTTATGCCTGCAAATGCATACACCCGGGGCATACAAGGCTCACCTTACTCCATCAGAGGAGGACTTTCCGTTAACGAAAGGTGGCGAAGGCGCGGCGCTCATTGGTCGTGGAACAGCACTGGTTGGTCGTTTTGATCTGATAGGACCAACAGCTGTATAGCTACGGCTCATGTTACCATCTGAAAAAAGAACGACTCATTATTATCCTATCCAGAACGGAGAAATTGTTGAATGATTCACGAAACTTTTGCCCTTTGATTTTCAGTATTTTAATAGTTAAAGAAATCTTTGAATCCAGTGTTACTACACGAAAAACCAACTGCATATGTCGGGTGACTCTATGAATTTTTAACTGTTCTTCCCAAAAGTCCAAGTAAGGATAATTCTTATTCAACAAGCTAAACTCTAGATCAGATACCTCCATCATGGACAGGACAGGAGAACTCCAGGGGAATTTATTATAACAAAATAATTTATTCATACCATGAAGAAGCTCTTCTTCCTCGACTCTTTGAGGTCTCTGCGGGAGAAAATGCATCGATATTAAATGCGAATATTCATGAAAATAGAGAAAGTAAAGGAAGACATACCACAGACATATCTTTTAACACAGGAATGCCGTCACCTGGCCCCATATGAGACACATGGTTGAAATTAGTTGGAAGAGAAATTAATCTTTGTTTTGTTTCGCTGTCAAGATCTTGGAATCCTAACTCTCTTGTCTTGAATGACCATCTGAAACAAATTATAGAAATACAGAAATTTAATCGAGTTTGCACTACAAGTAGGGCATTCACGAATGAGAACCTACTTCTTCTTGCTTTTCATCTTAAGGACAGCAGCAATGGCTTTCTTGCCCTTTGTAGGATCAGGGATGATCAGTTCCTCCTCTGTAAGTAAACAACAAATTCATCATCATATAAATATTTTTCTATTGCCAAATTGGAGCTATATTCAAGTAACGCATTATGATATCGTAGTTAGGTTGTATAACTGCAGTTCCAATGATAATATTTTAACCCATACCTTGCATTAGTTTATTTCTTAAGAATAACAAGCTGGGTATTTCATTAGCTGTTGAAAGACACAGAGAACCATCGCTGACCAGGGAGATACACTAAACATAAAAAATGATGTTTAAGTAAAAATATAAACGATACAACCAAGGAAGGGATTGTATTCTCTACCTTTTTGATTGGAATGGTTTGAATCCACTTGGCAGTGTTTGCCTCAAATACATCAATACCTCGATCACTGAATGATATAATAAACGGATAGCAAAAGGCTGAAAAACAAAGGGATTTGATTTATCAGAAAAGGCGATGTTGTCCAATTTTCTTCTTTAAGTCCACACTTGCATATCCTACCGACACTGACGGGAGGTGATGGCCACATGAGCTCTTCCATTTTCGTTTTCCGTCCCAAATTATCAACAAAGACTCCAACCTCTGTGAAGAAACATTTCAGTTATCAATTTTCTATACCATACCGTCTATACCATACCCCATACCATATCATACCCCATACCATATCATACCCCATACAATACGATACCCCATACCATACCGTCTATACCATACCCAATACCATATCATATACGCCATACCATACTCCATACCATACCCCATACCATACTCCATACCATACCCCATACCATATCTTATCTATACACTCACCATCAAAGCAGAGCAGGTACTCCTTATCTGGTATAATCTCAACAGCTAATAATGCGTCCATTTGGTTGGAAACCACGTAAGACAACAAAGGATCTTCAGAGCTCACAAGTTCTGAGAGTGAAAATACAATATTTGCTGTTATAACCTGGTTCCGGCTGTAATTTATAGACAGAAACAAGGAACTCAGGATGGCAAAGAAGTTCGTCATAATGATACTTACTAAGAGGTTCTCCTCCTTGCAAACTGTGCACCACAAATCCAGAAACATAACCAACGAACAAACGACCACTGTAGAGTCCCAACCATTGACAGTTCACGGACAGTACTAGTTGCTAAATGATACAAAAAAAAATATTACACACTGCACCCTCTTCTGACAACTACTGCAAGTCCAGAGGTTTACCAGTTGTAAACAATCAGTTACCTTGATCTTAGTGTGTCTGTTTTTGTTACTATGCAATTCATACACGTACACATGACGTTTCACAGACACACAGAGGCAGCTCGACTTTCCATCATTGATATATCCGGTGGCAAACAGGGAGCAGCCTTAAAAAAATATTTCAAACATAGATCAAAGCAAGATAAGGCGTATTAAAATACGGCAAAGTATAAGACAAACTTGATAACTTGCTATACTTGATGTAGCACACTACCTTTCGTTTCAACGATTTTTACAGGTTCAGTATCATGACCATCCAGTGAAGATAATGGGTACAGACGTACTTGTTTGTTCTTGCCTGGAAAGTGGGACAGGAGGTTAATTTTTATCGTATTAAATGATTTAATATTTATATGAAAATTTAGTAACTTACTTGATAGGACGATCAGCAGCTTCTCTTCCGGAAGCATTTCGACTTGGGTGACTTTCTTTGCATCACCAATACGTATGCACGCTAGAAAAATGAATAAATAAACATTAATTTGTTTGTCGTATTTATCAACAGCTGCTCTTCCGCGATCTAATGTAGTCCCCATTCCCAAACCAGTGTACAGTAATTAGAGTTCCAACTACAAAACCTCTTGAAACTCGGCTGTTTTTACAGTAGCAATGAGACGTGAGAAAAAATCTTACATTCTTTCATCAGTTCCAAGAGGAAGAGGCCATCCTCAGTTCCTACGACGATTCTATCCGTGTCGATAATCGTCGCACACAACGCCATTTTAACGATGTGAAGGGATGCATCGCAAACTTCTTTGGCTTGGAAAATTTGCTGAAAGGAAAGGACGTGCCATACAGTGTGACTACGGTATCACCGTGATGGATATTAGCACTGGCTGACTGGCATAAAATATTCTTTTAAGATGTGTATGGATATTTACTCTGGCTTTAAAAAACAAACACAGTCATCTTTATGCAATGTAAACTTACAGTTTTTGAGGTGTCTTGGCTTTCAGTCAACATTTTGTGAAGATGTTGAAGAGCGTTGACCCATTTGTTCTTTTCTGTCTCACTGTCAGTTAAAACTAACTGAGTCAAAGTTGTTCCAGGGGGCGATGTTTGACAACAGGTTAACTAAACAAAATCCAGCATAAGGCCATTGATTGTAGCTCATGTTCTAAACGGGAGTGGGGGGGGGGGGGGCTGATCTCTCACTTTACACGCAGGATTGGTTATTAGACCTAAATCGATCTTAATAATCCGCCGGTACATTTATCTTCAAAAATATCTTACCAGTTGAAGATGAACGAAATATTAGAAAATTTGGATTTTTAAGATGAAATTATTGATGATGCTCCTGGAGAAAATCTAGTTGTTTACTTACTCTGAAGATACAAGGGATCTCTTTCTTGTGCGCATGTATCACATCAGAAGCAAGGACACTGCAGACGGAGAAGTCTTCATCTCTGTGAAAAAAAGACTAGTAAGAAAAACTATTCATATAGTAAGAATTTTATAGAAAGAAAAACGTTCAATATGATCTCTTTTGTACCTCATATCAAGGACAAGGCTGGCTGATTGCGATATCTGGGTTTGACGATCACCGATAGCATCAAACAGGAAGAGTTTAAAATCACAGACAACGGCAAACTGACGATGCCAGCCTTTCTTGATTCCACCTGGTTTAGGAACCTTCACATAACCTTCATAGGCCGTACCAGTTCCCCGTTGAGGATCAATACCGAGTGGGCGACGATTGACTGTAAACACACACGATCATTGAGATATGCAGTTAGCTTACAGTGGATTGTTTGATGAGAGAAAATTCAAGTTAAATTTGCTACCTTGTTCTGCAGGAATTGGACAAACAGGTGGAGCTTTATCCATACAAGTCACATGGCATGAAAAATTACATACTGAAAAACATTATATATTATTTCGTTATTGCCATCATTCATGTATATATAGTATGTTTGAAAACTAGATTTTGATAATTCCAAGACAACTGTACCTTCACAGACCGAGCCTTGTCGCCTTAATCCGATCATAAGTGACGTACACTGTTGGCATTTCGTGGGTGAGGTAAACGTCTTTACACCAAACTTATGTGCTCGAGGCTACAAAAAAGGTTGAAATCAATTACAGAAATGCTATTAGACTGAAGTATTTGCTTCAAGACATTTAATACCTTAGGATGAGCCAGAGCGCTTGATTCAGTGCTAGCATTAGGCTATATAAGGAATAAAACCAAACAAAAATTTCAGTATAAACGTGATCAACAATACTGACAGTTTTTGTCAGGTTCGACTGCTTAAAGCAACGACATCTTTCACAGTTGAGGCGAGCCTCCAAATGAGCAAGCCTTGATTGTTCTTGTTATGATAATAATGGTGTTTACCTGAGGTGATCCTGGAGAAGATGGAGTCAACTCCAAACTTGATCGTTCCTCAAGAGTTGGATGGTGTTCGGAAGTCTGAAGAAATAAAAAACAAATATTTCAAGGTTTGACAGGGCTCGTATGAATATTCTTACATAGGACCTTCCTTCCCAAGACTTGTCATGAACCAACCTCGGAGGACATAACTACAGTATCCGTCTCTTTGTTGAGCAGAGTCATGAATGGAAACTGGTCGCGATATTTTGAATCTACAAGAAACAGTAAAACAGTTTGTTTCGTATCTAATGATAGTCAGCATACAACAAGGAGCCAAATAACAATGTTTACCTTCTTTCTGGAAACCTTGAGTCTTAATTTGTTCGTTTTCTGTCCGGAGTTTTCTTAATTCCTCTCTCATCGTGTTATTCTGTGCCTCACTTTCACTCAGTTTCCTACAGTTATCCAGGAAATAAAATAACGATAAGTGTCAAATAATTCACTGAGGGTTTAGATTGTTTGATTTGAAAACATACTTCTCCGTCATGGCTCCGTTCGCCTTAATTCTGTTTAGTTCATCAGCAAGATTTTGTTTTGCCTAGAAATCATTTAAACATTCGTCTTAACGCTGTTGTATGAAGAGAATGATCAAGGTAGAATTTAGTAGGTACCTCAAGTTCCTTCTTCAGTGTTGCTTGCAAGGCGAGGAGTTCTTGTTTATTCATCTTATGAGATCTTCTCGCTTGCCAATCTTTATCACCCTATGTAATACAAGGTGATAGGTTAGGGTACTAGTAGGGTTCAGTTATAGTGTGGTGTGGTATTGTATGAAATATTGTGGTGTGGTGCATCGTGACGAGAGTATTGGTAAACTCTGGTAAACCAACCTTTCCAAGAGTACCATAACCAGATGTTGAAGGTTTAAGTGCCTCTAGTTCCTCAGTCATTTTGGTTGCCAATGCTTGAAGATACCCACGTGCTTCCTTTTCATCACTCACCCTGCAAATATGACGTCATGTATTAGCAATGGTATGACATCATGCTAAGATTTACCAGCAACATTTCTAATATACATTTACAGAGAGAATAATGAACTACCGTACCATTGGATGATCTCAGCGATCTGTGCCTCCCAGTGTGCAACCTGGTCATTCTTTTCCCTCATGTCTTTGAGTTCCTCATCATTACGACGCTGAGAAATCTGGGCTTTGTTCAGCTTTTCTGTCACCTGCAAACGATGAAGAAAACCACAACATTCAAAACTCAGTGGTCAAAGGCAAGGCTGATCGGGAGACCATATCTGTCATTTGTTCCCTTATTTGTCATGCTAAAAGCTTTGTTATGGGATGGCACAAGTGCAATGAATGAAAACACAAGTCATCAACTCATGCTTCTATAATTTAAACCTTTTATTCACCTTTTCTACTTCAAGTTGCAGTTTTCTATTTTCCTCATTCAGTAAACTACGATCTCGCTCAAATCGTCGTTGCATATCACTGATGACATCTTGCTGCTCACTTATACTATGAAAGCAAACATGAATAATTAGAAATATGCACTAAAACGTATGCAAGAATAATGGTGAAATCACCAAACCACAACCACACACCATGCACATACCTGTCCTTCTTCGCCTGATTAGCTTTACTTGTTAATGCAGATATCTGTCCAAGGAATTCATTGATGAGTAAAACGATCAAAATAAAGCTGTAATCATAGCTGTGCTAAATTCTACGAAACTTACTTGACTTTCCAATTTCTTCGAAGCACTTTCTTGATCATGTAACTTCTCTTTGAGCTCCTGAAGAAAACAACATTTGTAAGTTGTAACAACAGTCACAGAACACTCTCTGTAATTTTTGTCCTTTATTTAATACAAATATGTTCTTAAACACAATGCCACGTAGAGAAACAATGATATCACCAAACACGCTAATTCGTCTGCCAAAATTTGTCCGATCACTTAGAGAACACACGCTATAGATCTATCTTTAGTTATGCCACACGACGTTTTTACACAAGTGCTAATAGCGTCTTAATTAGCAGGCAATCACTCAACTACTTTGGATAAACACTCTGATAGCGAGACGACTTAATGACGTGCCGGGACCTCAACGGAAAACCGCAAAAACCAACATTCATGAAGCAAAGATTTCACACGCCAGCAAATGAAATAGGAATTGTGAGACAATATAAAGTCATTTATTGCAACGAGTTGCGACATGTATGTGTGAAATTTGTGGAATGCTCTTTACTATGAATTCTTTCCGTATGCATGTATAAGAAAGTAAACTACAACATTTCTAAACATTTTTCTCCTCCGTGGTCAACGAGTGAGTATTCGTTATGTTGATTTGAGTCTTCGTTCATACGTGAAGGGTGGAATTTAGGCCTGTGATAGATTCAGATACCCCAGTTCAGATGTTCACACGGTGAAAACGGATAAAATTTGGCTGGTTGTACGTGTTTACACAAGAAAACGGGAGGAATCGGAGGAATGCAAACACAGTCCTGAGTTCGTCCAGTCCCGTGTGAACGAAGTCTAAATATCCATGTATTTAAGAGCAATCGAGTACTTATTGCTTTAAAAAAATAAACCTAAGTTCACTTCGAGTAAAGTTTATTCAAGTTAGTCTTAAACAAACACGGGAATGATATCTTAATGTCACTATGCAATGACTAAACAGATTTCTATATTTCGAGTAAATATTCAACTTTGTTTCCGTAAGATCAATATCGTTAAAAGAAGTGAAGGAGCACTGCTTATATATATTGGAATTTATTATACAACATTTAAACAATAAATGTTCTGAGATTAATATATTTACGTAATCCTTAAACAAACTTGAATTCAGTGTAAAATAAAAAGAGGATTACTTGGGGATTTTAAGAAATGAACAACCATTGTCAATTTGTCATAACTTTTCTGTTATATACTTTCCTAAGTCAAACTCAATCTGTTTTATTTATATTCAGAGTGGACAGCTCTGCAAGTTCTTAACCATTCTTAAAGGAGGTCTGGTGAGGGTCATCAGGAATTACATCAATGTAAAACATGAACACTTGATAAAGCCCCCCTTGGACACACGCGGGAATGTGTCTACAATGAAGCACATACCTTTACTTCAGACATGTGTTGTTTCTTCTGTTGGGAACTGATTTCTTCATGATCAATCTTCTCTTTTTCCAACGACGCCTTGAGTCTGAAACGAGAGCCATCAATACAAGTCAACTCAATCCTACAAATCATTTATTTCCGAAAGATTGGCCGGTTTTCTTTTGTATTTCGATATAGACGCTTGTTAATCACTGGATATTCAGCGCCGCGTTAATTGTCTTAATAAAGAAGGGATTAGGAAAAACAACAAACGACGGTCATAAATTGATTTTTTTAAATCAATATACGAAATACTGTTAACATGGCAACATCATAGTCCATAAAGAAACAGTCTGAAATCTCAGCAAATATTAGAAGTCTATGATGGGAGCTGAGATTGAACAGCAAAGATGATGATCAGAGTACTTGATCGTGGTTTGAGTTTGACGAGAAAAAAAAAGTGAGATAAAACAAAGATTTGGTCAAGTTTGTTTGATTTTCCGAAGCTTATAAAGTGATGTTTCATCTTTATAATTATATCAAGTAGTTCTGCTGGTCGATATCTTAACTAGAACAGACAAGGTATTGAAGATGTGTTTTAAGAAAAGATAGATCATACTTGGTAATTTCCTGCTGCTGTTGTTCAGCATTTGTATCAAAACTTGTAAGTTTTCCAATCGTTCGTTGTTTCTTCTGGAATAAAGAGTAAAACAAGTTACAGGTAATTCTTAAGTTCATAATCCTCAGCCAGCACCAGGGTTGCAACTCTTGACAGCAGCAGCAGCATAACCTGAGCTAGGTTGAGGTGTTTTTTTGAGGTGTTTTTACCTTGAGTATATCAATCTCCTCCTCGAGTTGTTTGGAGTATTGCTCGCTACGTGATCTCAGTTTTTTCTCTTTACTAACTTCCGCCGTTAACTCGTCAATTTGACTGTTCATCTACACGGAATAGAACAATTTCAATAAAAGTCTGGTGTTTTCCAATATATGTAAGTAGTGGTGTTATCAACCTACCTCTTTCTTCTTCTTATCAACAACTCTCATTTCTGTCTTCATACTCTCCACCTTTTCCAAAGCACTCTCTGAAAAAGACGATTTTTGATGAGCTGGGAATGTTGCCACAGGACTCGTTTGTTTTCTCACTTGTCGTGTTTTTTGCTAGTCAATTATTAACAAACCTAGTTCTTCCTCTTTCTCTCGTTGATTTCTCATCAACTTCGTTTTCTGAGATCTTATTTCTGCCAGTTTATCGTTCAAATCACTGAACTCAGCCATTGCCAGCTTACGTTGACTCTGGGCTTCCTTTAGTTCCTTCGACAATGCAGTATTGCGTTCCTTTGACTCCGCAAGATCCTATAGTTTAATGTTGGTTGGAATGAAGGTGTTTATTTTCACATTCTTTAAAACTCCACAAATAACTTTAACCCACCTTTTCCAAAATTACTTTTTCCTCCTTCGAAGCTTTTTTGTCCTTTTCAGCTGATCTGAGCTTCCACTTCATATCTTTCAAAGAGAAAAGAAATTATAAGATGCGAAAGCAACAACGGACCCTTGAAGTGGTAACATCGTCACGATGTATGTCCCAGTTAAAATGTCGTGTTTTCTCATAACTATAATGTGTCATTCTTATGCTAACAGTCTGTGCATTAGACATACTTTCCCAGTGTATAAAATTACCTTCGGATGAACTTTCCGCTGTCTTTTTGTCACTCAAAATCTCTTCAAGTTCCTTTTCTTTATGTTTTAACTTCACCTCAATTTCTAACCAGAAAAAAACGAAATATGAATAACCCTAAGTCCGCCGACATCCAATGTCATGAAGGCAACGCAAATTCCAAACCATTTCTTACCATTATTCTTCCTCTTCAAAGCAGAAATCTCTTCGTTCAAACTTCCACTGTCCGAACTTCTACTGCCAGATTTAGTATCAATCGATTGTTCTTGTAAAACTTTCGTTGATTCTTGCAACTTCCAACTTAATTCAGATTTCTCTCTTTCGAGTTTCTTAATTCGTCTCTCAAAGGCCTCCACAGATACGCTGCTTACTGTGAATTTGAAATAAACAACAAAATGTATATTTGAACTTCCAGAGACTATAAGGAAACGGAGTCTCTCGTACCTTCGTTAGAAGACTGCTGTGTTCCATTAGAGAATTGGTTTTTCCTGTTCTTCAGAGCCAGATCAGAGAGTATGCTATCCACAAGAATTGTTCAAAGTTAGCTACGCTATTTGTCGACGTTTTGAGAGACTGACTTACAATCAAAGAATGACATTCAATACCTGTCTTTGGTGAAAGTGAATCCAACAAAAGGAAGATGATGACCAGTGAACGACGAGACTGACTTTGGTTGGGTGGAAGTCTTGGGTGAAAATCAACACGAGATTGTTACAAGAGAGAGTAATTCTTAGTTTACAGTATCGGCCAAATATAACGGAAACATTATCCCGTGAAAAGCAACTGCATTATTTTGATAGTTAGAAATGGAATCTAATAATTGTCTTATCAGAGAGCATCATACAGATTACGCGATTAAATTTGATGTAGCGAGGTCTGAGATGCGGAAGACCGCCAAATTATCGAATAACTTACATTTGCTTTGGATGCTTCAATATCGACATCAAAATTTGATGTATCAGTTGCGCTGCTAACCTCTGGCGTATATGGTGGATCACCTGGAACAATCACCATAAAATGTTAAGAATAACCTCACATAATATCACCTTGTTTGAACTAGGCACATTTCAAGAGCTACCAGGGAAATCCCCTAATTATTCCTCGGACATTTGAGAAAAGAATTCTGAGAGGTTTGGTCAATTTTGAGTAACCTACATTCAGCTAGGTTTTCCCAATCAATTCCTTTGAAAAATGGGTGATCTTTGAAATCTGCAATACCATGTTGGCCAAGTCTTTGTGCAGCGCGACATATCAACCTGAGGAGACGATCATTAAATCATCAAGTTTATTTTGCTATGATTAACTTGTGGATACAATGTATTTCTGTACCTTTGAATTAAATCTTTCGCATCTGTTGATACTTCAACATGTGATGGCCAATCATAGAAAGTCTGAAAATAAAACACATTAGGAATGAATTAGAGGTCTGCAGCTGACACTAGAGAGGTTCTACTATAAGCAGGTTTCTCCATTAGAGATATTTATATTGGAATATTAGGGAGGTTTCTCATCTAGGGAGTTGCCCTTATTAAAGAGTGTTCTCACTGTTCTGTATTAAAAGTGTCTGCATTCAAGAGACATCTATATTGGAGAGATGTCTGCATGAGGGAGATGTTTAGTTAGAGAAGAGTGTGTTTGTTTCAGAAAGATGTGCACCTAGAAAGGTTTTGCTATATTAATATATTTTTATTTCAAGAGTAACTTTACCTTATGATTCATGATTTTTCCATATGTTTCAACCAGAGACTCAGCATAAAATGGCGTTTCCCCAAACAGCATCTCATACATGCAGATACCAAGAGACCACCAATCACATTCCTTGCCATACTTTCCTTTACCATCCTCCATGGCCTAGAATAATGTAACAATTTAGCCTCATGTAACAATTTAATCCACTCAATATTAGATATATTACCTTTTTTATGTGTTTTAATAAATACAACTAATTACCTGAAGAATTTCTGGTGAAATATAATCTGGTGTACCAACAGCAACTGCTGATTGAACCTGAAGTTAAATAATAATAATTTAATACTTATTACGCGCAAATTTACATTCAAATATGATCAAATGCGCGTAATCCACAACCATCATGAATGAGCAGAAATAAGGACCAACATGCAAGTAGCACTCACAAGAAAATGAATGAAATATGACCACACTTATTGACAGTGTTTACCAATACTGGTAAAATTATTTTGTTGGTGGTTCAACTACAAATATACTCACAGTTCCATCTTTGCATAATTTTAAGCATGATCCAAAGTCTGCTAATCTCACATGACCAGTAACATCCAACAAAACATTGTCAGGTTTAACGTCCCTAAAACACAACATAGAAAATATTGTAAAAGAGAGGGAAGACTGGGAATATTATAATATGTTGAGTTGGTGTTTAGAACTTGCTGAGACCAACCTATGGCATCTTGCCTAGTACAACAACGCACTTTGAGATAATTACAAGGTTCTGGCTGTTCAAGAGATTAGTCTTGTGAGGATGATATAAGATGATGATGAAAAGGCAAGAGATTAAATAGGGTGGCATACAGTACCTGTGAACATATTCCATTTCATGCAAGGAGTTAATTGCTAGAATCATTTCAGCCAGGTAGAACTTTGCCATCTCCTCTGGTAAATGATCCTCAAATTTACTAAGGAGTGTTAATAGATCTCCACCGCTGTAGTAATCCATAACAAAATACTAAATAAAGCAAATTAAGTTTAATGTTTTAACTGAGTATTTTCATAAAAAAATTTTCGAATCTATTTTAGTGTATTGGTAATACTCTGTTCTTGATACATACAAGAAAACTGTCATCTTGAAAAGCATAGTGTAAATTAGTAATCCATTGATGGTCACCATAAACCAGAACATCTCGTTCCTCCTTGTAGCAGGCAGTCTAAATAAAACAAAATATGATTTTTTGAACTTGCAACTTGCCTAAATTTCTGAGACAAAGCAGTTTTCTAAAATATCTATGAATCTGCCCACACATTTTAACTACATAACAAATCAGGACTCATGAGAAATTATTTGGACTGCTGAATAAATGGTCTTTGCTTGCCGGTTCATTTGTGGTTTATTAATCCAATAAAGACTTACAATGCTCTTTTACAGAGAAGTAAAACTATCTGCCACTGAAATAGAGTATATAATATAGTATAAAGTTTATAAATCTTGGTGCATTGCCAGTTCATGAACTTAAAAAGAGATTCCAGCAGACGGTTTTATTACATTTACTAGAAAAACTATTGTTAGGGAATATTCCAGCTTTTTTTTCTATATTTAGCAATCTTTTGTATAGTTGCAAATATAAAAGAATAAGGCTTCTTTATTAGAACTATACATTTGAAAAGCACAACACAACTGCTGTTCTGTCTAGAGCAACTTGATACTTTTCAAGTAAATTGAAAATTAGAGCTAAGGCTTTGACAAAGATGTACTATAAGAAACATTTGCCAGAGGATATAAAAAGAAATTGATATTATAAAGCTATGCATGAATGATCAGCTGTTTCACTGTCAGACATCAAATAAAAAATGTTAACATTTATCATGGGTAAACAGAGTTACTTAAAATGTCCCTGCAGGTAGATTACCCCACAAATACCTGCCAGTATGTCTAATGGATGAAACCTGTGATACTTGTGGTGTACATAATATTTAATTTACCATTTTAGTGTCCAGTGAAAGATATTTAAATTGACATTACATGGGAATGTAATGTATCTGTAATGTTGCCCAATAATCTAACTATTGCATTATCAAATACTTTAAGTACCAAACGTTTTTTAACTATTGATGAAGGTGAGGTATAAAGATAGTTTGTGCTATTTAGAAGGAAAATGTATCCAATTATGACATTTTGAACTAGAAATGTGAATTCTAGAACTTGAAATTAGAACAGGGTGAAACGACGTGGTGAAATATGGTCATACGATATGCCAAATATGAGGAAAACTTATAATTGCCGTGTTTTAACAATGGTAAACAATAAAGTTAAAAGCAGCAGCAGTGTCTTATTGAAAGATCCGTTATCATACAAAACTATTGCCACTTTTAAAAAGAGCATCGTAGAACCGCCTGCTAGCGAAATAATAGGAAATAAATTGCATATTAACAAAAGGCGAAGTATGATGACAGCTCGTGTGATTAACATCACCAAATTGGAAGTTTTCATGTCAATATATTATTCCGGTTGAACCTACCTCTGCTCGTTTTAACATTTCCCATTTGTTCAGAGTCTTTAGGGCATAAACCTGACCAGTACTTCTCATTTTTACAACAGCAACCTAGAATTGTACAAAATTTCGTTATAAATTCCAGCGTATCTTACAGTCGTTCATGAACTTTTTTGAGACAATCGTGTTACAAAAACATTGCCATAACTTACTTCCCCAAACGCTCCTTTCCCGATAAGATTTAGCATTTCAAAGTCATCTCTGGAAAGTCTTAATTCTTTCACGCGTTTAGCAATAGGTTTCACTAAAACAGAAACAGAATTACTTAGTCTTTGAAGTATTTATAAATTCAAATCCTATCGATAAAACAAATTCCGAAGCGTCAATTAAATGCCTTCCCTCAGTGGAAACAAACAGTGCCTTACCCGTTTCAACAAATTCAGCTATATTTTTATCCCTGCGTAGGGATGAACTTGAACACTCATCGTACAAGACGAGGAATATATCCAATAGTGTTTCTGTACTTAAAGTTGTATCTTGCGCGCCCTCACTGAAAATTTTTTCCAAAGTTTTAAGACGGTCAGGCGGGTTCATGTCTGTATTAACCATTACTTCCGACGAACGAAATGACAGTACAAAATATTTATTCCTCAAAACTTTTCCCTCGCCAGTGTCACCGATACCGAAGAGCCATTTAGAAAGGTAGGAATATCATAACCAAAATCTGTAATTAGTCGGCGTCAGAAGGATGTATAATTTCGGTATATTTTCTAGAGACTCCCTGACAAAATATCATTCAATGTTAACACTTCGCCTGCCCATTTTCCATTGTGCAATATATTTACAACTTTGTATGAGTACCAATGAGCTTTAAAACACAAGAAAAACTGCTGCGATACAACAAAATACCACTGTTTTTCGCCGAACAAAAGTTTTAGTTTATTGGATATTTTCTGTTGTTTCTTCTCAAAACAGTCATGGCCGAAGTGACGCGCAAAGAACCATGGGCAATGCCCTTCCTTCCGATTTTACGTAATTAACATAATTTGCATCATTTGCATACCCGCAATATGCGCGAAGATTCTCTGAAACAAATAGAAATATTGCTCTGATGGAAATGATTACTTTCTTTAGATGGAATCGAAGAAGCTAAGAAGAGCGAATGGATTGACAAAAAATGGAGTGGAGAGTAGTTTCTTTTGTCGGGCAGTCATCTATCAACTGTTCAGATAAATGATCGGGTGACTCAATATTTGACTATAATAAAAGTTGTCATCAGTTTAAAAAATCACAAATCAAGTTCGCTCACATCGTTGCGAGGTTTCACTACTTTGGGCTTGCTTCTCTTATCTCTACACCAAGTCGTTTCCTTTTTATTATCACAAATGCACCTTCCCAAGACCAAACCAATTTAGGAGTTGGACCTTTCACCTTGCGTGGGTTATACAACAATGCAAGACTCCTCAAAAAACTAACAAGCCAATCAAACTTTGCGTAATACATCAGGCTTACTGGGTTTCACATCATTTTGAGAAAGATCTATTGAATATTGTTTGTACAGACGAGAGACTCTTTTATTATGAGAAAGATATATGATATGTTTTGTATGGACGTTTTTCACGGTATATTCCAAGGAAAAGTGAACGTACTCATATTTTTTCTTGGAAATGAAGCCGATGTCTGGTTAGATTATATTTGAAATTACATAAAGTTAGCTTGGTACTTTCGCTATCTGATGATGAGGTATTGCAGGCTCAGGGAAAAGATTTCTTGATCACCTGACACGCTAGGTTATGGAGGACCAGCAGATTGTAGTTTATGTTTCAATATTTCCTCTAAAAAAATCGCCTTTCTGAACGTTAAATGTTCTCTGTGGAGACAAATAACGTTGAATGCGATCATAGAGGCTACTTTCATGAGTACTAGGAAGTACCTAAGACTTGCGGACGGGTTAGTACGGGGAAAAACATGTTTGTTTGTGTCGGCCATCTTGAATTTCATGGCATGGCCATTATATATAATGCCTGTTCTTTGTGTATCTATATCTTGTTTTCATTTCAGGTATCATGAAAGAAGCCCATATAATCAGGTTGGTTGAAAACTCAAGACGAATCACAAGGAATTTCAAGTCTATATTCATTAGTTATTGTTTCATATTCACTGCAATATTTCAGCAAACCAGCAATGTATTTATAGGTCTTAGAATAATGAATAAAACCCAGCTCAAAGCCACATCTTATAAAGATATAAATGAAAGATTAGAGCAAAGAAAGATTTAGAAATGTGTCATTCAAAGTAGGCCCCAATAAAGGAAAAACTGTTGAAATTTTATTACACAAGATATTTGCTCTATTCTTGACATTTTTTATTACAATTTGTAATATAATTCATAGCTGGGTTTTATATTCTAAGATAAGAATGAAAAGTTTTGTCTTGCATGGAAATTGTGGATCAATAGCAGGATTTTATAGTATATTTTTTTATACCAATAGTTCATACATAGCTTAGTCAGAAAATGTTGTTATATGTTTTCAGACAAGTGTAATTGAGTTATAGTTTAGCCTCAGTTGTAAGAAACTAAAAAAAAAACAGCAGGGTCCTCACATTTCAATACAAGGTGTTTGAAAAGAATGCTCTTAATTCACAATATATTTGAACCCAATTGCAAAACATCAAACATTGTTAGAATTTGTATTTATAAACATTGTCTGTTTGCCATTGAACAAGATAATTTAAAATGTCTGTTGCACATCAATTTAAACCATGGCTTGATCCAAATTCAGCATGAACTGTTTTGCAACCAACATTAAACTAAGAAAGTATTGCTTGACCACAATCTATGGTTTGTTGCAGTCAAGCAAATACTCAAACAAACAATCGAATAATACGTCCGAGAGTCGCTCAGAGAGGTCTTCAAATATCAATGGTGGATCACGAAGCCGCAACAATTCACCAAGGTCAAGGCAAAGCAACATGTCTCCTCGAACACAACGAACGTCCTCAAGCTACAGCAAGACAAAAGAATTATCGAGAAGAGGCACCAGCGCATCTCCAATTGAACGCAATGTTTCATCACATTCTACTAGTAATGCAGTACTCAAAGTTGATAGCATTAGTACGGATGTAAGTTAATTTGAATTTTCAAGTGCTGGTATCCAAGGTGATGTGTGTGTTCTCATGGTATAGGCCCTATCTTTATTATTAACAGGATAGCTTTCCATGGTCTCAGCATACTAGCTCATCTGGAAAAACCTATTATTACAACTGTAAGACTGAAAAATCCCAGTGGGAGAAACCAAAGGAATGGATTGAAAGGTATATTGGGTGCAGATTGAAAAAACTGCATTTCTATGATGGCTTGTCTGCAAAATAATGGTTGAGTTTATTGGGTAATCTGCATTTTCAGAGAACACCAGTTGGAAAGAGAGAAGAAAAAACATGAAAATAAAGACAGAAGTGACCAGACACGGGATAATTCACACCCAAATGTATACAAAGGTATGAACAAGATAAAAAATAACACCTTTGCAATTTTTCTAATTGACTTTGAATTTTGTATTCTTAGAGAGATTATCTTCAAGAGATTCCAACCAGGAGTTGTCAAATAAAAGAGATAGCCAAGGACATGCAGTTATTGGAAACAAATATGACAGAGAGAAAATCACTCACAGCAGAGATGAGAACAAAAGACAGTCTCAACAGCATGCTCAAGATAACAAAAGAATGCCACAACAGGATAGCAAGAGAATACCTCAGCAGCATGGTTCAGATAACAAAAGATTGGCTCAACATGCTCCTGATGGAAAAAGATTACATCACAATCAGGCCAACAATCAAACATCATCAAACTCTGTTGTTGTCAAAACCACATCTGCAAATACTAATGCAGTTTCTACTACTGTTCATAGGTGGGTTTACATAATCAACATACAACCACAGCACAATAATTGCTGCAGTTGATGTAAATGCAATTGTAAAACACCATATAAAGCTTTCGTAATTCTGGGTTTAAATATTCTAGGCCTGATCAAGTATTTGCAAAAGCTGAAACTAAAGGTATATAATTGATTGATAAACTTCTGTACTCCTGACATATTTCCTAATGTCCTCAATTTTTTATCATTGTTGGATGCCAGCATTTTCTAATGACAATCTTCTTCAATATAGTTTCACCATCAGGAAGTTTACAGAATGTTTCCCCAACAGTCACTCCAGTTATCACAGTCAGTCAAAGTACATCTCCAGCTGTCGCAACCTGTTCCCCTATCATGGTAACTTATCGCTCTCCAGCCAACATTCAAACTCACTCCCCTGTACAGCAAAATGCCCAGAGATTGCTACCAATGTCTCAAAGAACCTCAACCAACACACCCCCACCTCCACCACCACCTATTTTCCCCCAGGTTTCCCCAGCACATAACATAGTCACATCACAAGCAAGACATACTGAAACCTCTCCAAAGAATGTAGTCCGGAGTAATGTTGAGGGTTTGTTAAAACAACAAGAAAATACAATGTTTAATGGTCTTCATGGTCAGTTACATCCCTTACAGCAAGCAACGTTATTACAACAGGTATTTTGGTAAAACTTTTAGCTTCCATAGGCTAAAATATCTCACAGAAAATGGTAGCAAATAAAATAGTAGTTTGTATTGTGGTTGAAGATAAACTAGCCTTGGTTGAAAACAGCAAATAAAAACCTGTATCTTTTATTTTAGGCTCAATTCCAAGGTAGCGCTGTTGTTCGTCCCTTGGCCTCCCCCCAAGGTAATGCAAACCATTTCTTGCATCGAGTGTTCAGAATGTCGATACTGCCACCAGTCATAAGCTATTGCTTAATATTGTTATAAAAAATGTATATTTAAACCAAAATCTTACCAGCCATGTTTGTATTAATCGTCCTTTGTTTCTTCGTTATTCAGGTGTTGTATCGTCACGATCTCCAGGACCGTCCAGTTTCCAACCTATTAAACAGTCCAACTCTACCCCTGGCTCCCCCCAGCCATTCCACCCACGTCCCTATCAATCCATGGCTCCTGCAGTGCAGAGAACCACTGTAACTTCTCTTAAACAACCCATCCTACACCCTCCAGCCCAGTCTGTTAACCTTCAAGACTATGTGAATTATTTCAACCGTGATCTCACAACGCACATCTTCGGTTGGCCAGCGGACACCGTCGAGAAACAGGTACACCAAGACAGCATTTTCTCTTTCAACCTTGCCAAACCGTTGACTAACCTGTAGAGTTACAACAAGTTGCGAGTTTCGTACTCATTGATACAAATTCTGCTCTTTAGGCGCAAAGATCATCCGATGATACAACTAATCTTTGCCTGATGAACAGCAGATTAAAAACGGACTTGATTCCATTAAACTTTCATCAAAGTTTAACCCGGATGCGAATGGGTGTTGGAACAAAACGGTATGTCCATTCCTAGTGACTCTTGACAGCTCAGCACGCTCGTACTGTAACACTAGTTCCTATAGCTTACTTCAACAGCTTCTTTTATCCAGAACTTCTGCGTGAAATAACCTAATACAAACTAACGTGAACCTGGTTCCTGGTATGTTTTGTCATATTGGTGATTTTTATTTTTTAGGATTAAATTTCTTCGCGAACAAACTCGGAAATTGGAATCGTCGGACGCTATTAGTTAAGTTTCAAATTCAGCGGAATTTTTAAATGTTTAATGCAGTCTCTAAAAGAAGACCACGCTTGTACTATAGTTAATGCGTCGAGACCATTGTATAAATTAGCCCTATTTTACTCGAATGAACAGTGCACTAACCCTAGCTACGATTACCGCGACAGCGATGAACATATGTACTGTGAATAGGAATAAATAAAACACATGATGTATTTTGAAATTTCTTAAATTGTTGTTCTTGTCACCATTTTTTCCACCACTGGCAACACACACTCAAGCGATCTTCCTAAAGATATCCATATGTTTTACGTTTTGCTACAGAGGCAAATCAAATAAACCCTCATATTTACCATATTGACCACAACAGAACTGGATCATAAATAAAGTGAATTATAACTAAAGATTTTACCATAAAATAACAATATTTTTTCTCTGTCCTATTTTCTCAAATCCTTATGAGTATAATGGCCTTAATGAGTATACTTTGTTTTAGCTGGCGCGTCCAATCCAGCATAAACGGTCTTATCAGTTTCACCAACAACTCGCACACTAAGATAAGACAACAATCCTTCAATTGTTAAGTTTTGCTGTTTCATAATACTGGAGTAGATTTCAGCCTCGGCTCTGTATGCTTCCATGATCGCCTCAGACTCTGCTTTTGCCTTTGTTATAGCAATCTTTGCTTTAGATTTAGCCAAGGCGATTGTGATCTCCGCTTGAGTTCTTGCTTGTTTTAATTTCGTGTCCACCTCGACTATCTGTCGTGGTCTTTCTAATTTCGCTGTTGTGATGCTCTCCTTTGCAGATTCTTTAGCCTGCAATGCTTTCTCGTATTTATCAGGTCTGGCAATATTACTCATTTGTAAGTCGGTTACCACAGCATGAATATCGCCCAATCTCTGCACCATAATCTCCTGAATACGACTCTGGAATTCTGTGCGTTGATTTATAGACTGGCTTGTGTTATACTCACTGCAGGCGTCGTGAATCGCGTATAGACCCATAGATCTGCCAAGAAATAGGATTGAGAGATCTTAGCATACACACTTTCTTTCTTATAACATAAGAAATAATTCTAACAACTTAATTCTAGAATTGAATTTGTTTCCTACTTCACTACATCTTCGTATTTGTCTGCATCTCGAAATTCCAGGACAACCTTTTTGAGATGGTTTGCATCAACTCGATACTGGAATTCTACGTCCAATCCTATGACCAGACCATCCTTGTTCAAGCATGTCACGCTGCTGTAGGAAATTGACTTGAAAACGCTGGAAAATATGATGAACTTGTAACCAGGTGCTCCAAAATGAAGACCTTCTCTCATTGCATCACTTCCAAGTTTTCTTTGGTTCGGATCATAGCTTAGTCCAACTATATTCAACAAAATACATCACTTGTAGATTTTGCACTAATTTTATTTCTTGTTTAACTAAACTCAAGGAGAAGATCCTGCTAGAAAACGTGGTGCTTCGATTATCTACCCTCGAAACGTCATCAAAGCCTGCAAAACTGACTACCTGTTAATCTGCCTGGGAATCTTAGCGAGGACCTAAAAGGCCTCGGACTAGTCGTTCAAACTTCACCCCTACGTATCCCCTGTTTTCAGATTTTACCCGGAAACACGGATCTCAACTAAACTGAATTCGAAGTGGCAGTTTATGGAATTGGGTATCTTATTTCATAACTTCGGAAATGAGACCTAGCTCGTTTGCAATAAGACTCCTGAGCAACCAGTTCCCACACTTACTTTCAGTCGAGTCCAATCTTTTTCCTGAGGAAGCAATGAGTCCGATTGCAATGATGACCATAGCACCAACGAACCCAAGAATTAATATCGTTTTCGTTTCCATTATTTCTGTATTTTCATTCCTAGGAATAACATTGGAATTACACACCTTGAGTATGCTGAATTAAGCCAAAATTCGTGTTAGGAACATCACGTAGCTATCTTGACAACTTCCAGAACAACTCCCGTGTTCTGTGTAGTTAGTTATTGCACAATCAATGAAGCAAAATTATCACTTTAGTCACATTCTGAGTGTGGTAGATCAGCTAAATCATGAAGCGGATTATTTAGACATTCCGACAGAAAAACTATATTCAACAGATTCTAGACCTCAGAAACATTTGAAAACACCGCAGTCATTGATTGTTGAGCGTTGTCCAAGCCTAGCATATTAAACTGTCAGCAATATTTTCATGTAATTCACTTACCACTGTATGACAGTCCTACAAGTATGACTGACAATCTTACTGCCTCAACGACCTGAGACTAGCTTCAACCACAAGATGCTGACGCATTTAGCTCACACTCCACGCAATGACGCAAATTTTCGAACTGACAAACAAAGACCCCTGTAGATAAATATCCTCTAGATCCAATCTGTGATGAGTTGTGCTTCAGAGCACGATATTTACCCTCAAATTTTATTCATGCATTTTCTTTCCGGATGAATATTCAATGATTATCGGATCTTCATTGATTGTCTGTTATTTGAAGTCGCGAAAGGCAGTTGAACATCAGTCGCCTACAGATTGAGAGTGAAAATACGTCAGATTTCGATTGTATTTTCGGAGTTAATTTTTGAGGTAAGATACTTAATAACGCGAAAATATTTGTTTTGTTCTGACAGCGGCCGGTCAATTTTGTACAATATATCATATATGTTTGATAAGCATTGCTGCTAATCTTATATTTACTTTCAACTTTGCAGTTCATTTGGGCAGGTACACAAACTTATATTTTACCTAAAGGAAGATAACGAAATTGAAATTTGAAAGCCCAGACAATCAACAGACGATCTTTAGAAGTCTGTGGAAAATATCTGTATAAATAATCACCCGCCGTGCATGGTCAAGTGAGCGTATCAATAAAAGGAATCGCCCTTGCACTATTTGCGTCTTTGCCTGAACAAGTTCTTCAAGACTTCACTAGTGTGATAATGGCTTCTGAATCGTCGTCTGCTTGGTGGTGCTGGTTATGTGGTGGCGTTGTGGGTATTGGTCTTCTCCTGACTGTCATTTTGGTACCTCTTAGTTTTTCAGATGTTGAGTATTACGAGGTAATATCTATTTGAAAGAATGCAATGTACCTGTAGTCAATATATAGGTTATATATTCATAATAGTATTCCTCTCAAGTCGAAATAACCAGATTCCTCACGAGGTTGTTTTAGTCTTTGCATTACAGTTTAGAACTATGAATCTAAAACCCGGGAAAGTTCGACAGATTTTGCAATCAGAAATTGAAGTCCATCAGTGTCTATGACACTAGTTGACCTTTATACCGTCCATTAAGTAAGGTGCTTAGGGTGAAGAGCAGTCTGGGGGTTGGTTATGTTTCCAGAATAGTATAGTTTGACTCCAGACCTTGTGAAATTTTTAAGTGCATTTTTTCGTCTTAATTTATTTGACCTTACAATTGCAAAAGTTGAAAGGCGGAATGTTTGTTGGCAAAGCAACATGTATGAGGGCATGAGTTGTATTACGTCAAGGAAAAAAATGAGGAAGTTCACTTGAAATGACAAGAACTTTCAGTTCCGGCATGACTTAGTTCCGGCGTGACGACATATAGTGCATGGATGCCAGCCAAACAAGGGGTTTGCCCCGTGAAAGGATTTGTTTTAGGTGCTCAAAACTACCCTCTAGCTTATCTCAGATGTTAAAACTTTAGAAAAACTAAAACGTGATACGTTCTATCCACACCTAATGCTCTTTTAGGTTTTCCATTGGATCATGACAAAACAATACAATATCATTCTTGTCAATCACGTACACCACACATTTCAAGAATCAAGGTCCGGCTACGAAATAACCTCATCCAGTCCAGACATAACACAAGTGCTTTAGATTAGAAACACGTTTTCCTTTTGGTAAAATAAAACGCTGGTTTTTTTAATATATTAGATGGCATTCGTTCAGAGAAAGTCCACAGGAACGGTATATACTGATGAGGTATATTTTGGTGGTCGTCATCTTGTTGGTCCCGACTTCAAGTTCAAACATTATCAAGCAGATGCCCACACCGTCGAGTTTAGTTCAAATGATCTCGATGTTTCAACAAGTGACAAGTTAGCTATTCAACTTAAAGCTCATATGCAGTATTTCCTCCGTGAAGAAGACCTCGCTGACCTTCACGGAAGATTTGATAAAGGTAATATAAGAAACTAGAGAACAAGGATAAAAAATAAAAACCATGTCATAAAAGTTTTGACAACCATGGTTTGTTTAAAAAATCAATATTTCTTACCACACAGGTTACAAGCCAATCGTTCGAAACACGGCAAAAACTGCAATCAAGAACGCCGCAAAAACCTTCTCGAAGGATCAATTCCGGCATTCAAGAGAGTTAGTGGAACGTGCTTTATTTGAAGCAGTCCAAATATCATTGGGAGGAATCTGTTGTCGCCAGGACTGTTCTAAATACAAGTGTCGTAATGGCTGCAAGCCGTATGACATGTGTGAAGAAAAAGATAAGGGAATTTTTGTTGACGCAAGATATTTTCAGTTGCATGATTTTGACATCACTGAAACTCTGAAGGAACAGTGGCTTGATCAAGTTGTAGAACGAGAGGACAGAGAGAAAGCTGCTTTCATTCAGAAAGAAAAGGTAATTGACTTGCTATAACTTTCAGTAAATGATAGCTGTCAATCTAGAGAGTTGATAAAACTGAAATCAACCTTGCTGTTATCGTTGCAGATCGAAAGAAAAATAACAGAGAAAGAGAAAGAAGAATATGAAAACAGAATTCAGGAAGTGAATGAAGTTGCTTCAGCTAATAAAACAGTTATTAACGCTCAGGCAGAGGCTGAATCTTTGCGATTAGTTGAAGATGCCAGAAATAGAGGACTTGAACTGTTGTACACAACTTTGAACTTTGAAAACGAACAGCACAAAGCATCGTTCAACTACCTTCGAACTTTGAGAAAACACAAGAACATTCGTTTACATGTTAACTTTGGTAATCTTATTTCTGGGCCCAATACTGCTTAGACATAGTTGTAAATGGTAATTTAATATTAGGAACCGACGTTGATCACAATAATGTAGTTTTCTTTAATACGTGTTTATTGCTTATCCAGCTAAGGACTATAGCTCTTAGAATTTAGTATTTTACGTAAAAATTATCTGCCTTTAGCGTTGTTCGTTTTATTATTTCGGTCCCAGTAATGTCATTTTGAAGTATTGGAAGTTGTAATAATTTTTTATTGGAGAAAATACGAAGCCGATGAGGGCATTAAAAATTGTTAAGTTTTGATGCAATTATATAAATTTTGGAGCAAAATGTGTGGTAAATTGACAATTTTCGTTCGAAGAAAATGCAAGGAATTCTTTTTGAGGTAAAATACGTTGGTTTATTGACTTTTAGTGTGAAATATATTGTACAATACTATAATAAAATACTTATTAGCGCGTGTATTTTACCTAATTGCTACAGTACTTTAAATCCTGAAATCTGTAGTTTTGAGAGGGGAAGAAACAAGTGGCGATCCACAGGTTTCTAAAACAAATAGGAAAAAATGCACAACAATGATAAAATGTTTTCCAGGCATCTGTTGTCTTTTTTTTCGAGGCAAATTGCATTAGACACAAAATCATTGTCAAACATTCACGTTTATATGTTTATATTCTTCGTCAGCAGCAAAAAATTGCACCAATATTATCTTAAATACTTCCAAACAACTAGCACACATAACCCACCCTTCGTAATCCTTGAGAACCTTGTTGGTATTCACACCTGTCTCAAGAAGTGCCCCTAATAGTTAACTACATTTAAAACAAGTATTTTAACACAGCTACACAGAAAGTATAATAATATCATTAGCATTATAAAACAAAGTAGAAATACCACTCAATAGACAATGACTGCAATTCTCTGGAGAGAATTATTCTGACAAATAGTTTCTTTGATCAATTGAGAAGGGAATTGAAAGATATATAAATAAAACCTCATGCTATTGTTAATGGATTAATATTGCAACCAAATTATATATGAAAAGGTGTATTTTGAAAATCTAGGCTAATTTTAGTTTGTGAGATATTGCTGGGCAGGATTTTAAAAATTATGAGGAGTTGGTTGTGGATAGGGTCCCTGTTGTTGTTAATTTTGTTGAGGGTACTGTGCTTGTGGGTAGGGTGCTTGTTGCTGATAGTTCTGCTGAGGAAACTGTGGATATTGTTGCATTGGCACTTGATTATAACCAGGTTGAACCACTGGTTGACCATAAGATGGTGGGGCATATTGCTGTGGTGGGGCATATTGCTGTGGTGGGGCATATTGCTGTTGGCTGGGATACTGTGAAACTACTGTTGTCACAACTTGCTGTTGGCTTTGAAAAAGGCTCAACAGGTTAACCCCTGGAGGACAGACATTATTGTACTCTTGAGTATGGAATCGAGCTGGAATTTTTACATCTTTGATGTTCTGGACGCATGAACGACACACATGGTATGGTACACCAGTTATCAGGCAACATGGAAAACACACGCACCAGAGCATTTTCTGGACGGGTTGCTCACAACCAAAGAATGCTTGAGCACAGCTTGCCTCTGGAGAAGCATTGTGAGTTATATAAAAACCTGCACCAACTGATTGGGCAGTCTTGCCATCACTATTTGCATGTTGAACCTGCCCATACCATGTCTTTGTTGAGTCATCAAGGTCAAAAACCAACACGAACTTAGCATTTTCTGACATGAGTTGTTTTGCTTTTTCGAATGCTTCATCCAGAACCCGTCTGACTTCAGGGTGAGACGTATTCAGAACCACGACAAATTCATCTGTCATAGTATGATATTCGACTTCACGATTACCCTCAGAATCTCGTGTGCCGCGATATTCCTTGTACTGCTTGCTACATTGGGCTACAGTTATCAAAGGTTTGCTCAAAATTTGGTCTCTGATCATTTCAATGTCGTTAACGTTATTAACTTCAAATGAACGCGGCTGCCCGGCAAATTCCTTGTGATCTGAGACGAGATTATACGACTGATCAACGGTGATACGTTGTGAAGCTTGATTCCAACTGAACCCAGCCGGGAGACCTTGTTTAAATTTCGATGTCTTAATTAATAGAACAGCCATAATATTTCAACCGAGAATCCTAGGTATAATATATATGAATATCACCCGGGTGACGATGCACAATAGTTTGGTTCGAGTTATTGACACAACAAGTCAAGTATTGATTATGTAAACGAATATTAGGAAAGTAATTATCAGGGATTAGATATTAGTGGTGATTAGAAGGCATGACGTCGTCATATTGTACAGATATCGATGACGTCATATTGTATAGACATTTGAACTATAAGTGTAACTGGAGTGCTATTTTGAATTGTTCAGGGAAGCATAGAGCATCTTGTTAGATGAAAGCCCGTCTCAAACTTCACCTCATGGGTAAACTCAAAAAGGAATTGAAGTTGTCGTTTTGTGGAATATTTAAGCAAGAACCGAGCTCTTTATAGCTTCTTAAATTGTCTTTGAAAAGTCTCAAGAGGTCTGAAAACTTAACACGAGTTCCCGTAATGGATCTGAGCTTGAAAGATCAACAAAGCATCAAGACTGTTATCCAGTTTATTGTAGCCTTGGGTATTTGTCCCACCCTTTTTGAAGGAGTAGGTGCAGCCTTTAAACAAAGAACTGGTTTTGGTGATGCTTTGTGTCCTGAACAAGACATAAAGTGTCCAAAATGTTTGTATAAGTGTGTAATGGTTCATTAAGCCGAGAGATGTTGAAAAGCTGATGCTAACTCTATGTTCAGCGTATATTACCTGCGTGGTTTATTCATTGTGGCGAGGAGTCGAATCGTCGCAGTAGGTTTGTCCACTTTCTCTACAAGTGCCGTCCCAAACTTCAAAGTTATGTATTTGAAATTAAATCAAAGTTGGGAATAACAATTGAATGTGCTCTTAAAATGGCCATAAACATGCCGTGTTGCTTGTTGTGGAATAAAAATTTAGCTACAGAAGAATTCAGGGTGATTCGATAACCTGGATTACCATATTGCACTGGTATACCCAACAATGGTGAAGTCTTCGTTCAAACTATCTCATGGAGTATTAATGAATAAACCAAGTCCACAATTAATAGAAAATCTCGAGTTGTTTTCAATGTCAGATATTTTGAAATATGAATTTGAAAACTCGAAGGGAAAGCCAGGTGATTTATCCAGACTTTTGATCCACAGTTCTCGGGCTGAATGCACTAACGAGAATGCAGATTTGACTGTCTGAATGTCTTTGTTGTTGTTTTACTGCTGCAAGGTTGATCAAAATGCTGATAATACAGTAAATGTTTGATGTTTCTGATTTCTGAATGAACTCTGCTATTGTTTAACTTCATTGCCTCCTATAACATGCAGAGACTGGGGAGAGTATTCAGGGTTTTATTAAGGTGGTTTTAAGTCGATATAGTTTTTTTTTCGAACTATATCCGTTCCATATATGTTTAATAACAGTGTTTTTTGTATGTAAAAGAAAAATTTGGAAAGAAAAAAAAATTTGGAAATAACCTAAAAACACCCAAAAGAGATCATCCAGCCTATGCCACAATCTAACCTGGTTATACAACCGGCTGCAATATACCAACATAGTTACAACTACGAAAGGTGCAAGGACAGTTGCTATAGGAAGAACTCCCCCCCATAACTCACATCTTAACGGCCGTCTAAGGGGGAGATGCACTACGGCCCCCAGACCATGATGTATGTGCACCTAACCGTTACGTCTCAGTGAGAAACAGAGTATGCATCGCCACAAGCCTAGCGTCATAGACGAATCAGCTACAGTGGCTAGCCCTAAGAGCGAAGATAAATTTAACGTATTTAAGCTTTTCTTGGTCTCGGGAGGCGGTATCTAACAAGCATATGCATACGGAAAACGACTAATAAAGCACACGCTTGGAAATGACAAGATTTAAACGCCTAAACGTTTTTTAAGTGTTTTTAGCGAGAAATTTTAGTGTTTTGATATTCTTTTAGTGTTTTGAAACAATCCTTGTTGGTTTTTAACGTCAAAATAATCGTCATTCTTGAAAGGAAACTCAATATAAATGACTGAACGGCACTTAGCACTTAGTTTGCTAAACTGTTTTGTAAATTTTGTGTCATTATTCGTCATTTTTCGGCTAATACGACCATGGTCGTATTCGTCATTTTCCGGCTAATACGACCATGGTCGTATTCGTCATTTTCCGGCCAATACGACTATGGTCGTATTCGTTATTTTCCGGCCAATACGACCATGATACGACCATGCTGATAATACAGTAAATGTTTGATGTTTCTGATTTCTGAATGAACTCTGCTATTGTTTAATTCATTGCCTCCTATAACATGCAGAGACTGGGGAGAGTATTCAGGGGTTTTATAAGGTGGTTTTAAGTCGATATAATTTTTTTTTCGAACTATATCCGTTCCATATATGTTTAATAACAGTGTTTTTTGTATGTAAAAGAAAAATTTGGAAAGAAAAAAAAATTTTGGAAATAACCTAAAAACACCCAAAAGAGATCATCCAGCCTATGCCACAATCTAACCTGGTTATACAACCGGCTGCAATATACCAACAAAGTTACAACTACGAAAGGCAAGGACAGTTGCTATAGGAAGAACTCCCCCCCATAACTCACATCTTAACGGCCGTCTAAGGGGGAGATGCACTACGGCCCCCAGACCATGATGTATGTGCACCTAACCGTTACGTCTCAGTGAGAAACAGAGTATGCATCGCCACAAGCCTAGCGTCATAGACGAATCAGCTACAGTGTCTAGCCCTGAGAGCGAAGATAAATTTAACGTATTTAAGCTTTTCCTGGTCTCGGGAGGCGGTATCTAACAAGCATATGCATAGAAAACGACTAATAAAGCACACGCTTGGAAATGACAAGATTTAAACGCCTAAACGTTTTTTAAGTGTTTTTAGCGAGAAATTTTAGTGTTTTGATATTCTTTTAGAAATTTTAGTGTTTCGAAACAATCCTTGTTGGTTTTTAACGTCAAAATAGTCATCATTCTCGAAAGGAAACTCGATAAAATGACTGAACGGCTTAGTTTATTAAAATGTTTCGTTAATTTTGTGTTTAGTATAGCCACTTGATTCGCCGGTACAATTTGGGCCTAAATTGTTTGTGTTTATTTCACAAGTTTTTATTTTTTATCTTCGTTGATTCTGTTGTATTTTCGGGGAATGTTAAAGTTCGTCTTTCTTCTTTTTTTTTTTTACTAACTATCCATGATATGACGGTGTTGGTTTTGGTTGGGTCTCTCCCTGGCCTGGCCTGGCCTGGCCTGGCCTGGCCTCCCCTCCTAGCCTCCTCTGGCTACATAAAGCCACAACCAATTTTGATGATTTGTTAGCGTTGAATCTATGTTTGCTTTTGCGAGCTTTAGAAACGGAGAAACATTTGAGATCATGTCAGGATTTACTAATTTTGGCTTTTCTTAAGCGTGGACAAAGTAGTTAAACACGCTTATAAAATGGACCACTTGCATAATAGACCAACTTTTGATTCAGGTGACAAAAAGGCGATTTCCTAAAAGAGCATACAAAACTTAGTAAAATTGCCAAGTTTTGCTGTGAAATATTGTAAAGTGCCGCAGATATAGCCATGCAAAGTTGGCGAATTTTGTATACTTTTGTATTACGGCCGGACGTGTGTAACTAAATTAGTTACACGCCTCCAGCCGTAGTAAAAAAGTATACAAAATTGGCAACTTCGCATGGCTATATTTTCCGTACTACTTTACATTTTGCAACCAAACTTGGCAATTTTACAAATTTTGGTATGCTCTTTTTAGCTGTTGTGATATATTTCTTGCTTGTCACCTAGATCTGAAGTTGGTCTATTATGCAAGTGGTCCATTAAACTACTGATATTTTTTACGGGCTGGTGGGAACATAAGTGTAAATTTTACGTGCGCAATATGCATTTATAGAATACTGCCTCAGACCTGCCGTTTATTGCAAACACTTAACAAACACAGCGCGGGTAAAGCATCTTCTACATTAATATGGGCAAACTGGTACATAAATAATTAATAATATATTATTGATAAGCAAGCAGCTGTGTCCTATATCCTCTGAGGTAATTTATTGTAAATTTACTGCAGCATGCATAGATGTTAATATGTCTTAAAGTATAACTTGCATTGCTCACGGTAGTCTGAGATCTGAAATGATTGCCGTGACCCAGACAGTACTCGGATGTTTGAGTAGTTAATCCAAGTACCTGCCATGCATCTGAATTGTTTTTGAAATAATGAAAACCAAATGCAAATAAGCCAGCAATATTTTGTGTGAGAGCAGGTCTTAAAGAGACAGATTACCATTTCTGTTTGGACAATTGGAAAACGACGTCAGCTTACGTTGTAATTCCCGTTAACATATCAATAAAGCACGCTGTTTCAGTAAAAAAATCGATGGTCGTTAAATAGTTAAATAGTTTATTGCTTCAGTTCATTTGGCACCATTGTCAGGTAAATTAAAATTAGTTTTTTTGTAGTTTATAAAGTTGTCATCTGTTTCTCGCCGACCTTCGGTAGAACGAGTTGTTGTGCAGAAACGTATAATGTTTGTATTTGTAGATCAAATTCCGTGAAAAATACGCATACCATTTTATTTTTATTCTTTAATTTTGATTCCATTTCACTGTTTTCAACATATCTTAGAATTGATATGTTTCTGTAATTATTTTAACTTTTATTGAAAATACGTTCTCTTCATTGTTATGTGGTTTTACCAGCTCGTTAAAGCATTGTAGGGCTTGTATTGTGAAGGCTAATACTGACTATCATTGTGCTGTCATACTTTTTCATACGGGAATATTAATACACTAGTGCTAATTAGCAACCGGAACAACGTTAGGATGCACCCGGGTGGAGAATGTTTCTTAAAAACGTCACTTATTTTTACCCTAGCAACCACATGCACGAGAGAAAACGGGTAGTTAAACGCAGATTTGTAGATCCCACAAGAGAACGTATTTTCAATAAGAGTTAATATACTAAACGTAGCAATATGGCAAAAGCATGCAAAGCTTGGTCGAATCGTCGTGGAATTCTTTTGTCTATATTAGGCAATTGTTTTATCACGTTTGTTCAGAAGTTATTCAAAGATGTTTTAATTGAAGTTTTCCTCACTTTTCTACATGAAAACACACCGTCTAGTTGCCCTAGGCCTTAGTCATATAATCTGTTTCAAGTTCATTGTCAAACCTGTTTGTTCTTAGTCTGCATGGCTGTTTCTTGTCGTTGCAAGCCGGTTGTCAGCTGATATCCGAGCTATCCATTATATCAACGTAGTTCAGTGTAAGCTTCCCTCTATGTCAGTTCATATAACGTTCATAATTCATCTATTCATAATTTATCTCATAATTCATGTAGACATGGCTATCATCAAAGTCATTTTCCTGATGGCCTCCCTGCAAATTTCGTCTTGTGTTGAAAATGTTGACCATGAAAAATGCAAGGACCGCTTTGGAGCCAGTCTTGGAGGTAAGTGTCGCGGTGTTCTCTTGGCAGTGTTTAGTAGTGACGTAACTGACGTTGAGTGAAGACACTCATATTCAAGTGAGTTTTAAATCAGAAAATATGAAGCATTTTAAAATTGGTGTAACGATTTTTCATATCGGGAAAAAATACTGTTTTTTAATTTAATTCAAAGCCAAATCTAACGTTGGACAAATCTGCAAAGAAGTGTGGTATGCGAGGGACCTGTAGCTAAATTCACCACACATGACGTGTAATGTTGAACAATGAATAATCCTTGTTTAGATAACTTCGCCCTGTTTAAACCAGCAACCCAAACCAGCACTAAAGGTGCTGCCGTTGCCTCTCGGGCTGTGGATGGCAACACTAACCCGTATTTTGGCAATTTGAGCTGTTCTGAAACAGACGCTGGAAATTCTTTAGTTTGGAAGGTAACGAGTTATAACTCAGGTGCTCAGAAATGGCAGGAGCAGAGGAAGACTAGTTGTTGCTATTTAGATACTAAGATAGACTTGTTAGATATTAATATTAGAGCTATAGTTCTTATAAATGATTACACTTAATTATTCACCCTTAATGCACTGATTTTTTTTAGATTGCGATAGAGATTAACGCAAAGTAAACTGTTTCATACAAAGTATATAGTTCTATAAGTTCTTGTTTTCCTTAGATCAAGAAGTGCATTAAGGATGATATGGAAGAACATCCAGATATATCAATGGAGTTCACTGTCTTTGACTTATCTTTCTTTAGGTTGACCTTGGACAGGATATTTATTTGACCTCTGTAACAATAACAACAAGAATAGAAGACCAATACAGGGTGAATCCGAATCTTTTACATGTGTATAGTGCTGGACCGGAATGGAAGTGTGCTGAGGAATTTTTCCCTAGTACTGGTGAGAGCATAACAGTCACGTGCGTCATGCCCATGAAGAGTAATGCTGTGGAAATCAAGCTTTTCCAAACAGAAGGGATACTTTCCTTGTGCGAAGTGGAAGTGCACGGATGGAAATTTAATCATTATGAAAATGAAGGTTTGCGGACTTTTCTTAGGAGAAAGTCTTTACAAAAGACTCAATAATATCAATAAAATTTGCTATACCCATTATACACTGGCATTCCTTAAACTATATGTCATTTTGCTAAAACAGTTGTGATAACAGCGAAAGTTAGGTAAACTTTGGCATGTTCATATATAGACCCATAGCATTCTTCACTTTTAAATGCACTATGATTAAACACCGTTAAAACGTAAATCTTATCTCATCCAAAGTCCTCTCTCGCTCGTTCACGAGACGTTCTCATTTATCGTGTTTTAGTGAATTTTGCCTTGTGGCAAACTGGAAGACTATCAAGTGTTCACTCGAACTCCCCGGCAGAATTGGCTCTGGATGGTAATCATGATACCAACTTTAATAGTGGATCTTGCATGCATACTGGCTCTGTATCGCCATTTTGGAGCGTTGATTTGGGGAATATAATCACAGTTACTACAGTAACAATTACCAGTGTTAATGTCCCTAATGATATTGGAAGAGCTAGAATTTCAGACTTTGTTATAAGAGTTGGAATGGCAGATGAAGGACAAGATGAAAACTACGAAAGTTGTGTGGGGCGCATCTTAGGTTTTGGGAGCCCGGAAACTCGGACATTCTTTTGTACCAACCCTATACGTGGACGTTATGTGACTATTGTATCTAGACTGGCGAAATTCTTTCATCTGTGCGAGGTGGCCGTTCATGGATATGAACTAGGTTTGTGTTGTAGTGATTGGTATTAAGATCTGCCTGCTTGCATTTCTCAGAGTGAAATGGGCTTTAATAGACTTCTATACAATGCAACATGAAGAAAATTTCAAGTCCACCTGAAATATTGACCAAGCTCGTGAACTTGTACAGAATATACGTTCCCTGGGCGAATAGGTCCTGTAACTTGCCCCATGATTAGAGGGAGGGGTTATATTCACATATTAAAGTTTATTTACTTTAAAAACAATCCTTTTTTAAAGCGGTCAGCAGGCAAAAGACAGTTAAGCGTCTAGCTACCATGGCGGGGAGTTGATTGCCAACTCTTGTTTTTGGACACAGAAGAATTTAGAAAACAGGAAACAAAGAAGAATTTTGTTTTAGACCATGATTTATTTTCTTAAACCTTTCTTCATTGTATTCTTTAGAATGTGCATCACCGCAACCACTTGGTATGGAAACTTTCAAGATTCACGATTCACAATTGACTGCGTCTTCAGTGAAAGGCTCGAACAACATTCATGGTCCTCAAAATGCACGGCTAAGTTTTAACCATTCTAATAGTCCACAGCGTTTTCCATGTTGGATTGCTGGAGACACAGACACTGAACCATGGATTGAAGTCAATTTATTGTGGCTATCCACAGTTAGTGGTGTTTTAACCCAAGGCCGACATGATTTGGATCAATGGGTGACAAGTTTCTCGGTGTCTATAAAAGTTGATGGAAATAATTTTCAGTTTTATATGGAGAACAATGAGAAAAAGGTAGGATGACAAGTGGAAATTACGGTTAAATTTATTATCAGAGATTCCCTTCACCCTTTCACCCTTGAACTTACCCGCGATCTCCCTCCACTCCCGACTTCTTACCCTCGTTTCTCGACCAAGACCAAAAGCTCCTTTCTATTTAGAACTAACAACCTAATCATGTTCGTATATAGCAAAGCTTAATTTCCAAATTTCAATTGCACGTTTATTTTTTCTTGCTTTAGATATTCATAGCAAACTCCGATCGTAATTCCATTGTTCGCCAGATTTTCCACCCCTACCTTCTTGCCAGGTGGATCCGAATCAATCCAGTCGCATGGTTCGGTTCTTGTTCAATGCGAATGGAGTTGATAGGCTGTCAAAATGAACTTCAAGGTATGTACACTACTGAAGACTGAGACGGGACAAAAATTTCGTCTGGAAAACTACTGAATCTCAGACGAGACAAAAATACAAAAGTATTTTACAAAAAGAAAAATATCGTGAATATGTCGCGGAATATATTTATAGGATCGAGACCTCCGCAATCTTTGGGAATGACCAATGGTAAGATTCTTGATGGTCAGCTGTCTGCTTCATCGAATGATGATGGTTGGGAGCCTAAAAATGCAAGGTTAAACTTGAATGTGAATGGTTGGGCAGCCACCACACCAGAGAATTCCTGGTTGCAGGTAAAACACTTTGAATTGTTTACAAGGAGCTAAGAATATATCCCTGATCTGCCCAACGTTTGTTTTCATTGCTTATTATAGAAGTTTATGTGCAATAGTTCAGCCCTAGTTTTATCGTATTAAGAGTTCTATCTTTTTGAAATCCTGTTGAAATTCATTGCATAACCGAGGATCACTTTTTGGTTTCACTTTCTTCTTTGTTTTATTAATGTTTATCGAACGACAATTTGCTTTTCTTTTTCAGGTGGAATTTTTCGCAAAATGTGTTATTTTTGAGATTCAAACTCAAGGAAGTGTAGGGCAAGCATTTTGGATCAAGACATATCAGATCTCTTACGCCAGCAACGTGCAATTCTTTTTTCCTTACCAGGAAAATGGTGTACAAAAGGTAGCCTTTTGAGCTGTAAATGTTTAAATTTACACTGGATGATTCTACCTGTTCTCTATCCATTACTGATCCAGTCACACAGTGACTGTGTTTTGTTACTATACATTATGAAAACCTAAAACTTTATTTCAATGTTCATGCTAGAGGTCCAGTAAGGATCTTCTCATATTAATCCAGTGTTACTACACGAGGAAACCTAAACTAACTTTATACTGGATAGCTCTAACAGTTTTAAACTGTTTTTCCAAGAGGTCCAGTAAGGATCATCTCATATTGATCCAGTGTTACTATCTAGCTCAATCAATCAATCTACTTTGCTTTCATTAGCGTATAAACTGTTTTTCAAATTCATTTTAGACGTTTGCTGGTAATACTGACCAGCATTCAATAGTCACTCAAATATTGTTACCAGTCATCGTTGCGAAGGTGATTAGGATACATCCTATCTCGTGGGAACAGAAGACTTGCCTTCGAGTGGAATTCATTGGCTATTATCGAGGTATTTAGACCAATCATCCATGCATTTATATTTCATTCGTTCAGTATAATTGGATAATTTTTCCCATCTTTGGCTATTTTTTACACGAATCGTGTTTTGTTACTCTTTTTAGAAAACTCGATACCCCGAGCCCTTGGGATGCAGAACCGTTTTATCAAGGACTGGCAACTTGATTTCTCAAGCATACAAGATAAATCGACGAATAAGGAAATATTTTCTCGATCTCCCTGGCTAAAAGCTTTGAAAAGTGCCTGGACACCAGCTTCACAAATTGACCAATGGCTCCAGATTAACTTTTTGAGATCGACGAAAGTGACCAACATTAAAACTCAAGGACGCATGGAATCCGAACAATTTGTGGCTACCTATCAACTGTCTTTTGGAGATGATGGTTCTTTTTTTAAATATTATTATCGCAATGGAGAAATAAGGGTAAACTGTTTTGATGAATATAGGTTTTAGTGACAATATCCTAGTTGACCTTTGGCTAATGCAGTTTATTGAAGCTGAATTTCTGAATTTCTTGAAAGCATGGCTTTGAGGTCGATTAGCGATTAAATGTCCCCGAAAGCCGAGGCAGTTTTAGTAAAAATCTTTTACTAAACCTGCCGAGGCTTGAGGGAAATTTAATCGCTAATCGACCGAAACGCCATGCTATTAGTTTATAATACTATGGCTGCCGAGACAATAGGAATACTTTTATAGTTATTCGATGTGCTGGGAGATAAATAAATAACAAAGGCGGGTATTTGGCATAAACATTAGGTACGATTAGCTAGTAATCGTCCCTAATGTATATGCATCGGGTTATTTAGTTGTTAATCAGTACTAGTAAAACAAAGGATTTCGAGGCAGCCATGATATTACTATGAACAAAGTGAACATTTATTTGCAAATTGCAATGCCAACGTGTTTATTGTAGAAGTGTCTTTTCTTGCCTAGGTTCAAAGCTGGTTTATATCTGATTTTATAGTTGATTATGTTTTTGTAAACTGTAGGTATTCAGAGGAAACTGGGAGGCTGAAACACAAACTATCAACAGTCAGATGATTTCTCCTGCAATCGTTTCTCAATTTATTCGTATCCATCCTAAAGAATTTAATGACCGTATTTCGTTACGGATTGAATTTGAAGGAAGTTACATCGGATTTAGAGGTAGTTGTTAGTTCATCTCATCTCATCTCATCAGTTAGTGCATATTTACACTTCTTTTTCTAGTTGCAATATTTGTAGTTTTTAATCAGGCCCCGCTTAGAAACCAGCGATTTGTTGATGTGGCAGACGTGTTGAAGTCATTTGGAAATCGAGCAAGTTATAAAATACGTGATTATAATTAAACTCGCCCTCATTTTTGATTCTAGACTCTTGTCAAACGTCAGGCAAACTCGGTATGGAAAACAGAATTATCAGTGTACATCAAATATCTGCTTCGTCGTATTTCAACGATTCAACCGTTCCTGACCGCGGAAGATTAAATATGAAACATGAGAATGGATCATTTGGAGCTTGGGTTAGTGCGATCAACGATGCAAATCAATGGTATCAAGTTGATTTCGAGAGAATTATAAAGCTGGTTGAGATAGATACACAGGGGAAAACGGGATTTGGTAGTCAAGAGTATTGGGTTAAAGAATACACTGTCTCCTATGGCTATCATCCTGAGCGAATTGATGCTAAGTTTTACCAACAAAGTGGACAAACTAAGGTTAGATTTCAGTGTCTTTTAGTATATGTAATTGAGTATTTCTTTTAGCATATGTAATTGAGGAGTTCTTGAAGCCCTTCGTTGGTAGTTACAGCTGTTCATACCGTTACGTATTTTAACCTTCTTGCTTCTGAACCCACAAACCAATCGCGTTTGTTTGATTTCAGGTTTTCCAAGCAAATAACGACACAGATTCGATCGTACGCAACACATTGCTTCCAGCTATCGTTGCAAGAATCATTCGTCTTCATATTCACTCCTGGAACACTCGTATCGCAATGAGACTGGAGTTTGTTGGAGCGTATCAAGGTTTGTCTTCGCATGCTCGTATCATTACCTGGAAACATTTGATACAAAGTGTGTATAATAGAGATTTTGGTTACAAAAGGTAACCTTTGTTCGACAAGTTTGCTTGACAAAACCCACATTTTGATTTCTACTAAACTCCTTCATCTTCTAAACTGTCTCAACCACTTTCAACAATAGTGTAATTCCTTATTTGAAAGGTACCAATAGTTTAAATGCCCTGGAGTGGTGTTTTGAACCCCGGTTTCCCATCGAGGCATTCAAAACCCAACCACTCGTTTACATCAGTCAGGAGAAGAGAACTACAACCGAAAGTGCAGACGAGCCCTAAACCGTTATTGATTTCGTTTCTTTAGATCCTCACGGGCCTGCCCTCATTGATCCAGATTATGTTGCATTGGAAAACAGATTGACTGCATCGTCATTTTTGGATCAGTAAGTTGTTCTATACCAGCTATGAAATTTATAAAGATACTTTAACAAACCCACTGTGCTGTTTATCTCACATTTATTCGCTGTTTTTTCAGTCGTCACGAGCCAATACATGGAATCATATCAGACAAAATAAATGCAACATCTTGGACTCCATTAGAAGATAAAACAGGAGAATATATCCAGGTAGAATTTTCGTTTTACAACGTTGCCAATGCATTTTTCTTGGGTAAGCTCCTGGATTAAACCTAAGCATTGATTTTAAGGTTGATCTGCTTCAATTAACACCAATATCAGGTGTTGGTTTACGCACTGGTGGAGATCATCCCAATGATTCGTATGTTGAGGTTATGCTGCAGTATAGGGATGCTGAGGAATCCTGGAATACATTGAAGGATTATCGTGGTGAAATCAAGGTACCATAGGGATTGCACTGCTTGCATTACGAACCTGAACCTGGATATCTTCTTCTAGCAATATATCATTCTTGATTGTATTGTATTCCTGACTAAAACGTTTTTTGTGATATTGCGTTTTCTCGACCGAAAACCTTAACGTAGATAACTGCATGTATATCTAAAAGTTTCTTCGATGGTAAAACTGTACTCTCTGGAGCCACCCTCTCTCTCTTTGCTTCTACTTCTCACCTTCAGCTCATTTTCCCTCGCAGACTTTATCCACATCAGACTGTGATACTGAGTTTGAGAAACTGGTTGTCGCTCGATTTGTGCGTCTCGTTATCATTGGATGGGGTTCAAGAACTGGTTTCGTGTTTCAACTCTACGGAACTAAAGGTATCTTTAACATATCGCGTTAGAATAATCAGTGCTTGGGCTTTTCGTCATTCATAAAAGCAATTAATTACATTTCGAACTCTTTGTAATTTTAAATTTCGGTTCCTAGAATATCACAGGGCTAGCGCTGGAATTGAGAGTGGGTTAATTAAGGATAGCCAAATGAAGTCCTCTAATCACCCCAATGATCCTTATCCTGCCTACGAAGCGCGATTGAATTATGGTGGAGCCTGGTGTGGAAATACTCAACGAAGATATTTGTATTTACAAGTTGATTTTCTGTCAAACTTCGAGGGTAAATATTTTCACCTCATCATCCAAAACTATCTGAAGGCCATCATAGTTGTTGTGATGAAGTCATTATTACTGTATCTCAGCGTGTTGTGGTTGAAAACCCGCCACAACCTGCTCTGTTGAAGTTTATTGCCTCCTTGTAAAGGTCTTTTATTAAATTCCTCTCTTAGTAAATGCTGTTGCAACTCAACCTAAGTCATCTGGCATCACAGAATCCGTCACACGTTACAAGTTATCTAGTACTTTTGATGACAAGAATTGGACGTTTTACCAGGAAGACAGTCGTGATAAGGTTGTTTATTTCAACTTTATCCATCAGTGATCCTATCTATACCTCAGTGGTCGAACGAAGATTCGAGTGAGATTATTCGAGGAAGTCTATTCTTAAATGATACTTTTTTTTCATTTCAGATTTTTGAAGGGAACACAAGTTGCCTATGTACTCGAAAACATTTAGTGCGACAATTTCTTGCTCGATCAGTGCGTTTTCACCCAACGTCATGGCAGAGCAATCCTTGCATGAGAGTTGATGTATATGGGATTTATAAAGGTATCTTTTTTCTTCTTTAGAGGAATATTTATAGCTTGTAGCGATATTTGGGTCAATTATCACCATCAAAACAGCCTGGGCAACAACCATTCCATTAAGATTTTTGCTTCACGACATGGCTTCAATGTTTATTTAGGAATACTTCAAATTCACGTACGCTCTGGACAGTTGTTAGATGATTATGGCCTTGAACTTACGAACAGTTCCTCGATAAAGGTAATTTAATGATTCCACACACTCGTAGTTTGAATCGCCGGCCATTGAAACAACTTTTTTAATCGCAGCTCAACGGTAAAGATGTCTCAAAATCGAATGACGGAATAAACGTCGTTATTGCAAACTATAAAACTGGAGATCTGGTGTCGTCTAACTCCGTTCCAGATTATTCAACTCTTAACAATTTACTGAAAAGTTTGGAAAACGATTCAATTGTTGTTTTGGCAACACAAAATCTACATGAACGGTATGTCTTGGGCAATATATAATACACATGCAATATATGCATTTGGTTCAGTTGTTATAATTTTGCGTTTTAATAATTAAGCAACACTGATGCTCATCAGCTTTTCAACTGTTGCAAAAGTGAAGGTAGAAGAATTGGGGGTTTATAATAATCAAAGCGAGTCTCTAATGTATAAATACTAAGGTTTAATTCAGGTTATACCGAACAACAGGCAATTTTAGAGCGACTTAAAAAAATCACTATCCGGTGGATAGCGCTATCCAGCTTTAATAGAATCGGTCCAAATCAGAAACCTCATCCACTATAATTTGTATCGTACAACAGACCTTCAGAAGACACTCTACAACTCTTGCAATCCCTGGGAGGAATAAAGCTTCGTTATTCTCTCACTTCTGCGCATGATCCCTGGATCTTGGTCGGCTATAAGGGTCAACAAAGGGAAGACTGGATAACAGTAAAAGTTGGGGAAAGGGGGAAAACTGCCATTCGAGTTTCAGCATCGGTTCATTTGAATCAAGGTAAGTCATATTTCGTTAAACATGATCAACTTTTTTAGACAACATTATGATGTATTTATACAGATTTTTTTTATTTTTTAGTACCAAATTCTCCAGAATTTCACGAGTACTTTACTTCAACAGAAGACAGTGCAGCAAACAGCACTGAGTTATCAATCGCAGGTGGATATTCACGTTTCGTTCACAATATTTCCACGAGATGTGAACCTGACAGCGACCCAAACTGCAAGCCGAGTTTGTCTTTAGCAATGTGGATGAAACCTGATGAGATATCTAGTATCAATAATGAACACACTTTCAGACCAATTCAATCTGAAGGTAAGTTACAACGATAAATGATAGCTTTGCTGAGATAAACGAGTGGTTAATTCAATGTTTGCCATTGCAAATCACAAATTCACAATACCTCAGTTATAAGGACTTTAAGATTGAGGACAGCATCGTGAGCGAAACAAACAAATCTGTTCAGTAAAAAATGTCTTGAAACTATACAAATGAAACTATCCTGTCCTTTCTTTTTACGTCTTATTGTCATAAGCGTTTTTAAGCTACCCAACTGTCCAAAAGTAGAGAAACCTTCTTTTTATATTCCAGTAAATGATGAACCGATTCAATATTAGAAAACATAATTAGTATTATAAATGTCCAATTTATGTCTTCTTAGAGCGAATCGTATTGAAATATTACTCGAATGGGTACAGATACATTATTCCGGTTGGCAATTTATTCACTGGGTTATATTTGAATTGGGACGAATCACGCAAGTTCTGCTTGACGCTGGGAGCAGATCTGCCTGTGATTTTGGACAAACAGACGGAGAATGCGATAAACTCGATGCTATCAAGGACTGGAGTTAAAAAATACATACACATTGGTTTGCGACGGGACCCTATTACCTCGGAATTTAAGTGGGTCGATGGTTCGCCAGTCGAATACAATAACTGGCACGGGGCAGAACCGTCATCAGAAACATGTAGTTGTCGTTTCGAAAACGGTCATTGGAATGCCTTAAGCTGCACTGACATTCGGCCAACTGTTTGTCAACAGTCCACTGAAGGTAAGAAAAACAATCCAACACAGCACTAACCTTTATTCTCCATGTTCTCATGTCTACCGTCGTCTGATCGACGGATGTAGAGTATAAAATGTTAAGAACGGAAGGTTATCGAAGCTATAAAGTTATAGCATAAGAAAGAATTTATAAAATACAGGGGAATCTTTTTATAAGCTCTGAGAACATCTTCCTCGAATTAATCAGAACTAGAAATAGGAATAGAGTGTCGGCTAAGCTTGCTAGTTTTTTTATATATTATTGATTTATTTACTCAAAAATTGTTAAAACACGGTATTATAGAATAATGCGAGTTTTTAATTCCATTTGGATCGGAATCAACTCAGCAAAATTGATCTTTTAGATTATATTGGTCTTGTTCCCCTGGGCTTGGAGCGCAAAGCAATACCTGACGACAGAATGACGTCTTCAACATTTCTTGATGTTCTTCACACATCGAAGGAGGGACGAATTAATTCGATCCCTGCATCATGGTGCGCACCACATAGTGACGCAGAACCATATCTACAAGTTGATCTTGGTGACATAAAGACTGTCTGTGGTGTAGGTACTCAGGGACGTGATTACGTTGGCCATCAATCATGGCCTAAATCATATTATATTAAACTCAGTAACGATTCTTCAACATGGATTTATTTCAGTCGTGGTGGTCGGAAAAAGGTACTTCTCGTGCACCAGTAGTTTATTCATTGTTCAAGTCACGACGTCTACTGTTTTGCCAATTCTCAGGTGGATTTCTTTCCTCAGGTATTCCAAGCCAACTACGATATCAGCAGCGTAGTAATTAATCGTTTTCATGAACCAGTTAAGACACAACTAATTCGCTTGGTAGTTTTGGAATGGCCGTCACATCTTGTACTTTGTATGAAAATGGAATTGTTCTCTTGTAGTAGCAAAGGTAGGTCTATATCTTAGAGATGATAACTGCAACTTGTTGTTAAAATCTATTGGTCAGACTCACTGCATGCAAAGGTATACAACCAAACAACCAAGACGATACCAACAGTGCATTAATATTTGATTAAAATATATTTGATTAAAATAGTCGTTCATGGTTTTAACAAACTTTCCAGACGTTCTTGTTCATTCCTTTATTCCCCAATATTACTTTTGACTCTGACCTTGATTACTATAAACAGGTAGAGACGATGAAAGACCAGCACCAGATGTACCAAAAAGTATCACAGGTACACTTTAGACTACTGTCATATCTGTTCAATCAAATCTCTATAATCAGATTGCATTGATTATATTTCATTTCAAACATAGCATATTTGAAAAATATTTCTTAAATTCTGTAGTGGCAGAACCTGAGCATTGTTTGGATGTGCTGATGTCAGGAAAGACTACAGATGGTGTTTATATGATTAACCCTGGTAATGGAGCATTTCCCGTGTATTGTGATCAAACTACTGATGGCGGAGGTTGGACTGTATTTCAGAGGCGCATGGATGGAACAGTTGATTTTTATAGAAATCATGAAGAATACGTGTATGATATTATAACTGCTAAATAACCTTTATCGTGTATTACCACTAACACTACTACGAGCACCACCACAGTCACCGACTGCCACTAAATACGACCAGGTCACCACCTTTACTATTACTGTCGTTACTAATATCATCACTACCACAAGTACGACCATTATCACTTTCATTAACACCACTATCATCACTACTTTAATTGCCATCAACATCACAGACACCACATTATCATAACCATCATCATTACCGCTATTACGACCGTCATCATTACCACTTTAATTACCATCAACATCACAGGCACAACAATACCATAACCATCATCACCTCTGCTATTATCACCACTAGCAATACCATCATGAATTTAGTGACGACCAACATTTTCACCATGGAACCAACCTTCTTTTAACATTAATTCCATAACGGCCTTGGTGTTTATTCAGAGCTGGCTTTGGTGATCTCTCAGGAGAATACTGGCTTGGACTTTCAAAGATTGCATTGCTGACTCACAGTTATTCCAGCAACTTGAGGATTGACCTCGATAATTGGTGGAGTCAATCAATACATGTGGTATATTCTGACTTCACGATTGACGAAGCAAGGTCTTCTTACAAACTACATTATTCGGATTGGTTAGGACCAGATACCGACAGCTTATCTCTTCACAAAGACGCAACCTTTAGCGCGAAGGATTTTGGCACCTTGAATGATACAGCAGTTAAGTTCCATGCAGGCTGGTGGTTTAAAACACCTAAGTTTAGATATACTTGTCTAAATGGACGGTATTATGATAGTGAAACAGTCAATGAAGATGGCATTATTTGGCAGAGTTGGCGGTTGGAGACATTGAAACAAAGTAAGATGATGCTCAGATGGAATGGCAAAGGTAATTTGAAGTAATGTTTAGATTTAGGTCAGGCTGGGGTGTGAATAGAAATAATAGTAAGCTATCTTGTAAAGTAGCATATTATATGAAACTGCACACAACTGGCACTCCAGACATTATTATCTGTTTTAATTTAAAGAATTGAATTCAGTTTAATCTTAAAATAGTCACACCAGATATACTTTGATCGTGAACAAACTTGCTGTGTAAATACACTGCGTTCTATTTCAGGAGGAAAACAGGGTCCGTTGGAACTGGCAGATTGGCACACTTATGTATCTTCTGAGATTGAGGTACTTGATGCCAAGCTCAATGGACAGACACATTTTACAATTGATCAAGTCACGGCCAAATATATTCAGGTCAGTCCTTGTATAGTTCCCTGACGGTCCATGAGGGACCAGTTGTGCTGGATAGAGCAATCCACCAGATTCAACCGTTCTAAAAATACTTGAAAAGCAATAAAATTTCAGCTTTGGAACAAACAATTGTTAAAGAGGAACCTCAATTTAAGATTTCATCAAAATTATTCTTAACAACGGGTGATTGAAAATGCCGTTGTTTGGTGGATAGCGCTTTTCGGCGTTCATACAATCGGCCCCTGAACTTATGTCTTTTGGTTCTCAGAATAAATCTTGGAAAATACTTGTTGTAGAATCAGACAATATTTTAGAGCATTCTCTTCTAATGAAAATCTTTCAAAATTTCAGGCTGATATTTTCACACAACGTCGTCTAACGCACATTTCGACACAAGGAATGAATTCTGACTTTGTAAACAAATATTATCTTCAATTAAGTACTGGAGTAGACTATTGGACCGACTACAGGGAAAATGACGTTTTAAAGGTTCGTCACACTCACTGTCTCTTGTGTTCATTGAATACCAATGGTTTGAAGTGACAACTTCTTTTATAACGTGCGTAAAAATGAAGGTGAACTTTGCTTGTCTTAGATATTTGAAGGGAACAAGGATGCAACAAGTGTTTCAACAAACTGTTTGAAAGAAACGGAACTCACAAGGATGGTGAGATTATACCCCGTCGAGTGTAAAGGCTCCTGTTCTTTGAGGATTGAAATTTATTCATGTTTCGAAAGTAAGTAATCCAACGGAATGCCTTTCTTTGCTCAGTTTTCGTTATACCTGTGCATGGCTGCCACCTCACATCTCTTCATTGTGTCTGCCTAAAAATGTGTCTCAATAAACTCCCAGTACGTGTCCATATCATTAAACATTTATGTTTCCTTCCATTGTTTAGCTTGTTCAAAAGCTGTTGGTATTCAATACGGTAACGGCAAGTTTCCTGACATCAACATGGATGCAACCTCTACCACGTATAATGGACATGCAAAACAAGGACGCTTAGACCTTTCACAAAGCAGTCATATCAAATCATGGAGAGCAGAGAGGATGGAGCCCGGCCAATATCTCGAAGTAAGGCTTTCTGAACTGTATAAAATCACATCCGTTGCAACGCAAGGTGGAAGTGATTGTTGGGTGAAGAGTTTCAGCATTTCTTATCGCAATAAAGACTTGAAGTGGAAACAATACACAGGAAAGAATGGAAGGGTAAGAATAATACCATACCATAGCATAGCATAGCATAGCATAGCATAGCATAGCATAGCATAGCATAGCATAGCATAGCATAGCATAGCATAGCATAGCATAGCATAGCATAGCATAGCATAGCATAGCATACCATACCATACCATACCATACCATACCATACCATACCATACCATACCATACCATACCAACCCCTACCATACCATACCATACCATACCATACCATACCATACCAGATGACTTAATTTCACATGGTTTAAGCCTACGTTTGTTTTGCAGATACTTCCTGGTAATAGAAACGTTAAATCGGTTCTACGTACGCATTTTGACAGACCGTTTCTAGCATATGTAGTGAGATTTGTTGTCAAGACATGGCATAATAAAATCTGTATGAGAACTGAGGTGTATGGCTGTCCCGCAGGTAAGTCGTTTGAAATGTTATGTTCTTTAGAAAAAAATATACGAATGATGACTACATACTGTTGTCTGTCATCGACAAACATTCTATTTATTTCGGTTAAAATCGAATTTACTGTTTTTCTTCAAGATAATGCGATATTTGTGGTTCATACACGAGAGGCAATTGCCGGTCAAAATCTTGTCATGAAGGGTATCTCTATTTTCTTTTGTCGACAATTTTTTCATATTGGCATTAGGAGTATATAAAATTATCATAAATTTGAAATAAATATTTATTATTTTTCTTTTCGTAGGCAAATATCGTTACTGTGAACATTGTGAATGCCCAGGTTGCTTGAAAAGTTTATGGTTGCGTGTATTTGGTGAAGTCCATCTGGCTGCAGCTTCTATTCTGTACGATTGCGAATATCATGAATTTGAAATTCCTATTAACTCATCCATTGTGCCAGGATCTCACAAGATTCACGTAAGCAACACAAGTGAAAGTTGTGATTCCTGAGGCATCGACCATGACTTCATCATAACTTTCTGTTTTGTCTTTGAGTTTAGATGGGCGCAAGTGAAAGCAGCAGTTTTTCCCCTGACGAGAAGCTTTTAGACGAGCGTATGGTTGGCACTATCACTGTGACAGGTATTTCATAAAGTCATTCGTCATTTTATTCATTCGTTGCCAAATATACTTAGTTTAAACGAGCAAATACAATCATATTATCTATCAAAAAACGGTAATAATTCCATCTCCAGAATCCACGAATATAATCCTAACTTTTAATTCTAAACCAGACCCTAATCCTTACCCAAATACTCATAATAAAGGATTAGAATCAAAGATTATATTTGTGGATTCTGGACATGAAATTATTACCAAAAGAACATCATCCAATTATTTATACCAAATATCATCGTCGGATTGTTAGCAAAAACATTTGTTACAATAGAAATTTTATCTTTAGAGTATTATCCTAGTTGCCTGGACTTGCTTTTCTCAGGACAGACGAAGAATGGTGTTTACAAGATACAACCAAACAGTGAAACAGCTTTTGAGGTATAACTATGTAGATTCCATACGTAGCCTTATATTAGTTTTTTCTATAAGAAGCTGTATATTTTCGAGACAAACTCTGTGTGTGTTCATTGATCATATATATGCATGTGCTTGCACTTTCTTTCCAATGCAGGTTTATTGTGACCAAGAGACGTTTGGCGGAGGATGGACAGTGTTTCAGAGACGTTTAAACAGCGCTGAAAATTTTGATCGCGTTTGGGCTGATTATAAAACAGGCTTTGGTAACCTTACTTCAGAATTTTGGCTTGGGAATGATTACATTCATGAACTGACCATACGTCGTAAGGAACTATTACTTGATCTCAATTCCGTTCCTGGCGATTCTGCGTTCATTTTGTATAAATCATTCCAAGTCGAGAACGAAGCAACATTTTACAAACTCCATGTCTCGGAATACCAACAGTCTGTTGGAGATTGTTTTAGCTATAATAATGGTATGAAGTTTACAACTAATGATCAGGATCAAGATGTTTGGAATGACGGAAATTGTGCCGTACATGCAAAAGCAGGCTGGTGGCATAAGGCTTGCACGTCTTGTCATTTCAATGGTCGAATAAGTGACAGTGCAGTAGCTCATGAAAGATGTAGGATGAATAACTGGCAAGAGGAACTAACATTTCTTAAAAAATCCGAAATGAAATTACGGGACAGAAATAGTAGGTCTTGATAAGTAATTAGTTCAATTGATATATTGTACATTGTACAGTATTGTTCAGTACAACGATACATTGTTTAGTGCATGTCTTATAAAGGGTTGCAAAGCATAAAGGCTATCTATATCTTTTTTTTCAGTTGTAACCTGCAATGATCAGTACTGCTATTACTTGCTGAAATCTTCCTTTCATTGGAGTGCGGCCCAGGAAAAATGTCGAAGTTTCAAAGCGGATCTTTTGTCTGTTCGCGATGATACTGAAAATCAATGGATTGTCAACAATATTCTTAAAAATCAGACCGTCAATCGCGTACATTTGGGTAGGTCTCTCCAGTGGATCAAACAGGTAGACTAGGTGCAGGATATGTCTGACTGTGAGACTGTGAGACTGATGGTCAACCTTAGTTATGTAAATTAGTCAAATGTGGGTTTTTGTAGTGTCGACTGTTGAAAACAGAAAGCTGATGTTATATAAAGTAAAATTAATTGACTCTTTCTTTTTTTACAAGGTATACAAAATTTGACACACTGGATAGATGATTCTGGACTTCTTTACAATAATTTTCAAGGTTCCAATTCTGGTGATGATTGTCCTTATTTAGAAGTGAATGGAGGTTGGAGTGTGGGTGATTGCGGTAATTTGTTACCCACCCTTTGTAAGAGAGGTAACCTTTTTTTCTGCAGTGTCTACTGCTCACGTCTTATTCTGATCTGTTCATTCTATAATAAACCTCAGACCAACGCTCCTTAATTCATCTCTTCTTACCGCATGTCTGTATATCATCTCAATCTTTGCTTCTTTCTCGTTTTCTTTCTACTTCTAGCAGGCTTTCCCTCACGTCATCATCTTTTTAAAACCACTTCATATCATCTGAACTTTTCTTTCTAACAGAAACGTCATCTTCCTCCCTGAACCGTTGCATTTTTTCAATTCTTTAAATTTTTCTTCAAAATGCTATGATCAGATGTCTAGTTGCCTGGATTTATTGCATTGCAAATACTCTATCATTCACAGCTAAGTTTTGTCACAAGGAAGCCTGTCATGTATTTACTACTCAGACGATGGATCATAATGCTGCTAAAGAATTTTGTCGAGAACGTGGTTATGATATTCCCAAAATAAACAGTCCAGAAAAAAATGAATATATCTTAAATGTGATGAGATCTTTGACAATAACTAGTAGCTGGATGAAGCCTTACGTTAGTACGTATCTTATATATTTTTAAAGTTAAAGTGTGACATGTCTTCCTTAGTACTTCAAGTAATCTAAAATGACAGGAAAGGACTTGGTTAGTTATCAAATAAAAAACCCATTCCTCGGTTGACACAACTTGATATGTCTTGAAATATAATTTATTTTGGTTTCAAATTTATATCAGAGCTATAGTTCTTATAGCTAAAAATAATCACAAAATTTCGACAAGTTTCGCAAAGAATAACAGAAAATACAATCGATTAAATACTGCAGAATGGATTTCTATTTCGACAACCCCTCTGCTCGCTGATTGGCTAGCGAGCGCGAGATCACCTGCTTGAAAAACGTTGGGAATTGCAGTGTCTAAATGGTATCAAAGCCATCTTGAAATGTTTTTAATTTTTTTTAACACTTTCCTAAAATATTATACCAAATTTCGAGTGAAATTTTTTTGATAATTCATATTTTAATCACTTTAATCAGATGTAAAGCGTAGTGGCCCCGAGCATCTATGGTTTGATGGTTCAAGCCTTACATACGAAAACTGGGGTAATGGAGAGCCAAACGATGAGAAAAATGAATGCGCTTTTATGAACAAGGGTGGAACTTGGTGGGACGCCCATTGTTCAGCTGCTATTATTGCTCCTGTTTGTGAAAGGGGTTTGTATCCAACATTGTCTCCTCTGGACCCAAGCTTGGTTAAGAAGCGCTAATTTGATTTTATTTCTCTTATACCTAGTTCTAAATTCTGCAAAGAATCCTAAAAATTGCTTGGATCTCCTGTTATCTGGTTCAGTCCGTAGTGGTGTGTATACGATAGATCCAGACGGCGAGGGTTCTTTATCAGTTTATTGCGACCAAGAAAACTTTGGTGGTGGTTGGACTATGCTCATGCGACAGGCAATTCCGAAATACAGTTTTTATTATGATTGGGAAGTCTACAAAAAAGGTTTTGGCTCCCTGGAAGGAGATTTTTGGCTTGGAAATGAGAACATACACAGACTAACTAGAGTAACAAAAGAGGTAGTAAGACAGCTCATATTTTAAAAATGCTCGTAGTATCGGTAGTAACACTAAACCAACCGTCAACCTGATCACGAAACTAAGCTAATCTGACCGTCGGAGTAAAACTTCCCGAAATCGCCCCTCGAATTACCGTACCCTAAGTGATTCACATATTCTTTCCTAGATGTTGTTTCATATGAAATCCCAGGCAGGTGGCATAAAGAACGTTCATTACAAATCTTTCAAAGTTGCGGATGAAAGCGACTTCTATCGTCTGAATGTTGGGGAATATCAAACCTCGCCTGTCGGAGATGCAATGGCCGATCTTGATAACATGAGATTTTCAACGTATGATGTAGACAACGATTTTACTGTTGCTAATTGCGCTTGGCATCACAAAGGAGGATGGTGGTATAATAATTGTGGAGAGGTAATGATTACAACAAGATCTGGAACCGCTTCCTTTGAATGGCAAACGTGGGCGTCGAATACCGTTATTGATGACCTGAATATGAAGATACGAAGCCAATTTGGTATGTTTAGACCACGTTCTTTCGACCAAGTGAATCGATTCTCTCTGATTTTTTAATGAATAAAAATCGGGTTTCTGTGAACGAAACGTCATTTTATAGTTGAATACCTGACACGTGAGTATATTCTCCTGTGTTTTTTAGTGGTAAGCTGCACTGACTATTTCTGCTACTATCGAATGACTGAGAAGAAAAGTTGGTCTGAAGCTGTGAAAATGTGCCGAAAGTTCAACGCAGATCTCGTCTCCATACGCGACGAGGCAGAACAACAATGGGTCATAGACAACATTCTTGTTCCAAGATCACTTAATGAAATTTATATTGGTATGAACATAAAGTTTATGAAACCAAACTTCGTCTTTTAAGCTGTTGTGACTTGTGAGAAAACTGGAAATTGGTACACTTTTAACACGTTTTCCTGCATGAATATATTTATCAACAGGTCTTGGCATGGAGAACACCCAAACATGGACGGACGGGAGCTCTGTGAGTTTCACCAAGTTGGTAAATGTCGTAACAGCTGATAAATGCGTCATTTTAAAAAAAGACGGGTCATGGGAGATTGTTGATTGTGTACAACCGCAATATGTCTTGTGTAAAAGAGGTGAGGAAATACCGAGAAGATATTCAACCAAACCTTTCAGTATTGAAATATATTTCGCTTAATGATTAAAGCAAACTTGGTAGTCTTTTAATTTACTTCAAACAAGAAATTAAATTAATCGAGAAAATGTTTCAATTTGCAGGTAAATTTTGCATTCAAGGAGACTGTTATGTCGTTGATGTAAAAAAGACACGTAGCTATACAGAAGGCGAAAATTTTTGCCACAGCCTCGGTTTTAGTTTGGCCAAAATAACTAACGATATTGAAAGCGATTATGCCGGGAATTTAGTCAGGGAAACCACATCTGACTCGAGTTTTACTTATTCTTTAATTGGTATGTATGTTTTTATGTTTTTATCTTAAAGTTTTTGTAGGCAATCTATCAAATCATCGTCCATAGAGGGACACTTTGATGTGAGATCTTTACGTTAGGATTATAATTTTGCGATTAAAACTGCAAGTCATTTATTTCAATTTTCTTATTTCGACGATTTGGAGTGCGCAAATAATTTCATGTTTATTAATATACACGAGTAGAAATGACGTCAGTACCGGGAAATTCCTGGTTTTGGATGAATGATGGAATAAATGAATGAATGAATGAATGAATGATTGGATGATTGGATGAAGGCGTATAGGAACTGCATGTTGCGTTAGCTGACATTGACTTTCAACAATAGTTTTCCTTCTCCAAACTGTTGTGTTGTGCTAAATGGTTTGATATCTGTAATTCTAGGTTTGAAACAAGATGGCGACAGACACCGTTGGTTAGATAACACATTGTGTCAATATTCTGACTGGGCGTCTGATGAACCCAGCTCAGCCGGTCAAACAGTCACTGCTGTTCATCTTAACTCTGGTCAATATGAATGGGAAGATTGGGGCGGTGGTTATGACGTATATTTTACTATTTGTGACAAAGGTTTGTTCGGGCATATACTTTTGTTATTTATATATATGTTTCTACTGAAATCGAACACAGAATTGATCTTCGCCTAAACTTTCGCCTCACTTGTATGAGCTAACAGCCGATTTTACATTATTATTTGAAATTTTGTGATTATGTTTCGTTAAATGAACTATAGCTCTGATATAAAATCCTTTATTCCTCTGTTTTGTACAATAAATCACTGATTTCTCTCCAGGGCCTATTGTCGACAGTTGTACTGACGTCCTCCGACATGGTAACAGGGAAAATGGTTTCTATTCAGTAAGTGCAGGACGGACAAAACAATTTACAGTGTATTGTGACTTGATCAGTCCTGGTAATCCCTGGACAGTGATACAGAGGCGATTGTACGAAAGTGAACCAACAGATTTCCACTCAAAATCGTGGACAGACTACAAAAACGGCTTTAGCTCGCATGAGATGAATTTCTGGCTGGGTAATGAGTATATTCACCAGTTAGCCAAGACGCCACAACGGCTAAAGATTGTTATTCAAACTGAGTTCAATCTTTATGAAGCTGTTTATGAGAATTTCACAGTTGGCGATGAAGCATCTGGGTATCAGATTAACTTTGGAGCGTATTCAGGTTAGTTTTCCATCAAATTCTGACTATTTTAAACCATGATACATATAGAACAATCGAAAATCTTTATTTTCCTACCAGGCACTGCTGGAGACTCCTTTTCAAAACATCGTGGTATGAGATTTTCCACAATAGATAATGATACTAGCAGTACTTTATGTACGGCGTTACATCCTGGAGGCTGGTGGTTCGCAGACTGTCTTGATTCAAATCTAAATGGATTGTTTACCAAAGCAAGCAATCGTAATGACACGATTTACTGGAAAACTATTAAAGAAAGTATAATAAGAACTGAGATGAAAATACAACCGCAAAATGAGAAAGGTAACGTTGTGTTTTTGGTTGACGTATCATGTTTTTGCCAATTTGGTAACGACTCTTCATTTTCTTTACATAGCCTCCAATTTACAGTGGTTCACTGGCGCTATTCATCTTTCAAATGCATCTCTTGGTGTCTTATTCACCCCAGAAGAGACTGCGATTAAAGTTCGAACATCTTCAGAAGAGTGGACGACACGTGTCCCAAGTCCAGGTCCTTTCCTTTCGCACGTGGCTATCACATGGGAAGAGAATGGCCATTTACGGTACTATGAAAATGGTAGTCTTTTGAAGGAGACTGCTTCTGTACAACTGTTACCAGCGGATCAGGGGGAACCATCATTTACCGTTTATCGCCAGTATATTTGGTTGAATGAGTTGAAGTTATGGAACTCTGTTCTTAGTGAAGAGATAGCAAGAATCCAGCATAGCACCAGTAAGTCTTAACCAGGATAGAGAATCAATCCTTTGTGAATAAAATGTTTACACTTGGTTTTCATATTCCACAGGAAACTTTACATTTGATGAAGGTGTGCATTTATGGACATTCGCGAATGCATCCGAACCATACAGTTGGAATACAAGCAATTCCTGCTCTCCAACAGAAATGACTGGACCTTGTGGTGATCACACATATTTGACAAGTTTAGGTAAGAAATCCCAAATGCATTCGAGCCAGGTGATTGTAGCCAATCAGCCTTCAGCAGGATTATCGAAATAGAAATCCATTCTGCAGTATTTAATCGATCATATATATATTTTATTCTTTATCACACAAGTCGAAATTTTGTGATGTTTCGTTATACAAATTATAGCTCTGACATAAATTTGAGACCGAAAAGTATATTTCAAGACGAATTAAATTGTTTCAATGGTCTGCTTTTTTGAATTTGTTTTTTCTCAAATTAGGGACGTTTGTTTTTACCGAGGCCTCTCGCCCAGCTGAAAGTAATGACCGAGCGCTTGTGATTAGTCCCAATCTTCCTGGCAGCAATTATCGATGTTTGAAGTTCTGGTTTCACATGATGGGAGAAAAATTCGGTTCATTAAACATCCACGTCAGTAGGGAAAATAATTTTACAAGTACTTGGAATATCCCTGTTTTACACTTGGTTGAAGATCGAGGAAATAGATGGCAGTTTGCGAAAGTTGATCTGGATATTGCTAATGTTTTTAAGGTAGAAAACTTCACTTTTCTGTGATGGCAATCATTGTAGTTCCGTGGTTACTCAAAACATTTAAGCTGGTTTAGATCATTAAGTTAACAGTTAAGTTAACTAAGAAACAGATTAAAGTTTCATAGACCCATCTGGTTAAAATATTTTTTGTATTTCTTTGCGTAGATCATATTTGAGGCAGTTAGAGGCGACGGTTCAAAAGCTGATGTTGCTGTTGATGACGTTATGCTAACAGCGGAAGGTTGCCAGAAAGGTTTGTCATCACTTTGACCTGAAAACATCTCTTATGTAAATATTTTATTTCATTGCTTAAAAATGTACATCTTGAAAATGTTCTCATCGAGAAAATGAAATAATAACAGTTTTTCTGTTTAATCTAATCTTTTTTTATACAGAATGTCATCCACCATGTATAATTGGGGAAAGATGTGATCAATTGTCACTCGCTTGCATTCGCGAAGGTGAAATATTTATTGATTTAGGATTCATTGATTTCATTTCAGTAGCTTATTTTTAAACATTTTTTCATCGTATTTGATGATAGGATATTATGACCATCGTTGGCGACTGGATTCGCTCGACGTCAAAGATGATAAAGACTCGAAACACGGCAACATTTCTGGCGATGTTCAACTTCAAAAGGGTGATATTTTTGGAATGTGCACAGCCCTTCGTGGTAATGGAAAGATTGAATTACGGACATTTAAAAGGATATGTTACAATCCTTGGTGTTTTCCCTTTCAAACATTGTCGTTTTGGCTGAAATACGAAGAAATGAACTTTCAAAATATCATCTCGTTTGGAAAATTGATAAATATCACTCAAAATGGCGAGACGCCTAAAGAGCATCTTTCAGTAGAAGTGAATACGGCGTATCGGAGTTGTTCGACATCCATTCGTGTACCTCCTGAAGTATGGACTCATGTCATCGTATCAGTTAACGCGTTAGAAGGGGAGATATTTGTGTATGTTGATGGTATTATCCTTTCAAATAACTCCCATTTCCTATGCGTCAATCACAGCAATATCCAGACTTATAACGAAGTGTCTTTAATCGCCGGTGGTGGCAGCAATTCTTATTTTTCTTTGGATGATGTTCATCTTCTGTTTGACGTACTGGAACCAACCCAGACTGTCGAATCGTATAAAAACAGAACCGGTAAGGAGTTTGTGAAGAAATAACTTATGAGCAAGTGAAAAATAGAATAATGAATGTTCACTAATACTTTCACTTTATCTTTTTCAAGGGTTGCAACAAAAAATTTTCGTTAAAGCTCAACTGACTGAGGAGACCTGGAGTGAGGATTTGTCGGACGACGAAAGTGAGAAATATCAGAAACTGTCGCAGTTGATTAAAACTAAGGTAGGAAAAATGCAATCTGAATGCAATCAAAGATACGAAAGTCATTCAACGCTGCTTTCACGATTTTCCTCGTGTCTTGGACACCAACGTAAGCGACTGACTGATTGTACACGTGATTCTAACTGTATCAATTAATTAATCGTCAATTCTTAAAATTTCATGTTCAGTTCATGGAAACGTTTCAAGACAGATCAAGAATAAAGGATGTTGTCGTAGAAAGATTCATGTAAGTCAAACAGTATTGATACAAAATCCACTGAGATCTTGGAATTTTTTATAAAGACTGTGTGAAAAGAATGTAAAAATATTAATGCAGAAAAGACAAGTCAAATAATTCAAGTCATTTCACCTCCGAGATCACAGTTGATAAATTTGGTAATTTTATCAAACACAACAGGTTTCCAAAGTATAGAAGTTAAACACCATCTTCCATGTGATATAATGATGTGCTAGAACTAGATTTGATGTTTTTACTTTTGTAATAATGAGGTTTACCATTGATATTCAGGCAAGGCAGTGTTATCGCTGATATAAATGTTATTTATGACGAGGTGAACTATCAAGATATATTGCTAATGGAAGAAGCATTGGAACAAAATAATTCACTCAATGGATTAAAAATCAAGTCTCTTGAGCTAAATTCTTCATCGGGTAATAAACTTCTTGTTGGAATATTGAATAGGTTTTTGGCTGTTTCAATACAAAAATTTCCATAATACATTGAGAATAATGTCAACAATCTATACCAACGATTCTCTGGCAAATTCTGCAATTCCAAGTATTGTTATTAAATTTTTTGTCATTTTCTGTGCAGTGCCAAACGTCAGACCAAAAATTCTTGCTGTTATACTGGATCCTGAAAATGTAACAACCGTGTACTTAAACTGGACGGAAGTAAGTTCTGATAATCTGAATGGCGTCCCACAGGGCTATAAAATCCTCTATCGTGTCACAGAAAACACAACAGAAGCCAAATATACTGCAGAGGTTTCGTATGGCAATTCAACAGAGACTAAGTTGTTAGATTTGGAACCGTTAACGAATTATACTATGCGAGTTCTTGCTTTTACTTTGAGTGGAGATGGTTTTGTCAGTGACAGTGTAACATTCTTGACGTTAGATGGAGGTATTATATTTTTATAATATATTATTCAAAATACTTTTAATCCTCATCTCTGCCAAACACATCACAATTGCGCTGTACTTGTTTTGAAAATACTCTTGTCCTGGGCTGTGTTATTTTTTGCTAAAGACTAACATATTTTGCAGCGCCTCAAGCTCCGAATATGACAGTAAATAATATCAGTTCTACATCTCTATACGTCAACTGGACTATGTTACCGAACTCAACAGTCATCTACAAGCAACTGCTAGGGTACCAAGTTACGTATTGGAAAGAGTCTGAGGAGGATAGAATCTATAATTTAACTCAGTTTGAAAATTATCTCTTATTGGAAAACTTGGAGATGTGGACGACCTATTGCTTTAACGTAACAGCATTCACGTACGGTAACACAGCCCCAACTCAAACACAGTGTGCCAGAACTTTCGAAGATGGTGAGTTACCAGTTATCCTTTTATACTATACCATACCGTACCATATACTGTACCATATCATATGCCATATACCATACTTTATACCATACAATATAATATTATATACCATATCACTTCACTATACCATATGCTATACTATACCTTTCTACAGTCACTTACTACGCCATATTCCATACTGTATCTTCAATTCAGCTCCTCAAGAACCACCAAGAGATTTTACTGTTCTAAATGTCAACATAACAGCAATCGAAATGAGCTGGTTACCACCAAATGAGTCAGCAGTTCCTGGAATAATACGCTACTACAATTTAAGCTACCGTGTTTTAAACGAGAGTGGCTCAGAAATAACGTCACTTACTCTTGAAAGAAGTAAATTGAGATATGCTCTAACTGGTCTTTCTGCTCTTTCTTTGGTCCAAATCAATATTTCCGCTTTCACTGTCTCATCTGGTCCAAAACAGTCCATCATGGCGTTAACTGATGAAGGCGGTAAGACACAGTTTGTTTATATTGTTTGAGACTTCTTCGTTAATGTTTCTTTATGAATTCTACTTTATCTAGTACCTTTGGTTGCTCCGAACCTAACCGCTACAAATATCAGTTCAACTTCGTTCAAATTACAATGGACTGGTATTCCTGAAATATTTCACAATGGAATACTCTTAGGGTTTCATCTCTATCTTTGGAAACAGGAGATCGGCATTGAATTTGCAGAAAATAAGACATTCAAACGTCATGTTCGTCTTGTTCAGTTTAATGGTGTTGCTAAATGGACGGTATACTGCGCAAAGGTTACTGGATTCACTGCAATCGGAGATGGAGCCCAGTCTTCGGTGGAGTGCACACGAACATTTGAAGATGGTATTTTTTTCATTCTTCAAATTAAATGCTTAAATGCCCTACAGTTTTCAAATTTCAAACATTTTCTAATGATTTTACAACCATAACATAGTTTATCATTTATTTTTCAGCCCCCATGGCGACAGCAAGTAACTTCATTGCTACAGATGTAAAAATATCAACAATTGACCTTTCATGGTCTGCACCTCCAACACCCTTGGTCCCTGGAATATTACGAAGATATAATCTAACCTATCGTAATTTGAACTACACTAATGAAGTTTTCACAAAAGAGTCTCTCGGTCCATCAGTGACAACGCACAAAATGGAGAATTTATTTGGCCTGACCTTGTACGAGATTAATATTACGGCGATAACAATACTGCCTGGACCATGGTCAACACTATATGTTTTAACACTTGAGGGAGGTAGGTGATAAAAACAATAATTGTATCTATTATAATTGTGATTTGTTGTTCTGTATAAAGAGACGATAGTTGGTGAACTAACAAAAATTTATGGCTTATAGTTCCGTCGATTGCTCCACCCAATGCAACTTGGACAAACACTAGTTCAACGTCTATTCGAGTGAGCTGGTCAGCATTTCCGAAGCATCTTATAAATGGCATTCTTCTTGGATACCGGGCCTTCATTTGGAAAGAATCTGATGGTCCAGCATCAAATTTTACTGTTGATGTCCTATCTGAAGCTGTTTCTGCAAGCAGTGGTAATTTGCAGAAATATACCACATATTGTGGCGAAGTCGAAGCTTTTACGAAAGAAGGCGAGGGGCCAAAAACTCCTGTCGGGTGTATAAGAACGTCAGAAGATGGTAATGTGATTTTTTTAAAAGAAAATGCAACCTTGTAAATTTAGTTTGACATAAATTTACTGTTTCTTTAGCGGTGGAGACGGCGCCAGGTCCTTTGAACGTATCAAACATAACGTGGAATGAATGTCATTTGTCTTGGGAGCACGTTAATTTATCTTTCGTTCCTGGAATTTTGAGATCGTATCGCGTTACATACAGAATAATCGACCCCAGATTTGATCAGAGCAACACGACGTTCTTTGTTGACAGTCAGTATAATTCCACTGTTGTAACAGGATTGATAGGATTCGTTGATTATGAAATAATGGTAAATGGATTCACTGTGAAAGATGCTCCAATCAGTATTTCATATTTCAAGACTAAAGAAGGAGGTAAATATGTCAACACATGTAAAATGACAGTTTTTAGTTTATCTGCAGCAACCGTAAAATGCAATCTTATTAATATTTGCCTTATTTCTTGTTTTATAGTACCAACATCTCCTCCAACGCAATTTCTTAGTACTGCTATAACTGAAACGACTATTCAAATAGCTTGGCAGAAAATTCCTCTACCAGCCCGGCATGGGATCATCACAGGTATATACTAGATTACAAAGGCAAAAATGATAGCTGGGGCCGGTTGTATCAAGCCCGTTTAGCTTAAACGGTGGTTCAGTTCAAAGTAGAAAGCAAGTCTATCGTTTTATGTAACAAGCAAACTAAATGTTTTTAACCTTAATACAAAGATACTGGTTGAAACTACATGTTCAGTACATAATATTCAAGTTGACTCACCCAAGAGAGATGTAGGAGTGTTATTTAATTTTGACTTATCCACCGTTTAAGCTAAACGGGCTTGATACAACCGGCCCCAGGAAATAGATGATTTCGTTTTAGTGTATGTATTGATTATGTTACCCACTTTGCTAGGTTACAAAGTGACTTACAAGAAATCAGCATCAAGATCTAAGCGAGAAGACGAGAAGACACTAACATTTGATGCTGATACTTACAAAGCATTCCTATTTAAATTAAACGCTTACACTAATTACACGATCACTGTGAGAGGACGAACTTCGATAGGATACGGCGTTCCAACAGAAATTATAGTACGAACGTTGCAAGGAAGTGAGTTGTACTTTCTATGAATGCAATACCTGCATCCTTACTGCCATTGTTAGTGTGTATATGTCTCTAGTCTAAGATGTCTTTCTTATATACTTTCTATTCAACAAAATTATGTCTGTTTATAGCTCCTGTCATAGCCCCTAAAGGATTTTACGGTGTAAATTTCACTGGACCCACAAGCATCTTCGTTTCTTGGGGCTCATTGAGTACTGCGGAATTACAGGGACTATTGGTTAGCTATGAAGTAAAATATCAAGCTTTCTCAGTCGCAGACGAAGAACTGCTGGAGCCACAACCTGTGAAAGTGATCATAGTACATGATGTTAGCATTAAGATTACTGGATTATCAACCTACACCACGTACAAAGTCTCAATCCGTGCGATATCTGGAGGGGGTAAGGGCGTGCCCTCTACCGTTCTTTATGTCGGTAAGTATTGGACTGAGAGGGTACTAACTAAATGAGTACCAAGAAAGATGTTGAATGAGTTCATGAAAGGATCCTTCTCTAATAATCTTGATTCAAATATTGCTGTTCTTTGATGTGGAATTTTCACTTTTCTTCAGCCACATGTCGCTGCCACAAAACCTTCACAACAAACTTCTGGAAGTTGCAACCGTATGTAAACATCTCAGGTCACAACAAAGATCGGGGATTCTTTCCTCATCTTCTCGATATGGTTACTTTATCTTGTTGTCAAAACTGTCTGGAACATGGCACTACAGATATCAACTATTTCGTTGATGGCAAGGGCAGGCCATCCGAAAAAGAAACAGATATTGATGTAAAAAGAAATGTCACTTTAGCAACAGACTACAGTTTCCCAGTTTATGGGTTCTTTGGACAAGAAATCTATGCTAAATATTATGGATATTCAGCCATTGTGGAGGTCGTAGGCAGTGTGTTTTTTGCTCTGAAACCAGACAGTTCAGTTCAAGGAAATGCTCTGATGGCGTCTATTCTGTCCATAACGCCTTTCTTGGCAATCACAGTGATCTTTGCTTATATAGCAGGAATATTTATGTGGTTTTTGGTAGGTATAAACCACCTCTCGGTAACTGTAGGACACGATTTTATCTGATACTTCAAATCAGACTTTGTACTTTCTTTCAAAGGAACGTAGATCTAATGAAGATGAGTTTTCACCTTCGTTTTTCCGTGGCGCAGGAAGTGGTTTCTGGTGGGCCTACATTTCAATGACTACAGTCGGGTATAGTTATTTAACTTATTATGTAATATGCATGTATTCTATTTATGTCATCTTTTTTTATTTTCCCAGATAGTTACTGTGAGCTAATAAACTGTTTAAAATGTGTTCAGATATGGCGATAAAACAGCAAGAACATTGGGAGGTCGTATTTTTGCCATCATTTGGGTGTTCATGGGCCTAGTTATTAGTTCCTTATTAATCGGAAGCATAGCTTCTGCATTCACTGCGTCAACCTCCCCTCCACCCGAGGGTCCGAAAATGCTCTATGGAGCGAAGGTAAGTGTGGATATTTTCCTGCGCTTAAAAGGATAAAGTGTTGACTGATGGTCGCACAAACTAGGTCTATTTTCTTTTACGATTCTCAAAACTTTCTATCAATATCACTAGATCGCAGCGTTGCAAGATTCACCTGATCACAGACTTGGGGTTCGAAGAAGTGCCGAAGTAAACATACGTACGTAACCTCCCAGTAAAATGAAACATCTGTACTTTAAATATAGGTAAAGAGCAGTGGAAATTACGGCGAAGAGCGGTCGTAATCGGCCTTTGCTGAACATAGATATGAGACAAGTGATAAAATAATCCATTTCATTTTATTGCTATTGTCGAATCCTGCTCTTACTTGATTATTACACGTTAAGACGAGGAGAAATGTCAAAAATGAATCGTGTGAATGAGGTTTGAAGAAACATCCTCAAATTTTCTTATCCAATTTCTGTTACTAGTGAAGAAATATCGAACCTTGGATGAATTACGTAAAGCAGTTTTCTCGAAACAAGTCGATGGATTGCTTGTTGATAGTTACGTAGCTGACTCAAGACGAGAACTCTTTAGTGATCTATCATTGAAACAAGTTATTGATATGAAGGCCAGTTATGGCGTGGTCATGGGTGCGGATGCAAGCAAATTACGGAAATGTATAAAAAAGTATTGGGTTGAAAATGCCGCAATGAGATCACAGTATATTAAAGACCACACGAATCCAATTGTGGTAATGTTTTTAGATTTTTTTGACATTTTTGAAAATAAATGAAAATATCGAAAACATTTGATTGGGTTTGATCATGAGATTTTCTTTTGATTTCGTTTACTTTTTGATTCCAGGTAACTGAGGTTAGTGCTGCTGATGCAATGGAAAACACTTTTACTCCTGAAGGAGAAATGTACAAATTAACTCTGACGATTTGTACAATCCTTCTTTGTGTTGGAACTGTTTGTGGTTTTATTTACGAAACAATACGACGAAAGAGGAAATGTACAAAAGTGAAACCTGAAAGTAAGATAAATCATTGCACTTTTCCTCAACCATTTGTTTTATCTTCTGAATCTTTTCAATTTTTATGTTTAGATGTTTCTGTGGATATGCAAAACTATTGCCAACAAGAATTGTCTAAATTTCAAGAGAAACTGCACAAGATCATTGAAGATATAAAAACCAAGCACTTCAAACAAATAATTAAATTAAGCAAATTGAAACGGAAGACTTATCAACGCGCACAAGAATATAGCGTAGAAAACACGGGTGATTCTGGAAGTCTTTCTACAGCCAGTTAAGTTCATGACAGTATGTATGTTATTTTTATTAATACAAATATTTCTTCTAATTTATTACACAGAAGGTTTCATTGTATGATTGTACTCCGTATTTCTTGTAGTAGTAAAACTTTACAAAAATATTGTAAATAGATAATAATATATAGATGTTTATAGCTATAAATATATTAATACACGTTCAACTGAACACAAAATGTTTTGCTGTTTTTCGCTGGCATGGCTTGTGATTGACTTTTCCAGGAACACATGATCTTATATGGCGAATGGATAAAACGATGGCAAATTTGGCAAAAGAGGAATGTTAACGGTGGACAGTGGATGGACGGTAGTATTGGAAGCAATGCAATTTCTAAGTCGTGTTTCTCAGGCTTAGACCTGCTGAAGTTTGCGAAGTGTCACGTCCTCCTTGTTTTGAGGTAAGTAATAGTAATTTATAAACTGTTTAAGATTTCTCAACCTCTGTTTGACAGTCAACTCTCCTATCGTACCCGTGGCGTGAATACAATCAATTCTAAAAGAAAAATAGACCCTTACAGTTAGGGTACACATACATACATGCTCGTATACAGATACAACCTGCATGGCTGTTCAAACAAAAATGGGTGGAAAAGGCAACATTTTTACCCTCTCTCGACCAGTGGGGGATCAGAGAATACCATTTGCCCGCTTTTAATTTTTTTTTAAATCTTTTCTTCCATAGAACTGCCGCATATAACAATATATAACCCACCTTGTTCGAAGTTCGTCATTTGGTAGAAAACAGGTGGTGCCACCTTCAGAAATAACTTTGATTTGGAACAGAAGTAACTAAAAGTATATGAAATGAAATATTGGTTTACTACCGACCACAGAGATCCTGATGCTCAGGTATATGTAAAACAAGAAAGGAACTCTGGAACACCCTCCCTAAGCAGGGGTGGTTTAGCCGTCAGGATAGGAATCTGAGCCCTCCAATTCCTCGCAAAATTGTCCACTGGTAATCATACCGTAAAAGTCCACCATAAGCCTAACATATTGACAGCTAAATATACAGATATCAATGGTTCTGTTCCCAGCACTTCCTAAAGAAAAAGTAGAGTATAATGGCCTTTTTCGCTCTCTTTAAAACAACAATTGATTTTTTGTTTTTGAACATACCAAGTAAGACATTTCTGCGTTACTTTGACTATACGACCAAAAATCTAAACAAAAATTTCACCAATTAATTTATAAGAACCTTCGGAAAAGAGGCTCATCTTGGAGAGACTTGTGAAGAAACACGATCAAGAAAAACTTGGAGAAGAACGTACACATGAGAGAACCTCTGACATACGAGAACTGAGCAATAAACACTGAGAAAATCATCGCTAAAAATGCACCATGATTTTTAATTGCAATGCATGTCATTAGAAACAAGCAATGGTGGTCTAAGCCTTTGTAGCAACAGTCACATAGTCGGCAATGCTTTGTTCTTCTTGGATAAGCTGTCTAGACGAAAGAGACAAAAATAGAAGAAGCAATGGTGTCAGGGATCCGGCTGCACTAAAATAACTTAATTTCAAGCAGAAAAAATACCTTGCATCGCGAACAGTATTCACATTTTCGTAATCTTGCGCTGACTACATCTATTATACCCTGGGTGAAAAGTCAAGATTCTAACAACCACTTTTATTGAATGCGTTTTATTAAAATGATCTTAGGATTAAGAAGGTAGGGAGGGGCACATTCTCTAGAGACTAGGAACCTCCAGGGGATAATCTTATAACAGGAATTCCGAGCATGAAATAGTGAGTCAAGGACAAACATTACCATGGGATTACCATCAGCATCAAATTTTGTATCATCGCTAACACCTGGGTCTGCATAGACACTCCTGTCAGAATATTTATAGACATTCATTTGTTATAGTTTTGGCTGTTCTTATGATATTAAATCAGACAGGGTCTAATTTGAACTCACCTCAATGATAATGTGAATAAAAGAACCATCAACAAGGAGAATATTGTGTAACCAAAGTCAGGCCAAATCTCTACAGACTAGTTAAGAATACTTAACAGATAGAGCAAGAAATCAAAGAGAGTTATTTATGATCTATGCGTGGATATAGGATACTTGGGAGAAGAAGAGTGAAATAAATTAGTAAACTAAGAATGACAGAACCAAAAAACCATCCTAATAAACCAGTATTTGGTGCTCTTGATATGTGCCAAAGACGATGAGGTCTCATGGCGTAGAAATACGCGAAGAAAAATATGAAAAGATTAAGAAAAATTGCCACAAGTCGAGAGTTGAAATACCAAATATTCAATGCGATAAGTAGAGTGCTTATTGAAGGTGTAATTAAAGGAAAAATCCATGAGATTTTTGGGACTTCAAGACGGCCACTTAACATTCGTATTCTTTGCCATCTTCTTAAAGCTTTGACCAGTCTGAAAATACAAAGAGTATTTAGTAATAATTTTTAGTAGTTTTTTATCTGGGAGACTAAAAACAACTGCATTCAAAGACAACAGTTTCTTCATAAACTCACTGTAAACTTTTTGTTCCTGAGGTGGCATAATCAATTGGTGTTTTTCCACCTTGATCTTTATCATTTAACAAGCTGTCTTCACTGGCACATTCCAATATCCAGCAAACATCTCTTTGAAAGTACAGTAAAATAAATGGTAGCCAGATTGAGCCATTCATAAGTGACCAGTAGGGGTCAACTTGGTAGGGTAAGACTACCAGGCTGGTGGTAGGTTACAGTGTAGCATGGTATAGCTGGATATATGAGGCTGTTAGGTGTTATATGATATCATAGGAGGAATTGGGTGTTACTAGATAGTTCTATAATGTTACATTTAATATAGTATCATGTGGTAATTGTATTGCATAATGGTACTGTGCAGATATTTACCTGTTGCCTTGCAAAACAGCATCATGCATGGCTGTTCTTTGTTTGTTGTCTTTCACGTGTAGATCAATATCCTTAAAGAAAAAATAGGTAGAAAATACTAACATTAAGCCAGCTCAAGCATGTATTTCCAATTCACAGTCAGGGCTGCTAATTATACCAATGTAGCATCTAGATCTTATTCTTTGAATTCAGCCATTCAGGTACAGACTTTGTCACTCTAAATGCTCTTAGAGTGATACTTTAGGAAAATATGCCTAAAATGACCTTGTACCACAGGATATAGTGTATCTGTCAAGACATATGTAATGAACACTAAGCAGTGCTAATATGATTGCATGGTTTAATGATGCGAAGTGATCTAATTAATTAGTCTAACATAATCACATTTCACCTTTTGTTTTATCAGATATTTGATCAGTTCAATGTGGCCATGCTCCACTGCAAGATGTAAGACAGTTCTTCCTCTAAGTAGAGCCAAAACAGAAATATTATCAACCATGGTGACTTTTCAGAACAAAGAATGACTCATTACACTTTACTTTTTATCCCTTTGCCATTGGTTCACACCAAGAAACTCTAAATACTGAAATGTTAGCCTGAAATACAATTTTAAGAAAGGTGTAACGATCATAGAATTAATGTAAACAACATGAAAGTATAATATAACGATCGTAAAATTAATGTAAACAAACGTTCTTACAGGCAGCCACTTCTGGCAGCGTGATGAACACACGACCGCCCGCCTTTATCGAGATCGTACAAGTTTGCACCAAACAGTAAAAGTTGAAAAACACCTCCCCAGTTACCAGCCTGACAAGCATAGTGCAATGCAGTCTCTTCAAAGTTGTTTTTAACTGTCACATCTGCACCTTTCAATAGTAAAGACCGTACATCATTTGCACTTCCTAACGCTGCCCGATGCAATTCAGAGATACCATGCCATGTTGAGCCCCTCTCGCGATCATTTGCGCCTGGTCTAGGCTCGTTTATCACGAAATCGCCCGTCATTTTAGTGTATTTTTACAAAAAAAATGATATTTTTAATAGTTTGTTTACTACTTCTTCTGACCTAAAACAATTTCCGCCGCTAATTTCACCCAAAGAAATCCCAAATATCCCCTATGTTCCCCCAGAAACTGATCTCAATAAGCATTCAGATAAATGGTCCATAATAAATACAGGTCAGTGGTCTATTGCATTGTGGGCATGGAATGACGCGCGAAAAATTAGCCAATCGCAAGCAGCAGTTTCGGTCATGTGATAGTTTTTGACAGATTGAGTGATTGACAGTCAGTTGGAAAGACTACGTGGACGATGCGGTGGCAGGGAAATTCGCTCTTCGTTGCAAGAAAAGAAAACCAGGTGTGTATATCTCTGAATACTCTGCATAAAAAGAACGAAGATATTATTCAAACAATGTTTTAAATATTTAAATAGTTATTAAACACTTTCTTTTTTTAGGCTGAAACCCGTCGACGAAAGCTGGATTCAATGGTCGTGAATTGTACCGTATGTATTATTGTCTCTTATCGGCTAGTCATTGAGCTAAAACGTTTATCAATTATCAGCAAAGCTAGAATGGTTCTGCCTTCAGTATTCGTAACAATAAGTGTCAATTTTTAAGTCAATAAGTGTCAATTATTAAATGCTGAAAATTAAGTCTAATTTTTCGGCGTATTTAAGCGCATTCCGCTTGCACGTGTATTCACACTAGGCGCCGCCGTTTAGAGCATATTGTTAGAGCAAAGCTAGAATAGCTTCAGCATAGTATTCGTAACGATTTCTACTAATTTGCAGAAAAATTAGGTCCGCTTTTCAGTGTTTCTAGCGAGTTTTCATGCATGTGTGTGTTTGCGACGCCGGTGTTCTTTTCAACTATTGTAGTCGCCGCCGTTTAACTTTTAGATCATATTGTTTAGTTCTTCAAGCTTTCTTATATTGTAAGCAAAGATAAAGTAGTTCTACCTGAGTATTCGTATCAATTTGCAGAAGAATTAGGTCAAATTTTCAGCGTTTCTAGCGAGTTTTCATGCATGTGCGTGCTTGCGACGCCGGTGTTCTTTTCAACTGTTGTACTCGGCCCAGTTAACTTTTAGAGCATATTTAGTTTTTGAAGCTTTTTTATATTGTAAGCAAAGATAAAGTAGTTCTTCCTGAGTATTCGTATCAATTTGCAGAAGAATTAGGTCAAATTTTCAGCGTTCAAGCGAGTTTTCATGCATGTGCGTGCTTGCGACGCCGGTGTTCTTTTCAACTGTTGTAGTCGCCGCTGTTTAACTTTTAGAGCATATTGTTTAGTTTTTGAAGCATTTTTATATTGTAAGCAAAGATAAAGTAGTTCTGCCTGAGTATTCGTATCACTTTGTAGAAGAATTAGGTCAAATTTTCAGCGTTTCTAGCGAGTTTCCATGCATGTGCGTGTTTGCGACGCCGGTGTTCTTTCCAACTGTTGTAGTCGCCGCCGTTTAACTTTTAGAGCATATTGTTTAGTTTTTGAAGCTTTTTTATATTGTAAGCAAAGATAAAGTAGTTCTGCCGGAGTATTCGTATCACTTTGTAGAAGAATTAGGTCAAATTTTCAGCGTTTCTAGCGAGTTTCCATGCATGTGCGTGTTTGCGACGCCGGTGTTCTTTCCAACTGTTGTAGTCGCCGCCGTTTAACTTTTAGAGAATATTGTTTCGTTTTTGAAGCTTTTTTATATTGTAAGCAAAGATAAAGTAGTTCTTCCTGAGTATTCGTATCACTTTGTAGAAGAATTAGGTCAAATTTTCAGCGTTTCCAGCGAGTTTTCATCGTGCATGCATGTGCGTGCTTGCGACGCCGGTGTTCTTTTCAACTATTGTAGTCGCCGCCGTTAAACTTTTTATAGAGCATATTGTTTAGTTTTTGAAGCTTTTTTATACTGTAAGCAAAGATAAAGTAGTTCTGCCGGAGTATTCGTATCACTTTGTAGAAGAATTAGGTCAAATTTTCAGCGTTTCTAGCGAGTTTCCATGCATGTGCGTTTTTGCGACGCCGGTGTTCTTTCCAACTGTTGTAGTCGCCGCCGTACTTTTAGAGCATTTTGTTTGGTTTTTGAAGCTTTTTTATATTGTATTAAGCAAAGATAAAGTAGTTCTGCTTGAGTATTCGTATCGATTTGCAGAATTAGGTATTTTTTGGTGATTGGGGCCGCCGTGCGGGGCTTCTTACTGTTTTATTGATCTCCGCCGATCGCCGTCTTTTCCTATATACAGTTATACGATACGTCGATAGATAATGGACCTTAGCAACTGATAACTGCTATAACTATAAGGAATTGATATATTATGTTTATTTATTTAAATGCGTTGCTATTTGATCCCGTAAAAATGTGAGTTCGCATGTGCTTTGTGCCATTTGTCGGTGTTCAGTAAAGGCATAATTAAAATTTACTTGGTGTGTTAAAAAGGTGCCGAATGGGCGTTTAAAAACCCCAAATGACATGTGCCCAATAAAAAAGGGGCTTGTTTTAACAAGGCAAATTGACAGGTGCCTGTATATCGTTTTTAACCAGGACAAAGGTTAATAATGAAACAGGAAACGGTTCTACTTTTTCGCGGCAAATGTTTTTGCAAATAAGAATTTCAGATCTAATCCTGACATCACTTTTCATGCCTGGGTGATTTTTGCAGTGTTTCCACTGCACCATTAGTGATATTACAACATCAGAAAACATATTACAACATATTACAGCTTCTAGCCTAGTCATATTACTGTGGGAGAAGTAGCTTAATAATTATATGAAAGAGACCATTATTTATGCCAGAGGGATAGAGAGTTCCAAGACTGTGGATGAGTCGCATTTCTTGTCATTTACGGCTATTGTTAGTACCTGAAATGGGGCAGACGGCTCTAATTTTCATGTCTGTGACACAATTTAGGCAGTTGTTATACCACATTTGATGCTAAGTTATTTGAAGACACTGCCATGCAGCTCTTTGGTTACAGTGTAACATAAGAAACACCTATCGTAGTATTCCTACTTAATTGAAACTGAGAGTACTTTTTGGAACACCCTAAATTAATAATCCTGTAAACATATACTACCATCAGAAGCATGGATTGATAGGCATGTAGATATTGTGCTTATACTGTACTTATCACTCTTTTATTAATCATTTTAGTTGTGATGATGGAGAAATGTTACCATTTTGCATGCAAATAGAAAATCTAAAATTGAAACCACACATTTTATGAAATCAAAATAAACCAGATATTTTATGATATTCCCAGACATTTGAGGCTCCTCTGTTTTTAATTTTCAATTTTTGGATTGCATGCAGTTCAGATCCCAACCCTTGCATGGTTATATCTTGCATGTTTTGTCAGGAGTAATGAGTAAGTATACGTGATCAGGGGCCCGGGTCATTTATACTTTCTGTATGCTCGACTGACCTAGTCCGGCATAGGCAAAATATTGCTCTTGGAGCACACAAAAAAAGAGATGCATGTTGAGAGGGGGGTTTAATAGTCGAGTGTTAAATGTCTGTCTCATTTTTGCATGAATGCATGTGTTAAATCTTGCTAAATTTGCATGTAATTTCGAAAATGCATGAACATTTTGTATTTGCATGTACAATGAGCGTCGTGGTGGAGATGATGTTGGTGGAGCTCATGCAGGTAACATACCATAGGTGAGCTTGTTTCATATCATTTCAGATGTTAAGAAATGAATCATTTCAGATGATGATGGACGACCCGATGATAGATGATGATGGACCACCTGATGACGATGACCAGCAGACGATGACAGATGATGATGGACTGCCCGATGACCATGACCAGCAGATGATCACAGATGATGATGGACCACCCGATGACGATGACCAGCAGACGATGACAGATGATGATGGACTGCCCGATGACAGAAGATGATGGACTGAAGACAGGTTTGATGGGTGGTATTACTCAGTTTTCTTGCATTCTATCCTGTGCATGCTGGTTTTCCTGGTGGTCTGCACTAAATGTGTTATACATTAAGTGAAATTCCTATTTCCTATTTTGACATTGATGATAAATAAAAATTCCGGATTGCATGCAGAGCAATTAAATTAATGTATACAGCATGTTTGATTCTTGAAAATGCATGTTCCTGTTTTATTACTTAATGTGTAATGCAATTGGTGAAATTAATGCATGATATTACTAAAGTATCCAATGGTGTGGCTAAAAATGATGAAGCATGAACTCAACTTGAAGAATGGAATTTGTACAAAGGTAACTGTGAACAAGAACCAGGTATGCATATGATTGTATTTGTTTGTTGGCACATAAGGCATTGGCATCAAAAATTTGCAACAGTAATGCATGCCACAAGATTGATTTCCCTAAGTGCATGTGCGAATGAAAATAGCCAAAATAATAGCATGAATTTTAGGTGGTCGATGTATTTTAACAGGTATCAGATCCAAAATTAGTTGTGAAATATTTCGGTTATGCATGCCACAATTTAACATAAATTACATTGTTCTAAGTAGGGTAATTGGCTTTCTAAGTGCATGTGATGGTAAAAATAATTGCCACAGTAATAGCATGATTATAGACGACCGTATTCTTACATGTATAAGATCAAAAATTAGGTGTAAAAATTTTTTGTTTATGCATGCCACAACATATAACACATTGCTCTAATTAGGAAATTGGCTTTCTAAGTGCATGTGGATGGTAAAAATAATTGCCAGAGTAATAGCATGATTATATACGGCCATAGTTAAGTCTTACATGTATAAGATCAAAAATTAGGTGTAAAAATATTTTGTTTATGCATGCTACAACATAGAACACATTGCTCTAATTAGGGAAATTGACTTTCTACGTGCATGTGATGGTAAAAATAATTGCATAACATGTATAAGATCAAAAATTAGCTGAAAAATATTTTGTTTATGCATGCCATAGCATAAAATACATTTGTCTAATTAGGGAAATTGACTTTTTCTTGCAAAACCAGTTGAGTAAGTTATAAATGCAATATATTATAATTTTTTATTTATTTTTATTTATCAAGTAAAAATAGTTGCCAAATAGTTAGCAAGTTTAGTTAAATATTACCGGCCGGTATAGACAGCAGATAGTTTAGTTTGGATAGGATAGTGAATAGTAATAGTTTAGTTTAGCTATGCTCTATAAGAATTTTTTTACTTCTAATCTGTCAGAGTGTACATTGAAACCTGGAACTTTAATAAATTTTTATTTATCAGTTTTTATTTTCGAAGCTCGTGGGAAAGCATGAAAATAGCATATGGAAATAGAAATAGTTGATATTTTGATGGTTTGAATAAAGTCTAATTAGAATAAATTTTGTGAATGCAATAATTTATAATTTTCTATTATCATATATTATTATGTTGAAATATCACCGTAATTCTTCTAAATTGGGTTTCTGGAACTTCAAGAATTTGTTCTCGTTTTTGAAAGGAGTTGTCTCTAGTGTTTTTTTGATTACTTGTGTATGAAATGTTGCTTGCAAAATAATCGACACAATGTGGAGTTATAAAGAGTAATTTGACTTCGTCTGCAATTGTACTGATCTCTATGTAGTATTACCATGTTTGTCAAGTCTTTGCCACTGATCTCTAACAGCTCACATTTGAGTAGGGGGGGGGCTGTACACGCTCAATTTTTTTTGCCACTGATCTCTATATTACCACTGGATGACATGCTGTGATTTCTGTATCTGATCTCTATGTAGTTATGAAGTAACTGAACAACGCTATTGCAACTGATCTCAATAAATCAATAGGGATATCGATTTGACCAGGTTAAATAACGATAATCGTCGATTATAACGATGGATTTATGATGATATAGATTTTAATAATGTTATATTGAATTACTACAAGCCTAAGTAATGCAATTTTATTTTGGCCGGGTTTTATAACAATATTAAGATATTACTAAAATCTTCTAAGGACTTGCAAAACCAGTTTGAATAGATTGATGCAATTTCACTTTGGCCAGGTTTTATAACAGACTTGAAAACCAGTTGAATAGATGAATGCAATTTTACTTTGACTATGTTTTATAACGATGATCATATTATCAAAATCCCCATTACCCATAGGTATATTTTTGATGCCATTGCCTTAAGTGCGTGTTTGTGCATGTTTCAGACCACCAGGATCATTTGACGAACCCTTAAAAATTGCGTGGCAATTTTTGCGGATTGGTCAGATGAAAAACGTTGATAATGTATAAATGTACTGCCGTGAAAAATAGTCCACATGGTTGCCAGATTATCTCTAAAAATTGATGAAATACACATACAAAAATAACTGGCAAACCTGCCCCAATTAATTGCTGCGGAATTTCCAACTAAAAATAACCAAAATGTCGGACCAGACCAGTTAACTTGAGATCCGGATTTCAAGTTGTGGTCAGGAGGGTTTTTCTCCGGGCACTCCGGTTTCCCTCCATTTCATGTTTGGCAAAAAACAGTGTCCATGTCTGGGGCCAAACAAAGATTTATAGTGAATTATATTTTTTCATTAAAAGTGCTTTAATTATTATGTTTGGCCTCTGGGTTAAAATCCCAGAACACTGCCTCATTGTGTTAAAATGCAGCGAATGCTGGGGCGACTACTCTTTGTCCTGAACTTTTTACTCACAGATGCAATAGGTGCATACTCACATTGTGACCCACTGAATGATTGTGACCCACTGTTGTGACCACTGAGCTGTGATTGTGACACACCCAACAAGGGCAGATTTCGTTCTAAGCCAATCAGCGCGTTTGTTGACATTTTTGCTCTCCGCCAATCAGAATGCTTGAAAATAAAAATTGTAAACAAAAGGAGCGAGAAAATATTGCCGTATTCTAAGGCATCCGTGAGCCAGAATATTTACTTTTTATATTCGAAACCGAAAGAATGCAATAAAACATAAATATATCTTGAATTTTGCCGTGGGGTTTTTTAAATTTCAAAACATAACGTGAAATATCGACGTTTGAATTACTGCAATGATCGCGCTCTATGGCTGCAATATATCGTTAAACCCGATAAATTATTTGGGGAATAATGTCGGTTTCTTCTCAGGATTCTCCTTTCCGTCTCATGTTTTCATTTCAGTTCTGGATAATGCTACTTGGAATGAGTTGGATCTTTGGGACAATGAAAACACCATGATATAAATAATAACCATTGTTCGGAACTTGCTAAGATGTTTTAATACGCTCAGTGGACATTCTGTCAGAACATATGGCATTGTTTATGCAATAGTAGAGGTTCACAGCACCAGCATCCCTGCATATCACCTCAAAGGCATTGGGATCCATTTCTGGTTGGGAAAAATTACCAATGCGAGACTTGATTTTTCTAAGATCATCATGCACTGAAATTGGGGCTTTCTTGAGCAGTGAAGAATAATCATCTGCAGAGAGAAATACACTGTCAACTGTTTGGCACTCTTTGTCTGCAACATCCAATGTCTTTCCTGTATAAAAATCTTGACTGTCGATGGTATTTGCTTGGCTGCATGGGTGAACTTAAAGTTATTGTTGTTGTGTCACTTGTTTGGCTGTATGATGCTTCTTGGTTAAGTGCTTGATCTTCTACATTATGTTGACTTTCAGCAACCTTATCAGTGGCTATAATTATATCACCGGCCTGGCTATTAGATTGTTCTTGCTTCTCATTCGAATTTTGGCTGGATTCAAGGTGATGAATGGATGTAGTACTTTCAGGATTAACATGCATCTGCAGCAGAGTATAGTAAAGTACAGTAAGTTAGCTATAATTATTATATTAATTTATCATAATTAACATGTTGGAGGGTGGAAGGGAGGTGTATAGGATTACTTATATAATTTTATATTATAATGAATGTAACTCTCAATTTAATTATAATTTAATTATAACTCTCATCCCCCACACATCCCTTCCCCTTTTCCCCATCATCTTCCCCCACCTCACTCTCTACCTACTACATTACAGTTTACACTACTAGGTTACAATTAGTAGCATCACAAGTAATTTACAATTTACTTGATCATAGATCACAATATAAGATTAGGCAACCAGATGAAGTTTGAGGAATTAAGGCTGTGTTCCGATTGAGTGCCTGGCAATTGTGCTGGCACTTTTTCTGTTGCCTAGGCTTCACACAGTGCTTCTAAATGAAATTAGCATAATGGTATGGTACCCAGGAATGGGCACTACCTCCAGATGTATTATAATTAAATTGAGAGTTACATTCATTATAATATAAAATTATATAAGTAATCCTATACACCTCCCTTCCACCCTCCAACATGTTAATTATGATAAATTAATATAATAATTATAGCTAACTTACTGTACTTTACTATACTCTGCTGCATGTTAATCCTGAATGTACTGGTACTACATCCATTCATCACCTTGAATCCAGCCAAAAATCGAATGAGAAGCAAGAACAATCTAATAGCCAGGCCGGTGATATAATTATAGCCACTGATAAGGTTGCTGAAAGTCAACATAATGTAGAAGATCAAGCACTTAACCAAGAAGCATCATACAGCCAAACAAGTGACACAACAACAATAACTTTAAGTTCACCCATGCAGCCAAGCAAATACCATCGACAGTCAAGATTTTTATACAGGAAAGACATTGGATGTTGCAGACAAAGAGTGCCAAACAGTTGACAGTGTATTTCTCTCTGCAGATGATTATTCTTCACTGCTCAAGAAAGCCCCAATTTCAGTGCATGATGATCTTAGAAAAATCAAGTCTCGCATTGGTAATTTTTCCCAACCAGAAATGGATCCCAATGCCTTTGAGGTGATATGCAGGGATGCTGGTGCTGTGAACCTCTACTATTGCATAAACAATGCCATATGTTCTGACAGAATGTCCACTGAGCGTATTAAAACATCTTAGCAAGTTCCGAACAATGGTTATTATTTATATCATGGTGTTTTCATTGTCCCAAAGATCCAACTCATCCAGAACTGAAATGAAAACATGAGACGGAAAGAAGAATCCTGAGAAGAAACCGACATTATTCCCCAAATGATTTATCCGGTTTAACGATATATTGCAGCCATAGAGCGCCATCATTGCAGTAATTCAAACGTCGATATTTCACGTTATGTTTTGAAATTTAAAAAACCCCACGGCAAAATTCAAGATATATTTATGTTTTATTGCATTCTTTCGGTTTCGAATATAAAAAGTAAATATTCTGGCTCACGGATGCCTTAGAATACGCAGTATTTTCTCGCTCCTTTTGTTTACAATTTTTATTTTCAAGTATTCTGATTGGCGGAGAGCAAAAATGTCAACAAACGCGCTGATTGGCTTAGAACGAAATCTGCCCCAGTGAGCTCCACATATATCTGGAGTAAGAACTTTGGGTGCAAAAAGTGAAGCCAAAGATGGCGGAAATTGAAGCGCCATAGTACGTCAGTTTCAGTCCCCTAACTCGCGCGGCCAAATATTTCTCATTGTTTTTGACCGGGAGTGACGGTTATCGAAACCCTCAGATTTTCGTGTTTTTCATCATTTTGAGAGCACAAGAATGGAAAAAATTGATTCATTTTACTGAGAATCTATTTCTCTGCATCTACCCGATGTAGGTGCCGCATTTTCCGACTGTACGAGTGAGTAAATATGCATTTTTCGCCGTAAATTCAACTACGCATTTCAGATTTGTTTAATTTTGAGTTATTTTCATATATTTTCACCTTATGTTTTGAGTTTCTTGTTTCCTTTTTGGTTTCGAAACGCTTTAAAACTAGTTGTCCTTTATTTTTTGGCCAGCTTTCCTAGCATAGTGCTTTTTTAAAGTTTTTTTTATACTTGCATTTTGAGTCTTGTTTATAAATTTCATAATCATATATTAGTCATATTTCAAACTCGTACGTTTTCAGCATAATTTTCTTTCCTATTAATTTTTTACATGAATGAAAGCCTTATATATAGATGAATTAAACTGAGAAAAGTTTTATTTATGTTTTTTAAGAAGCATATTCTGTGAGTAAATGTTGTGATTTGCGAAAAGCCGAAAACATCAACAATCCGCCACTCCTTAGCTTTCCTTGTAAGATATCGCTTATTTCTTTGTTAATTTAATTGAAATATAAAAGTATCTCAATACAAAGCATAATACCTTCATTGAAATTCCCCTCATTTTTTACTCAAAATAGGAAAAAATAAAGTTAAACCGCGCACATAAGAGGACTGAAACTGACGTACTATAGCGCCTCAATATCCGCCATCTTTGGCTTCACTTTTTGGCCTCACGGAAGTCTTAAGTTCTTACTCCAGATATATGTGGAGCTCACTGATCTGCCCTTGTTGACACACCCCATACACACCAATAACTGTGTGCCCACTGCCCATGGTTTTAAAGCCTGCGGATGATGCGGATTTTAGTATGCGCAGAGGAAATCTGAGCATTTTCTTCGTTAAAAAATGGCGGCTGTTTTCAAATTTTTATATATTTACTGACTATTTTATTTTAAGAAGAATCCTGCAGAGTACTAAAATACTTTTCGAAGGGAGTTATAATATTTGAAAAGATGTATGCAATCGACGAAAATAGGTAAATTTTTCAATCAATTGCTGTTAGTTTTGTACAAATTTTAGAGAAATTGATATATGTATTAAAATATGTTCAATTTTTCCCAACGCGATTATCGCAGCTTTTTGCTCTGTGATATTAAGAGAGTTTAGGTTTTAATGTTTGTAGCTCTCGTAAATTATGTGGAATTTTTGGTAAAATAAGCAATTTTATAGTGGGGCAATACTAGTAAGCTAATAGGGAACCTTATGAGCAGTGCAGTATGCAGTATTACAGTAAATACTTACGTGGTGTACCTACAAACTAATTTACGTACTGAAAAATACTATCACTTCCAGATTCAACAGTTGTTTTGTATTTTTCTGTTTGTTTTAGTGGACATAGTACCAGAAGAGGAAAGCGTCGTTCATCAGTAAGATGATTTCATTTGTAGCTTAATTTTGATTGATATTTTTGTTTACATCACAAAATTATGGCTAATCATGTTCTCTGCAAATGTTGATGCATTTCATGTCATTATACACATTAGATATTGAAGATTCCAAAATCTCCTGGATGTGCTTTGGATGATATCGACCCAAATTTAGAGGTTAATAAAGGAATTCATCTCAAATGCTCAAGTACCTTACTGTATTATCTTCTACTAATTTGGATTCATTTTTTTAGAATGTTGATGAAAATGGCCAAAGATTGAAGAAAGCTCGTAGGTCATCTCATCGTCGTGTCAGCTTTGCTGAAACATGTCAAGTGAAGTATGTCAGTGCTACAACATTGCCTGTATTTGGAATCCAAACTTTTATGTACTCAAATGTAGTTTGAAAATGAATGTTCTGATCCAATTTTTATAGAGAGATTCCTAATAAAGCTATTGAGAACATGTCTGATGAAAATACCCATGGTAATTTTACTTTTCTTCAATAAATTATGATTGCATGTTTTATTTGTTTCAAATGTGTTCAAAGGTAGATTGGAATAAGCTATGTTTGTATTTCTATAGTCTCTCATGGATTTTTAAATCGCGAAAGCACCCGAGATAACAGGTATTATACATGTTTAACTTCATTTTAACCATAACAATATTTAAACTCAAACTATATTCATTTATACTGTATTTAGTTCCTATCGACCACCTTCATTGAGTCTGGCTGGTATGTAATATAAAATACTTTATAACTGAAGAAAACCTGAAAATTATACCAACCTTGATCATTATGTAACAGAATGACTGACAACGTTTTTTCTTGCCAGGTCTGACTTCACTCTTAACAAGTCCTATTGAAGAGTCGCCACAAAGACCACCATTTTTTGAAGTAAATATATGTTTCAAAACTTATTTATATATACATTTGAATGGTACCTAATTATCATACTAGTGTATGAAAATACTGCTTTTTTAAACCTAATGTGTTGCACTGCAAATATATCATAAGCTTAGCTAGCATATGCTTGTAGACCTAAAACATCTTTCCAAATGAATAACAAATTAATGTTGTTTTATTTCTTAGTACCCATCAGTGAGTGGAAACTGCAGTCAGATAGATTTCACCTGCTGTCAGCCTGATGAGAATTCTAAAGATAATATAGACGTAACTGAGAATGATATGGAGATGACCAACAAAATGTTAGAAGCTTGGGAAATTGAGCAATCAACTGTTTCCACATCACATTATAATGTCAAGGTTAGTATCATGCAACCAAGCACTTGAATTTGTATTCATAGATGATGCAAGATTATGGGCTGTAGGTTGGTGTTAATTTCTCTCTGTCAATGTAGTCATCACCAGAAGAAGATCAACTGGATTTTACCCACACTCATGGTGCTTTTGTCCAAGACAATCAATTCAGTGCAACTGACCAACAAGTTGGAAACATGGAAATGACTAAAAACTACGAAGGATGGGAGATTGAGCAGTCTACGGTACTTGCACGACAAGTTTTATCTACCAAGGTCAGTGTTGTGGTTTCTTAGAATGCAAAATACTTCTTTCAAATGGTTAATCACTTGCAAAATGCAACGTTAAAAAATACGATTTCTTTTAGAGCACGACTCAGTATGTTAGATCAGAGCCTGTTCCATCTCAAAAAAGAGACGCGACCTCGTTTTTAAACCAACTCAGGAATTCAAGCAATAATTCCTCTAGTTTCCAGCAGAAACTACAAACATCTGAGCTTTCTGATCACGCACATTCAACCACCCAGGCCGGCAGATCCGTGAGTAAATTAATGTACATAACTGTGTAGAATGTTGTACAACGCTTGTATGTATGTCAGGTGTTGTCAAGATAATTTAACCTTGAGTATATTATTTATTTAGCGTTCATTTCCACAAACACGATGCGAAGAATTTGCGAAAAGAGATGGAACTTCATTCTTAAATCAGCTCAAGTCTACTAAAAACACTTCCAGTTATCAAAAACAGCGAAGAAATTTAACAAAGGATGATCTAACATTTAAAAACACGCCACCAATGTCAAGCTCAATGAAGATGGTAATATAGATTTTTTTCTAGGATACTTAGTTGCCGAATATTCGTTTATACAGCAGAGTTTGATCGGCTTTTGTTCTATTAATTTATTATTTCACGCGTTTCAAGCCGTCAGAGAGGAAAGAGGCGGTTCTTGATTTCACGACGTGTGTTGGAAATGGTATTCACGGAGAAGACAAGTCATCTTATGTCTCCTTTGATGAGATGGATATCACAGGAAATTATGGCAACTTGCAGGATCAAAATACGCAACAGACTTGTGTCGCCGGCAGAAATGATCTAATACTCAGAAACCAGGTATAGAAAGTGCATATTCTAAATTTGGGATTATCTTTACGTACATCGAAGCTTATTCACGGTTCGTTGTGTTTTTCTGACAGCAATCGTCAAATAAGGATCATGATTTGCCTCTGACTCGATGTCACGTAACTCAAGACCATGATAGCGTTCAAGATATAACCGGGAATGAAATGGAAATGACCAAAAACTACCAAAATTGGGAACAACAACAGCAATCATATATGGTGCCTCTGAAGAAAAGCGATGATAAGGTATGTGGACGATCTTTAGTTGGCTTAAAACTCAAGCCTCTTGCTCATACTGGACCTAGCTTAATCTGCTGATTGTGGCTTAGTTTCAGCATTTCACAATGAAGAATGACAACTTGGAATTGACTCGATGTTATTCTGGAAACATTGAAACATCTCAGAATCTAGCCGTTGATAAAGATGTCACGGCAATGGAAATGACAAAGAATTATGAAAATTGGCAACAGAAGGAGGATTTGGTTTCAAATAGAGCAAACACGCAAGAAATCTGCTCAAATATACCTCTTGAAAATAAGGTGGATAAACCAAAATCTTTTATCAGAAAAGCTATTCTTTTGTGTAAGGAATAAGCTTGCTTGAAGATAAGCTTTCTGTACTGATACACATATGAATTTTTTACAGCGTTCTCCCGAAAACGATGAAAATTTAGAGTTCACTCGTTGTCATGATGGGAAGATTGAAACCTCTCAGAGTCTAGCTGTTGATGAAGATATCACTGGAAATGGAATGGAAATGACAAGAAATTATGAAAATTGGGAGAAACAGAAGGACTTGAGAGTTTCAATTATGGCGGAAACCCCAAAGAATTGCAGTAATATGCATCTTAAAAGAAAGGTGAATCAACTTCAAATTTGAGACATCAAACAAACGGGGAATTAAAGTGCAGGCCTTTCATTTTCCTGTTTAAAATCTCACTTACTGTACTTTTTATGTCGTTTTACAGCATTCCCCTGTGAAAGATGAAAATCTGGAGTTCACTCGTTGTCAATCTGGGAAGATAGAAACCTATCATCAGAGTCTAGCTGTTGATCAAGATGTTACTGAAAATCGAATGGAAATCACAAAGAATTATGAAAATTGGAACGAAGAAAAAACAGACGAGGTTTTAGTGAGCTCGTCAACAATTGAGGACAGTGAAATAACTAAGAAAACTTCGACCATTCGTCCTGAAGAGAATCTTATCGTCGCAAACAGTGAAAATAGTAATATTTTAGCACACGCTGCTCCATTACTGGATCAAGAATTCTCAATCAATCTTACTCAGTCGGGAACAACATCAGAGGTTGAAACATCTCCGGTTCTTACAAGTGTTTCACCTTCCTCAGAAAAGAAAACGTCTGAGTTACCAACGCAGGATGTAACGTCAGGCCACTCGGGGACATCGAAAAGTCCAATATCTTTGATAAAGCCAGTTCCACGTGTGTCATCATCACGAATTGCCACGGAAATAAACTTGAGCCGCTTCGAGGTGGGTATCGTTGGTTATTTACAGTTGTTGGCGTAATTAGCGATTGTACATCTGGGGTCATATAATCATTAGTGGGGTAGAATAAAGGATTTCGTTTGTGACACTAACCACCGACAATATTAATAAAACTCACTGACAGTCTATATTTTATCTGTTCTTGTTGCCTCCTCGTCACCTCGTCATCTCAACTACAATTGTATGGTTCATAGATAAAGCTGCCAACTTCAAGAACTGGAAACTTTCCGATTTATAAATGTGAAGAAAATATCTCGGCGATTGAACCCTCCACGCAACGTGATGTAAGCATTGCTAACCAGACAGTGGCTGTCTCTGGTGCTGAGGCTATGATCACCAACAATGAGGCTTCTGGAGAAGATCATGTTGAAGACAAAGCATTTGGGAATGGTATGTAAAAAAAACCTAATGAAACTCAACCCTTTGTGCCGAACCAGTTTTGCTGGTCCTTTCTCAATGCAGCCACCAAAACCCCTAAGGTTTCTTTAACAAAAAAAACTCCGAAAATACTACTTCTATAAGGGGAAAAAATAGAAACAGTGCGCAATACGCATTTATCACAATTCCTGTTTTAGAAAACGAAGTCTCGCCACAGACAGTTGATAGAGAAGAGAAAATGCATTCCGTATCAGCGATGGACCTCTCAACACAGCCTGAACCAAGTAAAACAACGTCACAAACTCAACAAATTGAAACGTATGTGAAATATTTATTTATCTCTAATGAAATTCAACACCGGCCTACTTACATGTTTAGTTTTTTATACAAATAAATACACGATGTTGTACTATTTTATATGATGTAATAGGATTGTAGTCAAGGAAGAAGAAACTCCTGAAGCGATTGAGGTGAGTCATCAGTCATGGTCACAATCCACGCAAACGAACAACGATTTCTATTTTGACGTTAACTGTATTGGACCGTGTCTCGTATAATTTATATCAAACATTGTTTAGAAGCCATATACACTGAGAGATTTCATGTCTGATGTTGGTATCAGCTTTCTTCATCATCGCACTCGAAGAAGTGAGACTCCCATGTTAAAGGTAACTGGTGTATTTGATCACATCACTAGTCTATGAGGCCTCGAAACTAACCTGGATTTAGGGGGAGAGTGCGCCCCCTATACGACGATCTCCCGACCCGTATGTTTGTGTTTTAATTGTTGTTCGTATGCTGATATTCCTCACACTGTGTATGTATAGGCAAGCTACAGTAGACTGATGATAATTTCTCTTATTCCATCTTCTGAAGCAAGCAGAATGGAAAAACATTCCTCAGTGATAGAAGCTAAAATAAAACGATCTTGACTTCCGTTGTAATGCAAACTATTTCTTCCGTTTAGTATAATGCTCCGAAGGAACTTAAAGACAAAATCTACTCTAGAGCATTATCCGAAGCTAAGCATCAAATCATGGAAGATTTTGCTGAACAATTACAAAAGGAAATATCTGCGTAAGTTATACAGTTACATCTTGAAAACAAAGTGATAAAAAACTTCAATTACTATTCAATACTTAATTCATAATCCCCTATTTCTCAATATTTTCATTCTACAACAAAGTATCACGCAATTAAATGAGCTATTCATAGTTGCTATACTGGATGTCCACAGTTTAAAGGTCATTTGAAAATTCTTGTTTCGGTGCATGTTTTGGTCAAAGACTAGAAATGTGCTCCACACAATCAGTGGCAAGGTACAAGCGAAAAAGCACGCCATAACTAACATACAAGTATAATTTTTACTGAAGCCAGACGTCTGTCTCTGGTTACCAGGTGTTTTCCGACATTTATTTCTTGCTATGACAAACATACGGATGTTCATGAAAATCATGGAGAATAAAAGTAGAACAAGTATAATTCCTACAAACACATGTACCGTCGTCTTTATGTACGAGATCTGATCCAGCAATGGCGTAATTGGAAATATTACTTGGGTGATAATCATGAAAGTGGCAATCCTTCCTTTCGTTATCCACGCTTTATGAAAGAAGGGGTAAACAATCGCAATGTAGCGATCGATATTCATCGAGAATAAAGCGCACATGGCCAACCCTCTTAAAAATAATTCGATGTACCTTAAAACAACGCCCGTTTGCGATGCAGTTTCAAGTGCCCAGGCAATGGATAAAAATATCATTGTTGGATGACCAACCATAGTCATTAGCAGATCGAAACAGGATAAAAGAAGGATCATAAAATGACATGTTCCATTGCGCAGTTGTGGTGATCTCACCAGACTAATAATGACTAGTGAATTGAGTAAAATCCCAAAAACTGCGAAGAAACCATTTACAATGCACAAGCATATCACGTTTGTTAATACGATCAACTCCATGTCCATTAGCGTCTTTTAGAACCCTGTTTAGGAGAAGAATGATATATGTATGTTAAAGTAATGTAAATTACTCGCTTATTAAATAATTCTACACTTGTTTTAATACTCATTTTCTTAACGTTGTCACAATTAGCTCATCATGTCAATTCTTTATTCCAATATGAGTACAAAATTATTTATATAAACATGCATAAAAAACTTTATTTTATCTCGCTAGCCTCAACAGCCAATAGGTGGCTGATTTCCATGAGGGCGTGAAACCAGATGGCCCTGCGTTATCTTATTATGTTTTCTAAAGTTCGTACACATTAGGATTAATGATTCGTTGATTTCAAAGTATATATCACCTTTATATTAATGAATATTACCTTTATATTACTAAATATTACCTTCATATCGTTGATGTAGGAATGAAGAGATCTACGCTGCGAAAGAGAAGCATCTAAGCACCCACAATCCTCCAGTATTTGCTAAGTTAAGGGAAGTTCTGGAAACGGAAAAGGAGGTGAATAAGAAATATGGTTTTCGTGGTGTTTGAAAACCACTTTAGGCTTAGATTTAGGATTAGGCTTAGTCATAATCTGGCATAAGACCTAAGACTTAATCCTAATCCTATGATCTCAAGGATTTTGGGGGGATTTCAGGATCTTTTAGTGGAAGTGATAAAACAGTTGAAAAGAACTGGGGAGACCAGAGGAAAACGTTTGTGGCACATACGAAAGAAAGAGATGCGTAAGAATGTGTTTACTTCACTTCAGGTAGGCTACGTGATCACAACTGCGGATCATTGCATTAACTGAAATACAAATTAAAGTCCACTTCAAGTATGACCATGCAGCTTCGATTTCAAGAATCAATTTATTTTGATGTATCCTAGGAACAAGAGAAGAAGCTGTCATTTGACTCGTCTCTTTTGAGTAAGCACAAAGATGAAATAAGTGAAGATATTAGCGCACTAAATGAAGGTAAGATAGCGTTGTGCTCTGACAGTGTTTTCAAGCCTAATGACGTATATACAATACTGAGAATTGGTTGATAACTTATTGTTAGCGACTAACATCTTTTGCAAATTGCATTTTCTAGTGGATGCAGATTGTGACAAACAGATTCAGGAATTGGAGGCGACGTTAGATTCAGAAGAGAAGGTATCACATGGGAATTTTGTAAAGATAACTTATGTTCTGCAAGATAGCCTAATTGTGTTTGGTGGCGTTTTTAGAAATGGGCGAATTTCGTTGAAGATTATGAGAAAATTACGCAAAGAATCGACGCTCTGGAATTCGGTAAGTACAAGCAATGATGGATGGCTTTGTGGGCAATGGCTATAATTTCATAAAGCCAAGAGTTTTATATCAATATCACGTTTTCCCTGATTAGAGTTGAAAACGAAGGAAGAGGAACGAGCCAGATTATCAAGGTACCATCATCTTCGTATCCATCAACTTCGTGTCTCGATCACTGAAATTCGTCTAATTACGTTAATCCTCTTTATTTTTTAAAACTTTTTCAGTGTAAGTGAGCTCCTCGCTTGTGAGGAAGCTGAGCTGAGGGCAACAATAACAAATAATGAAAGTTCTGTAGAAGAACTGGTGCATGAAAGGGTAAGTTTCATTGAAATATTATGCATCAAACTCCTCATTTGGGTAAAGATAAATGTTGCTAGTTAATATATGAAGACAATATATTTGTTTTTGTTGTCCAGGAACTTCATGAATCAAGAGCTGATGAGGTTCGAAGACTCCTTCCTGTTCAAAGAGAGTAAGAGTCATTTTATCATCATGATTTCAAAATCCACACATTGCCAAATACTTGTCTTCAATTTCTTTTGTCTTTTATGGTGTCTCAAATTTCTGTTTTCAACTACAGTATTCAGGAATGGATTTTAGAGAAATGCGATGAGAAACAATCGAAGTACAAATTCTTGAATAAAACCCTCGATTTAGACGTGATATTTGTGAATGAGAGAAAAATAAAAGATATTCAACTAAGCTCTCAAATATCAGGTATGAAATGCTTTCACATCTTTCTTTCAACCGTGAAAGTATATTGTGTTGTTCTTAATATGCATCTTTCTTCAAATTTAGACGACAGTATTCCAATTGCAGTACTTGGCCATAAAATGATTATGGCAAAATTCGCTCATTATGATTTTCTAGCGATGTTTCCCACTCGCAAACAACTGCCAAAGGTAGCATTCTCTGGTTTTTACAATGCTCCACGCCCAAGTTTTCTAAAATTACTTTGTATTTTCAGTTGCTACATGAAGTGTCTCTGGCGTGTGCCCGTGTACGGTTAGTGTTGGAGACAACGACAGACTTCTCCATCAATCACATCATGTCTGTCAATGATAAAGTGTGAGTACCTGCATAACACCAAACAAGGGTAAACACTCGTCGCCCGCTTTATTTTTATAGTCAATGCTACATCCTATTTCGCTGTTGTTTATTTATCGTCTTCTCATCGTTTAGGTTGAGCGTGGAGTTTTCAAGTCTGGCAAAGTTTATGAAGTTTATTCTAAGGTTTGACCTCAGTGAAGTGGTGTCTCATGGTAAAATGCCGTTCACAGTCGACAGAAAGATCGGGAAGACAAGGTAAGATGACGTGTGCGTAAACTTTGCAATTTTGGGTGTTTCACCATGTGAGCAAATCTTGTAAACAGCATGCAGTGTACATAAATGTTCGTATTTTCATTTTAGTGCTGACGAAATAACCGATTTACTCAACAACTTTCCGTCGACCGTTATGTCCTTACCGAAGATTCTTGAGGCCGCTGATAAAGCTATTAGGTAACCACATTATCGACAGTTTGTACAGGGGAAGAACACGAGTTGTTTGTTAATATGTGTAAATACAGACGAGGAAACATTCATAGCATGATTCATCATGCATGTAACCTTTGTGTTAGGGATAACAGCTTGTAAATGCTTTAATTTTATATTGTATCGCTTACAGCACGTAGAAACTAAGTTTAAATTTTATATTATTTTTTGCGCTTCAGTCCATTTCAAAATTTCTAACATAAATGACAATGTGTATACAAGGAACAACTGACGCATTTAGCTAAAGCCCTATATATTTATATTCTGCATGCGTTTTAAATATAAAATTACGAATGTCCATAATGTCATTTTTTATGAAAGATGGTGAATGCACATCACGTAATGAAACTAGACTGTGTATTAGACCAGCTTAGGAACGTCTTGGTCAATAACTAGCCCACTTACCCCATCACATATCCCTGAAATATTATTATTATTTGCAGCTAAAGGTTGGCTACCATCTACTTGCATGGTAGTCCTGAATGAGAACATCGATAAGTTTGGTTTCCATTCTTGTCGATGCGACATATTCGTCATTCTGTTAGTGCAACCCCTTATATATTCAATATACGTTACTACAAATAGACTAAACTTGGGTCGCCATTTCATTGCCGGTCGCCTGACCGGTCTTGCCCGCCATCAACGGGTTTAAAGAGTACTCCGCAAACGAGAATGGTCCTGAGAGGGAATTGATATAAGACGCTTTAATATCCCCCATTGCAGTAAGATTACTGAGATCACGAGATGTTTGATTATGTTCCTCATCAGTGGAATTATCGTAGTCTTTCAAATCTGCCTCTAACACAGCCTGACGGCGCTTAAGATTTTTAAGTTTGTTCATTAAGATCATCTGTTGAAGATGTTTTGACGGGCACGGTCCTCGACCAACAGTCTCTTTGGCTGCTGGGAGCCAACGAAGAAAACACGAGGCCCAAAATTTAAGACAGGGCGTGTCCGTGCTGCCGACTAAATAGGGCTCGGGTTCCTTTGGTTTTTCATCCTCTGTGATCAAACTCGTTCGTTGGAACTCGTACAGTGGATTAAGGAACAACGAAAACTCAGTAGAAGGCAGATTATCCATAATATAATCCCACAAACTTGCTAGACAATCAGAACGTTCCTCTTGAGCACATATCACACTACGATCCCGTTCACAGTCGAAGAGAAATGTCTCAAACATACACGAGTACACGCAGTCTAGAATTCCTAGAAGGTAGGTTTCTGAGAACTCGAACGCAGAAGGAAATTGCATAAGCAATTGATGAACGCAATCCAGGAAATGGAGGAACACAGGTGACTCAGAATTCTCATCTTTTTCTTCTTTCTTTAGCACTTTGATGTGCGCCACACGTTTTGCAAATGGATGGCCAAAGATGACCCACATCTTTTGAACAAGACGTTGAAAGCCTTCAATTGTACGGTAATATGGATCCATTATGATTTGAGCAATTGATGTTATTACCAGTGATAAATCTCTGCCAGATAATTCACGAATAACTACCGGTTTCGCGTCCTCGTAAACTAGCTTGGACACAGCATACGAAGCAATCAGGGAGGACTTGACATGCTGCAACCATCTAAGAACGGACGGAACAAAGGTAGCGTTTTAATTGTTGCTTGGATGTAATAATATTTTATACTGTCTAGGTGAATGCTAATGCCTAAACTAACCTCTATGCGAGATCACTGTACTAGAGGTATTCTACCTGGTAACAATGCAGTGAACAATATACATATCATCGCAGACATGTGTTAACATAGTATCCACCTACTTTGTTGCATCAATATTAGTCATCCAGTGTGTATCACTAGCCCAGAAATCTCTCACATTCTCATGCATACATAATTCTTTAACCTTCTCATAACTGATTTCTAGGTCCTTGGATGAGGCACAATTTCTTGAAACATCAAATATTGTGATTGGTGTCTGTTTGCCTTTGGGGTAGGTTGACTTGATTGTCTCAAATATAGAACTCTCATGTTTATCCAGCAATTCACTTTCAGGTCTAGATTAAAGCAAATTTTGATAAAGAAAATACATGATGGTTTCTAAACAATCACGTTTAACCAAATGCTTAATGACACTCCTCAAATGGCTTGTCAAAGATTATTACCACAATACCTAATTGCTACTAATACTTACAATCCAATGCTGCAGAGTAAAGGTACACCAGTAACTGGATGATTCCAACACCAGAATGGTAGTCGACCATTGGTGTAATGAATTGCAGCTGCTTTAATACTTTCATCAGTCAAGCCACTAGGACAGACCATGTACTGGCCAAGAGTATCTGAAACACCAAATGCTATGTTGGCTTCAGTTACCCGCCATCTTTCCTTGGAGTTTAACCTCTCTAATTCTTGTTGCCAATGTAGAACAGAACGATATGTTGGGAACAACTCATGATTGGAATGCTTCTCAGCATTGTGAATATTATAATCAAAGGCAAAGAGACGTGGGATTGATGAAGGGTATGAATAATGTAAGATTGTATTGACAATTTTGCGTTTGTGCTCTTTGGAGCAGAACTTGAAACCAAATGAAATGATCCGGAAATCTTTACAGTGTATGACAAGGGTTTCAAGTTTTGATTTAAACACTTGTCCTGGGTTTATTTTCTTGATTTTTTCACCATTGACACTGGATATGTGCATGATACAGGCTTGGGGGATAAGAACAGCATCTTGAGATTGAGGTTGGTTGGCAAAACCATCGCCATCTTCTGAAAGATCTTGGTTAGAGTGAAAAATAGATTGTCGTTTGTTTCCATGCATGCCTGCTGTGATGAAGGAAACTCTAAAATTGGTTGCGCAAAGTACGCCAGAAATACCATGCTTATTTTCACCCATTGCATCGAAACGAAGAACATTTGGAACTTCACAGAGCATGATTTCACCTGGCAAAAGTTCAGGTGTTGGAATGGAGCTATCCTTAGTTTTTGCTCTCAAACTGGCTCTCTGCTCTGCCATACTGGTCAGATCAACATAAAATGAGCTGTAAAGTAAAAGAAACAAACATGAGAGAAACATGCACTCACTATATACAAACTACAAACAATGAAAATGTCAAAAGCAGATGGCCATCAAGAGTGAAATTGAAAAATAGACTTATCATACAATGGAAAACAAAGAAGCTGGTGCTGATTAGTTAACTACAAATACAATTATTACTACAACAAAAAATATCTTTAGAACAACAGTTATTGAATCCCCAAACCTCAATTTCTCTGGCTCAATTATATTTACCGAAGAGAGTGAATATCCTACCTCCATACTAATTAAACAGGAAGCACAATATCAAATTAACTCCACGTATATATTATCTCATTTATGGCCTATTATTTGTTTGAACTAACACAAAATAGAAAGATTTGTTTCAAATCATAGTTTATCTACCAATATTGACATCTGCAAGAATAGGAAGCTTGAATTTGTCAAATATCGAGGAAATTGTAACATGAATGTTGCAAATTAAAACATGTACAATTTTAGTATTCGTTTTCACATAAGAAAAAAAACATATAATAACAGGCAAATCACACTGAGACTTTACGGCTGTTATAGGTATATTTGGATATAATATCATGTGAGGAAATTCAGCAAACATTTTGTTAAATTTTGCATCTAAAAATACGTTTTTAAAATATGAAGCGCACGCCCTGAATATTTCACGATGTATCAATTATCTCATAATGTTATTCTGAAATTACTATCTTCCAAATACACAAAAGAATAATTCTGGTAATAAATAAGGGCAACAATCGAAGGGGTATATGTACACAAATGAATTCACAAAGTAAGCATTTACCGAGCAATATTGTAAAGAAAATTTCGTAATAATTAGTCATATTGCTAAAAAACGCACGTAAAAACCACAGCGTCCAACAGAGATCGGTAAAAAATAAACAAAAGCGTAGCTGACTGCTACAATGTTACGAGATTTATCGTTCAAAAAAGCCGGTTTGCAGTCGAAATAGACGTTCTCTTACCTTTTAGGCATCAACACGGCAGCGTAAAGGCCTTCCTATAACACTTGTTCCGCAAGGTTTCGTCACAATTTCACTTGCTAGTTCAACATATTGTTATGACGGCTCTCAGCCGACTTGAAAAGGTTTTGAATAAATTACTTCCAATGCTGATAATTACATAAGAGGATCCTACATCACTCCACAAGTATAAATCCAAGCGTTTCTCGTGTAATTTTATCGCAAAACAAGTTATTTTTCTTGTAGTATATTCTTTGTACCTTTACCATCAGAAATCTCTTCCGTATGTAGCTGACCGCGAGACGTATGGTGGGGGATTGGAGATGAGCTTTGTTCCTAGAAACTGATCTGCATTAACTGGATGGTTTTAATCCTTGACGACAGGTTGCTAGGCAACTGTGTTTTGCCGGGAAATTAAATATGGCGGTACAAACAATTTAGTTTGCTATATTTTGTCTGCGAACAACTCCGTGGAAAAAGTGCAAAATGTAATACTTTTCACATGGTTACGTACTTAAATTAATAGTCAATGGAGTCCCCCACTCCTTCTTTTCATTCGGTAAGTTTTAGGATGAAATATTTGCATAAAAAACGCACGTGTTTTGTCTTGACTCTGCATCATCATAATATGAATTTTGTGTGGTTCTGAGAAAGCGGCGACCTCTGTATAAATGTGGTTTAGAAGTAGTATATCTTATCTCCATGTGATACACCAACTTAATTCTTTTATTCTGCACAAACTACAAATGTACCATTCTTTCTTGTACTCAATTATTTGCTCCTCCATAAATATATTACGTTTGCAGTTTGCACAAATTTCACAATGAGAAATCCATCTCTTTCGTATTAAATTTTATTTAAGCAAAGGTTTCTGTTAGTGGAAAACAAAGAAAATGCACTCAATAGATTCTATCAATACCAAAAGGCAATTCCAGCTGGAATATTGCTTCATGCATAGTGATCTGGGTAATTTGGGTGGAAGTTAAAAAGAAAATGCTAAGGAGAAAAATGAATTGTAAAATAATTAGATATGTTAGTTTAAATCAAATTCTGACATTTTTCAATATTCTAGAAAACCAAAGGGAAGAATCCCAAGGTACCTATCAGGTTTCTGCCACAGTTACCAGAGGTAGGTGTTCAATTTCTCTATAAAAGCAATGTCTTAAGATTGTTACTCCATAGACTCAATTTACCAAAGCAGGTACCACTTGAATGGAATGAATTTGTATGAATGAAGTAAAGGAAGTGCAGATAAGCTTTCCTCTTTAATGCTAAACTGAGAATCTTACCATATGAGTTTGTTTTTATTCCAGACCAGACAGAAGCCAAGATGGCAAGAGAATGCTCCAATTTTCCAATTAAGTTACAGTAAAAGTGATGAAGAAAGACAAGGTTAGTCACAAAACCTTTACACTTTGGATTACTGTTCATCTTCAAACTAGGAAGTTAATTATACTGTATTTTCTCCCTTCTTTAGGCTCAGCATCAAAGAGAGGTCATGCACGTAGCAAGACCTGGGATATTGGAGGTCAGAGTAGTAACAGTACAGGTTTAACCCACATCTCTCCTGCTGGTTCAAAGAAACAGTCCGGGTCAACCTTACAACCATCTCATAAACGAGACAGGGAAGCATTCAGAAGTTCATTGGTGAATATTATCATGTAAGTGTGCATCATTGTGAGGTTTCTCTCAATAAGTGAACCATTATTTCTGGATTTTGGCAAGTCAATGGCCTGCCTTAAATCATGAATTTGGTTGTGAAAATGATTGGTTGTAATTGAATGTTTCTTACATGTTTCCGTCATTTTATAATAGGAGAATGTAGATGAAAAATAGTTGAATTTATTTCAGGCAAAATGAGCGTCCACCCAGTAGATCATCAACTGCTGATGGAGAGCTTCCTCCATTGTCTCGAACAGGTTCACCAACAGCTATTGAGAAAGATATCCTGGTAGGTTGTGATATATGTTTACATATATGATATGATACTTTGAAGAATACCATTCTCTAACCTAGTGTGTGTTGATTCATAGAAAAGATAGAGAGTTATATTGTGACGCGCAAACTACGTGAATAACGTCTGATTTACACGAACAATGTGTACATTATCTGATGGAAATTCATGTTCTCTGAAATGTTTTATTTAGAGATATTATTATTATATCCACCATGGCATCGACACGGAACACGTGGCACCAATGGAAGATTCTTGGTTGAAACATGTCCTTGATCTTGTACCTCAAACCCTCAAGGTACGTTAGTTAATCCAGCATATAACACAAGTCATCAACCTGCGAATCTCGTGTTTCTTGTGCATTGTGCTGTCAATAACTTTATAAATCTCTTTTTTATGTAGGATGGTCTGGAGTTAAGTATTGAGAATCTTTCAGATGAGATGCGAGAGGATTATTTACTTAGCGTGAAAAAAGCTATCGGTAAGACCCTATATGGATATGATTGTTATATTTAGTGACTTTAAGAAAATATACTGATCGTATCGTATTTTTCTAGTCGATTTCGTTCTCAAAGATCCTCGTGAACAGGAAGACGAGAAAGTTGATGACACACCAGATTATAAAAAAGAGTGAGTCCAAAAGTTATTTTTATTACGGAAGTTTTATTTTACATTCACTGCTAGAAATAGACTAAGCGATCACGCGCGCATCATTGGATCAGTAAAACAATTAAAGTGATACTCGATAGGAAGTTAGGATTATTTTCCTAGAGTGGTCTTTTCTGACATGCCATCATTATATGACATCATTTATGAGCAGACACCGTTCAATCTTTCAAAGATTTTCAGTGAACAGCATATGTTATATGTATTTATATGATGTGTTACTTCGTACACACTTAGCCACAGCATGTACACTCAAATTCTACACATTACAATTTGATCGCGCACAGGAAATAAATACAGTGACGTAATAGAATGACGTAATACATGAACAATAAGTAAAAACGTGACACAGCCGTGAATATTGTGATTAGGATAATCTCCCGCGTGGAGATACAAGCCAGGCGCGCACGCTACTATTGCATCTGATTGCTGAATCATAGTTTGAGCGTAACAGCGATGAACTCTCATATCATTCCACTGACTACTTGTCGACTCGATTCGACTAAGTTCGGAGGACATCCGTGTAGTTCTATGAAACTCATGATCCAGTTGTAGATCTTGCATTAACAATTCGATAAATAATTGTTATCTTTCGCATCACCCAGGCCCGTGAAACCGGCTCAGTTGATAGATTCTATTCATCACATTGATCAGATTTTATTCATCACATTGATGAGTTAGAACCACCCCATCTTGTTCTGTCAAATACGTGGGCAGCAGTCTCTCGTATTTCTCTATTTCTCCACAATACTAAACATGGATCTAGAGCTGAGTTGACGTACATGAGTGTGATAATACATGGTCGTACTATGAAATAGAAATCAGGATCTGTGCTGTATTTTACTCCCTCGTAAACTAGCATGACAATGCCTGGGAGATAGCAAGCCAATAACGTCCCACCAATAAAATACGCGGTTCTGGTCAAAAGGACGGTTTTCTTTTGAGCTTTGATTTGATTTCTGTTCATTGTCACCCCCTGGTTGTGTTTAATGCTCTTGCGATGATGACGAAGCAGCTTCTCAGTGTACACGCCCAGGTAAACACAAATCACAATTGAGAATAAGGAGAGGATGGCGTAGAACATGAATGTTACTTGATGCACACGTACTGTGATGTGTAAACACGCTACAAGCAACACTAGGAGCCATGAACAGCATACGCCCACCTTAATACGACGATGTGTCACTATAGTTTTGTAACGACAGGCGTAATAAAGAACAGCAAATCTCTCCATGCTTATCAAAACCAAGCATAACATTGAAACACACAGGCAAACATAGGAAACTAAACTGTTGATGTTCCACAAGACACATGAGTCAAAACTTGCTAATAAATTTCCAAATTTTGTGATGACGAACAACGGTTGTAAAATAGCTGTCACTATAATGTCAGTACAAGCGAGAACACATAGTAACATATTGTGTTCATTTCTCAGTCTTTTGTTTCGATAATATGCAGCTATTATTGCTCCATTAGCAATGCTACCGATCACAGATAGCAAAATGTTTGTAACGATAACAAGAAGGTCTATTGATCGATATATTCCTTCAGAAGGATATCTTGAGTAGTAAGTGATGTATAAGCCGTCGCAACGTATAAAAATGCTTGCATTCATTTCTTCGTCCATCATAGTTGGCTGCAGGTTAATTTCTTCGTTAAACTTTCTCTCGCCTGAAAACACAAGTAATGTTAACATAACAGACCAGTAGACTGTCTATAGTCGACTAAACTGTGCATGTATAGAGAAGTCAGAACCCACGTACGCAAAATATAATTATGTCACCCAACTGGTATTGCTTTCCCAAATTATTGACATCTGTGGCTGTGTCTATATATTTTAAGAGGATTTTAAAAGTATAACGAGTTATCTTGTCTTTAAATCGGACGACATAACAATATGCCTGTCCTTTTGCCAATTAGCGTGAAATTTTCAATTAATCACGCATATCTGATATTGTTTCTTTATCGTCTGTCTTTGCTAAAAACTACTCAAGGTGGCTGAATATATTAGAATATTTGAATCTGTGAATATGAATATTTGTGAACATCAGTTGGACATTTAATTTTATACGTGGGAGTTTCTTAATACCGAGGAGGTGACGAAAGACATCGTGTTATTTGCAGAAGTGTGAAAGTTTACACAATTTAAATGCAGCATGAAGTGGTAGCTATTTTGAGTTTTTATCGTATGTTCGCAAAATAAAAAACTATATGCAAACTTGCAAATATCCAATGGCAGCACAAAATGAAATGAAAATATTGGTTTAGGAATAATAAAATTGAAACTGCAAATATTTTAGACAAAAATAGATGCATTTTGCAATTAAAAAAAGCATTTTCTTCGTGAATATCTCCTGCGATTTTTACCTTCACGAATATTAGAGCAAAATGCAATAAACGTTTTGGCAGGTGGACAAAGTCATTCGTATATATTGATGGATGTCATATTAGGGCCTCTTGTGGAGGTAACCTGTCTCTCTGTTGAACCCATCTTGCGTTTACCGTTTGATTTCTTTTATCGCGTTTTGAAATAAGCAAAGCAAACTTATTTGCAGGCAGTGCATAAATAAATCATCTAACACACACTTAAACCAATGTATTATAAATCTATCTCTCAAGATCCCGTACCTTTTACACCAACAGAACAGTTCTAGTCAATCCAATTTATATCTTCTCTTGTGTTCATAAATGACATTCGTTTCGTAGTTGAAACTAGCCACCTGCGCTCTGTGCAATAGTAAAGTTTTCAGTTCAAAATTGTTTATATACTACTGTTTATCCACCTGCTTTCCCCATATGCGGTTCCTGCAAATACGTACAACATTCATCATGACGTGAGCTCTTGTTAATTCTTTTTTTAATAAAATTGATAAACTATTTGCGGATAGACAAGATATAGATGTTTTATTATGATAGGAACCGGAAAGTTTAGATTTTTCCAACGATTTAACATGACGGTCGATACTATTTTTTCCATAACATTATTTATGTCATACCTACAAATATTAAATCTTCACGTCATAATTTGCATACATAAATAATTTGAATCACACTGACTTATAATCGTCAAGAAGTCAAAATATTTTAAAATTCATTGAAGATCTTGACTGCTTATTTTCTAATTAATTTCTCGCTTATGAAGGGAGAATCTTTTCGGTGGTTCTTAAGCATATCATATTTGTTAAATCTCCGTTTAAAAGATCATGATTGTGAGCATGGATAGATAATTTTAGTCTTTAAAAAAAACGTTATCAAAAACCACACGCAAAAGTATACCAAAGTTCATTTGCCAAATCGTGCCTACAGTACGTGCTAACCTTCAGATAATTCTTATTTATTCATATGAAATACATCATCAGCTTGGATTGCCACGTCATCATAGATCTCATGCATGCAGTAATCTGTAAAACAATATACCTTAAGTAGACTTCATGACACCGAAAGTTTCCTGTAAGTAGAATATTGTGAGTTATCCTGGCACTGCTCTTTTATCACCTGATCCAAATGATGATAGACTGCATGATAAATTATAATAAAACCTTGCAAAGGTTGATGCTTTCACTGCAATTTGTAATACTTAAAAAGTAATTTTTAAACTTAATTGTTTACACCTTTGTAACCTCCGACAACTGTAAGTGTCATGTTGCGTTTGATTTATTAAAATCAATCAAACCTCAACTTTTCTCCAAAGATGGAATTTATTAAACTTTGCGCATGTTCTACTCTTTACATTCATCTCCGCCTCACCCCCCCCGGTTTTGCAAGCTTTGCTTTATGAAAAATAGTTGTTTGAAAGGTTTTATACGTAAGATGCGCAATGATTATACAGAAACGCTATATATCTGATAAAGAACTATAAAGATTATTAAAAAGACATGCATGCTAGTATATAGTCTTTTCTTCCGAAAAATTCACTTCTCAGTTCTGTCTATTCTGTTCTCTTGTAAAATGGATAGCAATTTAAGTCAGTAAACGTGTTGAAGTGCTTTGAAAAGGTCTGGCTGGAGTCACTAATTGTATTTTTCTTGTTCATAGGCTTGCTCAAGTTCCTAAACCATGGAACAAGTCGTATTTATCAGCAAGACTTGCCATGGAACATGATCTGTTCGTGACCAATGCAACAATGTCTGGTGTTCTTGATTTATGGTACAAATCTTTCGGGTGAGTGCGAGAATACAATTTTATAAGTTATGTTTTCAATGCGGTCTAACTAACTGTGTCTTGTCGTGTTTGTTTAGGTCTTTGCGACTTGTTGATATTCAAGATATCAAGAGACGTCCAGAAGCTTTGGAGCTTGCTGTTTTTCAGAATATTGTGATGAAGCATATCGAACTTGCAAGAGAAACCTTGATCAAGAAGTAAGTGGGGTTAACGCGCGTTGTTTGTGAATTACATCTTATATAACAATATTTCAATTATTTTCAAGATGGTTTCCAGAAGTTCAGAATATTTACTATCAAGGAAACAAGCGTAAACTCGTTCCCAGTAATCAGAATTCTCGTCGTCTCGAAGCATTCTTCACCGCAGCCTCGGTTCTGATGACAAATCAATTGCAGAGTCTTGCTTTGCTTTCAATACACGATTATACAAGCCTCTTCTGCCCCCCTCAGGTAATGATAAAATACGTTTACTTTTTGCACGATATTAAACAGTAAAACTGGTGATAAATATTTTCTAATCGATTTTCGTTTTCTATAGGATTCAACAAACGTCTTGGAACATCCAGGTTTTGTGATGAGGCTGGTTATCGATGGTGATTCAATCAAATTTGAACCTGACTTTAAAGATTTCGAAATCGTTCTTATCAATGTTTATGATGTCATGTTGAAAGCTGTTACGATTGTTCCCAGAGTTGAAACAAAATTATATTCAGAATGGGTGAGTTTTGTGCAATGATAACACGGGATTTTGCTTCTTTTTATTCTGTCTGTTTCTTTTTTGTGAAAATAACTGCATCTCTGTTGATCGTTTTAGACTGGCAATAAAAAAGCTACGTTAAAGCCTGTCATTCTGGAGGAAATCCTTGAAGACGTGAAAGCAAAGGTACAAAATAGATCTTGTAGAGAAAAATTTAATCATCTTGTTGAGAAAAATGTAATAATCCATGTTGAGAAATATTTTGTACTTTCATTTCGTAAGGTTCGCGCTGTAGTTGATCAAGAAATGGCGGGTCCTCAAGAACACGTCAAGAAATATGATAAATATTCTGACTTGGTGACCAAGAAAGCTGATGCTGATGTTGAGAGATTTCTACTGGAAGGTCATGATTTTGACCGCTTTGCTGTGGTAGGATTTGTTTTGATGTTTTTGTGAGAAAGATACGAGTGACGTATGAATAAAGAAAACTTCATTCATGATTCATTTATCTCCTTTCAGGAAGTTGGAAAATATGCCAAATTAATTGATGAAATCACGTACAATTCTCAGAAGGTATTTTCCACCGTTCTCTTCTATGTTTTTTCTTTAAAAAATAAGTTTAAATCGGGTCGTATTTTCTTCATAGATCATCCAAGTTGGAATGTTTGAATTGCATTGCGATGAATTGATTCGTGGTTTAGCAAAACGAGCTGACAGTTTGAGAAGTAAATTGTTGCAAAGAATGATCAAAGATCATCAAGTATTGAACAAAAGGTAAAGACTATGAAGACACAAAGGCTGCATGAAGTAGTCTCTCGTTGTTTCTTTCTACAACTTATTCAAAATATTATTTTATTTTAGATTATGTGATGAGTATGAGAAGATCGCTGAGAAAGCGCTGACTTCTCCTGCCAATACTGAACATCTGATGGAGCTCATGGTATGACAATTATACTGTGAACAGGGGGGTGTGGTAACATTGATATGTCTAGCGATAATTTCTTCCCGCGATATTTAGAAATTCGTTGAGAAAGTCGAGAATGAGACGATATTTGAATTGGAAGAACGGTTGACTGAAGCTAAAAATAGACTCGTATTTTTGGTAAGTATTTTATCTCTATTCCTATGAGTGCAAATGTAATCATTTTGAGTGCAAGAAGCGGTCAGGTTCATCTTTATCATAATTTAAAAACCTTGTCTTTCTAATTCCAGGTCGACTATGCGTCGTTTTCTCCAGCAGACATGCGCATGAACAACAATGTATTTCAGTGGCATTTCAGAATGCCTGAAGTTTTTGAAGAGCACAAACAAATTACAAATGCAAATCGTGTTCAGTACGAGAATAGCTTGAAGGTAGTTTTAGTTGTACTCTGCCATTGCCGTTTGTGTCCAAAACAAATGAGCGGGGCTCATATCGGTTTTAATTGCAGATGCGAAGAGAAAGATTTGTGGAGGAATTGGATGGATACAGTAAACAGTTAGAGGAGTTCCAGGTGGGAAATGAGTTTACGTAGAGAAGATTTGAACGTCGTTGAGAATTGTCTTTGTTAGTAGAGAGACAGTTCGTGAAACAATATGATAATATTTTTCATGCTATCCTTGTCAATGTAGACGTTTGGAGATATATCTGAAGTTGGCAGATACGTAAAGAAAGCTCAGGCCTTGCACGCGAGACTAGAGACCGCAGCTGATAAGGTGGAATGTCTTCATCATAACTTTTGGGCGTGGTTGGGTCTGCAGTACATTCTAAAACACTTGCCTGATTTATTTTAGGTGCAATCGTTCAATGACGAGGAAGAAGCGTTTGGTTGGGAGGTGACTTCTTATCCTCAGAGACAACAACTTATGACCACCCTCACTCCGTTTCATAAACTCTATGAAACCACTGTGGAATTTCAAAATAAATACAAGTATGGATGCGTAATTTGACTTGAAACGTACTGATATAGTTATGGATATAAGAATGAAAACGAAGGATAAACCTGTGACTTTTGTTGTCTCTTAGGGATTGGATGGAAGGTCCCTGGGGATCCATCGATCCAGACGTGGTAGATCAAGAAACTGGTAATTTCTGGCGCAGTTTGTACAAGCTTGAGAAGCAATTCAATGACGTACCCAAAGCACAGTCTATTGCTGTTAACGTGAGTTTATTGAGCTGGTTACCAATTTTGATTAAATTACCCTTCTGGATTTAAATTGATTGTATTTTTGCAGATGAAAGCGAAAGTGGATGAGTTCAAAGGTCACATGCCATTGGTTCAAGTTGTATTTAATCCGGGTCTACGTGAACGTCATTGGTTACAGATGAGCGATATCATTGGCTACACAATCAGAGCTGACGAAGACATGAATCTCGCCAAGATGGTCGACATGAAGCTTGAGCCATATTTGGCAAAGTTTGAAGGAATTAGCGAGGCAGCAAGCAAGGAATTCTCGCTGGAGAAAGCCATGGAGAAAATGATGCATGAATGGGACGACGTAAGATTGAGCCCGGGAAACGAAATTATAATTCGCTCCTCGATGTTATCTTGTAGCCATGATACAGTTGTTGTACAGAAACATTTTATGCTTTATAAATTTTCTTTTTAGATGATTTTCAATTTTATTCCATACCGTGAAACTGGAACACACATTCTCTCTGCCATTGATGAGATCCAGACATTACTGGATGATCAGATTGTTAAAACACAAACAATGAGAGGATCGCCGTTCATCAAACCATTTGAAACAGAAATTAAGTAAGTTACACAAAATATTTTAGCGTGTGAAAATAAAGAATGCTAACTTGTGCATGACAACCCTCGTGTTTCAGGGAATGGGAAGCAAAATTAATGTTGCTTCAAGAAATTCTCGATGAATGGCTGAAGGTTCAAGCAACGTGGCTGTATTTAGAACCAATCTTTAGTTCACCTGATATCATGGCGCAAATGCCTGAGGAAGGAAGACGATTCACAACAGTTGATAAACATTGGAGAGAACTCATGAAACAAGCGTTACAGGTACTGCGTGTACATGCAATTATCGTGAAAATTGTTGGTGTACCATTTGACTCCCTAGATGATGAATAGTTTAATTATCATCTCTCAGGATACTCACGTATTAGCCGTGACAAATATTGAAAAGATGTTGGAGAAGTTAAAGAAATCAAACGAGCTGTTAGAACTTATATTGAAGGTATGATTGTCTAGTTTATGCCCAACATTTCATCAAGGAAGCATTGAAGTTCCGGGCCCCATGTATATCTTCTCAGGGCGTTTTAATTTCGTCAAGTCTTCATTTGTAATGGTGTCCTCTGTTTTATTTTGTAGGGTTTGAACGAATATCTGGAGAAGAAACGTTTGTACTTTCCTCGCTTTTTCTTTCTATCAAATGATGAGTTACTTGAGATCTTATCAGAAACTAAAGATCCTACGAGGTACTGTAGCTATGAACTTGCTTGCGGCGAAATCCTTCGAAATCATCATCACCGGTGATAGTCTCGCTGGTTATAATCTTGTTTTTCCATCCAATATAGAGTACAGCCTCACTTGAAGAAGTGCTTCGAGGGTATTGCAAACCTGGAGTTCACAGATGTTCTTGATATAACTCACTTGAAGAGTTCTGAGGGTGAAGTCGTTGAACTGAAGGATGTCATCTCTACAGCCAAAGCCAGAGGTCAGGTCGAGAAATGGCTGTTGGAACTTCAAGAAGATATGTTGACGAGTGTGAAGAAGGTTGGAGATTTCTGTTATTTCTCTTTGTGTGTAAACTTCGGGTCTTAATTATTGTTTTCATCGTCGCAGGTGATCATGGAGTCAATTGAAGCGTACAACAAGACAGAGCGTGTCGTATGGGTCAGAGAATGGATGGGACAAGCAGTCCTTTGTGTGAGTCAATATTATTGGACAGCTGAGATACACAAGGCAATTAAAGGTGGTCCAAAGGTATGTAATTCCTTGAGACGTCAATACAAGAACTGTATTCGTATTATAACATTCGAGAATATTTCTTTGCAGGCCTTGAATGATTATCTTCAATTAAACAACCATCAAATCGATGATATTGTCGCTCTTGTTCGAGGCAAGCTTTCCAAACAGAACCGCGCCACATTGGGTGCCTTGGTGGTATTGGACGTTCACGCGAGAGATGTGTTGGCACAGCTTGCTAATGATGGTAAGAAATATTGAAATACTATAACAAGAGAATATTATTGATGCAATAGTGTTTTTTTACCTAAATCATGTTTCAGGCGTTGAGAATGAAAACGATTTCAACTGGCTTGCGCAACTTCGTTATTATATTGAGGTAAGCTTTCATCCTCGTCAGAACTCTGTTATTGTCCTAAATTGTAGTTGCATCAACAGTCAATACGCTCTAATGCGTCGTCTTCTCTTTCACAGGAAGGTAACATCACAACTCGTATGATCAGCGCTCAGCTCAACTATGGCTACGAATATCTCGGGAACTCCGGGCGTCTTGTGATCACACCGTTGACTGATCGATGTTATCGAACGTTATTTGGAGCGTTGCAACTTCACTTGGGCGGAGCTCCTGAGGGTCCTGCAGGGACAGGAAAGACAGAGACTACAAAAGATCTGGCCAAAGCTGTTGCTAAACAATGCGTTGTTTTCAATTGTTCGGATGGATTGGATTATATCGCTTTGGGAAAATTCTTCAAGGTGAGAAAGATAAACTAACTTTTTTTATAAAGAAGTACTCTTACTGTACATTGACTGTTGACTACATCTCTGAACGACTTTGATCTTTTAGGGTCTCGCGTCTTGTGGGGCGTGGTCATGTTTTGATGAATTCAATCGTATTGATCTTGAAGTACTTTCTGTGGTGGCTCAACAGATTTTGACCATTCAAATGGGTAAGAAACACACTTATCATCGTGAGCGCAGCCATCAACAACCAGTAAATTCTCCATCACGATCTTTCTAGGTATCAATTCTGGTAATGACACGTTGCTGTTTGAAGGAACTGAAATTAAACTCGACCCATCATGCGCTGTTTTCATCACCATGAATCCAGGTTATGCTGGAAGATCAGAGCTGCCAGATAATTTAAAGGTTAAGGATCCTTTCAAAATACTTCTTTTACAACTGAGTTCCGCTTTCAATCCAAAAGACTTTCCCCGAATAGATATTTGTTTAGTTGGTACATTTTTTCTTCATTTAAAGTTGATATTCCAATGATATTTTCCAGGCATTGTTTCGTAGTGTTGCTATGATGGTTCCTGACTATGCATTGATTGCGGAGATATCTCTATATTCATACGGCTTTGTCAATGTAAGTGGAATGTGTTTTCGACTCAAAATGATTCGCAGCTTTCAAAACCTTCGAGTATTTTATTTTGTAGGCAAGACCTCTCGCCGTAAAGATTGTCACAACCTACACATTGTGTTCTGAACAACTGTCATCACAACATCATTATGACTATGGTATGAGAGCTGTCAAGTCTGTTTTAACAGCCGCTGGAAATCTGAAGGTAAAGTACACTATACCAACACCTGGTTGTGCTTTCGATAGCCAGCTTTACTTGTACACGAGGATCCTGTGTTAGATTACCTTTTTCGAGAAGAGTTAGAATCAGGGAGGTCGTTCTTGTAACGTCTACCCTCTGTTGTTTACAGCTGAAATACCCGGATGAGAACGAGGAAATCCTGATGTTAAGATCAATCAACGATGTCAACTTGCCAAAGTTTTTGTCCCATGACTTACCACTGTTCGAGGTAGGACTCGGCTTTTTTGAATGAAAAAAGTTCTTCACACGAATTCTCTAATCTGGTATGTGTTTATCCACGACCACAGGGCATTACATCAGATCTGTTTCCTGGTGTTAAACTTCCTGAGCCTGACTATACCACGCTCGCTGCTGCCATTAAAGAGAATTGCAAGGAAATGAATCTTCAAGTGACTGATGTCTTCCAAACAAAAATACTTCAGGTATGAAAATTTGGAGAAATTTGCTGGGACCGTTTAATGTTAAAGCTTAAATTTTTTGTGAATTTGTAACAGATTTATGAAATGATGATTGTTCGTCATGGTTTCATGATTGTTGGGGAGCCATTCGGTGGAAAAACGATGGCATATAGAGTACTCGCTAAATCTTTAACTGATATTGCAGAAAAGGTAATGTATTCCTCCATTTCTTCTCTATCCTTGTCTCTGGGGAATGAGGTATAATGAGGTTATGCCTCATTCGATCGGTGAATTTTTTTTGGTTTTTTTGCAGGGTCTAATGGATGAAAACAAAGTCCAGATTGTTGTTATAAATCCCAAATCAATCACGATGGGTCAACTTTACGGTCAGTTTGATCCAGTGTCTCATGAATGGTCTGATGGAGTGTTGGCTGTCAACTACAGAGCGTTTGCCACATCACCTGTGAGTATGATTAGGAAGGATTAGACATTGATAATTGACAGACATTGACGTACACAATCTTTCAGACTGCAGATCGTAAGTGGCTCATCTTCGATGGTCCCGTCGACGCAGTGTGGATTGAAAATATGAACACTGTACTGGATGACAACAAGAAGGTATAAACCATCTTCTTCATCATTTCATCATCCTACATGTGATTGGGTTAACCTTTTATTATAAATGTCTTTCAGTTGTGTTTAAACAGTGGTGAAATTATACAGTTGGCGTCCACGACGAATTTGATGTTTGAACCTATGGATTTAGAAGTTGCTTCGCCTGCTACTGTAAGTTAGCTTGGAAATTTAACCATTGAATGTGATGACAGGGAGATTTTGAATGGTGAATGTGTTGTATAAATGTTCACTTTCTCGTGTTTAGGTGAGTCGTTGTGGTATGATTTACATGGAACCAGAAATGTTGGGATGGAGACCATTGTTGTTATCATGGTTAAATACATTACCCAAGACTTTGAAAGAAGATAATAAAGAACTGATACGAGATCTGTTTGACAGAATGGAGACAGCACTGCTGCAGTTTGTGCGAAAAGGAGGTCATAAGGTAAATGAAACGTGTTTTGAAATTATCATTATTGCGCAGCTGCTCGGATCCCCACTCCAAAGGCTCCACACTGCTGGGATCCACACTCGAAAAGGCTTATCTTGTAAGTTTTATGATATTTTTTCTAGGAATTATCTCCCACAAACGATGCTAATCTCGTTTACTCTCACATGAGTTTGATGGAGACGTTGATGGATGAATTCCAAGATGAAGAAGAATTTAAAAAACTAAACGAACGTGAAGTCACAGCTTGGCTCGAGGTAGAGCTTTGCAAACAATCCGCTGTGAACAAGGATATTTTTTCTGCACAGATTCTTTCTATTCATGGCTTTGTATGCAATCTTTACATTCTCAATTTTAGTGTATTTATCTGTTTGCTGCTGTTTGGTCGTTGGGCGCGACAATACCAGCTGATGGACGAAAGGCGTTTGATGCAGTGTTTCGAGAAATCATCGATGTAAGTTTTAGAAAGTATTTTCCCGTTCATTTCTGCCTCTTGCAGTGGATTGTATCCAAAGATTGATATTTGACACTATTTGTTTTCAAGGGTGCTCTATCATTGGAGACAAAAGGAAAATATCACATCATTGCGATCGTTGATCCTCCACCAAGGCCGTTCTTGTGTCCTTTCCCTCACAAGGGAATGGTTTATGACTATCGTTTCATCAAAGAGGTAAAACAACTATAATGAGTCTGTATTCAATCTGCGTCATGCTGGTCTTGCTGGACTACAACAAGATGTTAAAACTTTAGATCTTTACCTGCCTTAATCCTTTTCTATTAGGGAATGGGTAAGTGGGAGATGTGGACAGACGAGATCAAGGATGCCCCACCAATTCCAAAGGTAATTCGTGTTGTGATATCTCTAGACCAAGGGACATTAGATTGCGATCTTCATGTTTGACTTCCTGAGTTTTCCTGAACGTTTGAGCTTTCTGTTTAGGAAATGATGTTTAACGAAATCATCGTACCAACCGTGGATACCGTCAGATATACATTTCTTATGAATCAACTTGTCTCTCATCAAAAACCATGTCTGTTTGTTGGTCCAACTGGCACAGGAAAGTCTGTGTACATCACGGTAAATAATTCATGACATTGATCATAATTTACGCTACGCGTTTGAGATGTTTTTTCCTTTGCTTTCAGAACTTTTTGTTGAACAATCTTTCTAAAGAGAAATACAAGCCTCTGCTGATTAATTTCTCGGCTCAGACAACTGCTAAACAAACTCAGGACATAATCATGTCAAAATTAGACAAAAGAAGAAAAGGAGTGTTTGGTCCACCGCTGGGAAAGAAGACGGTAATTAGACGCCTTTCACAAAGATATTCATACAGTATTTACATAACTCAGTGATTCAATTTTATGCATTCTTTTATTGAAACTAGGTTATATTTATCGATGATTTGAACATGCCAGCACGTGAAGTCTATGGTGCTCAACCGCCTATTGAACTCATACGACAGTGGCTTGATCATTGGAACTGGTAAGATACAATGTACTAGCTTAACCTCAATACAATCATATGTTTTAGTATTTACCATCTTTACTGCTTAGGTACGACCTTAAGGACACCACTCCCATACATCTGGTGGACATTCAAATAATCGCTGCCATGGGTCCTCCTGGAGGTGGCCGGAATCCGGTAACCCCTCGATTCCTACGTCATTTCAATACCATAACCATTACAATGTTTGATGACGTAACCATGTTGAAGATATTTGGCCGAGTAATGGACTGGCATCTAACCACAAAGTATGTTCAAGGATATCATTCTTTCTGTTGAAGAAAGATTTTGATTTTATCAACTTCCATTTTCAGAGGGTTCACTCGTGATTTTCTTCCTGTTGGTGAGGCTATTGTGAATGCAACTCTGTCAGTCTACAAGAATGCCATGTCTAACTTATTGCCAACGCCTGCGAAATCACACTATCTCTTCAATCTCAGGGATTTCGCTCGGGTTGTACAGGTAAAAGAATTGCGTCGAGCTTGATCACGGATATTTATTCGAAACATTTTTTCATCATGTTGTAAACGTGTTTTTTCCTGCAGGGTGTTCTGTTATCAACGCCTACGACCACCCCAGATCATAACACACTAAAGCGGCTGTGGGTTCATGAGGTATGTCTAGAATGGTTATTATTACAACTACAGAAGAACAACGAAAGAGATTCAAACTATGCCACATTCTATTTGGTCGTGAGAACCGTTTCCTATATTCTTCGTCATGATGTAATCTTGCGGTATTCTCTTTTCCTCACCAGGTATTTCGCGTGTATTATGATCGTCTGGTAGACAACGCAGATTGTTCTTGGTTATTTGATTTCACGAAAGACGAGACGAAGAGAAGTTTGGGCGTTGAATTCAACTCCTTGTTCGAACACTTGGATGTGAAAGCAACGGGAACGGTCACTGAAGACAATCTTCGTAGTTTGATCTGTTGTGATTTCGCTGACCCGAAGAATGACAGCAAACCGTATGTTGAGGTCGCTAATCTGGATAATCTTCGAAAAGTTGTTGAAGGATATTTGGACGAATTTAATAATATGAGCAAAAAGCCTATGAACTTGGTTTTGTTCAGGTAAGAAGTGTTTCGTTAAAAATACTGAAATTACAGTGACAGGAACCAAAAGCTGATGGAAATTTGAATTTTAGATTTGCGATCGAACACGTCTCTCGTATCTCCCGTGTCTTAAAACAACCGCGTGGCCACGCCCTGTTGGTTGGTGTTGGTGGCTCAGGTCGTCAAAGTTTGACAAGATTAGCAGCGCATATGGCCGATTACGAACTCTTTCAGGTGCGAAACTTGTTGACTAAAACATCAATGTACCGCTGAAATATTTACAAGTATTTTATCATTCACATTCCATCTCTCAAGAATCTTTTATGAACTCGTATTATAGAATATGGAAAATATTGTAATTATTTGACTTGTATAGGTTGAGATCGGAAAGGGATACACCTCGGTTGAATGGCGAGAAGATTTGAAGGTTATTTTACGAAAAACAGCCGAAGGTGAACAGCCTGGGGTGTTCCTATTTACAGACACACAGGTAAGAATGATATAGTTTGTTTGAATAAAAACAGTGTTTACATTTTCTTTTCTTCTTACTCTAGATTAAAGAAGAATCCTTCTTGGAAGATATCAACAATTTGTTGAACGCAGGAGAAGTTCCAAATTTATTCGCCCTGGATGAGAAACAGGAAATTTGTGAGAAGATGCGTGCTTTTGACAGGTACATTATCGTCTTCATGCGATATTTTGTTAGTGATTCTTCTGTATAGTATTTCTGAATGTCGTTTGCTTTCCTCAGACAACGGGAGAAGTCCAAACAAACAGATGGCTCACCTGTGGCATTATTTAATTTCTTTATCGAACGTGTTCGTAACCAACTTCATATTGTCCTCGCTATGAGCCCTATTGGTGATGCTTTCCGGACGAGATTACGAAAGTTTCCATCACTCGTCAACTGCTGTACGATAGACTGGTTTCAGGTAAGAATCACAGAATCAAGAAGTTAATCTCAAGGACTGAATTCATGTATTTAGGGATTTAGCTGCTGAACATGGAGGTTATTACTCAGCTCACATCCCTTTATCTTTTCCAGTCCTGGCCAGCAGACGCACTGCAGGTTGTTGCCCAGCGGTTTCTTGCGGAGACAGAGATGTCTTCTTCTGTCCGAGGTGGTTGTGTTTTGATGTGTCAGGAATTCCACACTGGAACACGTGATCTGTCCATGAAATTCCTCAATGAACTAAAACGTCATAATTACGTCACACCGACTTCATATCTGGAATTAATCAACACCTTCAAGGTTTTGTTGCAAAAGAAACAAGGGTATGCCACAAATATATATTGTTACAAAAGCCTTTCACGATATCATAGTTTATAGAAAAAGTTCCTGGATATATTAAGAGACTTTTAAATCGTGTTTTGACATTAAAATATCTGAAATTTATAGAGAGGTCACGCAAGCGAAAAACAGATACGAAGTTGGTCTACAAAAATTGAAGACGGCTGCTTCAGAGGTTTGTTAAATGATTTGAGCTGGGAAATATTTGAAGAGTCTTGAAGCAATATTTTGTTTCTTTCAGGTTTCAGTGATGCAACGAGAACTGGAAGAACTCCAACCTCAGCTTGTTGTTGCCGGTAAAGAAGTTGACGAGATGATGATTGTGATTAAGAAAGAATCTGCTGAAGTTGCCGAGACTGAGAAGGTAAGAATGATTGACTTTGCGTAAAGGAAGCAATATCTTGAAGCGGAGAACCTACGCTGTCTAAAACCAAGCAATATGTGTTTATTTCTTCACTCTATCTTCCACTAGATTGTAAAAGCCGACGAGGCGGTTGCCAACGAGCAAGCCAGAGCTGCCCAGGCAATCAAGGATGAATGTGATCATGATCTTGGAGAAGCATTGCCCATCTTGGAAGGTGCCTTAGCTGCCCTCAATACTCTGACAAATCAAGATATTACTATTGTCAAGACGATGAAAAGTCCTCCATATGGAGTCAAGATTGTCATGGAAGCTATTTGTGTATTGAAAGGCGTCAAACCTGACAGAATACCTGATCCCTCTGGTTCAGGTGAGAGCTCCTAAACTTTTCATATTTAACAAGTCTCTGTAACATTTCGCCAATAGAAATACTGTAATAGCAATTCTGTCGTTGATATCATTGTTAATGCACTATTTATCAGCCATTACTGAATGAATATTTTAGGTAAGAAGATTGAAGATTTCTGGGGTCCATCGAAGAAAATTCTCGGTGACATGAACTTTTTGAAAAGCTTGCACACTTATGATAAGGTATTGCCCTTTGACTCACAAACTGAGCTTTTCTACTATGTAATGTGTATTATAAACAGTCTGTATTTGTTGTAGGATAATATCAATCCAGCTATAATAAAAACCATTCGTCAAAAGTACACATCGAATTCCGAATTTGATCCAGAAAAGATTAAGACTGCATCAACCGCTGCTGAAGGACTGTGTAAATGGGTGATAGCTATGGATCAGTATGATAAGTAAGTGATATTGAGGGGCAGTGCATGCCATCACTTAGACGTCCCGCATGTGAACGCCGGTTTAACTAAGTACTCATGTTGATATTTTAGAGTTGCACGTGTCGTCGCACCGAAGAAAGAAGCTCTAGCAGCAGCCGAGGCAGAACTTGCTGTAGCGATGGAGGTTTGTTTTTTCCAACTCTCTATATCAATACGTCCCGTTGATCTGTTTTTTCATCTGCCACACCAACTTCTAGTCTTGTTGCGCTGGTAAAAACTCCACCAAACATAGATGAGTTATTTATGTTTAGGGTTTAGAAAAGAAACGTGCTGTCCTTCGGGAAGTCCAGGAGAAACTTGCCAGACTTCAGGAGAAGTTTGAAGCGAACGTGAAACGAAAGGGTGAACTGGAACATCAGGTGCTGTGTTTAAAGTTGATTGTGCAGTCTAATTGTTGCTTCTAGTGGATTAGACTTTTTTATTTTCGATCCTGTTAGGTTGACATGTGCTCCAAGAAACTAGAGCGTGCAGAGAAATTGATCAGCGGTCTGGGTGGTGAGAAGACAAGGTAAAAATTGCCCCAGACTGACCGTAGTCTGAAATACTATCGGAAGCGGCGAATTCTATGTGTTCACTTGAACTCTCTGATTCAACCTATCTTGCACCTTCTTCACTAATGTGGTGTTCTGTATTCAGATGGACAAGTGCTGCAGAGGAACTAGGAATATTGTTTAAAAACTTGGTCGGAGATGTTCTTATTTCATCAGCTGTCGTTGCATATCTTGGTGCTTTTACATCGGCATTTAGACAGGTTTGCATACATAATAATAATTCTCAACTTATAGTTGATGATTGTGTTCTAATATCTAACCGTTGCCTGCATCAAATCTTGTGCATTTTGTAGGACCAAATCAAGCAATGGCAGAAGCAGTGTGTTGAAAATGGTATCCCATGTTCGAAAGATTTCTCTGTCACAGGAACATTTGGTGATCCTGTGAAAATTCGAGATTGGAATATCTGGGGTTTACCAACAGACTCTTTCTCTGTCGAGAATGGTATTATCATTAGGTAAGAATCTGTGAACTAGATATGAATAAAGATATGGACAATAATATTTCAGTTACTTGCAATTATTTGCCTTTGGTCGTATTTAGCAATGCAAATCGCTGGCCACTGTGTATCGATCCTCAAGGTCAGGCGAACAAGTGGATCAAAAATATGGAGAAGAAAAACAACTTGCACGTGATTAAGTTGACGGATCAGGATTATGTAAGAACATTGGAGAACTGTATTCAATTTGGGACACCTGTGAGTATTAGCATTGTTTACTAGTTGCTTATCACGTCATACAACTGCACATTATTCACTTTACTTTATTTCATTTCAGGTACTCTTAGAAAACGTGGGTGAAGAACTCGATCCTGTCTTGGAACCTTTGCTACTGAAACAAACTTTCAAACAAGGCGGGAGTATTTGCATCAAGCTGGGAGACAGCGTCATCGAGTATTCGAAAGATTTCAGGTTTTACATGACCACCAAACTTCGCAATCCACACTATCTCCCAGAGACGTCAGTTAAAGTAAGTGTGAGCTTCCTGTTTCCAGTAGCACTATCCATACTTCAACTAACTTTACATATACCTTTAGGTGACCTTACTGAACTTCATGATCACTCCAGAAGGTTTAGAGGATCAGTTATTGGGTATTGTGGTTGCGCGAGAACGACCTGAACTGGAAGAAGAGAAGAATGCTTTGATCATACAGAGTGCAGAAAACAAGAGGTGAAGAATAATTTACATCTTTCTGCTAAATGATTCCGATGTGGATGTACTGTATGTTTTCTTGTTTCTTCAACAGGCAACTGAAAGAAATTGAAGATAAAATTCTTTCTATTTTGTCATCGGAAGGAAATATTCTTGAAGATGAGACGGCAATCAATGTTTTGTCTTCATCAAAAGTGCTTGCAAATGAGATTTCAGAAAAACAGGTAATATATTATCCATAACACTTTTTCATGTTCTCCTTATTCAATACTCATTTAATATGATTTATTTCAAACTAGGCAATCGCAGATGAGACTGAAGAGAAGATAGACAAGACGCGTATGGGTTACGCCCCTATTGCCGTTCATTCATCAATCTTATTCTTTTCCATCGCTGACTTGGCGAATATTGAGCCAATGTACCAATACTCGCTAACATGGTTCATTAATCTCTTCATCATGTCCATTGATAATTCAGAGAAGAACGATGTTGTTGAGAAAAGGTATTCTTTTTTCATCATTTTGGTCATTTGATGTTGCTGTTGACAAGATCTTCTTTTATTTCTTAGATTGGAAATCCTACGCGAGCATTTTACATATTCACTTTACTGCAATATCTGCCGTTCATTGTTTGAGAAAGACAAGGTAAGCTTGGTCAGCTTTTTTGGCGTTTTTTTCTTTCTCAATGAAAGTCGATAAATTTATGGAAATTTCATCTTCATTTTAGTTGCTGTTCTCTCTGTTGCTTTGTGTTAATCTGCTAAAAGGAAAGAAAGAAGTTGAGGAGGAGGAGTGGAAGTTTCTTTTAACTGGTGGCGTGGGTCTTGATAATCCTCATGAAAATCCGTGTAGTTGGTTGCCAGCAAGATCTTGGGATGAAATGTGCAGACTGGATGATTTGAAGACGTATGTTCGTTGTTTTTCTAGATTGTAATAGCTATTGGTTGAGCTGTTCGTTGGAGGGAGAGCCTAGGAGGCGTATAGTTGCTTGTCGAGAGTCAGTGTTGAATACAACGTCATTCCTATAACGTTTCATTAATTTTTTAGCTTCAAAGGTTTCCACAGGAAATTCAAAGGTCACGTTGAGGGATGGAAAACAATTTATGACAGCAATGTAAGTGAAGATCGAATTGAATTCGCGAGAAGAAGACTATTTTAATTTTCAAACTCTTACCTTGCCTTCTAGGAACCACAAAACGAGCCCTTACCTGGAGAATGGGATGAAAAACTCGACGAATTTCACAAATTGATTGTTCTCAGATGTCTCCGACCAGATAAGGTGACTAGTTTACTACTGCAACGTATTTACTGTTTTCTAACCATGGAAAGTCGAAATACATATGTTGAAATCTTGTTTGCTAATCCTTTTAGTATTCTTCTGTTAAACGCTTTTCTTTGTATTCTTAGGTAACACCAGCAGTTCAACAGTTTGTAAAAATCAAACTTGACAAACGATACATTGAGCCACCGCCATTTGATCTTGCAAAAGCATTTGCTGACTCAGCATGTACAGCACCTCTGATCTTCGTGTTGTCTCCTGGTTCAGATCCAACGGCTGCTTTACTCAAGTTTGCTGATGATCAGGTATTTATTGTCGTTGCTACTACTGACTGCATTTACTTTAGGTTGTCCTTTCTCTTCTGACAATATATAAAAAAAGATGATGTGTATGTTTTAGGGATTCAGTGGTTCAAAGTTGAGTTCTCTATCACTCGGTCAAGGTCAAGGACCTATCGCAATGCGCATGATCGAGAAAGGAACAAAAGAAGGGACTTGGGTTGTTCTGCAGAATTGTCATCTGGCGACATCATGGATGCCGACATTAGAGAAAGTTTGCGAGGTTCGTTTTCTTGAACGTGTTTTTCTCTTCATTGCAAGGATAGAAAGTTGATCATGTTCTCACTCTTTCTAGGAATTCAACCCTGATACAACTCATCCAGATTTTCGTCTGTGGTTGACGAGTTACCCGAGTCCCAACTTTCCTGTTTCGGTTCTTCAAAATGGCGTCAAGATGACGAATGAGCCTCCCAAAGGACTTCGGGCCAACATTATTCGCTCGTATTTAAGCGATCCAATCTCCGACCCCGAGTTTTTCACGACCTGCAAGAATCCGGTGAGAATTACGTGATGTTTGAAAACATTTTTGGATCTGCCACCTAATGATAGAGTGCCTTTATTGATGTAAAATATTTGTACTTAATTTAGGGGCCATTCAAAAAGCTGTTGTTTGGTTTATGTTTCTTCCACGCACTCGTACAAGAAAGACGAACATTCGGTCCTCTTGGCTGGAATATTCCGTACGAATTCAACGAAACAGACCTTCGTATCAGTGTCCGTCAACTTCACATGTTTTTGGATGACTATAAGGTATGTATGTCGCAAGTATTAAAGCAGTTCCATGCACTTGACTTACTCAGACTCGTGTGAAACAATCATTTTTTCATTGCAGGACGTTCAGTATGCAGCATTGGCTTATCTTACAGGAGAATGTAATTATGGAGGTCGTGTAACAGACGATAGGGACAGAAGAACAATATTAACTATACTTGATAAGTTTTATTGCTCGGATATTCTTGATCCCAGTTATGCCTTCTCTGCCAGTGGAAATTACTACGCCCCAAAAGAAGGAGAGGTTTGTTCTTGTGTTAACTCATTATTCTGCGTTTCATATAACTTACGAATGAGTTTTATTTCTATAGTATGAATCATATCTGGAGTACACGCGTGGTCTTCCACAGATAACCCACCCTGAAGCGTTTGGCATGCATGCAAACGCTGATATTTCCAAAGACCAACAAGAAACACATCAACTCTTCACTAACATACTCCTTACTCAGGTACGCTTTCGTGTTGAAAAGCTTTGTAAAACAGTTTCCATTTTATTTGTTGCCAGTTTACCATCATCTTGTGTTTGTCTCTATAGTCGCGAACCTCGTCAGGCGGAGGTAAATCAGATGATGAAATCATTCAATCTGTTGCTGCTGATATTCTTAGCAAGATGCCTCCAGGTTTTGACACAGAAGCAGCGTTACGCAAATATCCAACAACCTACACACAGGTATAAACTTCAACGGGAAATCTTTTATCTAGAAGCTCACTTGTGTTGCAAAATTTTTTTCGTGCTTTATGATAATTTTTTAAATCCTTCATTATTAGAGTATGAATACTGTGTTGGTCCAAGAAATGGTTCGGTTTAACAGACTGACTGAAGTTGTTCGTAGTAGTTTAAGAAATCTTCAGAAAGCTATCAAGGTATTGACACACTGTTTCATATAAATTGAAACATCCCTGTCTCTCTAATTGAAGGTTTATGTTTACCTAGGGTCTTGTTGTCATGTCGAGTGAACTAGAGGAAGTAGTCGATAGTATTTTGAAAGGTCGTATTCCTGGTTTGTGGATGAAGCGTTCATATCCATCACTCAAACCTCTTGGAAGCTACGTCAGTGATCTTGTTGCCAGACTCAAATTCCTACAAGTAAGCATGCTTTCTTATTGAGGACTCGCTGTATTTTGACTGTGGTTTAAAATGAAATGGCATGAGCAATGTTGTCGATATCTGAACTTAAATCTTTCATTTAATTTCTTGCAAGGACTGGTACGAAGTCGAGGCGCCTCCAGTCTTTTGGATATCTGGTTTCTTCTTTACACAGGCTTTCCTGACAGGTCAGTTGTAACAACAGAACATTTGGGAATAACAACATGAGAGTAACCAAGACGTACTTTATATTCCTCAGGTTCAAAGCAGAATTACGCGAGAAAATATACCATTCCCATTGATTTATTGACATTCGATTTCCAAGTTTTGGATGATAAAAAATATTCCGCTCCTCCAGAAGATGGTAAGATATATTTCTTGAGCTCCACTTCGTAATATGAAGTCAATCATCAAGGTTACGCAATGATTTTACCCGAGAACATCCATTTTTCAGGAGTCTATGTCAACGGTCTGTTCATGGAAGGTGCAAAGTGGGATCGAGGAAATAAAGTTATTGGTGAATCTATTCCAAAGGTTTTGCATGACACTATGCCAGTGGTAAGATTTTTCACGATTTTTAAGCAATGATTACCCACTTTGTCGTATTGTCTGAAAGGATCTCAATTGTCAAAACGTTGTTTACAGATGTGGTTAATACCTTGTAAAAAAGATGATATTCAAAACGTCCCTCATTATCTTTGTCCTGTGTACAAGACTAGCGAAAGACGTGGTACACTATCAACCACTGGTCACTCCACTAACTTTGTTATGGACATGCGCATTCCCTCTGATCAGCCGCCATCCCATTGGATCATGCGCGGTGTTGCCATGTTGTGTCAGCTTGATAATTGAATCCCATTATTTTTCTTACGTGTACCTAAAGCATTCTTCTGTAAATTAATTTCTGTAAATATCGACACGGAATCCTGCCTTGGGTTTTTGTTGTATTTTTTGTAGTGTATCAATGAATCTTGATATAAAGTATCGAATATATGAAATGTGTAATTTTATTTTGTAAAAAGTAAGTACAACGCGAAACACCTGGAAGAGAAAATATTCGGTTTTACACAAGGTACGTCGCTTTGTTACAAGATTGCATGAATTCAGAGCACTCAAACACAGTCATTTTGTTGCTTTGTTTTTCAGAGACCAGCAATGGTGATTATGATTGGTACAATTTCTTTCCTTGATGAAAAATCATTGTGGTAACGTTAGTGTTGGTTTTCACCTTTGCATGAAGGTAAATTAGTACATTATTTTGAGTACAGAGGAATGTTTCGTTAATCGCAAATCATACTTAAGCGAGCAATGGCCTTGTCAACCAACTTGCAAGTTTCTGCAAGTCTCTTTGCTAAGGTCTTTGGCCCTCAGAAAAACACTGTGTGTACAATAAGATGCAATAATTGAGAGTCAATATATGGAAACAATCTTTTTAAATATGAACTGGGTAGATTACAAAGATTTACTACATACATATGCCAAATACACCGTAACAATTGTTGGCATTTTCTCAAACCTAATACGTTTGTTAAAATTTGAAAAATCTTTCCAACTACAAAATAGTCAAATGCTATTTTTCATTAGTATGTTATTATTATCAACCACGTGCACAGTGCATTGTTTACCAAAGCAACTGTCAGTCTGCCAGTATCATTTCAAGCACTAAAACGTGCTACATGCATTCCTGGTAAAAAGTCTGATGGCGCCATGGACCAGCAAGAGAAATATTTCGCTCGCTAGTTAATCAAGTACAATACACACGTGATATGATATCAATTGAAGAAATCTCTAATTCAAAACTCCTCACAAGTTTATTACGCACGAAAAGCTAAAATTGAATGTAACTCCGGTTATAAAATGTTTACTGTTCAAACAGACGACATTTTTTATCCTAGCCGTCCAGTTGATACTTTTTCTTGAGATCGTCCGTTCGCGATCCTGAAGGCTTCACTTTCTTCGACATTAATGGCGTACGTCGCCGTTTATTCTTCTTATCTTTGTCTTTGGTGCTGACTGGTTCGTAGTCTTTATTTCGAGGCATTTTACAAAAGAAGATATACAGCACCAATAGAATGACAATCAGAAGTAAAAAGAGGGCGCAGGCTAGAAGGACGTAAACTAAAACAGCTTCCTTTGCTGGCTTATCACAATCTCCATAATACCAATCATCTTCATCGCAAGCATTACGTTCATCTCGTAGGTTTTCTGGAAGGCAGGATTTTCCCGAGAAACACCATGAACATTTCATGTGTTGGGAACAGTTCTGACAAGAGCGATACATGCTACAATCAATACCTGTCGTTGGCGGATCTAAAAAGAACAAAATCATTCTGATAAAAATCGCCTTCAACTGATTTACTCATGGTATCTCGATCCTGAGAATGCTTATCAAATCATTCTACCTCAGTAGAGAAAAGGTGTTATTACTGTTATATGTATGTGAGAGCGATCCTCTCAAAATACCCAGCAAATGACCTTCGTCGGAAACCAAATTATTGCAGATTAATTTGAGATCCAGGCAGTTAGAAGTTAAAATCTACGAGGCACACACAAAACTTTATCATTGATCTGTACAAAATCTAAAATTTTGACAGACTCTATATTCGAGGGAATATTCTACGCAACATTCCAAATACTGTCATCCATGACAACTATTAAGACGGAATTCAGGCGTGACCTCTATATGTTAGCGAAATAGCATTGGATAAATCTCGTTATTCGTTCAAACAGGTTGTATCTCTCCTGCAGAATCCTAGTAATGCTCTTATTTCTTAGCTCAGGTAATTTAAGCTGATGGCTGGCTAGCCAGAATTCTCACTTCCAAATTTGTAGATATTAAATTTGCGTGGCCGTATTCAGGCATGGAATCTGATACTGACTTTGACTTGTATTTGTCAAACAGTTATGGCCATTGCAATAGCTATCCAAGGCACAGTATATATACAAATTAACCGTCTATTTCGACATTCAAGTCACCAATACCTTCACGAATTATGGAGTCAAAATGTTGGCTTAATACTTCTGTAGTCAGGCTAACGCATGGACACGATATACTCACACATGACTGCAATTTGGGAAGAGAAAAATTATAGTGATATTATACTGTGAATAATGATTATTCTTTGAACATGTAAGCTCTATTCGACCAAGCAGTTTTGACAATTTGACAAGCTCCTTAACATACAAAATATTAACAGCAAAACGGGTTGTCGTGCGTCTGTAACAAAGTTGAAATACCTACCAGTCGTCGCTGGAGACCCCGTGCTCGCCTTCGTCGTATTTGTATTTAAAACACTGGGAATTGCGAGGCAAAATCCAAAAGATATATACACTAGGACAGACACTACAAAAACATTGAAACGTCGTGACGACCCTCGGCCGTAACAACTCATATTTTCCCAGACAGACTATACCACACACTTGAATTAGATATCTTCATAAACCTATTTCACACACGGATTCCTCTTCTCCCCGTGAGTTACCAACCAAAACCAGTGTCAAATTACACTAATATCTTCGAGGTTTCGTTGACATTCGGGCTCTCCTCGACACGAAAAATATAAGACAAAATTGGTGCTGCTATCGTTGACTGCGTTTGGGCAAGCTAAAACAAGGGATTTCTAATGATATTTATGTAAATGAATCGAATATTTGAGCAGAGTTTATGCTTGGCTGATTTTTTCTCCTCTGACTGCAAAGTTAAAAAAGTAATATTTCGCTATAAAAACACACAATCATTCCATAGTTTTTAGTCGGTTCTCGTGTTTTTAGCAAAGTTTTTTTAAGGTGTTTAACTAGATGACGATCTGTGGTCATGATATATGGAAAGGCTTTGGCGTGAATAACTTGTAATTATTCTTTGCTATTTGACTTGCTTGGTATATCAAGGTTGAAACCCGAAATAATTTTGCATAATTATTTTGTGGTGTGGTGTTGGCGAACAGTTTTAATCGTTTAGACCATGTCTTTGCCCAAAACGTGGCCTGTTGTCGTCTTTTGATCACCATGCGAGGTCTAATTGTAACAATCTCAAGTTTAACTTCAGTTGTCTGGGTTATTTATTCAATCGACTAGAGTTACTGCATGGTTGAATGGATGATAAACCACACGTCATTAATCATCATTAATCATGTGCATAATTAAAAAATTTTATGCTCTGAGTGTTCGCTCTTCCCAAATACACTCATTACTGATGCTCAAAATAGTTACCTAAGGCTTTGTTGTAACAGCTGATGTGTTCAGATTACACTGGATTTGCTGGTCACGACACCTTTGTTAGTTTGTTTGTCGTTAAGAATATTTGCTCAATCAGTCAATACCAAATGCTCAAGACTTTGACACATTTGTTTATTCATCTGTAACATTTAAGCAAGGTCGAGAAACCTTGCTGCACATCTGCAAGGACATAGCTCGCTAAAATTTAATCATCTGCTTTCACAGTTTCACTTTGCCTCTAATAATTATTCATCATGATTTCACCCCTGCTGAGGGCGAATTGTCTACTACCAAGAATTTGCTCATAATTTATTAGAATTTTGTTTATCCAAATTGTCTCTGTAGCAAAACATCAGACCGGGAGCTTGGTAGAATATCAACGGTAAATCTTGTTTCCGAGAATGACCAGACAACCAACATTGTTGATATATGAAGATGATGTGAATTTCATAACAAATTCAACTTTACAGTATACCAACATTGAGACCGGGGGAGATTTGTTTGGATTGTGGCAAAACGAAAGAGAAGTTGTAGTTCAACTTGTGTCAGGGCCTGGCCAAAATTGCCGTCGTACTGCTACAGCATTCTTCCAAGATAGAACCTATCTTAGTAATGTTGGTAATCATTTAATCAACGAGAAGGGCTTGTGCAACATTGGTGAATGGCATTCGCATCATCGCCTCAATTTACCTGAACCAAGTCATGGCGATAAAGGAACAGTTTGGAGAAATATGCCTGGACTAGGAATAAAACAGTTTTTACTCATTATTGCGACCATTACACCGAAAGATGGGGTTGATATAAATGGTTTCATTTTTACAGCGCCAGTCAAACAACATCAAAATGGCGAAATGATTAGACTTCGAACTCGAGCTCTCGGTGGACCGAATCCGTTCCGACGACAACCCGATGTATTGGAAATGTTACGTGAGGGAGCGGAGGTGCCAAAGGTAGCGAATCCTCCCCCATATACACCCACAGAGCGAAATCCCAAAAAACAGAGAAGATCGAAAAAAGAAAAGAGATCGGGGAATGGTGAAAGCAAAAGCAAGTTCCGTCGTCGTTGGTTTTCGGGTAGAAAAAAGAATAAAGAGAAGTACGGTGAATTGCAGACAGATAATAGTACAATATCGATGAATGTTCAACCGCATGAACATTATCGAAGTCTTGATCCGAATAAGAGTGTCGAAATTGAACCGGCTGATGACCGTTCCACACGCCCTTTGATAAATAACAAGAATACTGAACGGAGGAGCACTTACCTTTAAAAGAACTTCATCTTATGCACTGACGTCCACTCTACCTATCATTACTGAATGTTATATTTAACCAGAATATTACCAATTTGCTTATGCATAATAACAATTTTCAGCATCTTCATGATTGATTTTGTACCACAAAGATAGCAATGAAATGTGATATACACAATTATACCTTGATAACTGTCACTCTCAAATATAATGATATATCATTTCAATTTTGTACCTTATTGATCAGAAAGTTGACACTAGTTACTAGCAGTTAGAAATTTTAATCACATATGATAAAGAATGTATAATGAAGACATTTCTATAAGTATGCTAAGAATAGTTTTAAATCTGGAACAAACATTGTCAGTGTCCAGGGGAGGTTAGATTGTTTACCTCATGTACCACAATGAATGGAAACTAAAACGAAAGTAGTTTTGATCTCATTCATTTTCTCCTTACCAGAAACCGCCCGCTGGGCAAATTCCTCGAAAACAATATCACGATTTGCATATGAAGTTGCTAGTTCATATTTCACATGAAGTGTATTTGTTTTTAAATTATAGAACTACGAAAGACGTGAAGACAGTGTTTCTTCCGAATCTGGTTAAGATGAGTGTGCTGGACGATCTGACTGACATACTTCACATTCAGAGTCCATTGCTATATTTATTTGAAGGAGAGTTAATACGTATTAGCAGAACTATAGCGGAAGTTCGGTATGTACGCTTTCTCACCGGCTTTGGAGAATTATATGGTCTTTACAGTCACAGTCGAGGACCTGTTGTACATCTTGCCTCGCTGAAGAAACTTGACCAAGCGCAATTGAAGGTGGCCTTGTCGAGAAGGTGCGTTGAAACGGAAAATGAGTACAGTTTGAGTGTACTGGGTGCATGGTTTGCAGTTCAAAATCTTGACATATCACCTCGTCATCTTATTCAAAGTATGGCTGACACATTAAGTGAAAACGAAAGTACTGTTTGTGTCGTTGTTAAAGGGGCACAAGTTACATATGATTTTGAAGACATGAGCAAAAATACCCACGCTTTCTTCTTGATGGAAGGTAAGATCTTTAAGATGGATATAAAAATCATAAGACGAGAAAGTCCGTTTCAACTTGATTGTGATTTTACTAAAAGTTTCTCGTCAGGCGGATATGTTGCAAGTGAGCTTGACGAAATCCGTTCAAATAAACGTGGATACCATGAGTATGGAACTGAGATGGTTGACATGTCTGGAAAGTCGAAAGCTGAAACCATAACATCAAATTCTGAGCATTCATTTGACCCTAGTGTTGATGGCCTTCCGGAGTCGAAAATTGAAAGTGAAAATTTGCATTGCAACGACATGTTAGGTGAAACTAAGGAAGACAGCGATGCTGAAGAATCTGCGCCAGATTCATTGTCAAAGAAACACGATTTGATCCCAGAAGAGAGCAATATAGCTGAGACTTTGAAAAGAGGAGAAAACGAAGAGGTTTCTTTATCCCAAAACGGTCCAAATGAGAAAGACGTGAAGACAGTGTTTCTTCCGAATCTGGTTAAGATGAGTGTACTGGACGATCTGACTGACATACTTCACATTCAGAGTCCATTGCTATATTTATTTGAAGGAGAGTTAATACGTATTAGCAGAACTATTGCGGAGGTTCGGTATGAACGCTTTCTCACCGTTTTCGGAGAATTATATGGTCTTTACAGTCACAGTCGAGGACCTGTTGTACATCTTGCCTCGCTGAAGAAACTTGACCAAGCGCAATTGAAGGTGGCCTTGGCTAGCAGGCGCGTTGAAACGGAAAATGAGTACAGTTTGAGTGTACTGGGTGCATGGTTTGCAGTTCAAAATCTTGACATATCACCTCGTCATCTTATTCAAAGTATGGCTGACACATTAAGTGAAAACGAAAGTACAGTTTGTGTCGTTGTTAAAGGGGCACAAGTTATATATGATTTTGAAGACATGAGCAAAAATACCCACGCTTTCTTCTTGATGGATGGTAAGATCTTTAAGATGGATATAAAAATCATAAGACGAGAAAGTCCGTTTCAACTTGATTGTGATTTTACTAAAAGTTTCTCGTCAGGCGGATATGTTGAGTCGAAAAATGAAAGTGAAAATTTGCATTGCAACGACATGTTGGGTGAAACTAAGGAAGACATCGATGCTGAAGAATCTGCGCCAGATTCATTGTCAACGAAAGACGATTTGATCCCAGAAAAGAGCAAGGTTTCTTCAGCCCAAAGCGGTCCAAATGACGAGGTTTGGGTCAATATAGTTTGTGAAAAAAGTTTTGACAGTTGGGCTGTGGTTGAAACAGATTCTACAACTAAAAGGAATGCTCGTGCAGAAACTTTCCAACAACCGAACGAAAATGCGAGTTTAGAGAACGGAGAAATAAATTCGACCGATGCAAAAGTAGGGAGTGCCATTGGTTTGAAAAATGAGGCAGGATTAGTATCGGATGTCCTGCCAGGAAATAATGAAAGAACCGATATGGAAAGTCAGGACATGAATCATTTGCCTGTGGCTGTGGGGAACTCCATCAAAGACGATAAGATTGAAAATGCAACAAAATGCCATTACGAGAGAGAAAGCGCTCATGCAAACGATGACAATGGAGGCAATGAAAATGAATCTTCATATAATACACACCTTTGACAAATATACACATTGGCTGAAAGAATGCATTCAATGTATTCTTTATTGGGTGATAAATTAATGTATGATTGTGTAATCTCCTTGCAAATAGAGTTTGAAAATAGATTGATAGAACTGATAGCAATACAATCTTATTGTTGCAGACAGCATAATATTTTAATTTCCAGTTTTTACCCATGTTCTATTAACGCATTGGTAATGTGGTGCAATGTTACCGTAGGCAGTTTCTAGAACAAGGCGAACCTTGCTTGGACACCAAGTGATCACGTCCATAAATACGCATTTTTTTAAAGGGAAAAAGTCTTTTAGATTGTAGGTGGCCGCCATATCCGGATCTCGTACTTTCTGTTTGTCTCTGTCGACAAGAAAGGGAAACACGTCTAAATGAACAAAGCCACGAATCAATCTGGCCATTGGACTGACAAATGAACAGCTATCCATTTGAAGATCAACCACCTGATGGAAAAAGATTTGATGAAATTACAGTATGAATAAAACGATAAAAAATAACAAGGACTTGGGGATTAAGTTTGCCAACTGAAACTAAGTACGGAGTACTAGTAAAGTACCTACTAGACTTGCCACGAGTCTGTCTACTAAAATTCCTCCAGCCCGGTTTTAAGGTGGTCTGAATACATCCTTATTTACCTCGCCTGTGCAACTGAATCTTCTTCTGTCGTCCTCCTCTTCCTTTTGCATGAAATCTTTCTGTACAACAAAATGAAACTTATCATCACTACCTTGTTGGAAGTTTCGTTTACCTCCAAATGCTTTCAAAGCCTTAAACTTCGTAATATCCACCAAAACATCGACGTCTTGATCCCAGGGTATAATGTCTCCATCTCTGTATTGACCCAGAAGCGAACCACAGCCGATTACATACGGAATTTTATAAAAACTTGCAAGTTTATGCCATTGATGCAATAGAGCAGCGAATGCTTTTCTGTTTTCGTTTGCTGGACAGCTGTTACTTGGCAATGTTATAAACAAACCTTTGTTTTTAGACTTTGTCGAGTATGGAATTCTCCAACTTTGGAAGTAATTTAATATGAAATGTGTGGAATTTCTTACTCCGTAATTATCTATCCCGACTATCCGAATTGCGAAAACCCAAAAGCAGATAATTGCGGCAAAACCGATAACAAAATTTCGCCAAATCTTCGACATTCGGTATCCCTTTATTGCTTTTAAATATTTAATAATAACACTTCCGTTGCGATCAACTTCCGCTTGACAAAATATTTTATGATAATCATCTGGAATTTAGTCCAGATCCGGCGTTCATAATTTGTTTTATCGTCTTAGTTTTAGACTAAGGTTTCTCAAACAAGGAACAGATAGCTTCATTTTGAGTCTTGCTACTGGTTACTGTAACGTAGCACCATTATATGACGTCATAATGTTCCGCCGACCATCTGCTAACCATACCTAGTGACCATATCATTCACCACATGTGCCTGTTTAACCTGCGAACAGGCCATACTCAAATCATTGGACTTTTCACAACCGTGCATGCAGTGAGTGTTCAGTATTTTTTGGATAAAAATCTATTTTAAAAAACGTAGAATGGCTCAGATTTTAAAAGGGTCCGAAGTGGCAAAGTAAGTGTAATCTCAGTAATTAATATATTAAAACGAAAGAGCTTTTACAAACCATGCGCGTATTTCGTAATCATGTTGAAATTCATAATGAATTTGATATTGTATTTCATAGCTATATTATGTGTAAATTGTGTGTTCTATTTTGGTAGATGTAAAATAAGTAACAACTATTTTGGTAAACCAGCTGTAAATGTTTTCCAACATGTATGCATTTCCATGAAGTTGAACTGTTAGTATAACCCTGCAAATAGATGTAACTATGCAACCACTAACTGGTGTCTAAAATGGTAGTCATTCTGCTGCATGTAGACTTTTTCCCCACAGAGGACAGTTTGCATGTTATGATTGAATATCACAAACTGGACCAAGTTTTTAAAACTTAAACTCCTAGAGTTCCTTAAATTTTAGTCTCCAAATGGCTTTCCTGGCATAGTACATCAGTACAGTACATGACTATCCTTTTACCATTACATTTTCAACAGAGACATTCGTGCCAAACTGAAAGTCATTGTTGATGAAACAAGAGAAAATTATCCTGAATTCAATCCATGTTTGGCCATAGTTCAGGTAAATAAAAAGCATGTTAATTTATGGTATTCACCTGGTAGTAATGATTTTTTCTTATTGACTATCTAGATTGGTGGTCGTGCTGACTCAACCTCTTACATCAGGGCAAAGTCAAAAGCTGCAAATGAGGTTAAATTATTAGCAATTTGAGATAGAGTTAGTACATTGTATCCTGAAGTCAAATTCGCATTGAATTTTTTAAAATAATATTCATTGTTGAATCTGCCTTAGATTGGAATGGTTGCAAAACATGTTCAATTGTCAAATACTGCAACTGAACAAGAGGTAGGTATCAATAGTGGTTTCATTAACATTTTTTTAGATGTGTTTCTATTGGAAAAAATACTTCATATTCTTTCCATCACAAGGTTTTGAAGAAAGTGGATGAGCTAAATAAAGATCCAAATGTTCATGGAATTATTGTGCAACTACCACCAGATTCATCTGAGCCTATTGATCCTTCTGCTTGCACAAATGCTGTTGCACCTGAAAAGGATGTTGATGGGTAAGGTTCCTGAAGTAACTCAGCATTGTTGCAAATTGAAATAAAAGCAACAATGAATTTTGACACCCAGTCCATCGATTGTATTAATTAGGGATGTTAAATTGCCGTGTACTTTTCTTAGTCTTAATGATGTGAATGCTGGACGACTTGCAAGAGGCCAGCTGAATGATTGCATCATTCCTTGTACACCCAGAGGTTGTCTGGAATTGATCAAAAGGACTGGTTAGTACTAGCACTTAGTGCAATACCAGATTAGAAGTGGCTTAGTGGCTAACATATTTTTTAATACTGTGTACATATTTTTTAATACCATATCTTTCTCCATAAATTAGGAATTGAAGTGCAAGGAAAGAAAGCAATCGTGCTTGGGCGAAGTAAAATTGTGGTGAGCTGTGTGAGCTTATTTCAATTAATTTAACTGTAAATCATTATACTGGAATTATAAAAAAGATGTGACTGAGTTCACGAGTGCTTTTATTTCACAGGGTGCTCCAATGTCCAATGTTCTAACATTCAATCATGCAACAGTTACAGTTTGTCATTCAAAAACTAAAAATCTTCCTGATGTGGTATGTATTTATGAATAAAGATTATTATTTTACCCTCACAACATTAAACTTACATTCATCATTTCTTTATACAGGTTCGTGAAGGAGAGATTGTTGTTGTTGCAATTGGTAGTCCACATTTTGTAAAAGTAAGGCTTATTGTCCCTAGGAAAGATTTTGTGATGTATTAGATGTGTATTTGGGTGCATAATACATGCATGTTTATGTTTAGAGTGACTGGATACAAGATGGTGCTGTTGTTATTGACTGTGGCATCAATGCTATTCCAGGTAATATGTTTTCATATAAATTAGGATCCAGCTAACTTGAACTCTTAAGGGAAATGAAAAATCTATTTCATTGTTTAAGATTCTAGCAAGAAAAGTGGGCATCGTTTAGTTGGCGATGTTGACTATGCTGAGGCCTCAAAAAAAGCTGGGTGGATCACTCCAGTTCCTGGTGGTGAGTTGAGACCTTATTGTGCTAAAAATAAAGATATCACAGGAATGTTTATTATAGTATAAATAGTCACCTCAGTACATGGTTATAAGATCATCTTCTGTTAATTCAGGTGTTGGTCCAATGACTGTGGCAATGTTGATGCAAAACACTGTGGAAAGTGCTAAAAAGATGATCCTCAAACAAAAGGTCTCTTCAAATCTTGAGATGGGCTATTCATTGCAACCTCTTTTTAAGTTACTCAGATATGCTCTTAGAAAATAGATAGAACTTCAATCAAAACAGTTTTTAAAGCACTGTATCTCTGTGTATTTGAAATACTTAGCCTCAGAAGGAAAGTAGCTAGGCTACTGGGTATTAATATATATTGTTTCCCACATTTAACAATTCAGATTTGTAACAATGTAGATTATGTAGACGTACTATAGTGCATACAATGTATTCATAAATATAATGTGGATAATAGATGTTGTGTGCTAGCTGTATGATATTGTGCTGCTGAAGTTTGGTGCTGATAAAGATGGCAAAAACATCATTGTGTTTCTCTTGGCAAAGAATAGTATTCCTCTAGGTTCTGCCAATGATAAATAGTCTCTGAGTGTATACTTTGACAAAATATCTTTAGGTCTAGATAGGTCTTGAAATGCTTTAGTAACCGTTGTTCGTTTTCTGTTTATCTTAGGCTGGTTTGTGGGAAATAAAGTTTTTGCCACTCAATATTTTGAGGCCTGTTCCAAGGTAACCGATTCCACCGTAACTATGTCAAAATTTGAATAGTTTAATATGGAAATGAAGAATTGAAATTTTTTATTGTAAATGGAAAGAAAACGCACGTAACGTTTACTAAAGCATTTAGCAAGTACGTCTCTGGTTCCACCTAAAACTCACAGATAGCCTTGCTAAGGAGAAAAATCTTTATTTCCCTGATCATTATGTTGAAGAAGTAATAAAATGATAAAGATTGATCCGTGTTTGAGGGTTGATCTTGGTTGTAGCTCTTATAAAAAAAACGTGTGTGTGTTTGTTGACGATTTTTGTAGTGATATTGAAATTTCCAAAGCACAAGATCCTAAAAATATTCAACAGTTGGCGAGTGAAATTGGTATTCAGAAACACGAGGTTTGTAGAAAAGAGGAGTAATAACTGATTGTTGTAAATTTGTTCAATTTTTGCTAAACGAACTTTATTACCATTCTGTTCTTTAGTTGGAGTTGTATGGTACAAAAAAATGCAAAGTGTCGCTTTCAGTTGTTGAACGTCTTAAAAATGAATCTGTTGGAAAATATGTCGTAATTGCCGGGTAGGCTTTGGTCTTTGGATATGTTTTGTCAATGTTTCGTGTTGTCTGTGTGGTGCGGGGGGATTTACTGTGTTTTATTTTAGAATTACTCCAACCCCCCTGGGAGAGGGGAAGAGTACAACTACCATCGGTATTTCCCAGGCAATGTCCGCTCATTTGAAGAAGAACACCTTTGCTTGTATTCGTCAGCCTTCGCAAGGACCTATCTTTGGAATAAAAGGTTTACTTCAATTCATTTTTTATTGCATGCAGAACTTTCGATAAAGGCGGGCTTCAACCATTTTCTAACTATTTAAGGTGGAGCTGCTGGCGGTGGTTACTCTCAAGTCATCCCAATGGAGGAGGTTTGTTCCTGAAAACACGTCTGATCTAAACTTTGATTGACAACTAAAGCAACTCGTTATATTTGTAGTTCAATCTTCATTTAACTGGCGACATCCACGCCATAACTGCTGCAAACAATCTTGTAGGTAGGTTATCTCCTTTTTCAGACAGATAATAAACGAGAAAACTTCAAACGAATAATCTATAAGCTGTGACAAATATTGTGGATATTCATACTAAGTATTCTTTGATTTCTTTCTCTTTTAGCTGCAGCAATTGATACCAGAATATTTCACGAGTCCACCCAAAGTGACGAGGTATAGCATTCAGGCCATAGATGGCTGTTTATCCCAACAATCTTTATTTATAATGGACTTCAACAAACGTATCAACGTCTTTTTATAGGCATTATTTAATAGACTCGTTCCAGCCAAAGATGGCAAGAGGAGATTTTCAGACATTATGATGAGAAGATTAAAGGTTCCGGTTTTAATATTTTCTTTTTGTCTTTTGTACTTATTCATAATCTTCATTAGGCGTTGGATCATTTGTAGAGACTTGGTATCGATAAAACAAACCCTGATGAACTGACGGCTGAAGAAGCTGGAAAATTTGCAAGACTCGACATAGACCCAGAAAGCATTACTTGGCAAAGAGGTTTGTTTTAAACCAAAGACATTTGGTACATAATCAATGTGATTGTATGAATAAACGTAACGACCATAAATTTCGTATTTCTTCTAGTGATGGACACAAACGACAGATTCCTCCGACAGATTACCATTGGTCAGTCGCCCACAGAGAAAGGCAGAACTCGTGTTGTAAGTACAAATATATCCTGCCTTTTGTTCCGACAGAGCTCGTTCTAACTAACAGGTGCTTTTTTTATTTGTTTAGTGCCAATTTGATATTTCTGTGGCGAGTGAGATTATGGCGATCTTGGCGCTGGCAAAAAATCTTGAAGACATGAAGCAAAGGTATCCCTTCTACTTTGATCAGGTTTTTAAATTTATGACAGCTTGTAGTGGCAAAGGAATACTATTTTTCTATAATTGTAGATTTGGGAAGATGGTAGTAGCTTGTGATAAGAAAGGGCAAGCAGTGACAGCTGATGATTTGGTAAGATGAATGAATTTCTAAGAATGAATGGCGGCTTTTGACCAGACAAAGTTCAGTACGTGTTTGTATTGTTTTTCAGGGTGTCACAGGGGCGGTTACTGTGTTGATGAAGGATACAATTAAACCAAACTTGATGCAGACTTTGGAGGTACTAGATGAGACGGCATGGGATTATTATGGATAGTATAAGGATGATTAAAAAATATTTTTGTTACTTTGAGGGTTCCCCCGTGTTTGTTCACGCTGGTCCATTTGCCAATATTGCTCATGGAAATTCCTCGATTATCGCAGACAGAATAGCGCTAAAACTCGTGGGAAAGGATGGTTTTGTCTGTGAGTTACTGTACAATTTCCCCAGTGATTTGACTGAACACAACTGAATGCTTTTTTTTCTCACTTTCTTTAAGTCACTGAGGCGGGATTTGGAGCAGATATTGGGATGGAAAAGTTTTTTAATATCAAGTGTAGATATAGTGGTAAGTGGAGATATAATATTATCTCTTTCTGTCGTATTACTATTTATAGAGAGATTCTTTATTCTAGGTCTTGTTCCAAACTGTGTTGTTCTTGTGGCAACTATTCGAGCTATTAAAATGCACGGCGGAGGTCCTAAGGTTTGTGGATATTTGAATGGCTTACTTCAATACAACCAAAGCACAAATATATTAAGGTTGATGCATCATAATTCATCTGTATTCCAGGTGGTTGCAGGCAGACCTCTCGCTGACGTGTATGTTGAGGAGGTGATTATATTCAAGCATATAAATTAACTTAGTTTATTGTACTTTATCAAGTGTCTGAATATATTTTTTCTAGAATGTCGATCTTGTAAAAAATGGATTTTCAAACCTTGCCAAGCAAATTGAGAATGCTATGTTCTTTGGCGTTCCAGTTGTGGTGGCTGTTAACCGTTTCAAGTTAGTTTCAAAACAAAAAAATATGAATGGTAGCTCGTAGTACAGTATTATAAGTCATGATAAATCCTATTTTCTCACAGGACAGATACGGACGCTGAAATTGAGTTACTTATCAAACTGTGTAAAGAGGCTGGCGCCTTTGATGCTGTAGCTTCAACCCACTGGGCTGATGGAGGTAAGTCAATGTCTTCTCTTATCTCTTAGATTGATTGCCATTTGTATAACTTTGTGTTCCTTTCTAAAGGTGCTGGAGCAGTGAAGTTGGCCGAAGCTGTTATCAAAGCAACCGAACAACCGGTTGAGTTCAAATTTCTTTATGATTTACAGGTAAGCTCCGTTTAATATTTTTCTCCCTGATATACCTACAGATAAAAAACTGGATTCGTAAAAGTTTGTTCATCGTCAAACAGCTGCCAATTGAAAAGAAGATTGAAACAATCGCTCAGAAAATCTATGGTGCTGATGGAGTAGAGTTTTCAGAGGAAGCCAAGAAAAGGATCAATCTATTTAGAAGCCAAGGATTCAATGATCTGCCAATTTGTATGGCAAAGACGCATTTATCTTTGTCACACAATGCTGACGTAAAAGGAGCGCCAAAAGGTAAGTACTGCGTGAAGTGTATCATAGTTTAGTCTTCTTTTCCATAATTTATTTTTATTCTTTTGCTTTTAAAGGATTTACTCTTCCAATCCGCGATGTTCGAGCAAGCGTTGGAGCAGGCTTTTTGTTTCCACTGGTGGGCACGGTATGTAAAATGATTTAAAATTAATGAAATTGTAAATATCTCTGCTGAGATCCGAAAAACATACAACACAAGTTTTAGGTGAAATGCTTTCGGCAATAACCCAATGAATTGAATGATCCCGTCATCCCAATTCCTAGTTTAGTGCCACACTCTTGTTCTCTGCTTTTCAGATGAGCACAATGCCAGGGCTTCCAACCAGACCATGTTTCTACGATGTAGACTTAAACACAGAGACAGAAGACGTTCTGGGGTTGTTCTAGACAAAGAAAAAGCCTGCATAGAACAATTTAATTTGAATAGATTCAATTAAGTTTGCTCTTCTCCAAAACTGAATTGATTATATGATTAGAACATTAATTTATGACTAGATTTACAAAAATTTATATCTTTGAAAGATTACACATATTCGTTAAAAAAATCCAGTTTTTCGATAGCTGATTGCAATCGTGTTAGGATTTGATTGCATGCAAATCACACACGCACACGTCAGTAAGTACAATAACCTTATATTGTCGAGGTCGATCTGCGCCTGAGGCTATAGTTGTTTTTTCTCCTAAACCTTGGTAATTCACTAGCTGTATTTTGTTTTAATATGTCGTACCCAATATGGACAGCGCTGTACCACGTATGAACAACGAATAACAGCAAATAACGACTTTTTTTAAACGAATTGGGACATACGAAAACAAGTCATTAGCTGTATTTCCGGCTGTTTATCATCGCCTCTTTTTGTCAGTGTAGTCATTGAAGGAGAAAATTATTTCAGATACTGAAATTAATTTTACTAATGGCAACCTGACTTCTACTAACTGTATTTGTTGTAGGCTACTTTTATGTCATTTCTTTCAAGTTTTGGTACAGGTCTTTCAAAAACTCTCGAGCAGTTGAATTTCACGTTAAGAGAATGGCCAGTAATCACTTCACACATTTAGCAGAAGCTGAAGAAAGACTCGGCGGCCAACAGTGAGTGTTGATGACTTGATGTTGTTTATATTATATTGCATTGTGTGAATACTCTTTGTGAGTGAATCACATGTGACAGGGATAATTTTGTAGTAATTTGCTTCAAAATCTTACTTCTGTTCAGATTAAATAGAACAAATGAAGTGACCAAGACCAGGAAGGTAGGTTATGACCAAAACTCTGAAGAATATATCTCCTTCATTTTGTTCAGGACATCATAAACAACCACGTTTATTACAACTGGTCTTTTGATTTTTGCAGGAAATATTTGAAATGACGTGTTTTGCAATATTCTCTGAAGGTATTTGCTTTCGTTGTGAACGACCCTACGAGTGATGCATTTTCTGTTGTGGACGGAGTGATGATTGATGATGCATTCCAATGTTTATATTTGGATCCAGGCTGTCACTTGAAGCTCAGTTGGGAGTGGGTGTATATTCTTCTTCAAACGTTTTGGACCATTCGTAGGACGTTATGATAAGTTGCATAATCGATTATTTCTTACAGGTCAGAGAAATTGTGTACCTGGAGGAACGAGTCGCTCTTCTAACAAGAGAAAGGATCGCAGTGGATCTATAATATATTCTCTAACACTTATTCAGCGAAATCCGGTTTCTTTTTACAATAATATAGTAAAAGTCAGATTCGAGGAGTAATTAAAAAGCGATGTTAATAAATGAATTATTGTATTGTGTTCAAATTTTTGAAAATTTGATTTCCAGAACTCAAATTAATTAATCTTTTCAAGAAACGCTTACCCTGCACTTTCGTAGTGCTAACATAAAGTAATTAAATTGGTCGTAGACCGCTACACAACTCCACTTTTGATATCCTGATGAAAAAAATGGCAAATAGTTGATATTTTTGTTATTCTACGACTAAAACTGGCGAAATTGCGCTCGGAATTGTGTGTTTTTAGTGTATCAGCACGAACACTGCTCTTCCTTATTCTAAACGCAATTTTAGCCTAGTGAAAGCAGGTATATTTTCTTAACAACTGCGTCCGCGATCAGGAATTTATTTATTTCTTCGGAGCTCTCATCGTGATGATAATTTTGGGAAGTCTTTCAAGAGCCAAGACGTGAGATTTAGCATGAAATTCGAGAAACACTATTACAAACAAAGTGTCAATAATAGTTGCTTAGTAGGATGAGCAAATTAGCCAAAGAGACGCTTTGTATTGATTGCCGTCGTCTAGAATTGCCACGAAGATGTGATGCGTGTAAGATGTTAAAACAAGCTTTGACGATAAATACATACGTAAATAGTAATGTCATGTCACAGCCAGACACACGATCAAATACCCTTGAAGAGCTCGCCAGAAATGTTTTGGACAAGTTAAACCATCAAGGATATTGTGTGATCGATAAGTTCCACAAAGAACAAACAGCTTTAGCCATTTTAGATGAAGTAAAACGCGTGCACGAGAAGGGAAGAATGCATAACGGACAATTAACAACGAACACGTTAACTTCAGAGAACATTCGAGGTGATTTAATTGTGTGGCTTGATGGTAGAGAGCCAGAGAATGAAAATATATTACTTCATATGCGTAGAGTGGATGCTTTGGTTCGTGAACTCAATAAAATGATTTCCTATCACAAGATTGAAGGCAGGACGCAGGTATAAATTATTAAAATGTATATAAAGTCATTCATTGAGGACTACTGTCTCTTTCTTCCAATATTAAAATCCATGATTCCTTTTGTTTGTTACAGTGTTATTGTCAACCTGGTCATCATAGTAACCTTGACTGACTATAACTTGAATTAAAATGTTATAATTTTCATGATTTTATACATCGCAGTATGCATAATTGGCTAAGAAATTCCCAGACAAAAATGCTTAAAGCACAAAGACGACCGAAGTTCAAGCACCACCTACTTGATTATATAATATTGACATCTACACTAATTACAATAAATGCATGTTCTTCATTTATTACTAATTAAGGCAATGGTTGCTTGTTATCCTGGTGGTGGGAAGAGGTACAGAAAACATGTTGATAATCCTAATCAAGATGGAAGATGTTTAACCACATTATATTATCTTAACAAGGATTATGACAGAGAGGTTGGTTGACAAAGTCTTTGTTGGTTATTCATGATGTTTTGCATAAAATTAAGTTGACTTTTTGGTCTTGGTAGGTCTGTGGTGGAATATTGCGTTTGTATCCTCATGGTGGTAATATGTATGTTGATATCGAACCAATACTTGACAGATTGTTTATATTCTGGTCAGACAGACGAAATCCTCATGAAGTATTGCCAGCTCATACAGTAAGGTGAGTAATATTTGAATGGTGCTAATCAAGCTTGTGTTTGGAGTCCTAAAGAATTCTTATTGAATTATAGGTATGCCATTACTCTATGGTATTTTGATAAAGAAGAGAGAGAAGCTGAATATCAACGATTGGAGAATTTGAAAATGGTTAGGATCCTATATAATGTACCAAAAAAAATTAAATTTTATGATATTAATTAAAAAGGGAAACTTTTGCTTCTCATATCTATTTTATATGCCAAGAAGAGAGGATATTAATTTCAATCTTTTCATTACAGCGAGGCAGTCAAGCACAAAGAACCTGACCTAATAAAGTGTTTTCAGAATATTCATGCTAATTATTTGCCAAATGCTGGAGCAATTTGGCAAACAAATGTATTGCTTATGAAATTGCCATAATATGACAATTATACCTGAAGAATCAGTAATATGAATGCAATAATTTTCCATAAAAGACATGTCTGGTCATTAATGAATAATGGTTTCCAAACTTAGAATAATGTAAATAAGTTGTACAATATTTTGTATATTTTCAGTTTTGATTTATTGACCATTTTGTTCAGATGAGTATGGGTATTGTAGTCAGTTACTGTGGGTACTAAGTTTGGACTAGGTAACAAACCAGCATGTCTAATTTACAAGAATGTTACATAACCAAGAGAAAATATTGCCAAAGTGTCAGATAAAACTTATGTAATGTCTTGATATTTTATATTAGCTATAAAAACTATGGATAAAAAAATAAGTTAAACAAAGAAATGTTTGTAAATGTGTGTGCACAGAGCCCCCACCAAAAAATAGGTCGATTACATGGAGTGAATTATGGTGAAAGATTAAACAGGTTATGTGATGCGCTTTTTACCCCATCTAGGCGCGATAACTCGCTCCATGTAAACAAGCCCTAAGTGTACGGCTGTGCACCCAACGTAGTGGGTGTGGGGCTGCCCCAGAGTGCCCCCTCCCATTGAGTTTTAGGCGCCAAATATGTCTAAGTTTTGTCGAAATATTTGATAAATTTCTCGTACTAACACGTCACAATTAGCCATGTCGATACCAATATGGCGGACGAGGATGAAAATGTAAGAAATAGTAGTTTTGCTCACTTTCTTAAACGAACTCATGCGATTTTATTTTAATTCCTTTTTATTCTTATTATAGGAGTCGACTGTATTTGAAATTACTGATTTCACGGCCGCGTCAGAATGGGAAAGGTGCGTTATCTCCGATTTTAAATACAGTACATATGTACTATAATTCTATAAATAAATTTCTCGATGGGAATGACACTGGAATGACTAGTGCAAAATACACTGTATAAGTTCTCTGCATTTTTCATGAAAGAAAATGTTATTAACTGCACATTTTTTATTTCCAGGTTTGTCTCACAAATTGAAGAAATTCTGCACAAATGGAAAGTTGACAACAGCAATAAGAAGCCATCCTTTCTCCAGGTTTTTATATATTTTAGTGCTCTATCAAGTATTCCGACGAGTCCTAAGGCCTTTAGTTTATCCGTCTTTGAGCAAATTTAAGTAATTCGAAATAAGAAATACTGACATAATGTTACAAATTATGTTATTAGCGTGTCCGGAACTTCTCTTCATCTTCAAACAAAGAGGGGAAATCAGGAAACCTGAAGCCAATCCCAAAGAAGATTACATCCGAGGTGAGAAAATCTATCGCTGTCCATAAGCACAATGATACAAAAAACTTATTCAGTGCTTTCTTATTCTTCTGCAAGTCGAAACAATCAAACTGGGAGACATTATCAGAGAGTGTTCATTTCTCAGACTTTTGTTTTGATATCACATACCATTCCACAGCTTCGAAGAATGAACGTCATGAAGAAAACTCTGGTTTGTAAAAACTTTATATTATGACATCTATGAGAGCAATTAAATAACTATAATACAAATTTGATTTATTTTCTGCAACTTTTTATATTTTCATGTCAAGGATTTGAAGATGGCCTTCCTTATGCAGTGTTGGACATGTTCAATATGGATTATGATTTTCCACCACGTGTTCATTGCCTTAGTCGATGGTATGTTGATGATTTTTGGGAAATGCTTTTCTAATTAAAATGAGTCATCACCAGAAGGTGACCCTCAGCCTCTGAAAATCTTATAGTCATATAAATATTAAGATATGTCTAGTTTTGTTTTTATCCCTGGTTCGGTGGTTCCTGACCTCATATAACAATGAATGAGATGTATTCTTTGCAATTACACCCATCTAGGAAATCTTTAGCCATGAAATGAAGATAATTACCTTTTCTCCTCATTGCTAAGATTTTAGTTGTGAAAAAACTCTTGTTCATTATTCATTTCAATATTGTTTTTACTTTTCAAGGTATGGCTTAAAGGAGTTTATAGTTTTATCACCATCTGTAGAAAATGCCGCCATCACAAGTGAATCAAGATATCATTTACTCCTCAGTTCTGTGTCAATGGCCTTATCTAATTCCAAATGGTGAGTTAAGAGCCTCTCAAGGCTTCTATAACTAGAATTAAAAATTAGAAATGCATGTACAAGATAAAGTTTTGGATGGGAGGAATGGATTGAAAGTCTTCTTTCAATCAAGAAAAACCGGGAAATGAAGTATCCAGATTTAATTTTCATTAAATCTAAGATTATTATTATTAAATCGCTATTACACCAAAAGATTACTGAATTACTTGCAAAACATTGTTCATTTTAATATGTAGTGGCTAGTAAAATGAACTCTGTGTTGCAAGGACCAGGGTTTTCAAATTCGCATGTATCTTATCATGTCCTAGTTCATTCTTCTTACAAAGCCATGCCAATGCCAACTGCAATTATAACCAAACAGATCAGTTATAAAACTGTCAACTGCGTAAAAATCTTCATACTCTTTCAGAAAATCTTTAAAACAGCCCAACTGTTTTCTCCCCATCTTCACAAAATCTTCGTTGTTGCCCATAAACATTCCCAATTCTTTCGGGATATCAGGGCTGGTATCTTCGCAAATCAGGTAATCGCCGACCTTGAAATATTGATGGAGATATTGAAACACGATAGGAATATTGACGTGGGCGTCTTCGATGAAGACCCAGGGGTGTGGAAGGCTTTTCAAAAACTCGTCCGTAAATGTTTTCTCGATTTCATACGCATCCCCTTGAAGAAAGGTGACATTCTCCGGCTTTAACTTGTTCACGATCTCGCTGCGATTACTGATGTCAAGATCCATGCTGTATACATGAGCACTAATATCAAATAACTTCAGAGTATCGGCTATCCAAATAGCATTGCCTCCGGACAATGTACCCAACTCAATCACCGTTTTAGGTTTGACCAAACCAAACAGTTGTTGGTAGAGCACAAAATCCACAGGGCATTTACAAATATCAAAGCCACGATATCTTGCAAGGTGCCTTCCAGCAGATTCACATTTGTTGTATGCTGGTGGAGTATCTGAGCGGTCTTCACGCTCGCTAATGCGTTGAAATCTTTTAGGGCTTGCCAGCAACTCTTCGCGCTTCAATTCCTGTCTTTTTCGAAGGTTTTTGTAGTCGTCAGGCTCATTTGCGAACGGTGGACTGTATTTTTTACCTTTAATGTATATATCGTCGTTGTCAGCTGATTGTGAGGATTGGTTTTCAGACATAATGCAGGAAAGCGACTAGTAGTATGAAAGAGCTTAGCAGTGGATTGTGCTATTTGACCTTTAGCCTGCTCGCAGACTGAATTATAGGTCCGGAAATTAAACGAGTTCAAGTTGACTCATTGCAGAGAGTTGTAAGAGTGTTATTTAATTTTCACTTATCCACCGTTTAAGCTAAACGGGCTTGACACAACCGGCCCCTGGAAAATAAAAACTGGTAAACCGCTAATAATTCATTGGCTTATAGTCTAATATTTATTATATTTCCAGTTATATTCCATTACTGGTTCAATTACACCACAAATGGAGACGATTGTACAGCGGGCTCTGTCTTGGTGGCGGTTTTCGAACTTGCTTCGAAATGTCACATTTACGTCATATTCCAACACAATTTAATCATCTGAAAGGCTTGCTTGATGTGTTCAAAGACAAGTTGGTATGTGTACATGACAAAACGAGTGGTGCAGCCAGTGGCTTAATAGTTTACCACTTCAACCGTAGCATAGCGACACGTAGCGTTAATCATTCTTTCCTAGGCCACTCGGAGAGAACTAATGGCTTTGAAACAAAGGAATACGTCACGGTTCGCTATGTACGATACGTAGCGTTCAAATGATTTCACTTTTTGTCGAATGATTTCACAGTCAGTCGTTAATGTATTTAATATTGTTTTTTAGTCCCTTCGCGGTACAAGTTCACCAGCGGTTACAATAACTGTAAGGTTTACATATTTCCTGAATGATTGGAGTGATACTGTTTGGCCCCAAGCCCCACCTGACGTGGACTCATGTCTTGGAGATGAAGTGGGATTGTCAGATATGGCTACGCTTCCTTTTGGTGCCGTGCAGGATGCTGTCAGGTGATCTCTTTACATAGCTTTTAATATTATTCTGATCAAATTAAAAAAAAGAAAAGTGAGAAAGAAGACTGAATAGTAGCGCATATTGTTTAAGATATGATTTTATTTAACAGCGAACTACATTTATCTGTGACTTGGCCGTGTTTATATGAAGATATCATCGTTGACAATGGGATCTATTCGTAAGTACACTACAACAAGCGTTTCTCCTGGAAGAAACAAGCGCTGAATATATTGATTGTTTTTTTATCTCAGTGATTTAGATCCTCTACAAGCCCCACAATGGCATGTGAGAGTCAGGATGAATGACGATGCTAATTGTCTTTTAGGTGGGTTAAATAATTTCTTTGTTACTGTCATTTTCGTAATAAGATAACTGACTTATGAATACCTCTGTTTTTTCTAGGTGGATATCTTGATCGTTATTTGAGTCTTTGTTATCGAAAGGAAGCCACCTCGTCACTGAAAGATGATTTGTATGACGACAGTGATGGTACATGTCCTTTATTCACATTTATCGTATATCATTTGGGGATTTCAACACCTTTGAACGTACAACCTCATACTGCAGCACTGAAATCGTGGCTATGTTGTAACCCTAAGGCCTTACTTTTCTTTTAGACAAAAACAAAGACTTCGCCAATGCATTTCAGAAACTTACCAAACCTGTTTTATCTTCAAACATAAGATCTGCTGTTACAAAGGCAACCTCGAAGATCACTGGTTCTTCCAGTGATGAGTCGCCTATACCAGCCGAACTTCTTAACTCTATATTAAAGGTAACATCTATGCTGTCATTCACTTGTGTAAAACGAATAATGAAGAGAGAATGATCTGTTCTTTCAGGATTTGTTTCTTTAAAACATGACGATTTCTTCTTTCAGCACTTGTTTCCTGACGCTGAATTACATCCAAATGACATTGATATAAAACAAGAGACATTACTGAAATCAAATATTTATGCAACAAAGGATATTCCCAGCGTGAGTTGACCTTCTTTGTCTTCGATTAGCTTTAACTTCTTGGGTTTGTATTCGACTTCTTAACCATTTTGGAAGATTTTCTTAGGATAAATTTCGTGGCCTGAAAAGCGCTCCTAAAGAAAGTCTAACTTACTCCTTGGCAATTTGTCTTTGTATTGTGAACCACAGCTATGGAGGTTAGTCATGTCATGTTTTATAAAATGAGAGTACTCAAATGAACTACAGAAACACTCATCAGTTGATTTGTATTATTTTAAAAGGTCTGCGAGCCGTTGCTCGTCTTTGGCAAGAATTTGTGTTGGAGATGAGATATCGCTGGGATCGTGGAATATTAATATCACGGTAATCACTTTATTCAAATCACTCTTATTTACTCCATCCCATTCATAACCTTTTTTCCCAAGGCTTGAGCTGGAAGCACCCAATCTGGACTGCAGTTTAATTCATCAAAAGTTACAGGTAACTAGAAAAGTTTATTGCAACAAAAAACAACTGGTTTTATTGTCTGAGTCTAAGTCTGAGCCTTGACTTCCTCTATTAGATGTTGAACTGTTGCATCGCTCGCAAGTGTTTATCCAAGCGAAGCCAGACTAGCATAAATGACGAAATGTCCGAGAAACATTTTAAACCAAACGACGGAAATCGACCAGCAAGTGCAAGGTCCAAACATTCTCACCCTGATGATGACAGTAGCGAAGATGAATTTTTCGAAGCATTAGAAAACCAAGATGATTCTGATGATTCTGGAGAGGACGAAGAGGGAAATTTGAAGACAGTACAGAGTAATACCAGACGAGAAGGGGCATTAAAACGATGTGGAGATCTTAGGCTACTAATATCTGGAGAACCTTTATATATACCTGTAACACAGGTTGGTGAGTTTGTGTTTGTTCATTAGGGATTAAACAGTAGCATTATGAGACCTGACTAAATCTAACATCAAATTAAGCGGTATGAAAGCGTAGTTTTAATCCTCGCAGGAACCTGCCCCAATGACAGAAGACATGTTACAGGCACATGCTGATGTTCTCACGCAACTCGGAACAACTGAGGAAGGTGCAAGAATTCGAGCTCAAATGCAAAGTGCTTGCCTGCTGTCCGACATGGAGGCATTTAAGGTAACTTTCATAGGTTAGTGTGAAGATACTCATTTATACCTAATCTTACTAAATTGTTGTTACTCAGGCAGCCAATCCAGGGTGTTTGTTAGAAGATTTTGTCCGGTGGTATTCTCCGAATGATTGGATACAAGGCGAAGAGACTCAGGACGAGATTGAATATCGGAGGAAAATGGAAGGCGACCAAAGGCAACAAGGTTTCATATCATATTGTCCTGTTAATATCCTCTACCTTCTACCACTTGTTACAATATTCAAACACTTTTAGCAGAGGAAGAGCAACAAGATGGAGAAGACTGGGGTACAAATGACGACGAAATCACGGAGGAAGAATTGAGTGAAGCCCTCTCTGAAGATGATAAGCAAAATGAAAAATTACCTAGGCAAACAACCTCAAAGGTTGGTTGATGCTTCTTATGAAATTACATTGGAAGCTAATAGTTCATGGTACAATATTTTCTCGTGTTTAGAATTGGTGTGAAGAGGGAAGATTGAGTCTACGCATGCGTGTACAAGGCAACATCTGGGAAGATAATTGGCGGAATGCGAGACCATGTCCCGTCCGACGACAAAAACGTCTTTTTGACGAAACTAAGGAAGCTGAGAAGGTCGAATCTTTTCCGTCATCACTTCTGTTAATTTGATCATAATTTGTGACGTGCTTCTTTATTTGAAGGTTTTTCATTATCTGTCTGGATTACGACCAGCTGAAGTTGCAACAGAGCTTATCTCTTCTTTACTTCAAGCATCAATAAGGCGCATAGAAAAAGAAGGTCTGTATTACTTCTATTATTATCACGAAGTGTTTCCCTCGTCATTCAGTAACGCTCACACCATCAGATAGATTGTTATCAAAATTTTCTCTATTAAATTTAGGCGATAGTGTTCATTCAAGTGCTGTTATTGATCGTGTTATAAAAAAAGCAAGTCGAATATTTGACACATCACAGGAACAGCTTGCTGTATACGAGGTTAGATTTTTATCACCTTTTAACCAAAAAAACTCTTTTCAATTAAACCGTTCATCAACTGCCTGAAGTATAAAGACGAAAATCCGGTGCTGGTTTGTGGCCAACCATTATCATTTTTTGCAGAATCTCTTCGAGAAACTTCGTCGTATTGAAATAAAGATTGCACAGGCGCAGTCATTGAAGTTCAAACTTCAGAGATCTGAAGTTGACCATAAGTCAGATATCGATACTGAAGCATTCATTGCGTCATTACTGGAGAAGCCCGAAGTGAACGTAGTTGGAGCTAGCCGTGGACCCATGGGCCATGTAATCAAGAATCTATTCTCCAAACAAGAGGTAACTAATTATTAAATTACTCATTGACCCAGATAAGTGGTTTATTTCGCATTCTGTGTCTTAGATATTGCGAGAACAAGAGCAAGATTATGACAATCATGAAATTAGCAAGGTAATTAATAATACTTGGTTGTTGTTGGTTGATTAATCAAATAAGTATTCGGCATTCATACTCAATATTTTTTAACCTTAAGGCACCAACTTCTAACCAGTCAAAACCGTTTCCAGCACCGGCTGGTCGAGAGTTTGTTTTACGAACAATTACAAATTATCCAGGCAGGAACTCAAGGGAATGCCCTCAACGTATGTACTGTGTTCTTGCTGGAGAAGAATTTCGCCTGGCTGCAGCATTTACATCTGACACTACATTCACGTGACATGATGCCATTTCATTTGTTCCCATCACATTAGTTCACTTGACCTTTAAAAGCGCAAGTGTAAACCTGATGGTATGTCACCTCATTCAAAAGTCGAGGTGGTCACCACCGATCTGAAATATGACTCAGTGTATACAATATACAAATATAATATAAATATGAATAATAATTGAATTAGTGAATTCACGGCAACCAGGTATATAATCCATCGCAATTATCGCTACTCTGGTTTAATTATTATTAATGAAATTTGTGACGTGATTTGACAATCAAAATTGTCAACTCGCAATTCAGATTCGCAACTCGCAATTCAAAATTGTCAACTCACAATGGAGATTGTCAACTCACAATGGAGATTGTCAACTCAATCAAAATTGTCAACTCACCATCAAATCCTCAAGCACCCCTGCGCGCTCGCACATCTTAGCCACAGATCTGTACATTACGCTGAATGCTGCATTTATGTTTTCCAATAAAGCGCCTGGGTACGAGGCTGGGCATTTTTAGCAACGCACGCACTTTGACAGGTGCAGCTCTCTGATTGGTCAGTTTTGCGTCCGTGTGTTTCCCAATTCTCAAGATGGCCGCTGAAATGAGTAGAAGATGGAGTTTTGTTCTACTTGTTTTAGGCTTCTGTTTACAAATTTTAGCCGGGTAAGTTGGATGAAATATTGGATCTTTTTATTTTTTCAGCCCTAATTCTTAACTTGCAACTACTGATTTGTTCTTAGGAGGGACTTTTATGCGATTTTGGGAGTGACAAAAAATGCTAGTAAAAAAGAAATAAAGAAAGCTTATAGAAAACTCGCTATGAAATGGCATCCTGACAAGCACCCTGATGATGAAAAAGCACATGAAATGTTTCAAGATTTGAGTACAGCTTATGAGGTATCTATATTATATGAGTTCGCTATACGTTCAGCTATTCCTTTATTTGGGCTTCAGTACTGAAGACTGAAGTGCTTGAACTTCTTTTCGTATGAAACAACAGCTGGTGTTTTTTATTTTCATCCCACACAGTATAGCTTGTATGTACATTATGCACGTTAACCAGTTGCTGTCTTGTAAAATATTTAATTTAGTAGGCATTAACTGTCTTTTACAAGTAAATGTATTTATAGCTACAATGTTCCAATTGAGTTTGTGTCTTAATTGAATCTAAGTATGGTATACAGGACCTGAAGTTAAAAATGTTAAATTAAATTTTGTCTTAGTTAAGATTTCCTAAAATAAGGTTTCCTTTTTCAGGCTTTGTCAGATGATGAGAAAAGAAAAATTTACGATGCTCATGGTGAAGAAGGATTAAAGAAAATGAGTGGAGAAAATGGACACGATCCTTTTGATTCTTTTAATAGGTACGGTATACACATATTATACAAAAGCATCTGTACAGTCTCAATGGTTTATGAAAAGTCAAAGAATATTTAATTCACAGATTATTATTGTATATTTTCCAGTAATATGAATTCCACCCATCTTATTAACTAATTATTTCTAAATTTCAGTTTTTTTGGTGGTTTCAACTTTCACTTTGGTGGATCAGATCACTCTCATCGACGAGATACTCCCAAGGGTGCTGATATAGTTATGGATCTAGATGTGACATTAGAGGAGTTGTATAGTGGGGAATTTATTGAGGTATTTCATGCATATATTTACTGCACTTGTGAGATCACACAAGTTCAAATGCACCTTTTGTAATGATTTTTCACTATATATATGTAACAAATGCAGGTAATGAGACATAAACCAGAGTCTGAAACAATCCCTGGCACAAGGAAATGTAATTGCCGACAAGAAATGAGAACAACACAACTTGGACCAGGTCGTTTTCAAATGGCACAAGAAGAAGTCTGTGATGAATGCCCTGCTGTGAAATATGTGAACAAAATGAAGAAATTGGAAGTTGAAATTGAGCCAGGAATGATCGATGGCCAAGAGTGTTCTAGATTTGTTGGTGAAGGTTAGTAACGCACATGAATATTATATTTCATAAAGATTATCAGATATTGAAGTATTTTACTTTTAGGTGAACCTCATATTGATGGTGATGCTGGTGATCTAAAATTTATCATAAAAGAGCAAAGGTAACTTAATGTGTCATATTCAACAGAGATTCTGTCTTTTGTTTAAAAAAATCCATTTAATAAGTAGAAGTTGTGCCTTTCGATGTTAAGAAAATACTCTTTTGTTTTGAAGGCATTCAAGGTTTCATAGAGATGGAATGACTTTGTATACAAATGTGACTATATCTCTTGTTGATGCACTAAATGGTTTTGAAATGGATATCCAACACTTAGATGAACACAAGGTGAGAATCTATTGCTTAAGTTCATCTTATGGAAAAGCATTCATGATGAATATAACACTTTTATCGTTTGCAAGTTTTGCTTCTTGCACATACATAAGCAGAGGCAGCATAAGCCTTTAACCATAAGTGACAAACTAAATAAGTTTTTTTTGTTCTAGGTTCATGTCACCAGGGAAAAAATTACATGGCCTGGTGCAACAATTAAGAAGAAAGGCGAAGGAATGCCTAGTTATGATAATAATAATTTGTTTGGTGATTTATTTATTTCATTTGATGTGGACTTTCCCAGAGGTTCTTTTACAGCAGAAGAGAGAGAAGGTATATTTTTATCAATATTATAAATACTATAAATAGTCATACGAAAATTATTTAAGCACTTTGGCCATTTTTTTAAACTGATTTTGATGGCAAATTGATTTCTTTCTTTTTTTTAAAGCTGTGATCAAACTTCTTCAGCAAAAATCCTATCAAACTGTGTACAATGGATTATAAAGATGAGATGTTGAATTATGCTAGTCAATTTCTATTTGTGAATAAGCGTGGCATCCTTTGTGTTGACGTTTTCCTGTTACAATGCTCCGGCAGCTCTGGCTAATGAAATAAGTGACGTATGGACAAGCCAGTTATCATTGAAGGATTTATGGGAGAAATAAAGGAAGGTTTTAAAGGAAATTAAGATGCTTTTTCCAGGTAGGCAGGTAGTTTTCAAGCAAAGTCAAAAGCATTGTTAGACCATCCATTTACACCAGAAACACTGCATATTTAGGTCACACATCCTTGTGCAAATTTTGTTCAAAAGAATCCTTACTCATTATCAGGCCATGTAAAATCCTAGCCACCAAAACCACCCATCATCTAGCAAAATCATTGCTCTTGCTGCAAACACTTTAGTATAGTATAACAGTTTTTAAAACTATGTTCAATAATTACTTATCATTAATACAACATTTTCTTAATGTTTTTTTTTTGTTTGTATTACCTTTTACATTGCATAAGATTAGTAACTAAATACAAGTATTTTAAAATTTATTTCATGCAAGCAATTTCATCTTCATAGCAAGTTTATTTCATCTTTATCAGGAAAACTGCTGTAAGGCTGTCTTCACTCTAGACAATTGAAAACAAATATACCAAGCTGGATTGATTATCCATGAGAAACTACTGTAATTTTGACCCAAACCATTCTACAAAAAATATGTCTTAAAACCTGTCAAAAAGCAATGGATCTGCAGTTGTTGATAAATCTTGCAGTAACTTGAGAATTCCCAGATCACGAAACACTGTTTGTCTCTCTGAAGCTCCTTCATCTGTGCTCCATGCTAGGTTTGAAATGCAATATATTGCAGCCATCTTCAACTTGACATTGTCTTGTGTGATATAATGTTTAAGTCTCTTGAGAAGCCCATCATCTGACATAAGATAATCTTTGGCTGTCCTTCCATTTGCAATATTTCCAAGGATACATAACGCCTGAGAAAAAAGTTATGATCATTCTTTCAAACTATGGACAGTTAGTATTTTCTTGACATGGCCCACAATCCAACAGCTCTTATTCACATCTAAAATGCTTTATGGATATTAATTACCTGCTCTTTAACCTCACAAATTTGAGAACTATTATCATCTATGATTGGCTGCAAGGAACGCATAACATCACTGCCATGGAGGGCCATGATGTGGTCAATATTCTAGAAAAATACCCTCAGTTTTAATAATTTAATTCTTTGGGGTTCAAGCACAGATGACATACTTACATCTCTGCCAGAGAGAAGATTTCTCATCAATCCCAAAGTCTTCATAACCACTTGAGTATCATTATCTTCTAATAAACTACAACAAACTCTAAATCAGATGCAGTGTTTATTGAAGATGATAAAGAAAATTACACTTACTGAAATATCTGTCCTGTTCCAAGCCTTTCTAGGATTCTGTTTTTGGTATTTTCATCAGATTGGTATGCCATATTCTGCAGAATATAGATTGAGGAAAACATTTAGTTGCACCTACACATTTAGTTGAGATGATTTAGTTGATATTTGAGATGCATGAATACAAAAACACTGTGTTACCATCAATCCCCACACTCCATTTAATCTCAATGCATTATTTTCATGCTTTGTGAGTTCAACTAAAAGTTTCACTGCTCCAGCTTCAAGGATAGACTAAAAAATAAAATTGGTTTTACACTTTTACAAAACATGCCACAATATTGGAAAATTAGAACTACTGGTAATATACATTACCATTTACCATGCTGATGACATCTCACCATTACCTCTTTACTTGGAGAGAACTCCAACAGTAGATTACATACAGCTGAAGAAGCAACCTTGAGAACTTCCTCTGAAGCCCCTTGCAATAACTTCATCAATGGTTTCCATACTGCATTATCTTGAAATGTTGTCCGCAGTTGATGAACAGATCTCGATAAACTGTGCAGACATTTTACTGCTGCAAGTTGAACTGTTATCCGAGAGTCTTCTATGCCCATTACTACATGATCCATTGTTGATTCTGTTTCAATTATCTGTAAAAGGCCAGATTTTTAACAGATAACAACCTTAAACCTTTTAAAAACTGAACAGAATCATGGTATAACAAAATCCACTGCCTCTATTACCCTCTTTCGTATGTCCTCATCACTTGCCCCAAGTGATGCAAAAGCTTTTAATGCAGTCTGCAAATAAAATAAAGACTCATTGATTAAGATTTTAGAAATAGTAAAATATTCGTCACAGTAAATATGTCACCTCTCTCATCCTTGCATAATCATCTTCATTGAGATCATTCTTTCTCAGATAGTTTGCTAAGGTTGGAATGAGATGATCAGCAATAGCTGCAGTTTGTTGTAACCCTGCATCTTCCTCAATCAAGTATCCTGAAAAAAATGAATATTTGTTGACATATGACAGCTTGTAGCAATACTACAGACAGGTACAATGATCTTGGGAATAAACGCTGTAATGATCTTGGAAATAAACTACCAAGTAGTGGATGTTATAAGATTGCAAATGAATGGCAAGCTTACCTAAAACTTCAGCAGATTCAGCTCGAATGGTAATTTCTTTCTCTTTTTTGCAAAGTTTTACTAAACATGGTAATACCTGAAAGAAGTTTTTGTTTTTACTCTAAATAGGTTTATATAAATGATGATAACAGAATAATATTTGATGAAAAGGGTACCTTCAGACGAACTAAAGGATCAGTTGTTGGAAATGCACCAGCACGTGAAAGATTTGTAAGGCTTCACAAAAAGAAAATTAATTTTGTTAGGTTTTAAAAAATATTTTTCAAAATGTTACTGCTCGATCTTGGAATCAAAAGTTTATACCATTTTGCTGCAGATAGACGAATGGCATCAGGCTTATCACCAGGTAATAATCTTTTTAATACTTCAATAAGACTTTCATTTTTGAATGTTGCTGTAAGAAAAATGCTATTGTGAAAAAAAATCCTTTACATTTATAATTTTATCTGATAGTTCTGGTTTTATCTTTAAAATACCTGTCTTCATCATGTCAGCTATGACTTCATTTTCTAATGACAGGGCAGCGTAGCACTGCAAAGCAGGCAGCTGTAATTTTGGATTACTGCTACCAACAAGTGGGACTAATGCTTCTATGAGGCCACTTCGAGCCAACAATTTCTGGTGAACTGAGTTCTACATAAAGAAATGTTTTTCATCCAATAGTTACTGGTTGAAGACTGGTTTGTGAAGAAAATAATGAATTATATGACAATGAATATACCTGACAACATCTTGCTAGTATATGAGCAGCACATTCAGACTCAATGTGTGTACCACACAATAATTGTATTAGACAGTTGATGTTTGAAGTATCCTAAGAAAAAAGTCAATGGTTATGTAACCATGAGCACCATTTAACAAAATGAAGGGATCAGAATATTTACCTCATAAATGGGATCAACTGGTGTTTGTGGTGAGATATAAAATGTTCTCAAAGAGCGAATAGATGCTTCAGCCAGTTTTCTATTGGAATTTTTTAAACCTGCATAGGAAACTAAAGTAAGTAAAACTGATGTGCAATCATAGAATTATTTTCAAAGTGTTTCAGTCATATATATTGGCTATATCCCATGGATCTTTGTTTGTTGGTATTTTGTTCTCTTTAGGAGAATATTTAACCATATTTATGACAATTACAGACCTTGAAGAAATAGTGGAATGATAGAATGTGCCAGAAGAATTGTCACAGTTTCATCATCAGCTGAAATGTATTACAATTTTCTTTAAACAAGAGAAATTTTGTTGGGTGTTGTAGAAAAGAAGTTATCATTTCTAATGCAACTATCGAATGTGCTACCTCTAGCAAGACTTCCTAGGATTACCACTGCCTCTATAGCAAGCTCAATGTTGGTTTGTTCCCTTTGCAGTAAATGAACAAGACTGAAAAATTAGAGGTCAAAAATATGTTTAATCAATTGTAAGGACAATTAGCAAGAATAGATAACATTGTACAAGGAGAATCAGTTTACTGTGAGCTAGGGATGACTGATTATTTAACTCACTTCGAAGCAATATCAAGTTGAATAAATGCTTTTTTATTTGCCTTGCTGCCAATCACAACATTCTTTATATTTCTGTTGAATGAAATTATAAGTACAAACTATACATTAGATATAATTTCCTATACCAAGCAGAGAGTTTTATAGACAGCTAGACAATACCTAGCAGCTTGAAGACTTATTTCAGCATCTGAAGACAGAAGTTGATCGACTAATCCTATTCCATCTCCAGGATCCTGAGTGAACAAATTGAGAAATTAATTAGAATTCTTATAGAAATATTGCTATTTTAGACGATAAACCTGTGTATATACACATATATACTGTCATGTAATACAAGACTGGATGATGTGAAAATTGGGTGCAATCTCTCAGTTAACCAGAAATCAAAATTGCACTTGGGTAACACATTCAAATTCATTCACACACATTTAAATTATATTTTGGTTCTAATAATTTTTTATATTGTTATAGAAATTATGATAACAGAATCAATCATTTGCCTTAATGGGTCAAAAACTCACTGTTTGATTTAAGTATATTAATTGTACAGTAATTTTCACAAGTGTTCAACATGCAGCCTAGTGGTAGTGTGTGGTACAACTATTTTGTTCATTGTCTCTACTGCTACGAGTTCGATTCCTCTAAAGATGACCCTTTATGTTTTTGAGATATAACAATTATCTGAAGAAAAATACCAAACTACTGCTAAAATTAACCACAATTTAGAAGATCATACCATAAAAACATTTTCTGTGTCTCTTTTCATATTTTAAACTTTTAATGTTTACAATTTTGAAACCAGCGGAGACGTTCCCCGGGGGTAATTTTAGCCGTACGGTTAGTTTTCCCCAAAGTATCATGGCGACTTGGAGGTCACTTCGTCGAAAGTTTTTTTATAAATTTAAACCGTGCCTGGCTCATCCTTCCTTTATTTTGCGCCCATATCATGCTGTATCAATAAAGTCAAGCACGTATTGCCACAGAGAAACATATTTTCAAAGCCGTGAACGGACAAATCCGACAGGAAAACGATGTGTTTCTGGCAAACCTGGCAAGGCTGAAGCGTCTATTGTTGTCCTCGGAAACCCATTCCAATGGATTTCAAAGAAAATAAAGATATTTTTAGTAAATTCTTACTTTGATGCAGATTTTGAAGAGGAAACGTTTATTAAAGGTGCAAAACAGGTTATTATATGTGTTTGTTATTATATGTGTTTTGCAATTAGCCAGGAACCTCTGGCTCTATAAAGCTAATGAGCTAGTACTTTTTCTAATTATTGGTCATCTACTATCTATATGGTTTATAGGCTGTAGTTACAGTATCGGCTTTAGTAACAGAAAGGAAATTCAATCAACTCAAAGGTTTATTGACTGACGAGGTATAAAAATACATTTTTTTACATACAGAACCAGAGATAAACACCCGAGCATAGCTCTCACCCAATTTCATTTAAAAACTTACCTGGATCCACCATTGATGTGACATGTGTGCTTGCTTCTTCTAGGCAATTGAGAAATTAGGAGATGAAGTGGTAACTGAAGATAATATCGAAGCATATCGTATCACAATGGATGATATTATTCAAACCACTATTTTTGATGTTGGCTTCCAATATGATAAGACAGGTAATCAGTTATGGATTTTATGTCAACCAGATTGCTTTTACTATGAGAGCTTGAATTATCTTTATTTTTTTATAGAAAATGGTAGAAAGTGGTTGCATATTATGGTATCATGCATATGTCAAGGCATGAAGATTGGGATAGAAGAACAACACAGTAACACATTTATTAGAAGTTCATTACCCCGCATCACAAGATACAGGTACTATAAAAAGTTTTATGAAAACAGTTCAGTTTAAATATGTCATATCAATAGAAAAATATTTTGTTTAGTTTTTGTAAAGAGTGCACATCAGGGATAGACGATGGCTGGATAATTACCCAAATGATAAACATTACACCTAAAAAGGAGATACATTTCAAAAAGAGGTCTCCATGATCTCTTCACGATGCTTGCAAACTCTTGTAATTTATTTGTATAAATTCTAATGTACATTTTCTTCTGCCTTCAACACTTGCTGAAGTGATAACACAATGCTGGATCACATGGTTAGAAGAACAGAAATGGGAGATTTTAAATGGACACCTTTTTAGTGTATGACATCTGTATTCAGTTGGAATAAAGTCATAGAAACAGTAGACAATGTCTAACATTATCATATGTTAATGAATGCATCGTTTCTAGTATTATATTTTAGTAATTAATAATTTTATAAAATTTTTGGCAACTTTTTTCACTAATTATTAACAGTGGTGACGAGCAAGTCCTCCAGGAATAATAATATTATATAGCTCAGTGTCTGCATCAGCCCGACCCAAAATGCATCTCTTTCGTACACGTTTGATTTACTCACATGGCAAGCATGCTGGAGATTTGAGTCATAAATTGACAATTTTCCAGTCGTATTTTTGCCTATTTGTTGTACGAAATGAATTGATTTCGTAGCTCATCATGGAGAACAATACGATTATTTTTGGCGACTTTACAGAAGAAGACATACTTGTGTATTTTTCTGATGAAATTGTAAAATCAAGCGGTACTGAATTTCCTGAAGATTTTCATATGTACATTTTAAGCACAACATTAAGCGGGAAAGATTGCTCTCGAGAGGCCTTGGATATTTCAAATAAAGTTGAATATGCAAACATCAATACTGGCTTGGATGATAAAAGGAAATTGGTTGAAACTTTTACCTCAGAAATGGGAAGGGTACCAAACGAATTTATGGAAAGCCGAATTGCAACAGACGTCGATAAAGTAAGTGGAAATAATGAAGTTTTATGTTCTGTGGACGAAAGTATTTTACCGGACATATCTAATTCTAATACTTCCTTGATTGACAATAAGCAAAATTTAAATTCTGATGATACAAATATCAGATCAGAAAATGTTTCAAACGAGAACAATGGTTCTTTACTACCAAAGGCTGAAAACAGCCTCCCCTCACTGACTCCTACTTCAGCAGAAAGTAACAACAGTCCAACAAATGTTGTTACGGTTGGGACAAAAACAATGTTAACAACCTCAACTAGAACTGTTGAGTCTCGAAATGAGGGGGTAAAAAGCTCTTGGGCGGACCTCTTTAAGACAAAATCCACTTCCAAGCCACAAGATCCACTACCTCAAGTGAAATCAAAGCCACAACAACCAGAACAAAGTACTGAAGAGGACAGTTTATCAAAGACAGATCAATTTCAGCAGTATTTTTCGGATGTTCTGAAGCGAACCTCTTTGACTAATCAGGTTCCGTCGTTGCAACCTCGTGGTCTAAAGAACAATGGTAATTGGTGTTACATCAATTCAACCCTACAAGTTCTTTTATTCTGCCCATCATTTTACCATTTCCTTGCAAAATTTAAACTTAAAGCTGAACGTGGTACAAGCTTGACACCAATATTGGATGCACTTGTTCTGTTTGTCAGCCAGTTTAGTGAAATGCCTCCCCAACAATCTACAGCAGGTAGATCTCGTGATTGGAACAAGCAAGATGTTGTGATGGGTATGCCATTTGAACCAATATATGTGTATAAACTATTATGTCAAGTAAAAACATCACTCTCACAACAAGGAAAACAAGAAGATGCAGAAGAGTTTCTTAGTTGTATCTTGAATGGCTTACATGAGGAGATGGTGCAACTCAACTCTGCTGGAAATAAAACTCAGCCAGAAAATCCTATTACCTCTACAGTTGAAGATCAGGCTGTTGGTGACTGGGAACAAGTTGGTCCACGGAACAAGTCAACAATCACACGAAAAGCAGCCATGTCTAAGTCCCCAATTGCTGCCATGTTTGGTGGCTATTTGAGATCATCATTGCTTCAACCAGGGCTGAAGGAATCTGCTAGCATCCAACCATTTTTCACCATTCCGCTGGATCTTCGAGGAGAGGTGAGCACAGTTCAGCAGGCATTTGATCATTTCTTCAGAGTTGAAGAAGTTGAAGGTTTTCAGTGTGATAAAAGCAAGACTGAAGTTGAAGTCTCAAAGAAATGGACACTAGATACCTTGCCAATCGTGTTAGTGTTGCATCTCAAAAGATTTGTTGTCAATAAGAATGGTTGTGAGAAACTCACCAAGAAGATAACTTACGATGCTCAGCTTCAAGTTCCTATGGAAACATTATCCAAGATGACAAAGCTTCCAACTAAGAACATGTTATCCTATAAACTATTTGCAGTCACTTATCATCATGGCAAGAATCTACATGGTGGACATTACACTTCAGATATTTCTCATCCATCAGTTGGTTGGCTACGGGCAGACGACATGAACGTCAGAACTGTTCCACCAAAGTTTGTATTCAACCCTTTGTCAAATAGAGATCCTTATTTATTGTATTACTGTCGTGGAGATATTTAAGATGTAAGAAACCAATCAAGATTCAAGCGTGCTTGTGAACATCAGTGGTTGGGGTTTTACAGGACTAATTTTGACCACATGCGATGAACACTTCTAGTAAGTGGTTCAGAACAATGATTAAAATGCTGATTATTGGGTCATTTGACTCATTTCAGAAAATTTCCACCCTCCCCTGCCATTTTGCAATACTGAAAGTTTCTCTTCAGACATAAAATGTTTTTTGGTGGGAGTCTGGAATTTTTCCTTTAATATATCTGTTAAGGAAATTGTCAAATATTTTTTCATTTCACTAAGTATACTTTGTGCTGTAATGTCATGTGTCTAATTTCTAATCAATAAAGCAGGAAATGTTACATACTTTTCGTGGTTGTTTTGAATAAACATATTGTATTGCAGCTTTCAAGCATGCATTTGGTTATATTAACCAGGTAAAGTTCTTTTCACAACTGTGCACAAAGTTTGACTAAAATTAATGGGTGTAAATTCTATTTATAGTGAACAAAAGTGATTAGGATTCAATTCTAAGGCTTTTGTCAAAGCATGCCAGTGCAGTATATTCCTTTATCATTCATGTATTTTTAATATCTGTGAAGAATGTTTGATGCTTCCACTCGATAACAGGAGCGGTATTACGCGCTATTATATCTGCCAATTTCGTGCCTCTGTATTTGGTCATTCGATCCTTAGTTGGCTCCAGGTACGGGTTTTCAAACCAGAATCTGTCCCCGTCACGAAGTAATTGAAATTGCTTAGCAATGATCGCTGCAAATGTTTCCCCCACACATCCCCCGGGTAGGTGGGACTCTGCCAAACCACCAATCCACAAGTCAACATCATTAATATCAGTGTATAAATCTTCCAGTTTGCCTGCAACGCTTTTGTCTGATGTGATCTCGGAAAATGATTTTCTTGCCTCGAGACCCAAAGCGTCGCGAACACTATTATAATCAGCTAAGCCATGATCTCTTCCCCGTTGAATACCATACGACATCAGATCAAGACCTTGGGTGTTGGTGCCAAATAAGAAATTTCTCACAGCATCTACGAACAATGTGTCCACCTTCTCAGCCCGCTGTCGTAACATACCACGGAGCAGCGGTTCAATACCTAAAATGTTTTGGAATAATCAGCATCCTGCATGTACTGCATGGTTCATGGTGGATAGTTGGACATTTCGTAGGCCGTTCTTACCTGTTTCAGTTATTACTCGACCAGGGTTGAAATAAGCATCTCTCAGATCCAAGTTACCAACATTTAACATGGTAGTCCATTCATCGTCCAATCGTGTCATTGTATTACCAATCTGACTGTGACCATACCGGAACGCTGCTGTTGCAAATTCGTTAAATACTCCAACCTTCAAACTTGAATTGTAACCTGAAAATCAAATTTACATCCTGTTGTGGAATATGCTTCGCGGTGCATTTGATTAATTGTGACGATATGGGAAACAAGATTGAAGAAGTAAAAGCAGTGACATTTACTGTTTGATTAAATTGTAAAGTCAGTTCTACCTTCGTATTCTGGGATATTTTTGAATGCTTTTTGTCCAATTACCGTTGGCAGGAACTCGTACCAGACCACCGCTTGCCATTTAGCACGCGTGATTGTTCTTGCATGTTGAAATAATGATTCGTCATCATAGTGTTCTAAAGCTTGCTCGTTCCTAAGCTCCTCACAGACTAAATTATGTTCACGTGCCCAGATCGTGTGCAGACATATCAGACCAGGTTGAACGTTTACACGAGGGTCTCCTGAAATCAAGAGTTTCTCACGCGGTCCTCCGAGAAGATTGAGATTTGGTAATTGTTTCGTATTGAAAGGTAAATTATGTTGCGTTTGTTCCCGAAGTTTTCCATCTTTTCCCTGCCGGAGTGCACAAGCACGTTCGTTTTCTGAGCCGTAGACAATAGAAAGATCAATAAATGATGACACTTTGTTTACCTTTAAAGAAAAAGTACATTTTGTTATCTACCAAGCACAGAATAACAAGATGATAGCAGCGTCAGGTACCACCAGTTAAATATAAAATAATTCTGCAAAACTGACCAACATTACCTGTTCTCGGGCAACGCCATTATGTCTTCCTGTGTTAGCCGCATGCGCTGAGCGTCTTAATCTCATCGTCTGTGAGCCAGTGGAATAAGGATCAAACCATGGGTCCCCTGTTGGAATCTTAATTGCAAAGTTTTCTGTGGGCAAAGCATTGGCGTAAGGCGTGGAAAAGTCGATATCGTGAGCAAGAAGTTGCCCAACGTGCATGTGAATTTGATTTAATCCCGTTGGACTAAAGACATCAATTTTCTGATTTCCTAAAACATTGGAAATATTTCTTGGATTTGGACGACGTTGTCCAGCTGGGGTTTCATAATGATCGTCATAATCAGCGGGAGAAATCCTTAGTAAAGGACTGAGTGCTCGACCATAGTCGCGGTTCTCAGGGTTGTTTGAAAAGCCACTGAACGTCGCCCATTTTTTCTCAGATGCGTCAACTGTCTCTGGATGGTTCTGTTCCTTCGAGTCCTCGACCTATAAAGAAATATCGTCACTGCCGTGTATTGGGCTCGTATGTTTTTTAATGAAGTTTTAAAAAAGAATGTCAAAACTTTTCCCAGTCAACACCAAATCAATTTCTGAAATAATTTAGAATACGATACCTTCACTTTGACATATCCAATAGACGAAGTCACACCATCACTAACGACATATTGAAAGCTGTCTTCCCCAGTGAAGTCTTTGGCAGGGTAATAAGTCACGTAATTTTGGTGGCGTGATAATCTACCGTGACTCGGTTCCTTACTGATTGATGTAATTTTCATCTTGCGACATTCTGGCAATGATTTGTCGGGTGAAGACGTGATATGCTTGTAGTTTCGTTTTCCACGCATGTCGTGAACACGCAGCAAGGTTCTTCGTGGCACGTTCTCGATGACTCGTGTATTGTTTGTCACCGGCCAGTACACGCGGATCGTAAAATGTTCTGCTGTCTCGTGAGCTAATCCAAAATGAGCTGTGGTTTCACCTTGACCTGAGAATGCGGATGAACTGCGAATTTCACGCACAATTTCTCTTCCAAACTTTGGAGAGAAAATATAAACCCGGGCACCGATGCTTTCTCGATCTGAGTCTGCTTCGAGAACATTCACCCGAATCCAATCCCTAGTGTGTCCGCCATCGTTGCGATAGAAAACTGATTTTTCACAATTTGAGACAATGTACACATCTTGATCACCATCGTTGTCAAAGTCGAACACAAACAATCCCCTACCGTCTCGTCTGTCATTGATACCTTTGCTATCCCCAACAGAGCTAAAACTGCAGTTCCCAGAATCTGCATGATGATTCTCGTAAAGTAAGGTCTTCGTGTGATGAAGAAAATCAAAGTCGGTGCTTTCAGTATCATCAAAACCATTCGTATGAATCAAATCCAAGTCACCATCATTATCATAGTCCAGGAACGAAGTCCCCCAGGCCCACCAACCTTGCATGGTAACAACAATTGGTTGTTAATTTTGGAGTACAAAATGCTAAAATCTAGGCAATGGAAACAATAGATAAACGTAAATCTTACCTGGTCTTACTCCTGTAATGTCGGTTTCGTCTGTAAACTTTCGCTTTCCATCGTTTTTGTACATTCGATTTCCAGTGTATCCGAAGATCATGCCACCTCCCTGACCGTAGGCTTCAATGTATGGGTTACGATATTCCTCACTCATGTAGATACTTGTTACAAACCAGTCTTGTTTTCCGTCATTATTATAGTCAGCGACTGTCGAGCCCATACCATTTTCTTCTAAACCCACTCCTGCTCCTTTTGTTCCATCCACAAACGTGCCATTTTCATTTCCCCAGTACAGCCGACTCGTGAAGAAATCCCCAGTAATGGCCAAATCAAGATTACCTAGAGTAATATGTTTGTTGACGTCAACAACAGTAATTTTCCTCCCCCACAACTTTGTAAAATGTTTAATTTAATTTTACTCACCATCAGCATCAATATCTGTGAACATGGCTGATAGACTATATGGCCCAGGCATAACATCTTTAAACAGTCCAATGTTTTTTATTCTGTATGGCGTCAAGTTTGTTAGTCCCGCGCGTTCATCAGCGCGTGTATGTGGTTCAGGCTGTGAACTCAAGCCAGCTTCATTTGTCATATCAATGAAATATCCTAGAAACGAAACATTTTTTACATGTGCTTAAATTGTTGAGTATTATTGAGTTACTACGTCTTAGATAGTAACATTTATTTAAGATAGTAATGTCCTGTGATACCAACCTGGTTTGCCTTCAGCTCCTAAATTTTTGAGAAGTTTTGAGAGAGAGTGATTGCTGTTTTGATAGTCGTAACTTTGGTCAAGATGTGGCAACCATTCGGTTCGGTAGAAGTCCAGCCAACCTAGTAAAAACATACATACATTTTCAAATGCTCTTTGGTCACCAGACGAGCCAATAAGCCAGTAAAAACCTTACCATCTTTATTGTAATCCCCAAGTGCTATGGTCATTGTTGAAGTCTTGAATGGTGGAATAGTTGGTTTTCCTGCCAGACCTCGTTCTATTGCCTCCTCTGTAAAATGGCCCATGCCATCATTAACATAGAAGTAAAATCTTTCTTCTGCCATTGTTCCAATGTAAAGATCAACATCGCCGTCATTATCTACATCTGCCCATGTCGCACCTGTTGATCGGTGGTTCATTGTTTGGGTGAGGTTAGCCTCTGCAGTGACTAGTTGAAATGAACCGTTACCAAGATTACGCCATAGTTGATCGTTGCCATCCACACGAGCATAAAATATATCCAAGAAACCATCGTTGTCGTAGTCAGCGGTTGCTCCTGCGCCTGCACTTTGTTCTGGTAAACAAAACGAGCCCTTGATCCATGTCTTTAAAGTCGGGTCGTAATGATCAAACAGACAATCAGGACTTGCTGGTATTGCTGATTGCACAGCGTTCATTCCCAACTCTTGTGCAATGTCTTTGAATATGATTTCAGCGCTTCTGTCCTCTGTTTGAGAATCTCGGTTCATGCATATAGCTGGCTTGTCTAGGTACACATCATTTTTCAGCACTGGAATGTGTATAAATCCTTCAGACAATTCCATTGAAAATTCGTCATTATTGGCTACGATACTGTCAGATTTTGGCTGGATGATTATTCGTACTTCGTACTCGTCATTTGACACAATTGTGTGATTCTCGTGCAAGAGAAAATACCGAAATCTGTCCTCGCCAGAGTACTCTGATGCAGGAAGATAAAATGGTTGTAGGCTGCAGTGTTCATCTGTCTGTGTTAACTCTGTCTTGTCAGGATAGCAGTTTAGAGCGCCATACCCAGGAGGTTTACTGATTAAAATAGAAGAAGCAGGTTTCTCATGAAAATCGTCCAATGTGATCCTGATTTTCGTGTCTTCGTCTGTGGTAATCGTGAGCTTCTTAGCACACGAGGTTGAAAGATTTGGTTCTACAGAGTGAGAATAATAAGCTCAATATCGAATATTCAAATTCTACTGCTACGTGGCAAATAATTCTCGTTAACTTTACAACAAGTAGCTTTTGTTTCTACATGAAAATGATTCACTTATTATGGTTGTTTTCATATTTTTTCAAACTGCTAACTAATGTGTTAGGAGGAAGGTACAGAATTAGTCCTGAAAGTGTTTACGAATTTCTACACCAAAACAACAAGTTGTTTCTGGAAGAAGCTTTTTGTTTTTTGAAAGTTTTCTCAGAGAATTGAATGGCAAATATTTAAATAATTTGACCTCAATAGTGTGAGCTTTTAACAATGTCTTACGCGACATACCACAAATTATTATGACGCATGGGGGGTTGACATTGTAATAGCATGTACATGTTAGATTTGCCGTGACTAAATGGTTCGTTCGAAATCTTTGAAGTCCCATTTTCATTCGAACGTCATCAGCTTTCTTCATGTGTAAACTTATCCGATTAAAACCATTGTACATGCACGATTTTCTTTATTACAGATAAACTGCGTATTTGAATCTAAATATACCAAAGATACCAAAAACTGTAGGGTATTTGTTTTAAAATGGAAATTAATTAAGTCGAACACCATTAAGGCGAGATCAAGACTTGTCCTGATATAGTCCAGTCTGTCTCACTCCGAGTAAATTGCCACTAGCCTAGGTGCTTTCTAAATCTTAGAGCTTCCTATCTACGTTAGTAGTCTTGAAGAATTTCCTATAAATGGATTTTCTCACAATTGAAGAAAATAGCTGCATGATCCATTCTTATAAAACAAAGGAATATTAGTACTATTATTAAAGATAGTTTTATGAACTTTATATGAATTGTACATCCGTCAATCTTCAGTGTAAGTAAAAGCTCTGTGTTTTCCTTTGAGTCGATTTATTCCTAATAAAGTGATTACGGCGTGAAAGTGGTTTGTCTTAAACTCACCGCACAAGTTCAAAGACGGTCTCACAATGACAATATGAAAACCATTTTACATTTACATTGTTTGTAGTTAGGGGTATTGTACGATGTGCATTAAGTGATTCCAGTAATGAGAAGATATCTGTAATACTAGGACAAAGGTAATGATAAAAATATTACCCATAATAAACCATCACACATGTAACATTACAATAGCACGTTACTAACTAGTTTCACACAATGAAATCTTGCATAATATTTTATTTTGACAAGACGTAATCTTTCATTATTTGTATTCTAACGTTGTTGAAGGTACTACATGCATGTACAAACATAGTACCATCGTTTGTAAACTGAAATATAGAGACTCGAAAATAAACAATCAAACGAACAAACTAATCAAGATGAGAGAATATAGAGAGATGATTCAATAAATTCTACCATACCTAACAGCTGACTTTAAAATATGCAGCAACTTTTAATGCATCTAACACATGATAAATGATTACCACGGGGAAAATATTAACTTTCCTTCATCAGAGTGTATGCATATTTGTACGTATATGTGGTATTGCAATGTTTCTGATAGGCAACCCAATAGCCACGCAAGCAGGACTTCGGAATGCACTAAAACACGTGCATATAGTTGGAAGTTTGAAATTACTGTATTCATGCAATCATTTTTTAAAGCTTATAGTTTGAAGTTAAACATTTTAATGATAGTGTGGAAGGCAGTGACTTGGATAAAATGATACAAAAGAATGTTTCTTTCTTTTCAAGCAAGACAAGTTATAAAACAGCATGAGACACCATTACCAAAATGATGAGCGGAAACTCGTAAGGAGTTATTGTTTTACCTCGGAAAGAACATCTAAATTCCACAGATTACATACTCTCGATTTATCTCTTTGTCATTCATTAAATTTATTCATAAGTAAAAACCAAAATGATCGGAATTTTATGTTGTTTTTCTCTGTAAGATTGTCTTACATCACTATTTATACCCCACAAGAATTTTAATTGAAAGCATTATTTTGTTTATAATTTGGACAGGAAGACAAGATTCTACATTAACATCCTATAGCACTTTAACCGTCTGTTCCTGCCCCCATGTATCAAGAAATTCTAATTTTGTCTTTTTTAACAGTTTCTTCCTATCTTTCCTTACGGGTATCGATATATGTTTACATAGCTGCATTGCTGCAGGATTTTACAGGAAATGCTGACTACGCTGACTTGGCCTTAAACGATATGATTTTATAGTACAATCTCAATTCTTCAACACAGTTATGTAAAAGAATAAGAATTGTTTTCTTTACAGAAAGAACTTGAACTGTTTTAAATGCAACATTTTTCCAATATATAACCTAATTATTAGCTACATACGATGTCGATCAACGAAGTATTAATTGGCTATTAGGTTTAAAATTAGCGCCACCCCATGTATGCATTGACTCTGAGAGCCCCTGATTTATCATCAAACAACACAGAATATGAACTATTCAACACAGAATGTCTATGAAGAAATATTCCAGTAATTGAAAGCATTTAACTGACTTTACCATAACAAAATGATTTAATTCAATTTTCCGCCCGAGGAATTCTGGTTGATACTTGTTTGAATGTTATAGTTACTTTATTCCCATTTAATATGAAACATTACTTAAGTGGCCTGAGAAGAAGTCTGCAATATATTTCAAGGACCCAGGGAAACACCCAATTCAAACGACGTGAATCTGAATGTACACTTACCAATTTTTATCAAAACGAGAAATGATAGCATCGCTAAGGAACCTGGGACGATTCCCATGATGTTCATTTTGTAACGGTCGCGTCAGAGGTACTTTCTGTAGATTGCTTATATCTGTACTAGTTGATGATCACTGGGAGGCCTTACACCACAAACTAAAAAATTCTTTCTCTAACAGGCGTACATAAATCGTAAAATGAATAATTATTCCTTTATTACACAATTGAATATACACTTGATATCCTTCAGCGCGATTGATAGCGACTAATCGTCATTGCTACCATGGAAACCATACAATTGCACAGTTGCGTAGGACGAATGCTTAATTTGGTACTTTACGCTGTTTTGTAGTTCGTAAGCAATTTGTTTTAAACCATCAAGTGTTTTAGTGTCCAGATTGCTGTTGTATGTATCAATTACTGAATAACCTAGCTGGTATTCATTTCACTTTTTGTACATCGCAGCAAGACGCGTTAATCTTTTGTATCCAACAGTTTATTAAATATCTTAACGATGTGTCTTATTGTTTCATTGTGATGAATCTGTCGGGGTCTTCAAAAATAGATTTAATTTCAAAGTTGATTATCTTCTCACTTTGTTCCCCTTCATAGGTAAATGGAGCATTTAAATTATTGTTTTCGAAAATCTCAGTAGCATACGGTATGCTTTGTATAAGATGGGTATATGTAGGAATATTTCCATACGATATATTTATGTCTTTACGATCGATGAAGATACTAAATGTTGGATATAGTCATAACATGGGCTTACCGTTAATGTTAGAATACTTATTCTACTTATGGCCACGTCAAATTCGTATCCATATAAATATGTATGGGAAGGAAAGTTGTGATTTCGGCAAGAATTACCTCAGTTATAGAAAGGAGCAATTTCTAGATCCGAATTTGCTAATTCACCGAATCCTGTTCAGAAGTTCATAAATTATGCCAAACCACAAGAGATTATTCTACAATCATTTTGATCAAAGAAGAAAGAAAGGCTCTTTTTATATAAACTATTTTGGGGCATGGCTTTAAGTAGTTTGATGTGGTATGTTTGGCCGACATAGTTTTACTTGCATTTGTAAAGATCTAAATAGTTTGAAAAAAGGCATAATTGTTAAAGAAAAGTAAAGAGGAATCTCAGATTATCTTTGGGTATTGCTCAACAGCATAACTTATTTTATTATGCAGGCTCCAAACACTCAATTGTATAGAAATTAGTCTGTCAGTAAACTATTAAAAAGATCTCTCAATTGTTGAAAGAAATTCTGTAAACCTGTAAAATTAGGATGTTTTCAGGCCAGCACAATTATAAGGTTATTTGAAACTGGATGACCATGAAGAAGCAAAGATACTTTCGTTCGGTTTGATTCCTACACGTCTCTAATTGGAAGCCCGTTGGAAGAACTCTCAAGTGAACCATATAATATACGAGTGATCAATAGATCTCGTCTCTGCAGTTTACATCGTTTGTTGAAGTATGAAGTATTTTGTCATTTTCAACCTCGCTTTCAACAACATGACATTGTTATATACATAAGAAGCACTTAAAAAACAACTATTTTTAACTAGTTATTATAAAAACGACAAAGAACAGTGTAGACACAAACTGCAGGGGCAAGAATGAACATAAAGATAAAAAGAATTATTTAGTTTCCGGCCACTTGACAGAAACTTGCCCGAATATGTCCAAACAAACAACCTTTGTCTTCATTTTTGGTTTGTATATGCATTATCTTCATTTTTGGGTGGTATATGCATTATCCAGGTTACTAAGACCTTACAAATATGGTCAACAAACTATTTTAGTAAAATATATTTGGAAAAGCTTTGCTCATGTTTATTTTCTGCCTCTGATAGATAAAAGAAACATACAATTAGTGGGGGAAATCAACCTTACATAATTGCCAGTAAGTGTCTAATTCTTTATTATGTTTCCTCCAACTATAGTTGGCTGTGCCTATAGCCTGGGAAAATATGACTCTGGCAAGCTGTTCAATACTCTTCATTGTAATAAAAGGATGATGATGTTGTTAGCAGATTTTTTGGCTATATTTAGGAAATATTAACAGTTGAGACCTCGGAAGTGAGCTAACTTCTCACGATTTTCTTTCGTCTTAATATAGATTTTGTCTATTGCTTGTGCAAACATCATTGTCTTGGTTTTGTTCTCGGTGAACACTCCTGGCATAACTATTGATTGCACTCAATCGTGCTCTCAGCACTAGCTAGTATTGGCCATGATGAATTCCAAGAACCCAGTTATGTAGTTATAGCTTGTGGATCTTCATTTCATTCATAGGAAATTAAAAACATATATTCAACTCGAAATTTATTAAAGAATACAAATCTTATAACCATATTTCCAGAGGGGTAAGAAGGCTAAAAAAGTTCTAGATGCAATTCTAAAGACATCTTGACGCGTGGGATGTAAAAAGTGGTCTACTAAGAATGCTTCAACTTAATATACCACTTGCAATATTCCTTTAGTCATGAGAATGAGTCGATTATTTTAATTGTTGTGAAGTTTTAAAATGACTTTGAATCTTTGATTGATTCAAAACTACGATGGGGGTGTAATTGCATTGCATTCCATTCATGTACGAGGGTTGTTAAATCCAAATTTGCCATTGTTAAAATAACAAAATTTATCTTTTTCCTGAAGAACAAGCGTTTTTTCTTTGCCAATTTTTATTATAAGTTCAAAGTATCACGATCATAGGATGTGATCCTGGTAGCACAAGATGGTTAGCATTCTTTCATAATTGAAAATTCATTTTTTATTTATAATGAAAGAGTGCTTGAAATGGGAAAGATGGGCAATACTACACCGAAAGCAATAAAGTTTCTGCTCAATGTATTTTTTAAACTATTGCCCCATGATCGATGCTACAAAATCACAGAAAATTTTGAGCGAACGCTAAGTAAAGGCGAAAATGTTCTAACATTTTAAAATTTAAAAATTGTCCCCAGTCCTAAAATCTCTAACCACGGAAGAATCAAAGATGGCGTCTGATAATCGCAACTCGTTAGTTTATGTGATACCACTGTAATGTCCGTGTTTACATGATTTTAGAGCGCCTTTTATCGAAGCATCATCTAGGAATAGTAGCAGCAGGACATAAAGATAATATCAAACAATAATGAACCCTGTTTCGCATGAGAAAAGTCGTCCTACTGTTAAGATGGAAAACATTGACTTTCTACCAAAGCCAAGTGCAGAGGAAGCTTCAAAGGAACCTTTATCGGCAGGAAATGTTAGAAATATACAAGGTTTGTATAACTAAGTAGTTAAAATGCAAGGAACATTAAAAACGAGTGAGACCCGTGGGAATGGTTGCCCATTTTTTAGCTATTAAAATATTGTAATTTTTCAATATTTTGAAACTATGCAAATTGCAAAGCTCTCTCCCTGTATTGGAGTTTTGTAAGATCCTGTCATACAGGGTACACCATCATACAGGGTACAGTACCTCATGCCATTTGCCAAAGATGTTCTATTAAGGTTATGTTGCTGTGCAATCGAATGGGGTAAACTTTCATCCAGACTTTTATCCTTAGTGATCAAACGTTGTATAAATGACAGTATAAACTAAGGGAAAATGTTTTGCTCACAAGCGACAATGAGTTAAAATTCTAAGATGCCAAAAATCCGCCACAAAACATGCATGGAATGGCTTGTTAGGGAAATGTAACCAACCTAACTTTTCTAAGGCCTGCTTACACTTCTAGTTACATGCTTTTAAGTAAATTTGTCTCCTTTTCATAGATGTAAACGAGCATCTCATTTGAACATCTTTGTAACTTATCAACTCATTCATATCTATCAAAAGAAGAAAATACATATTGAATTGCAGGAGGAATTGCAATAACCTGTTATTCAATCAACTTTACTTTTCCATTTTGGTCTTTAGGATTTACAAATAAGTCAGCAATTGCACTAAGTCATCTTAAAGGTGTTCATTTTGGCAAATCATCAGGACGTTCAACTCCAAGGAGAAGTTCTTCAAGATCAATAAAACGGAAGAAGTTTGATGATGAATTAGTAGAAAGCAGTTTAAAGAATCCAGGAAAACCTTTGGGCATGCCAGAGGTTCTAGAACCAAAGGAAAAGATGAAAAAGGTGTGAATGTATATGTTATTTTTAAAATTAGTTTGTGAATGATCTATTTGTCTTGAGATTTTTTTTAGAACATATTCTATAAAACCACAAACACCAGAAAGAAAGTTTAAAGTCTATTCTTTATAAACAATGTTTAAATAAATTAGATTGGAGTTGTGAATGTTTCATCTTTTGCAGTTTGTTGGCAAATCTCCAAGTGTCCCCACTTCATCTTTAAGCAAGAAACAAAAGAAAACTAAGGTAAACTTATAAATATTGATAGATAAATTGCCAATGTCCTTTAATACAATTCTATTCAGAAGTCTGTTTGAACAATTGTAAAATAATTGGGCTCAGCTCTGAGATGAAATGCAGTAGCTATATGTCATAACCACATACTATACTATATCAAATGTTGTGACCTTCAAAAGTTAATATGATTCCCCTTGTTTATAGTGTGGTAATACAACTCCGTTGAAAGATGTTGGCAGATGGAGACCAGCAGATGATCTTACACTTATAACAGCTGTCCTTCAGGTTATTCTGTTTGTTCCATGTTTTAATGTGTTGTATGTTTTGCTATTTATAAAAAAATATTTTACAATGCTTGTTTTTAGTTGCAAATTGACAATCATACTATTTTGCCTTTTTAGACAAATGATCTCAATTCAGTCCACATTGGTTGCAAGTTTTCGTGCAGATTTTCACTGAATGAGGTACAGGACAGATGGTATGCACTGCTATATGATCCAGTAGTATCAAGGTATACCAATTTCTATTCTGTTTATTAGAAATTGAACTTTACTATGAAATAGTGTCCAGTGCAGCATCCATTTATAAAGGTTTTTAAGCTGGTATTTCCTATCTCCCTAGGTTAGCATCTTTTGGAATGAAACAGTTGCCAGCGGATATTGTTCTCCAGATTCAAAGTAATACATTATGGAGCAAGGAGGAGGAATCACTTTTGGCTAATACCTCTGCAGTATGTAAAGAGATATCCCACATTTTTCATTATATACTCGTTGCACTGCCCTTGCACTGCTAGTGTACAACCTGTAAAATACTTCTAAAATGATCTGTATTTATTCTCTTACAAACATTTCTAGACTACAACTGCAGCTGTGGAGTATTTTCAACATTTATTGGATGAAAATCCAGGCACATTTCATTCTTACAGAACAGCAAAGTCTATAATGCAGCACTGGCTTCAAATGAAACACTACCAACTACTTGATGATCAGACAGGTACTGAAATGTGACATGTGCTATTCACTTTCATTTTTTGACCAGTTGTGTTTTCATGTGTGTTCATTGTCTTTTTAGTCCTGGCATTGGGCAGTGCAACTTCTACATTCTCTGACTTTGAGGAGCAAGTAAAAGACTCTGAGTTGATGTAAGTACCTTCCATTGACATCCTCAATGTAAACACCCCTCTCATGTCCTAAATATTAAGTTTGAGATGTAGCACAGTATGTTAATCAGAAGGTTTTTACAATTTCATCCAGGTATCCTAGAGACGAGATATTGGAACATGAGTTAAGCATTGCAGATCGAAGAGCAAAGCGTGAAATACGTCAGTTGGAGGAGGAAATACCCCGTTGGCAGGCAATAGTTGATACTCTTAATGAAGCTGCTACTGCACCTACTGAGTTTGACTCTCAGACATTAGCTGTATTGAGGGGGAGACTTGTAAGATATTTAATGCGATCTAGGGAGGTAAGATATTCCTATACCTTTATACCTTGCTTTTACAACCACCAGAAAATAATTTTCATTCGTGAAATCGGTGAACAAGGATCGTGTATGTATATGATGATAAATGATTTATTTTAGATCACAGTTGGTAGGTCAACAAAAGACAATACAGTTGATGTGGACCTATCATTAGAGGGTCCAGCTAGTAAAGTTTCCAGAAAGCAGGTAAGGCAAGACAACAATCAAATAATATCTTGGGGATTAGTTAACCTATATTTTTGCGTTTGTCATGCATTTTGTTATGCATTTTGCTAAGACATAAATATGTCTTAGCGGACCCTAGATGCGAGGCCTGTATGCATGACGTTCTTTTTCGACTAAGGAGTTAATTGAAATGTTATTGAATGTAATTTTTGACAGGCTGTTATTCGATTGAAACCTGATGGAGAATATTATGTAGTAAATGAAGGTCGAAGACCAATATTTATTGATGGAAAACCCGTTCTAAATGACGTTAAGGCAAAGCTTCATCACAATTCAACATTTGAGGTAAGGTTTTTGATATCCTTGTATAGCTACAGTTTTTTTTTTGTAATTTAAATAATGATATCGTTCGTTATTTTTATCTATATATCTTATCCGCTAAGTCCACTAAATCACATTCATCAAAATGACAAGATGACCGTCCGGGGGTGTCAATTAGGACATTAACTTTCATAGCGTCATAGTTTACTAAACGTGTGATTATTTCTAAAAGTAAAGTACTTATATATTATCAGAAATATTACTCCTTTGTTTGTATCAGATGGTAATACTCAATCTCGAACTTGCCGTGTCCAAATTGCTGTCTGCAAACTTTTTTCATGTTTTTGCAGATTTGCGGGCTTCATTTCGTATTCTTAATCAACAAGGATTATTCATTGGAACGTAAAGATCATCCTGATGCTCAAAGGACCAACTGATCATATTTGACTTGTTGACTGTTCCTGTTTGCGTAAGTTTATTTTCGTTGTTTTCTTAATTATCGTTGTCTTGAATGGTACGTCTGTGATTCTTGGAGCTGGGTCGACTGAAGCCGCGATCATTTCTTGAGTGTTAGGGTCAGCGGTAATGTCATCACTTAAGTTGTTTTCAGGAACAAATTCTCCTTGTCTCTTGCTAAATGAAAAGTGCCAATATCGGAAGTTAACGTTGTGAATGCTTTGAGCACAGAATATTATATTAAAACATCGTTGACGACAATTAATACTTACTGATTCATCCTTGAGATTACAACTGCTGTCATAATGAGTAACATTAGAACGCATGTGACTCCAACAGCTATTGACACTATCAAAATTCTGGAGTCTTTTACTTCTAAACGGGACGATACACTGACTGTTGAACCTATGTAAAGAAATTAGTGATAGGAGGCCAAAAAGCGCCAACGACGCTCTATCTTTGGTAAATCCTCTTCCCAAGGCTCTTTATATTTCTGGGCATTTGTTCTTGCATGTATTAATTAAGCTCATTGATGAAACTACTTCAGTGTTAAAATGTTATCAACGGGAAATTTTTCTCGGCAGTTTAGGGCGAATTATGATGCGAAACCTACCGATTCCACATGCTCTATTCTTCTTGATGTCAGGACAAATGCAAGGATAGGTCTGCCCAATATTGTCGCAGCTAGCTTCAGGAAAACATCCATCAGCTAAACAAGGATCGTCTTTAAGCAGGAAATAAAATATTAGCATTACGAATTTCGAACTTTCAAGGAAAACCAGGCTTTCTCGTGTAACATTGCTTTGAGTACTTACTGACTCTTTGCTTACAACATTCCATGGACTTCTTGTCTTGTCTAACGACGGCAAAGATATTCTTTGATCGTATCTCTTTATTAGAAAGAGATCTAGTCCATATTATCAAATGACTTATTTCAAAGTTTCCTCCTAATTTTCGTCTCCTAAAGAGACCTGGATCGCCAAGCGCAAGTATTGGATATCTATTGCCAAAACTTGGATGACGGACATTCCTCCCCGCCTTATCTTGGGCGAGGAATTCTCCATTCTCATAAACGACAAGACCTTGTTGTCTCTTCCATGTAAACATTAAATGTGTCCATGTAGAAATTTTCACAAGGAACTCAAGGCTCCATAGTTTATCTTCTGTTGAAAGAAGAAAATTCATTCCATGTATTTGAGATTTATATTTCAGTAGAAATCCCGGACCAACGCTACGTCTCGCATAACCGCCCGAACTGATGATACATTCACCTAAAATTAGAAATCAAATAATGAATTATGGTCGTCACGATATAATTTCCGTATAGATTGTATACCTGTTCGAAATTTTATCCAGAACTCTATTGTGATTCCTTTCTTACAGTATGATGGATCATATATACATCGGGAGTGTAATGGTTCCATGACGAGAGAAACATTTTTTGTGTATAATGATACCACTGATCCTAGCTGAGCATCTTTTTTCGTCTTCACCCCGTCGGAAACCTTGGCGTCGGTTTCTCCACATTCATCTTTCGAAATCTTTAATTCTTGTTTTTCAATCTTTGTTAACGGCCAATAATGAACAGCTGAACTGTATGGCTCAACTAATAAGTAATAAATATGAGATGAAATAATACGTTTCCCGTTCTTTGTATCAAAATTTATTTTACTATTCATGATTTCGTTTACATTGATTGAGGTTAGGGACTTGGCTGTATAACCCGGACCTTGTGGTGAAGCCAATTTTCCGTTCTTTTATTTAATTCAGGCAATGTCATATTTAGGAGAGAGTAGAGCTCTTAACAATCAATATTAGAATGTTTGCAGCTTTGACATGCAAAACTCTCTCTTTTGAAGGCGCAGCGTATAAACTGTGCTAAAGAGTAAGCCTTTCTTAGTGTAATTTGCGAATAAATTACGATATGTCGATCTATGCAAATTGTAATCCGTAAAATAAGTTAAGCAGCCAATAATAATCTATAATTAATAACATTTGTGGCTATCTCAACCAGCTGCAAGATTTAGCGAAATTATTCAAAGTCGATAGTATTTTTAATACTAGAAATTATCGTTATTCTATTATAGATGTTAACAGCGTACTTCATAAGTAACTTAAACCCGCTATATAATTCTTCAAGATAAAAAAGAGTCGTATGTCTGCTGGGACAATACTTACCATTTAAAGAATACATCGTCACTTGCTTTGTATCGACGATTCCTGTATTTTTGCGAAGAAATGTTCCTGACGCAGAAGAACTTAACACAAGCGAATTCGGATTTCTGATTTTAATGGCTGTATTTGTGTCTACACCGGCATTCCTCCTTTCATCGTCGTATAACATTGCAGAGTCTAAAGACAAGAACGGTGTGCTAAAAAATGAGCCAGAAAGAACGCATTTTTCATCAGTTAGTTTTACTTTAGAAATCATGCTACAGATGACTTTTATACAGTTCATAGTAAATTATCTATGGGAAAGATTAGAGTAATTTACATATTACTGGTTCGGAAAAGACTGTGGTTCCTTTTTTCTGAACTAATGAAGGCACCTTATAGAAGAAATTACACGACTTTCGCTACTCAATTAAATTAACAGATCTTTTGGTCAGCCATAACACATTTTTTGGTTTGCTTAATAAGTTGACGTCAACCGACAGAGCCTCTGCTCTCATGCAGTTTTTTGAATTATTCTCTGAATCAACGTAACATAAAAGTAAGAAAGCTGCAGCGTTACTGTTTACATTCAAAATCCTTTGTCGTTTGGATACATTTACAAGACCGGTTTGATGCAAGTAAGCATCGACTAAGTGCAGAACGAGTAGAAAAATACGACGAAAATTATTTGCCCCTCCCTTTCAAAGATTCATCAGTCTCTAAGCATTACACGAGGTTGCTTCAGAGGATGGTTCTTCTTGCTTTTCTGTCCATGTTTTGAATTTTCTGAAAATTTCTTTCAAGTTGCTGTGCTGCAACGTTGTCAACCTGTTTGATTCCGAAACTAATTTTACAGTAAAAATGCGCTTTAAATAATTTGACTATTTATATCAAACGGAGAGCTAACGGGATAAGAAAAGTATCAGTATAATAACGTTTTACTGTATAATGTCAGTGCCAAAACGCAATGTGGCTGATAATCAAATGATAGCCTTACCTTCATGGAATAGTATACATAAGCTATAAAACGAAACGGCAATGAATTGATACAATATCATTCTGTGAGTTATGTCAATCCATTTTTATTACGGTTCTTCAGGCTTTATAAGTTTTAATTCGCAAAAATATGAAACAAAATAGAATAATTGATACATCGGCTCGTGCCACAGGTCATTCTTGCCAACGCTGTTCATCTAATAGTTCCGTTTCTCCGAGGAAGATTGCTTTTCTACCATATTTTGTGACAACTCTGACGTTTTAAAACTAATGAAGCTAAAGGGTTTTAGTTGTAAGATTTGCTTATTTTGTGGTGTCCTATTTAGCTATTAAATTTGTATTGTGCATGATTTATTGATGAAAATGTCTCTGCGGTGCTGGCCTGGAACGATGCATAATTATGCTTGAAAGGTGTGTAATTTTTCAGTAATGAAAGGAAAGACAGCCTGCAAAGAGACATTCGAAGGCGAATTTAAGGAAGTAGCGAAATAACTTAAAGTAAGTTTCTATTTTTCAATGATAGTATCAAACACATGGAGAAAAAACAGGGAAAAGAGCAAAGGAACTGGTGAATCATCTTGCCAAAGGAACTAGTGAATCATTTTGTGAAGGAAAACGAATCATTGAATATCATACAAACCTTGGTACAAACAAAAACGTGATCCCTTCCCTGCTCTCCCCGTAGATTAGTGCTGTGATAGATTTTATTTTGAAGTTTTTTTTTCGTTTTAGATTTATCAAGATGAACGTGAAGATGAAAGAGAATTTTTTTACCAGTTTTAAAGTCACTGTATTGATCATAACGTAAGTTTTCAGGTGAGGATTTCTTATGCATCCCTTAACATCATGTGCTGATGGTCTGGTGCTTAAGACAATAATCTCGCAAACTGAAAGAGTTTGGTTCAAATGTCCTTCATTCACTTCATTTCTCGCGCAGTCGCAATGAGCAACTTTCAACTTTCACTAAACTGAAACATTACACATGCCACAGCTCCAAACATTATTGTATTTGCACCAACGGAACCTAATAAAATTCAAATTATTGACATTGCGAAAATACAAAATAAGTGCACATACATGGAGTTTTGTGACTCCCCGCACCACACGTATTTCTAACTCGATCGAAACAGATTAGAATTTAATAGTATTTTATCACCATATTGTATGATATTCATTAAACTATTGGCGGGGGCTAACCAATGATCGGAAAACAGTAGGTCGACATCGTATGTGGTTGGTTATATGATTGTCGTACATTCGATCATGATTGAGTACCACTTTTTGGTACATTCGAGCGTAGTTAAGTATACCATTTATGTGGTTATGTTGTTATATGGTTATGTTGTATTGGAATTAATAAGCTATGTTTGTATTTCTTTGTGTAGTCCCTCCTGCATTTTTTAATCTTAAAAGCACCTAAGATAACAGGTATAATACATGTGTTCAGTTTAATTTTAATCATAACAATATTTAAACTCAATCTTATATTCATAAATGTGGTTATATTGTTATGTGGTCTATTTTTGATGCCATTGCCTTAGGCATGTTAAGTCAATTTCAATAAATCTTTGTGCATATTTCAGACCACCAAGATCATTAATCGCTTCACGGAGCGGAGTTTTGCTAATAACTTACAACGGACAATAGAAATATGCAAAACATATTTATTTGGCTAATTTATATGTATTCTGGGCAAATCTGGCATAAGTTAGTTGATTATCTATTGTTGTCAATGCGTTAATTGTCCGTTGGAATTTTATTTGTCTTTGAAGTAATAAAAGGCGGTTGAATCTAGACGAAACTCAGTCTTTGCAGTCTCGAAAAGGAAGCATCAGTCAACGAAGTTCAGGAAAAGTTGGAATATTCTTGCTTAGGTACATGGTGATTGTTAGTTTGAACAGCTTTTGGCTTGATCTTTGGCTTTGTAAACAAATTGACTGATCGCTGTGTTGATTTGAATAGCGTGGGAAGACGTGAGCGAGTGGAGTCATATTCTTGCCGATTTTTACTGCTTTATCTTGTATATTTCGATTGAAAATGTCCAATGCAAGTGAGCTGTTACTTTAATTTAGTTTTTCCTTGCTTATTTGATTTCAGAACGAACTACGGCGCCGAAAGATGGGAAAGGAGAAACGTAAAGGCTTGCTCGCAGCGAACAATAGGTATTGTTCTATTAATATATGTGTATTTTGCATTTGTGACTTGAAAAAACACGTTTGCACTTTGTTTACGGACAGTCAGGGTGGACGAAACTAGAATAGTTTTGATATATAGAAATGAATTCGAACTTTATGACTGTAACTAACTTTCCCGGCTGGCCTATTCGTTTTTCGGGCAGGGTTGCCCAAAGGGAATGCTCGTTTTGAAAGGGAAAGACGGATTGAAACTCAATGCCTATATAATTATTTGTATTGGTATATGATTGTACTATGCTAGACTTCCCTGTCCTTTTGTTTTACCGAAGTTCTGTTTTTGTAGAACGAAAGAATCGTAAAGAGATGTCGGACATGCCTTGGGACATTTATGCACGCAAATACAAAACTCGATTTCGACAATATGCATGAGTAAAAATTGCCTGGAATTTGGCTTTTTTGACTGAGATATAAACTGAACACTCTTCTTTTTACCTCCTTCATTTTCAAGTTTTTCGCCTGTGCATGATTTTTGCATGAAGTCTGGTCGTATCAAGCGCATGCGGAGTGAATACAAGTGATTCTGGGGCCCCAATCACTTGTGTTTTCTCCATCTTGACGACTATATAGTCCGGACAAAATTATCGCTCAGAGAGCGCCTAAAACATAAAAACATGAAATATGTATTTCTAGAAGGAGATGATAGTCCAGTGTTCTTGCTTTCTTGTACAAAAACGTGCATGACATTTTGTATTAAAACGTGCATGACATTTTGTATTCGCGTGCGCAATGCGAAGGCCACGAGTGACTTACGTTGGAGTGTCGGAGGTTCGATATAATTTTTCCTGAGTGCTTTATACATAAGTGACATTTCTCTCTTGGAAATTATTCATATCATACTTTTGTTGTCAGATGATGAAGGATCGTCGCAGGATCAGGAGGATCATCGCAGCATCAGATGTTGAAGAATCGTCGCAGGATCAGATGGTATGCTATGGTATTGGTATGGTATGGTATGATATTGCTACCTAAGTGATATTTTTGACCTAAAACATAAAAACATGAAATATGTATTTCTAGAAGGAGATGATAGTCCAGTGTTCTTGCTTTCTTGTACAAAAAGTACATGACATTTTGTATTAAAACGTGCATGACATTTTGTATTAAAACGTGCATGACATTTTGTATTAAAACGTGCATGACATTTTATATTAAAACGTGCATGACATTTTGTATTAAAACGCGCATGACATTTTTATTAAAACGTGCATGACATTTTGTATTAAAACGTGCATGACATTTTATATTAAAACGTGCATGACATTTTGTATTAAAACGCGCATGACATTTTCTATTAAAACGTGCATGACATTTTGTATTAAAACGTGCATGACATTTTGTATTAAAACGTGCATGACATTTTGTATTAAAACGTGCATGACATTTTATATTAAAACGTGCATGACATTTTGTGTTAAAACGTGCATGACATTTTGTATTAAAACGTGCATGACATTTTGTATTAAAACGTGCATGACATTTTATATTAAAACGTGCATGACATTTTGTATTAAAACGTGCATGACATTTTGTTTAAAACGTGCATGACATTTTATTAAAACGTGCATGACATTTTGTATTAAAACGTGCATGACATTTTGTGTTAAAACGTGCATGACATTTTGTATTAAAACGTGCATGACATTTTGTATTAAAACGTGCATGACATTTTCTATTAAAACGTGCATGACATTTTGTATTAAAACGTGCATGACATTTTGTATTAAAACGTGCATGACATTTTGTATTAAAACGTGCATGACATTTTATATTAAAACGTGCATGACATTTTGTATTAAAACGTGCATGACATTTTGTTAAAACGTGCATGACATTTTGTATTAAAACGTGCATGACATTTTATATTAAAACGTGCATGACATTTTGTATTAAAACGTGCATGACATTTTGTATTAAAACGTGCATGACATTTTATATTAAAACGTGCATGACATTTTGTATTAAAACGTGCATGACATTTTATATTAAAACGTGCATGACATTTTGTATTAAAACGTGCATGACATTTTATATTAAAACGTGCATGACATTTTGTATTAAACGTGCATGACATTTTCTATTAAAACGTGCATGACATTTTGTATTAAAACGTGCATGACATTTTATATTAAAACGTGCATGACATTTTGTATTAAAACGTGCATGACATTTTGTATTAAAACGTGCATGACATTTTCTATTAAAACGTGCATGACATTTTATATTAAAACGTGCATGACATTTTCTATTAAAACGTGCATGACATTTTGTATTAAAACGTGCATGACATTTTGTATTCAAACGTGCATGACATTTTGTATTAAAACGTGCATGACATTTTGTATTCAAACGTGCATGATATTTTGTATTAAAACGTGCATGACATTTTGTATTCAAACGTGCATGACATTTTGTATTAAAACGTGCATGACATTTTGTATTAAAACGTGCATGACATTTTTATTAAAACGTGCATGACATTTGTATTAAAACGTGCATGACATTTTATTAAAACGTGCATGACATTTTGTGTAAAACGTGCATGACATTTTGTATTAAAACGTGCATGACATTTTGTATTAAAACGTGCATGACATTTTATATTAAAACGTGCATGACATTTTGTATTAAAACGCGCATGACATTTTATATTAAAACGTGCATGACATTTTGTATTAAAACGTGCATGACATTTTATATTAAAACGTGCATGACATTTTGTATTAAAACGTGCATGACATTTTGTTTTAAAAGGTGCATGACATTTTATATTAAAACGTGCATGACATTTTGTATTAAAACGTGCATGACATTTTGTTTTAAAACGTGCATGACATTTTCTATTAAAACGTGCATGACATTTTGTATTAAAACGTGCATGACATTTTCTATTAAAACGTGCATGACATTTTGTTTTAAAACGTGCATGACATTTTGTATTAAAACGTGCATGACATTTTCTATTAAAACGTGCATGACATTTTCTATTAAAACGTGCATGACATTTTCTATTAAAACGTGCATGACATTTTGTTTTAAAACGTGCATGACATTTTGTATTCAAACGTGCATGACATTTTGTATTAAAACGTGCATGACATTTTGTATTCAAACGTGCATGATATTTTGTATTAAAACGTACATGACATTTTGTATTAAAACGTGCATGACATTTTGTATTAAAACGTGCATGACATTTTGTATTAAAACGTGCATGACATTTTGTATTAAAACGTGCATGACATTTTGTATTAAAACGTGCATGACATTTTCTATTAAAACGTGCATGACATTTTCTATTAAAACGTGCATGACATTTTGTATTAAAACGTGCATGACATTTTCTATTAAAACGTGCATGACATTTTCTATTAAAACGTGCATGACATTTTCTATTAAAACGTGCATGACATTTTCTATTAAAACGCGCATGACATTTTGTATTAAAACGTGCATGACATTTTCTATTAAAACGTGCATGACATTTTCTATTAAAACGTGCATGACATTTTCTATTAAAACGTGCATGACATTTTCTATTAAAACGTGCATGACATTTTCTATTAAAACGTGCATGACATTTTGTGTTAAAACGCGCATGACATTTTCTATTAAAACGTGCATGACATTTTCTATTAAAACGTGCATGACATTTTCTATTAAAACGTGCATGACATTTTCTATTAAAACGCGCATGACATTTTCTATTAAAACGTGCATGACATTTTCTATTAAAACGTGCATGACATTTTCTATTAAAACGCGCATGACATTTTGTATTAAAACGTGCATGACATTTTCTATTAAAACGTGCATGACATTTTGTATTAAAACGTGCATGACATTTTGTATTAAAACGTGCATGACATTTTCTATTAAAACGCGCATGACATTTTGTATTAAAACGCGCATGACATTTTGTATTAAAACGTGCATGACATTTTCTATTAAAACGTGCATGACATTTTTCTATTAAAACGCGCATGACATTTGTATTAAAACGTGCATGACATTTTCTATTAAAACGTGCATGACATTTTCTATTAAAACGTGCATGACATTTTGTATTAAAACGTGCATGACATTTTCTATTAAAACGCGCATGACATTTTGTGTTAAAACGTGCATGACATTTTCTATTAAAACGTGCATGACATTTTGTGTTAAAACGTGCATGACATTTTGTATTAAAACGTGCATGACATTTTCTATTAAAACGCGGCATGACATTTTGAAAACGTGCATGACATTTTCTATTAAAACGCGCATGACATTTTGTATTAAAACGTGCATGACATTTTCTATTAAAACGTGCATGACATTTTGTGTTAAAACGTGCATGACATTTTCTATTAAAACGTGCATGACATTTTCTATTAAAACGTGCATGACATTTTCTATTAAAACGTGCATGACATTTTGTATTAAAACGTGCATGACATTTTGTATTAAAACGTGCATGACATTTTGTATTAAAACGTACATGACATTTTCTATTAAAACGTGCATGACATTTTCTATTAAAACGTGCATGATATTTTGTATTAAAACGTGCATGACATTTTGTATTAAAACGTGCATGACATTTTGTATTAAAACGTGCATGACATTTTGTATTAAAACGTGCATGACATTTTGTATTAAAACGTGCATGACATTTTGTATTAAAACGTGCATGACATTTTGTATTAAAACGTGCATGATATTTGTATTAAAACGTGCATGACATTTTGTATTAAAACGTGCATGACATTTTGTATTAAAACGTGCATGAGATTTTGTATTAAAACGTGCCATGACATTTTCTATTAAAACGCATGACATTTTGTATTAAAACGTGCATGACATTTTCTATTAAAACGTGCATGACATTTTCTATTAAAACGTGCATGACATTTTGTATTAAAACGTGCATGACATTTTGTATTAAAACGTACATGACATTTTGTATTAAAACGTGCATGACATTTTTATTAAAACGTCATGACATTTTGTATTAAAACGTGCATGACATTTTCTATTAAAACGTACATGACATTTTGTATTAAAACGTGCATGACATTTTCTATTAAAACGTGCATGACATTTTCTATTAAAACGTGCATGACATTTTGTATTAAAACGTGCATGACATTTTGTATTAAAACGTGCATGACATTTTGTATTAAAACGTGCATGACATTTTGTATTAAAACGTGCATGACATTTTGTGTTAAAACGTGCATGACATTTTCTATTAAAACGTGCATGACATTTTGTATTAAAACGTGCATGACATTTTGTATTAAAACGTGCATGACATTTTGTATTAAAACGTGCATGACATTTTGTATTAAAACGTGCATGACATTTTGTGTTAAAACGTGCATGACATTTTCTATTAAAACGTGCATGACATTTTGTATTAAAACGTGCATGACATTTTCTATTAAAACGTGCATGACATTTTCTATTAAAACGTGCATGACATTTTCTATTAAAACGTACATGACATTTTGTATTAAAACGTACATGACATTTTGTATTAAAACGTGCATGACATTTTCTATTAAAACGTGCATGACATTTTCTATTAAAACGTGCATGACATTTTCTATTAAAACGTACATGACATTTTGTATTAAAACGTACATGACATTTTGTATTAAAACGTGCATGACATTTTCTATTAAAACGTGCATGACATTTTCTATTAAAACGTGCATGACATTTTCTATTAAAACGTACATGACATTTTGTATTAAAACGTACATGACATTTTGTATTAAAACGTGCATGACATTTTCTATTAAAACGTGCATGACATTTTCTATTAAAACGTGCATGACATTTTGTATTAAAACGTGCATGATATTTTCTATTAAAACGTG